GCCGAAGCGAATATGCGCAAGTCGGGCTTGACCTGCGAGTTACGACCGCAACGGATCCTGCTAGCTGGCATTCATATTCCTGGTTGAACGTATCCCAGGGCGACTCTTTTCGAACTGGAATTTCCCGGGCGCTCGGTACTGGGGATTTGTGAACATCTACCGAACCAAGGGCCGGGGAGCGTCCAGTCAAGACTTTGAGATGCACCTGCGACGGAGAGATGCCACCGTCACTACCATGAACTTGATCTGTTCTTTGCTTTCTATCATCGGATTGGGCGGGTCTGTGATTGTTTTGGGTAGATGATGAGGTTGCCTTGAGGGCGGACAGATCTAGTTGAGTCACCCGATTCGCTTTGTTCACCATGATTCCACAAGGAGTGTGGTTTGTCTTTAGAAATCCCAGTATTTGGCCTCGAAGGGGAACACTAGATATATTAAACCAAATACGACGGCACATTGTGCTCAGGATGATGGACCCACTTCCCCGCCAGGATCATACATATCTCCAAGTTTGGGGATCTATACTGGACTACCTAGGTATAACTTATATTAGATAGGCAACACCTGAATAGTCCCAAAAACAATAATTTACCATGGAAAGGGACATTTTAACCCGCCAGGAGGTGCAAATAGCCCGCGAGCGCAGGATCAAATATCAAGGTGCTGCGAAAATTAGCATTCCACAGATCCAGACAAGGCCACCATTACCTCAATGTTTGAATCAAGAAGCCCTCGAGCGACTCCGTGGTATATTTCGCAAGGATGGGTTTCGACGTCTCGAAGTGGATAACTTTGTGCCGGTCATTGTTTCACGGCATGCTTTGGATAGAGCAATATCGAAGGCAAATATCTCAGCGCAGGACCTGTTAAATTCCGGAGATAAAATTCCTCTACTGGACTTTGAAAGCAAAGAGGTTTTGGCGCTGCATGGTCGCCACCGCTTGCAAGTTGGCTCGGAACTTCTAGCTTTTGTTGAGCGATGGTGGACTGTGGATATATACCTTGACGGTAAACAGTATTCTACGTCGATCAAGACTGATCATTCTGACCTCAGTAGATATGGGGATGGATCTCAGGACCTCTCTGATCGAGGAATACGCGAATGAGAATGCACCAACAGACGGACAAATATACTGGAAGATCCGTCAAAGCGAGGCGGAAGAAGACGAGAGCTCTCGGCAGAGATGGTTTGTGAGACTATCGAAGAATAAGCAGATGCGATTAGATCAACTCGATAACAGTCGGAATCGAAGATTGCGACAGGGCTTTAATAGGCTATTGCATATCCGTGGATTATGGCTGAACGGCCTGCGGATCAGCATGCTTCATCGAATAATTGCTGCTGCTGCTGTTGAAGTATAGCTTCTAATGTTCTTGAGATTTTTCATCCAGAATGCTTACCGTTGGTAGGAGGTTTTGAACTACTTGACCTATATCTACAATACGTACCTTTACTTTGTCGACGGGGATGAAAACGCCCTCAGGCGTATTGGATCGGATACCGTGAACTCGATACATCTGATGGCGCCAGGAAGCTCCGAGAAAGATGCGATTCTTATGCGAGGGATGGTTCTGAGTGGAAAAGCATTTGGGGAGTTTACTGAAGAGGAGAGATCAGACATATGGAGTCGTATGAGTCTGTTCAGAGGAATCATTCCTTCTTTATATACTTTCTTTGAAGACTTCAAATATCTTGAAGCTTGTTCACATTGCCTAAGAAAGATTATCGGTACGCCTCTGATGTCGATCAGAAATACTCTGAAGCACAGCTTTACACCCATGCCAGCCATTGAGAAATCATTTCCGATCCAGAAATCGGAGAAGTCATTCGTTCAACTATCTCTCACTCGAGATCAGTGTTTTGATATGGCCTATCGGCAACTTTGGTTATTTGCGATGCGACACTACCTGTCGATGCCCCGAGCTACAGGAGACAACGACAAGCTGTTGGCCAAGCCGGGATCAATCAAGGCCGACTCCAAAACTCTAAATGATCTAGCTGGGCTGGCTTCTCGCCTCGGGTTCCGTTCGATAGAGATCGAGGAAGCGTTAGCCAAATCACCAGACCGACAGATTGCACTATCTGCTCTTTTGGAGGCCCGAAAACCTAATGAGTTCAAATACCCAGATTCTCAATTGGAGTCTTTGGTATCCCGGGTAGTGGAGTGCTTTTCCTGTGCTATCGAGCGGTCGGACGAGCCCTCTATCATACTAGCTGATAGCTTGGTCGAAGCTAGGGTACGCTGTGGGATGCCGCAGCTCAGAACACATAGCCAGGATAAAGCCCATCTATTTGTACCTGAAGTTCACTGTGAGCAAAACCTTTCGCCTCATATTACGACTCTTTTTGTTCGGCAGTGCGTGTACTTTGCTTTCCTTGGGAAGCCTGATGACACAAAGTCGTCAATCAACAACACTTCCAATCCTTCCGAGCGCAGGGAATTTGCTGAAAATACTCACTCAACTCCGACAAGTGGCTCTCATGATACTGCTGATACGGAAATGCCTGATATCACCAGCGCAGTACCCTTGAGAAATTCTTCCGATTACCTAGTCGACACATCGCTCTCAGGGAGCACCGACAAATCATCATTAGCAAACGGCCATGATCATTCCACTGCCGCAGAAACAGCTCAAGTTACCGAAGAAAGCCATGATGAAAATATGCCCAACATACCCACGGATAAAACAGTAGAAGACGCCACAGGTGCCGAAGTTCCTACAAGACTTTATTCACCCTCAATCTACTCGTCAAGACTTTCAGAGACATCAGAGCCATCGACAATTGTTAGGGTCAATGTCCCATCCACAGTCCAGCCAGGTACCGATAATGCAAATGACATTCCAGAGACAAACACTAGCGAACTTATGGAGGTTCAAAGTCGTCCCTCCTGGACAGTGGAAGATAACCCCGATGAGATTCAAAAGGATCCTGCTCAGGCAATTGCGAGATACTCTACATATAGCAATGAGTTTTTCCAAACGACCTCAAGGCGACGTGTTAGATCAGACCAAGAGAAGGCACTGAACGCGGAGGAAGGAAGGCCACATGGTGAGATGCCAATGACTATCGAATTTTTGCGCCTGCAGGACGGCGAAATTATCTCTTATGAGAAAATGCATGACATATCTACATCGGCCCCCGACACCCGCAAAGTGGAAGAAAAAGCGCAAGAGTATTTGACCACCGGTCATTTCATTTTTGACACGCAACTGAGGAGCATCAATCCCAAGCAATGCTTCACAGCGGCAAAAGTGACCCTTGAGCATCAGATTTTGCTCATACATCAAGCAGACGACCTCGAACTTGAGAAGTTAGGGCTCAAAAAGTATGATTTAGTCGCGCAAGCTTTGTCCCGTACGCGAAACACTCTTCCTCGTAAGCGAAAGCGCGACCCCCCCCCCCCCTCCCGGGGCCCGTGGACCTAGGTAGCGCTTGAAACCTGGGGTGATGATACCATCAGAATGTTAGATTTCAGCTGGAAGTTTTACAATCAATTTGACATTTCAAACAAAGTGGCTCACCTAAATTCTATGTGTAACATGATACGCAACGTACTATGGGTAAATTCCTTGAGCGAGATTATCTATAATTTGAGCACCACAAGGCATAGTGTATCATGATCATGAGACACCCTCGATAATTACTGCCTATGATTCTATCTATACTCCACAGTATCTCACGAGACTCTATCTGCCTCAAGACAGCGCTGATATAATCATCACATGGCCTTTGCAGCGCCCTCCCACAATTCCATCTATCTAAACTATTTCACAAGACTCTATCCGCCCCAAGACAACATTTACATCATCATAGCCTTTGCAACGGCCTCCCATAATCCCAAATATCTCTCAAAGGATTTCATGAGATTTGCTTTATCTTAAGACAACATTTACATGAGCCAAAATTCAAAATATAGTTTGTGGAACGCTCTTCACATGAACTTGAAGAATATAAGAATTTTCCATGATACCTATCCTTGAGATAAAGGTTTCTATTTGTAAATGACTTGCGACTATGCGCAGGCAGAGCCCATGGACATTTGTATGTGCGCCTCTCAAAGCTATCTATCTACAGTGTATATAGTGATTCGTACTTTGCACGGGTCTAAGATATAAGGATCATCTTGCAATACATTGATACATAGGTGTTTTGTATCAATATACTAAGAAATGCTAACACCACCAACAAGATGTAGATATAGCCCATCATGCTCTCTTAGAGACTTGTTGATGCGCTCACATTCACGAGGAGTGACCCAGAAGTCCCACTCTTGCTTTACCCAGCTAACATTTCGCTCAAATATAAATTGGTCCCTCTTTTTCTGTATGAATCCACTTTGCTCCTTCTTTGATGAGAGTTGAGGGTCATCCAAGCAATTTGCGCATAATGTTCTGATATTGACTCGGCGCTTTGCAGGGAGCAGATGTGACCAGGTGCATAAAAGCCACGATCCAGGCTCGTGGGCGATGACCTTGACACGCATGCGATGGGCATCTCTGTCGTGACAAGAAACGCAGAGCCAAGTGACAAGACCTTTCATTCTGAAAATATATCAGATTCGGTACGGAAATTTGATGGGGGTAAATTGTACGTTCAGGCTTCAGGGAGCTCACTGGGAAATCCCTTAGGAGGTGGGTGAGTGAGTTGGATGGAACAAACGCTGTATTCTGGCTGAATTACCGGCCGATCATAAAGAGTTTCTAATTCTTATAGAGTCGTTACTTTCTTCAAAAGTACTAGTCGGGTTGGATTTGTGGACAATTTTTGGGGTCGCGAGACCTCCTTGCGCTAGTTTCCAGGTCCGGCTCTTCTATGCTCCCGCCCGAGGTCCTGACTACTGGAGTTTGGTTACTATTGCCACGCCCTCGGAGCATGCGAACCAGTTCTAGCCTATAAATCTCAACTGATATTGGAATTTACCCATGGATCTAAATAGCTCGTCATAACGTAATTTATCCAATGTGACAATTCCATCCGCCTGATTTCAAGTAAAAAAATGTCTTCAGACAACTTCCATAACCTGCCATCTGAGATCCTGGCCATTATCTGCTTGGAGCTACCAACATCCTCCTTAAAAGAGTTTTCACTGGTCGACCGCCGATGCCGCGCTTTGAGTCTACCAATACTCTTTCGCACAGTCCATGTTTCCTTTTCCACTAGAGGTTTGAATGAATTCTACAGCTTCGCACATTCTGGTCTAGCATCCCAAGTTCGGGTACTCTGCTACGATGTCTCGGAAATTATTGACCCACGTATGCCACTCCTCCCAGACCCAGTTGTCATTCTGAGCTTAGGCATATAGTGGTACAACATTGGGACTACTTCACCACCTGTATATACACCCCACAGGAATATTCCCGAGACCAAAGGGAATTCGGTTGGGGGCTTCGCGAAAAAGCATTTTCCTACCGATCAATTCACTCCGGATTTCTTGACCTTATTGAAAGTCAGCAGAGGGCCCTCGTGGATCGACAAGACATACAGGTTCTTTGTAATTGTGTTCAGCGACTGGTGCGATTGACCACCATTCGACTATCTTTCAGTGAGCCAGACAGAAGCCAGCTTCTTTGGTTCAGTAGCCGCGTCTTCCTAGATTGGGAATATTCCTTTCCGGTCCACTTGGAGGCTATCCTTTGTTGCATTCAGTCAGCTCAGTCACAAGGGATTCGAGTTTCCTCCCTCGAGATTACTGGCTTTTATGCGAGCATCACCAACGTAGCGCTGGTTGACTTGGCAACAGCAGCACTATCCGATATAAAACATCTATATCTTTACGACAGTGTCAACCTACTGAGTTGGCTAGCCGATATTCCTCTCCCATCATTAATGGAAGTTGAGATTGGTCATTGCTGGATAGTGGGGTGTGACCTTCACATGTTCCGAGAGAAGCACGACCCAGATTGCACAAAATTGAGTCTTCAAGATGTCCAGCTCTATGGGCATTGCGAAGGAAATCCTTGTGTAATCTATTAGGAGGCATGCATTTTACTTGTGTATCCATAAAGAATTCAAACTATCTGAGGACTGCAGGGTCTTTTACAGTCACAGGAAGTACTAATTTGACGCAACAGAGAAGACGACAGGAATGAACAATAACTCCTAGGACAGTGGTGAGAGGTGTCTATGCCCTACAGAGCCATAATAGGAAACAGAAGCTGGTTCAGAAAGAGTGTGTAGACCTCGGGATCACCCAGCTTCCTCCAATCGAGGATCTAAGACTTGATATACCCCTATGACCTCAGCCGATGCCTCAGGCTGTCATATTGGCGCTCTTTCCCTACTGCAGTAGGTGTAATAATGTCTTTCACGTCTCTCATGAGAAATCCTGGATTTCAGGGCCTCTCCTTTGAACGCCCAGCAATATCGCCTTTGAGCATTATATGCTAATCGCTTAGTGAGGGGCATTGGCTGCAAAGGCTAGTGGCTGTGATGGAAGAGAAGGAACTATATTGGCATAGTACGTTCTAGCTAATTGTAGGTCCAAAAATGATATTTGCAAAACTCTGAATTCTAGCCCTGAATAGGGGGCCCTTTTGTACCTATGGTCTGTAAAGCACGTGATCACACAAATACGCCAAAATCTAGTAAAATCCAAATAATCCAAGCTTTTGTGGGTCATATGGGCTCATGTTCGTCGACAACTAAACCTACCAACATACGTGCTCGGGTGCGCAGAGCTGGAGAGGGAGAACTCTGGTGTGGGGGCGAAGAGGGCGGTGACATCCGTGGATGGATCCCCGGAGGGGGTGTCTATAGGACAATGTGTCACCACGGACGCCCGTTCCTCTAGGCTCACGTTCCAAACGGACACTACTCAGGAAACATTATACTAGAAGGCTATGAATTGAGTGGATAAGAAAGTAACTGAGAAGAGAGAAAAAGAAAGCAAACACTAGAAACTATCTATGGATGTACCTCCCGGGCTAGGTACAAGAGAGAATCATCATGTGATTCTAACACACATCCATGGATGATTTCAAGACGTGGGTCCTCGGAAACGTTGGAACCTTGGAACTCTCGCCCCCGAGGGGAGGGGGAGTCTGACACTTCGGCGATGCTGCCACCCTAGAAGATGGGCCGCGGCTGAACTGATTCTATAAATATCTAAGATGAACCTGCCACCTGAAAATCATGTTTTGCATTCATATATACATTAATTCATGGCTGACGACTACCGAGAAAATGTTGGAAACGAGAAGCGTGCTAGGTGGAGGAGCATATGCCGCAAGCGTCTTGCAGAACACATCTGTGAGTGTTCCCAACTGACCGGCAAAAATAATTGAAGAGTGACTCAATAGTTTATAGGTGAGACTTTGGGCATAAATATTAAACCGTCGGATGTTAGACTTAAGCTTTCTGAGAGGGACAGAATGTATAAGTGGAAGCTAGAGGACCCACATCTAGGGCCACTTTTTGAAAAGCATCTCAGCAAGCACTCTGTCGGTGCCTATATACAACTTTGTCAGGAGATTGGGTCAGGATTTCGTGCAATACACGCAGAGGTGTTTGACCTAGATCGAATTTCCAGATCGATGTATACTTATTTTTCTCTACAGCCTGAAGGATTCGACCCTACACACGGCCCCATATCTCGTCTACAGGATGATAAAACCAGAATGGCAGAGAGACTTGAGCTAGCAGAGGCAATGTGTCTTCATCAACAGCAGATAATTTCGACTGCAGAACTCAAATCTCAAGAGCAAGACTTGATCATACAGGAAGCCCATCAAAAGATCCAACTCCAAGAGGCGCAGATAGAGCAGTGGGTCATGTATTCAGAGATTCTACAATCTAGGTGCTCACAAGGGTCTGAGTGTTTGCTTCAAGCAATTCAGCTTTTACACGGCTACTCTTTGGGCGATTTATCCGATACTTAAAATATCAACCTTTGTTGTGAGATGCGGGGTTTGGCGAGCAAACGATGTCTCATGTGCTATACTTGTAGCGAGACTAAGCTCACTTTTAATGTCTCTACATGAATGAAATAGTCGTTTTTTTTGGTCTGCTTTAAGAGTAGTAAAATCAATCTTTTTTTATTTTCCTGGAATTGAACTGCATATACAGGCGTGGCAAATATAACAGCTTTGATATAGGGCCATTTTACATTATACGGGTTGACTGGCAAGTGGGATGTGTGCTCGCTATTTTAGCTTCAATATTCCGTGCATTAGGATCTACCAGTATTGATGGATAGTCGTTACGTAGTGATTGGTCGGTCCATTGTACGAAGCGGGCCCTGAGTACTTCTATATAGTACTTAGTTACATACCGCCCAAAGAACAAAAAAACCATAGGGCTTGATACTGTAAGTGATGTTACAGTACTGTAATGAAGAATAACTTAAACAACTACGGGTTCATGCCTAGAAACTAGGTCGATAATAGTTGATGAAGCGTTTGATGCGCAGGCCGTTTCTGGTTCGCAGGCCGTTTCTGGTTCGCAGGCCGTTTCTGGTTCGCAGGTCGTTTCTGGTTCGCAGGTCGTTTCTGGTCCTGTTTCGATAACTACACAACTATGTAGGACAAATTTTACTATATAATCTCTCTGCGCATCTATGTTCTTGTTTTCTACCGTTCATTTTTAAGTTACTGCCTTTTCTCCAAGAATAACACAATGTCTTCTACGCGGAAAAGAGCAGGAAAAGACAGAGACGATCGTCAACGCACACCCCGTCAATTACTGACACCGGATCCGGAGCCGATTGGGGCAGTACCCGACCACCAAAATGGTGATATTCAATTTCAGGCCTCCGATACACTACCAGCATCCCATGAGCCCCTTATGGGAGGCACATCAGAGGACCGCAATGTCATTCCAGATATACATCTCAACGATACCCCGGCTCAGACTCCAAATGTGGACAGTGATGGCGATATTGGGATGAATGATATTACCATAGACGACTGGATCATTGACCTGATCAACACGAAAGAATCCGAAACTGGAGGTCTGCTCGATATGACAAGCACCGTTCTGAGTAACGGTCAGGACCTTGAAATGTATGCTCCATACTTTGACAAAATCAACGAGGAAATCCGCGAAGAATGTATCAAACGGGACATAAGTGCACCATACCCTCTCATTGCCAGTAGGGCGTATGAAGATGCCCTGCGGTCTTTGATAGAGAATCTCGCTTCATACAAGGCGAATGGGGTATCCAGAACAGACGAACCAGCCATTCGAGATCATTGTGAGCAGGTCCATGGCCGGATCCGGGATCTAGGCGATGATATCGAACTACCTGCAAGTTGGAATATCGACATCACAAGGATTATTGAAACACTTAAGGGTGCGAAACCAAGGCGGAAAAATAAGAGAAATCCTACAGCTATGCCTGATCTAGATGTTGATGATCTGGACGCGTTGGAGTCACGCACCAGAAAGGATCAGCATCAATTTTCATCCTGTGAAGTCCTTCACTGGTGGCCTAAGGGTACGGGTACTCAAACATTTGTCCAATACGGTGATAAGTCAGCTCCCGTTTATAGAATCAGGGCTGGGTCGTATGAGCCATACGATAAAGCCTCAGTGCCACGCCTATGGACTACAAGCTCTCGTGGGACAATGAAAGAGATCATTCACACAGGCGATGGCGAGGATGAAGTCTGGAAATATACCAGAAGCGATGTAAAAAGAATTATCGCTGTAGGCTGGAAAGTTCCCGACGATGATGATTCTGGAATGGATGCTCTTGCATTGATCAAACCAGAGAGAGGTGCAACATACCCTCAGACAAAAGCCCTGGTTCTATGGAAAGACGGACAGAATACACTGGAAGGTCGCTCTTTTATACGGCGTATCGCCAACGGGCCGGGTTTCCGAGGTGATGAAATGATATACCAGAAGGCAAAAGAGCTGGAGACTGCTTACGAAGAACGAAACGGGCCGCTTCAAGGTGCCGTTGATTCACAAGAGACCGAAAGCGAAGACTCTGGAAGTGATAGGGATCCCAACTTCTCAGATCACGAGGTTTCATCTAAAGCTCGAAAAAATAAATCCCGAAGTCGGAATAGAAATGAAAAGCCTCGGACACGTCGTGGGTCAGCCAAAAAAGACGAGATCCAAAGGCTTGAGCGAGAGCTTGAAAGATTGAAAGCTGGAGGGCGAACCTCGCATTCTAAGAGAAGGTGAACATAAAGACTCCCTTTCCTATCCCTCTTTCGTAGGTAGTGTTTTTGGTTTTACTGATTGCTTTTATGAGAGATTCTGTACTTGTTAGAGGAGCATGATTGAATCTTTGCTTAGTTTTCGTCTCTGTTTTCAATAAACAGGGTATAAAAAGGGGACAACACAAACGAAATAGAGAGAAAAAAAAGTCAAAATCAAAATCAAAAGAGAGTCTTTTCCCAGACTCCTAAATTCGGTCTTATTTTCTTCAAAATGGTACAGTGGCGACCGCTCTCGCCTTCCATGTCGGAAACAGAGAGAGGCTGTTTCAAACCCTAATCATGTGATACGCTAATCCAAATATGAGTAGTGTGCAATTAATCTGTTTTGTCACTGCCCATGTAATGAATACCAGAGTATCAAATGCCAGTATGGGGGATACAGGAATTTATTTAGAACTTCCCGCCTGGAAGATTCTATGCAAATCATGCAAACACCGTAGCCTTCGAATTGGCAGCCTGTCAACAATCCTGTCACGCATTCTGCAGTTCCGTCACTGCAGAGAGCCTGGTGCTTGTCTGAGCGTCTGTTCGGTATCGGGTTGGTGGGCAAGCCTTGAGAGTAAGGCTTATTCGTAATCTTTTGGATTTTGGATTTTGGATTTGAGAAGCTGTGGCTTAAGCATTGGTTTATACAGCGGCGCCCGACAACGCCTTCGCTGTCAGGAACACAGGAGAGACTCTTTCAAACCCTAGTCACACGATGCAGAGAAAAGAACATGTCTTGTAGCTACGCGTATCAATACCAGCGCCTGTTTTCTAGATCATAAGGCGATTACAGGAACCTAATACAGTAGGAAGTCAAGTTTTTAGGCTGCAAGTACATATCCATCCATACTTTCCCGTACCTTCGTAGCCGGTAAAGGCCAAAGAACAAACAGATAACTAAATCAAATTGTCAGCTAGTTGATAACGCAGTACATCAGACCCGGTTGCGCCTTGCGTTGGTTCCTCATTCAAAAATATTTCCCGCGTTTAATTCCAAAGCCTTGACAACGAAGCAAGCTTGGAAGTAATGGTGAATAGAATAACACCTTCACTATTGCTGTTAGTAACTTTTCGCCCACGCTGCTCCATTCATCATGAAACACCACTTGCTTACAACGCTGATCATACCTCATCATCAACTACAGGATGACGCAGTCCCCCGAATACTGGCCCCCGACTCCAGGAACTCCGTTCACATTGCCAGCGTAACCAGTATAGGTGTTCCCCTTCGAGTCACGATATCCCATGCCAGCTTGCCCTGCAAGAGGTCGAGCCATTGGGAAATACCCACTGTTTCCCAGGTTGGGTGTATTTTTCTGCTGGGCTGACGCCAGCAGCTCTTGAATCCTGGGATCAGGTTTGATATTGTCAAGTTTATCTCCGGGCATCTACCTACCCGCATAAATTCATATAGCAAATTATATAGAAGGAACCAGTGCCGGGTCTGTAGTAGGGATCTTGTGAGGTACATACATTAGATATATCTAATGGTAGGTCTGGTACGTTTAGACCTGTAAAAGTACAAGTATAGATACCATCTTTAATACTTTACCCGTTCCTGGTCATACAATTCACCCTGGGAACAGATACCGAAATTAATTGCTAACCGTATATAGATTAGTGTGCCATGTGATTAGGGTTTGAAAAAGCTTGTAGACGTTATTCGACATGGAAGGCGAAAGCGGTCGGCACTATAGCAATTCCGACACTTTTGGGGGATTAGACGATCTCGTAGTCTAGATAGTCCTCCTTCTCTGTGTCTCTCTCTTGTTTCTTTTTTTTCCCAGAGTCGTCTTCCAACTAAGAAGGCTAGAATTTACTCATTCGCAGAGATTTTTACTTCTTTACTATAGATTGACATGATTTTATTAGTTCTTTTGTCAAGTAGACCTTCTATCTTCATGAAGAACCAACATAAACTAGAAGCCCCAAGCGGATATAGAATTACCCACTCCGGGAGCAACACCCAAGCCCTTTTCGATAGTTTCTCAAAGACCTACTCGCAGTTCTTCGGTAAGGTGAAGATCACTAGATCACCAAAATAGAGATCCTAGATCTCAAAACATAAACACATCGCCAGAACTGGGCATAAAATATACTCTGAAGGGGACTACTCAAGAAGAGAGAGAAGTTAAAAGCCATGGATTGAGTGAGTAAGAAGGAAAAGAGAAAAAGAGAGTAAAATCTAGAATTGTGTATGAGAGGCAGAAGCTCCGAAGGCTACTGGCTGAGAAAAAGAAAAGAAGAAAACTGCTACAGTAGTAGTAGTAGTAGTAAGTAGTAGTAGTAGTAGTAGTAGTAGTAGTAGTAGTAGTAGTAGTAGTAATAGAATTCAATTACACTGACCCCTCGCAAAGCGATATGTAGTGTACGACAACCATATATCTTGGTATGTACTTTTGGGATGATCCACTTTCTGACAGGAACTTAGAGCCTCGTCACGGCCTGCCCTGACCTATTGCCGTTCCCATTGCTAGGCTGCCTTTATGGTGCGGCTGTTGTGAAATTTCAAGTGAGACGGATAGCTACTGTCCGCATTGGGCTGCATTTCTGATAGGAACCGTGTGAATGCATGTAATGCTGATTTTAAGAATCTGGCTTAAGAATGTGTTGCCGAAGTTGGTTTGTTGCGGGCTCGATTAGCCGGATGATTCCTGGTTTTCCTGTCGTCCTTGAAGGGTGGTGATTTATTGTGAAAACGACGATGAAGATCTTCGATTGTGAGTGTGAATTTGAGGGGAGGTGCGGGTTGGTTAGTTTTAGGAATTAGTTATAGTAAACATGTGGGTGAATGTTGAATGACCGAGGCGTAAGTCGGTTTTGGAGTTGAGGTGGAGAAGTAGCAGTCTGTGCCAATTGGAGAGGGTGAGAGCCGGCTTGCCGCGACGGTAGCGGTTGAGGTAGCGGGATTGGTGGGGGCTTGGGAAGAGTAGTAGGACCGGCCACTGGAGATCTCTTGTACTGTATGGTGAGATTCGGAATGGTTGCCTTCGAGGGGTTGGAGGGAAGGTGGCGGTGCGTAGGTGTTGATTTGGCTGAAGTAATCGTTGCCAGGGACACTGGGTCTGTGTTTTCAAAATGTAATTTTAGATCGAAATGATCTGCCACATGCAATACTATGTGTGAAGCTGCGGTAGTTCTTCGATGGGGGTTCGCAAGAATGTGGTTAAAGGGGTTGTTGTTCCACAGGCAAAGCAGCATGCAGCTCAGTTGTTCGGCCCTAGTGGCTTGTAAAATAGGCCATTCTGTCGCTAAGGAGCTTTTCATGAAATGACACAGCCCTGGCGGCGATGGTGCTGTGAGTGGTCGAGATATGGTTGTAAGGCTGATCGGCGTGATACGGGACGGTCTGTGCGCGGTGGGGTAGGCGGGTTTGAGGGAAGAAGACGGGGGACGAAAGACAGGGACAGATCTCCTGCCCTTTTTACCCTGTTTCAAGACGGAATTGTCCATTCGTCGTCCGTGCTGGGGCTATACAGTGGTCCCAGATCCGTTGATGCCAGCTGCTCAGCTGCTATATAGTGTTGCCTTCTAATGAATTGACTACTTTAAAGATTGGTATGTGATAATGCAATCGGTTGTGACAGTCACGTGCGTAGCATCAATTCAAATCCTCTCAATGAATCGACCAACCGGTAGCTAGGCTGGAGTTTTTTATAGGAGTTTGTACGGCCAGTACATTCTCCTGCGCGAAACTTGAGGTAGGCTTTGTTGGATCCTCGGCCCGAAAACACTTCCTGTAATGTTTCTCGGCCAAAATTTGAAGAGCTTCTTCCCTCGAGTCAGCCAACTCGACAGGATTGCCTCCCTCGGCAACAAAGAGATCTATCAAGGTACTAAGGACATTATTCTCCTCTCTGACGTTTTCCTGGTCGCCAGAAGCGAAAGCTGCCACTGGATTGATCTTGCCAATCCAAATCAAGATACAACACATGTCCAGATCAAGTCGTGACACAGCTGCACGCAAGGAATCCCGTTTCCAGCACGAAGATTTGGTATCGCGGTTGATGCTGGTTTGCAAAAGGAACGATCTGGCTGCCTCATAACGTGAGACCAGAGGACTCATGACGATTCGCACCAAGGGAACATCTCCTTGATCATCTCTTTCGTCAATACCTTCCTGGAAATGGGGGATCAAAATTCGGAACATGTCTGGGTTGCAGAGTCGTGTTGCCAGATGCAAAACATTTTCGCCAAGAGAATTCCGATGACGAAAATGCGGCTCAACAATTTTCTCCCTGAGCAGATATTCCACAATGTCAGCGTGATCTCCCAATATGGCATTTCCTATCAATCGATGCGTCGAGCCCTCGATAATCGGTTTCTCTCCTTTGACCTGTGTCTTGTGAAACAATTCCTTCCTGAGCTCTTCCTTATTCTTCGCGCTAGTCACCAAGCGATGGACAATCGGCATACAGCCTGCCCGAGCAGCCAGACACAAGAGCTCGTTACCCCACTGTTCCTCAGTCATTTTGTCCAACATTCTTTCGACGAGACCAAAAACAAGATCCCAGTCCTGCTGCTCTTTATGCCATGGCTTTGTGATAAACCGTGCTTTTGACCATCTCTTGATAACAAGTCGAAAAAGTTCAAACTTTTGTAAATGGGCACTGGTCTGAGAATGGAGGAACAGGATCTCAAGTCTGGACACGTTTGCCCACTGGAGAATCTGATCGGCAGCTTTGATGGCTGATTCTTGAAAGAAATCTTCACTTTCAAATCTGGACCTCTCAAGCATGTGACGCAGAATGGATTCCGAGCCATAAATTGAAGTTATGCTCAGTGGATCGTATAGACTGCTATCGAATTCAAACCTGGGCGATATTGTGCAACTTGGACGAGAATTCTGTTGAATCCAATTGCGAAGACGAGTAGATCCAGCTTGGCACAATTTTTCGATACTTGCGAGACTCGAAAGAGACTCAGCGGGTACACGACCAAAATGATCTACCCAATGGCATGAGGCGTAGACAAAGAATTCGCCAAATCCGCGATCGACCGGGTCAAATCGAGCCATATCATCTTCCCAGGTCTCCCATGTGCAATTAGAGTCATATTCAAGCGACGCTTTATCATCGCCGGAGGATCCAGAAAGCTGAGGCAGTTCCACAAATGCCGCTTGCTCTTCTGAGAACAAGTCAATCTCACCAATTTCATCCAAGAGTAGATACTTCACACAGATATCTAGCATCAATGAGTCTAGCTTCCTTGAAATATCTTGCTTTTGACCAGGCATTTTCGAGGCCGAGCCTTGCAGGTCGGGCTGTTCAAATACCCACTCTTTCACTGACTGATGTGTGAGTCGAACTTGAGGCTTCCGGATTTCATCGTACTTGGGGGAGGTAATGAAGGGATAGATAAGACTCATGACCCTTTGATGATCTACCTCCTTCTGAAGAGCTTCCACGGTCGTGATTTCCCGAGTTAGACTCAGTGCCACGGCCCAAGCCAGTTCTAATATACTCAAGGCTCTGCGGCTACTGGCGAGGATTTTCAGAGCCGTGATAGCAAGTTGCCAATTTTGATGATCTTCGCCAGTCGAACGCGAAAATATTGAGGTGTAGACATCCGAAAGTTTTTCAGGAATGGGCAGTTCATCCAAAAGCCGTTCAATAGAAGACTTCGTCGTGAGATGACGCATTTTGATGAGCTCGATTACCATTTTTGTCCATATGGCACTCCCTTGGGCCCGCTGAGAGAGGTTTTCTGTTATCAATGCTTTGACATCCGGAGATAGAAACGGCAACATTTCAAGCGTTTTCTCGACAATGAGAAGATCTCTCGCGGGGCTAGAATCTAACTCGATCTTGGCCGCGTGGGTTAGCTGTTCCATAATCTCTTGTTGGTGCCGAAAAGACACGAGAATCTTAAGCCCCAAAGTTGTTTCCAATACCCGCTTCAGAAATTTGAGAAGCCTGTTCCGGGAATCATAATCGCATTCATCCATGCCGTCAATGATGAAAATGACAGGCCGATCGATTGTTTTGAGCATGCTTTGCAGAAGACCTTCCATCGTGGCAGCGTTCAGTGCCGGGTCAAAATGAAACTCCTGAGCCTGCTTGTAGCGCTCATGAAATGGTTTCTGCAGACCCTCAAGCTGCATCAAAAGAGAATAGGTCAAGGCAGAAAGTACAGAGGTAGTCTTTCCTGTCTCGTGATCTCGACAGTAGTACTGACATAGAATAGGCTGGGGTAGACGGAATTTCCCCCTGTAGCTCAATCTTTCGGCAATGAAGGCCATTGCAACAGATTTACCGTGACCCATTCCCCCAAAAATCACTAACTGCTGAGAATCCAAAGCTTCATACCAGCTTCTGAATTTGGAATCTTCCAACAAGAATGCGCAGGCTTGGTCAGCTCGGATTAACTGCCATTCGCTGCATAGATGACTTTGCAGGGCGAAATTCTCATATTTGAGCCATTGAGCGACTAGAGTGGGTTAAAAGATATATCCAAAAGCATTTTAGATGAACTCACTATCTTTGGAATAAAGCATCGTTCGTATATCATCCAAAATCTCCAATGTCGCTTTTTGTATGACCATTTGGAGTTTGTCAGCGCTTGTCAGAAAATCCTGGACAATACTAGGGAGACGATCGTTTTCCAAGACCATTCTCATGACCATTTTTGTGCCTTTCCTAGTCAAGATTGTTAAGGCGGCATCGTAAAACTCTAGCACTTTTTGGTAAACAGAAACGAGAGCCTAAGAAGGATCATGTCTGTTAGTTTGTAGGATAGTAGAAGCGGAAGAGGCAGAAAGGGAAAAAAAAGGAAAAGGAACCCCCCCCCATATGAAGATTACCTTGTGAATGTCATTTCGGTCAACCCTTCGTCCCAACGTATCACACTCGTCAATGTAAGAGATTCGCTCCAACATATCTGCAATTTGTTTGGCAAAATCCAAATCAGCGTTCGCGAACGTAATAGCAATCTGCGTAAAACGGTCGAAAATTGTAAGTGATGCTCACCACAATGCATAGTAGTGACGGTCAGAGCGAGTCAACTAAACTTACCGCGGTCACGCTCCTGACTACACCAAAAACAACCGATGTAGTTGGCTCAAGGTTTGTCAGCGGGCTCGCCAAATCCAATGCTAGCTTGAAGTGGTCGAGGGGCGTTTTTAAGAAACGCAAACGCTGCACACCTCTCAAGAAGGCAGATTCGTTAGTAACATCCTGCTCGATCTCTTCGAGCCGTTTAAACAGCATTTCAGCATTCCTCCCAGTTGAAGCTGTGGATATCTCATCTCCGAGCCTTTCAACTGCTTCTCGATACGCCGCACTCCAAATGTCAGAAGACATATACTCACTACTTACGCTAGCGCAAATAGATAAGCCATCGACTGTAGCATGGCGTTCATGGCTCGAGAATGTGCGAGAGGCCGAAGATTCATCGCTGCCAGTGCCAGTGGACCCTCCAGATATTCCATTCCTTTCATTGAGTGTCAATAAATCATTTATTCTCGAATGAGAATTTGAGGCCGTACTAAATAGCAAATTAGCACCGTTTAAAATGTACGTTTGGCAACTCACTTTGTTCCAGGTGACGGTTCGGTTGGAGCACATTTAGAGGAATTTTGAGATTTGTTTCTCAGTCGATTGTAGCGACGACGAGTTCTTTGCCAAAGGCTTTCTTTTTCTGGTTGAGTAGACATCATTTCAATCCTAGATTTTCGAATCCAATAAATGTGAACAAATTACTGGTCCACAAGGGATTCCAGAGTAACAAGATTATGACCATGAGCTTAGTCAGCAACCCCGCTCCTGTCTTGGCATCGGTTACCCCTCACTTCATCCGAAACAAATCTTTATCTTCACTACCGAGTCACATGCGCTTCTTACTGTAGCAGTTCGGCTACCACTCCACGTCTTCTTTCTTTGTGCATTAAGAGTGCCTCAAAGTGAAAATCAGCCAGACCACAAGTGTTTCGCACGTACGTGGTGTTTATGATCGGTGAGCGGCGAAATAGAAGATTTAGCTGATGGTCAAACCTGACGGGTATCTCGGTGAGAATATCTTCTGGCTTCAGCCAACTATCACTTGGAATCCAGTCGCTAATTGCGTTACTCAACGGTAGTCAACGCAATGTCAGCTACGGAATCGGGAAAAGCGCCTCCACGATCATCATCTTCGACTGGTGCAAGCCTCCTCAGCTTGCCGATCAAGATTCGCCGTGATATATTCAAATTGGTACTCGCTTTACCTGACCCTATATATCTCTTTCAGGATCCTGGAAGCCAAGTGAGATCCTTCCTGCCTCGTAAGCCATACGCATGGCTCGCATTACTGTATACCAATCGACAACTATCTCACGAGGCAAGGGCCGTTTTGTACAACGTGAACTCTTTCACCCTTGAGGAAGTGGAATTGGCGAATTACCGGGGGAAACTTTTGGAATCCTTCTTAAAATCTATCGGACCCATCAATGCAGGCTCCCTGTCCAGCTTGCGCATTGCTTTTCCAGCAACAGAGGAAACAAATGGCCAAGCACCACAAATCAGAGAAGACAGCATGCAAGACCTGCTGCTCCTACAGAATCAGTGCACCCAACTAAGAGTTCTGGAAGCCCTCATTTACAGCAAGAGTGCCAGATACCTGATCACAGAGACCGAGGACAACATGAACTTTACTCGTGACACACTCTCCAAAGTCAACGTGGAGTTTAGAGGCATTCGTTCTTTGAACAAAATCATTTTAAGGGTTTGCAGTGGATCTTTGGCTTCATCGACGAGAGAGTTTCTAGAAGGCCTTGGATGGGTTGTTATAGTCGGCAATCTATAGATCCTCTTGACTCAACTGAGGGGTGAACTATGGGAGCTACTCTGCAGAGTGCGGTTGGTGGCGTTAGATGCAACTCATGTTCAAACTCCTCCAGTTTGTTGTCAAAGGTCAATCGGCATTGAGAAGTCGAACATGCCCTGCCATTCCCTATTTTGGATGAGACATGACAACTCTCGGACTGTGAATCCAAGACCGTTTAAAGTATTTCGCTGCGCTGCCCATGAGGACGGCCTACTGGCTCGGCTGTGCTTATTTGTGTCTTGTGGCGTGACCGCGATAGCCCACCAGTCCAAATTTGCTGACACGTCACGACGGTTTCGCATTCGCGTGTCACACGGGTAGCCTAACAAAGGGAATAGCAATCAAGCCACGAGAGGCCTTGACGAGGCTCTACATTCGTTTGTAGGAAGTGGATCGCTCTACATGTACGCAAGTAGATACATTTACTTCAGATAGCCTGCATATCGCTTCAATAGTTGGATTCTAAACCATAACCCACTAGGCTAAGTATGGATTCGTATTTTAGTCTAGTTGGGAAATCAACTTTAATGGCGAGGGATCAGAGTAAATGAAACATGCACCTACAAACAGACTGTCACGTAGCATAGAGGCAAGCATAATGCGTGCTTTCAATACGAAACGGCCTTGAAAACGGGGCTAAGCAAACACATTATATGGACTAAAAATTCGTCGTCATCAAAATAATCCGACTCCGAACCCGTCGACATCGCATGGTTCAGATCAGCGTGTTGAGGAGGGCTCAAGAAAGAAGGTCTGTGCGCAAGTGGTGAACCTGAAATCGATCCTCCCTGTACGCGCGATCAGCAACGTGTTTGAGATGGCTCACCAGCGATCAAGACCAGAAGATCCACAAACGACAGAGATAGTCCTCTGTGGTAGCAAATTGGCCTTGCAAGAAATAAAATCCGTGACAACCAGGTCAGGACAATGGATCGTTCACACAATCCACCAAGCCACCACAGATACCAAAACTGCTGGGATTGCGCTTCGCCTTCAACTGGTACCAGAATATTGCGACAATCCGGCAACGACTCTGTGGAACGAATAGCTAAACAAACCGCTAATCCAGGCAAATCTCACCCCTTCCGGCCGTTACTCATGAGAGAGAGAACGTTTACCCTTTGAAAGATTATCTCTCGGTGGGAACATTAATGGAGGATATGCGGTAAAGGCAGTCATTTAAAGAAGAAGATCGATAATACTGCACTAATGACCTATATAATACTAAAAAGCTATACAAAAGCCTACCTAAAGCCGGGCATATCTACTAACGTAACTATGCACAGACTATAATTAGCTATCTACCTACTGTGATACGATTGGCTATAGAAATGATGACCGCTATGATTACAGTGTGTAAGAAACAGTTACTTCTATACTCATAGACTGTTTAAGGTTAGTGAAGTTATAAAAAAATCTAAAGAGAGAAGTAGAAGACGTATTTAATAGTGTATTGAGTCTGGTAGGAGACTTTAAATAAAGTAAAAAAGGTACACCAAGTACCATTTCGTAAACTAAGACGATCTAAGCTATACTAGACTTTACTGAGGTGTTATAAAGTTTTCGTAGCTACACATCACGAGGCTACCTTAACAACAGGAATAGTAGTTAGGTTACGAGAGACCTTAGCGAGGCTCTAAGTTCGTTTTTAGGAAGTGGATTCTTTTATATATACGCATAGGTAGACAATATAAGCACTATGGAATCAGGGCCTATTCAGGAATGGTTAAGACTGATTCTTGGGGGAATCAGTCTGGACGGGGAAAGCCCCTTTTGTGCGGTCATCCGGGGTTGGGTCACCTGACCACCCCGTGACCGATCCTCGGAACTTGGAACTTCGTATGGTTCTGTCAACTGCCAAGTTCCCAGGTTATCCTTTACAGCCTGCTTGGCGAAAGAGGAAGAGTGCGATGGCAATCTGACAACGCAGACAAACGCACTGATCTGATATATGATAAAGGTCTGGAAATGTGTCTTTAGTACTTGCTAGCCTGGGGAGCCATGAACACGTTAGAAGTTATGTATATCAATTATGACACTGATTATGGTGACTGCGTTTGGTGCCTAGTTGCGATCTTATTCTGGGGCTAGCAATTCCTATATGTTATTACCACTATAGTATGTATGTGTGTGTGTGTGTGTGTGTGTGTGGGTGTGTGTGTTTTATTCACCCTGGCCCCTCTTAACAAGCGACATGCAGGCGACCATAACTATCTATATTCCTATATATACGTATATGTAGAGTGATCCACTTCCCGAAAACGAACTTAGACCCTCGTCAAAACCTCTCGTGGCCTAGTTGCCGTTTCTATTGTTAGGCTATCTTTGTGTCGCACGGCTGCGAAGCTATTGTGATGTCTCAGCGAAGTCTAGTACGGTCTAGACTGTCCTGTCTTACGAGACGGTGTCTGGTTTATTTTTCTTACCTTGTTTTGAGCTTTATAGTAGACTCGATACGTTATTGAACGTATCTCTAATTCTCTCTTCAGATTTCTCCGTAATTCCACTAGCCTTGGATAGTCTATAAGTACATAAGTAACTGTTTCTTACGTATTATAATTATAGCGGTTATCGTCGCTATAGCTCATCTTCTTTTGGTAAGTGGATAGCTAATTGTGGCCCGTGCGTAGCTACATTAGTAGATATGTCTGGTTTCTAGGTAGTTTTTCGTATAGTTTTCTGGTATATGTCGTTAATAGAGTATTGTTGATCTTCCGTATATATTCGTTCTTATTGGATGTCCTCTATTTATGTTCTTATTAGGAGGAGATTTTTTTTACGGATAAACGCGCTTTTTCTTAAAATAGGCGGAAGGGTTGATATCTGTTTAAGCTAGCAGTAAGTTTCGCTTTTCGTTCTATAGCGTTGTTTCCGGGATTTTTATACTGTCTTAGCACTCAATAAAGGTGTAATGCGGTTCCTGCGGTTTGGACCTCGGTGGCCGCTTGGTGGATTATCTGAACGATCCGTTAGCTTGACTTATTCTTTACTCTTCTGATTGTTTGTAAGACTGATTGGTTGTCATAGAGGATTGTTGTAATTATTTGTCGGTCTTTCGGTCTTGATCGCTAGTGAGCTATCTTAAATATAAGGTTGATCGCGCGGAAGATGCCTATTAGCTCTGCTATATGCATCGATTAGCGGTCTATCGGTCTAATCTGAACTTGTTGGGATATAAATATGTGTCTATCGTCGTTTAATATTTCTACCGCAGCCTTTAAATAGTGTTTTCGTTCTGAGATGTTTGAGTAAATAACGATGTTTAATATTGAGTGGATAGACTCAGTCTACTTTTTTACTACTTCTCAGTCTAAATTCAGTTTGATTTCTATGAAGAGATCGGGTCGCTATAGTAGTAGTAGTTATAGATTGATTATCTTTAGTTTATTAAGCCTCTCTGTATCCAGGGCTTTCAGTGTTTACGCTAGTGGGACGTGAGTGTGTAATCTAATATTATTTCTACGTTTTTAAGCTTGCTAAAGAGTATTCTAAATAGGGTATTGTAGTGTATAAAGATCTGTAATAGTGCGTTTGGCTCAGTGGCGAAGACGGAGGTAAGTGGGAAGGGTATACACTTTTACCTTTAGGGTTGTTATGACTATAGTTCTATATGCTGATAGAATGCGGACCAGTGAGGTTCTCTGCACTGTTTTGAGATATCGAGGGTGAGTCTTATCTCTTAGTGAATTACGCCATATAGTTGATGTATAATCTACGACTGGCATAATGTATACCTAACAGAGCTATTTTATCTATTCTAGCTGTAGATATTGTAATCTACCCAGAGCAATAGTGACTTAAGTTACACGCTTAATCGTTTATTATATATATTCTTCCCACTATACTTCCTAGTCGAAACTTATACCCAGTAACTTAGCTGTAGGGGAGGGTGAGACTGCCGTTCCGTTCACAAATATTTAACCTTGTAGATGTTTGGGTTTCTTTCCGGTCAGGTGGATAAGCTCGGTGTTCTAGGCTGCGAAGAAGAATCCAGTCCTCCGCGCTTATACCTCGATATAGGGGATACCTTCAAACTGAATCTTCGCCAAATTTTTCTCTGCTGAGCGGCCCACTCTCTAGCGAAAATAGTTATCGATAAATACCGACGCACTACTATAAAGTGTGATGAGTTAATCCACTAAGTCGGTGTTGAAGAAGATAAAGAGGATAGGGGAGAGAGAGGACCCTTATGCTAGTTTTGCGTTCTCCAGCAGTACTACTTCCGTGCAGTAGTTATTAAATCCTATGCTGGCGTACCGGTTGCTTATGAAGCTCGCTATCTATTTTCTGGCGCTGCCTAGGATTCCCCTGGCTCGCAGACATGTATTGAGACTTGCCTGTTGAACTCCGTTAAAGGCTCCTTTCAGGTCAAAGGAGACAAGAGTCACCACTTTATGTTTGTACCATACTCGGTCGGTTATGTTTAAAAGCACCAGCAAGGCCTGCTAGGTGTTTCCTCTTGGACATCTACCAAATTAAGTATCTGGTAGCAGTTCATGTTTTTCTGCGAAATATGAGAGTCCTCGGGCAACCACGGCTCCGAGAAGCTTTTCTAGCGTGTTGAGGAGTGAGATTGGACGGTAGGCTCCAGGGACCAAGTAATCTGGCTTCCCCTGTTTCCACAGCACCACGATTTTTGCGTTCCGCCATTTTGTTGGGTGGTACCCCAGACTCAGTGATGCGTTGAAAATCCTGATAATGTCATCTTTCAGGTGTTCCCATTAATGCTTCCTTACGAGCATCGGTAAATTGTCTTAGCCTGTTGCGGTGGTCCCTTTTGGGGTTTTGGGTGATCGTTCGATCTCTAGCTCGGTGAGAGGCTCCCACTGGAGCTCCAATGGTGCTGACGTTGTCGGGCTGGCATCGGGTGCATACACTTCATGGAAGAAAGAATGAACTCGAATACTTATCAATGTGATTAAGCAAAGTTGATTTGGCAATCCATTTTCAAAACCGTCCATCATACTGCTTGCTCTCATCGGACAGGCAGGAAAGACAAAAGCCAGATGCCACTATAATTTTTTTGGTAGCCGAGAAAACCACATCATGGTGTCAAAATCTCGAAACTGAATTAGATAGTACAAAGTATCTAAGATAGACATTTCCTCTCGAACACCATTTCCACCCTGAATTATTTCTCGTCTCGCAAAATGAATGAGTCATCCTCTTTTTCGATAGCTCCCCATCGTCGCTTTCGGCTAACACAGTTAGGACGGGGCTCGTCCAGTGAGTGTGTATCAAGTAAATGGCGCTGTAAATGTATGGTACCATTGTAACTTTTGAGGCCACAGCGGGGATGGGGACAATTAATCAGAGCTAGGTGTTCATGTGAGTTCAGATGTTCGTCGATGTGATTGAGAAGTGTGGGTTTGGACAGCCATTGCTTAAATCTTTCGTCACTACCTTTGCTGTCATCGCCAAGACAAAAAGGACAAAATCCAGGGAATATAAGAGTGCTCCGGTAAGTGAGCATTCCACATCTGAGACTCAAATTGTTGAGATGACTCTCGCAATGGCTTTTCCATTCCTCATGGTCGTATATCAACTCGGCGCACGGATAACAGAACTGAACATAACTGTGATTTACCCGACGGTGTGCGCGCTTGTTGTTTTTGTAAACCTGTTGATAAGGAGCAGCGTTATGCAACTTGCGTTGGCATTGAAGAATATGTTTGGCTCGTTGAGGAAAGCTTATACTTTTGTCAGGTAAGACAAGGGGCTTCATTATTAGGTATGTGGCACGGCACCTCGACATTGGTTGGGAACATAGTGGACACTGGCCATCCACAGGATGTAGCCCAGGATAGTATACCACGCGCTCAGTGGGCGTGCAGATGGCGATCAGATCCGCGAGACATTGTCTTCCGATATCGCTGTCAATTGGTGTATTTTCGAACAAGCTTTTGCTCAAACGATCACGCTCTGGGATATATTTTCGATAGATATCAAAAAGAGATGTGGTGTCTTGTTCTGAAAAATCATTGCCAGATGTGTATTCGTCATAGGATGATGACCACCATTCTTTAACCAGTTTGTCTTGGTAACTCCGTCGTAGTTTTGCTTTCCGTCCGTACAAAGTGGATCTTTCCTTGCAGAGATTCGGATGTTGGTCAGGTTTACCATCGATCTCTTGAGTCAAAGCTCGAATTCGTTCGTTCATTTTGATAACCGCAGGGTCTGCTTCGAATTCGATTCTTTGAGATGCGTTTAGGCGTAGCGGGGCATTTGAATCTCGATGATGCTCCATGCTTTGCTGCATGTCGCGGCCTTCGGTATTCGGCTCAAATCCACAAAATGCAGCTTGAATATCCACTGTCTTCAGTTGTGCTTGGTACTTCAAGAATGTGTTTGGATTTTGATGATCAAGCGCCTGGCCACGCGCTGCTTTTGATGCATTGGCTGCTTTGGTGTCAGCATATTGGCCTCTTAGTTATATGGCGAATGTGACGGACGGTCGAGTCTGTTAGCAACACCACCTCGAATTCCATGTACGCGCAACTTATCCCTGAAACCATCTCGTTCTGCCAAACTTGTAAAGTGATGCCTGAGAGAAGAGAATGTTAAGCCGTTGATAGGATCGGGTCCATTTTTTTTTACCATCCTGAAGAATGGTTGCCGTAAACACTGCTCTTTCCATTCGAGAGTGAATGAAGTTCTGTGTGTGGGTGGCCTCACTGCGAGAACATCATCGAGGCTTGCAAGGTTTTTGAACGCGCCATCTGCGACGCCATGGACAATAACCCAAAATACGAAGTTCAATCCAAGTACAGGATGCTCATTGAACCAGTTCATGGGTCTGGATAATTGAAGGTAAGCTAAGGCATGAAGCCCTGGAGCCCTGGAGTGGGCCTAGGATGACTAACAGTTTCGCATCATCGCGGTAGCGCCAGCCTTTCAAAAACTCCGAATCGACAGATACCCAGCGAATCAAAATTTTCCTATCATCGCTCCATTTCATGTGGAGCTTGATATGCTGATAATATCAGATGAGATACACGAAGCGAATAATTGCGGATTTCAACGAACCTTATAGTAGAGACACTCATTTGTACCTCGATATGAGCTTGACTCCACAATCGCACCGACTCTAGCTCCAGATCCCGCGAAAAGCGACAGTGCACTTGCTGTCTGAACACGCATCCGCTCGTGTAGATAATCGTGCCAGTCATCAACAAATAGTCGTTGGAGTAGATACTGAATATCTTTATGGTTGACATGGAATGCATCACGAGGCTTTGTAGGTAGGTTATATTTGCGTGTAAGTGTGGTTTTAATGAACTGGTTTCAGTTCCAGTTAGAGAATTCTGACGTTTAGGGAAAGGAGTACCATACGTTGCGGACATCGGCTTTCACTTGAGCGGGAATTTCTTGAAAGGTCTCGCGATGCCATTTTGCCACAAAGTTTGAAAAGATATTGACTGTTGAACTTTGGGAAGGAAGATCTTTTCTCGACGCTACAAAGCTTTCAACAAAGTTCTTCAACTCCTGTGGTGTTGGAAGGGGCGTGTCTTTGGAAAGTTTAGCCCCACTTGCCTCGCCACGGGAAAGCTTGAATCTTAGAATTGTAAGTAGATATTGAGATATCCAGGAATTTGCTCTAATCATTGACTCACAAAGTCCAATAAAGTGCAGCGGCTTCGTGTTTGGCGTATGTAATTGGTGCTAGGGGTTTGTGGCAGACAACATTCTCTTCTTTTTCAAATCTATCCTGATACTCCTTAGTAAAGCCACGAGATTGCGTACGTCGTTGATATTCCTCGAGACGACGGCTGGTCTCCTTATCCAATTCCATGGTGTGGGTGTGAAGTAAAATCGAGTTTGGAAAATAAGATGGGAGATGAGAAAATGGCCGTAGGTCGTGCTTTTATGTGGTGATTGGCAGTGCCAAGCCCCTAGCTCACCCTGCTCACCTTCTCACCCGTCATTTAGCTCACCTCTACCACCCTCAACACCCAAATCACCCGTACTCACCCTATTGAGCTAGCACTTGCTGCTTTTAGCCATTAAGGCTTCTTTTCTATCGGTCGCGCTCTACGATGTGGCTTAAGTACGGCTGAGCGGACGGGAAGCCCTGTTTTCCACACCCTGTGGTCGTATGTGACAGGAGAAACAGAGCATCAGTATAGATAGAGACCAAATATGTGAAGCATCCATGGATACCAGGCTGGTTCAATGGTCAAGTGACATCCAGGGTCATTGATACCTGAATTCCAAGGCCACAATAATTGCTGACCTTTGGCCCCACCCGGGGGCATCACTCCGATGATCCCCGCTATCGCTGTCCTCTGAATTCATTTTTGCGCGCATCGCTCTCATGTGTTTGTTGCGGTGATCCAGTACCTGCCTCGGGAGTATGAACCATAGTCCTCCTAATACCCACCCAGTGCTGGGCTCCACCGGCGCCTCCCATTCCGCATTGAGAGGGTCGGTTGGCGGAGGTCGCCAGATTACCCGAAATCGTGCGAGCTATAGCTGCCACACCTGCCGGCGCCGGAAGGTCAAATGTGATAAGGTAGTGGGACACGACTAGATCCGTCACATAGCGTTATGAGCTAATATTCTGCTTTTAGACACATCCGATATGCGGGAATTGCGCGAAGAATAACTCCGAGTGCATATACGATGTTTCGCTGCAGAAGGACGAAGATGCGCGCGACGATAATGCTCAGCCAGCGCATGGCACCAAGAGAAGGCGCAAGACTCCCCGGTCGCTGGAAGACGATGTGGACGAACTGCACTCAATATACGGACACCTGAAGCAGACGGAATTTGACACAGGGGAGAAGCCCGATTCAAGCGCCATTGAATCGCGGCTGCATAAACTTATGTCAATGATCGAGCGTCTCGGAGAGAAAGACCAGGCAGTCGACGCTGTGGGGACGCAAGAGACCAACTCGGAGATCAAAGTGGAGCCCCGGCAGTTGGACGAGCTACGGCAAAATAGTCATCTCAATGGAAGTGGAGCTGTACAGAGAGCCCCAAGCCCACGCCGACTCGCTACGGATTCAAGCGGCGATGAATTCCCAATCCCGTCTGGGCAAGCTACCGATTTGGTCGATCCAGTTGGCAGTCTGAATATTGGTCATTTAAGCTTAGAGGATGGAGGAAGGTCACGGTCAGTGGGAGCCTGTTTTCAAATACTTCAACTACTCACCTTCCAATAGCTATGTTGGAACCACCTATTGGGCTTATATATCTGACGAGGCAAGTCCACCAAATCATGTTCAACTATTTATAGCAACGACTGACTTATCTGCCAGATCAATGAGCTAAACCAATTGCTCCGCGATCAAACCCACTCGCATGATCAGCCAGGCCCCAGCAAAACCGAAGACGAATCAATGGATCCATTGGCCAACGGCGCACATCCATGGAGAGAATCATTGAGCAGCCCGACACCCTCAACCACATCCCGATCACGCTCCTTCCATCAATCGATAGTTTTTCCATCTGGCGATTCACCCGCGTCAAATGAGAAGGAAGTCGAGCCTGAAATGCTCGATCATATTCCCACAAGGCGCCAGAGTCATATCCTTTACAAGGGATTCATGTCCGGCGTACATGCCATTAGCCCTGTCCTCCACCCACCCACCATTCTCAAGCTTTATAACTCCTTTTGGGATTGGTTTGACTACAGCAGCTACTCCGGCGAACCTTACCCCAACCCTTCCTTTATCCCATTACTATACGCCATCTGGTATGGTGGCTCAGTCACCGTTTCGATTCGGACTATCAAAGCCGAATTCAATGCCTCCTCACGATCCGCCTTATCTACCACATACAGTGAAGAAGTCACAAGGTGGTTGACCAAAATCAAGTTCCCGCGCATTCCTACACTTCAAGGGCTTGCTGCGTATCTTATTGTACAAACGATTGTGTCCAAAGAGGAAGAACCCCTGGCGAGCAGTCTTTTCGTGAGTCTGGCGATGAGAGTGGCTCAAACGATGGGCTTGCATCGAGACCCGGCAAAATTCGGCATCGAGCCTTGCGAAGCAGAGTATAGACGCAGGCTGTGGTGGCATATCAAGCACATGGATGGAGTGATCGCCATGTCTAGTGGCTTGCCTCCCATGGTTCCCGACGAGACCTATTCGGATGTGCATGAGACCAGTGAAATCAAAGATACATTACTGGGCAGCCATGCGGCAAAGTTATATGAGCAGCAGGTGGCATCTGGAAGTCGATTACCCGACAATCCAGATGATCCAAATGTTTGCGGGGGGCCATCCATGGTCAATGTCTATTACTTAACCGCCAAAGGAAAATATGTCATGGCCTGTAAGTGAACTGCATCATTTTCCAATCATGGTACTAATCCCGAACAGGCGCTGTTCGTCGTATCTTGAAAATACAACTGGGCACCAAGCCCCTCACTCGACAAGATATGGAAGAGCTTCGGTCCATTCTCTTGGATCTGCAATTGAAACTTAATTCAATTATAGACAGGATACCGGAGAGCAAAGACGTTGCCCAATCTTCCTCTGCATCCGGGCGAGCTATGTCAATGTCAAAGTCGCCAGTGGATGGCCGTTCATCCGACACAGAGCTTCCCGGAGATGGTCCGACTGGGTGTTCAGAGCAATACCATTCGCCCGTCCTTGTTTGCTTCCACAAATGGGCCAAAATACTTCTATCTTTGTATATTGACAAAGTGAGGCCCCCGGAAATATCACAGCAATCACCCTGCTAACGTCCCGTAGGCATTCTGTGTTGCCTATCAACCATTTCTCAAAAATGCTCGCAGCCGAATTTGGCCTGCGGCACGACAAAGGTTTGTTGGCAGGGCTTCGGTAGATACTTTACAAGATCTAACTTTCTTAGTGCACTTCGTCATTGTCATGGGTTTATGAAAAAGTTCATCCAGCTTGCGACGGATCCTGACTTCCAACCCTTCCACTGGAGTTGGCCTGGGTAAGCTCAATCAGGATATGCCTCATAGTGGCCAACCTTAAGTTGACAAATTATACAGCAATCATCAGCCGATGCATGCTACGATGTAAGGACTAATCACCAGAGCTCCGATCGTCTATTGTTACTGACCGTTCACACAGGATCATGCTTGTTGATTTATACGAGCGACCTTATAGTTCTGAGGCATCCAAGTCTCGTGCATTGATTGATCGAATTCTTGCTCTCTCCGGTCCCGACGGAGGTGTCGTGGGTGGTGAAGATGGCATCTCTACACAACGTCCGCTGAAAGACGGTGGCCGTGAGGCATGGGACATGATCCGTCGCCTTCGCCAAAAAGCTTGGCAGAAAGCTGGCCTCGATCCTCGCATGCTCTGGACTGAAAAGGATCAAATTCACGCCGGGGTTGCTTCCTTAGCTAACCCCTGCACCGACGACAGCCCTCGCTCGGATCCTGCAGCCGCTAGTGCCCGAAGTCCCTTGCCTCATCACCAGCCTAATGACTTCAATAAAAGATTCTACAACATCACACGCTCCCACAAATTCATGGATCCCGCCACTCCGCCTCTTGCGAACAGTCCCCTCCAACAACAATATCAAGCTCATGACCGGCACGCACTACCGACTCTACCAAGCCTACAATTCGACCCTTCATCCTCCAATGAACCTATCCGTGCTGTGAATTTGCAAGCATCGGCTCCCGTTTCTAGCACACTCGGAGTGCAATCGTTCGCACAGCCTTCCGTTCCCCTCTTTCCACCAAATGCGAACCCCATTTCAGGTCTGGATGTACCTTCCGGCCTACCATTCATGAGCCCCTCTTCACCCAATACACTAGCCATGGGTGCCCCAACACCGCCCAGCATGGTCGATCCTAATCTCAACTTCGATTGGGATCAATGGGACGCTGTATTTGGACAGCATCTCCCTGTCTCGGACGATCTTATGGAACTGGACCCTGTTGCTGGTCTTGATTTCGCGAACATCGCCGCCGCCCCGGTCCACAACATGGCTGGCGGGGCGGACATGAGTGGTGTTTATGCAGATCCTCGTCCAGATTTCTCTCCGAGTGATGCGCAGCTTGCGCATAGTACGGCTGACTGGCCTGCGAACTACCGATAACCCTTACTAATAGAAAAGCAGCATGCCAACTTGTATATATTCATGGATCGCTTCCATGCTTCAAGGTCCAATTCGGTCCAATCTAAACACCTCCCAGGCTATACCGATCATCTAATCTGAGCCCGCACGAGCAAATCTGATAGTACATATCTTGCGTAGCTTAAGCATTGACATCCTGCGCATACTAATGATTGTCCTTTGCCAGATACGTGTGTTCCTTAGACGGCGCCGGAATGTCGGAATGTCGGAATTCGAAAACTGAAAGAGCTGTATTCCACTCCCGATTTCGGTAGTTTGATGTGCTCTGTGGCATTTGATTCGGAAATAAAGAATAAGGCCGTGTTCGGTGTGCGACGGAGTGGAGCCCGGGGATTGCACTTAAGCTTAACCCCGACAATATCCGCAACGTCACTACGTTACACCTGGGCATGTGTGCCCTTCCGATGGTGCACTTGAATTCTTAACAACCTCTTCCCCCCTTGCAATTGTGTTTTCTATTTCATTCGATATTTTCGTCGCCATGGGAGGCTTTCTTTACTCGCAGTTTTTTGTCACCCCCAAATACCCCGGCCAGTCATTTGCAGGCCAGACCGTGCTAGTCACCGGCGCCAATGCTGGTCTGGGCCTTGAAGCTGCACGCCACATCACGCGGCTAGGAGCTGCAAGAGTGATCCTGGGCGTTCGAAATGTGGTGGCAGGCGAGGCAGCTAAAGAAGACATTGAGAAATCCACAGGACGCTCAGGTGTCTGCGAGGTGTGGAAGGTGGATCTGGCATCATACGAATCAACCCTTGCATTCGGCGATCGCATTGCCACTCTCCCCAAACTCGACAACGCTATCCTCAACGCAGCAATCTCCACCCCAGAGTTCAGCACCGCCGAGGGATATGAGCAAACCATCACGATCAATGTGATCAACAGTCTTCTTCTCGGCCTCCTACTCCTCCCCACGCTCAAAGCGACTCGACAAACGGACCCGTCCCGCACACCGCGCCTTACATTTATCGTCAGCGAAGTTCACGCCTGGGTCAATTTCCCAGAATGGATAGAGGACTATCCCCTTCAGGTAGTCAGTGATCCATCGAAGGCTAGAATGAATGAAAGATACCCACTTTCGAAACTGCTCGAGGTACTGCTGGTACAGGAGCTAGCAAGTCGGGTGCGTGGGTCCGAAGTGATCATCAACATGGTCAACCCTGGTCTATGTCACTCCCAGTTGACGAGGAATCACGAGTCATGGACCTTCGCGTTCATCAAGATGGTCCTGGCTCGAACCACCGAAGTCGGATCCAGAACCTTGGTTGCTGGAATTGCGGCCGGTCTGGAAAGTCACGGCGCGTACATGACCAACGGAGATGTGGATAATACCATGCTGTCACCATTCGTACGAAGTGACGAGGGGCGCCAGGCTCGTGAAAAGGTCTGGGGGGAGTTGTCGTCGATCCTGGAGGGGGTTCGTCCGGGGGTTATGCAGGGTCTATAACTGGTGAATCTGCAGTATGGCTGCGCCGAGCCTATTAATGAAGCCCAATTTTCGGTCGTGTACTCCGTATTTGATACTTCGCCTGTTATTTCGACTTCTCACTTGCATACGTGGGCTGACTGCAGCTGAACCTGGTCTTCCTACCTAGTCATCACCTGTAGACAGGGGGTACATTTCCCAGTTTGGAATTGTCAGCCGCCGCTTTTGCAGTTGTCTCAAGGTCACTACAATCTGCTGCTCTGTGGAGTGGCTTCGGTGCTGGTTCGAAGATCTTCAAACAGCGAACATTTAGAGCCATAAAACACCGTGGTCGAATTGGCTACAAAGTCCCAATAAGTCAATCCCACTACTCTCTGGCCATGGCTTTGAATGAACTATTGGTTGCTCATATCCGAGCTATGATGTTATGTAGCTAGCTGGACTCAAGCGATTTGGTTTCACTCGAATTTAAACTATCAGGTAGCTTCCAAGGTTTCACTCTTCCGGGTGATACATCGATCCATTAGAAAATGGAGCCGCGTTCCATCGAACTCGACGCAGGTGTCTATTGGGGTCCTTGACATGACTTCTTGCATGCAGCCAACGACGATTATCGAGCAGGATAATCGACCTTTCAGGCAGATCTTCAGTTCCGAGACGCAGAACTGCGTTCGGCAAAAGCTCCACTTCTCTTATAGCACATTTGAGCTCTTTCAGTGCCGAGAATGCCTGGGTTGTGACAGGTGTTATGATATCCTCCCTGTACCGCATCATGGTGGAACGATCTCGCGCATTGATACCTAGGATGCTGCTCAGTATGCTGACTGTCGCTGGGTCTTTGGAAAATTCGGAGGGTATTTTGAATTCGAATTCCGGCTTTAACAAGTTCGCGTATGCGTCAGCAGAAATCAAGGAACGAATCCGGTCTACTTTGAGAGCTGATAGAATACCGCCGCCGCAGAAATCTGGTTGGAGCACTTGAAGCGCGAAGAACTGTGGAGACGCAAGCTCATAGCTGCAGTCGGTATGCCAAGGGAACTCATCCATAGTCTCGGATCTCGCGCGATAATTTTGGCCTAGGGATTCCTTTGTGGGCCGAACATCCCAGAACCATCCCCGATTTGCACTGTGAGTAATGGGAGGTCCGTGGCCGTGATGTGTACCGAGACTCAAGACAAGTCTTTCAAGGTATTTGCTTCTATTATCGGGAAATCCCAAGGTGATTTTGAGGACTCCCTCAGTCTGTAGATGACGATTAACCTCATTTGTATGATGCGGCTCGTGGGAGTCGAGGATATTCCGGGCCCTTATATGGGGCACAGCTGGAACTAGCAGTTTGGTGCCTTGAAGTGCTCTGTGGCTACTTGTCGAGTGCCGATAAGTAGACCGAGGATATTGGCAAGCAACCACAGCACGTCTAGAAGACTGCATCGCGAGGATTCGATTATTTCACCTTTTTCAGTAGGATCTTTGAGTGTTATTCAGGGCCAAGCTAACAGGAAGTCTATACACCAGCCCTCTAAGGTAGATATAGCTTGAGGTAGGCTTTGTCCTGGGCTTCCAAGGTTCAATTTGTGCAATACCTATGCCCATGGATGTAGACATAGTCTACAATTGTGAATGTATGGGCTCTTTGCTACCTAGGTATAGAACGATACAAATTTCATTGATTATGACCATTATGTTCATGATTTACCCCAGTCTACCTAGGTAGCCATGATAAATGTAAAATAACATGCTCTTAGGTAGTTCTTCACTTTGAATTGAAATACGAAAACATGTATGATTTATAAGAAAAACAAACTGCCATCGGCGGCTAGCTGAAATATATCAAATGACAATGTTGAACATGTGATGTGGCGAAAAACACAGTTTTAAAAAGAAATCTGCCAAAATTATCAGAATCATAAATATTCAAGCTGAGCTGTGAAGTAGATCATGGCTTAGGAAATATTAGAATCTTCGTACTCCGTGGGCATGGTCTGCTTAAAGCGGCAAGGAATGGTACCCAAAGCAGCAATCACCACTCGTTTGTCAAACACTTGATTTCCGCTGGCATCTAATTTCACTCAAATACCACCCCCTCGTGAGAATTCAGGTATGGGAATTTGCTTTTTATGACCATCTCATAGGTCACTACAGCATACTCTGCACATTTCACAAAATTATATCCTGTCCCCGGCCAAAATTCCCCTCCTCGCTCGGGTGGTCAGCCAGCCTTTTTCAGAATGCAGCCACCTCTCACGAAGCCAATACCCCGGCAATTTGACACGAGGTGATGGTGATGTACATGCAAAAGATCGCAGAAACTCCAAACACTATGGATCTGATTTGCTCAGCACAAGTCCGTGGCGTCAATAAAGGGGGCCTATTGATCGTCCATTTTGCTCAACAAAGAATGGCCTCACGCCAAGAGGCCAGTTCACAATAACTGTCATACTCTACATGACTGTGCGGAGTATGTACTGAGTACGAAGTAACATGGCACACATTTAAACCGAAGACCTCCAATGCTGCAGCTATTTTCACTCAGCATCTAAGTACTACGTGTTTCCAACTAGTCTTCTTGATCATGGCGCCTGTTCTTTTAGAACCAGAGTCTCTCGAGCCTCAAGTTGCTCTTCTACCAACAAAGTCCTCCAGAAGCGAGGCTTCCACCGTCTCTGTCAATCTCCCATTGACTGACCGACCTTGGCGCCTCCTGTGCCTCTTCGATGCCCTGGACCCTACGCCCTCCGCCGCTGCCGAGTTGCCGGTCATTCACATTCAGCGAATACTACAGCTAGCTTGGGTGGTAACGACCAGAGCTTTCGCCTACTCGACGACATTCTACATTGGAGAGGAATACTCGAAGGGTGTGTGCTATGTCACCGAGGGGGCTCACATTCCAGGCCAAGCGGTCCAGATTCACCTCGATCCGCATGACAGCGTGAGGGATATGTTCAACCAGAGCATCGTGTCGCTTGAGACATTGAAGCATGCTCCGTTGTCGATGAACGGCAATTCCAGCAGCGATGGGATAGGCTCCAAGTTCGACGTTGCCATTGTGTACGAGAGAGAGCAATCGAAGCCAATATTGCCGGATCACATCTCCTGCAAGAGGCAATGCCAAACATGCTGCCTCGCACCTACGAATGGGACGATGGATGTAGAAACTGCTTCTACTGGCCTGCGTCTGTTGGTTCAGCACACCTCCGACGACAAACTTTATGCCCGCTTGGAAATTGGAAATTCCGGAATAGATCTGCCACTGGCTACCAGCCTTCTGAATAGCTTCAATAAGGCACTGCAATCCCTTCATGGATCAGCGACCCAGACGATTGGTAGTCTGGATTTGTGCTCGGCGGAGGACCGGGCCCAAATTGCTCATTTTACAGGAAACCTAGCCTCTCCCCAGCATTCGCTTCTACATGAGCTTTGCTTGCAGCATGTCAAAACCACTCCAGATGCCCCGGCTGTTTGCTCCTGGGATGGAGATCTCACATATCGGCAACTGGAGGCATGGTCTTCCCGGTTAGCTCATTGGCTTGTTGGGCAGGGTGTTGGTCCCAACGTTTTCGTTGCGTGTGCATTCTACAAATCTACATGGGCCATTGTTGCTCGTCTCGCTGTCCTCATGGCTGGAGGTGCATACATCTGCGTCGACGGAACCGATCCACCTCCGTATCTCGCTTCCGTTCTTGAACGTACTCAGATTCGAACAATGCTTGTCTCGGCTGGCTACAAAGAAAAGTTTTCTGGTCGTGTTGAGACATTGTTTGAAGTAAGCGAAGCCTCTCTCCTGGATCTACCAGTGATAGACTCGATCCCTTGCTCTACAGTCACGCCGACCGACCCGTGTGTCGTCCTTTTCACGTCTGGTAGTACAGGCAACCCGAAGGGAATCGTCCAAGAACATCGCAGCTATGCATCTGCATTGACCGACTATATCCGAGTGATGGAAATGGGACCCCACAGTCGTATGTTCTCATTTGACGCCTACGCCTTCGACATCAGCAACAATGACTTCTTGGGTCCTCTGATGGCTGGTGGCTGTTGCTGCGTCCCCACAGTTTCGCTCACGATGGATGCGCTCATGGACGATCTGAACAACCTGGAAGCGAACATTATGTTTGTAACCCCTTCTGTGGCCATCGATCTAGAGCCCAGCCGTATTCCTTCTCTGAAAATGATGTGTATCGGAGGCGAGCCGGTATCAGATGCAGTTCTGGCCAAATGGCTAGGTAATTTGCAGGTCGTCAACCAATATGGCATGGGAGAGGTGGCTTCACTGTGCGCATACAATCGAAATCTTCAAATGGGCCGTGGGTCAGTTGTCGGTCGACCAGCCACCGGTGCAATCTGGATCGTCAATCCCGACAACTCAGACCAACTGATGCCCGTGGGAGCGGTCGGTGAACTCCTTGTTGAAGGGCCTCATCTCTCACAGGGGTATCTGGATCACGTTTCTGGGAAATCGGAAAACTTCCTCGCAGCTCCACCTATCTGGATGAGCCAACTCCATAAAGAGCGACCTAACCATCGACTCTACCGCTCTGGCGATCTCGGCCGATTCAACCACGATGGCACGATTGAGCTCATGGGCCGCAAAGACAGCATGCTGAAATTGGACGGAGCCCGCGTCGAAGCTGGACAAGTCGAGTACGTGCTTCGGCGCAACCTCTCCACGGGCGATGCAGCTGTCGTCGACGTACTAGGTGCAGTTGACGGCAATGGGGATCCTATTCTCATTGCCTATCTGTTCCTATCAAACAACCCCATGAATGCGACCGGTGGTCCGGTCGAAGAGATACAATTCCGACCCATCAGCACTAAGCATGCTGTAAATACGCTCACTCAGTCTCTAAGTGATGCTATCAGGGACAACTTGCCAAAATACTATGTCCCAAGTCTTTATCTGCTGATTGATAGAGTGCCTCGCACAAAGTCCAAGAAGACGGATCGCCGCAAGCTTCATGCATTGGGCCAGGCATATTATATGGAGCATCGTGAGGAGTTGAAAGATATCACTGTTTGGCTTCAGTGGGATTGATGTCAAGGATGGCCCGGAGTTTGCATTTACTGTTAAAAAAGGAGCATATATTGCAGCTTCGAGTATAGGAAGATATTCTTCTATTCGGTATGTGGGATGTATTGGAAAACTATGAATTTAGTATTGAAAAGCTTGCTTGTATCTCCGTTACCTTTCTCTATGCGCAAACTTGGAAGTGATACTTCCAGGGCTCAAGAGTCAGTTTTGTAGATAGTATTCCAAGGTTGGCTTCCACCAGTTTTCGCTCATTGAAACCCACATGCTTGAACCAAGCAGCATTGCATAGTCATGTTCGACCTTGAATGCCCCAAATGTCATCAATCTTACATCTCACCAAAGGGAAAGGGCAGCAAGTCGGTGTTAGACAACTAAGAATGTGAACATGAGGGCCATGAAACTCCATCCGAGAGATGCGACGACCAGACTCGCCTTGCTAGTCACACTGACTTCGGCAAGAACTAGTTTCGGATCGTATGTGGCAGGTGTGCGAGCATCCACAGTTCCGTTCCAACAATATCGCTCAAAGCACCGGGTGCATGCCGCTGGCACGGTAGTGTTGGTACGACCAAGTGAGCGACCCAGCACGGCACAGCCGACGCAAGTTGACCACTCGGAGTCTCGACTTCCGTTGCCCATAGTGGCGACATTATAACCGTTGAGGATGATCGCATCCCGCTCTGTACTGTTGTAGCTCATTGTAAAGGTCGAAACGTTGGAGTGTGTCACGTAAGGCGAATTGGGGATGTACACGACAAGAGGAGAGTTTGACTGAGTCCCGGTCAGATTAGAGGTGTTACAGCCGAAGAAAGTCGGATGGTTGTTGAGGCCGAGGTTCAGGAAGGTGTTTCGGTCTGGGATAGATGGGAATCCAGTGTCATTGTTTATCCTCCCCTCAAGGCTGCGTTCGTATGTCGCGACGAGGGAAGTGCCATCGGGCCAGTTGTTGGTATCGGCAGAGGAGTCAACAGCGAAGATGACGTCGACCTTTCTTTCCGGTTGAATGAGAGGATGGAGGGGAATGTTTTGCAAGTCTTCTCCACCGTCGACGATGGCGAGGTATGGGGATTCCGTGAGATATGACCCGGTCGATGCGTGGTAGAATGGGTTCGTATAGTTAGCGATGTCGAATGCTTCCTCGTCAAAATTACCCAGAACATCACGAATGATGTTTTTGGCAGTCTCTCCGAGATCGGTTGAGTTTATTCTCAGTAAGAACTGATTGAACAAGCTGGATGATGTGCCCATCACGAAACCTGCACTGTCATAGCCGCGAATACACTTCGCGTTGGACGGTACGACGCCCTTTTCAAACTTCGATCCCAAGTATTCCAACGGCGCAAACCCGAAAATAGTAGGGTCAAAGGAGCCAAATTCCCACGGGTTGAACTCGTATACTGTTGCGTTGCCTCCAACAACGTGCTCGCCTGGGTTGCGACCGTCGGCGACGAGGATGGGCAGCGGCATCTCGGCTCGCTTGAAGTTTTCCGTCGCTGCAATCGAGCTCCAAGTGTAGTTTATTCCTCCTTCGGAAGCGTGAATGAGTTGGTAGGACAACATTCGCCCCCTATGTCCCGGTCATTGTTAGCCATCATTCTTGGATTCGGGTCACGCTCAGATTGAATTCTCACCAGATATCGGTGAAAGTGACCGGGAAGCCAGCGTTCCCCTTTTCGGACACAGCCTCTTGAATCTGCCCATAGTACTTCACGGCAGACGCCAAAAGAGAGCCACCGTCGTCTGGTCCTTTCAGAATGGAGTTGGAGAACTGCCATGGATCACCAAGGGTTTCAGTCTGCAGTGAAGACACCGAGGTGAAGTTGTTCATGTAAAGTGAACCCAGAAGCCATCCACCACCACTGAGACCCGTAAGGTATGTGGCCGACTGGAGCAGACCCCCAAGATGACCCGATGCTGTGGAGTTGCCGGTGCGACTATCAAATGCTTTCAGGGCACCAGCCCCGTTCATCAAAGCACGATACCCACCGCCCGACACTGCAATACCAACGTTGGGCAGACTGGATGGCTTGTCCGACAGACTGTCTAGATATTTCACAACATCAAAGTCTCCAATATGGACTTGGCCGAAGAAGTCCTTCATCGCGCGCTGGGTCGCTTTTTGTCGCAACTTGAGCCAATCGTGCTCACTCGAGGAGAGATTCGCCGCACTGCGCACGCTCGGTCGGGGGGATGGACAATTGACTTCGACTGGGGCATAACCATCCGGGGCGTTGGGCAAGGCTCGGTTGGTAAGTTGGGAAACATCTTGACCGATGGCCAGGCTGTGGCTTTCGGGGTCTGATAAGAAAAGAAAGTCAGAATAACCCAACTGCCGTCATATGAAAATAACATCAACCTCACCAGATGCCAAAGCAACGACGGCTATGTAGTTGAGGAGCAAAATCCCTCGCATTTTGACGCAATATCACGACTTTGGCTGCAGCAGGCCCACAGACTGTTTTGCTCTACATCCCAACAAGGTCGGATGCGCTTTTATACAACACCCATATGACTCTGGAGGACTAGGCTCCAAGATTGATCCCCCCTACCTCGAGTCGATATGGGTACTTGGATTTAGTGACCGGCACAAGATGTATACAAAGCCACCATCCATCGGCTAGTGGGGGGCAAAACATGCTCCACCTAGACACACACCTAAGGCATGGTGAAAAGAACCTTGAGATATCAGATCACCTATTAATCCACAGTTAAATTTGGTCTAAGAGAGACAAGCTAATGGTTTCATTGAAGCATTCTGAAGCCAAACACAGGAAACCGGGCCAATTATCGCCAACTTGAATTACTGCATGGAGCACGGAGTGTGGCTGATACCGACGAGAGTGAGCATTGCTGCCCAGGTGACCGTCATTCAAAAGATCTTGCATCAGTCCCATACTTAAGAAGTTTCATGGTGTGTCTAGTTTAGTCCGCGGAGATACCATTGGCGGGGGCTCAACATCAGCCAGCCTAATATTCGGCATTATCATTATAGCCAAACTCGATATTCTCTGACAAGAAGAGAATCCGCCGCGGGCATACTGATTGAAGAACTCGCCTGGTATCAAAGTACATCACGATGCCTGGGGAGGCCAGTCATTGCTATCGCTTTTGGCCCATTATTATCATGAGTAGGCTTGGGATAGACATAGAGACGAAACATGGCGCTTGCCCGCGAGCACAGATACTCGCAATTTACCGCAATTCTACATGGACTTGAGTACCAAAAATTTTAGCAAAAAAGGAATAGATACAACCAATCGATGACCCGCTATGTCTGTTATGGTAGTGATGCCAGTGGGAGTCCGTAGGACGGTCAAATTAATCGTTCTTGGGGATGCCAAGGTATTCTAAACCCTGGAGCCTTCAGAGTCCCCATAGGAATGAGAAATCGAAAAACTATCTAAAACCCGCCATAGCTGGAAGAAAACCCTGAAGGGTCCACAGGCGCATCTACCCCATCGCCGTGGATATTATCCTTCAAGTGGGACCTCATCCAGCAACGGCCCAATGACAGGCCCCCATATATAAAATGTCAGCCTAGGGCTCCAGGGCTTCAGGGCTATTCCAACAGCCTGGAAATTTGGTATCACGCCCTGCAAAATTACTGTTCTGGTATAGCATAACACAAAAGTTCGGGAGTACCGAGGCTATTTGAATAACTAGCCTCTTTACATTCGTAGATACTGCCTACTGAGTCACGAGAGATTTTCGTTCCTTTAATAAAGATGGAAACTTGAATAAAAATTCTTCATTTCTTACGTTTGGAGGTTGGGATATTTTGGATGGAGTCAAGTTTGCGCGCGCTTCATGCAAGTCAAAAGTATCACTAGCATCAGAGTCAAACGAAAACAGTACAAACACAAGCAGAAGACATACAGCGGCTATACGGCATTTCTCTGCAGTCTTGATTGAGCTGAAAGACACATAGCATCTATGGATGCTTCGGCGATCGCCGTTGCTATCTGAGCATCTGAGCCTAGTCTCGAATGGCGCAGCTATGGGGTATAGGCAGCAATCATTCCCGTGGAGCGGAGTATACCCGCAAACAGACTGGCTAGCAATACCTCCTATCTCAAACACGGATTAGCATTGTTAGTCTGGCAATAGCTGCTAGCTGCTCGGCAACATCCACTGTTTAATCCTTCTGCATAACGTGCAAATTCAGTCCTACATAAATAGTCTGTGGTGTCCCTACGGTGCAATTATCACAGCGCAAATACATCCGAAACCACCTTTTTCAATCAATTTTACCCACATAAGAACCACCAAGATGTTCAAATGGCTCAGCGTGTTCTCTAAGGCGCCCGAGGAAACAAAATGGAACCCGGAAACCTTGAACGTGGAAGTGCAGCAGCCGACGAGTCCAGAGGCCCCTTCCACGAAACTATCTGATATCGAGAGATCCGTATGTCTACAAGTTGTTCGAATGGAGTCGTTCCTTTTTACGGTCAAAGCTCATTCTATTACACAGAATAACGATCAGTCAATTGATATGAAGCTTCGCGGCGGAGGCGGTGGTGGTGCATGTTGTGGAGTGTGAGTTTCTGATCCCCAGAGGCCTTCGATGGCAGGCACATTGAAATAAAATCAGCACTGATGACAATTATCTTCAAGTTGTGCTGGTCTACTATGCTTCGAGTGCTGCTGCTAGGCAAAAGCGACCGCGGTCCTTTGACTTCCCCTGCTCTTTTCTTTTCCTCCTATCAACTTCATAATTTTTCTTTCATCTATTTCATTTCTTTTTGTGGACAGCAACAATTTGACTCTATACAATCAATCACAAACACTCATTGATTTAGGCTTTTCATTTGTTGACTCAATTCAAATTAATACCAAACGTTGAAATTTAAAGTCTGAAGTTTTAGTATCAAGTAAGGGATGATCAAAGAAATGAGTTTACGGAGTGGCTGTTAAGAGAAAGAAAGTAACTAAGATAGAACTGAGAGATCAGAATGTGAGGGCTCAGTTTGCCTTGACCTTTGTCACTCCTCGAGATCAGGTCACTCTAGGTCAAGTTCATCTGCAACTTCTTTCTCTTTTCTCTCTGGCTTCTATGATTGTTATCTGCCGGTTTTGCGCATTCTCTTAGAACCTCTCCAGGCTCGTTTGTATCAATTCTGGTCAACTGCCAGCGAAGCTGGCCGGTGGCCTCCGCAGATTTTGCGTGTACAGCCAGTGCATGCGGACGCTGCGGTCAATGAGGCAGTGCTGGAGTCATGATCTGAAGCGGGACGCCTTATTGAGCGCATTCGGGAGAAGGATGCGGAAATTGAGGTATGGTCGTGGGCACTCGAGCAACGCCTCCACTGTAAGTCTTCTGCGTCAATTGTCCTTGTCTCTCAGTCCGATGGTGTCAGTTTCCAGAAAGTTTCTGAAAGTCTACCAGATACGGTGCCGCAGGAGATTCGCACCAGAGTCGGATTACAACCGCACCAAATTGGTGGCTCTCACCGCGGACGCTTGTATAGAGCAGGTTTCTCAGCGTACCGGAATCTCGCCTGATGTAGATATGTCTGGATCCCTTTCCTGACTCCAGATGAAGATGAAACGGCGAAGGCCCTAAACAGGGGGGTCGACCTGCTTCTCCAGTGACAAAGAAGAAGAACCGTGCGTCGATGGATACTCGTCGCCGCAGATTCAGACAGGCACAACGAGAAGGTGAGCAGGATTCCCGAAAGACGCTCTCTGAGTCCCCTATCGGAGCCTCCGTTGACCTTGGGGCCCCGGGTAGCTCGACGCCGAAATCGGCTGTGGTTCCGGTCCTCCCTCTTAGTCCTGGGCGTGGTACTCCGTACCTAGGCTTCAAATACTCGCCAGAAGTATTTCGACCAGTCTGAAATTTGTACATCGGAGGTTCTTCCGACCTTGAAATGGCTGGCACATACGACAACTGTCAACTATGGACAATTTCGCCAGGTGCCATGATTTCCTTTTATCGCTGCCTTGGTGAAATCCGGGTTCAGTGTTGCGGACAGATAACTCGGCCGCTTAGATTTCGACGGGAATGTTCGGTCTAAGGGAATGAACGAGGACCCGCCTGCACTTGTGTGGGCGCATGGTCTGCTCTGGATAGTCGTCTTCCGCGATACCATACCACTCTGCGACAGGCTCCTAGCCGCCCAATGCGCCTCAACCAAGCCGAACAGGGATGCCAATCTGAAAGCCGCAACGGACTGATGGCTCAGCCGCTCTGCTATAGCTAGCTAGAAAACCCCGAGAATAAAGCCACTTTTCTGCTCCTTTTCCGGCTTTACCGTAACATTCACGATTCTATATCTGATGGTGCCCCATGGCCAGTGGGTAAGAAATTTACCTGCCATCATTTAGGGTTGTGGATTCGAATTATGAACTCTCACCTTGGAACATATCATGCAGTTGGCATTGTATACGACTCGGAAGAAAAGTACAAACAAGCAACCAAACAAACTGGATTCATTCCTCTGAAGTTCCACCCTATAGTAGCTATGGAGGCAGACGTGGTCTTCCCAGCCGCCTTTTGACGAGGTTCCGTAAAGCCTCAGCACATCTTGAAACGTAGGATACAGGCTCAATCGAGGATGCGATTACTTCGCCTTCAGCACTCCTCGATGGCCGTAATCGTTCACGAAGGCGTCGCCTGGCTGATGAAAGATGCGGTATCTGGTCCAGCTCATGGCCAACCTCCCTGAAGCTCGAGTCATCGTAGTCGAGTATCCACCTTCCATCGCCGCTTCCATCGCGACTAAGGCCAAATCGGTAAACTCTCTCGCTCTGCACCCGAGATACCTCGAGCTTGCTTTTCCCCATCCGGGACATTTCTCGCATGTCAGATATCATGTTGCTCCCGGCAATCCATGGCATGAGTGATCCCAGAGATGTGGGAATCCTCGGTGCACGAAAGTAGGTAGAACGAGCAACGAAGATGATCACGACTATCACAACATCTAGTGACAGAAGCACCAAAGCCATGATGATCGATAGCGGTGAAGGGAAAAGGCCCCAGAGAGTCGTCGTCTTCGTTCCTTCGACATTTGGGGCGACGGAATCTGGGTAGTCTCGAAAATACAAATCTAGGCTGAAGGTGAGATAAGCGCGGAAGATCTGTTGATATGTGGACTGAACGGCAGTGATTAGAGAATCGGGATCGAAAGATAACTCCGAGTCGGGTTGGAGACGGTCGTATTCTGCTGCAGCCATCATCCCGGGCCAGTCATAGTCGAAGAAAGAACCATTCCCAAGAGGGTTATATGGTTTTGCAAAACTCATGATCAACTGATTGAAATGCGCCACCTCAGACTGGGACATGTTGTATGATGTGTGTCCGCCATGCAAGACTGGTTCCTTCTTTTGATGTGCAGAGGATACAATGCCCTCTCCACTGAATGTGACTTCGAAGTCATTCATTGAGATGGAAACATCGCATGACATAGAGACAGAGTTTTGGGCATTCATGGGGGATGTATCCATTGTTTCCCAGCGAGCAAGCGCTAGGACTGTGCTTTGGCAGCCGGGTTCGTTTGAAGAAGCGATACTTGGTTGCAGATAGGAGATTGCTCTTCCGATCAAGCCATTTTTCATGACCTCTGGGGTTTGCATTGTACAAGTCAGGCCGGATGGCCTTGTGTAGTTCCAATTTTGCAGTCCAGATTCGTGGTCGGTCCATGATTGGTTCAAATAGACTCGATGGCAATCCAAATCTGCCCCAAGTCCAACGGTAATTGCGTTGTAGCTGATGGTATCATCTTCCACGACATTGAAGTTGGAGAATATCAAAGGAAGGAATGAGTATTTGTCGTCTTGCCAAGGAAGTATAGGCGTGCCTCTGTTCAAATGATTCAGCATCAGGCCAATACCATCAAACTGAATGTTTGAATCGGGAATATGGAAGGACTTGTTATCATATGAAGCGTGTAGGTTGGTGACGTCGCCTGTGTAGCTTTTTGTTTGGGATTCAAACATTCCACCACTGACAATTGTGAGGAGAAACCCCAGAGTACAGATGATGGACAGAGCTATAGGGATCGTGGGTCCCTGGCCAAGGTTGTGGAAAAGAATAGACGTTGGGATGTGAGATCCGTAGTTCTTTTTTAAAGTCTCTTGGAAGGATGCTTTACCTTTCTGCAGTCTCCCCCAGGTTTCAATGATGGTCAAAGACCGCAGAATCGAGGCAAGTAATGAACCGACCAATGATGCTATCAGGGTGGGCCCAAACATCAAAAAAACTAGAAACCCAAATTGGCTTTTGGTCCCGTAGTTGAGATTTCTGACCGAAAATGCGCTTAGTGCGAGGCCATATGTGACCACAGTGCCAGTCAATAAGACACACTCCGCTAGAAACCAGGGTAGAATGACGAAATGAGGTCTTCGGTCTGTATGTCTCCGAGCAAGCGGTAATGCAAGCTCTTCCGGTGAAATGTCGGGAGATAATGGAACAATATCGATCATTTTGCCGCTGGGCCCATCTGTCCATTGACATTTGAAGTTCTTCGCCCATCGACGAAGTTGCCTAGATGTAGCGCGGCTGAACTTGTCATCGGATCTGGTGAGAGGGTTTCCAGGAGTGAACAGGTCCGCAACGACTGCGCACTGGGCGAGTACAGAACCAGGATCATTTTGAAGGAAATTAGGGCGACGGGGGTATACAACCCCAAGGAACAGTAACATAATAGCCGCGGCTATAAGAAAGGTCTCTGCGGAGGTAGCAGGGGTCGATAGAACTTGAAGAACCACAAATGTCGTGGTCTGACTGGCTTCGACGTTCGTCGGAACTGTCACGTCAAATAACTTGCTCATGGCGGCGACGAATTTGGAATTCCATGAGGCCTTGATTCGAGTTTGATATCCAAAGGGGTCGATGAACTGAGAAAAGCTTTCCTGATCCAGATCTAGGACTAACGACGAGAACGGCAACCGATTCGTACTGACAGAGTTGCTCTCATTTGCGTGCTGGGCTCGAAAACTCGACTTGGCCAATCGGGTGGTCTCGTGATAGAGAACGTCATGAAAACCTGCGTCGAAAAACTGTTTTTCTGAGAGGTCCTTTACGGTGGAAGAATGAACATCGACTTCGTCCATCGACGCGTCGACGCCGAGTTTGACCAGAGCTTCTGCTGTTCGATATCTCACACTGCAGGCAAATGCCGTAGCATGAGAGGTATGGCCAGTCACTTGTTGTGAGCCTTCGTCGATCTCGACTATCAAGCCAAGGAGGGCGTAATTTCCACAGTTTTTGGTCTGGAACACATGGTCCTGACTAGACACTGAATTTGTGGGTATCGGCTCCCAATATCGCAGTTGGACCGCGCTGCTTCCTTGTGGGATCGTAGAATTGAGAGTGAAATTGACAACGCAGGGAGATTCTGGGTTGACGGAAGGAAACTCGAGCTCTGCTGCGCGCCAGTGTTGTAATTTGCTACCATTCAGTTGCGCAAGTTGTCGAGTCCATGTGACGTTCGGGGCAGAGGAGTTTTGACACGTTAGCTCGCTCCAATACACAGTCTGATTCAGGGATAAAACCGATGTCTCGTTTTCCTCGATGGGCATAGAGACTGCTGGCGAGGTATAGTCAAAGGACCGAAAGAGAAAGAACTCATCGGAATTGAGTATGACTGTATCATTGGTTTGGCGGATGTATTGAGCAGTAAACCAGTCCTTCTGACCTTCTTGATCGAGCAACTTTGGCCACGTGGTAACGGTGTATGCTTGCTCCAAGTTGGCCTCGGTCAGCACTACGAGCCCTGAGAGTAAGGAGGGTAGCGCAATTCGGAAGCTGACGGACAGAATCGAGATCAGTAGAACGAGCCAGTGTCGATCGCGTGCTGCGACGATCGGCGCCATGGCATCGGGGCGAAAGGTATAGTTTGTGAAGAGGGCCGTCGCTGGGACACCCTCCGGTCTCGCGAGCTGGAAATACGGCTCCAGTCGCAGCGCATCGGCGGCACAAAACTGCCACAGCGTCACCGCGAGTACTGCCACGGCCACCGGGAGGTAAATGTAGAGCCCCGAGATGATTTTCGGCATCTCATCCACTGTTTTGTAGAGGACCAACCCATGTTTGCGTTCTGAAACTTGGCGGAGAACTTCGAGCACAACGGCGAGGAGCAGGAAAAGCCCAGCCAGGGAGCACAGGAATGGGCGACGTAAAGTCCATGGTACCCACGGCCTTTTCACGGGGGACTGGTTCTGATCTGGTCGCTCAGGCTCCCTCTGGTCATTCTCGGTATTCCCATCGTTCATCTCTCGTCGCGTTCCGTCGCGCTCCCGTAACAGCGCATGCGGTGACCCCGACCGGTCAGGGTACAAATGAGGATCAATTCAACGGAGCGCTGGGCTCATGTCTAAGATTCATTAGCCTTCGGGCGCTGCCGCAAAGGGTCTCAGACCGCGCAACAGAATCTGCGAGAGTGGAGTCCGCGGAGTACCCCTATTCGGCCCACAAAACACACTGCACGTTCTGTGGCAAAGACAGTCCCCGTGGCCTTAATCAACATCGTGCGTTGCGAGAAGGTAGCCCGGATACCAAAATCATCAAGGGTACTAGTTCTCTTTGTAGGTGGGGTCCCACTGATGGCTCACTGATATCCACCAGTTGACCAGAAACCGCTGCTAATCCTTCAATGGAAATCAAACACCGTGGACCGGTGTAGAGTAAGTAGCAAGCGCGTACTCGATTGCGACTTGAAATTCCTGGAAGTAAATGGCACGCCTCGGAAATACCGGACGATTTGAAGTCGAGGATCACTCGGATGATCCCCAGCTAATGGCCAACACCAATCCACTGCAGTGGGAACACGCCAGGAGCCCACTGTCTGCGCGCCAGATTAGTCGCCAGAGGAAAACTATAGAATATTGCGAGAACCTTCAAATAGGAAGAAATATCCCGCTACCGCGTGCGAACATAGACTCAAATGCGATATAGCAAGGGTCTAGAAAAGCATGAATAACTGATAGAATCCATAATGAGCCATACAACATCTGTCGTAGTCTCCAGGTTGATGTTGATCTGACTTGACACTTTCCCTTCGTCTCAGCATCTCTCTTTCCTTCCCACTCACCACCTTCCCTCGCAAACCACTCCACTTCCCACAGCCCACTTTTGACTGCACTCCCAGAGATACCTACCTAGGTAGGTATATCGATCAGTTGATCATGTCTCAACCGGTCATGGAGACGAGTTCGACACAAGCAGAGCCTCCAGTGGATTCTACCTGGATATCTCCGACCTGGATTTGGGACACTGCCTCCAATGTTCAGTGAGCTTCCTTCACTTGCCTTCCCTCGCTCCCCAGCGCTAAACCAAACAGTGTGGCTCAACATCGCTCTTGGTTTAGCACTGACTATATGCATCTATCGACTTTCATAAGGAGGCTTGATACCGGCGAAAGGGTCGATGTGATTGGAGTTGGAACAGTCCGTCTTCCCACAAAAGCCTCGCCCCACCTCCCTAGCTCAGCGTCCCACACTACCCTCTTCTTGCAGAGGGTATTGCATGCCCCAAACTTGCAAGTCAATCTGATAGGTCAAACGTGCCTTGACAATTGGAAGGCTGTGCCTCGGGACTACGATGGCCATACTTGTGGGTATATCTATGACTTCACCAATAAGCCAGTGGCCTTTTTCAAACCCACAGCTCCCCCCGGAGTCTTCGAAGTACGAATCAGTGGACCCCCGGTTGGGCCTCCGGTCGGAAAGCGTCCATCGCACCTTTTGGTCTATAACCATAACCTTTCTCACTATTGGTTTCCTGGTGAGCGAAAAAGCGTGGAAGCTCGGTTGGACATCCGTGATCGGAATTTTGCAATAGATGGACCTCTGACAAAGATGGAGTTGGCCTGGCTGGCTGCCTGCTTTGGAGACAAATTTCCAGTTATGAAAGAACTGGGCACAAACATGTTCCGCGCCACATTCCGAAATGAAGGCCGTGTCATCCTTCGAGACCTCGCTAGCTGCAGCGACTCTCATTCTCGCCTGCCCCCTCGGTCAGAATTGCTGACACCAATCGAGCTCAGATGGTTTACTGATCGCTATGGAGTCAGGTTCAGGGCTCTCGGAGCGCGTGGGGTACGTCTGTTCAGGCCCGAATACCAAGTTGAGGGTCGTTCGATATTGCGAACTATCATGTACAACGATGGTTTCAATTTCTCTTCAGACTCTGCCTCACAGCAGTCTACAACCACCCCATCGCACGATGAGCAGGTATGGCTCAAAATGCAATCGAAAGACTTTGACAAGTTTCTATCTGAGCATGCTTTGATCATGTACAATGATGAGGATCGGAACGAGGGTCTTTGCATCTTGCGTTCCTTGATGCGCGACAGTGGCGATTTGGATTCAGAGTCGAGCTCAAATCGAGACGAAACTTTGGCAGAAAAGCTGGTAAGAATGTCCTGTTCTTCTCTCTTGTCCTTTCCTATCTCACACACACTCATCGTTCCATTACTGAAATCACAAAGGAATCGGAATGGCTTCCAATAGTCCTCCAGCCGCCCGAGTTGAGAAAATACCGGTATCATAAAAAGGAGACGTTCGCCGAGCAGGATTTTGCAAGGCGGTTCATCTGCTATAACTGCCGGAGAATCGACTTTTACTGGAAGAGTGTTCGTTTGATTTGGAGCACAATAGGCAGTGGCGAGATATTTTTACCCGCGGGTTTTTCGGTAGTCACCACAGAGGGGAAAGCTAGGATTTATTGATCAGAACCAGTCTGACAATTTTACCGTCCAATGTTCTGGTAAACCGCAAGGTGGGGGGACTTCGAACACTCGTTATCAAGAGATCCTGCTTTCTCTCCTTTTATTCGATGCTACTCCAGGGTCAAGCTACTGATTGAAAGTTTGTTTCGCAAAGATCAATGTCCTGACTCTGATCGAGGATGAGAAAATCCTCAATTACATTAACATTGGGATGATTGTCGCCATTAGGTAGCATTTATATTATTATAATCACTGGGCATCCATGGATAGAACTTCCCGTGGACACTTTCTTCCAAGTTCCAAGGTTGGAGTAAATCGGAAACCCCCCGGGGCTAAGAAACAGTACGGTGAACATCAAAATATCTCGAAGCCATCAATTTTACCCTTTTGGAACCAGTTGAATATCCCTTGGGTACCTAGGCAATACCTAGGTACTCCGTACTGAATGATCCCATGACCAATTTTAACTCGAGTCTGGCACACATCTCCGAATCGCGCGATGTCATTCAACCTTATTATTCGGGGATCTGCGTCGGAGTATCAAATCAGGAACCGTATACGAGGATCGACAGGTTGGGCAGGCGAAGCATATAACTCAATCTTGGCGATGAAGAAGTAAGCATTTCCCGCTAGGCGCCAAGTGCCATGCCGCTTCTGGCGGCTGAGGGGCAAATACTCGGCATTCTGCATACCCAATCATGCTTTGGTTAGACCGGGACCTTGAATAAACTTGGTCATAATTCACCATTTCCGATAGTTTAAATAATTTGCGGCAGTGAACGCCATCTTCTCACAATGGCACTGTCAGCGCTAACATGCACTATTCTCGGGTAGGAATAGCGCAAGGCACCTGGCACCTGGCCGTGTGGATGCAAGCGAGAACAGTACCTTTGGCCTGTGGGGTCAATTTAATTCCAAAATCTTAGATTGATGAATGTTCCTCTAATTAAATCACAGGCTCGCTACAATTTTCCGATTTAGATTGCTCTACATGACTTTGTCATGCAACTAAAATCATTGTGATAAATTGTGGATTGCGGATGATCGGGAAATTGCAGGCAAGGGGATCTTTTAAGGAGCATGATCATCCTTTGGGGCCGGAGTGGGCTGACAGTTCACATTGGCGAAGATCGCACGTTCCCAGAATGATGGTGGCGTGTGTCGACAAAGGATCTAATCTTTTCCATTAGCCGCGGAAGCATAGATCCTTTAGTTTCTCAACCTCATCTCCCTCTAGCCAATCAACATACTTAGCCAAGTTCCATCTATGCATCGCTAGTACGTTCCCAGCTAGTTTTCAGCCCACCGTCCGACCTCGGTGCTTTTGTACTATAATGGAAACGATCCCCTAGACCCACCATCTTCCGACTTGACTTAATGCTTGTCGTTCCCAGATCTTGTCGTCCTATGTATACGACGCAAAGCAGCAATGGGTGTTCGCCCTTTGATTCGCAGGGCCCGTGTGGTCTTCCGTCGTATGTCGGCCGATGAGAATGACGATATATCTCTCGACCAACATCCGGACAACTCAGATTCCAAAGTCCGACCGACCCCCAGCTACACCAGTTCCGCGGCGTGTGGGGAGATCCCGGATGGGAGTGCGCAACATGGTGTTCAGGATGTTGAGGCTGTCACCATGGCTTGGTCGAAGAAGACTTTGATCGCGGTTTTCATCAAGTATGTTTCCCTCGTCGTATGTCGCGTGAGCAATTTCTCGCTATTTAGACAAGCACTGACATCGTCCTTCACACAGCATCTGGTTTTTGTACTTCGCAAATGCGTTTCAATCAACGGTCACCGCAACCCTCAATCCTTATGTGACAAGCTCGTTTCAGAAACACTCGTTGTCTGCAGTCCCCACCGCGCTGGGTGATGCATTCGCCGCGGCTACGTATCTGCCGGTTGCTAAAATGATGGACGTGTGGGGTCGTGCCGAAGGCTTCTTGTTGATGGTGATTTGCGCAACCATTGGACTGGTGCTCATGGCGACATGCCACAGTTTTGAAATTTATTGTGCAGCCAATGTAAGCTCGATGAGGGTTTATTGCTTTTGACGATATACCAATGCTAACAACAAAAAAAGGTCTTCTATTATGCCGGCTTTTACGGAATGGAATACGCCGTCGATGTCGTAACGGCTGATGTCTCGACTCTAAGGAATCGTGCTTTCGCCTACGCCTTCACTTCCTCGCCCTACATTATCACCGCATTCGCGGGTCCCAAGGTTGCGGAACAGTTCTACTATGACATCTCCTGGAGATGGGGCTTTGGTTGCTGGGCAATCATTATGCCAGTCTTCGCGGCCCCCTTATACGGAATGCTAAAATGGAATCTCCACAAAGCAGAAGAAGAAGGATACCGCATTAAGAGACCTAGCGGACGCACAATCTGGGAGAGCGTTTGTCATTGGACTATCGAATTTGACGGTATGTTGGGCAGTATCTTCACCCTCTGCGCAAAACAAAAAGGCTAATAGAGCAACTAGTTATGGGAGTCTTTGTGTTCACAGCAGGTCTCGTGCTATTCGAGCTTCCGTTCGACATCGCTGACTACGCTCCTGATGGTTGGGCTTCTCCATACATTATTGCTATGGTTGTTGTTGGATTTTGCACACTTTTCTTCTTCGGAATTTGGGAACGCTGGCTGGCCCCAGTCCCTCTGTTCGAGTGGCGACTCCTCACGAATCGGACAATCATTGGTGCCGTCTTGCTTGACGCGACCTACCAACTTTCGAATTATTGCTGGAGTTATTACTTCACGTCCTGGCTACAAGTGAACAACGACCTCAGCATTACAACCTCGAATTACATTGTCAACATCTTTGACATGGTCTCGGGTGTGCTTCTACTTTTTACCGGTTGGCTGATCCGCAAGGTTGGGCGCTTCAAGTGGACCTTGTACATTGCGGTTCCACTCTACATTCTTGCCCAAGGCTTGATGATTTACTTCCGTCGACCAAACATGAACGTCGGCTACCAAGTGATGTGCCAAATTTTCCTCGCAATAAGTGGGTCGACGTTCATTTTGGTTGAGCAACTCGCGATTTTGGCAGCTGTCGATCATCAACATGTGGCTACCGCTCTTGCGCTATTGAACGTTGTCGGCACTATTGGTGACAGTGCGGGTCTTACCATCAGCACCGTCATATGGCAGAACACCTATCTGAAGGCCCTGAGAAATTACCTTCCTGAATCGGCATTGCCGGATTTGAACAAAATCTACGAGGACCTCGTCACACAACGGAGCTACCCTGTTGGAAGCCCCACCCGAGAGGCTATTCAAAATGCTTATGCCTACTCCGAGCTGCGGCTTCTCTCGGTCGGGTGTGGCATCATTGTCTTAGCAGTCCCATGGACTATGCTAATGAGGGACATTGATCTCAGGAGAAAGCCTCAGGTTCGTGGGACTGTTTTCTAAGAAAAAAGACTTTAATTATTGGGATGGGAAAATAGGGTTACAGGTTGGGTTGGGTTTGGAAATACAAGTATATAGAACACCGCAATTCTACCTTCCAAATATGGAGCAAGTAGCTTCCATCTTCCATTTACCCGTTTAGAGGTTGAAACACCAGAACCTCGGGGGTCTCGCAGGGTTTAAAGCCTGGCCTCGGGGGTCCGCGTGTATCGTCCAAAATGAGCCTGGTGGGGCGTCCCAGGAAAAGCTGTATTAATGTAAGCCAATCATATCGCGTCAATGTGTTGAGTTTCGGATCAGATAACTGAAAGTTTTTGATCTCGTGCGTGGGATTGCTCGTACCAAGGGACGAAGTGGGGGCCACGGCACAAGCGGCTAAGCGAAATCCGACGATCGGCCGATGAATTCCAGGCCAGGCCCGGACTTAGAGCAGCTGATCGTGTCAATTGTGACTCAAACCCGAGGTCGGACAATCCCGATTTTTGTCCCGCTCCTAACGCGCAGAGACTTTATCAATCCAGAGTGGAGTGCACGACTTCACTCGAACCGTGGTCCTAACGCAAAAGATCTCCACTATCCACGCGAATACATCACATCTGCCGTGGTCCTAGCTCCAACGCTTCCGTCGTCGAGGCTCTTACGTATGAGCTCAATTCCGACATTGCCGTATAATTTGCGGTACATCTGCCCAAGTCTGGGTGACACTCAACACTCCCTCGTTTCCACGACCCCCTCGATACAATGGCCCAACAAGACACGATAGAGCGGATAGACTCCGGCTGTCACGATACCACAGACGGAGGCGCCGATGATCACAGCAGAAACGTGGAAATGATCAAAGCAGGAACCCTACCAACTTTGGTCGAAAACCTCACTCGGCATGACAGACTAGACGCTGCCTTCAACCGAGCCTTCCTTGCCACCTATACCTATTTTACCTCAGGGTCCGAGCTTCTCGGCCACCTTATCGACCGCTTTGATAATACCCAACCTCCCTCGACGGATTCTACCGAAATTGAGCAATGGTCAACACAGACGAAGCCCCTCATACGGTTACGCGTGGTAAACATTCTCAGACAGTGGCTCGAGCACTTCTGGAGCGAGCCAAAAGGTCACGATACAGATGAACTTCTACGCGCAATGCGAGCGTTTGTACAACGTGTCGCATCGGAACCCGAAACCCCAACCCAACAACTTGACATTATCATCCAACGCCGATTATCCGGTCAAACATACACCAAAAAGTCACATCCATCAATATCAAATCCCCCCAAGCCTATCCTCCCACGCAAGCTGGACAAACTTCAATTCATGAAGATCGATGCCAAGGAGATTGCACGGCAATTGACGATATTAGAAGCACAAACATTCAGCAACATCCAGCGCGAAGAATTCCTGCACAAAAACTGGCAAAAGAAAACCACGCCGCTAGTCGCTCCCAATGTGAGGTGTTTGATTCGACATTCCAACCAAATCTCAAATTGGGTTTGCGGCGCCGTGCTTGCAGAGCCGGATTTGAAAAAGCGCGCTCAGGTGGTAGATCATCTAGTCAATGTCGCCAGTGTAAATATTAGCCTCTCCCTCGTATGCATGCATGCTAATGTTCAAATAGACATGTCATCAACTTCAAAATTACTCCGCCGTGATATCCATATTGTCAGGGCTAGAGAGCGCGCCTATCTATAGACTCGCACGCACATGGGCTATGGTCACGGAACGTAGTTGCAATATGCTCAGGCCTTTACAGGCGATGATCGTCAGCGCACAGAACTATCAGGCATATCGTGAGACGCTGCGAGTGGCTGTGCCGCCATGTATACCCTTTCTCGGTTGGTTTGATAGCCCCAATTGTGTATGAACCTCAGGCTGACCACATTTAGGCCTTTTCTTAAAAGACTTGACCTTCATCGAGGACGGCAATCCAGCCTTGACATCGGACGGGCTGATCAATTTTCACAAATATACAATGCTAGCCACGACTGTGCAAGAAGTTCAGCGATGGAAAGAAGCCCCGTACTGCCTGCAGCCTGTGCCGGAGTTGCAGGAGTACTTGGCTAAACAGTTACATTCGGCTGTTGAGCTACATGAAATGTGGGATCGAAGTTGCGAATTGGAGCCGAAGGGACGTGGGCTTGGCAACAGACCGAGGGACTTGTATACCCCCACCGGAGGGATGTCGGCTTCTATGGTGGTTGCTTGCATGGTACTGGATGATTGATATATGCTATATGTGGGTATGGATTTTATGATTGATGTTTTATTAGGTACTTTCAACAAAAGTTCTAGATGTATGCTTTAGATGTTATTCACTTCAGGATCTGCTTGTACCAAAGATGCATTCCAAGATTGATTTGACCTCCTTGATAGCAGATTTCCCACCCAGAACTCTTCATAATTCAAGATCAGCTCTCAACATCTTCTTGAATCCGGTCCCGCAAAGAATGGCTTCCTCCAATCAAGAGGAACGTCCCGACAGTCACCGAGAAAGCCCTCCTGGGCTTCGAAGATCATAAACTGATCAAGCTTGACTCTTCGGCCACGAATTTGTGCCAGCCACCATGTCGCAAGGGTTACCGCTTGGGCCATAACATCCTGTTGAGACTGCCCCATCCCCCTCACTGGCAAAGATATACATCGTTTCCCCTGACCGTGCAATGCACGTTCACTGATTTGGACATGACGAATTCCCATCATTTCTTCAAGTGCGATTGAGTCATGCACATAACACATTATTTGCTCGTCCGTGGGTGGGCTTCTCGACATGCGCTCTGGGAGGGTAACTGTAACCCACCAGTAGCCAGCTTCATCGCTGGGATCATTGAAATGTTCCGTGGCATCCTGAAACACGCTGGCTTGTCGAAGGCTAGAGCCTGGATTAGCCAGATTATTGGTCATTGAGGGCAATATTGCGGGTTGTAAAAAGCTTGTGCGTGCTGTTGGGCTTTCAAAATCTGCTTTTGAAAGACTTCATCAAATTACCCAGAGCTTTATAGGTCAAGCACTGGAAAATGCCGATCAAATACGTGACGATTTCAGTACTAAATCCCTTTGTTGTGTCTTTGTCGTAACAAAAGAATGGTACTTGTTCCCATACACCACCACATTTTTATCTTACAGATTTCCAAGATTGAACAACATTTGCTTTGATTGCTTCATGGTTGCTACTTCATATTGGAAATGGAGAAATTGTTCCCGCAAAGACCATTCATCAAAGGGACACGAGGCTTCATAAAGACATCAATACTAGAGATCAAAGTCTTCATCATCATGGCTCTGATGCCTCAGTATGATATTAAGCCACATTTTAAAGTGCATGAGGCGAACTTTGGAAGCCACCGCATCCAAGAAACATATCAATTTCGCCTCTCCATAAAAGGTAAACAAGCCTCATGTACCTCCTTGAAGCCAGGATATGCCACACATCTCTCAAAAACTCCCTCATCGACCACTCTTGCTGACTGCAAGCTTCCCGAAATGAAGAAATCCGTCCCACTAGGTTTCTTTCCAAGCACAAATGGTCCCTCTGGGCCCGAGCGAATCAACTCATCAACCGCACGCATCCCATCGGCAACTTCCTCCCACACTCGTTCCTCCGAGTCCCCAGCTAGCAGATCATCAAGCGCATGTCCAAGGATAGCCTCCCGCGTATTCCTAAAGTATTCCTGAGCGCGTGGCGACAAGACCTGGATCTCGCGGGGCACGATCGATGTCCGGAACGCGGGTCCAATGACATCACGTGCTTGCGACTCGATTTGCCGACCTAGTAGCGATTCGAGTGGGACTGGAGGGGATGGGTATGTTGATTCCAGGAACTCGGCGATTGGGGCCGAGTCCATCATGTAGGTGTTTGTTGGGATGTGGTGGATTGCGGGCACGGTGTATTTGCCGCTTTCGGGCGAGGCGAGGCCGCTATGAGCGTTAGTCGCGAATTGATCCCAGAATCTCTGCAGGGTTCTGAAACTCACAGTGTTCGAAGTGTGGGTGCGATATCGGGGAACTCGAGGAAGATGGTTGTGTATGGTATTTGCTTGTAGTTCAACATCTGGCGAATACGCCAGACGGGTGGAGAAAAGCAGACACCTTTGGTGTTTGCCAGGTCATATAGGACTATTTCAGCATTCATCGTTGGAATGGGGTTGACTTGAGAGGTAGGATGTGTAGAGCGTCAACTGGTGGGGTTGAGAGGTGGAGGAGGCTAAAAATAGCGTGGAACTACCCGAATGGCTCGATTCAACGAATTGGCTATGCCTGTCTCGACAGCATTCATGAAGACAATCTTTAATATTTCGCTCTCGTGTTTTCTGATGGTCAGCTGAGGTTTTTTCGATTCTAGAAGGCTGGTGAAAGAAACACCACATTTCTGTCGCAGCATTGGACAAAGGTTTACGTTTCTTCCCCAGATCGTCTCTGCAGTAAATTCTTCACCTCGCTCAATTATACGACGAAGAACCGATACAGACCCCCAGGTTTAGGATACGCAGATTCACAGTTTCGTCTTATAAGGCTTTACTACCGTATACATGACCGTTGATCATTGTGGCATACAAGGGCTCCAATATCTGGTTTGATACTTCAATCCAGTGCCTTTTCGTCCCCAGATTCGACACCTCAAACTAACTTTAGATGTATATATATCTAAAGAAATTGATCTCCGACTTCGAGCAATGCCCCTCAAGGCCAAAAATAAGAATCTTCTCCGTCAAGGGCAACTGAGTTAACCCAGCTGCATATGGTGGAAATGTCTGAATCTCTTGGACAAATTCGGTATCAGTTGATTAACATTGTTGCTTTACACTCAATCCAAGAATCAGGAGCTCCCGAGTCGTTCTCAAATTGGATTTATTCGATTAAGCCGACCAATCAATTTCCGGCTTTCTCTGAGACAAAGGCCTTTGTCTGATTCCTCGGTCATCCCAAGGGCTACCTTAATTCTCTTTGAGGAACAAGTCCATTGATGCTCAAAGGCTTTTGATTTACATCTTATTCCTTCCAGTATGCTATTGTTCATCTAAAGTCTACTGTCATTAGATATAAAAGGCTCGTCTCTGCCTCAATACTGTCAGCTCCATATCTGTCTATCGCAAATTTAAGTAAAATATCTCCATTTAACCAACTCCACTTGATTCAATTCCTAAAATAAAAGGTCTTTGCAGTTTCTCGCCACAGCAAAACCGTAGGCCTTCTCTCAATCGCACCTCATGCTTCCCACTAACCTGAGTCTTTTAGATCTCCCCTTGACAGTGATCTGGATTCTACTGGGTCTTTTTCTCGGCCTCACAGCTCTCCTGATCACGCACCTGCTTGAACAGGGAGGTAAAGCACTCGCCGTCTATAATTTCTCGAAGACCGTCTATTGCTTTACTTACCAAGGGGAGGCATTCTTCCAATCTCTCGCGCAGCTCCTCACACTTCGTTTCGATTTCAAGGGCTTCGTCTTTCTCTCCACCCTCCTCCTCCTCGCTCATCAATCCATCAAGAAACTCATATTCCTCTCTCACGAGAAGATACTCCACAGACCACACGTCACCCTGTTGTGTGCTTGTGACAACTGTCGCGAGACCAGAATCCAGTCCTACATTTCCCAAGCAGAGCTTGATACGTACTAAGTTCAACACGCTTTTCGTATACTAACTTGGATTTTAAAATCAGCACAATGACTGGTTCTCCATTGTCACCTCGGTTCAATCTCAAAAACTTCCATGACACGCGAACCAACATCATCTCGAGGTCCAACAGTGATGCCTTCAATTCTAGTCAGTCTTTCCAACCCATTCTAAACTCCAACATGCGTCATCCTTGGGGTGTGGTCGACTACTATCTCTATCTTGGAAATGTGGAAGGCAATCGAGACACGAAACAACGTGCAGGCGAATGCTTTCTTCTTGAAAAAGATGGATTCAAAAATGTCGAATTGAATATTAACATGTGTCTTGAGAATATCCCTAATCCAAAAACCCCGACGATTGTCTTTCTGAGCCTGCCAGTCCCAGACTTTCGGGACGACTACTTCACGGTGCTGGTGCTAGCTTTTGACGCAGGGCAACACAGACTTCAAGCTCGGATCTTCAATACCGAAACTCTTCTCGAGGATTACAAGGATCTGTGGCTTGCGTGGAACCGCGGCGCTGGACAACTTGTCATTGACGTCTCTGTCGACAGTTTCCTTGAATGTGTTGACGAAGTTATGAAATATCAAACTGAGGTCCTAGATGTGGGAATCATGCATCACTTTGGCATGACAAAACAACAATTCCCATGCGGATTCGATGCAGTGATTGTCATTCAATACTTGCAGTTTATTGGCGATCATTCAGACCTGCTATGGGAATATGGCGAAAATTTCCGGATCGAGTTCGGATCACTACAGTGCGAGCTACGAGACATTCTCATGAAAGGATCCCGGGAAGCTTGGTTTGCTGCCCGCCATGGACGCAGTGCTCTTGAATTTCGAAAACAGACACTACGACAGCTTGCTGGAATGAACTTTTTCTGGATGCAGACTGTTCTGGACTTGCGTGAGGAGGTGGCGGTCAGTGCTTCTGCTCCTCCTACGCCAACTCGAGATCAATCAATTGAGGCTCCTCTTCGTGTTCGAACTGCAAAGTGGCGGAAGCCTAGCTGGCTTACAGTTTCGACTCAGTTTGCCCTTATGTCCTTGCTCGGTGTTTGTTTTCTTGCTGTTTTTCTATTTCTGATGAGCATCTATGGAGCACCTTCCAAGGGTCAATCGCCAGTGAGTCTGTTTGGCTGGCGACCTTTCGAGTCGAAAGCCCTCAAGTCTGGGATTTTCGGACAGTGGCCTCTGAATCAAATTATTGAGTATTTGAGGCTACTTGGCCTGCTACCCTTCGCACCGGAGCCAAGGGGCATGCGTCTGTTAGGGTTGTGGCCTTTCAGACCAAATACCCAGCAAGCGATGCTATCCAGGTGGCTACGGTGGGATAGGATTGTCCCTGGGATCCTGGGATGGCGGTGCTTCAAGCAGAGAGGTTGGCAGTCAACCACAGAGCTTCTCAAAATGCTTAGTGGTAACCCACATTTTCAGAAGATCAAATCACTATCTGAGAGCCTACGTGTGCAGAGCATCGAGTCATCACGCAGGTGGCTGATTGCGCCGAGGAAGTTCATGGCTCTGAACATGGGATTCCCCAAGTGGCTGTCGGGTGGTGTTCAGTTCAGGACACGGTCTTTTCCCCAAGGGCCATTTGGGGTGAGTCTAGAGCCTGCCCGATACGGAGGCCCTTTTGGCTTTTTCAAATGGTGAGATTTGCGATTGTGTCTTGTAGTCAATTGATTGATCTTGAATTAAAGAGTCCCCAAGTCCGAAGTAAAAGCAGCAATCACAAAGCTTTTGTGCGGAGTAAGTGAATGTAGATGATCAATAGTAAGATCGAGGTCAGAGTGCAGTCGATCAGTGACGGTGTAGTCCCGGCCAGCTGCGAACAGCCCCTCGATCGAACCTTGGAAGCTAATCGTGCACCGCCACACTGTCCACCCAATCACATCTCCCCCGAACGCGAGCTTTGTGGCGCTACGTGGCTTCACCGGGGCCTCTTGCATAATCGACGCTCCCATTGGCTAATGACTCGCGCGGAAAGTCTTGGCGGCGTCATGTTTCGTGAGAGCTGTGCAGATGTAGCTGGTACCTCGTTTGCTGCCAAGACAGCGGACTCCCGAAGGTACCGAGTACTTCGATCTGCAGCTCTAATTTCGCTTCGCTCCTGTTTTTCTTTCAGCCCTGCAGCCCTATCGTTAAAGGCTGCCTAAAGCCACTTTCATCCCTCTGGCGCCCCCCTAACGTGAGAGCGCAACTTGCAACTTGGCTTGATTTCGTCTTTATAACTCCCCCTGTGCAACGCGAGTCGGCCCCTTTCACTTTTCTACAACCCCGGAGATTACCGCGAATCGCGCCAGCTGTCTGCGATGGCTGACTACAATGCGCAACCCATCAATGGTACGTTCGGGACCACAGCGCAGATTGCGAGACTCGCGCAGACTAACCAGACCCATTGGCGTGATAGGGACCCTCCCAAATGGCGGGGGTGAACCAACCGCAACCTCGAGCGGCTTTGAGCTGATTTCGGGCCCCTTGATCAACTTGAAAAACATGCACTACCAAAGCACCACCGTCTGGCACGGTAGTGTCCTGATTGTCACGAAGCCAGGCCAGGAAAAGCCCCAATTGCGCCTGCGCCAGCTCGGCTCAATGGACGGACAGACCGGCAACTCCCAACCCCAAACCGTCGAGGGTCTGAAGCTATACGAGGATCCCGAGAAAGCGTTCTGGCGGTTCTCGCTAGCCGTGCCGGTGGAGAAGTTCGAGGCGCGCTGGGAATACGATATCCCCGGATTGTACAACGGGTCCGGGGATCAGGTCCAGGCACCCTGGGAATTTGTGGTCCCCGCGGAAGAACAGTCCATGCGCATCATGTTCCACTCGTGCAACGGCTTCTCCGTCGGCACGGACATGAACGCCTGGGTGGGCCCGAACCTGTGGAATGATGTGATGCGCGTACATGGCGAAAAGCCCTTCCACGTCATGGTTGGTGGCGGCGACCAGATTTATAACGACGGCATCCGTGTAGATGGTCCGCTCAAGCCCTGGACGGCGATCGGGAACCCTCATAAGAGACGCAACCATGACTTCAACAACCAAATGCGCTCCGACTGCGATGATTACTACTATGCCAACTACGTGCGCTGGTATAACACTGAGCCCTTCCGTGCGGCAAACGGTCGCATTCCTCAGGTCAATATCTGGGACGACCATGACATTATCGATGGCTTCGGTTCGTACACTGATCATTTCATGAAGTGTGCCGTGTTCCGCGGTATCGGTGGTGTTGCTTTCAAGTACTACTGCCTTTTCCAACATCACATGGCCCCTCCCAAGTCTACCTTCACCACCGATGCCCCGCAGACTATGCATGCGGTCAATGGAACCTCGGGGGTGGACCCACGCCAGGTGGAAAACACTTACGTTTTGGAAAACCAGGTGGAAGACGATAGCTGGATCACTGGTAAGCGACCCGGTCCATACGTGGAAGAGCGCAGTAGAAGCTTGTACATGCGTTTCGGAAAGCGCATTGCCTTCATGGGCCTGGACGCTCGTACCGAACGCACTCGCCACCAGGTCAACTATAACGACACCTATGATCTGATCTTCGAGCGGCTCCAACGTGAAATTGCCGCTGCAGATGGCGACATCAAGCACCTTGTCGTGCTGCTTGGTGTGCCAATCGCCTACCCTCGTCTTGCCTGGCTTGAGAATATCCTCACTTCACCGGTCATTGCCCCGATCCGACTGTTAAACAAGCGTTTCGGTGTCGCTGGTGGTCTCTTCAACGAGTTCGACGGACAGGTCGATCTTCTTGACGATCTGGACGACCACTACACTGCGCGTCAGCACAAGCGCGAGCGAAAAATGCTCATTCAGCGCCTCCAAGAGCTCGCACGCAGCAACAGCATGCGCGTGACGATTCTCGGTGGTGACGTGCACCTTGCAGCCATCGGGCGGTTCTACTCGAACCCCAAGCTGAACCTTGCCGGCGAAAACGACCACCGCTTTATCGTCAACGTCGTCAGCAGCGCTATCACCAACAAGCCCCCACCAAAGGCCGTGGCCAACCTCCTAGCCCGCCGCAACAAAATCCATCACCTGGACCGTGACTGCGATGAAACCCTCATGCCCATCTTCGACAAGCAGCCTGGTGGCCAGGAAAAGAGTGCTGCATGGAACAAGGTCACCATGCCATCTCGCAACTACGCAATCCTGACCGAGGTCACCGCGCCCAGTGCCACCGGCTCCGATGGGATTTTGGAGACTGAGAGCGCGAAGCTCGACAAGCTTCCCAAAGACGGTCACGCGCCACTGCACAAGGGCGAAGTCGGCGCTGGGTCCAACCACCGTGCCGCCGATGGAATTTCCGTACAAAGCGGGATGTACGGTGGCCTCGATGTCTCAATCCGGGTCGAGATCGATCCCCAGGACCGCAGCGCCGCCACCGAGGGGTACGGCTTTAGCATCCCGCCTCTCATGGCTACTGAGGGGGCTCCGCGCACTGGTCATCGGTTGAGCTTGCACTCCCGCAGGTCGCAGCCAAGTCGCCCCTCTACGGCTCAATAATTGGAAATTGCCATCGCCGAGATTATCTACCGTTTGTAATGTTTGATGTCGAAGAGCATGGGCTTTTGTTTTTGATACCTCACATATGTTTCTTCCTAGTTTGAATAGTCTTAATAAATCGAATTTTTGTTCACATTATATCACATAGGTCAATTCTTCCAATCAGATACGAACGGATCCGATGCGGAGTTGACCCCTCGCATGGAAGCAGTTGCTCTTTAGGGTTAGGTCTGGCGTCAAGGTTTCTCATCTGCCTGTATGTCTTCTTATAGCGATCAGGTCGTACTTAAATAAACCGTGTGCAATTGGTACATGGATCCTCGGTCCATTGTCCGGAGTAAAGTACTACAACATCGATGCCCCTGGTGTCTACATTTCAGATGTCTTCTTGAGCCCCTGGGGGTATATCTAAATAGTGCACAAACCTTCGAAAGATGCCAAGCATCAAAGAATGCACATGTTGGCTAAAGGTGATATCTTCAAGTCTGCATTTCCGTCCTAATCTGTCGATGCGATCCTCGTCGCTATGCTCTCCGAGTGACCGGGAGCTTTCTCGTCCATCAATGATAATGGAAGATCCCCCTTCCACCGTATAACTCTGCCTATCGCTACTTCGAAATGCGAAGCCACTCCCCTCTCTACCACAAACAAGTTAGTAGATCATGTGGCTCATGGACAACACGGTCATCATTCGCTGTATCTCCGCATTTGAATCGACGTTCGTTGATACATGACGTCTCTTGCGTCCAAGCTCCATTTCGTATCATCTTAAATAGTTTGGCAGCAGTAGGTGCAGACTGAGAATTACCATCTCATTCATTGGTATATCTCATACTTCAATTCTCAGTAAGACATTGTCTCCGGGTTGGACAGCAAACTTGGCCGAAATGACGCCTAAGAAGACCACCACGCCGACTCCTGACTGCGATCACGAAAAAGGCACCATATCCCCCATTCCAGAGAATGTTGAGCTCGGTCAATTGGGTTATGCAGAAGAGCTGCGCCGTAACCGCTCGGTTCTCACACTCCTCTTCCAAACCCTCGCCATGGCAGCCATTCCCTACGGTGAGGGCACACCCCTCCTTTCAGCAATATACGGCGGTGGTCAGCTCTCCATCTTCGTAGGCTGGATAGTCGTTTGTCTGCTAGATCAGTGTATAGCTTTCTCTCTGGCCGAGCTAGCATCTCGCTACCCTACCTCTGCAGGGCCGTATTACTGGACCTTCCAAATCTCCCGTGGCAACAAAGCAACCATCTCTTTCATCAATGCCTGGATCTGGCTCATAGGCAATTGGACCATCACTCTCGGTGTAAATTTTGGATTCGCCTCAATGCTCTCAGCAACCATCTCAAACTACCACCCAACTTGGTCCGCTAACAGCTGGCAACTACTCCTAATATTTTACGCCGTCTTACTCATTTCCCTCACCATCTGTATCTGCGCCAACAACTACCTGCCCCAAGTCGACACTGCCTGTGCAGCCTGGACAGCCATTACAATCCTCATCATCCTCATTGCCGTCTCCATAAAATCAGAAATCCGACACTCCCCAGCCTACACCCTATCCCACTACGATACTTCCCTCGCCAACTGGGGCGGCTTCACCTTCTTCATCGGTCTCCTCCCAGCAGCATTCACCTTCTCAGCAATAGGCATGATCTCCTCCATGGCCGAAGAATGCTCCAATCCCGCCATCAAAGTCCCTCGCGCCATTGCCCTCAGTATTCCCGTAGGCGGCACAGCAGGTCTCTTCTTCATCATCCCTCTCTGCGCAACCCTACCTCCTCTCGCAGACATCCTCTCCGCTCCCGCCGGCCAAGCCCTCCCCTACATCCTCACCAGAGTAATGGGTCCAGCCGGCGGTCTTGGCCTCAGCGCTCTCGTCCTCGTCATCGCCCTCTGCTGCTCAATCAGCATCACCGTCGCCGCATCCCGGACTACATGGGCCGTTGCGCGAGACGATGCGATCCCACTCGCTCGCCTATGGGCTCGGGTTTCAGAGCGCTGGGGCGTGCCCGTTTGGTCTCTGGTTTTAGTTACGGGAATCCAGATGCTACTTGGGTTGATTAATCTAGGAAGCTCCAGTGCTTTTACGGCGTTTGTTTCGGTGGGGGTTATGGCTCTGGCAGCGGCTTATGCGATTCCCATTTTTCTGAGTCTGTGGTATGGGAGGGAGGAGGTGAGTCGGGCGCCGTGGAACTGTGGGATGGTGATTGGAAGGGTTGTGAATGTTATCGCCTTGGCTTGGATTGCCTTTGAGTTGGTGCTATTTAGTATGCCGACTGCGTTGCCGGTTACGGCCGTGTCGATGAATTATGCCTCGGTGGTTTTTGTGGGTTTCATGGCTATTTCGGCGGTTTGGTTTGCTGTATATGCAAGGAAATGTAAGTCGATATTGGATGTTTGGCTTCAAGGATATGAAAGAACGGGTTGCTGACCTTTTTTAGCCTATAAAGGGCCGCCGGAGTCGGATGCCCTCAATTGAGGCTCGAGTACTTCCCGAGGTCGTATCCAACTCTCCAATGTATTTTCTTTCAGCGTTTATCTTTCTTATTCTTTCGGTTTCTGATTGAGTCCCATAACAATCGCCTCCTTGGGCTGTTATTTTTGTTTATGCTTACACGGTTCGTCGGGCTTTCACGAGGCCTTCTAGGTTTCACATCTTGCGTGAAAGAATTGTCGCGATGAAAGAAACAATTCTCTTAATAAAGGACCATGTCTCTGAAGCGTCGATGAATTACTTGAACTATTTTGCCCAATTCTAGTCTGCCAAGCAGACTCGATTCTTTTCTTTGAGCTGCCAGAGATAAAAGATAATAGCTCTCCCTATGCTTCCCTTCACCTGCTCTCTACGAAGTGAAACATACGCCAGCATGGATACACTCGTGATTCTCATATATTACTGTGGCCTGTTTTATGCCGCCAACATTGTGGTGGCGACTATGGTAGAGTATGTTCAGGAGTGGATGGCAAACAGGAGCGAGAAAATCATCATCAAACATTACCAACCGGGTCAGAGATTGATATTCCCAGTCGTTCCCCAGCAAATTCATGCCAAGTTAATCTGGAAGAATCGCATACGAGACGACGCGGCTATAGATGACGGACTCACGCCTCACGGCACGAAGTACGCTACAATGATGCTCGGCGAAGTCATACTCGATCGGTACCAAATTGTTGGAAGGCTCGGAGTGGGAGATATTTCTTCGGTCTGGCTGATGCGAGACTTGATGTAGGCTATTCTTGGTCTTGACTATAATTCCTGTGCTAAAGAAACAGACACGAGAAATACATTTCAGCCAAGATCTACGCACATCTCGAGTCCGCTGAGGCAGAACTCGCAGCATTCGACAAAATCGAGAACTTGAGGTCACCCCATCGTGGTTGGGAGTACATCAGACAGAGGGATACGGCTCTGAACATCATCCGTGAAGAAGGAGACTGGTATGAGACTATCTTGCAGCCAGTGGTGTGCAATAATCTGTCCCCTGAATTTTTGGCCTTGAAATACGGCACCGAGCGCATGCCTATCAAGGTGGTCAAATCGGTGTTATATCAGACACTCCTGGCGTTAGATTGCCTGCACACAGAATGCAAACTTGCCCATACAGGTGAGATTTGTCCGGAATGTTGTAGAACCGGCTAACATGGAACAGGTATCCATGGTGGAAACGTTTTCCTAGAAATGCCTGACACGGCCAATAGCTCTCTTCTTGATGAATTTGTGCTCGCCGAATTGAATGACACTCAGCTACGGGATCCTGACGGCACATCCGATGACACAACCGACGACAATGACACAGCCGACGACAGAGCCGACGAATTCCCCAGGCCACTCGGTATGGATCACAGCATTGATGGCATCCGGGTAGGAGGCTTGAGTCGGAGTGTGGCAGCAGATGAGAGGCCTTATGGTGATTCCGGCCAGGCGGTCGAGCTACCTACATGTGTCTATCAAGCTCCCGAGCTGATGTTTGAGTCGGAATTCGGTTATGCCGTTGATATCTGGAGCTTCGGATGCTGGGTGAGTTGATCCTCTTTTCATATTTGATCTATGGCTCTAATCTCAAATTCTTCTAGGCGTGGGAGCTTGTACATGGTCAACCATTATTCAGTAGTGTGCTTGAAATGGAAGGCGAGGGCTTTGAGGATGGGGAAAATCGACTTGTGGGATATCAGGCTGTTGCTTGGAATATTCGGTCCTTGCTAGGACCTCCACCTCCTGATTTGCGAACGGGTATGGCAAATAGTAGCCACTTCGATAGAGGTATGATCTTCTTTGCCTGGTATGCTTGATTCCGGCTGACTTTTTGGTAGCGATGTTCGACGATGAAGATATTTGGAGAGGTCCGGTCCCCTTCGAGGATGCTCGGGTGCTTCTTGAGGAGGATGAACACCTGAAAGTCGACGAGCGGGAGCAATTCCTTGATTTGATGAAGGATATGGTTCAATGGCGACCAGAAGATCGGAAGACAGCAGGAGAATTGCTCGCGCATCCTTGGTTTGCGGGTTTTGGTCTGTTCACCGTCCCTACGAGTGACCATCATCAGGTCGACGACTCCGGCGGCGCGGCTTCATCTACCACCGAGAAGCCTGACTACGCCAATGGAGGGCCAATTAGCCCTACGTCCTATGGTGAGCAAGATGTTTCTGCTTGATTGGTTTTGGGGTTATTTCACCTCGTCGTTTCCGGCACTCAGCCCTGCAGTATAGTAAACAGTTTGGATCTAGATTTGGTGCGGTAGGAGGTCTGTTCTATAGAGTAAATAACTCAATGTGCGTTTTTCAAGGTTTATTCTCGATCGGCAAGAATCCCCTCCTCGTTATCACTGCCCTTCCTCCTTCGAGGGACCCCCTCATTCATAAGATTAGACTGTTTAGGCACGGATACCGAAGCATCGCTTGGCCTTCTCCTCCTGACAAGTTGATATCCCCTGTCTAACTCAATCTCTACGGCCTCTCTAACCTTCAACGCACTCACTGCAGGCCATACCCCTCGCTCTCCTTTGAGCGACCACTCCGCAACACGCTCTCTCGTTGGACTCTGGAACAGTTTTCTGAGATCCCAGAAATCCAGGTCCGGAACGAGCGTCAAATTAGGCCCCGGGATCGTTTCGTCAATGAGCAGTCTATTGAGTGGCGAAGGCAAGAGACCCAAGTAATCCAATTGCCTAAGTCGGTGACGGAGTTCCACGATTATGAGCCGTGTGGCCGAGCGGGAAAGATTGTTCCAGCCTGTCTGTCGCCTGTCCAAAAGATTGAGCTCTGACCGCAGGAAGGGAACAAGGTATGGCCGAGCCTGTGAGACGATGAAGTGGTTAACGTTGAAAAGTTCGGAGATTCGTGAAAGAGGCGATTCTCCTTCGTTGTAGTTGACATGTCGCCATGGACGGAAAATAGCGTCTTGGGTATGGGGCCACGGGACTATAGATCCCATTTCGTCTTTGCAGTAGATTGTGACTGGGGAATAAAGGGCCGCAGAAGATGATGCATTAGAGGCCACAGCAGCCGACCAAATAAGCTGAATGCATTAGAAGAATCTCCGAGCTGGGCAGGGAAATGACATACCACATTAGGCGCTGTGAGATAGTTCAATAGATTCGGTGTCCCGTTCTTTCCCGTTGTCGCAACAGTGATATTCAAGATGCGCTTTGAGCGCGCATACGCCTCCTCAAACGTCAGATCTCCCACGTTGGCCCTCACACACTCCTCTAAAACAGCGACATCAAACAGATATCCTTCCCTGAACAGTCGTTTCATCCGACGATAAAACGTCCCTACCCACGAAGAATCCGAATTCGCTTCCGACCCATTCATCTTCTTTCTCCGCTCAAAGGCAGAGAGGTCAATCCCCGCCCCGTCAAGCAGCGGTAATAACTCGTCCTCGGAATGAATGCCGACAAGCGCAGCAATCAAAGCCCCGGCCGCAGTCCCGGTCACGATACGCGGCAGCAGACCCTGCAAATGCAATGCCTTCACGACACCCAAATGACAAAGCCCGAACGCAGATCCACCCTGAAGCAACAGCGTCGTACGCCCAAATGCCTGCCGCGTATCATGCAACAACTCAAGCTTCGCCTGTGAGGTAAACCCACTCGCATGCGTGGGCTGAACACCCGTCACGTACTGGATTGAGAGCGCAACCTGCGTGATATAGTCATCGATAAGCAATTTGGTCCCTGCGTATGCGTGCGTGAACAATTTCGTCGATGTAATATTGCCTAGATTCCGCACAAGCCCTGACCGCAGGAGATTGACAAGTGTGAGGATATCCTCTGACTCGCGGGCACTCATCAGCGCTTCCAATCGGCCAAGTATAAGTCGGTAATCATAGTGGCGGCTAACGGGGTTCTGGCGCCTGCAACGGTTTAGTTGGGATCGCTATGCGGAAACAGCGATCGTACCAGAGGTCTTTACTGAGGAGCTCGTCGAGCTCGAATGCTGCCTCTTCCCATTCCTCATAGCTTTGCGCGTTGGATAGCGTGTGGAAGAGCCTGTCTCGTGGCGATTTCGAGTGCCACCAGGATAGCAGCTTCTGGGTTATATTAGCTTGGAGGTCTTCGCGGGTGCAATAGCTCATGTCGAAGTGGTGGAAGGCCTTACATCTCGCCAGAATCCAGCCACGTCTAGGATCATGTTGAATATTGCTCTCACGATCCTCCATAGGCCGAGCCACTCCATTTTGGGGGTTGCGGGAGAAGACGTGCCCAGATGCACATGCGGGCCCTCTTTCACATGCTACGTCACGCGCGCGAGTTGCCGATCAAACAATTGCGCGGCAGATTTAAATGGGGGAGTAATCGAGTCGACGAAGGTAACGGATTAGAAAGATGGAATACCCAGGTAGTGAACCTTGGTGGGCTGAGATGCAAAAGGCTAAGGTCAGGTCGTTGAGTGCCGAGCGCAACCTCGATTCCCCGGATTTGCCTAAGATTCCCACGTTGGTACACACACCCATCTGATTACCCTACACAAGGAATGAGAGTGAAAAAGGAATTGAATGGGATTGCCACGGGCGCATTTCTACACATATAGGACATTTTCGCGTAAGGGAATTGAATTTCAAAAGGGTCGTTTTTGTTTTGACATTTCGCTTTGCTTCCCTATATGCAAAAGTAGGCGAAATTAAAGAAACCTCTCCCGGACACCAGAGTCACATTTACTCTTCAATGATGTTGCCCCGCTCCGACACGTACAGACCGTCCAAGAACTGGTAAAAGTTAGTATGGTTGATCATTGAATTGCGCAACTGGAATAGTTTGGTTGTATAACTCACCTTACGGATATCCTTGTTGCGAACACGGCAGATCTGCTGGATGTCGGCGGCGCTCTGGGAGACACCCTCGAGGGAGTTACCGGTAAGGATGAGCTCATCCTTAACGTTGGGAGAGGGAACGATCTCGACATCGGGCTGGGCAGTCACGCGGCGGACGTACTTCTCACCGAGGAAGTTACTAGAAAGAAATTGTCATTAGTTTGTGTTCGATTTTCAATGCACAATTTCGCGTCGCAAAATGTGCCATATTCCGAGTAGCATACCGGATCTCAACGGCGGCACGGCCAGTCTCCTGGTTGGGCTCGATGGTGACGTTGATGGGGAAATGGGCGTAGACGTAGCGCATCTTGTACTTGAATCCACGGGTGACACCGATCATCAGGTTGTTGATGATGGTGCGGACGGTGCGGAGAGTAGCAACGCCCTTGCGGGCACCGTGGTGCAGCTCGATGGAAATGACATCCTTCTCGGGGCGGCCGAAGGTGACGGCAATGTGGGACAGGTCCTTGACGAGCTTGCCGCGGGGACCCTCGACGGTCACGATGCGGGACTTAATGTGAACCTTCACTGTATTGGGAGACCGGTTAGTATGTTTGAATTGAAACTTTGTTGCAATTGAATGCAAATTCGAAGCCGAATCTGCGATTCACGAATTCGATTCAAGGATTTCTGGTGCGAGTCGCCGGTCCCACACAATATTTTTTTTTTCTCCTCCTGATTCTGTCGTAGACTCGTAGTTGGGTGCAGTTGTTTCGCTGGGAATCGTGTTGTTGCGTGCGAAGCTTCATTGTGTGTTCATCGTGTTCCAATATTGTGTGCGACCGGCTTCATCTCCAGAATCCCAACGAGAACAAGAAAAAGAAGTCTCTCACCATTGTCCAGAATGGGCAACCGTTCCTCGGAGTGAATGTACCGCATCTTGACGTGACTGTTGGTGTTAGCCGGGGGTGTGGTTGTCGATGTCGGGGAGGTTCGAAAATCGGAATGAGCAAGTGGAGGAGCGAAATTGAAGTCACGGGATTGTGCGTCGCTTAGGGCCAATTTGGGCTCACCGCCCTTGATTAGGGTTCTTTATCTCCTTATCGCCCTATCATTTTAGGTACCGGTACCTAGAACACCGTAATGATAATATTGTGTAAAATGTACCAGTACTTGCAGAATCGAGGTCACCCTGCTCATCCTTCTGCCTTTTGGCACGTCTGTTCTTGGTGATCTCGCTTTATGTACAACACCCTCCAACGGCCTATCGCCCACGGAGGATTAAAACCAGCTTTACAGACACTAATTCATACTAACTCATAGCCCTTTCTCGACCTCCAGATGCTCAACATCCACGATCCACTTTCCTCCCAATGATTTCAGCTTCGAAGCCAGCTCGTCGCTTTGTTCCAGAGCCGCAATATCATCTCCCCCACCAATACTCGTTCCGCTCACGAGGATATTCGGCACAGTGCGACGACCGGTCTTCTGGCCCAGCAAAGCTTGTAGAGACGGACCGAGCGGGTGTTGGTCCAGTTCTACCACAAAGGGCTTGGGCTGGATGGCGTAGTGCTCCAGCAAGATTGTCTTGGCTCTCTTACTGTGAGGACAGTAGGATTTGGAGAAGACGACAACTGGGTGTTGGCTGTGTTAGCGGAATCGGTACCATGTTCGTAGTGCTAGGGGGCACATACCAGGAGCTCTCTTGAGAATATCATCCAACTCGCTCTTCGCTTCGGCTTCTTTCTTTTCCTTCATCTCGCGCTCTTTATCCTCTTCGCTCTTCTGGTCGCTTTCACCCTGCGCTTCCTTCACGTCTGTCCCCTGCTTCTTCGGGACGGTCATCTTCGTCCGTCCCGCAATAGGGATATCCTCGGTTTCTTCGTTCGCGGGAGGAATGGCGGCTTTCTGCGCTGGCCCATTATCGGCTCCGGCGCCAGCGCCAGCGCCAGTCCCGGCTCCCGGTGTGGTTCCCGGTGCGTGCATGGCATTCTGGATCTTCTCTTGTGTTTTAGCGTGGTTCGCTTCCTTTGCCTTCATGGCATCAACTGTTGATCGGTAGAATTTTTGGTTCTGGATTTTGCTGGCTTCACCCTGGTTCGTGTTAATTGAAGTCTGATGAAAGGGTCGGAGGATGACGTACAGAGTAGTAGAATGTCAGGAACAGCATTACAATGACTGCAATGACTGCCAGTCGTAGTCGCCGTTGAGAAGGCATTGCGAACTTTTATGGTTCGGATCTTGCACAAGGGAAGTCGTTTTGTCTATGTTGATCGGGGAAGAGTCCTAGCGCACACGCGACAACGTGATGGGGTCTGCCAAGAAATCGATCCGCCGTTGCTTGTGATGCGGCTCTACGCCGTGCTGAGTCAATGGGTCGTATACGATATACGAAGTCCTCAAGACCATGGAGAGGATTCCAGCCGTCGGTATATTCTCAATGACCTTGGAAGACGATAGACTTCCTGCCTCAGGAGAAGTGGGGTGTGGTGATCAGTATCCCTGCTTTGCGTTTGGTCTGAGCGCTCTTGGCAGATATATATCTGAACTACACCACTCCAACGGTTGAGTAAATCAATATTCCAAGTCTACTAGGTACTTAGGTAGGTATCCATTATAGGCTACATAAAAGTACCACCTGTGAAAACCAGAAACATCGGATGAATTGATGGATTAAAAGATTGATTAAGTACACATGACTGGGTATTATGCGAAAGCAGACGAAATCTTTTCAAGGTTGTTCAGCCGGACCCAAGTCAGTCGATCATGGACAGGGCATAGGTACACCATTAAGCTTAGGAATAAGTTAATAAGTAACAGTAGGGAATCAATCAGACAGCGCAAGCCAGTTGCGGTCGAAAGGAGGGTGAATGAGGATTAGGAGCCACCGGGGCTGAGTCAAGTCTGGATCGATAGTCCAGGTCTTGCATGATTAGTACGGCGTTTGCCTTGAACCAGAGTCGTCCAATCTTCCCACTCCCTGGCTATCTCCGTCAGGACGTTACCCATGACACCAGCGGAGGCCATGAGGCCATGGCCTTCACCTTCCAAGATCCGAACTTCACAACGTCGCATGGTTTTGCCGAGCCATTGCACGTTTTCAACTGGGACTCGGGGGTCTTTGCGGCCATGGTGAATCACGACAGATCGGGTTATGTCCACATAGCGGAAGCCGATGGTTTGGCGGCGCTCGAGACAAATGAGCAGGTCAACAGATGGGTTGGCGTTCATAGTTGCGCGTTCCCAGATCTTGTATGTGAGACGGGTATCATAGTCACGCTTGCGCTCAATCTCTTCTTCCGAGTGCTTGGCGCGCAATGCGAGGGTGGTATCGCTTTTGTGGTGCGAGGTTGTCACCACTGATGACTTGATGTCGGGCAATGTCTCTTCTCGGTGGAAGTTGGTCTCGATTGGGGGGATCTGTGGGACAATGGGATTGTTGACTTCTTTCGCGGTTTTGCGCTTGGATCGACGCGGAGACTTGGGAAGGCTGGCGGTGATGCTGGCGCTGGTTGCGGTCATGAAGCTTGAGTTGGCAACTTTCAGAAGGGAAGTGGGAAGGGCGCGGAGGATCTTTTGGGTATAAGGGACTGCGTTGCTTGGTGCAGGGTCCTTTTGCGAGCCGAGTGTGGACAGCTGGGATGGCGGTATCCATGGAGCCAGGAGGTGAATGCGACCGCGGATATGTTGGGGAATGCGGAGGGCCGTTGCAAGGGCATAGATTGCTCCGGCGGAATGGGCGAGAATAGAGAACTTGGTTACCCGCAGGTGGTTGCATACGATAGCGACATCATCTGGCCAGTTGAGAGGGGCATTGGGCTCGTCAACTTGATGCGGCCCGCTCTCGCCAACTCCCGGGCGATCTAATGTCACCAGGCGTAGATTCAGGGTCCGGGCCAATTCATCGTAGAACGCCATGAGGTACCGGGTGAGGCCCATGCCGACGCAGCAAAGCACAACATGGCCTTTAGGGTCGCCGACCTCAGAAAATGCAATGGAGCGGCCACTGGTCGGATGGGTCACCCTCTGGGTCAATTTCGGAGAGAAGATATAGTCGTCAACTGCAAGATCAATCGAATCTGCACTGGATGGCCGTTCAGTGCTAAACGACCGACGTCCATTAGACACGTGCGACACATGCGAGAGATGACCGGATGGAGTGCGGCGATGTTGGATTGGGGCAACAGGCTCGAGAGATCTTCTGTATCGAGCCCTCTCGGATTCCGGTCTCTCCCCAGACATTTTCGGTAATAGAGGCGGCAAGTTGGTGGACTTGGACGAGAGAGGTGGGCCCGGTCGTGTGCCACGGCTCTTTCCCGTCATTACAGATGGCGATGGGGCACTTTCTTCCAGCGGTGGACAATCACGAGGCCCATCGTGGATTAGAGCTTGGTTGACATCGTGGCCTAGTACACGCGACGCTTTCGAGATCTTGGGCTTCACTGATTTGACCGGTGTCGTCTTCGCCGAGCTTTCAGGGCTATTGTCAGCCTCCAACTCGGTCTTGATCTTTTGCTGCTGGTCTTTCAATTCTTGGATCCGCTTTGTCACCTGCTCGGCATCGTTGCTCGTTCCAGGCAGCCCGTTTGCCGCAGCTGATTCTTTGCTAGCCGTCGAGGGAAATCTGCTGTGACGCGTAGATCGATGCTTTCTTGAACCTGACGATTGACTATGTCGATGCCGCACAGATGAGTCCCGGGTAGGAATGATTCTCCCACTGCCGATCCCGCCGGGGCTCCCAGCATCTGGGGTGTGGAGCGATTGTAGGTCATGAGTAGGTGGAGTTCCAGCCTTCTCCTCGAACACATCTTCTTTCAGGTCCGCAGGGCGCGACTCTTCGTTGACTTCCGCCATGGAGTGCAATGAGCGCAAACTCGCTCGGCTGCGCGGAACGTTATGCCTCAGCCCGTCGTTGTGGCTGATCGTCCGTCGTAGACGCTCTATCTGCGGATCCCTCTCGGTCGAAAATTCGCGCGAAGACGATTTCTTTAGCAAGCCAAATGGGCCCTTCAGGCTCCGTGCTCGACCTGCCGAACTCGTTGATGCAATACTTGGCGCGGCTGACAGGCGAGGACCGGGCTCTGTGCTGATGGTACCAAACGATGCCTCCTCCGGAGCTATAGTAGACGCGAATGAGTCTCTCGAGGCGGGACGAGTCGAGTCGGATCTGAACGGTTTGAATCTTGGAGATCGAGGAGACTTTGGTGACGGGGGCGCCCTGGCCATGCGAATGACAGGCGATGAAGCCGCATCATCAGGGTGCAAGAATGGGGCGGGTGGTTCTGGCGGCTCCGTGGTTGGTTTGTATGCACCGTAGCTCATACCAAACCCATGTTGTTCGGATGGGGGGACCGAGTAGACCGGGGCGGTACGGGGTACCTCAGGCAGCCCAGGTTCGGAATCCGTATCGATCTTGGGGACGGTATCAAAGTGGGAGTTCAGAGGTACCGATATGGCCGAGAGAGACGAGATGAGCGACGAAATGACTTCGGGTGAGGTTGGATCTCCGTTGCGCGAGGGCATTGATTTACGGCGGCGTCGGCGACTGAGCAGGGCAGACTCCGCTTGCACGGGGGCCGAATTCTCGTTCAAACGCATTTCAACTAGGGGCGTTCCCAAACACAAACTTTGAACGAAGCTCCAGGCGCATGATCTACTGGCGATGTTCCTCTACCCCTTACAGTAGATAACCAAGGCCGAGCACGGAGTACTCCGCGTAGATCGAGAGTCGTCGACCGAGGGTTTAACGAAGGTTTTTCGGGTGATAACCGGTATAGCTAAAGGGAAAAAGAAAGGAAAACAAAAGCAAAAGAAGGAGAGTCGATCGGTCAGATCGAGGGGTATTGGCCTCGGGAAGGTCTTAATTTTCTTGCGATGGACGATTAGCGTTGACAAGACTCCACCAGATGGATCTTAATTTCCCACTTTTTCCCACTCACGTCCCGTTCCTGCGATCCATAGGTGCATAGGCGCACTTGCAACTGCACTTCCGAGATCTGGCTGTGCGGTTAATTGGCATCTGCAGCCGACTCGAGGGGGTTCCCGTCCAGCCCCGTCTCCACTCTACAGTACTCCGTAGGGATAGCACATATACCAATAGAACCTGTCAGGGTTTCAGATATTTGAGAGACTCCACGTGGATTTACGATATTCCTGTTCCAGGTTCATCGCCGCATTGCCCCTTTATGGGTGTATGAGGATCGGCAATCTCATATTCGAGATCATATCATGCAGATTGACTGTATACTAGACCGTACATGGTCATTCAGATAACTCCCATCAGTGCCCAGGTGTATATCTACCTAGGTAGGTAGCTACTAGGTACCTATGTATGTATTTTAAGTACTCCTAGTTTCCAAGGTTGCAATATATGCATGCCGTATACGAAGTGGTGATTTTTCTACGCAGAGTGGCCGGGTCAACTGGTGAATATATATAGTCACCGAAACCATATGTTTTGATCAATCACACCTGGGCACTTTGTGAAAAGAATTACTGGTGGTAAGTCCCCACTGAGATTGTAGAATCACACACATTTCCCACATGGACTGGTATAGCTGTAGGTCATGCCACGTTCTAAGGTTGTCCTTGCTGGAAGCACGATGTGTACTTCGTAGACCATGCCCAGGTGGACTCCATCTACTCCGTACTCCCGCCTATCGCAATGGATCCCTGACCGCCCATGGCAGTATGGCCATTGTCAACCTGCCCAAACACCGGTCACGATTAAAGCCTATTGTTGATTAATGGTCGTGATCTCTGTGTTTTTCACCTAACCCCCGAAACGCCCATATGTTTGATTGAGATGCGGTGACCGTATCGCAAACTACCCATTGCCCGCAATGGACGCCTACCCCGAGGACTACGTCGACCACAACCTGCCTCTAGTCCTACTCTCTGGATTAGAGGCAGATGATACCGCCGCAGTCCCCCCAAGCTACCCTCTATTAGCAGAAAGAGGAACTCATATCTTCTCCGACTTCCCCCCTTTAAGTGGAGGGGTTGCGGCAGAGCTTCGGAGCTTGTTCCTCCAAGAAGATGGCACTCACATGCCATGGAAGTCTAGAATCAACGTGAGCGGAAACACCGCAACCGCAAATATCAGTTATCGGATCAAAAGCACGGGCCGGGTAGGTTCATACTCTGCGATTTCAATCCTGTCGGGCTCCCAACGTCACGTACATCTTCCTAATCTACGTAACAGTCATGCCGACTCCCACCTCGAAAAGCGGACCCCCCAATACCATCCCCCCCAGCTAGTCCAGGCGACCAGGACAAGGGAGCCTCCGAGTCGACCACACATTATGTTCTACACTCCCCAATATCTCCATTGACCCCGGGTTCCCCGACCTTCCCTGATGGGTTGCTCACCCCTCTGTGGGCCACCAAGCACCAGAGCTTGGTGCCTGCAGCGGTGCTGAATTTCTTTCCGTTCTCGCTGGACCCGAATATGAATTCCCTACGAGACAATCAGCTGAAAATCGAGATCAACAGCTTGAAAACAGAATGGCAATCCTCGGGGTACAAGACGCGATTTGTGGTGGTTTTGATCTCCGAAGATGGAGAAGACGGCGGATACGAGGGCGAGATCGACGATCGCATTGCAGGAATCCGACGAGCAACGAACCTCGAACCCAAATCCATCTTTGTGATCCCACCAGACGCGACTTCATCAGAACTACAGGACTTCGTTAAGTCGCTATTTTCATTATTGCAACCTTCGGTCGTCGAGTACTATCGGGATTTGTCCAAACATGCCAGGCGGAAACGAAACAGAGGAAGCATTCCCCCACCGACTGCACCGCCGACCACGGGGACCTCTCAGACGTTGTCATCGCAAGGGTGGAACGTGCGATATGAATTCAAACTCGGCGTCTTCGCCGAGTTCCGCCAAGAGATGGATGCAGCATGCCGGAACTACGAGAGTGCATACGACACCCTATTTGGACATGAGGTGTTCGAGATTATTGCTGGGTGGAACCCTCGGTTCAACGATGCACGTCTTTTGGCCGATGCCCTCGCCATACGAATCATGCGATGTCTTCTGTGGGCAGGCCAGACGACTGCCGCAGCGCGGCTCTGGGCGGACCACAGAATCCGTGTACGGGATATTGTGAACCGGCGGGGCAAGGGCAGCAAACACTACGGGTGGGAGGCATGGGAGGCGAGATGGTCGATGGTCATGGCCCAGCTCATCCGTCGAGCAGAAATCCCGTCTATCTCTGGGGCAGGCTCCAGCGAAGAGACCAGGGAGCTCTACACGCTACCCGAAAAATCCATTCCCACCGGGGAGCGTGTCAAGCCTTGGGACCATCTTCACCACGAGGGATACTGGCTACATCGCTCAGCGAAACATACAATGATCCGACGGGCGCTTGCTCTCGAGATACCTGCCGAGGACCGCATACCACCCAAGCAATCACCGGCATCGCAAATGGCGAACAAATCTTATTTGTACGATACATATCTTGTCCCCGACACTCACGAAGAAGCACCGCAAGAAGGACGAACTGGCTTCGACCATTCGGCTTTGATATTGAGTACCCTGAAAGCTGCTATTGTGGAGTTCGAGAAACGTCACCAGACACGGAAAGTTGAGAGTCTGAGTCTGGAGGCAGCGGAGGAATATATGCGTGTGGGCGCGTGGCCTGAGGCGCACGCCATCCTTAAACCTCTTTGGTCAACACTTAGCTGGCGCAGGTCTGGGTGGTGGCACCTTATGGTCAACTTCGGATGGGCTCTCAGGGAATCCTCTCTCCGAACGGAGGATAGCGAGACAGTTTTGCGTGTGGACTGGGAGCTGCTTAATAAGTGTCAGTACTTGAAACTGGCCATTTATGCTCTCAAACACTAACATTCAATAGCCTTTAAACCGCGGCCCGGCTGGCACTACGACATTCACAGGAGTCTCGAGGGGCTGCCTTCTGAAAAGCCCAAACCGTCTCTTATCCTGCGTGCAGAGGATGTCTTGACAAGCTGTAAGCGAATTACTCAACATGTAAATTCACCTTATAATACTGACACCTCATCAGTGAACGCATCCTTGGTATTTGAGAAATCTAATGGTAATGTTGGTGAGCCGCTACAGGCCCAACTTGCCATCACTTCTTCTGCCCATATGAATTCGGCCCCAATTCGCCTCTGTGAGGTCAAGCTAGTGTTTGAAGGATGTCTACGACCGGTCAAAATCACATCTGACCAGAACAAGGACGCCGACATCGCTACTAGCTGTTGCCTCTCGAAAATTCCACTCCGTGAACCGAGTAGCCCAGTGGATGGTACGCTTCAATCGCCGACTGGTGGGCTTGCCACTCTGGTAGGGGTAGCTGATCTCACACTGGGGCCCTCTCAGACCAAGGTGTTTGATCTCACCTGCATTCCTCGTGAAGCCGGTGAAGCTCGAGTTGCTTCGATAACAATGCTGATCGAGGAAGAACAATTCGATCTTGGCTATGCGATCACAGAACCAGAACAGCGTGAGTCGTTCTGGTGGCACCAGTCACCGAAGGGCGTGTCTCGCAGAAGGGTTGGGAAAGACCGCGACACTGGCAAGTGCAAGGTCATGCCAAAGCCACCCAAAATTCGTCTCACGACACCAAATTTAAAGGAAACTTACTATAACAATGAGCGAGTGACTCTTCAGATCAGCGTACACAACGATGAAGACGAAGCCGCTGAAGTAACGACTGAAATCAGGCTTTTTGGGCCCGAACCCACTGCCCAAATTCATTGGCTCAACGACACCGACACTGAACCTCTTGACTCGGGTACTAGCACACCGACCGAGGGACCATCACATTTCTTGAAGCAATCGATAGGGGCCATGGAGCGCTCATCCGCCAAAACCTTGGAAATTGTTCTTGACAACACCGAGGAATCGACCGACCTCACCCTTGAAGTCTCCGCAGTATACCACTTGTTGTCTGATATACAGACTCCAATCATGAAGAACATTACCGTGGAATTGGCTTTCATCCGGCCTTTTGAAGCAAACTATGATTTCCTTCCAGCCATTCACCCTGAACAGTGGCCTAATTTCTTCGCTGTGGATGATTCCCTGCTTGATGGATCTACTCCGGGAGGCTTATTCCAGAGATGGTCTCTCAATTCGAAGGTTGTTTCGTTTGCACTGGAGCCTTTGGCAATCGATAAAATGTCACTAGTCCTCCTTGAAGCCAATGGAGGTGCTATTTGCACCGTTGGCCCAGAAGAGCTGGTCAGCCCCGAAACATCCCTCCTCTCGCCGGAGGAGGTGAGAGAATCAAACTTCTGCCTCGATGTTCAAAAAGCAGTGCTTGGAGACCGTCGACCAACAGCACTCAGCTGCGTGTTAGAAATCAACTGGCATCGCAAATCCGAGTCCAACGAGAACACCACAACCTCAGTTCTCGACATTCCGCGCTTTGTTGTACCTATGGGCGAACCTCGCGTTCTTGCTTCGGCTACTGCATCTGAAACTATGGCTGGACTTGTTCATATGGAATACGTGATAGAGAACTCATCCACCCACTTCCTCACATTCAACTTGCTCATGGAAGCGAGTGAACAATTTGCGTTCAGTGGCCCCAAGACTACAGCGGTGCAAGTCATGCCGCTGAGCCGGCGCACCGTGCAGTATAATCTATTTGCTGCAAAGCGCGGCTTGTGGATTCAGCCCCAGCTGGTGGTTATCGATACCTACTTCAACAAGAATCTGCGCGTTCTTCCAACGGGCGATGTTCGGTCTGACAAGAAGGGGGTCTTGGTCTGGGTTGATGCGGAAGATTGATATCCCATGTAGATGAATGAAAATGAGCTATGAGTAGCAATTCCCAATTCAAGAGCATCTGGACATCCATGGATTCCCGAGGTCCAGGATTGTATACAAAATCACGTGGAGCCCTTATCGTCTCATTCCAGATCCGGATTAGCGGCGATCTCAGCGTTCCGACTTGCCGTCAGAGAGCTTCGTCTCCAAGCGATTCCCAGCTTTCCTTCACGAATCTGCCAGTGCCAGTCATTAGCAGGATAGAGTCACGATTTTATCGAAAGCACGCCATATCTATTCCATCTCGGGATCTCCCCCTCTAGACGATTCTGTCAACCCCTCCAACGCGCCGTTTTCCCGTCAGTTGAAACGGAACCGAAACCATGGCGGCGCAAGCGGCATTAATCGCCGATACAATTACGGGCATGAAGCGGGCTTTGCGCAGAGAACGCGAAGGTATGTGGGACTATCGACTATGGACCGATTCCCCAAAAGTTCCGTGTTGACGCTTTTACAGACAACGGCCCAGACGACCCGATCATGGCGCCCACGAACCGGGGTAACAAAATGCACGCCAATGCCAAGTTCGTGAGTGAAGGTGCTCTGGGATACATCAATGGCGAAAATTTCTACAAGCAGGTACGTTGGTGACGGCGTCGAACCCAGACATGAATTTTAAAGGCTGATGGTTGTTGTGATTCAGAAAGTTGAGCATGCTGGCTACACACGGCACATTCTGCAGCCGAACCCGACTCGTTATGATTCCGAGGGCGACGAGCTTGACGAGGAGGATGAAGATTCTGAGGCTGATGTCGCGGCTGCGGAAGATAACCCATTCGCTGGGATCGCGCTCGAGAGTAAGAACGCTCTTTCTTGATTCTATTATATTCGTTTACTGATTTGATACTAGCCCTTTTGTGTCCCCTGAAACACCCGTCCGAACTCCCCTCGCATCCGTCCATGTCCCAGCCGTACACTTCGCAAGCGCTGGAACATATGACTGAAGCGGTTGATTTTAAGCTGCGCCAGGAGCGTGCTTTGCTTTGGCGCGCGAGGAATCTGCACAGGCAATTCCTTGGGGATGGTGGATGGATGCCGTGCAATGTGATGGAAACACCCGATGACCGCTGGATCTTCGAGCCCAGGATTATCGGCAACGGTGCAAGTGTCTCGACCGGCCAAAATGGACCTAGTCGACCTATGACCCCATCTGCTGCGGATACCAGTGCCCCACAAGATGTTGCCCAAGACGAGTCTTCAACAAACAACGCCCCGGATGGTAGTCAACCACCGCAGCCAACGAATGACTTCGAAATGGCCGAGGCCCCCGAGGCAGAATCTGACAAGCCGGACCCGCAGCTCAAGTCAGAAGAGACCGATGCGATGGTCAAGGATTTACCAGCTCACAATGATCGACAAGAAACTGATCAAGCGGAGGCCGATAATGAGAAACAAGACATGGGGACTCCAAAAGATGACGAGCATGAGGTTGATGAAGGAGACCAAGAAATGAATGACGATTCATCCCCAGAGCCGCTTCGACGAATGACAACACGCGCTCAGGCCAACGCTGATAATGATGGATCCCCCGCCTCTTTCGCCGACTCGACTTCAACCTTGCCCACCCCACACCCTCTCTTCCTGATCCCTGATAATGTTCGCCCAGATGCGAACTTTGGCCTACCTCCCGCCGAAGCGGAGGAGACTCGACGACTTCTTTGGTCATACATTCAGAAGCAAGAAGAGACGGTGCGCGGCTTTGAGCATATGTTCGATTCACTCATCAAGGCAGCTCGGATGAAATCCGATGTGCTGGAATGGTGCAAAGCAGAAGGCCATGTTGGTGAGATGAGTGATGGCGAGGACTGGTACGATCGGGAGAAGTGGGGCCTCGCCGAAGGGGAAGACCTGAAGAAGGGAACCGATGAGGATGAAGTCGAGACTGTTGACGAAAGTCGAACGCAGGCCAAGAGGGGGAGAGGCAGGCGGCAATAGATTTGATGCTTTTATTTTGTCCTGTCCCCAGCGTGGTGTTCAAGGTTCTGCAATTGGTTTATACCCTCACAATACACATGATTTGGATTCCCGAGGTATCACACTTACCCACCTAGAACCGAATTAGTGGAAACGTTGCGAGATTACCGCATTCGGCATGCACTGCGGCTCCAAGGCTGAAGTTCAGGGCTTCCGATCGGTCTGAAATCTACCCGAGTCGGACTCGGATTCTCCGTATCTGAAGCCGAGGTTGCGCAATGGTATAAAAACGAAGGCCAACACAAACCATCATTCACAGAGAGTACTGAACACACCATGGCAGCGCCGAGCCGCATCAATGTACAGATCCCAACCTCCCAGGCCCCGCTAAGCAGCTGGCTCTACCCATGCACATCCAGATCCCAGTCCGCAATAATTCTCGCTCATGGCCTGGGCGCAACCAAAGAGCTTAAGCTCTCAAGCTACGCAGCCGAGTTCCAAAAAGCCGGCTACACATGCATCGTCTTCGACTACCGGTGCAATGGCGAGACTGCAGGGCAGCCCCGAGCACTGGTAGACTGGCAAATGCAGCAAGAAGATTGGAGATCGGCAATTGCATACACGCGACAACTAGACGGCATTGACCCCGACTGCGTGGCGCTGTTTGGAACGTCCTTTAGCGGAGGCCATGTTATTCAACTTGCTGCAGAGGACAGTCGCATTCGAGCCGTTATTTCTCAATGTCCGTTTACAGACGGCGTGAGAAGCTCGTTGACTGTCGGATTGAAGGCTTTGCCCGGGTTGATCTGGGCTGGAGTACGGGATAGCCTTTTCGGAGATACTTCTGTCAACCTCGTCGGGGCACCTGGGGAGGGTAAGTTCATCCTTCAATATGCTCGAGTAATGCTCACGTGTTGTTTAGTTGCACTGATGAATGCACCCGATGTATTGAAAACCTTTCGCGGGCTTGTTCCTGAAGGGTATGCATTCCAAGAGGAAGTCCCAGCTCGATTGGTTTTGCGACTCCCCTTCTTGAAACCTGGGAGTTATGCATCCAAGGTGCAGTGCCCTATCTTCTTTGCAGTATGTGGAACCGATTCTGTTGCGCCGGCGGGTCCGACGCTTTCCTACGCAAAGACTGCACCGAAAGGAGTTGTTGAGCTGTATGATGAATTGGGACATTTCGAGATTTATTACGGTGACGCTTTCCAGAAAGCTATGTGTCATTATGTTAAATTCTTGCAAGTGAATCTACCTACTGATCCTGCCAGGAGCTGTTGAACTAGCCCTGGAGATGTCTAGGCGATTACTTGCCATGTCAGAAGGTCTTCATAACGGGACAAGATTATAAGGCTAGAGAGTACTATATTCATTGGCCGCTGGGCTCCAAATCTTATGAGACCTAATCTAGATGCCCAGGCGTTTATATCATTTGACTCTGGACTCTGCGAGTATTGGGTAGTGCACTTTCTTCGCGTAAATACCTAGCTCCGGATCTGATTCCCATATGGTGGACCCTTGAAGACCAAACATCACATGTATTGAGCGAGGTGGAAAGCAAAAAAAGTAAGGGGACTGCCAGTCAGCGAACCCATAGAGGACCTTAAAGGCTAGACTGCGACATTGCGGTGGGTGGGCTAAGCTCAAGTTTACATGATCTTAATGGTCAAGCCGACAGTTAAGCCCATCATCTCCACAGATAGGAGATGACTTTGGCGTTGATTTAGTTTTACTGATACAAATTTTAGCAACAGACATTTCTCCATTCGCCATTGAACAGGCGAACGATCCCAAAGCCTCGTGCATATCTTCCGTCATTCGGAGCGAGTCAAATTTACTGGTGTGGCTGTACAACGGGGTTTGTCGCGATGGGTTGGTTCGATTGTCTTTGTGGTCGCGTAGGGTAATCACAGTGGCACTTGTCGGGGACAAGTGATGTCTATCGTTTACAGATCCAGTATCGTTGAAGATCCGAATACGTCGGTGTGCTGGAAGCTTGTGGAGGAGCTCCACGCTCGGGCCTCAAGGTGACTTGAGTGACCCGAGCTGGCGGCCTCTGGTGGGCCATGCGCGGATTGTGGATGTTGAAGGTCTCAAACAACCCCGGTGCACGTGAAAAGCACTTATTGCTTCTTGGCGCGTTGGCGCTCACGCTTCGCATAGATCTCAGCGGTGAAGGGGCTGCAGATAGTCAGTAGGGTTCTAGTGATCCACGGGTGTAAACCTACTCTTCCCAGCCAAGAGCGAACCAGTAGAACACAAAGACCTGAGCAGTCAAGAGGATGCCTGCAACTTTGCCATGGTACAAAGCGACACCGAGGAAATTCAGAGTGCTGCCCCAGTACATTGGCGAGCCAGTCACGTTGAAAGGGAAGCCGGTGACAGGAGCGTCCATGAGAATACCAAAGTAGTCACCAAGGTAAGTTCCAGTCACACCAAGGGCCCACATGCTAGAAAGAACCAGGACAGAGCCGAGAGTGAACAGAATACCACCGATGATGGGCTGATGCACCGGGGCGTAGAAGGGCTGGTCTGCCAGGGCCAACTGGTACACGTGGTCCCGAAAGATTCCGAGCGTGAAGATCGTAAAGGCAAGAGCATAGCAGCCGTTGTAAGCACCACCAAACATGCGGGTTAACAAGTGGTTGCGGTATTCTATCATGGTTAGCCAAGCTCGGACACAGCAAGCACCCTCTAGAGTTTGCTAACCTGTGCGCGCAACGATACTAGATAGCAGCTAGATTAGCTTATGTTCACACGGAAACGATTTTCTGGCGATTGGCCATGGTGTGCTGGGTACTTACTTCCAGAAAACTGGGTTAAAGGCGATTGTTGCGGCAGACCCTGAGCTCAGTCAATCACATGCAAATCGCTGATCAGAACAGAAGCTGGACTTACATAGCAGAGGCTTGGAGGAAAAATCAATGAAATCTGTAAGAGAAGCCATCTTGCTGAGACCTAAAGCAAGAACAAATGGAGAGATGAATGGGTAGAAGAGGGGAAAGCAGAGGGGAAACAGAGGGGAAAGCGCAGATGTTCAAACGTTGGGGCCCCGGGGATCAACAAGCTTAAGTAAACAAGTGACGTTTAAGGTCACGGGACCTGTATTTTCGCGATTGGCGCTTGGAGCTCGTAGCTTTTCTTTGCTGGTCATGTTGGTTCCGACTTTACTTGCCTTATTCAACGTCGCCTCCGAATAAAATTGAAATCACTCAAAACGCACCGCCCATTTGACCGCATGCCGAGGTCTTCGCCCCTAAGCGCCCGGGAGTGATCGGTATGAGCCGCGGAGCTCTAACAAGAGTGCGGGGAGAATGGCCCTAAGTCGTCGTGACCTAGCTCTGGCTGGCGTGGGCGCATTCATTGCTTGGGGCTTGCTGGTGCGCGAGCTACCGATTCTCCGCTATTTAGGATATGCCGTGACGCTGGGCGCCGTGCTGTCTCTCGCGAGTGTTCTGGCGCTTGTCGCACTGACAACCCGACAACAAGATGAGCGTCAAAACACCAAGAACGTCTCTGTGGCTTTCATCAAACCCGACCATTGGCGCAAGGAGGTACTCAATGTGCGACGGAGTACTCGATACCGCGCACGGCCCCTCTATCCAGAATCCTTTGTTGTGTCAGAGGGCATCGACGAGCTTTTATCATTCATCATACGAGATTTTGTTTCTTCGTGGTACCACAACATCAGTCCGAGCCCGATATTTGCCAATGAGGTCGACCGAACGATCCGTGTTGCTCTTGACAACCTGCGGGATAGGTTGCTTGCGGAGGACATGATATCGCTGGTGGTGTCACGAATAATCCCAATCGTGACATTGCATTTGAAAGAATTTGACATAGCGGAACGTTTGGTGCGAGGGCGCAACTTGAACCGCAATGTGACCGAATCCGGCGAGCTAGACTTGGCCATTGCAAAGAAGTACCGGGATGGCAAGCTACACCCTGCTGTTGCGCTGTCCGTGACAGACCAGAAAAGTGTCCAGCAGGAGTATTTGCGCAAACTGGCGCTTGGCTTGTTACCACAGCTATTCCCAGGAAGTGTTTTGAACAGTCGGATTGTCTCAGTCTTGATCCGGGAGATCATTTCTTGTGCCGTGCTCCTCCCGATAGTCACAGCATTATCTGATCCGGATACATGGAACCAGTCCATCGAAGCCTACGGTCGTACAGCCCTGCAGGACAGGAAAACTGTGCGTAAACTGCGTGCCGCATTGGACGAGCATGCATCACCTGCGCCCAAATCTAAACGGGGTCATCCGTTTCCGCGGCTATCAGTTACAGACTCGGAAAGAGCCTTTGAGAGATTTGTCAGAGCAATCAGGAAATGTAACAATCTCTCTGACGCGCGTCGCTTTCGCGCTTTGGTTTCCAGTCAGTTGAAACAAGAGAGCACGATCGAAGGCCAAGATCAAGTCTACCTGCGGCGATTGGAGACTGGAAAAAGAGTTCTGGACCAGAAGGTAGCCAAGCTCTCCAAAACTGGCGATGATTCCCTCGTACCTCCTCCGTCTTTGGATCTTCGACCCGACAACAATGGACCCACCGTGCGGGAAACTTCGCTGGTAGAAGTTATGCATAGCGCCTCCGGGCTGTCTTATTTCATGGAGTTCATGGATCGCCAAAAGCTAATGTCGCTTGTTCAGTTCTGGATTGTGGTAGATGGCTTCCGCAATCCGTTAGAAGATGACTTTGGTGACGGGGCCGACTCCAGCTCAATTACATGGAAGCCAGCAGACAGGAACGACATCGCCCTTATCAGCGAAACATACATGGCCAAGTCCGAGTTGAAGGTCTCAGACGACTCTCGCCGAGCAATCAAGACATTCCTCAGTGCCGGGAAGCGTGCAACACCAGAGCAATACCGCAAAGCACGCACGGTTGTTTTGAGTACTCAGTCTGCCGTGCTGGAGCGTCTGCAGGAGACATACTATCCAAAGTTCAAAGAATCCGATCTGTACTGGAAGTACCTTGCGTCCGACGAAGCATCCGTAAATAACCAAGCCTCGTCCCGCCAAGCATCTCCGATATCAGCCACATTTGAACCTCAGGAGAGAAAACCCCTGCCACCTTTGCTATCACGGACATCCTCTCAGCCTGGCCATCGGCCGGCCAAAGATATTCGACGAGCGGCAGTATCGTCGAGCGATGTTCGGGCCACGGGCAAATTGTTTGATGATGACGACCCTCCACGGCGATCCATAGATTCAGGGCGATCTGGATTGTTCGACGACGAATACGACACAGACAATATGGCTACGTCGACCCATAGCCTAGGAATGAATTCCCAGAATGGCGAGAATGATGTCAGCCAAAGTCAAGTCCTCCAAACGATGGAGGCAGCACTTAACGACATCGTCACTGGCGAGCCTAAAAACGGAAGGTTGGATGATGTCAAAGGGGAGACCTCAGAGCTTTTTGGACCTGAGAGACCTGGTCTTGGACGGAACCTATCCGATGTTTCTCAGGCTGAAAGTCGCAGTAACGAGAAAATGAAGAAGAGCATCGCATCACTGGGCCTAGTAGGCCAAGGATCCCGACTCGGTGTCTTCGATGATGAGTTATTCCCGGATCAACAGAAATTTCTCGAGGATGAATATGAGGAGACAGAAGGCGTCGACGAAAAAGATCCCGCGGATGAAGTGCATGAAGCCGCGCCCGGAGATCTCGGTTTAACAGAGGCAATTGAAGCCTTGTCCATCGACATTGATAAGCTTGCAGGACAGGACGCCGTTGTTGAAGCCTTGACACGCAAAGCCGAACTTACGAACAATACGGCAGAGCTGCGGATCCTACGCAAATCCAAAGCCAGCATTGAACGTGAAATCCATCGCAAGGAAATGCAACGCCAGCAATACATCCTCCAAGAAAGCGACAACAGTCTATATGGTCGGTCGACTGTCAGTCTCAAGTCTATTGTCGTGGGAAAAGAGGAGGACGATGGTCGTGAATTTGCAATGTGTAAGTACTTCTCTCATGGGATCTCTGGGCCATACTCACCACTTCGTTTCAGATATTGTGGAGGTGCAAAGAAAAGCCGGAGAGCAAATGCCAGCCGCCTCCTGGGTTGTTGCACGTCGATACAGCGAATTCCACGATCTCCATCAGAAGCTTCGCCAACGCTATCCATCCGTTCGCCACTTGGAATTTCCTCGCAGGCGGGTTGTCATGAAATTACAAAAGGAATTTCTCCATAAACGCCGGCTCGCCCTTGAAGCATACCTGAGAAATCTTCTTTCCCTACCAGATGTCTGCCGCAGTCGTGACCTGCGGGCATTCCTATCGCAACGTGCCATCCTCCCCCACAAAGATAATAATCGCGACAACGAAGGCGAGTCTAAAGACTTGGTGACTCGAATCTACAACTCCGTTACAGACGGCATGGATGACTTCCTCGGCAACTTCGGTGTCTTAGATCAGCTGTCAACGGCAGGCCAGAACCTGATCTCTGCCGCAACTCAGCAGACCGGAACCACAGTAGCCCCGGAATCCAGTCTTGCGACTGAAGACGCAGTCACAGCCGCCGAAGCAGAGGCCGAATTGAATGCCTTCGAAGACCGGGAGCTCGAGCCTTTCATCAAGCCAATTTGCGATCTGTTCCTCGAGGCATTTGAATTGAACCGCGGTAATAATTGGCTGCGTGGCCGCGCCGTCGTCGTTGTCCTGCACCAGCTCCTGGGAGGGACAATAGAACGCAAAGTTCGAGATGGCGCCCGTGGTATCGTCCAAGATGATTCGCTTGTCAAATACATCTCGCTCGCTCGGGATCTCATGTGGCCCGGTGGAGTCCTCCGCAAGACGCCTCCCCGATCGGCGGCAGATCGTCTCAACAGTCGGGCCGAAGCGACAGTGGTCTTGGCCACTTTAATCCCCGATTTAGCTGGCAATGTTGTTGGCAGGGCGAATGCCCAAGCCGCTGCACGACGCATTTTCGCGACTTTGAATAATCCGTACCTTAACACCCATCTCGTTTTTACCATCATTGATGAGATTTTCTTGGTTCTCTTCGGGATGCCATCTGGCCGTCCTCGTTGAGCCCAGGTGATACGACAGACCTATTTGAGCATGCCCCTGATGATTTGACCACGCTTGTTTTTTCCCCCTCAAACCCTTACCCTCATGAATACTACGGCGCTCGACGATCACATGTTTCTCACAGAACTTCCCCGGGGTCGCCCGTCTCCCCTTGTACATACTTCATCTCATGCCGCCATAGTCTACATAATGAATGCCAAGAATATGACCTACGACTTATTCCATCGACTCGTCGTCTGCCAAGACCATCACGTGTACCAAACGCCCAACACGCCCAACAGCATAACCAAGCAGTGCCAAAGCCGTTTCCATGACCGAGTCCGCCAGATCCCAAACCTTCTCGATTCCCGAGCTCCTCGAACTCATCCTCCTACAATTGGACACCCGCACCCTCCTCACAACAGCCCAGCTGATATGCCACACATGGACAACATTCATACAAGAATCTCCCACCATTCAATGGGCATTATTCTTTAAACCAGAACCGAAGCTCGGCTCGCGCAGATGGCAGAATCCCCTCCTGGCTGCAGCTTTTCCATCAATTTTCAGTTCCTCCGAGCCTGAAATCAAAAGCAATGTCAACCTGACTTTCACGAACTTCGACATGATTCGCAATCCCCATAAATTGGATGCGTACATGAGACCCGAAGCCAGTTGGCGCCGTATGCTCGTTCAGCAACCTCCTCCGTACACCTTGTCCCTGCTTCGCAGTAGTACAGGGCACGGAGGACAGCTATTTTACCATTATGAGGCTTTGGTGAGTAATTTTTGATCTCCCAGGTGATCAATGCTAGGACTCTGATGACGATGATGCGACCAATCATTCAAACAAGTATATATTGATGGTGGAATGCTAACTGAGAGAGACTAGGAAATTCCAAAATCAGCATCATCCGGTCTTTGCATGGAAACTGTCTTTGAAACCCTTGTCTTCGGCGAGATGTGGGAGTCATTCACCTCCAAACAAGCCACGGAAACTATCTGGGCACCTGAACAGTTGAACGGTGTGGTTCGGAAAGATCTGGAGCGGTATGGCGTTAAGGATTTTGGGTTGATGGTTTTCACTTCGGTGGGATGGTCTCACCGCGGGCGGTTCGAGAGCTCATTACACTGGGAGTGCGAACATGTGGAGAAAATCAGGCAAGAATACCGGCAGATAGGATTGAAGTCAAAGTATTCGGAAAAGGCATTTACCAAGAGGAAAAGTTATGGGTCATTGTGGGATTGAGCATTGGATTTGATTTATCTGGAGCGTCTTTAGGTTAACATTCTGTTCGGTTATACATTAATAGATTTTGAATGCATACGGATTTTCGGGATAAGATAAAACGCGAAACAGGAAATAAAATGCTGGAATTTACAAATTACTCCAGGGTCTTGTGCTTGTCGAGAGCAGCTAGTGCGCTAAATTCCCCCAACAACTATGATAGACTCAAATGGCTTCAGCGCTGTGTTTCATAAAACACAGGCATTCAGATTCTGATGCAAATCTAGTCAGTCACTTTGCCAACCGGCTCAAATTCTGGTGCCGATATCCCCGAAGAAAGGGGAGAGGGCTCAGATATCAAGTCGATATGCTGGACTTGGCATACCCACTGTGGCTTGGCCGGTCTTTGCTTGGCATCTTTCGTGGACACACGACTCTACTTCATCAATGTAGTATCTATGGAACGCTTACGAGAACAGGAGGCCCTTTGGAATTAATTGATTCTCTGCACTAGGCATAGAGATAAGTGAGTGATAGTCAACCCGAGGTGGATGAATAACTGAAGAGACCGAATGAGCAAAGAAGTCCCTCGCGCCGTCTTAATCATGTTTCTACGAAACGCAACGCAGCCGAATGGGAGATCGAAAAGCATAATCACGCGTATGGAGGCAATAGTCCGGAGCATTATCATAAGATGAGAGTTCGCCTTGGAAGACAATGGTGACGGCTCTGCATCTATGCCTCTTCCTTGGCCTTCTTCTTGGACTTTTTGCTTGGAGGCGCGGGGGCACCTGTCTTGGTCTGGTGAACCACCAAGCGAGTCCAGCTCTCGTCCTTGTCCCACTCGAAGCCGGCCAGGTAGGGCTTGTCGAGCTCGTCGTCCGCCTAGCGGGGGCCTGTTAGTATTTGTGCTTCTCTCCGGGAGAGCAACTGACCTTCTTCTTGAACTGCTTGTAGATAGCATCTAGTGCATCCTTGATCGTGACGCCCTTGGAGTTACGAGCGGTCACTTCCAAACCTAGGGGGAAGTGGAGGTCAATCTTCTTGACTGGGGGATTGATGAGAAGCATTTTGAGGATGTCCTTGTCCTCGATGGTGGTGGGGGAGGTATTGAGTTTCCTGGACCAGAGATCAGTCAGTCAAAGGTCAAGGAAATGAAAGGGGTAGTCCACGTACCACCCAGTCTTCTGGGTCTCGATGGGTAGGGTGATTTCGATCTTTTGTTCCTCTGCTGCTGTTAGCAAGATGTATCTGTGATGAGTGGTGATACGGACCAAGGTCTTTCATGGACCAGACGCCTTCTGCTGTTGATGAGTTACGCTTCTTCGTGCCCTGCTTGACATCTTTCTCAATTGGTTTTTCGTCCGCTATGGGCAAGCCAGCGATGGCAGAGTCGACTTTGGTTAAAGGGACAGACATGTTGAGTGGATCTGGTATGGCAGAGATGTGGAAGATGGGAGAACGGAATCAGAAGAGAGAAAAGAGAAAGAGAAAGAGGGGAAGCGAGGCAGGTGACTTGGTTGTGAGAGGGCGGGGGTGGCAGTCATGGATGTCATGCTACTTGTTGTTTCACTGGAAGTACCAACACACCACCCGTGGACTTCTGGCTTGACTCTTCCGACTTGTCACATTCGACTTCTTTCTACTTTCTACTTTCTACTTTCTTCCCTCCCTTCTCTCTCAGCTAGCACAGCTTCTGTCAATTTCTTCTACAATCATATCAACCCCGGCATTGTCGGAAGTCACCACTGACATCAACATCACGGCGGAGCCAATCTTAGCGCTGCACCCCGCATTTTGGTCTCCACTCTCGGATCGGCAGACCTTATTCTTAGTACAATGTACTTGATGACAGTTGGGAGATGAAGGTCCTCTGGGATAGTCAGATCCTATACTGAAAAGTAAGTCAGTCTACCAGTCGTCATATGCATTCAATATCACATCTGCGGACTCTATAGACCATGAAGTATCAGACCACTTTCAACTGACCACCCAAACATACCACTCTGACCTACATTCTTGGCGTTTCTTTATTGGATTATCACCTTCGGGAAAATTGCACATTCCTGGCCAATTCGAAGTCCCACTCTTTACACTCGTATCGCAATATTGCGAAACTCAATCCTTATGGGCCCAAAACCCTCCAAGGCTGCAGCTCGGCCGATCACCTCATCCTCATTAGTCACGCGATGCTCTTGCATGTTGGCAATTTTTCAATCGAGGCTTTGATTGGTGTTTTTGCGTCTTAGTTGTTGCAGGCCGGACATACCCCTTCAACCCAGTGGAAGTACACAGTACATTGTAACTATACCCTCGAGTCACAAGAGCGTGGAGCCGTAGAAATTAATATAGAAACATATACAGTGAATGAAGCCCGAAGACATTGGCATCACATAGAGGTAAACAGTATTGACAAAAATATACACTGAATTGCTTAATCCTGGAAGTCCGCAGGGTGATTGGAAGCTCCAAAAGTATTTTGAGAATGGCAGGATCAGTAACTTACTTACCTAGGAAATGGCCCCGTTTGACTTGATGTAATTTTGAGCTCGAGGTGCTAGCAAGAAGTGAATTTGTGATAATTTACCAGGCTGTTATCAAGTCCAAAGAGTAGAGTTCCGGTCACCTGCCCCAATGCTCGCCCACCTGGGCACAGGTGCAGCGCTGGAGATGATGAAACTGATGTTGCAAGGACGCACAAACCCTGAATGTCTCATCCCAGAATGTTTAGTCCGAGGGCCTCAGAAGCACACGTGAGTTGTTGTACGTCTTCAGTCGGCAAGATACATGAACTGGAGGTTCGACCCGATCGGATATCTCCCGTCCGGCAAGGCTGCCTAAGCCAGACTTGGCCCACAGAATGATCGATTCTGACAATATCCAGCCATTCAAATGAATGTATCAATGCTTTGACTCAATTAAAGCGAAATTATCCACAGGACGAAAGGCTGCCTGGAAGGATGCCCGGTATAAGTTGGGAAGCTGATACCTGATATGCATGAAGGCGGTGAGTGCTGTTTTTTGCCGGCGCATCGCTTTCTGTCGAGCTTCAATTATCGTCACTCGACTGAGGCTCACTTTCTTTTTCCCCCATTGAGCTCGGATTTCTCTCCTTTTTGCATGCCACTTGAGCTGTAACTTGGCTTTGAACTATCCACTTCCCTGCCGAATTCTTGATACCCCCCAACAACACACGCGCCCTTCAGATGTCACTTTTCGGCTCCGGCGCGGCCGCGCCTGCGGCCGCTGCGACCAACACCACTGGCGACATCTCAAAGGATGTGGCTCTAAACCAGCCTCCTGAGGATGGCATTTCCGATCTCTGCTTCTCGCCTGTCAGCGACCACCTGGCCGTCGCCTCGTGGGATAAGAAAGTCCGCATTTACGAAATCAACGACCAGGGCCAGAGTGAAGGCAAGGCGCTCTTCGAGCACGAAGCTCCTGTGCTGAACTGCTGTTGGTCTCCGGTAAGTTTGAACCACGCCTCTACCCCGCATTCGCCTTGGGCTCGGCAGCTCACATCGATTTTTCACTCTAGGATGGATCCAAGGTTGTGGGAGCCGGTGCCGACAAGGCAGCCCGCATGTTGGATCTCGGAGCTGGTGGAACCACCGCCGTTCAGGTCGCCGCACACGACGCGCCCATTCGAAGCTGCCACATGATTCCCAATCCCTCACAGGGCGGATCGCCGTTGTTGATCACCGGTTCATGGGACAAGACCGTCAAGTACTGGGATATTCGCCAACAGACACCAATCGCGTCGCTGGAGTGCCAGGAGCGCGTGTACTCCATGGATGTGAAGGACAAGCTTCTCGTCATCGGTACCGCAGACCGCTACATCAACATCGTCAATCTGGACCAGCCGACCAAGTTTTACAAGACTATGCAATCACCCCTTAAGTGGCAGACGCGGGTAGTCAGCTGCTTCGCCGATGCCTCCGGTTTTGCCGTCGGCTCTGTCGAGGGTCGCTGTGCCATTCAATACGTTGAGGAGAAGGACTCGGCCTCTAACTTCTCCTTCAAGTGCCACCGTGAGACTCCCGCCGGTCAGCGCGACGTCTGCAACATCTTCGCCGTCAACTCCATCACTTTCCACCCCGTCCACGGAACCTTCAGCACGGCTGGAGCCGACGGTACTTTCCATTTCTGGGACAAGGACGCGAAGCACCGCCTTAAGGGATACCCTGCCGTCGGAGGCCCCATCACCACTAGTGCCTTCAACCGCACCGGAAACATCTTCGCCTATTCCGTCAGCTACGACTGGAGCAAGGGTTATTCTGCCAACACCCAGCAGACCACCAACAAGGTCATGCTGCACCCCATTGGACCGGACGAGACGAAGCCCCGACCTAACTCGCGGAAGCGCTGATCTGGTCTTGTTTTTTTGTCTTTTTCTTATTTGGATGGGGGCTGTTGAAAGTTTGACCCATCGCTACAACGAGCATGTAATGAAAATTTTTATCATATCGGCGTGTATTGATTAAAGAGTGCAAATGGGATTTTTCTAGCCTGACTACCTAGGTATTTATCAAACCTGGTAATGACAGCTTGCGTAGAACAACTAATGGTCTAATTTTAGGTCCTACCTAGGTAATATTTCCAATACTTTGACTACGTCGAATTTGTATAGGGCAGAAAGAGAAAATTTGAGCCAGCAATTCGCCGACAGAGTTGGCAGTCCTGCGGAATGAAATATTGAACAAAGCCCGGATTACTCCGTAGAAACCAGTCAGAACAATAGAAAAGGGTGACATCTGGTTCTTCAAGGTTGGTCGAGGCCTCCATGGCTGATCATTCTAATCCATATGCGTAGATGGCATCCGAGGATATGCCGACGGCATGAGCTTTTCCAGCAGACGCAACCACAGTCTCCTCGCCCTCCGTCTGAATTTAATGATAGACCACAGGAGTAAGACCAAGCCCGCTGCGCTAGGAAGGGCAATTATCCAGAAAAGACTTTGGTGAAACGTTCCATCTCTGATGTCGACACTATTCATGCCAAGATACGATGTCACGAACGACAAGGGAAGGAAAACAACCGTCACAATTGTGAATATGATAATGGCTTTGCTGTTGGACTCTTTTCGGATCTCAATCATGGATCGGAGCTAATATTGCTTGTGAGCAAAGACAAAACCCTACTTTGGAAAGTATACAAGGAATCCCTCACCAAGACAGATGCTTTCTCAGCCAATCGATCAAGTCCGCCTACATCGTGTTTCAGTCGTTTCAGTTGCCGCTGAATTTTGTTGATTCTTTGCTGAGAGGTTTGACCTCTGGATTGGGTGTGAAAATGCCACACGGAGCTCATTTGCTCAAGAAAGCGCAATTGCTGGTTGAAAACAGCATCAAGAATATTCAGCTCTTCTCTGAGTTGTTGAATCTGGTCAAAAGTAGCCACATTCGGCGATCTTCGTGCTTGTAATTCCTGCCAATCATGAGCTCGGTTATTTAACCGGGGGATGTGAAGGTCATCTCACGAGGCGTTTGATCTGCCCTCGGTAGACTTCTAGCAAGTCGATAGTATGCTGTGAATTGGTTCCTGTGCTGCGAATTCCTCGAGGTATGCGAACCAGCCGCTCAGTCAAGATTGTCAGCATCGCTTGTGCATCAACACGTCTGAATACCTTGGCTTCACTGTAATCCCCAGTGCTGATCATGGCCATGATTTCGTGTCTCCCCATCAGGAGATCTTGTTCGATTCTTGATGCCCTCTCTTCAAGAAAGCTCCACCCGCCAGATCGTATGTGTTTTTCTTGGGTGCAAGCACAGACATAAAATATTAGCCGACTGAATGCACTAACCAACGCTTTGGGAATGAAGTAGTTGGTAGATTGGCCAAGGGGACCATGTGAGACACCAGCCTGGATTTGCTCCAACTTCTGTTGAAAATATGACAACGCTCGCTGGACATTCTCAAGATATGAGTCGGAGAACTCCCTCTGGTCAGCGTCGTCGGTATGTCAAGATCATCTGGTCTTACTTCTTCATTTGCGATCCTCATCGCAGCACCGTAGAACTTCTTGATCACCCAATACCGGTGAATATCCTGATAATACAAAGGCACAAATGCATTGAGGATTGCCATTGCATTGGATATCACTTCTTTTTTCAATGCCCACTTTGCTCTCTTTCTTGCCAGCTGGTCGGAATCTTCGAATTGAATTAATTCAATGCCGATGCGTTCCATCCGCATGAGCAATTGCATTCTGGAGGAATCGAGAATATCTCGGATCGCTGCTAGCTCACTTTCGTGTCCCAGGGACCATCCGGCTTCGTTATCCCGCTCCTCTAGTATTGCCCGAATGGTGCTGTCGACGTCTGCATATTGATCAGGTACTCGGTCATGTATTTCTGATGCGCTGATATGTATGCCGTCGGTTGTTTCTGCTCTCCATGCAAAAATAGGAGTCGGCTGAACCTTCTCAGGAAGATCTAGCTTTGATGTATCATGCGATAGTTCATTGGCATTGTGATGCAGGATTTTGGAGGCCTCATCTTCAGGTAAAAAATCAGTGAGCGAAGAAGTTTGTGGCTCCTTTGACAGATTGGAGGAATAAGAGTCAAGCTGCTTTGCCGGTGAAGAATCCACGCCTTCGACGCTGGCATTCGACTGCAGGCGATGATCAGCAAAGAGATACCGCTGGGTGCCAGATAAAGATGGCGATCAAAACGAATCATGCTAGTCTCATTACCTTTATTGTCCAGGAATCGTTTGAGTCCTGGTAAACAAAGGGGTTGACCCCATCAATGTTTGTTGTGTCTCTCTGTGGGACGACTAGGTAGTCAAAAACATTGATAGTCGTATCCATTTCTTTCCGAGGCTCCAATGATCTCTCATCATCGTCGACAACCAAGGAACTAGGGTTGACATTGCTTGAAACTTGGTCATCTTGGAAATTTTCAGGTTCTGGTCTCAGGGGTTCAGCTGTTGATGGAGTCGTAATTTCATGTTGCATGATGTCGGACGGCAACACCCGGTTACTGATCTTAGATGGGAAGCAATCTTCAACCTCGCTGGCGTCTTCAACGTAGCTCTGAAATTTGGTGTTCTCCCGCGGAGGCTGTTGGAGGCTCACTCGGTCCTTTATATCGCTGCCAACGTCTAAAGATCCCATATGTTCTTCCTTCGAATTATCATCATTGATCAATAACATGGAGCCGACTTCTTCCTGAGAATGAGAGTGTGGGGCACTCCTCGTCGTTATGGAATCCACCGAACTGATGAGACCGCCGCTAGAGTGACCCCGGACTTTTGAATTAAGGAACTGCATGTCCAATTGGGGCTGATATGACCCTTCCTTTCCGAGAAGAAGTTTATCCCTGCTCTCCTCTCCGAAATTTGGCGGGGAGTTGACTCGTGGGGTTGTAGTCGTTAATGAGCCGTCACCTTTTGTCAAGGAACTGCCGTGCACCGATGAGCTGAAGGTTTGTTGAGGTGTCGTGGGTATCTGAGGTGAATATCCAGACCAACTACCGATTTCAACTCGAATCTCGCAACCCGGAAATATCCTCTTATCCCAATCGATGGGAGCAATCGGCCCCTTTGGACCAACCAAGGTGTAATTTCCAGAATGAAAAGCCGACAAACCATCCGTTTTCTCCTGCATCTTCGTAGCAATGACCGAACTCATTTTCTAACGACTGGTCAGCAACTCATCCACCACCGGCTCGATTGTGTGAGCCCGTGCAATGCGATGCGAGCATTCGTACCGCCCAGGTTCGGCCAATGCGCCAAGGGATTGTTAGGTCCAGCCCGTCTCCATTCTTCAACCTAATTGGCTTTTCTCTTTGTTTCCAGGCGTTGCGGCGTATCGATGACCGGTTCGTTCTTCTTTTCACGCTGAAGGGTGTGGCTGGTAGATGGCTCACAGGAGGGGAATCTTGGAATCTTTCGGAATATGACAAAAGGAGTGGGGGATCTCTTGATGACATCGTACCTGCTTGTGAGAGAATGATAATTAGATTTTTATGATCACTTTTCTTATTGAAAAGCCTCGTTCGTTGAAGGTATCGATGTGTACATACCAGCAATTGATGAGGAAGCCCCAGGCTTGTATAGATCACTTCGAGCTGTTGTACTCTCGATCCTCGAGGAGCGATAGAGGTCCCCATTTTGATAGATTGAAGGGGATGCATGACGAGAGGAAGCTAGCCTCACCAACGCAAGACTGTCTTTTGGGAGCGTCACATCAGGCGTTCTATAAGCGCCCAGAGTAGAGTAAATGTAGGGGTTTTCGTAAGGCAGTTGCCCATAGGGTGATCCAAGAGAGCGGTAAGGATGGCAGCTCGTCGGCTGCGGAAGATAAGAGACTGGAAAATGTGATGCGTAAGGATTTAGATCTGGTCTTTGAACCAGCTGGCTTCCGGGTCGCTCATATGGGAATGTAGGCAGTGCATATCCATCGCCTCGTGCTCCATTTTCCTTTCCGGGATAGAATTCATTATAGCGCTTTGGTGGGGAGAATATTGAAGGCAAGGCTGATGGCGGCGGGGGATGGGTTGCTGGATGCGGTGGCGCATACGCTGGTGACTGCACGATCTCCGGATCGGGTACCGACAGGCTCTGCTTGAGCTTGAGCCGAATATGAATCACGATGTCTTCAAGTGCTCCTTCTTTGACATTGGCACACCAATTGTTCTCAGAAAGAAACTCGGTTTTATGTTGCAGGTCGTAGCTTTCTTTCCAGGAGTCATCATAGAAAGATCTTGACAGGGAGCTCGCTGGCCCCAGAAGCCCGGCAAACATGTTTACAAACTCCTACATTGTTTCTAAGTTAGTGATTTGGATTGAGAGGTAAAAATTTCAAGTTGGTTCACGAACAAACCATGTTTGGCATTGCGCCGTGGGCAAGCAATACTCATTCCCATTGGTATCGAACACTCGGATCCGAGACGCCTTACGAGCTGATTCCATTTTCGGAACTCTTTCAATCACAAAATGCTCTCCTTGGAGTTCTTTCAGATCTGTGGGACTCATGCTGAGGATGATATCTGGTAAAACATCAGAAAGTGTAAATATGACAAGAATCATGGACTTACCTCCATTGATGAGAAGAATCCAAACCTGTAGTACGTTCAATAGATCATGAGACCCACTGATTCCGCGAGCAATCTGTTGCTCATCCTGACTTGCTGTAGACTCGAATGGGTATTGAAACTGAAGAAGACTTCTCACGGGATGAGAGCTAGCTGCACGATCGCTCACCCGCTCGGGTGGCTGAAGAGCTAAAAAAGGAAATGCGAAAAATGTGACGGAGCATTGCCCACTGGACTGCCCAGCTGTATCGGGGTCACTTGCGGTGACAAAATTTGAAACGATCGAGTCGAAGTATTTTCCATGGATAAAGCCTCGCTCTTGCCGTTGCAGGTGCTTGAAGATCGAAAATATTAGTACACTTGTGGCTTGTGGCATGTTCTTGAGTCTCAATGCTTCGTTCTACAATTGCATCAGTTGACGAATCGATTTGGAGTTTCAAACGATCCCACCTGGAAAGCCTCTAGTCTCATGGAATTGCTTTTGAAGTGACTGAGCTATTGATTAGTGTCCATGATTTTCCCTTGGAACCTGTTGGAAGGCGACTCCCAACTCACATCCATCGTGTCTCTGGCTGAGACAAATCGGCTTCATCGCCGAATTTCAGAGTCACGATGTCGTGCTTGCGATCATCTGCTCCCGGAATCAATCTTGTTTGAAGGATATTATAAATCTCTGGGGTCATTGTATTCTGTGAATTGTGAAAAATGGGCCGGGTATAGGCCTTTGCGGGATGGAAAGAAAGTTTCTCGTCTGCATATTCAGACAAATTAGGCTGAATTGAGATCATATAGTTCACTTGTTTTTGGTCTTCGTCAAATATATCTGCTGTAAAATCTTTGCTTTGTCTAGCAGTTGTGAGGTCAAGCTTATTGTGTGCACGCGCGATGCTGGGAATTGCCGACGGAGGCTGCGTTGTTCCCTGGGACAAGCCAGAAGGAGGGGCTTGGTAAGGTTTTGGATTGTACGACTCTGGTGACAGAGCAGGCGGATAATAATAAGTGGACGGTACGGGTGGAGGATAGAGGGCGTAGGGTGCGTAATGTGGGTACGATGGGTAGAGTGAAGAAGGCTGGTGGGTTGGATATGACGAATAACTGGGATAGTTTGGATATCCTACGTCGTTGGAAGAAGACGGATAGTATGCGCTGGGTACATTGGTAGCGTTCGATGAACTCGCAAAAGTCACTTTATTCGGAAGCGATGAGGCAGGCTCATATTGGTTTGGCACCTTGGAGTCAACTCCGTAATAGCCTGGGCTTTCCGACCTGGAATCAGGAGTAGAATTCATTGAAGAACGATAGGAGGATACCTCAGATCCACCTTCGTCGGTTAAATTCATTGTTGTATGCGATACGGAGTAGAAGAGGATGCCCTCAACCTCACACAGGGTAATGTGAAGAACATGGCCTCGTCAGGAAATGTCCAGCTCCTATTGAATATCTTGAGCCTTGGAGGCTGCGGCTGTGCGACAGCCCACTGGCCCAGAGCGCATACCTGCATCAGTCCTACGCACGGCCTAAATTTCTTCGTGGGCTGGCTTGGTTAGTGGCATTTGCCCCCATTGGGCAGGACACTGTCAGTGATGGTGTGTTGGCATTTTTAGCCGTGCTTACATTTCCCGCGGCGTTTGAAGCCTTGGCTTGATGGTCCAATGGCATACGAATTTTTGCGGCAGTAGCAAACCCGTCGCGAATTTCTCTCAGCGCATGTGCTGGAAAGATCCCTGTCGCTCGTCGGGACCGGTGGAACATCGAAAATTGGCTACTCTCATCGCGTCAAATGGCAGATCATGTAAATGAAGCGTTTGGCGATATTCGAAACCCTGGGGTTCATGAAAAGAGTAGAATTGATCCTGTTCGGAGTCGACTCGACGGGCCCGTAGGGTGTTTGACAGAGCGGGGGCGTAAGTTCTCGGCATCGTGAAGCCTTCATCACATGGTGTGTAGACTGGACCCTTCAGCTAGACAAGTCAACTGGTATGATGGGCAGAGGGAGGATCAGTGGAAAGGTTCATGGGATGTATAGAAAGAATTCCCAGAAAGAAGGAAGATGAAAGCCTAAAGAAGTAACCCCAAGCACCGCCTGGGCAGGAAACTTGCGGACAATGTCCAGCTAACCAAAAGCACGGAAAATATTTCAACTGCTTTGTTCTGGCCGAACTACTTGTTATTTTTTATCTTCGATTTTTCAACTGTTTACTGGTACTTTTAAGCAATAGCTGGCGTGGGAAAAATGCGAAATCTCGCCATTTGGTCTGTTCAAGTTGTACGAAAACTTCAAAAAGTCTAGATCTTGACTATGTCAAAAAAAAAACAAGCTTCAAGGTCTTGGCCAAAACAATTTGACCCAACGCCACAGTCGCGAAGTCGGGCGGGTGTTCACGCATCATATTGCACCGTCTGCCAGAATTGACAGCGTGGGCCATCCGTGCGATCGTGAATTAACCCGAATGAGTCAATACGAGTGTCAATAAGCTGGGCAGATGGGCCTTGTCGAGGAATGGTTGGCGCGAGCTTGGACTTCGGCTCACCATAAAGGACGAAGCTCGTGATCCAGTCTTGCATTGCGGACGCCACAGTGACATTGGCCACAGGGCGATTGAAAAAGATACTGCTGAGTGTCGATCCCCTTTTGTAGAAGGTGTATGGAATATCCTCGGCATGCAGGGCTGGGGGAATGCTGAACTGATATGCGTAGGTTTGATTATCGTATGCGCGGCGCAGGTGGTCAACGTTACAAGTCAAGCCCCAGTCCCCAACAAAGAGGGCCCAGCGCTGTACACTATCTGTATAGCCATAGGAGCCATCGTATGATGGAGGATACAGAACATTGGCGATGTAATGGGCAGTTTCTTCCGAGATTCGAACGTAACTCCGAACGGCCGATTCAAATGCGTCACCGTTGAGCGACTCCGGGCCTGTGAACAGAAGTCCTTCGTCGTGGGTGTGCGTAGTCATGATGTTCAGACTGCGATGAAACTTTTGCTCAAGTAACAATTTCCACGGATAGTCAGGCACATAGTCGCCATCGGTAACTTCGCCGTAGGGAAAAGATCCCCAGGGAGAGGAGTAGTAAATTTGGAATGCGTTGACCGCGATCAATTTATCAGATGGTAGCTTGCGGGCGTCATCAATTGTCGACACGCCAAGGATTCTGAGGAATTGTTCCCTTGTGGCCTTTTGCTGCTTCTCCGAAAAGACGGGAACCCAGCCGGGACTCTGAGTTATCGCTTGCTGGAATGGTAAAGGACCACCACCTCCTCCGTACGAGGTGATGTGGTGAACAATGGATCCAGCCCCAGCCGACTGGCCCATAACCGTGACTTTTGTGGCATCGCCACCAAACAGGTGAATATTCTCAGCCACCCATTGCAAAGCAAATCGTTGATCGTGTGCTTCGTTTGATCAATCCAGAGGGATCGTTTTCGGCTTTTTCTCCGTAGACTTGCCCTCCGCCGTGAATCCAGACCAGTACTGGAGCCAGACTCTTATTCTCAGAGCTTTCTCTTTCGAATATTGCCTTGGGGACAATGATATCCAAGAACAAGCAGTCTTCAGTGGTACGTCCATCTGGTGGAAGCGGCTGATATGGATAAGACGATAGGTCTGGGGATATTCCGAGGGTCGCATTTTGCCAGTAGGTTGAAAGCCACTGAGCTTGTAGAAGTCCCCACAGTGGCAGGGCGCCGGGGCAAACTCGGCCTATGTCTCCAATTTGCACGTGCGTCCGATTCGTCTCGGGGGCCATGGGCATCTTCCATCGTAGATCTCCAAGGGGTGGGGCTGCGTATCGAATGTTGCTAAAGTTGTAAAGACCGTATTCACTCTGGACAAAGTACAATTGTTAAATCTGAGACGATTCTCTGTAACTCAGATAGTCTCACATCAAACGAAATTGCTTGATGCAACTCGTAGCCAAGATCAACCACTGGCAGATCATGACCGGGAGAGGTCATCGTGTTCCAAGCTGAAGCTAGGGTGAGGAGTATGAGGAGACAAATCATCTTCGCTACCTGCAAAGAGCTTAGCTGAGGAAGAGGAGATAGACTAGATATCTGCATCATGCTTTCTAAGCGTAGGAAATGAAAAGGATGAAGATCTGAATGTGCAAGATGACGCGTGCAAGACGCGTGAGTGAAGTGAAGAGAGTGACGGAGAGTTTTGGGGAAAGAACATTCATCGATGTACTCCTAGGCTTGAGATATTCAAACACAAACGCCCGGGCAGGGCCAAGCCTTAGGCATCACCTGGGCACACGTTGCCCCTGACTTCTCATCTCCAGGGCTCCTTTCAAGCTGATCAAATTGCTCTATATTTCTCTAGTCGCATGATGCGTCAAAGAACTATCACTAAATGATAGGCTATATGGTCACTATCTCCCAAATAGAGACTGAAATCTGAAGCCTCGAGAGATCATCCCACAACATTCAAAACAGCGTCTACCTTGTTGAAGGCAGCTGCAACCCGATTGCATCGCGGATTCACTCGGGGGGACCCATCCACCCGGAACGTCTCAACCAATCTTCGAAGGTACTAGCCCGCAGGTGTAGATCCTCCCAGGAAGGGTCTTCGGCTGGATCAAGAGCCCCGTAGCATCCCTTGTCTTCTGGCGCTATCGAGATCCATTCCATCATTTGGCGAATGTCCTCCTTGAACCCAGCCCCTACCGCTCTAGAAGCCATATCCGCCCATTCGTCGATTGATATTGGGGAATAAATCGCTGGCTGGCCAGTTACTCTTGTGAATGTAGACGCAAACTCATCCATCCGTAATTTCGGACTGCAAACAATATAATTCTTGTTCTTTGTTTTCGCGATGCCTAAAGCGAATACCTCTGTGGGATGAAATCAGTTCTTTGAGTCCCATGAGCTCTAAGGACCTTCCTTCCAGTCTCCCATTACAAGGAGCGGGAACCAAGACAGGTATGTGCCGGCGGAAAGGCTTTTGAGAGACGATGTCGCAACTTACCTGCGGCGAAAATTCCCATATCATAAACAGGATCAACCCATTCAACAAATTTTGTCGACGGAATCGGGGGGCAGAAGCGAACGATCCCATTTGCTGCAACAGTGAGAAATGCTTTCGGTAAACACCATGGGTTTAAAACTGACCTTCTCTTCGACAATACTGCGGGCGATTCAAGTTGGTGAAGAAGAGACCTTGGAAATGGTTGGCTGTCAATTCACTCAGATGCCTGGCGACAGAAGAAACGCTTACCTGGAAGAAGGCAAGTGACCGCAGGCAAGGCTTGCTTCGCCCACTGCTCAATGACAAACTTATGATCCATGTGGAAAAGCTTGTCAAATCGGCCTGCGGTCGCCCGTTTCATGTCAGGCAGGCTGCTAAAAACAAAGTGCTGAATGTCGCAATCCTTCGCGGCAGAAACAATGTTCTTCCCACTTTCAAGCTCCTGCTTCAGGTCGTCTTCGGTTTCAATCGTTCTCGAGTTGGTTTCGCTCGTCACCGCAAACACACCATAACCCCCGCGAAAAGCGACCTTGAGGCTTTCCACATCAAAGATATCTCCATTGGCGAGGCTCAGACGGTGGTCGGGGGTTTGAAAATCATTCAAAAGACGCTGGGCTGAGACAGAGTTGACATCCCTGGTGACTGCGCGGACGTTCCACGGTCCCCGCGCACTGTCACTTAAAAGTGAACTCACTACTCCTTTGCCTTGGTTTCCTGTAGCCCCAAGTACAATGATAATTCGATCTTGTGTTTTGAATTTCATCTTAAAAATGGTGGCAAACTAAATCGCCAAGGAGGCTTTGATGATTTTCGGATAGGAGATGAGAATCAACAACAACCCTTGGAAATGCTGCTCCGGAGAATCTTATGTGCTTTTCTACCTCTTTCGCTGCTCCCCATTTCTTATCAAACTGCACTTCCCGGAAATGAACGCTGCCATTACAAATGTAAAAGTGGCCGACTTTCAAGGTTATTGAGCGGATGAACCATCCTTCCGTATCGGAGACTTATGACCATATAGCAGACCCCGCCCTGGGGCCAGATCAGACAAGGGGTGATACGCGTGATCGCGAAAGTCTATGGGGAAAAAATGTCATTAGACACGGATCATTGCTGTATTTGGAGCCCCTAGAACCCGAGACCAGTATAGTCACCAGTGATGGTGCCCTATTGCTCAACTACAGTGCAGGCATCGATGGTAACAACTTTCGACTTTATATCTCAGGAATAACACACAAAACGTAGCTCCTCCATGTACCAAAGAACGAAATACATGAAGATGGAGAGGGGAAAAGTGGGTTAATACCCAGGGTGACTTGGTGAAGGTGATATAGATGGCCGGGTCTGGAGATCCAAGAGCGGAGCCCCCCTGGGCGCACGCAAATGGGGCCAAACCTCGGGCCTACAGCACAACCTTGGAACCCACAACCCCCTGACCAGGGCCCGCCTGGGCAGCCCCGTCAAACCTTGGGGGCTCATTCTACGCATTGTCACAGTCCTGGGGGACATGAACACGCCGATTCATAAGATTTATACATCAATTTGATTTTCTATGGTATTGAATTTAAACCTGCCGGCCCGACTGGGCAGCTACACTGACGAGGTGCAGATATTGAGTTGATGTGGATGGAAACGCATCGTGATAGTTCATACACATTTACTGGGTAACTAATCCAAGATAGCAGCCCTGGAGTGTTCCAAGGTTGTTGATCGTGGTTTTCATGCCTGGGGCTCTCTTCCCAGACACCATAGATTAGTTTAGTTTTCTCTTCTTTCTTTCTTTCTTTCTTTATTTCTTTCTTTCTTCTCTCAACCAAGTCGAAAGATGTCCTGCGTGAGCATCTATGATTGAATAGTTTGCTCTACATCTCTGAACAACAGAAGAAGCGGTAGTGGTTCAACCGCATCCCCGAAAACAACGCGTCCCGAACCGCACCTCCGGCTCGGAAGCCCCGAATCGAAACCCCCGAATCGAAACCCCCGGGGCCCCGGCCCCAACCCCACCGACCCCACTTGTATTCAACCGAAACGACGAATCATCATGGCCATCGACCTAGAACCAGTTGGTCTGGTGCCTGCGAGTTGTGTTCCCGGAGATGAAGTTCCGGTCCTCGTCGGCGCTAAGAACTGGGGGAAGTGGGACTACATGATGAAAACATTCGTGGTTGGAGTTTCCGAAAAATACTGGGACCTCATTACCGGAGTCTGGCAAGAGCCGAAGCTTTTGTCTGCCGCGGATTCACAGGCTTTGATACCAGAATACCAGAAGGAAATCGAGCTGTTGATCCAGGACTTTGAATTTGCAGCCATGCTAGCACGCCTTGGAAGCACTACCAGAGAAACTGCCACTGGGGATATGCAATCATCCATACTCAAAGACATTGTTGTCACAGTTGACACTGTTCAACGAAACCGTATACGTGAGCGAAACAGATGGCACCTAATCAACAACCAGTGCCAGTATTGGATCATCAGGAAACTGGGTCACAGCATGTTGGGTTATTGCCACGATCTCACATTGGCAGCTGAAGTCTACGCTAAATTGAAGAAGACGTGTGAATCAATCCACCAGCAATCCAAAGCTAATGCTTTACACTCAATGGTTCGATGGACCTATCGAGGCACAAAGCCGATTGAATCCGTCCAAAATTGGAAGCAGAAGCAGCAGGAGTATGAGGATCAAATCAAGCCCTCTCAGTATCTCAATGCAAGCACGATTAGCAATATGTTTCTAGGGGCGATCGGTGATGCACCTGGAATTACACCCTGGCTCAACACGTACAATATGGATCCTAAGAGGTCCCATGAGGAGAATCTCGAGGATCTGTACGACTCATTCGTTGCTGCAGAGACCCATCGTCTTTCAAGTTCTTCGAAGCTGCAAGCTGCAGCAAACGGCGGCGGCGACGACCTCCCCGCCGGAAAGACCAATTCGGGAGTCAAATCCGGTGAATCCTCTAAGCCCAACCAAAAATATCGGAGCCATAAGCCTCTTTGCTCCCATTGCAAATATCATGGCCACTCCTGGGAAGATTGTTATCACAACCCCATCAACAAGGATAAGCCCCGCAAACCGGGAAAAAGGTACAAGGGCAAGAAACCATCCAACTCTGACCCTGATTTAAAAAGGCAGCCCAATTCCCCTATCTTCAAGGCCCCGGATGATAATGACGACATCATGTTGGCTTCCAACGAAAGCACTTTGATATGGATTGATTGAGAGCAAAGTGGGGCTCCGGGGCTCTCTTTCTCAGGCATAGGTAGATTAGTTTGGTTGTCTCTTCTTTCTTTCTGATCTCAGCCAAGTTGAAAGTCATCTTCCCTTCATTTATGTATTCCTAAGAATACCCAGATGTCTGGATGGCAAAGTATTGTGTTTTTCCCATGGAAAGTTCTTGGTGATCTGCTCCACTACATACCCGTGGACTTGTGGAGAGGCCGACCTCGGGACCCCCCGAGGTCCCTCTCCTCCCCCCTTTAGCAATACAACCCTCACAAATATTCGGTTTTCTCGCCTGCTGGGGCCCAAGAAATGGACGACGAGGTGTTATACCCCCTTGTCTGCACACAATTCATTCCGCATTATGTAACTGAGACCCCGCGATGTGCATCCTATCTTCTTGTCTGATTCGAATGCATAGATACTTGCTCATATCATCTTCACCGCTTACCGAAGAAGCTCTCTTTCACCGCACTACCTCTATGTCCTTGAAGATGCCGACAATATTGAGGGGGACGCAGTAAGTGCCCCAGACATGGACTATGAATACGACACATCCGCGTTCCACGGGAAGAAAATCGATGATGTCATTTGTCTGCTTCAAGAAAAGGTCATTGGAAACAAAGTAGCAACCTTGGAACGAACGTGTTCTACATTGCGGACAGCCAGACGGTCAAGGATCACAGTTTGCTCCTGGTTCAAGTTCAACCCAAAGAGATGGGTAAATCATTTCGAAGCGTCCGGCTTGCATGTGAATTTGTAAACCTAATGGCGAGATCTATCTCAAATCCAGAATCTCTGAGGTTACTTGAGGATATTCAGAACGACCTCGATGACGATGGTGTATACCGGGGTGGGAGAAAAGACCCGTACATATATTGCGGTACGCGGACTTTTTATCTGGATAAACAAGACGAGTTGGAACGGGAAATGAAAAAGGAGACCTATCTAACATAGTCAACCTTGGAATGTATCAATTTTTGACTGCACCCGCGGACATTCAAGCTTTAACTAGCAGCCCTGGAGGCTTAAACCTGGCCAGGAAGAATACCTCTTGCATTCACTATCTCTGATTGTAGTAGCACAAGACGATATTCAAGGTCGTTCAAAGTCGATGTCCGATTTATAACTCGTCCAAGTTCTAGCTCTAGCCAATTACATGCGCAAACCATAGAAGCTACCTCTGATAGATACTCAAAAGTGATCTCAGTACCGTGCCAATGAAAATGACGGGGCCATGAAGCTAGAAGCAATTGTCGAAGACCTATCGCCAAGAGTGCAATATTCCCCTAAGGCTTCAGGTACTCGAGGGCACACTTGATTTTGTTCCTTAATCGAAAAGGTATTGGCAACGATCAATTCCGAGAGATTCAGCAAGGAAATCATTGACAAATTGGCAATTGGGATCCATCTTCTTCTGGAGATCAACCCATTCATTCATCTTGGGATAAATGGTAGAGGTGTAGGTCTCATTGTGGAAGAGCATCTTGTTCCAGTGAGGTCGAACATTGTAGATTTCACCGAACTTGGGGATATACTCGCTGGCAAGTTCTTGGAAGAAATATTGAGTAGTGAAGTTGTTGTAGGTAGGAATCCAGGAGTATTCCAAAGTGGCGAAAATGCCACTAGCATTGGGCTGCAAATTGTCCGTGTTGACAGGAGACAGCCAGTTGTCATCACCCTTGACAAATCGAGTAATAACGGTCACATCGTCACTTTGGTAGTGGCCCTTCAAGCCTGGGCCCACGATCTCATCATCGATGTATGGCTTCATGCGGTCAGACTGGGCTTTGGCATATGTCATGTAGTCCGTGCCAGCCTCTGCCAGGCTTTCGATTGGGAGGAAATGCTCGAACTGGCCCATGAAGCCGCGATAGCAGATACCAGATGGAGTGGTTGCGATGGCTTCCGTCTTGTAATCGTAGCAGACGTAGTCGCGATCGCAGCGACCGCAATCATTGGAGCAGTAGTCGATGGAACAATTGCGGGCTCCTTTGTAATCAGTCTCTTCCCAAATCACCAATGTCATGTTGGGATTCACGACCAGCTCATGTTTGTCTTGATCATAATCCAGAGTAGGTCCCACGATGTTGACTTGTTCGTATTTGGTGCCAAATTCTGCGATTTGCTGATAGAGCTCGGTGATGTTGGAGGATCCCTCTACAACCTTCGTGGTTCTCTTGAGATATGACAGGGGTTCGGCCCGAACAGTAACCTCCAAGATAATTCCTAAGGCTCCAATAGCGATGCTATAGGCCTTGAGCAGATCAGGGGTGTTTTGCTTGGTGATTTCATGGATTTCTCCCTTCGCGTCCAGCACACGAAGGCCCTGGATCTGAGTAGCGAGGTTTTGATGTTGTTTGCCAGTACCGTGGGTGCCAGTGGTTGCGGCACCAATATAATTTTGCACTTTCTCACTACCAAGATTGGCCACTTGGAGACCATTCTCCTCGAGTGTTGGCATGAGGTCAACCAGATCCCAGCCACCACCAAAGGTGACAGTGTTGTCATCATGGATTTCAAGGTGCTTGAGATTGGTCAAGCTGAGGATGTAGGATTCACGTTCATTGGCGCCGTCATTGACACAGGTCGTGAGGTTGCCAAAGCCGTGACCATTTCCAACAGGCTTCAGCATTGTCTTGCGTGGATAATGGAATCGAACGAATTCGACAAGCTCAGACTCATTGGCAGGTACGTGAAAACCTGTAGATTCACATGTGACATCGAACTGCCAATTGAACCAACGGTATGCCTCGGCGCCCGAAGTTGCGGCCAGCAATGACACAAGGGCCTCTGGCAAAGATTTGCGTAGCCAAATCATCTCGAATGGACGAAGGTTTTGGTGAATGGCTCTCTATTCTTGGGAAGGTAAACGAGAAGATTGGTTTCTTTGCCCGAAAGAGTGCCGAGGGCTGGGGAGAGTTGACTGGAAGATGAGTTGAGAATTGAATTCAAAATCTGAGATAGGACTCAGACTTTTATATCTCAAGTGAGGCAGCTTCGAAACCCCCGAGAGACAACATCGAGACCCGGAATATCAATTCTAGAATGGGCTATCTCAGTAATCGTCGAAAGGATCACAATTGCACCGAGGTCATCTGGGCATCGTCAACAAACGACCCTAACCTCCAACAGTCTTTGCATGATGTCCCACCCAGGGACCAGATGCGCCACCTTTTGTCAGAGCCGGATTGGACGGTATCATGCTGATCATGCCCATTGTCGTTGCGATACGTGGAAACAGTTTGATCCTACCCATTCTTGGGCACTCTTCTTCGGCGTATAGCGACCCACAAGGCTAGACAGCAGGGTCACTTGGCGTCTTCACGAGCCCTGCCTTTCGTTTTGTGCCACTGAGCAATTCGCATGAGCTTCCAAGTACAGATAGGCCCTAATCATATAATTTAAGAAGATGGTCTCTTATTCTTGTATACTTCGGACGCAAGTCTTTGGTCCAATTCCTCATAAATGCCATGCACACACACGGCCCATAATAACCAGGCGTACTCCGTAATAAGGCTACAGTTGCTTCTTCAGGGTGATGTGCAGGGCGATGCTTGGCATCCGGAATCAAGAGACTTGTCCGACGTCATTCCCCAGCAACGGGGGTATCAAAGAAGATCTCCTTTGCTTCGTGGTGTCCCTAGGCGTACTAGCCATATTATGATATCCGATATCAGGCATGGAATAAGGTTAGTTCGTATAGATTACATGTCGTCGAAGCACCACCTTGGAAATCAATTGGGTTCATATAGGAATTTCAATGAAACTAGCTAGCATATAATCGGCTTATTCAAAAATTCGAATCAAGTGGCGGTGGGAATCAATCTGGTGGGACAGCTTCAACCGCCAAGCCGGCCATCAGTATACCGACCCTCGGAGAAGAAGCAGATCCGCCACACATGAGGTCGGAACTATTATGGTTAAACGGCAAGCCGCCTGAATTCCCACAAAGTCCTACTAGAGTACTCGGAGTGAGAATTTGCGATCCCGAAACTCATACGTTCCATTGGTTCTCAGTGGGCGACCGGACAGGTGGGGATGTATGTGGTACGAATGTACGATTTCGAGGAGCCCTCTGAGAATTCGGCGAAAATGTAAGACTCGGAATACGGTGTACCGTCGAGAGTCGTGCAATAAGCCGTTCCGAGTGCGATCATTACCCCATATAGTTAGCGATGAGACGAATTTATCTCCCCCCTGCGGCCAAGGACGCGCCAAGAAAAACCCTGAGGGCGTGATGTGGGGGCAGATCAGGAATGCGACCTCCGGGGGTGGGGTGGATCCTGAGACGGTTCGGGAGTAAACAGAGGCATATGTCAACTATGCCATTGTACTTGATGTGCGATTGATAATAATCATGCTCTAGGCCTAGAGCCATAGCCTGCTGAGCAATCTATGACAGGGATTACAGAAACTAGAGCAACCTTCTGTACCCACTGCATTCACTCTGTTGATTCTATTGGGCTTTTCATAGAGGATATCACTAAACTATCACTGATAGCCGGGAATACTTGGGCCGATCGTGAATTTCCTAGGTTATTATACTGTGTGGTTCTCATGCTTCGCCATAATAGGAACATTGATTCGTTGAAGATATCCGATTCTTATCGTCGACAGCCCTCTGGAGTCCTGGACAGCCTTCGAAGGTTGATTTGGTCGAGCAAAAAAATACATAGTTCGAGAGGGGCAGTACCTAATACGACCTGTTCGGCTTCGGCCATAGCCTTAAAATCGTGTCCTAGGGGTCATCTAGGCTGCTTTGCACCATACTTGGCAGCACGCTAGGACATTGCTTATTGCGGGGCTCCCGTCGCAGTATGCCAGTGCAGAAAATGAAATCCTGTGCCAAGGTGAGTACCTAGGTAGATCGGAGGGTCTGATGCGAAGCAACCTCGCCGACTACTGCCCCTCCCAGAACAGGAAATATCCCTCACAAAAAAGTACCGAAAGCGGAAGTGGCCCTCATTGCGAGAATTCGAGGTTTTAAAAAGCCGAAAGCTGGCTATCTCGAACAGTATTCAGACATTCCTTCAAACTCAATTTCGAATCCAGATCTATGTCCTACCTTCGGCCAAAATGCATTGGTCCACTATTCTTCTTGGTCTCTCCTTTTCACTCTCCGTTCAAGGCGATGTGACTAAGGACCGCGATGAGCGGCTGAAAACGGCTGTTGTTCTGGATACTCCCACTACAGGTGCCAGCACCACACCGGATGGTCGAGCCTTTCTCAAGCTTGCTCGAGTCGATGGTACAACCGGCTCACAAATTGTCGAGGTTGTCGGTGACGACCAGAGTTTGGTCTCGTATCCAAATGACGACTGGAACTCGTGGAATGCTAGCACCGATAGTGCTGCCGATTCAGAGGAAAAGTACGTGTCAGCCAACGCGCAGCGTGTTGGACCTGATGGAAATCTCTGGGTGGTAGACAGCGGAGATCTGCATGGGTTTTCCAACTCCTCCAAGCTCATCTCTTTCAACCTCACAACCAACGAGGTTCAACGAATCTATTACCTCGGCGATGTCACCACTCGGAATGGCTCTATCAACGACGTGCGCTTCAACGGAAAATACGCCTACTTGACAGAATACACCATCGGCTCCATCATCGTGCTAGATCTAGAGACTGGCGATGCGCGCATGGTGCTCCGGGAGCACAAATCGACCGTTGCTTCGATGCCCCTGTCTGCGGAAGGACACTTGTTGCGTGCTCAATCCACGGGCGAGTTTGAATATATCCACGCCGACCAGGAGGAAGTGTCACCAGATGGCAAGTACTTCTACTACCAGCCTGGCAATGGTTATATGTCACGCATCGAAACCAAGTATCTCAATGACGCTCTGAAGAATGATACTACGGCAGACCTGCTTCCCAACTATGTGGAGCCGTTCTCGTTGACGCCAAGTACTGGAGGGAGTGCCATCGACGCCGAGGGCAACATCTACTACAGCGACGGTGACCGTCAGGAGATCCGTATCCTCGCACCAAATGGAACAACCACCCTGTTGGTTCGAGATGAGAGATTGCTTTGGGTTGATGCAATCTGGCTTGACACAAATCAGCGTTTGTGGCTCTGTGCCTCACAGCTCAACCGCAGCAACCGATTTTTGCAACCCAACAACCAAAGCAACACGATAGAGAAGCCTATTTATGTCTACAACATTGATGTTGGCCATAGCCCACCACGCCTGGATCACGCTTGAGCGTGCAGCCGTAGGTGTGTGCCATGTTTTCAACTCAACCCATTTTTCCTCATTGGATCATCTGAAAAGAGCATTTTTTTCGATGTGAAGCATTTCCAATATTCTGGTGCGACAACCTTGGAAGCCTCTTTACTTAGGCAACAAGAGACCGGTGCCCAGGTGCCCAGATGGCGACCTCGCAAATTCAATAGAACTCGATTATATATTTGTTTGAACTCCAGTTAGTAGAAAAGTGAAACATTGGAAGGCTTCAGATTCCTCGTGTGTTGCTTTGCAGATATGTAGAATAAAAGCTGCAGCAATTCCAATGAAATATTGCGTTGGCAGTTTTCGCTAATCCCGCTGGTTCTGAAGCACCCACTTGACTTCGTCAACAACAACTTCGGGCTTGGCCATATGAATGAAGTGCCCACATTCTGGGAGATCCAGGAACCTATTTTGACGTGAAAGCCTGAGTATCTCCTTCTGGATGCGCTCATGGATTCCTGGATAAGCGTCAAGCTTTCTTTCGAATTCCTGTCTTTGTTCTGCTGAGCCATTTCCAACGGTGGCCGCAATTTGAAGGACTCTCCGGAGATCTCTCTCGGGGTGTCCTCTGATAACACTGACAGGGTGAGCTCTCAGAAGTGGGGGATCCTGCTCAAGCTGCTTTCTTTCCCCCAAGTCTTTACAACTCTGGACATAGTGTTCCATCTCTTTCTGTGTTGTCCTTTGATGTTTCTCACTTCGTTGCTCGTCTGTGACAGCTTTCCATTCCGCATCCGACAACGCATTTTCATCAGCTAACCCGATAGCAGTGTACCAGTCCAGACCTTTCCCGAGATCTTCGAGGTCCGAATCCGGCCATAATCGAATGCTTCCTTCTTGATTGGCGTCGACGCACACCATCCCCGTCACATCATCGTGTCCTCCAGCGCGCTGCCGCAGCTCCACAAATTCTCTTCCGATGATTCCTCCGTACGAATGACACACTAAGACGTACGGCGGGGCGATTTCTAGCGTTTGAAGAAGTTCTCCGAGCTCGCAGGCCATGTCGCATGCTGTTGGCGATCCTTCAGATTCATCTGATGCGCCAAGACCAGATCGCTCGTACAGAAGGACAGAGGTGGTTTGACACAAGAGCGTTTGAACGGCCACCCATTCTGTGATGCTACAGGATACACCGGGGATGATGATGGTTATCGGGCAGCCGGCTTGGCGACTCGGCCCCGCCAGCGTAACGAAGAGGCGCTGGCCACTGGGAAGCGCCACTAGTCTGGAGACTGGCTCTTGGCTTGGGGAAAACACTTGCATGATGATATCAGGCTCTTAAGGGAAATTTGACAAGGACGCTGTGGGCTTGATGAGCGCGCTCTGTTGCAAACAAAGCACGTCGAACTTGGCATGTGGGCACGGACCTTGGTGGGATGTGTCGTGTCCCCGAAACTCACATCTTACATCCTGAGCAATGGCCCGCCTAGCCTGGCATTATCGATTCGACGATCGGCTTTGACGTCTCTTCAAGCACCCCGGTGTCTACTGTGACCTCCCCGGCGATTTTGTCTCCCGGATTGCCGTCACTTAACAATTCCGCCCCTCGTATCAAGATCGGGACAAACGCAGTCACTCCCGTTTGGGTCATTTGCGATCTCTCAGTCTCAAACTTCACCAAACCTACGATTATTCTAGGCGAGCTACTTTTTCAGCCGACTTTCGAACCTTCCAATTTACGTTATTATTCGTCTTTCTTTACACTTACGTAGATGAGGTGGTGGATATTACCAACCTTGGAAGGGAACTAGGCTGACGGGTGGCAATTCTTGGCAATTGTCAATATTGCTAGTCCAGTTGGCTCTCTTCAATAATACTACAGGGCCAATATAGCAAGGGATTGCAAGGCAAAGATCCACCTGTTATGGGTGCAGGAGAGAGGAGCTATTGATAGCCGATAAATCTACCCGTGGACACCATGGTAGATCGACCAACTGATCTTCCAAAGCAATCCCTATCGTTGGGGCGAAGACCCTTACCGATTCAGCATACTTTACTTTACTATGACCTGAAGAAGCTATGATTGACTAGGCGCCTAGAGCAGATAACCTTTTTGCTATGGAACGCGTCTTCGTCAACACATATCCGATATCTGCAGATCCCCCAGTCTCGGATGCTGGGCTCGGGTAGTCACCCCGGGAAGTTTAAGCTTCCTCAAATATACAGTTATCCACATTCTTGACGAATCAAACGGGGATCTTAGGGGATTACGGAAGATCCCCAGGATTCCTGCATTTCCAACCAAGCTCAGGCCATAAACAATTCAATGGATTGAACTTTGATTTCCCCGGACTTCCCCGTATTATGGCCATTCTCCACGCAGACCTTCCGATACGACTTCCGATACACTTGACTGACACCAAAAAATTGCCGACTTAGCTCCCGGTAGGATCTTGAAAGCCAGGCGTCTGAGTGAACGACTTCAAACTCAAGTCTCTCCATGTATAAAGGAGCATACCCCTGCTTATCAGAATGTATGACTTGTTAACTTACAGTGACCTATTCTTCTATTCAACCACTTCCCATTCATTTCGACACTATGGCGACCACTCAGATGGACGTCGATGACAATCTTGTCCACAGCAAGACTCAACATTATGAAAATGGAGCCATGCCTGGACTCACGCAGATTCCAACCTCTGTGACCCTGTCTGCGGAGCAGTTCGAGAGGCTCTATCTGAACCCGATGATGCACCGCCAGTCAGCTCTGACAAAGAACCTGGGCAACCCGACTCCACTGTGCGTATCTACAACACGTGTTACCCTGGTGTTGAAAGTTTGTTGCTGACTATTAGAATCATAGTGGCTTAGGAGCATTTGTGCTGACAACCACGCCCCTTTCGTGCTGTCTGATGGCTTGGAGGGGTGCGGGAGGAGGCGGTGCTGCGTTCACGTAAGACCAATCTGTATCTCAAATCTCTGGGATTCGTAGCTGACTGAAGACAGAGGAGTTTTGATCCTTTTTGGTGGGCTACTCCTGGTTCTCTCAAGTATCCTTGAGTTTGTCATTGGAAATACATTTTCTTCCGTTGTGTTTGGGCATCTTGGTATAGTTGATCTTTGTGAAATCTTTTCACGATGTATACTAACATGTCACAGGGGCCTTCTGTCTGGCTTTCGGTGCCAGTATGACCCCAAGTTTCAATTCTGCTGGTAAGCTTTGGAAATATCTTGCTTTATTTTGATCATTTGCTCAACAATTTCTAGCCCCATACTCTCCATCAACAACCGATACGCTCGCGGGTCTTCACAGCCCAGGATTCGTGAACACATTTGGTAAGTCAATGCTTATGGATGAATAGTCCCATATTAACAAAGTTATCAGCATTCTTCTTTCTGTTTATGGCCTTGTTGATGTTCATCTATGCAATCTGCGCAACTCGGACAAACGCAGTCTATGTTGCCATCTTCACATCCCTCATTTTGGTTTTCTCTCTCCTAGCTGCTGCGTACTGGAGACTAGGGTTGGAAGATGCGATGAATGGAAATCGTTTGACAGTGGTGGGTCTCCCAGAATCTAACTTATCGATCCTACGCAGTTTCTAACGCTTTCATCATAGGGCGGTGGTGCTGCTTTGTTCTTTGCTAGTATGCTCGGCTTCTATTTATTGACCGCACAACTCCTTGACTCTGTTGGATTTCCTATTTGTCTGCCCGTGGGCGACCTCAGCAGGTTTTGGGGTAATAACAAAAGGTGAGTGTGAGATGGTCATGCTATCGTCCGTTCCGTTTCTCATGCTGACTTTTTGTTGTTAGCGCGGCATCGCAGGACGTGGAGTCGGCTAACTATGCCAACGGTCCTTGAGCATAAAGTTCTAACCTGGCACCGGACAATCAGCTAAATTATCGAACCCACCTCGCAGGGTATGCTCCTAGGGTGGTCTTGAGTTTCTTTCCAATCTACTCCGTGCCTCTTCTGTAGCTATCAACCTGTATCCTTCGACGATAGAAGTATCGGGTTATTCTGTTATATTCAAATTCCACAGTGGTTTTAGCTGTCTGCCTTAAAATTCCAAAATTTCGTTTACTCTTCTGAATATTCCCTCCCGAGTCTCGAACTTAGTATATCCAAGTGTGTTTATCTACTACGCTGCGTACTGATCACCAGAAGCTAGTCCAACGTATGTTTTTCAAGGTTTCTCTTCCCCTTGTCAAGCCCTCTTCAACAGTTTGCTTCTTGAAATTTATTTGTGTTCAAAATGATCAATGGATCTAACAGGCTTTGTATCATACCTAGGTACCACAAGTATGCGATAGGGTCGATGTCAAGCCGTGAAATTGCCATGGGGGGAATGTATCCATTTCTATCGACTTGAAATTATGCATTGCTATTTTATCCTCACAACATCGCAATGACCTTCAACCAGATGACCGGAAAGCCTATGACGCAAGGAAGAGCTCTCTGGGCACCTGTGCATATGAATAGTGTAGTGTTCTCAGTGCCCAGGCCCCGAGAAGAACATCAATTATTCTACAGATGTTTGGTACGCCAACATGTCAGGAGTGTGGAGTACTACCCAAATTTTGCTTTTTTCAATGAGACAGTGTGGGATGCGAAGGTTCCATTTGGGGTGGACTCGAGCAGCAATGAGCTCGATGTGACGGGCCAATTAATTGGGGGCTGATTTTTGGGGCTGCACCCCACAGATCTACTCCGCATTCTCCCCCGGAACCCGATCGCGGCAGACAGCGCCCCGTGAAATCACATGGCGATGTTTAACATCGTTGCACGCGTCATTACCCGACTCATCATTTTGTCAAACTATATCCTTTATCCTTAAATACCGAATGTATTCCCGTAGCCAAAATGTCACTAGCCAAAAAGAGATAGATGGGCGGGAGCCTGCGCCTAGACACCTCAGGTATCCATGACAGGAGTCAAATAACGTTCAGGGATGTAAGCCTATTTGGGACTAGTGCGGGTTGACTCGAGCCAAATTAGGAATAGCTCAATATTCGTCAGGATGGCAAAAATTGTGAATAGTACTGGAGTTAACATTGAGACAAAGCCTGTATGACAAGGCAATGAGTTCAAAATACCTCCCTGACCTCGGGAATTTTCGAGTCGGGACTGCTCGAATTTGTACACTGCATCTACCTAGGTATTTGTCTACATGTAAATTCCTATCTCTCTACTCCGTACGGGGTACTGATCTCACCTTTGTTAGAGGAGGAATCCATTCTTGAGTAAACAAACAGCAGAGGATTTCCTGCGCAGCATGTACCTGCGCAGCATATGTCTGTCGCTGAAATTTCTAAGAACTGAGGAACGTTCGAGTGTAAATTATGAATCAAAAATATCAAAAATATAATCATGGGTAACCGATTAACAATAGCGATATCTTCCTAGTGAACTTGCTACTTCCAAAGTAGAACAGCCTTGAGAGCCTTGCCCGATTTGATATCCTTGAACGCGGTCTCATAATCCTCCACTTGGTAAAATTTCACAATTTTATCGAGTGGGAATTCACCTTTGGCATGTTGTTCAATGAGGTATGGTATCATCTAATGATATCAGCGATGGTTTGTCTGGAATAGGGCAATACTACACATACCTGCTGGGGGTCGCTGTCGCCCTCGCAACACCCAATGTACTGGCGTCCCATGACTAGGTGAGCAAACACATCCACCCCTGCGCGTTTTCCAGGCGCCGGGGCGCCCACAGTTGCTCCCTTGCCACGGGTTCCGAGACAATCCAGAGCTCTTTCAACCACCATGGGTATACCAGCGCAATCAACAGAGTAGTCCACTCCATTTGACCCGGAGATCTTCTGGATCTGTGCAACCACATCTTCATCTGAGCCAACAACGGAGTGGGTAGCTCCAAGCTGCTTTGCCAATTCCAATCTTTCAGTTTGTAGGTCGATGGCAATGATCACGCTGGCACCTCTCATCTTTGCAGCCATGACGGCGCTCATACCAACTGAGCCAACACCAAAGATGGCAACTGACTTACCAGGTTGCACGTCCAGGGTGTTCAAAATAGCACCAGCACCTGTCTGGACACCACAGCCGAGGGGGGAGAAAAGACCCAGCTGCGTGTCTGAAGGGACTTTGACAACGGAATTACCCATGACAATGGTATGCCGGGCAAATGAGCTCTGACCAAAGAAGTTTCCATGTAGCTTGGTTCCATCTGGTGTTGCGAGCGACAGGCTTCCGTCCATTCTCTTCTGTCCAAAGTTGCGTTGGGCCCATTCCTGGCAATAGGCCGGGTGCTTGGATTTGCATTGTGCACAGGAGCCACAAGAATCAAAGCTGAGCAAGACCCTGTCTTGCTTCTGAAGATGCTTGATGTTTCTTCCCACATCTAGGACCACACCACCACCTATCGAGGAGTCAGCGGTCTGATTATGAATTCATTGGGCCAATGTAATGACACCATCTTACCTTCATGTCCGAACACACTGGGGAATGCTGCTGGAAGGGTTCCATTCATGCAGGCAAAGTCTGTGTGGCAGACACCAGTAGCATGAATCTCTACCAGCACTTCATCCGGGCGTAGCGGGTCAAGGACAATATTTTCCAACTCTACCGAGCTGTTGACTTGCCTGGAGACAAGAGCCTGTGTTGTAATAGACATGACGTGTATTGTAATGTTCAGGAGGGTATCAAAGGCCAAGTAGAAATTTCGAATAATTCTTCCATTCTAGAAGTGAGGACCATGTGAGTATTTATAGATGATAGCATCCAACCAAATAACGTGGGGCTTTGCATTTCCCAGGGCCCTACAGTTCCCATGTTGAATACCCGCCAGGGCTCCAGGATTGGATCTTGATTTCCAGACTCCATTACCCCGAGTACGGGAACTCTGAGCAATCCCGAAAGTACCGATATTCCAGCTGGGAATTGCCGTGATCTAAAATCGTGGCGCCGAACCTCCTTAGAGTTTCGATCCCCACACGCTACCCCCGCTCGACCCCGGATATTTCCCGGTCGCTGATCGCCTTCTCTATCTCCGGGTCACTCAAGTGGGCCAGTATTCTACAATAGCCAAATCGGGGTCGCGAGGTTATCAATCATTCGTCCCTGTTTTTGCGGCGCCGAGCGCCATAGACGATCTGAGCAATTAGCAGAGCCCTGGAGTGATCCTTCGGCAAGCTGCTCGGTAAAGTTTCAAGCATGGACTTCTTCGGTTTAACCTGGCTATAAAGCCAACGTCCAGGCTCTTAGTATCCATACAAAAAGAAAACGGGGTCCCATTTCCGACTATCTTCTCTTCTCACCTTTCATCTCTTTTCTCCCTCATTTTCGTCTCACTTCGGACGAGTGCGTGACCCTTGAGCTATGTCAGCTACAACCTCCGAGAGGGCGCCTGGCGCTACAGTTCCTCTTGTCATTGGAAATAATGACATCACAACATCAAACACCTTTGACGTCAACAATCCAGGCAAAGGTCACGTTGAGCACAAATGCAGCACTGCTGATGTCAAACACGCCACTCTCGCCGTGGAATCGGCTGAAAAGGCCTTCCCAGACTGGGCTCTAACCAAGCCGGCCACTCGCCGAGACATCCTTTTGAAGACAGGCGATATATTCCTCGAGAGGAAGGATGAGTTCATTGGCTATATGTGCGAAGAAACTGGGTCTCAACCCGACTTTGCGGAGTTCATCCTGATGCTTGGCGTGAACCTTCTGAAAGATGTCGCTGGTAAAGTTTCGGGAATTGAAGCTGCTTCTCCTGCCCTAGTGCAAGACGGTACGAGCGCACTTGTCTACAAGCAGCCATATGGTGTTGTTCTTGGTATCGCCCCTTGGTATGTACAAAAAGAAACATTCGACCCCTTGGAAACCTACCCTCTAGGGCTAGATCTAGTGATTAACCATCAACAGGAATGCTCCCTACATCCTGGGTACACGGGCTGTCGCGCTCCCCCTTGCCGCGGGTAATAGTACAGTTCTCAAGGGCTCCGAGCTCTCTCCAAAATGCTTCTGGGCGATTGGAGATGCGTTTAGGCAAGCTGGGCTACCTGAAGGATGTCTCAACGTCATCTATTCCCAGCCTGCAGATGCCCCCGAAGTGACTCAAGCCTTGATAGCTCACCCTGCAGTTAAGAAGTTGAGTTTCACAGGAAGCACGATCATTGGGCGCAAAGTTGCGCTCCTCGCGGCACAGTACATCAAGCCTGTGATTCTCGAGCTAGGCGGGAAAGCTCCTACCGTCGTTCTTGAGGATGCCGATATAGAAAAGGCAGCACTCGGCGCAACACTCGGCTCGTTCATTCACGTAAGTCCAGGAACAGTTCATCAAAATAGCTCAACTAACACAAGGATAGACCGGACAAGTCTGCATGTGTACCGAGCGTATCATCGTACACCGCGCCATCGCTGATAAGTTCCGCGAGGCTTTGAAAGCCACAGTCAACAATGTTCTCGGGGGTCCAAGCACACAACTCGTTGCAGTCAATTCGGCGGCAATTACCAAGAATAAAGACTTGGTTCGCGATGCGATTTCCAAGGGTGGTAAGGTTTTGCTTGGGGACATTGATACTGAAGCAACTTCCAATACCCGCATGGGACCGGTCGTTGTCGAAAACGTTACCGAAAATATGGATATCTACAGGACCGAATCATTTGGTCCGACCGCATCCCTCTTTGTAGTTGACAGCGACGATGAAGCAGTCAAGCTCGCAAATGATACCGAATACGGCCTCAGTGCTTCTGTGTACACTGAAAGCCTAGCCAGGGGGTTGAAAGTCGCCAAACAGATCGACTCCGGGTATGTTTTCTTCTCATTCATTGTTTAATCTGTACTTATGAACTACACAGTGCGGTACATATCAATTCCATGACTGTCCACGACGAAGCAGCTCTTCCCCACGGCGGAGTAAAGAGCAGCGGATACGGTCGCTTCGGAACTAACATGCTGGATGAATTCCTGTGGACCAAGTCTGTGACTTGGGTTGACTAGAATATGAGCAATCTAAGATCTAATTTAATATCAGCATTATTTACAACCTTCATTCTAAGCAATCCATCGGGTCACTGTCTTCGGCAATGTACGCTTGACACGTAGGTCAATACAGCAAGTGAAGAAACAGGCGGAACACGGAGCCTATAGTTGAAGCACCTGAATGAGCTATGATATTTGTGGAGTGATTATCTCTAAGCATCCAGCAAACTATCTCTGAGGAACTTCTACTTGGGCACGGCAAAACAGATGCTCCCTCCGCCCCCTCTTTCATGCTGTATATTAATTGCGCCATTCACACCGGGTGAAGGAACGCCACGCATGTCGGGTACTCCCTTGAAAAATCTTAGTGTGCACCTAGTTTATCTGCACAGATACTTTTTTCTTCGCGCCTTCAGTGCGGGGATATTTCTCTTTTTGTCGTTAGTCAAGATAACCTCGTAATAATTGTCTTGCGAGATTCTCTCCGTTCAATTACACCTTTTTATCGCCATATCGCTTTACCACGCGTATTATACCACAATGTGTGACTATAATCAAAATTTGGCCTGGGCATAATTGCTTGTCCAAAGCTTAGCGTTCTTATCACCGCCACGAGCTAGTCCCAGGCTTGTCTTGAGTCTGCAGGGCTTCCGTCATCACCGCAGCGGCTGCTCTAGTCTATCGGAGATCCGAATAGTCCCCGAAGATATTGTCTTGAATTGCAGGGCTATCAGTCGCCTGAAATTGGCTTGCTTTTAATTAACGTCGATTCCGCCAATACGGGTTGAATGGGCTTATCGGAGTTCTCACCAAAGTCCAGGCGCTAGAGCGAATGTTGCTTTAGCGGGGAACACAGACCGAGGCCGACCATATCCCCTCAGACAGGGTATATACCAGTAATATTGTTGGATGTGGGTAGGACAAATGGTTCTTACCATCGCTGTCGAATTTGCAAACATCTTCGGTCTGAGGCTCAAACATTCATCGTCAAGCAAGTCTACATTGTTTCTATCCAATCCTAGAGCCAAATTATGAATCACCTCTTGTCTGCCCAGGTGGCTATCACTTGTTAGTCTGGTGGCTTATTATGCAGGGGTTAATTATTTAACTTCGTCAAGTGATTGCAACCAACTTTATCACGCCTGGGTATAGTACATGTACATTCAAATTGATTTCTTTCAGGAAGCCAATCAGAAGTTTTCCACAATACAACATGTCCCTTGCATATGCATTAGTCTCAATACTGATGTCTGCAGAAGGTTAGCCATGTTGCAACTAAGCGGTGCTAAGTACATAACTAAGCAACCGATGTGCTTCATTCAAGCCACAATCTAGTATGAGTTGACTTGAGCCCACCGGCCTCCGACGGCATGAAGCGACATGAGGTTTGGCTCACGGTTTGGAAAGGCGATGTTACATCGCGATCTAAGCACACGCTTGAGTGTTGAGCTCGTTGCACACTCCGTATTCGTGTTTTCATCATCGTGAAAGCCTTCCCAAGAGCTATATAAAGAGCGTTGGGTCGAGAATATGTCGACTTCATCCAGTATTCAGCCTTCCAATCTTCTTACCTTCAAGCTTGTATCTTGTCTCATCACTCAATCTTCAAAATGAAGTTCTCTTCCTTCTTCGGTTCAGCTCTGCTCGCCACAGCAGCCATTGCCGCTCCTCTCACTGAACAGCGACAGGCACGTCGTGGTCTCAGTCGCAAGAGCAACCCTCCCATGAAGCCTGGTACCACTGAGGCCATCAAGCTGAATGGGACTTCTCATGAAGAGTACAGCTCCAACTGGGCCGGTGCCGTTCTCATTGGCACTGGCTATACAGCTGTGACTGCTGAATTCACCGTTCCCACCCCAAAGCTTCCAACTGGTGCCTCATCGCGCCAGCAGTACTGCGCCTCTGCCTGGGTCGGTATTGACGGTGATACCTGCTCCACTGCCATTCTTCAAACTGGAATCGATTTCTGTGTTCAGGGAAGCAGCGTCACCTACGATGCTTGGTATGAGTGGTACCCTGACTATGCCTATGACTTCTCTGGCATCCCAATCTCCGCTGGAGATGTGATCAAAATCACCGTGGACGCTACCTCCAAAACCGCCGGTACTGCCGTTGTCGAGAATGTGACGCAAGGCAAGACTGTCACCCACACTTTCAGCGGTGGTGTCGATGGCGATTTGTGTGAATACAATGCCGAGTGGATCGTGGAGGACTTCGAGAGCAATGGCTCGCTGGTTCCATTTGTTGACTTTGACTCGGTCACTTTCACCAGTGCTTCGGCTACCAAAGGAGGACAGAGTGTCGGTCCGTCCGGCGCTACTCTCATGGACATCAAGCAGTCCTCCTCTGTTTTGACTTCTTCTTCTGTCACCGGAAACAGTGTCACTGTCAACTATCTTTGAGAGCCGATCGGTTCATGTCTTTGATTGGGAACCCGAGATCTTTCGGAGAGATGTGATATCATTAGTCGATGAGTCGAGCTTTGGCCTTCACAGTATGCTTCTTGGAGAGAGATCGAAGCTGCTTTGGCGATCGATCTAGGGGGTAGAACCTTAGGGAGAGGTCCTGAATGCATTGTCAATCATACTTCAATTCCTCGCGTAGACTAAGAAGCTCTTTTGCGTGTAGATCTTCGGCTTTTTCAATGGAGCAGTAGGCATACGAGCCAACTCAGTAAGAGGATTGATAAAATCCATGATATAAATGTCACTATATATGAAATCAGGCTCTTTGGAAATCGAGGGGCGGCATCATCGAAAGTGGAGGGTTGATGGTTCCCTGGGCAGCGCCGGGTGTGGGCCCCGGAGTTCCTAACGGGTGAGAATTGGGCGGGCGTCCCCGGGGCCCGGGGCCGGTTTAAGGTACGTGACGCTACTTTTGCCACCCCCGGGGCCGTTGGGAACACCGATGAGTACACCCGGGTCGTAATAGGGAATAGCATTCATGATGCTTTGCATCGAAATTCGGGCACTATTGGCGGAGTTGGATGTCCACCTGGGATGGCTGCAGCCAGTGACCTCGGGACCTGCCTCTATGTCACATGTACGGATCCAGCCCTATATTTTGGCCCTAATATCCCGATATGGAAATACAGATAAAGAGTCCAGCCAGCCAGAGCGCAGCAATTAATACATCGGGACCTAAAGCTTTGTATCGACTTTTGATCTTTTACCTTGCATGTTCAGATACCTCAAAATGGCCGAAAACGTCGCGAAGAAGCTCAAGACCTCCTCCCCCTTGATCGGGACTCACAAGTAAGTCCCACCGCCAGATATTTGACCTCTCTTCTAATCGGTTGAACTCAGCGGCCACTTCCATGCCGATGAGGCCCTGGCCGTCTACCTCCTCCGTCTCCTTCCCACCTACGCATCCTCGCCTCTCATCCGCACTCGCGACCCCGCCGAGCTTGAGAAATGCCACACCGTCGTGGATGTCGGTGGCGTGTATGACGCTGCCATCAATCGCTACGATCACCACCAGCGCACCTTCGCGACAAACTTCCCCCAGCACCAGACCAAGCTTTCCTCCGCTGGTCTAGTTTACATGCACTTCGGAAAAGCTATTATCGCACAGAAGCTTTCTCTGCCCATCGACCACGCCGATGTGGACCTCCTCTACGAGAAGCTGTACACTGATTTCATTGAGGCAATTGACGCGAACGACAATGGAATCTCCGCCTACGACCAAGCCGCCATCTCCGCCGCCGGAATCGAGAAGCGCTTCAAGAATGGCGGTATCACTCTCGCCTCGATGGTCGGCGACATGAACAACCCCGACCCCACCAGCCCACCTGGCGAGCCCCAGGACGAAGACAGCCTCTTCGGACGCGCCAGCACCATGATTGGTAACGCTTTCGCGCGCAAGATGCACCACGCCTGCACCTCATGGATGCCTGCCCGCACAACCGTTGGCTCAGCTTACGCGTCGCGCAAGGAAGTCCACCCCTCCGGCCGTATCATGGTCCTGCCCCAAGGCGGTGTCCCCTGGAAGGAGCACCTCTACAACTTCGAAGCCGAAGCCTCTGGAAGCAAGGAGATCGATGCCGATACGCAGGTCTACTACGTTCTCTACCCCGAGAATGCCAACGCCGACGCCAAGTGGCGCATTCAGTGCGTGTCTGTCAACGAGAGCAGCTTCGAGTCCCGCAAGCCTTTGCCTGAGTCTTGGCGCGGCGTCCGCGACCAGGACCTCGACGGTGTCATGGCTGCGGAGGCGGAGAAGAACGGCCAGAGCAAGATCCCTGAGGGTGCTGTCTTTGCCCACGCCAGTGGCTTCATTGGTGGTCACAAGACTCGGGAAGGTGCCATGGCCATGGCTGAGCGCAGTCTCGGTCTCTGATACCCCCCAACTTTTGATGATGAAGGATGATTGAATAAAAGTTAGATTGATGATATATCTTTGATGAACTGAAACCAATCTATGATTTATATCCATATGTAATTCTGCAACCCCGAGATTTCTCCTGGTCCATGATAGACAAAGGGATCGTAGCTTGAGATCCCAGAAAGTCAATTCAGATGTTTGACATCGTGCAAATCCTCGATTCGCTTTCGAAGCGACGGAATCGCAAGGGTCAGCCATGGAGATTGTGCTATGATAACCCAGTCACCAGCCCCCGGGGACGGATGGAAAGACGTGGAGGTAAAGAACCAATTGAGCTTTGGCTCGGAGATGGCTTTGATCGACCCGGACGAATTGAAGAGTCTTTCGTCATGCGGCGGAGGAGAACCAGGACCCAAGACTGATATGCTGAGTGAAATTCCTGCAGCATGACGGGTTGTAGCAAGGGCGAGGCAGGGACCGAAACGTTCAAAATGCGGATTCCAATGTTGAATCTCAATTGAGATAAGGACCAGAAAGTCGCCCAATCGACTGTAGCCTCGGCGCCAAAGAGAGGATCGCCGTGGAGTGGCAGGCGCGGGTATTGATTTTCGACAAGGTATGATGAGAGCCTCAGTGACGGATGTTCAGTGCGCTGATATCCTCAATGCTGCCACTTCCGTCGCCAGATGGGGTCATATCTTTGGGCTCAGCCTGGGCGCCAGAGTCCTCACGCTCGCCCATAGCGCGCTGGATGAGTTTCGCCTTCGTGGCAGCGCCCTTGAGACGTTCATCCACATCGTTGACTGCTTCTTCCGTATTGCTCATATCCAAAGTAGCTGGATCCACGAGCTCAAGCAGGGTATGGAGATTCCTGACGAGACGTGTGCTGTGAGGCGGGAGACTCGGCATGTCCTTGCAGATAGATGGATCAAGCGAGATCTCTCCCGTGGCAGGTTGCGCTGGGGCATTGTTGGACTTTGAGTCAAGTCTCTGTGCCCAGACGAGCGCTCTGCCATACAAGCGTCCCATCTCGACAAACTTCTCGAAGCCCTTCTCCACTGCAAAGACACTGCCTTCGGTATATCCGGTTTCTGCTCCATCTTTGGTACCAAGTTCGAAACCCTCGTTGTAGAATTGCTCCTCCAGATCCAAAAGATCATCCAAGAGATCTTCCATTGTAAATACTGAGTGATTTGGTGAAGCTCAAACTGATAAAGCTGATAACCACTTTTTTTTTCTGCTGCGGGGTCACGAGATGTCCACTCTTTTCCAGTTTCCCGCCTTCGCCCCTCCAACTTCCCAACCACCACAATGTCGGATCCTATCTTGCCCAAAGAGGGCGAGCGCAATATCCTGATTACCAGCGCGTTGCCATACGTGAACAATGTTCCTCACCTGGGTAATGTCGTGGGCTCCGTGTTGAGTGCCGACGTCTTCTCCAGGTATGACTCAACCCCACCCGCAGATGCAACGCGCGAAACTAATACAATATAGATACCACAAGGCTTGTGGTCGCCCGACGTTGTATATTTGCGGAACCGATGAATATGGAACAGCCACAGAGACTAAGGCGCTGGAAGAGAAGCTGTCGCCGGAGGACCTTTGCGCCAAGTACAACAAGATTCACCAGGAAGTGTATGAATGGTTCAACATTGGCTTCGACCACTTCGGTCGCACACCTACCCAGAAGCACACCGAGATCTCGCAGTCAATCTTCAAGCGCCTGTACGAGAACGGATATCTTGGTGAAAAGACCGCCGAGCAGCCTTTCTGCGAGAAGCACGGCTCCTTCTTGGCTGATCGTTACGTCGAAGGCGAGTGCCCCCGATGCCACTACGATGACGCCCGTGGAGATCAGTGTGATAAGTGTGGTCACCTTCTGGACCCCTTTGATTTGATCAACCCTCGCTGCAAGCTCGATGGTGCCGCGCCAATCCGTCGCGAGACCAAGCACATCCACCTTCTGCTCGACAAGCTCCAGCCTCAATTGGAGAAGTGGGTTCACCCCGCTATCGAAAAGGGAGACTGGCCTAAGAACTCCCGCGTCATCACTGAGTCCTGGCTTAAGGAGGGCTTGAAGGGTCGTGGTATCACTCGTGACCTTAAGTGGGGTGTCCCTGTCCCATTGGAAGGATTCGAGAACAAGGTTCTTTACGTCTGGTTTGACGCTTGTATTGGTTACCCCTCCATCACAGCGAACTACACCGACGACTGGGAGAAGTGGTGGCGCAACCCGGAAGATGTCCAGCTTTGGCAGTTCATGGGCAAAGACAATGTTCCATTCCACAGTGTCATCTTCCCCTCCACCCAGATCGGAACCCAGGACAAGTGGACTATGCTGCACCATCTGAGCACCACCGAGTACCTCAACTACGAAGGCGGCAAGTTCAGCAAGTCGCGTGGAGTCGGCGTCTTCGGCACCAACGCTAAGGAGACCGGCGTCTCGGCTGACGTTTGGCGTTATTACCTGCTGAAAAACCGCCCCGAGACCAGCGATACGCAGTTCGAGTGGCAACCCTTTGTTGATGCTAACAACAGCGAGCTGCTCGCCAAGTACGGTAACCTCGTCAACCGAGTCATCAAGCTCGTCACTGCCTCTTACGGATCTGTCATCCCCGAGTTCTCCGTTCCCGAGTCCTTCAATCCCTTCTTGGAAGAGGTCACTGGCCACTTGCGCCAGTACAATGAAGAGATGGAAGGTGCTCACCTGCGCGCCGGTGTTACCACTGCTATGCGTATCGCCGAAGCCGGAAACGGACTCATCCAAGCAAACCGCCTGGACAATAAGCTCATTGCTGAGGAGCCCGAGCGTGCTGCTGCCGTTGTCGGTACTGTGCTGAACTTGATCCACCTGCTCTCTGCGGTCTTCACTCCCTACATGCCCGCAAGCTCCAAGTCCATTCTGGAGCAGCTCAACGCTCCCCTCCTGTACATTCCTCACGGCGATGAGCTCAAGGATGGCTGGAAGCCCACTTCGCTTAAGGCCGGTCACAAGATCGGCAAGGCCGCCTACCTCTTCACTCGCATTGACCCCAAGAAGGCCGATGAGTGGCGTGAGTTGTTCGGTGGCTCTCAGGCCGATCGCAAGAAGAAGGAAGAGGAGGCTGCTAAGCTTGCCGCCAAGAAGGCTGCTGCCAAGGCTAAGAAGAAGGAGAAGAAGGAGAAGGGCCGTGCTGGTGCTGGTGCGGACGCCGGTGGTGTTGAGGGCTCCGCTAAGGGTGGCGCAGAGAAGCTCTCTGCTACCACCGAGGGCAAGGGCGATGAGGCCGTTGAGAAGATTGCCGACGGTGTCGCACAAGTTACGCTGCCTACTTCTTAGGTGAAACAGCATTGGTGTTGGGGGTGAAGTGCAGTGTATGAAAGGCGTGCTGTGGGTTTCAATGATTTATGAGAGATGTTGCATATCATGGTTGGGGATCACTAGGAACAGCTAGGTCATCTTTCGCAAAATTCTTGTCTTTCATAGAAATATAGTGATCTGTTCGACATTGGGATTTTCTCAACTACGTCCACGATAGCTTTCGTCTTTCTTGATCAAGCAAGCCACTTTTTGAGCCTACATAAGATGGCGAAACAAGGATAGATACTCGATACTCCTAGAGAACACGAAAGTGACGAAAGATCTCCACGATCTCTCCAACAATGTAATCCACTACCGGAATCAAAGCTTTCCCACCGGGAATATGCCTTCTTTCAGTAAAAGCGGAAGGTTTGATATCATCCAAGCAGCTTCAGAACCGCATTTCCTCTTTCTCCCTTCGAACCACTCCACTACTATTTTCAGAGGGAGAGCGTCGTTTTTTTTTTTTTTTTTTTTTTTTTTTTTTTTTTTTTTGCAATTCTACTCAGCGGTGGACTGATTGTAGTGGGATGGAGTGTCAAATAGACAAAACATGAGTAGTACATTGTGCACCAATAGACAACCAAGTCTATTATATTGTTCTGCTACCAGGTAAATGAGCCCGGGGACATGGTAGATTCTAGCCAAGTTAGTTGACAAGAGCACAGGAAGATGCTACACCCGAAAGTGGTTGCCAAAGGGGTTGTAGTTGGGGAGATCATGGCCTGGTCAATGTTGGCAGTGACAGAACAGCCAAACAGGTGGAAACCCGAAGGACAAGATCCCACAATCTAATTACAGATGGAAGTGAAACTTGTAAATCTTCAGCAAAAGTGGCATGGGTGAGGTCGACAGGAACACCAACATCAATCAGAATGAAAGCGAAGAATAAGGTACAATTGTATTACAGTCAACTACACCCTCAAAAGAACAAAGGAGATATCGGCAATGAATCTAGGCACAAGTGGTCACATCAAATCCAGAATGAAGGAACAGAGTTTTCCCTCTCTACAGTGTAATGTATACAGGGATTTTAAACGGTCAGACCGAGATCCTCGGCGAAGGGCAGCTGGTGGATGTCACCGACGCTGACAAGGGTGGCCTTGCCAGTCAGGAAGGTGTTGGCAACCTAGGAAGAAACGTTAGTATCAGATGATCCAAAGAATGGGAGTGAAAACATACCTCCTTGACCTGCTGCTCGGTGACGTTCTCGAGAGCCTGGGCAATCTCGTTGATCTGGTAAGGCTTGTTGCCGTGGACGAGGCCAGAGCCGGTGGCCTCGAGACCGGTCTCGAGGGTCTGGACGGACTCCAGAGCGCGGAACTTGGCGAGGGCAATGGCCTTCTTGATCTCCTCGCTGGCGACCTCACCGGCGGCGGCCTTCTTCAGGGCGTCGACGACGTTCTGGCTGGCAGCGCTGATCTGGTCGGCAGCACCGGTCAGGGCGACGGTGAAGAGACCGGCATCAGAGTAGGCGTTGTTCTGGGTGGTCACGCGGAGGTGGTTGAAGCCCTTGGTGGCCTGGGACAGGAGGGAGAAGCCAGGGGTCCACTTGATGGTGGACTCGCCGCCGAGGAGAGCAGCCAGAACGGAGGCCTCGGCCTTGTAGCCGGCGGTGCCGAAGGCGCTGGAACCGGGGAAAGCGATAACAACGGAGTTACCGGTCTTGGAGGCAATGCGCTGCTCACCACCGAAGTACTTGGAGGCCTGGCTGGGCAGGACGTTGTATTGGCTGGAGGCGTTGCCGGTGGAGGCATTCTTGAAGAATTGGCCAACCCACTTATTGAGCTCGGAAGAGTTAGGACCGCTGGCGACAAGAGCGATGTTGTTCTTGGCGTAGGCGTTCTGGGCGTACTGGGCCAGGGCGTCGCCGGAGATGTTCTTCTCAAAGGGAGAGCTCTGGGAGGGGGTGATGGTGGCACCCAGACCGCGGTGGAAGGCGACACCGTGGGCGGCATCAACAGCGACGGTCTCCGGGTTGGAGTGAACGATCTGCTGCTTGTACTTAAGGAGCTTGCTCACAACCTCGTTCAGCTCATGGTCTATCACCGAGCGATGCAAGTTAGAAAAAAAAATACACATATATAGAGTTGGATGACCGTATGTCATTTATCCAGGGACCAACTTACCGGCGAACTTGGTCTCGCTGGCAACCTCAGCAAGAAGCTCTGTGAAGTAGGGGAGGTCCTTGGAAAGGAACTTGGTCCGGAGGACAACGTTTTCGCGGGAGTGTGTCGACGAGATTTGACCGCCGAGCAGCTCAGTCTCACGGGTGATACGCAGAGCAGACCGCTTGAGGGTGGTCTATGCGAATAACGAACAATCAGTATCACGCAAGACAGTTGAGATGGCTCAATTGATGACAGGGGGGCTAACCTTGAAAGCGAAACGGTCGAGAGCGTCGGCGAAACCAGGGAAGGGCTGGTAACGGGAGCCGGCCTTCGCGACCAGGGCCAGGGTACCGGTAGGACCCTCAACCTCACGGTTGGCAACCTTCACGCCGGAAGCCTCAGAGACATCGTACTGGAAAGCCGGGTTGACCGCGGAGGCCATGGACCGACGGCCGGCGGAGAACGCACGCGGCGCATTTCGGCTGAGAGAAGACCGCGACAGCATCGTCGCCTGTGCCGAAAAGATATGCAAAGGGAAGAAGAGGATATAACAACCCGAATTGGGTTTGCAAAGGGGGGCAATTGAGGTGGGGAGGGAGGCGGGATGCGGAGAGAGCAGAGGAGAAGAGGCAGTTTGGAGGTCACGAAAAGCTTCAAGATCCCGGGCTCTGTTGATTACTCGGCCTCTGATTGGCTGGAGTGACGAGTCGGACGGAACCGGAGTTACTTTTGTTCGACGTATATCGACGACGAGGTGTTCAGTGTTTTCTAGGTCTCTACTCAATTCTATTGCTCTTTGTGATCCGAACCTGGGACGAGTTGGTCTTCCTCGAGGACGTCGTCGTCGCTGATCATTCTCGAATTCCCTGAAGCGGGCATACCCGGATCACCTGATCTTGATACCACGTGACCGAGCGCGATAAGCAAAAAAAAGAACGTGGAGACTCGAATCTCATTATCGGCGCATCAGAATTTGGGATCTCCAAGTGCTCCATGAACCGGTGACCTCAATTGCCTGCTGAAGGCTGGTGGAACTCGTCCTCCTTTTCGCCCACTATGATGTCCAAGGTATGCGACATGCGAGAGGCGACATACGGATATCCGGTCCGAGCTTGCTCCCATACTTACCTGAGATTGATAGTGCTCTGCGGAGCTTTGCATGCTTCTGATCGAGGATAACTTTGGAGAGCTATTCGCAGTAAGTATCTTGAGCTGTGCAGCCTGCGCAGATCCCCGAGCTCTATGATTCATCGCGACGGCGGGGCATCAGAACTGATCCGTCAACCTTTCGCAGCGCATCTTTGGCGTCCTTCAACGCTATGAGAGACTGACGCTACCCCGCCTTAAATTCTACGGTCGTCTGACTGATCGCCAATTGCACCATGGTCTCTCCGCTATGATTCAGCACCACCTCGTCTACCATTTTACCTCCCTCGATGATGGCAACACCTACTATGAGGCCAATCCTCAAGCTGCATACTATCTGGTGCGGTCAGGGAAGATTCTGCAGCTTGTGGAAAACCGGTTAGGAGCATATGCAGCCCAGGTCCTGCAAGCAATCATGTTCCTAGGCCATGCGTCGATCTCCCACCTCGAGACTCTCCCTGAGCTTCAACCTCAACAGCAGGTCACTAACGGAGTGGACCACGACGGCGAGAACGGCGAGAACGGCGAGAACGACGAGGGACACGAGGAGAACGGAGACCAGGCCGAAGAGAATGGGCATGGAGAAAACGGGCTGACCAACGGCAATCATGCCGTGGATGCGAAGCCCGCTCGCCTTCACCCCACTCTCAAGGCTCTTGCATCCCACGGATACATTCACAAGGTCCGGGAGGCACACTTCCAGAGTCCTAACGATAATGTGCTTGATGCCACGCGGATTGTTTCCTCTCGGCCAGATGTCAAGCAAATGAAGGGCAAGCAGCAAACGGCCGAGATCGAGGAAAAATCACAGCAAATGGTTAAGGACAGAACTGAGGGAGATCTAAGTCGTGGTCTCATGTTCAATGGCCTCCCCCAGGGAATCAAACGGAAACGCGACCACGGAAACTCCGGGTCTCACGAAGAGACGAATGGAACAAATGGCGTAAATGGAGACCACGCGGTGGAAGATGAAGAAGAAAATGACTGGTCTGATGATGAGGGTGATTCCATGCCCATGGATGTAAGTCTCTACCAAGGTAGTATCCCCAGACACAACTGTGACTGACCACCTTTCAGACCAACCTGATTGTGCGAGTGAACTACGAAAAGCTTGACGTTGCACTTCGCAACACACGGTTTGTGGAACTCGCTGAGCAAGACGCACCCTACGCCTCAACTGAAGTTTACGAATGCCTGCTTCGCCGTATTGAATACCAAACCCCCCGCTGTCGAGATACCTATGAGATACCGCGTGAAGGAGAAGAGGGCGAACAATACTCTGCCCCGATTCAATTAAGCTCCGTCGTGGCGGATGTCGACCCTCTCCTGGATCTTTCTGGGTGTATTGGCCCGATGGAGCCTTCGCTGGGAGCCACCCGAGGCGGAAAGCGACCGCTGGATGACGGGACGAATGGCGCACCCGACGATTATGACGACGAGCCGGCCGGCAGCCGCGCCTATGAAATCGACCAGCACCTTGGGATCTTGTCCCAAGCGCCATTCAACCTCACCACCAAGCATATCATCTCCGGTCTCCCCACCTGGCGCGTCGCCTTCCGCGGGCTGGCTCGCAAGCTGCGCCACCTGGAGCTGGAACGCATGATTGAGTCCCGGTACGGAGATGTGGCGTTGCGGGTGATCCATGTCCTACACGCCAAGGGGAAGCTGGACGAGAAACGGCTCCAGGAAATCAGTCTGCTGCCCTTCAAGGACCTCCGCCAGACTCTCGCCAGCATGCAGACGGGCGGGTTTGTCGATCTACAGGAAGTCCCCCGCGATGCGCAGCGACAACCCTCCAAGACCATTTATCTGTGGTACTACGACCCCGACCGGGTTTGCAGCAGTATTCTCGAAGACACCTACAAGGCCATGTCCCGCTGTCTCCAGCGGATCAAATTTGAGCGGGAACGCGAGAAGGACTTCCTCGAAAAGACCGAGCGAACAGATGTCAAGGGCCACGAGGAAGAGTTCCTGTCGGAGGCCGAACTAGAGCATCTGAAGTATTGGCGGGCAAAGGAGGGGCTCCTCCTTGCAGAAGTCTCTCGGTTGGATGACATGGTAGCTGTCTTCCGTGATTATTGATTGCATATCGTATGAGCGACGAATTCACATATATTAGTATGACCAAGGCCACAGAGCAAGTTTACAGACTGTGTAGTATAGGCGACCAGATTAAAGGATATATTAATAGCAGAGTCAAGATCGCCACTACGTCAGCCCTAACGCCAAGTCGAATGACGCTCGTGCAACGCCGGTGGCTGCCCGATCCTTGCTTGGGATACTGACTGCGCTTCATAAATGAGTTGATGCCCCATGGATCTTCACGCATCCTAACATTTCACATGGCGATTCCCTGGCTATTCCCCCTTCGCATCGCTCAGGCGCTCTTCGGAGTGATCGTGATCGGCCTCACAGGATACGGTATGTACTGTTGTATCTTCCCAGTTTCGGCACTAACCCGCGTCAGTGGTGTCTACCTACTGGTATTCCTGGGCATGGTCCGACACGGTGAATTTCGTGCTCTTCCTCGGCTGCTGGACGGCCTTTGTGGCCGTGCCTTACCTCGCACTGTCGCCGATCTTCTTCCCCCGCCTGGCTCATCACCTGGTCATTCCGGCGGTGGAGGTGATCACCATGATCTTCTGGTTTGCTGGGTTCATCGCGATTGGCGCCCAGCTCCCAGCCCCCAGGTACTGCCACGGCTCGGTTTGTAGCAGCCTCCAGGCAGCCACCGTATTTGGAGCTTTTGAATGGTGAGTCTGCTGAACGTTGGATTTGAATGTTTGACTGATTGAGTAGGGTCATGTTTGTCGTGACGACGTTCTTTGCCGTCCTCGACGTGAAGAACCACCGCCGCAGCGGCGAGAGTGCCAAGACTCACTCGAATGCGCACGTTGGGGTTTGAGAGAGAATATGCAAGGAGTTATTGGAATACCCTGAGTGTTGGAAATTTATTATTGGAAATTGTTTGCTATTTCGTACAGAATGTCATCTTATCTCCGCAAACGGCATCCCGAACATCCACCGAGGTGCGTTCGGTCTAAGCAATAAGCAGCTTAACTCGGACTGTTATTGGTCTCTCTACGGAGTATGGAACATATGATTTAGGCATGGACAATAGAGGACGACTAGTAGGACGGAGTACCGAGTACTAGTATAGTACGAAGTATATACTAGGTAGGCATGGTACAAAGGTACAATCTCCAGGCAATTAGGGATTGAAATGACTACTGCAGTCGATGTTCCGATCACTAACTGCTATTACTACTGCTATTACTATCATTCCATACCCTCACTATGGGAGTCGCCACCGCAAAAAATCTCTGCCCGCCCCCACATCGAAGGAGACCCGGCACCACGAACCACGTCTTTTATAAAAACATAAAGATCCAATTGACATTCCCTCGATCGAGTTGACTCAGTCCTGTATCCAATCCTCCATCTCTTAAGCGTTTGACGCTGGGGCTCCACTTTTAAGAAAAAATCCCGTCTTCGGAGTCTCCCGTTGGGAGCGAGTGGAGCTTGCGCGACTCTCAGATCCTTTCTCTTCCTTCTTTCCCCTCTGTGTCATTCAAGTCTCAAATCTCCATCTGCACGGGCAGCAATGGCGAGGGAACCCGAGAAGAGCAAGATGAGCCCCGAACCAGCCATACAAGTGACGCAGCCCGACTATGACTTCGACTACGAGAAACATGGCGCGCAGCGCGAGGCCAACCCGCTGCCAGAGCTCAAGCGGAAGTTGAAGAGCCGACATCTGCAGATGATTGCCATTGGTGAGTGGCACGATCTGACCTCGCCGCGAACCTGCAATTAACCCATATCAAGGTGGCACGATAGGAACCGGTCTTTTCATCGGTAGTGGAACAGCAATTGCTCATGGAGGGCCCGTGGGCGCCCTGATCGCCTATATCTTCGTGGGAACCATCGTCTACTCCGTCATGACGGCCCTCGGAGAGATCGCCACATATATTCCCATTCCGGGCGCGTTCACCTCCTACGCCGCTCGTCTCATTGACCCCAGTTTGGGGTTCTCCATGGGTTGGATCTATTGGTTTTCGTGGGCCTCGACCTTTGCATTGGAATTGACGGCTACCGGTTTGATCATTCAGTATTGGGATCAGGATATCCCGATTGCCATCTTCATTGCCGTCTTTTGGGTGTGCATCATCGTGTTTAACATGCTGCCCGTAGGATTCTACGGTGAAATGGAGTTCTGGCTCTCGACAATCAAGGTGATTACCGTGGTCGGTTTCGGCATTTTTGCAATTTGTGTCAACGCCGGTGTGGGCAAAGAGGGCTATATCGGCTTCCGCTATTGGGTGCACCCAGGTCCCTTTGTGCCCTATTTGATTGAGGGCAATGACTCCCTGGCCAAGTTTGTGGGCTTTTGGTCGACGCTGATCCAGGCGGGATTCTCCTACCAGGGCACTGAGTTGGTTGGTATCGCTGCTGGCGAGACCGAAAACCCCCGCAAGACTGTCCCCTCCGCGATTCGGAAGACCTTCATTCGTATCGTCCTCTTCTTCATCCTGACTATCTTCTTTATCGGCATTGTGGTGCCCTCCGATGATAGCAACCTACTGAACAGCGAGGGTGGCGGTGCTAGCGCCAACAACGCCAATGCCTCTCCTTTCGTGATTGCCGCCAACCTGGCCGGAGTGCAGGTTCTCCCTGGTATCATCAATGCGGTCCTGCTGACCGTGGTGCTCTCTGCGGCGAACTCGAACGTCTACAGTGGTAGCCGTATCCTCGTCGGTCTCGCCCAGGAAGGATTTGCCCCTCGCTGGTTCAAGCAGACCTCGAAGCACGGTGTCCCCTACTGGAGTGTCCTCTTTACTGCCGCCTTCGGTCTCCTCGGGTTCCTGAATGTCTCGGACGCCGGTAGCACCGTCTTCAACTGGCTGCTTCAGATCGCCGGTGTGGCTGGCTTCATCACCTGGTGCTCTCTGAATGCGTGCCACATCGCCTTCCAGCGTGCGCTCAAGGCTCGTAACATCTCCCGTGATATCTTGCCCTACAAGGCTATCTGGCAGCCTTGGTTCTCGTGGTACGGGCTGTTCTTCAACTGCCTAATCATCCTGACTCAAGGATTCACGGCCTTCATCCCCCACTTCCAGGTCCAGGAGTTCTTCATCAACTACCTGAGTTTGATTCTGTTTGTGGTGCTCTACGTGGGCCACAAGCTCGTCTACCGTCCTGCCTTTGTCAAGCCGATTGATGCCGACTTGGACACCGGCCGGACGACGGCGGACAATGAAACCTGGGAGACAGCCGAGCCAACCACATGGTATGGCAAGGCGTGGAGCTGGTTCTGTGATTAGTTGCATTTCTCGGCGTTGCATTTTTAGACCTTTCGACATGTACATGTAGTTTTATACGGAGTCTGTTCTTACATATTTTATTTATTATATATTACGATTCTATATCATTCACCTGGCCTTTTCTCTTGTATTCGGCCATGTGAAAATTAATGCATGTGGTGCAGGTGACGTTGAAAGACAGGTACATTCCCCAGTATGTGGGTTGCCACTATGGAGCAAGTACCCGAAACAGCCGAGGTTCCTTCGCAACGCTCTCGGCTCATGATATCTTCAAAGGGAGTTTTGTCCTAAAGGGTCGCTCGCTCCGGTCGCTTTCTGTTACTCCAGTTTTCTCCACACTCTTTGCCCTTTGCCCCCTTTAACCCGGATCGCCCGGCTGTCTTTCTCTCTCTTTCCCTACACTCCATCTTCGGTTCGTTCTTTGCGCTTCATCCTGGGAAGACTCTCTCTAACGGCCACAGACATGTTCTACACACCACCCGCACACTTGGCTAAGGCCGAGGAGCTGAAACAGGAGCCACCGAAGGGTGTTGCCTACTCAGTCGCCATTCCTGGGACTGAGCAACCCGGTCGTAGTCGGGTCTATCGCGCATGGAATGCGCAGAAGGAACTTCTGACCACACTGGACCCCCAGGTATGAAGAATTTGAGGATAACAGGGCCTCTGAGATCGCCAGAGCATTGCTGACCGCTTCCAGGTCACGACCGCCCATGACATGTTCGAGTCGACCGCCAATCGCCAACCCAAGAACCACTGCCTCGGATGGCGTCCGTATAACCCCACGACCAAGACCTGGGACCCCTACCAGTGGCTTACATACGAGACTGTTCAGAAGAGGCGCGCAGCCTTCGGCGCTGGCCTGGTAGAGCTGCACCAGAAGCATAACTGCCACCAACCAGGCCAATATGGTGTCGGCCTCTGGGCGCAAAACCGCCCAGAATGGCAGATCACTGGTGAGTGGAAATCACAAAAAAAAATATCCGATGTGGATCGCTGATGATATTTCTGTGCAGATCTGGCTTGCATTTCTCAATCCCTTTACTCCGTCTCCATTTACGACGTGCTGGCCCCGGATGCCACCGAATACATTATCAACCATGCCGAACTATCCTGCGTCGTCACTTCCCTTCCTCACATCCCGACCTTGCTCAAGCTCAAGTCCTCACTACCCACCTTGAAGTTCATTGTCAGTCTAGATCCGCTGGATGGACCCGAGCAGAATGGTCACTCCAAGCGTGCCCTGCTCGAGTCCATGGCCGCGGGCCTGGACCTCGCAATCTACACCATTGATCAGGTTGAGGAGCTGGGCTTGGCCTCCAAGCGCGGATACAACGCTCCTTCGGCCTCCGACATTGTCACCATCAACTACACCTCCGGCACCACCGGTCCCCCCAAGGGCGTCGTTTTGACGCACGGCAATGCCGTGGCTGCCACTTCCTGCGGTCTCGCCACTATTGCCCAGGCTCGCGGTGACACCGCGTGCTCCTACCTCCCACTGGCTCACATCTATGCCCGTCTTGCCGAGCACACCGCGTTCTGGGGCGGTGCTCGCATCGGATACTTCCACGGAAACATCGTGGAGCTGGTCGACGACCTCAAATTGCTGAAGCCCACTGGTTTCATGTCGGTTCCCCGTCTTTACAGCCGATTCGGTACTGCTATCCGCGCCGCGACGGTTGAGCAGCCTGGTTTCAAGGGCGCCCTGTCGCGACACATCGTCGCAGCCAAGACTGCCAACATGAAGAACCCCGATCCCTCCAAGGCCACCATCAAGCATGCCCTGTACGACCGTATCTGGGCCAAGAAGGTGGCTGCCGCTCTCGGCTTGGAGCGTGCCCGGTACATGGTTTCCGGTTCTGCGCCTCTAGACCCCACCCTGCACAACTTCCTGCGTGTTGCAACCGGTACCGACGTTGTCCAGGGTTACGGTCTGACCGAGTCCTACGCCTCCGCCACCGCCCAGTCGGCGAGCGATCTGAGCTCCGGTAACTGTGGTCGTCTGGCCCCTTGCGTCGAGGCCTGCCTGGTCTCTCTGCCCGACATGGAGTACTCGGTCGAGGACAAGCCCTTCCCACGTGGTGAGCTCCTGCTGCGCGGTAACAACATGTTCCGCGAGTACTACAAGAACGAGGAAGAGACCGCCAAGGCAGTCACCGAGGACGGCTGGTTCCGCACCGGTGATGTCTGCACCGTAGACGCTGAGGGCCGCTTCATCATCATCGACCGCCGCAAGAACGTCCTCAAGCTCGCACAGGGCGAGTACATCTCCCCTGAGCGTCTGGAAGGTGTGATCCTTTCCGAGATTGGCTACGTTGCCCAGGCCTACGTGCACGGCGACAGCTCCGAGACCTTCCTGGTCGGTATCTTCGGTGTTGCGCCTGATCTCTTCGCTCCCTATGCCAGCAAGGTCTTGGGCAAGACAATCGATCCCACGGACGTGAACGCCCTCAAGGAGAACCTTGACGATGACAAGCTGCGTCGCGCTGTGCTCCGTGATCTGGAGCGCGTGGCCAAGAAGCACAAGTTCGCCGGATACGAGCGTGTCCGCAACGTCTCCCTCAAGGTCGACCCCTTCACCGTCGAGAACAACCTTCTTACCCCGACGTATGTTTCCCCTGCTTTCGACCCTCGAGTCCTTGCTAACATTTCTTTTACAGTCTCAAGCTCAAGCGTCCTCCTGTCGTCAAGGCCTACCGTCCCCTCCTGGACCAGCTTTACCAGCAGGCCAACGAGGAGCAGTCCGCTCCCCGTGCCAAGCTGTAGTTATGTTTCAATGATTTTCTCTTTGGTCCCGGTGCTCTTTCTGGCGGGTTGTTTCTGTTCCGCGGCTTGATCCAGCTGTATATAGTAGCCGCTTATACACTGTAGTATATATTAAAGCATTCTTATTCAAGTTTTCTATTCTTTTCATGGAAGGGGTCGGCTAGAGAGAAGGGTACTCATTATCGTAGCCACTGACTGCGCAAAAACAATGATGGCTGTTCGTTCATGAATAAATGATATTCATAATATGAACAGGAAAAAACAAAAAGATATGACAAGAGTGGGATTTGAACCCACGCCCCTTTCGAGACACGGAGACAGTTATGAACCATCGGGATCAGGTTGACCTGAACCGTGCGCCTTAGACCAACTCGGCCATCTTGCCAATTGGATGGAAGATGGCCAACTTGATTGCTACATCAAAGACCATCCAAATACAACTAAATTAACCAGCTAGAGCCTTAACTATGCTGTCTAATTCACTCGTAATTAGGGCTTCTTCATACTCATTCAATCCCAATTCAGATTAATGCAAAACTACCTAGCTATGCTATATGGCAGACTAATAACTCCTAGTCCCACCCTAGAAAAAAGCAACCCAAACACCCATAGAGATATCATAATCGCATCACATTCAAATCCATCACCGGTCCAGACTACACCAGTAGTCCACCCGTAGATCCGTCAGACTGCGCGTCGGCAGACCCCAATTACGCGCTAACCAGAGCGCCAACCCCCCTACAACGCCGACACTCCCAACGATCTGAACAAGCACCCAGCTCCTCCTCCCCAAATCATCCACCCAGCCCACCACCCCCAACGGGTCCTGGGGACTAATCCCAACGCGATACGAATGCGCCCGCAGCGTCTTCGGTCCACAGAAGCCTGGCGTCTGCGAAAGCGGCACCAGGGAACCATCGACGACACACTCGCCCAGCCGTTCGGTCAACCACACGGCCCGCTCGCCGCGCGCAAGCTCCGTGTAGCGATCGCGCTCGTTCTGCAGACTGCGCTGAAGATCGGTCGCCCACTGCGCCAGACGGACCTGGGCCATGCGCTCCTCGGTGCGAGTGTAATCTGTCAGTCGGGCCATGGCGTAGCTGGGTGGGGACGGAGAGGCGGCCTGCCAGGGAGGACGGGATCCACCAGGTGGGGCTGGGTTGGTGAGAATGGGTTGCAGAGCCGAGGCGCGCTGGATCAGTTTCTTTGCGGCGGAGTGGCGCAGCCAGGCGAGGTTATCGCGATCGAATATTTGGTCGACTAGGGTGGTTAGTTCGGAGGGGATGAGAGGTTGGACGTAGTCCGGGCTCATGAGGATGCTGGCATCCATGGTTTCTGGGTCTGACCCTTTCGCCGAAGAAACAGCGTACGGGGGCTGGGAGTCTATACTGGATTCGTTGAGGCCGAAAAGGAAAGGCTTCATCCCGACTTCTCGAGCTTGGTCGTGGAAGTGGACTTTGAGTGTGCTGATCTGGGTTGGGGAGAGTGTGTCTGCTTTGGATATCACTGGGATTACGTTGCTGAGCTCGTTGAGTTTGCGGATGCACTCCACATCTGTTGATAGGGTGTCTGGATATCACATTAGCCAGGGTCTTCCCTCGACGGAATTGACCAACCATGGGATATCAGATATAATACGGCATCCACTTGGGATCCACCATTCCCAGCAAGGAGGTTTTGGAAATCCACATTCGAACCACTGATTGCATTGGTCGCGCGAACCAGTTGGTGGTACATGTATTGCGCCGTGGCATCTGTCTGACCTGCACGACTTAAGTTCGATAGCGTGTCGACAAAACAGAGATTCCGCTCGAGCACGATTTCCCCAATACTTTTCCGGCGTTTGAGCACGCGCGAATCTTCCAGATCCGACCACCACGTTGGATAAGGTTTGGTGCTAGCATAAATTTCGGTCGTCGATGGGCGTCCCGACTGGGATGGTCTGCGACGCTCCACCGAGCTCACCGGGATGGTATCGACATGGACGATATCGTCACATGTCTGGACAAGGGCCTTGATCAAAGCGGTTTTTCCCGAACCTATGTCGATTAGGAGGAGACAGAACCCAAAAATCAGACATATTTCCTGGTGGCATTTGAATCACCGCAACTTACCAGGGGCTCCTGCCAAAAGAACTTTGAACCGACCCATGGCTTTGCCTCGCTCGGTGAACGGCCGACGACTCGGCATTTTGATACTTGGCATGATCAGCTGGGATGCCCCACCTATTCGTGGGGATCCTTTTGCCTCCTCGTCGCCCGATCCGACGGCCTGACTCTCAATTTCGTCTGTGATCGAAATCTCATCGAGCGGCCGTAATGATTGATTGGAGATGGACTTGGGACTGCTGGGGAGTGACAAGTCGTCCGGGAGACCCAGTGTGAACGGAGTTAACGGCCGGGACCCTCCCGGGGAGGTCTGCCCCGGGTCCTGGCCAGGACCCGCCTTCGTCGACTGCGTGTGGACATCTAAGCCGGTCGCCAAAGGACTGTTGGGAGCGGAGTATATTGAATGCGTGGTATCGATACTGTGTACGCCGTACATACTCTCTTTCGTCTCGTCCGGCCGCACGAGACTCGGCTCCATTTCCGAGACATGCGGGGTGCGGGATAGGAAGAAGGTGGGAGGGTCAAGAGATGGGGCAGAGGGTTTGCGCACTGAATCTGGAGAAGACCTCATCATGAAATGCAGAAGGGAAAGTCGCGAGTCGCGAGTCGCAACATTAAAGTCCGGAGATCATGTCATTGCTCAGGTAAGCCCCCTCCTTTGCCTGAGGCACAGGATTTCGCACTGTACTAGTACTTTTGTACTTTTGCTGTATAGGATGGTATGATATAGTATAGTATGAATATCATGAATATTATAGTCTATAGTAGTCTGTGTGATGTTCTATTCGTAGTATTAACTATATAATAGTATATGATATTACCGGTTCAGTTGTAGAACATAGTATATTCTGCAGAATACACAACTATACCGCGCATACCGAGTCAAAAGCAAATCCATCGGCTACTTAGCACTAGTAAGCGACGCAATCTAACGACTCTATACTAGGGACGATAGTCCGGCACTGTAACTGAACCGTGTCCGCCCGAAGGCTGGTCTCCACCGATTTCTCTCCCCTCCCTTTTCCCCGATATCTCTCCTGGGCCGAGTTTGCCTTGGCTTACTTTTCTTTCTCTGTCCCGGTCACTCTCACCGTGAAAAACCACGGCAGAAATGGAACAGCCTGCTATGTCCTGGCCGGAGCAACTCCCGAATGCGCTACCGGCCCCCAGCGAAGAGGAGTTCTCGAGTTATCTCGACTTCAACATGCCGTTCGATCTCGAGCACGGACCAGGGAATATGCAGCATTCCCCTCTGCCAACCACCACCGACTCCATGGCCCAGCTGCGATCAACCACCATGCAGTACCCAGGCCAGATGGAGGGCCTGGCCATGGACTTCGGAGACTCGCAGTCGCACAACCAATTGCCCTACTCAACGCCCCAGATGACCCCGGGCTTCTGCGCCCAGGAACCTGCCATGGCGCAACCGCACTACGTTCAGAATGGGACCATGATTCCGCCCACCCCGAACAGCGTGGAGATGCATGGCAACGCCGCCCGTTATGCTCAGCGGGTGGATGGGACCCCGGAGTTGTATGACGGATACTCGCGCATCAATGAAGAGCAGGTTGGTCTCCCTCCAGGTGCCTAGATTGTGCCAGAACTAACAGACCAGCCGCTTTATACCCCTCTAGTGTCCCCGGCGATGACTCCCCTGGAGCAGCAATTCCGACTTCCTGAATACACGATCCCTGGCGAATACTTCACACCACTCACCTCCCCGGCCCTCGAGGCCCAGAACGCCGACTCCAACGGTTATCAGTTCCATGCACGACAAGTGTCCGATGTGGGCTTCGTGCCCACTACCGCTGAATCGAATCCGCTGGCGACCACTGCTCCCGGCTCGCCCAGTACGCTCCGCAAACCCAACACCCGCCGGCGGGGATCGGCCGCCTCCACTCGCTTGATTAGCGGCCGCAAAGTCAAGCAATCCCCCAATATCTTAGCACAGCGCAAGCGCAGCACCCTGGCCACCAATTCGGAGGAGTTCTATAACAGTCTGACGCAGGAGCTGGATGCCAACGCCACCAAACCGCTCAATCAGGATGTCCGCTCGCTGCAGGCCAGCAGCAACGAGGCCTCCGGCCAGGACTCAGTCTCCCCGGAGCCCTTGTCAGAGCCCCTGATGCCGCCGCCGGCACTCCCAGCCCCGCGCGCATCCCCAGCCATTACGCCGCAGTCATCGTCCCCCGGTGGTGCGGCCACCCCCGCGCTGCTCATGCGCATTCAACGGAGCCAGCATGTCCAGGACCCGTCAGGCAAGTTCGGCCACGCTCAGCTGGCCGGACCTGACTATCCAGACGAGATAATGGAGGATATCTCGCTCCCGGAGGCAGCGGCTCCCCAGCAACAGCGCCCGAGACCCAGTCGCATCGAGACTGCCATTCGCACTCCCTCTATTTCCAGCACGCCGCTGCTGGCCCCCTCGCCGGCCTATGATCCACCTTCCAACCTGTCCATTGCCCCCAGTCCCCGTACGACCGCCATGCCCTCCCCTAGCGGGCCGGTCCCGAGGAGATCAGACTCGAAGGTGGCATCGAATCGCAAACGCGGTAGCCTGAGTTCCACACATGCCAGCCCACAGTTGCGACCCAAGATCAGCCCCAGTATCCAGCCATTGATGAAAGGCAACGAGGGTGAGTTTTCTTTTGTGTCACTCCATCACACCCTAGATAACCCTACTAACTATTTCTTAGGCATGTCCCACGATGCTCTGTACCTAGCATCCAAGTCCAACTACCAGCACATCCTCGACGGCACCCTTCCTTCTGGCGTCAGCTATCCGGAGGCCTTGGCCGAGAACCTCAGCTCCAAGCGCACGAACCACAAGCTCGCCGAGCAGGGACGTCGCAACCGGATCAACAGTGCGCTCAAGGAGATTGAGCAACTGATTCCGCAACAATTTATCGACGCCCGCAATGCCAAAGAGGCGGCCGAATCAGGCGGCAAATCCAACGAGAAAGAGAAGGAAAAGGAAAAGGCCAACCAGACGATCAGCAAGGCCACTGCCGTGGAAATGGCCATCGATTACATCAAGGCGCTCAAGACCACCTTGGATGCCACCACTGCCAAATTGGCGGTGGCCGAGGCCCAACTGTCTGGGGGGTCCAAGTCCACCGAAAAGCCCGCTTCTGCTTCTGCTTCGGATTCCCATGTCGATGGCAGTACCGATACCAAGAGCCCGGCATGAGGCTTACTGATTTAATATGACAGATTTTATTCGCTATTTGCCTCTGGGGTCTACGAGGACTAAAATTGAGTATCTTTCGGGTGGATGTTTGCGTTATTCCTATCTGTTTTTTGATAGCGTCGGCGTTCTGATATACGGTGTCTTTGACTTCGCTCTGGCTTGTGTAAATAGATTTGATCTTTGAATGGAACAATGTCCATTTCTTTGGAGTATTTTCTTTGATGGGCACATAATGGGATTAACAAAGGTCAAAGGCCGTGCAAGGCATTGTCTTTGGAAGCTCAGTCGATTTCTAGGCTCTCTCGTCCCGTCTGAATTACTATATAAGCCTCGTCCTCGACTTGAGAGATCCATATCAACTCAATCAGTCTAACAAGTACAATCTACACAGCAACACAACACAACCAAACCTAACAACTCACAGCTAACAGAACACAGCTAACAGAACACAGCTAACAGGAAACATCATGGCATCACCAAACAAAGCCGAATCCCCAGCTCCCGCAGCTTCCCCAGACCCTCAACGCACCGTCTTCCTCGACGCCAAACGCGCCATCCTCTACGCCGAGACCGCCTCCCTTCCCAACATCAAATGGTACGGCGTGTATATCAAAAGAGAGGATTTCGATTATATTGACGAAGAGCTCATTAACATGACCATCCAGGGCCTCCGCAACGGAGAGTACTATGTCGAAGACACCCCCAAGCGCCAGGAGCGAGGCCTCTATATCTCCTACCCGGTGATCGGCTTCGGTAGCACTGATTATCGGGATATGGCGATTGGTGTGGCGCAGGCACGTAGGCAGGAGATCATGGAGGGCGAGGCTACGATTGATCGGGCCTTTGTCTTTGGTGATAGGCCGCCTCGGGAGGAGGTGATCAAGATCCCTGGTCTGAGGTAGGTCCAGAGGTACTAGGCAAGCATAGAGTAGTCTGTACTCAGAATGATAACTCATATTTCTCGTGTATAGACATAAGGCTATATGGTTAACCAAGTGAATAATAAGCATGTAGTAATTAGGGCTAACATAGCAACATAGTGTATGATGCCTAATAATCGCCCATATTCCATCAATGGGCGTGTGACTCAGTGGTAGAGTGTTCGCTTTGCATCGATTCGTCAACAGCTTGCGAAAAGTCCGGTGTTCGATCCACCGCTCGTCCAATATTTTTTATTTTTTTATTATCTTTAATGTCTAACAATCCAGATCGCATTACATACTGGATTCTCGTACGGAAATTAAGCATAACTCATGTATATATCTTAGAAGTGTCAAGAGTAAACTGCTGATGCAATGCAATCACGGTCTCATTTTACTTCAAGTTCAGCTAGTGATTGCCCAGGTGAGAATCCCCAAGTCCCGGGCAGGTATAAATACCCTTCTCCCTCTGCTCTTCCACCCCCACTTTTCCATGTCGGACTACAGATCTCGCTGCCTGCTATACGCACAACGACAAGGACCTTAGTCGCGGGTCTCACATGTCAAATGGCCTGCCAGATGAGTTGCCACTGGAGGACAACAACATTCGTTCGAAGTGAAACTATATAAATCGAAGTTAGCCGCGTTCGTCAAAGTCAAACGGGCAGTGACGAGTGCGAGACATGCCCAGGTGGGTACGGCGTAGTCTCTCCAAGGATATGGAATAATTGACCTCGATGCCATATGCCCTGACAACCAGCCTACTAAGTGGCCGAAAGTACAGACAACATCGAGCCCTGAGACCCAAAAAACAAGCGACTCACTGACCGGGGTTGCGTACTGGTCATCCCGACGACAACAAAAACATGGCGCGCTCGTCACTGCACGTTCGACTTCGACTCACGCGGCTAAATTCGATTGACATGAATCCCCAGAAAACATACGGCCACATGCACCTCCCACTGAGTGCGCTACGTGCCCATGTACAAAGACACGTACATGCGAACAGGAGGCGAACAACGCTAGGAGATTAGACCAAGCCTCGGGAGGTTGAACCGGACTTCTTCAATCTCGAAGACGCTACAGATTCACCACTACTGGATCCCAGGAAGTCAAAAAAAGCGCATGACTGAGCGCGAAAGAGGGCTAGTATGGTCACAATTGGACATGCGTCGTGAGCGGCTGGCCCGTTTCACAGATGACAGGGCTGAGCGAGACCAGACACCGAAAGGGCTGCACAAAGGGCAAATTTCAAACGAACGGAAATCGATGAGCTACGCCTACCCAGAAGCATATATTGGCCCTCAACGATCGACTCTCATGGAAGCCGCGTGGCTCAACAAAAATAAATCGCATCGATCCTCCAATAAAGCATCGACAGACCCAGAGGTGATAGGCACAAAGGTCACGATCACTGAGGAGCAGAGCCTGATCAAGAATACCACGGCATACATGACGCGTCAGAAGGATATCACTACTCCGTACGTGATGGCTGATTTCAAGAATGCTACGATCGACGACACTCTAGCGGAAGAAAAAAATGGGGAGGCCGGGGAAGAATAAGCCAGCTGTAGGGAGTCTCAGCGAAAGTTCAGACGACCGTCCTATCAACAAGACGTTGGAGAAGACCAAAAACGGTCGTGGGCCTGGGTGAACCCGGGATTTGGAGGGCATTCAAGTTCTCAGATCTACTGTCAGGCATGCAACTTGACAATTCATGGATCAGCTCCTGTTTCGTACTATGATCTAGGCCCGAGAGAGACACTAAATGGTCGTGAAAGAATACCAGCACTTGGATGTTTCCAAGCGCCAATGTAATAAAGACAGTGCAACACCGACTACTCGTGCCTGCAGTGCAACTTCAAATACGCGAACGGGTGCTACAGATGCCTACGATAGATCAAGTAGAGAAAGAATTGGCTCTCATTGTAGAACACCTAGATAAAAGAAAAAAAAATAAACATCACAGAGGGTCATATCCCGTTTCCCATTTCCCGTAAGACTTTAAGTATTAAGCAGCGACAAGCGAAGAAATTTAGTCGACCTCCTCCATGGTGCTCTCACCGGTAGCCTCGGCGGGAGCGGCAGCGTCGGTCTTCTCCTCGACGGCGTCCTCGTCGATGTTCAGGCCCAGGGAGACGAGCTTGTGGATGCGCTCGGAGAAGCTGGCGGGCTCCTCGATGGTGAAGCCAGAGACCAGCAGGGAGGTCTCGAAGAGCAGCTGGGTGATGGACTTGACGGTGCGGTCGTTCTCGCCGTCGGTCTCAACCTTCTTCTTGAGCTCCTTGATGATGGAAGACTTGGGAGAGATCTCGAAGGTCTTCTTGGAGGACATGTAGGAGGACATGGAGGTGTCACGGAGGGCCTGGGCCTTCATGATACGCTCCATGTTGGCGGACCAACCGAACTGGCCGGTACGGATGGCGCAGGGGGAGCCGACGAGCTTGTGGGAGACGACGACCTTCTCGACCTTGTCGCCGAGAACGTTCTTGAGGGCCTTGGCGAGCTCCTCGTACTCCTTCTCCTCGGCCTCACGCTCGGCCTTCTCCTCCTCGGTCTCCTCGAGCTCGAAGTCCTTGGTGATGTCGACGAGCTTCTTGCCGTCGTACTCCTTCAGCTGGGTGAAGGCGTACTCATCAATGGGGTCAACGAGGAACAGAACCTCGAAGTTCTTCTGCTTGAGGGTGTCCAGGAAGGGAGAGTTGGCGACAGCCTTGATGGACTCGCCGGTGATGTAGTACATGTTCTTCTGGTGCTCGGGCATGCGAGTGATGTAGTCGGCGAGGGAGGTGGCCTCGTCACCAGACTTGGTGGACTGGTAGCGGAGGAGCTTGGCCAGAGTGGGGCGGTTCTGGGCGTCCTCGTGGATACCGAGCTTGATGTTCTTGCTGAAGGCCTGGTAGAACTTGTCGAACTGCTCGCGGTCCTCGGCGATCTCGGTGAAGAGCTCGAGGGTCTTCTTGACAATGTTCTTCTTGATGACCTTCATGATCTTGTTCTGCTGGAGGGTCTCACGGGACAGGTTGAGGGGCAGGTCCTCGGAGTCGACGACACCCTTGACGAAGCTGAGCCACTCGGGGATGAGGTCGGTGGCATCGTCGGTGATGAAGACACGGCGAACGTAGAGCTTGATGTTGTTCTTGGTCTTCTTGGTCTCAAAGAGGTCGAAGGGAGCGCGCTTGGGCACGAAGAGGATGGCGCGGAACTCAAGCTGACCCTCGACGGAGAAGTGCTTGACACCGAGGTGGTCCTCCCAGTCGTTGGAGAGAGACTTGTAGAAGGAGGCGTACTCCTCAGTGGTGATGTCGGTGGGGTTGCGAGTCCAGATGGGCTTGGTCTTGTTAAGCTCCTCCTCCTCGATCTTGGACTCCTTGACGGTCTTGGTCTTCTTCTCCTTCTTCTCCTCATCCTCGTCGACCTCCTCGACCTTGGGCTTCTTCTCCTCATCCTCCTCCTTGGTCTCAGCCTCCTCGTCGGGGACCTCAGTCTCGGTCTCCTTCAGGACGTGGAGGTAGATGGGGTAGGAGATGAACTCGGAGTGCTTCTTGACGACCTCCTTGACACGGGCCTCGTTGAGGTAGTCCATCTGCTCATCCTTCAGGTGGAGGATGATCTTGGAACCGCGGCCGAGCTGCTCGCCCTCGGTGTCCTCCTTCAGGGTGAAGGTACCGCCGGCAGCGGACTCCCAGATGTACTGCTCGTCATCGTTGTGCTTGGAGACAAAGGTGACGCGGTCAGCGACAAGGTAGGCAGAGTAGAAACCGACACCGAACTGGCCGATCATGGAGATGTCAGCACCAGCGGACAGGGCCTCCATGAACTGCTTGGTACCGGAACGGGCAATTGTTCCCAGGTTGTTGATCAAGTCCTGAGCGAGCACGGTTAGTTCTCACTTCAACTTCATTGTCGATGGGGTGGGAGAGGATGAGGGGCCCTCTCCCCACGAAAACTTACAGCCTTGGTCATACCAATACCGGTATCACGGATGGTGAGGGTCTTGTTCTCCAGGTCGGGGATGATGTCGATGCGGAGATCCTTGTTGGAGTCCAGCTTGGAGGGGTCGGAGAGAGCCTCGTAGCGGATCTTGTCGAGAGCATCGGAGGCGTTGGAGATCAACTCACGAAGGAAAATTTCCTTGTTGGAGTAGACAGTGTTGATGATCAGCGAGAGCAGCTGAGAGATCTCAGCCTGGAACTCGAAGGTCTCAGACATGATGGCGGTATGGTATTCTAGATTGAAGATGGTAAGTGGGATGCAATTGAGTGAAAGAAATGCGATGGAATCGAATGGAATGTGAGTAGCGGTGGGGGAGAGAGAGAGGGAGATGGAGAGTGGGAGATGTGCAAGAGAGATGGAGAGAGAGAGGGGATCTTACAAAAACCGAATAAAGAAAAAGAGAAGCCTTGGAGGGGAGAAACCAAAGCAAAGAGAGGTGAAGAAGAGATGGGGAAGGGAAGCGGGTGGTTTTGTGTTTCCAAAAAATTCGAGTGGAGAGGTTCTACGGTGATCCAGCGACTTCCACCCTCGTCGGTCCGGCAACACGTTCTAGAGTCTTCGTTTTATTTTTGTCTGCATACGAGTTGTATAGTAGTCTTTATAGCTAGAATATTCTATCAGTATTCATGTATTCAAATAATATCTGATCTCAAATCTCAGATCTCAGATCCTGGAGTCACCTGATCTCGCAGTACGAGGACCTGGGGAGACGACTTAATATCACTACTGTAGTAGAACTAGTATATAGATACATTGCTCATTTACACACATGAACAAAACCAAATACAAGAACCGGGATGGCGCACCACCGTAAAACCCTGGAGTTTGCTATGCTAGGAGGAATGCGAAATGAAAGGCAAAAGACAAAGATAGAAAGGAATATGGTGCAAGAAGGAGGAGATATCCAAGAGGAGACTCGATCCTACAAAAAAAAAAAAAAAAAAAGAAAAAAAGGTCAGGTTAAAACAAAGTGCCCAGAGGGGAGGAAAGAGACACAACTTTCCCAACCAACCCGGACCAACCGCTAATATGCACTGTGACGGGAAAAAAGGGGGAGGCAATAGTCACGTAACACATGTCATGAAGAAACGGGGCAAATGAAAAGAAACGAATCCAAATCGGAGTAATACAAATCAGATCCTGAGATCGTCCGCCGAAAGCCAGACTGCAAGCGGCGCGGGGAGAAAGGCATGGATCATCGTGGGTGGGAGTTTAAGCAGCCTGGGCCTGGGTGCTGCGGCCCTTGGCAGCAACGTTGCCACCGCGGCCACGGGGAGCGAAGCCATTACGGCCATCACGCTGGAATCCACCGCGGCCTTGGCTGCCGGCACGATCACCACGACCGCGACCAGCACCGCCGCCACGACCGGCAGGGAAGCCATTGCTGCCATAGGCGTTGCCACGGGGGCGGCGTTCCTCGACGAGGATCTGCTCACTGCCAATTTGGTGGGGGTTGGCGGCGACGGCAGCAGCGTAGCCAGCGGGCTCGTTAAATTCGACGAAGGCACAGTTCTGCCGATAGCGTTAGCAATTGCAATGGGAGTCAATGAGACGAGGGAAAAACAAACCTTGGGACGGCTGACGTCAAAGTACTTGAGCTTACCGAAGCGAGACAGGACCTGCTTCAGCAGACTGGCGTCGACCTTGTCATTGACGTTCTTAATGTAAGCGAGGACGGTCTCCTCGCCGGTGCGGGGCTGCGACTTCTTGTGGTCGTGGCCGGCGGTCTGCCAGCCGGCGTCGGTAGAGGGCTCCTGGGAACGGGCCTCGGGGGCGGCAGCGGCCGCGGGCTGAGCAGCAGCGACCACGGGGGAAGCTTGGCTAGCGGGAGCGGCAGGCTTGGGAGCAGCAGCGGGGGCGGCGGCGGCAGCGGCCTTGGAGGCGGCAGCAGCCTTAGCCGCAAAGGAGGTGGTAGCAATGTTGGCCCAAGTCTTGGGGACGGCGGGGGTGGGAGCGGTCTCCTTCTCGGGGACGGGCTCCTCCTTCTCGGGAGCGGGGGTAGGCTCAGGGGCGAGGGGCTCCTCGACGTTTTCGATTTCAACCTCAGCGGCGGGGGCGACAGCTGGGGTCTCTTCCTCGGGGGTGCCGTTGGTCTGAGGGGCGGCTTCCTTGGGCTCCTCAACCTGACCGTTGGCCTCAACATCCTCGAGCTTTTCATCAACCTTGGAGACAGCGGCCTCGTCGGACACTTGGGCCTCCTCGGCGGGGACGGCGGGGGCCTCGGCTACAGCTTCCGGGGCCTCAGTAGCCTCCACAGCAGGGGTGGCCTCCTCCTCGGTTTCCTCGACGAGGTAACGGAAAATATCGTTAAGCACATAGTAGCCGTTGGGCTGCTCGGCGAGAACGAAGGTCTGCACGAACTTGCGAGAAGGCTCCGAGTTGTTGGAGATCTCACCAATGACTGAGACCAAGATGTTGTCGAAGGAGGCCTGGGAGTCGACATTCAAGACGCGCACCTTGCACTCCTGGAACTTCAATTCCTTGATCTTGTCGCTGATCGACTGGGACAGAGTTAGTCAGAGGTCGCAATTCCAAGATCGAGCCAAACTCACCTTGGTGCCAATAATAACGGGAACGGGCTCGGCCTCGGTTCCGACGACCAGCTGGGAGCGACGAGAGTAGAAGAGGTGGAGCTTGTCAGGGTTGCGGCTCATGGTGGTGTAGTACTGCTCAACAAAGTACCAGCCCACCTCATCCTTGGAGATGTCATTCTTCTGGTCGGTGGGAGTGACGGTGGTCGGGGTGGAGGACTGAGCGGGCTGGAAGCTAGCGGCAGTGTTCATGGTGACGGAAGAGTGGTTGTAGGACTCGGGGTAGCCGTGCTGGGCAGGGTAGTTGCCATTGATGGGAACCTGGTTCATGTCGGTCATATTGGAGGATTGAGGGGTTTTGTCGGTTTCGGGTGGAAAATGAGATTAAGAGTAACCGAGCGCGGCGAAAATCACAACGAGATATAAGAACCGAAAGGCTTTTCTGAACTGAAGGAGGCGAGGATCGGTCTAATGATGGTGTTTTTCCCTCACTGATTGTTCATTAGTGATGTGTTCAGTGGTGAAGAGGTCGGAGAGGACATGTGGAGATCGGGACTCACAATGCGAAATATACCAAGCACGAGTGCAAGCAATTGAGAAGGAAAACAAAGATAGAAGAAGATAGAGGGCAACAAGAGGTAGAAAAAATATGCGCTTTTAGATTGCGGATCTTGAGAAGTATAGCTGAGATCTGAAAGAAGAATCAAAAGACTCCGAAGGTATGGAAGGGGAACAGATGAGAGAGAGATCGAGAAATGTGGGTCTCGAGAATGGAAGATGGAGAAGTCGGGAAAAAAGAAGAAGTCGAGATGAGAGTGAAGCTGTGGGAATTCGCCTTCGCAGAAAAAGCGACTTCCTTCTGTGACGGGTTTCGCGTGGGTTGGCGGTCTACAGTGGCAGAATCTCTATACACTGTGCGAATGGACCTCTACAGGGACTTGGGCATGAAGTTTATGGTATTTGTGCGATATGTCTGTGTAGATGAGCTTCCCCAACCTGATGTTGAAGGTATTGCCCAGGGTTGGTCCCAAGATCACAACCTAGGCCTGGGCAAGATTCCCACAGGTCAGATCGCAGATCAACCCGTTCCGCGAAAAGAGCTCAAGGAAGCTCTGATGTGGAGCAATTGAAAGACATAATAGATGAGGCTCTGACCGAAAGATAGATTAGCATTGATCGATGTCCCCTGAGGGTGCATTGACTCAATAGCATCTGGATCCACCCAACAGGGTGCAATGTCTGGAAAAATCTTAAAAGGGCGACAACGGCGTGAAAGTTCTCGTGATAGATTCGAAGTATGTGACAATCAATGAAAGAGGAATAGAGGGAACACAGAGATATAATGCGCATCTCATCAAATTCAAACGCCGCAAATTGACCCGGAAGTGAAAATAAAAAGGGTATGATAGGACATAAAAAGGGTGTTGGGGAAGCGACAGCAGTAACGAGAGCTGTTCAAACCGATACAGGGTACATGGTCAAGCCATAAATATAGAATAGCGATCAAGGACGGCGTGGAGCCCGACCCGTGAAGATATTTCTCGGGTTCAAGGTGAGGACGTTTCCTCGGTCTTTTCGGAGAGAGGCTTGCGCATGACAGCGTCTTGGCCAGTCATCCTCCGACCGAGAGCGCGCTCGACCTTTGCGCCGAGAGCGAGCTTGTTCAGGTTATCAGACTTCTCGGCGGTGGGCACGAATCGCTGCTTGGTGAGCGGCTTGTTCTCGAGGCGCTCAAATCCATCGTGGAGGTGGGAAATGTCGGCAATTCGGGGGTCACCACTGGGGAGGTCGGAGGCGAGCGAAGGACTGCCGCTGACAGTTGAGAATCGCTTGGAGTTTCGGTTCTGTGAGAGGTCAATCTTGCGCTTGACTCGGACACCCTCGCGCGCGCTGATGGGGGCGTCCCAGGGGAAAGGCAGAGCCTACCGAATGGGCCATGATGGGGCGCTCAGAGTCTAGAGAAGTTTGGCGGGCCATGCTGGGCGGACGCTACGATTTAAAAGGAGAGGTCCCGAGAGAGGGGCACAGTTTCGAGTAGGTAACCCAAGATGGACCCGGGATAGGAAGGAGCCTGGGCTCTGTTAGCGGAGGGACTAGCGGGCCGTGGACACCCAGCACTCACAATATGATAGCACCGTGAGTTCTTGCAGTGGAAGTCGGGAATAGTAAGAAGGAAAGAAGGTGGGTCAGTGACGGTGGGGATAAGAAAGGGGGGAGGATTTTTGGGATCGACGTAACCGTAAAAATGCGGTAAACGGCGTACACTTACAGTTTACATACGGGCGTACGGAGACGGTGGCTTGGAATCGGGTCCAAGTGGAGCAGAGTGCCATGATGTCAAGACTAGTGGCCAATCAGCGGGCGGGAACTTATATTTGCCACGTGCCGACCACGAGTTGGTATTTCGTCAAAGCCGTGTACTTTACATACAGTATGCTGTATGAGGGTATACTGCATGCTGTACCTACACCCTGGAAGCTATTTCAGAATTGACTTAGATCTGTAACATGCCCTACATGCATGGAGGGTTTCGTAGCTGAAAGGAATTGTCGCATCGGCAAGGGACCATGCATATTCCCACGCCTTAGATACCGGATGTTCCTTGGCGGAGGCTTTCCTATTTGGGCTAACGCCGCTTAAATGAAAGTGCTCAGTGCCAGACATGAAGAGTAGATATCAGCACGAGCTCAAGTGGACATTGCCTAGGTAGAAGCTGGGGCCAGTCACGTGTATGACTGACACCATATGGACTCAAAGAAATGGTCAGTTCGGCAAGGGATCATGCATAAGCTTGGGGACCTGGACTTAAATTATACTCCGTACGGAGTAGACCTATCGGCAATGGGCACATTCTGCAACAAGCTGCAACCCCTTTAACCACATGTTTCATCAGTGAAACGCTTACACCGGGTCTTGGCACGCTGATCGCCATGAGAAGGTAGCTTTAAGTCGAAGCTATCGAACTACTAGTACTACACTGGTATTCCGTACTTTGACAGCCATATCTGATTTCATTTTGTTTGAGCATACCAGCACAGTACAGTACATATGGTATACCATGTACTACATTAGACATGGGGTCATCAACTTGGAAGCTCCAGTGTAAATACTCAGTGAAAATGGACGGCACTCACACCGCAGATTCTGCCGGGTCTATCATCTCCAGTCCACAACCTGGTCTGGTTTGTACATATATTCCCCATCCGATCCAATATGCCGAAGCCTAAGACTTTTCTGAAAGAAAAACCAAAGAAAAAGGCTGCGAAACAGGTACATTCTATTGCACCCTTGAAAACATTGGAAATAGGCCATGATCTCATAGACCTTTAGCAAGCACCAGTGACCGCCGATGATTTCCTCGCTGGTATGTACTTCACTCACTCTTCTCATTATATTGTACACCGAGACACTAGGGCGATCGCTAAGTAATTTACAGCTGGCGTCGAGCTAGAAGAAGCCGGTGAGAAATGGCGGGCTGGAGATGCGGCCAAGTCCATGCGGTTCTTTATGCGCGCAATCACCAACTACGATGAGGGTCTGCAGAAACATCCTGGAACCTTCGATCTGGCGTACAACAAGTAAGTATCGTCGGGGAATCAAGATTCATCTCTTTGGCATTTTCTATTCTCCAAAACTTGATGTACTAAAGTCCATGACTGACAACTCGCAGAGCACGAGTTCAATATGAAATCACCCAGCATCCTAAATTAGCTGCCCAATTACCCGCAGCCCAGGGGGAGCTCCTGCAGGTTGCATTGCAATCGCACCGGGATGCGCTGGCTCTGGAACAGGACAATGCTGACGTGTTGTTCAACTCGGGCCAGGTGCTGACAAGTCTGGCAGAGCTGCTGTCCAATTCCAAGCATCCAGGCGAGGAGCAAATGATGCAGGCAGGGACTTACCTGCAGGAGGCGATTGAGTTGTTCCAGCGGTGTTTAATCGTACAAGAGATGAAGTACACCCAGATGCAAGAGGACATGGAGCAGATGGAAGAGATAGCGTCTGGGAATGTCCCACCGCCAACGTCAGAGCCAGAGGCTGTATCACAGCCGGAACCGACAAAGACGGGCTCCGACGAGCAAGAGCAGTGGGCGATGATTGTTGAGCCTGTCACGAAAAATACTCTGGTCGATACCGCCGTTGCCCAGTTGGACACTCTGACCACCCTGTGCAACTTGCTGACATCGAGCCCGGGTGCTGGTGGCGTTGGCTGGGTGCAGGAGTATTCGTCAGAGCTCGCGCATTCCCGACTGCCCGTTTACGTCGAAAGCTCCGACAGACAGTACGAGGCGGCCTTGGCACGCGCTAAGCTCATTTGTGCCCTGAATGACCTGCTGTACCGAGGTGGACATACCGATGTTCAAACTTATCAGCAGGAAGTCGGACAGGTCTTCGGCCCCGAACTAGACGTGTCTGAAGATCCTGACGGATTGTGTGCGAAAGCAGAGGCACTCGTCTCACTCAACCAGGCACTCTCTGACATCCCCCCATCTGACGACGACGAAACGTCACAAAGTGCAATCACCCTGCGTTGGAAGTCTCTCTCGACCGCCCTGGATTCTTTGACAGCTGCCTCCAAACACTCCGATGCCTCCAACGTGCCCAAGATCCATATCGGGCGTGGAGATGCGGAGATGCATAGATGGCGTCTTGGTCGTGCCCCGTGGAATCACAATATGGCAAAGCAGGGTGGCGCCACGCTTCTGCGCAATGCCCAAACCTACTACCGTGGCGGCGCTGCTCTGGCGAGACGCGACGGAGCCGCCGAGGAAGAATTCGAAGGTACCTGCAAGGAAGCAATTGCCGCAGCAATCGATGGCCAGAACACGAAACTCCAGCAGCTCAAGGCAACAAACCTCCAACAGGTGATCGCTGTGGCTCAGGACATGGTGGAGGACGGAATGGTAGACGGGATGGAACTTAGCGCCCTGATCTCATGAAAACAAAAATCAGAAGTCACAACTCCCTCACAGTTCGGGACGAGCTTTCGCCTCCCGATCCATTTGCACAGCGTCCTGGCGAATATGATGATCCTGGCTAAACTGCGTGGCCGCCGCGGCAGCTCCCTCAATATCTGAAACAACCAATCCAAGGTGTGACAGCAGTTGCTCGATCTCGAGTCTTTGTGCCTGCACGGTCTGCGCGAGCTCTGCGTTTTCCGCATTCGTAGCCTCGAGTCTGGTGTTGAGGGTCGACTGCGCTTCCTGGAGGAATGGCGTGATATGCGCTTTGTACAAGTCTTCTGCGCCGAGTGTATGCGGGCTATATAGTTCCATAGTCAGATCAATTTATCCCAAAGGATAGAGGAAATAAATTCAAGGTGCAGCACATGAATGCGATCAACATACACGACATGTTCCTGTGGCTCGGTATGTTGAGCCTCTTGTTCCTTCCTGACCTTTGCATCATTGACTAGCCGGTCAAGCTCGTTAAGGTGTGGTATAGCATCCCTCTCTGCGACAATGTCTTCAAATTCCGCCTTAGCGTTGGATTCCAGCTTCGCGTTCAGCTGTCGCCAGACACCCTCCAAACTAGCTGGGACATGGCGTGCAGGGGTCGGGAAACAGCTCGCAAAGTTTTGGTATGAATTTGCGCGGAGTGTACGCGCCAACGCCTGGTCAAATACTTGGTGCAAGCGAGAGGCTCGCGGGCCTGGAGTTTGAGGAATTGGTGCTGGCGGGGGAGGGGAGGGCGACGCGGCGGACTGCTGTGCTTGCTGGGACGTTGATTCCGCCATGATGAATGCCCCCTGCAGTGGAGAAAAAGCCTGAAGTAAGGAAGGTTTGAGGAGATCCGCGATGTCGAGCGTTCCAGGAGACTGTTAGGATGAGGAATTTGGGCTTTGGTCGGACAGAATCCCATTCAACGCGACGCGCCGATCACGTGTTTTATAGATCGCTTCGTGAATCTTTCATCGTTTTGAGATCTGGGCTTCTCGGAAAATCATTAATGTTCTCATTCAGATACGTCAGCATCTAGAGACTATACAATTACGGTTTCAGCCACAATTGTTTTGCGAAAAAGTCATTGATTGTCTAACAACCCGGGCCAGCTGCTACCCGGGCCAGCTCCTACGCCTGTTTTCTTCGTTATCTGCTTGCAATAAATGAGGCGTCAATGATGTCTGAGAGGTTTTCCGGTGGTGTATAGGCTGCAACTGCCTTGTCGAATAGGGAATATGCCATGAGCGCAAGCGCTTACGAATGTCAGACCCCAGTGCTTTGAAGGCAGGCCATGAGATAGAGACGTAGATAAGGCTATTCCAAAAACCCTGCAGAGGAAGCACAAAGCTTGAGGCATAATTGAGGTTGAAGTTAAAGTCATTAGGACGAGCGAGGGAGTACACCCTGTTGATTGTCGACGGGACCTGTAACGCTACATTAGTGGACAAGAACATCGATCATACCCAGACGAGGGAGGAAATGAACATACCCAGGTCACAAGCAAAGCAATGAAAAAAAGCATAGCATACTTATAGTATGCCCAAGTGGCCGAATTCGTCTCCGTGGTTGCTCTTCGCTGAGAATCCACCACGTCGGATCTTGCCTTGCCGGCACTTTCTTTCTGGAACGAGCTTGATGGGATTTGAGAGCTGGGCCGCTGGAGCTCACTCCGCTGACTGCCGCCTTCAATGGTCACCGTGTACGATCTGAACGCCGGGGAAGGCAAACCGCGAGCGCCATCGGCCGACAGAGACCGACGCTCGGGGGCCGAGCAAGCAATCTCCCTTGTGACTTGAATACCTGTCAACATGACAAATGGGGATTCGGGAATATCCACGTCAAGCGAGTCAATGCCGCCGAGTTCTCGAAGCTGGCGACGCTTTTGATAGATCACTGCTCCTGCGCGTAGGTAGATGGCGAAGGTCAACGAAACGATTAGCCAGACTGGGCCATAGAAAGTGGCAATGCGGAGGAAATCCCATTTGATGGAGACCCAGCACCAAAGCTAGTGATGATATTAGCATTGTTGTGTTCCGGGAATTTCTGGTCTTACAATCGCGGAGCCATAGATCCGACCTCGTGCTTGGGTCTGAATGAAGAAGAAGGCAAAAGCGGGGATAAACGGAACGCCATAGCAGCAGAGAACATATTTCCATTCCAGTTTGCGTAACTGCTCGGAGTTATATTTGTGGAAGAATGTGAGGTACACGTTGCACGCCATTGCAAAGGTCCACAGAGCGTCGGCGGGCATGAACCTATACTCACCAGTCAATACTGAGTTGGAAGATCGAGTTCAACACTGACCATTGAATCAAAAAACCCTGGAATTGACACAGCGAGTTGTCGACTCCTTGGTGAATCCCGTTCGCCGATATGATAGTGGCTATATTAGCCATCATGTTACCCCACGACGCATAGAACACCAGGCGATTGATCGGTTTGCGGAATGCAGACGAGCCGATGAAAGTAGCCACTATAACGAACGTTCCAATCAAAGAGATGGTCGAGCAGACACGCTCGGTGACCGAGATGGCCGATATTTGTTTCTCGGACAGGGTCATGGTCTCATGTTATCAAACTCGAAGCCTTCAAGACGGGTAGCCACAGGATATCTAACGGCAGATGAGGTCTGAAGTGTTGCGCGTGGACGGAGAAATAGATCGAGGACCCAGGTGACCTGAGTTGCTTCGAACAAAAGCACAGGATGTTTCGAGGGTACGAAAGCCCCGGATTTGCTTTACATAGAAACCGGACAAAGAGTAGAATCCCGCCCCTCAACATCTTATTGAAAGACGAACAAAGAGCCAGAACAAGCCCCGACGCCAAGAGCGAGAAGAGCCAGACAGAATTTTAAATGGTTCGTTTTAAACAGGTTAAAGAGAGTGCAATGTTCCAGGGTCGGGGTGGGAGAGCTTCAAGTCAATGGGAATCTCAATAGGATTCCGTGTGTAACCTCGTCTTTCCCCCCGATGGCAGGCCGCTTTAGAACGGAAAGATGTGTAGTTAAAGAGATGGGTAACTGCAGGGAAGATTGATTTCTCAGAAGGGGTTGCCCAAGAGGCTGCCCTATAAGCTTATTTCAAAACGCAGAAACCGTGAGTCCAATGAGCCCACAGACCCTCAAACAAGACGAACACGGCCTGTCGTACCTTTCGGTTAAATACTTCGGCGTTCAGTTCTTGGCTCCAACGGGGTTGAGGATGAGCCCTGGGCCACTCGGATGGGACAGAAATGCCCCAAACAAATCAGAGAAAAAAGAAAAATAAATGAAAATGATAACCATAGTGCTAGTCGAAAACAAAACCAGCAAAAAATGTCCATCGGGTATAACGCCGAGTTCTCCCAGATCCAGTTGTCTAATCTCGCTCGTCATCTCGTCATGCGCAGCCTAGACCATTAGTACGCAGGCTGCGGGGGGATCATGCCTCCATATCCGGCCATTTGCTGCTGCTGGTGTTGCTGCTGCAGCTTGGCCTGGATCTGAAGCAGATCGTGGAACCACGGGTGCTGGAGGGCCTCGTTGGCACCGATCCGCATCTCAGGGCGGAGCTGGAGCATGCGGTTCAAGAGGTCCATTCCAATAGGGTCGATTTGAGGGATGATCAGTGACAAATCCTGGGTGGCATAGATGTGGAAGTTGGACTTGTATTCCGGCAGCTGGGAGATACCAGGCCACGAGCGTTCCGAGGGGGTACCCATCAGACGGAAGATCTTAATCAACTGATCCTCGTTGGTGGTGCCGGGGAACAACGGGCGACCGGTGTACATCTCCGCCATGATACAGCCAGCGGACCAGATGTCAATACTAGTATTGTAGGTGCGGCTGCCGAGCAGAACGTCCGGGGCCCGGTACCACAGCGTCACGACCTCGTTGGAGAAAGTGTTGACGGGGATGCCGAATGCGCGAGCCAGTCCAAAATCACCCAGCTTGAGCTGACCTTTTTTGTTGATGAGGAGGTTCTGAGGCTTGAGGTCGCGGTGCAGGACTCGGTTGTCATGGCAGAACGCGATACCCTTGAGGAGTTGGTGCATGAATGATTTGACCGTGGCGGGGTCCAGCTGTCCGCGATCCCCACGAGTGTCCATATACCGCTTCAGGTCTCGATCCATGAACTCGAAGACCAGCATCAACTTGTTCTCGGTGTGGATAACATCGTAGAGGGAAACAATGCTCTCATGTTTCAACTCCTTCATCAGGGAGATCTCACGGATCGCAGTGGACGGGGTTCCTTCCTCCGAGTCCAGATGAATCTCCTTCAACGCCACCATCTCGCCCGTCTGGCGGTTACGCCCCTTGAAGACCTGTATTGCCCATCAGCGACGAACTTGGGGAGGGAGCGATCGAGACGTACGGTTGCATATGTTCCTTCACCGAGCTGTAGAAGCCAAGTTAGTTCACATTTCAGGCGGGAGAGCGACCAGAGATTACCTTTTCCAGCTGCTGGAAGGAACTGGGCTGTTGGGATTTATCCATTTTCGGTGGAGCTTGAGAAGGCCCTGGTTTGTGAGAGTAGAGAAAGGACCTGGGCGAGACAAGGCTGGAGGCGATCTTCAGAGGGTGGACTGCAGGATCCCTAGGACGCTCCATGCTGAGACGTTAGGAGGAGCCCCGCGCTGACCCGGGAACTTGTGAGTTGCCGCTTACTACCTCGACTTTGGGCACATTCAATGTTGACCTTTTTATATTTACTTGACATTTTCTTGTGGAATGTTCAGTCTCTGTATTCCTTTGTATGATTTATCTATCCTATAGCACATTGACAGGGAGCTGAGAGGCCACACTCGGAAGCACCAACTGCGATGGATGGCTACATCGAACGTGGGAACTGGATGGCTCGATGTTTTCAAAGAGCGTGGATTCATTCCTGACTCCTCCAACGTTGATGATCCCAATGGGCATGCCGCGCTTGTGGGCTCGTTCCACCAGACGCCAGGCCGAGTAGGTCGCCAGACTGCTCCCCAGAATGAGTAGCCGCCCAGCATCATCGATCGCTTCTTCAGCCGCCGTCTTGACCAGCGGATCAATGTTTTCGCCAAACATGATCACGGCGGGCTTCAGGATGCCGGCGTTGGACGTCGGCATCCATGCGCCATCACTTTCCACCTCCACATTCGCCTTCGTCCCATCCTCCAGGGTCGGGGGACTTTCTAAACACTTTGGGCACGAGGGATAACGGAAAGTCGAGTACGGCGCTTCTGCCAGATCGACATCGCCATCGGGATTGAGCTTCAGACCTTTCCGTCGCTGTTCTTCTGGGTTATCGGTGTCGAGCGCGCCCTGTTCCAGCATGCGGGCCAAAAACTCAGACCATGCTGGATTGAGCCTCTCCAAGGAGGCTTGGAAGTCAGCTCGTGGAAGCTGACTGCGACAGCTGGTACAAACGACCGATCGCAGGTATCCGTGTAGTTCCAGGATGTCCAGCTCCGGGTGCGCGAGGGAATGGAACGAGTCTACATTCTGGGTCACCACGGAGCTGATGTATCCCTTGTCGCCTAGTCCTTTGATAGCCCAATGCGTGGAGTTGGGTTTGGCTTTCACCAAACCGGGCCATCCGACGAAGCTGCGCGCCCAGTACCGCTTGCGAGACTCGTGGCGGGAGATAAACTCGTGGAAGTAAATCGGACGGTAGGATTTATTCCGTCGGTACGTGCCCTGGTCACCGCGATAGTCCGACAGGCCAGACTCGACGGAGATGCCTGCGCCGGTCAACAGCACCGTTTGGGAATGCCTTCCCACATCGACGCCTCGGAGATTCAAGGATGGTGGCGCAGTTAAGAACGACGTTACCGCCTCAATGGCGCCCGTCAGGGTTGCTGCCGCCCGAGGGACTATAATTGCAGGTGGAAGTGGGCCCGTGAAGGGGATCCGAATTGCAGGCGTCGTCATTAGAGACGCATCGTGCTCCGCGTTGTCTTGGCGGAGTTTGGGGCAGAGCGGAAACGCTCCAGCGATTGCGTAGGCAATAAAAGCTTGGCAGGATCAATAAGCGGGAATCAAGAGCTCCGAGTATGGAATCTGGAGTATTGCAATCACTGAAGGGTGATAGGCTTAGATGCCGTTCGCAGAGGGTTGTGATGTGAAATGCGAAGAATGAGATTGGAACATCAGCGCATCTGGAATTGCGTCTTGCCGGATTACATGATATACCGCCCCCCTCTCTCGTTGACTTCGTCTTTGGGGGTTCATTCCGTTGAAGTCTCGAAAGAACACCCTGTCCAATAACCCCCGTCTTTGTGATGCCGCTGACGCAGCCCCTGCGTTGCAGGCTACGTCCTCTCCACTTAAGGGTTTCTAGTATTGGACCCCCCCACCGCCGTATACTTACCTCTGCGCCCTTCTTAAAGAATCCCGCTTCCTTTCTTTTTCACTCGAGACCACGATCTTTACCTCCTGCACTGACCATGACCCAATCTCGAGGCCATGGCAGCCATGGCCATCATGGCCATCACCATCACCATGACAATACCTACCTCACCTCCTCAAATAAAAGCGACGCCGGAGTTCGCATAACTCGGATTGGTCTCGCTGCGAACCTGTGCATGGCCATTGGCAAGTTTATTGGTGGCTACGTCTTTCACTCCCAGGCCCTGATCGCCGACGCCTATCACGCGCTCACCGACCTGGTCTCCGATTTCTTGACCCTGGGAACGGTCGCATGGTCCCTCAAACCCCCCAGTGACCGATTCCCCAATGGCTACGGAAAGGTTGAGAGCATCGGCGCGTTAGGAGTCAGTGGCCTGTTGCTCTTTGGAGGCATGTTCATGGGTCTCAACTCGGGGCAAGTCCTGTTGGCTCAGTTTTACCCCGAGATTGCTGAAACGGTCGCGCACTCCGGCATGCTGGGACACGGCCATTCGCACAGCCATGGTCCGATTGGTCCCAGCATTCACGCCGCCTGGTTGGCGGCGGGCTCGATTGTGGTTAAGGAGTGGTTGTACCGGGCCAGTAAGTTCCAGAATCCCCGTCGGAAGGTGTCCAGCTCTCTAACATTACTCTAGCCATGAAGGTGGCCGATGAGCGCAAGTCGTCGGTCCTTGCCTCCAACGCCGTTCACCACCGCATCGATTCCTTGACGAGCATTGTCGCGCTGTTTACAATTGGTGGAAGCTATGTCTTCCAAGACGCTACCTGGCTGGATCCAGTTGGTGGACTCCTGATCTCCTTGATGGTGATCAAAGCCGGGTGGGGCAACACCTGCACTTCTCTTTTGGAACTGGCGGATACTGCGGTCGACGAGGACGTCCGAAGCTCGGTGGAGGAGGCCACCTCCAAGGCCTTGAAGGAATTGGAGGACGGCCACGAAGTGATTGTGCGCGACGTGCAGGGCATGAAGTCTGGACAGAATTACTTGATGGATGTTGAGCTGGCAGTGCCAGGGGCTTGGGCTGTCAGTCGGTCGCATTCCATTGAAACGGCAGTGCGCACCGCCATTGGAGCTGATGTTCGCGGAGTGAAGCGCATCAAGGTCCGCTTCATTCCGGTAGAGCACCAGGAGCTCACCTTCTCGGATGAGTTCGTTGCACAGGACATCGGCGGGGACCCTGAGGCCCACAGCCATCACGATCACAGCCATCAGAAACAACAATAGGGGAAATGTGTGCAGTGTGATACCCCTGTGTATAGAATTATATAAAACCCATTTGACTCCAATCTACCGAGATATTTAACAGAGGCTCTATTTAGCCGGCTCGGGATTGACTTACTCGACTTGATCAGCCGCACTAATGGGAGCTCCATATACCCTAATTGGTGCTCGGCAGAGGTTTCCTGCAAAAGGTCACATACTACGATGTACAGGAAAGGAGTATACGGAGTACGAATAGGATGTATATGGAGCCCATAACCGGCTAATGGACTTTACATCATAGCGGACTCATCCTTCCGCTTGCGCATTTTACCGCCCCGCCATTTATAATGTAGATACATCCCACTTTCTATCTGCTCATCACTTTCACCATGTCAAGCCCTCTCTATATCGGCTTTGATCTCTCTACCCAGCAGCTGAAGGGATTGGTTGTCAATTCGGAGCTGAAGGTGGAGTATGTCGCCAAGTTCGACTTCGATGCCGATTCCCACGGGTTCCCCATCAAGAAGGGAGTCCTGAACAACGAAGCGGAGCATGAGGTCTTCGCCCCGGTCGCTCTGTGGCTACAGGCATTGGACAGTGTGTTGGAGAACCTGCGCAAGCAGGGACTGGACTTCAGCCGAGTCAAGGGAATCAGTGCTGCCGGCCAGCAGCACGGGAGTGTCTACTGGGGCCCCAATGCGGAGCAGCTGCTCCGCAATCTAGACGCCGGCAAATCCCTCGAGACACAGCTCGAGGGGGCGTTCTCACACCCATACAGTCCCAATTGGCAGGATTCCAGCACTCAACAAGAATGCAACGAGTTTGATGCGGCACTCGGGGATCCTGAGCATCTGGCGCAGGCGTCGGGAAGCAAAGCACACCACGTAAGAAGCCCAAAGCGGTGCACCGAAAGACTATGCTAATACCGTCCAGAGGTTCACAGGACCCCAAATCCTCCGCTTCACGCGAAAGCACCCGGACGTCTATCAAAAGACGTCCAGGATCTCCCTGGTGTCCTCCTTCCTGGCGTCCCTGTTCCTCGGCCATATTGCGCCCTTTGACATCTCCGATGTGTGTGGCATGAACCTGTGGAACATCAAGAAGGGAGCGTACGATGACCAGTTGATCGAACTATGCTCAGGCGTGTTCGGAGTCGAGGAACTCAAGCGGAAGCTTGGTGAGGTGCCGGAAGATGGAGGCCTGCACCTTGGTCCCGTCCATGCATACTTCGTGGAGCGATTTGGCTTCAGTACCGACTGTACGGTCATCCCAGCAACCGGCGACAACCCAGCTACTATCCTGGCGTTGCCGTTGCGCCCATCGGATGCCATGGTCTCACTCGGCACCTCTACCACCTTCCTTATGTCCACCCCCAGCTACAAACCCGACCCTGCCACACACTTCTTCAACCACCCGACGACCCCCGGATTGTACATGTTCATGTTGTGTTACAAGAACGGTGGTCTGGCCCGGGAGCACGTCCGAGACGCAATCAACGATGCCCTGAAGGATACCCCCGCTCAACCCTGGGCCAACTTTGACAAGGTTGCCCTGCAGACGCCTGCATTGGGCCAGCCAAATGCATCGAGCCCCATGAAGCTGGGCTTGTTCTTCCCGCGCCACGAGATCGTGCCAAACATCCGCAAGGGCCAATGGCGCTTTACTTACGACCCTAGCACGGGGGCACTGAAGGAGACCACGGACGGCTGGAATAACCCGCAAGACGAAGCCCGTGCTATTGTGGAGAGTCAGATGATCTCACTGCGTCTGCGGTCTCGGGGCCTGACTCAGAGCCCTGGCGACGGGCTCCCCTCCCAGCCACGACGAGTGTACCTCGTTGGGGGAGGCTCTAAGAATAAAGCCATCGCAAAGATCGCCGGCGAGATTCTCGGCGGTGTGGAGGGTGTGTATCAGCTCGACATCGGCGACAATGCTTGTGCTCTGGGTGCCGCATACAAAGCCGTGTGGGGTATTGAGCGGCAACCGGGTCAAACCTTTGAGAGCCTAATCGGTGAGCGGTGGAAGGAGGAGGAATTCATCGAGAAGATTGCCGATGGATACCAAAAGGGGGTCTATGAGCACTATGGCAAGGCTGTGGAGGGCTTTGAGAAGATGGAACAGCAGGTTTTGCAACAAGAAGCCGACATGATCGCATAAAAATATTCTCCTGGACATAAGCCAGGCTTAGTGAACATATACCAAAACATATATCGAGCTCGATTTCCCATAGAATCTCTCCATTGACCACGATCTATACGTTGAAGCGAAACCCTTTGAGCCGCTGGAGACGGGGAGGCGGGCTGATTACGACATTCGTCCTCCACCGAAAAACAATTTTAAAACAACACACACCTCCCCTCATTTCCTCTCCCCACGCTTTGGAGCCTGGACTGGAAGATGGAAGAACAGGTATGTCTCCTTTCATACGTACTTTTGAGCGTCGTGTGAAAATTGCGTCCCCCCACGTTGCGTTCGGCGTAACCCCTCCAACCCTCGTGGCCCCTCATGGTTGACACCGTCCAGGTAGCAAATGCCATTGAGATCGCCTCGAACCACGTCGCCGACAAAGACCTGAAAGCGCAGGCTTTCGACTACCTGAACCAACTCCGCTCCGACCCCTCCGGTTGGCAGGTCTGCTTTGCCCTCTTCACCAAGACCCCACAACAGTCCGAAATCGTACGGCATGTCAGCTTGGAGGTGGTCAACAGTGCCGCTCAGGTCGGCTTGATTGATCAGGCCTCACTCGCAGTCATCCGAGATGGGTTGATGACCTACATCCGTCAGGCCTACGGCCCCGAGGCCACCACCAGCCCCGACCCTCCCTACCTCCAAAACAAAATCGCACAGACCGTGACATACCTCTTCTCCTTACTCTACGCCAGTGGCTGGGAGTCTTGCATCGACGACCTCCTCGCCCTCACCAACAAATCCACGGGTCGGGACCATCAACCCGGTGTGGTCTTCTACCTGCGTGTCATGAACTCGATCCACGATGAGATTGGTGATGTAGTGGTTTCGAGATCCCGTGGGGAACAGGATAAGGCAAATGCGCTGAAGGATCTTATCCGTGAGAGGGACATGCAGAAGATTGTCAACTCCTGGCAAGAAATCCTTGCCATCTGGCGGGAGGGTGATGACTCGATTGTGGAAATGTGTCTGAAGGCGGTTGGCAGCTGGGTGAGCTGGATTGACATTTCGCTTGTCGTGAACCAAACCATGTTGGACCTGCTGTTCCAGCAACTCGGCCGGGCCCAGAAACAAGAGCTCCAGGAGGGCGAGCAGCGAGTGCGTGACGCTGCTGTAGACGTTTTCACCGAAATAATTGGCAAGAAGATGAAGCCTGCGGATAAAATTGAGATGATTATCTTCTTGAACCTGGATTCCATCATCACGCAGCTGTCGAACAGTCCCCCGCTGCTCTCGCAGCGCTTTACATCCAAGTACGATGTTGATTTGGCCGAGACAGTTGCCAAGCTTGTCAACAGCACGGCTGTGGATATTGTGAGGGTATTGGAAGAGGATATTGGACCCGTCAGAGAGAAAGCAGAGAATCTCCTTCAGGTCTTCCTGCCTCACATCTTGCGCTTCTTTTCCGACGAATATGACGAAGTTTGCTCGACTATGATTACCTGTGTCAATGTCATGCTTACCTACCTCCGAAAACTCGCCAAGGCAGACCCATCCTACGAAGAGCGAAATAAGGCAATTCTACTTCCAGTTCTGAAGACCATTGTCGCCAAAATGCGCTTTGATGAAACCTTGAACTGGGGCGACGAAGACGAACAGACCGATGAGGCGGAGTTCCATGAGCTCCGCAAGAGACTGGGTGTGTCCCAGCAGATCATCTCCTCCGCCGACGAGCAGCTCTACATCGATGCGATTTCAGAGGTGGTGGGTACGACTTTTGAGAACCTACGGGCATCCGGAGGCCAGCTTGACTGGCGTGACCTGGAACTCGCCCTGCATGAAATGTTCCTATTCGGTGATCTGGCCGTCCGCAGTGGTAGTCTATACACCAAGGGCGTTCCCACCGGAGTGGCTTCGAACCGCCTTATTGAGATGATGTCCGCTATGGTCAGCACTGACATTCGGTCTTTCACCCACCCCGCGACACAACTTTTGTACATGGAGCTTTGTGTTCGTTACAGCTCTTTCTTCATCCACCACACCCACCTGATTCCCGGAGTCCTGGAGAGCTTCCTCCAGCTTGTGCATCACCCTGTTGCGAAGGTAAAGACCCGCTCTTGGTACCTGTTCCAGCGTCTGGCTCGCCAACTACGGGCCCAGATTGGCAATGTGGCGCAAACAGTTGTCGAGGCGCTGAGCGATTTGTTGGTAATTCAGGCAGAAGTGCCTTCGGAGGGCGACGATGGCGATGAGATGTCCTCCGAGGACCACGAGCGTAGCGGAGAGGCCATCTTCACCAGTCAGCTGTACCTCTTCGAGGCTGTTGGAATCATCAGCTCTACCCCAAGTGTCACCGCGGACAAGCAATTGCTTTACGTCCAATCCGTGCTCAGTCCCATTTTTGGTGATATGGAACGCAACCTTGAGGCCGCCAAGGCTAACGACGCACGGGCGCTGCTGCAAATCCACCACGATATCTTGGCCCTAGGCACCTTGACTCGAGGATTTTCCGACTGGCAGCCGGGCACTGCGGGCTCTCCATCCGCCGGTGTCCTGCCTGAGGTCTCGGCAGCTTTCCTCCAGGTGGCCGAGGCTACCCTTGTGTCTCTCGAGTCTCTCAAGAACTCATTCGACATTCGAACCGCTGCCCGATTTGCGTTCTCTCGACTCATCGGCGTCCTCGGTGCGCAGATCCTCCCACAACTGCCCCGATGGATCGATGGACTCCTGACCCAAACCTCGTCACGCGACGAAATGGCACTTTTCCTTCGTCTCTTGGACCAGGTTATTTTCGGGTTCAAGAGCGAGATCTTCAGCATCCTTGACACCCTTCTGACGCCTTTCCTGCAACGCGTCTTCTCCGGCATCGCCGAGCCAGCTGTCGGCACCGACGATGAGATCCAGCTCGCCGAGCTGAAGCGAGAGTACCTCAACTTCTTGCTCGCAGTGTTGAGCAATGATCTGGGCGCTGTCATCATCAGCGAAAGAAACCAGTCCATCTTCGAAACCATCATCACCTCCCTCGAGCACTTCGCCAAGGATAATGAGGACTTTACTACCGCCAAGATGGCGTTCAGCGTCTTGAGCCGCATGGCCAGCTACTGGGGAGGACCTGACACGACCCCTACCAATGGCACTGCACCAGCCCAGGCCGCCCTCCCTGGCTTTGGTGAATTCATGATCACTCGACTCTCACCCCTCACCTGGGCACTTCCGACGAGTGCATCCTTCAACCTCAAAGATCCACAGGCCAAGCAAGCCCTCGCCGAGGCGGGTGGGCTCCAGTGCACCATCTACGCTAAGACCGGCATGGAATATGCCGAGTACTTGCGCAACCGAGAACTGCCCGGCATGGGCATGGGTGCCGAGCTCATTGAAGAGTTCCTCAACAATCTGGGCCAGCTGGACGTGAAAGGGTTCCGGCAATTCTTCCCGGTATGTACCTGATCCTTTTCTCGATTACTGCTTTTCATCTGACCATTCTAGTCTTTCATTCAACGATTGAGCGCATGAAGTTTCCTTTCCTCTTTCTCTCTGCTTTCTAGATTCCCCCATTCCATTTTTACGTTTTGACGCGAGGTGACGTCCATCCTCCCGTCTTGTGACTTCACCATCTTCTATAGCATCTACTTCATCTCCGAGGCTATTGATATTACCCCTGCACATCATGACATCTGAAACCCCTCCGAGCTGGATCAAAGAGAGCACCCGAAAACCAACAAAAAAGTTACCCCCTTTCCCAAAAGTCCGAGTATATAGCATTGATACCTGCTTCTCATGTCTACTAGTGCATTCGCATTGTGGATTCTATGTCCTTCCATGCCCACCGGCGTTTCCAATGTTGTTTTAATGTCTTGCCATGATACTCCCAGATTTAAGTTACACGAAGGAGGGTTTGCGTTGGCTTCTCTTTGGGTGTGCTGAAGTAGGTAGATCAAAGAAATGAAGTGGTTTATCTTGGAGTATCAGAAGACGCAGCGCACCGTCGAAACAATTTTGGTATTGAAGCACGGCTACATATGAATGAATCGGATGTCCTGCAATCATCGAGTCCTGCTCGTCCCCTCGTCTATATCATGGACCTAATATCCTGGCGCTCACTTGAGCCAAAAAGCCAATCAGAACATGTTTACTAATTGTGAAGAATCAAACGCAAAGATCAAAATTGTCACATCCTTTTTTCATTGGGGGATTTGAAAGAGTCAGGAGGAGAGAACACACTATGCAAAGAGATACTTGGCCGCGTGCTCGACGTGGTCATCCGCAAAGGAAGACATGGTATAGTAGGAGTGGTCATAGTCAGGCTGGTAGCGGACATTCAGGCCCTTGATGCCTGCATCCCGGGCCGCAGCCTCAAAGTTCTCGGGCAGGAGTTGACCCTGCTTGTAGAAGTTGTCGCCAGTGCCCTAGAAATCGTGATTAGAGACCACTTCGACCCGAAAGCAAAAAGGTATTTAACTTACGACATCAATCAGAATGTCCAAGGGACCTCCGGTCCACTTCTTAATCAGCTCAGTGGCATCGTGCTCCTTCCACTTGTCCTGCTGGTCATCACCGAAGTAGCCCTTGAAGGCCTTCTGTCCCCACGGGCAGTTCGTGGGGTTTGTGATAGGCGCAAAGGCAGAGACGGACTTGTACTTGCCCGGGTTGCGAAGGAACTGGGAATGGTTAGTGTTATCGAGAGTGGGGTAATTCAATTTTGTTGTGAGATAAAAGATCGGGAAAAAGAGATGGGATAAGCAGAGATCAAAAACATACCAGAGTGAGGGCACCGTGTCCACCCATGCTGTGGCCGGTGATACTCACGCGGCTGGCGTCCAGCTGGGGGAAAGCATCGAAGACAGTCTTGGGCAGTTCTTCGGTGACGTAGCTGTACATGTTATAGCCGGCGTTGTACGGCGCCTTAGTGGCGTCGACATAGAAGCCGGCACCGGTGCCAAAGTCGTAAGCATCGTCCTCGCCTTGGATGTTCAGGCCGCCTGGAATATGGGTTAATGATGGTTTTGATGCATTGGCGGGGATGCCGGAGTAGATGAAAAGTGAACCAAAACATCACATACGAGGGCTGGTATCGGGGTAGAGCACGGCAATGCCCTTCTTGCTAGCGCCGTGCTGGAAGAAGCCCTTTTCGGAGCAGTTCTCGGCAGTGCAGGTCAGACCGGAGAGATAAATCAGCACAGGGACCTTCTGCGTCTGGGCCTGCGGGGGCAAGTAGAGGTTGAATTTCATCTCGCATTTTGTGGTGGCGGCGGCATGGCTCAGTTTGAGCAGCTTTCCACCGAAGGAAGCAATAGTGGCAGTTGTGGTGACGGACATTATTGAATATAGAATACAAATAGAGAGAGAGAGAGAGAGAGAGAGAGAAAGAGAAAGGAAGACGGGGAAGACACGGAGTAGAAAAGACGGAAGCTAAGCCGGGGTGGGGGGAAGTGTCCCGCATGAGGGGAACCCCTGCCCATTTGGGTATTCGAGTGCGAACATCTACATTTCATTATATACACATTACTCCAAGAACACTGGCACTCCGTATACAACGGGCGCTGCGCCATTGAGGTATTTCAACACACAGGCACCTCGAGACCGCGCAATTGCTGCGTCAAGGCCAATCTCCTGATCCACCCGTCCCTCCTTATCTTTCTTAATGAGCCCCCATTCGTCAAATGTAGTTGTGGTGAATCGATCAATGTCGCGATCCGTCACATCCCAGAGGGTAGCGACAAGCGCCGGGCTGCCCGCATGGAGATAGTTCATCGGAGTGCCGTAGGGCTCATACTCGCCGGCTTCGGTCAAGCTACCACTGCTACATCCCATGAGGAATGCGACAGCACACTGGGTCAATCGCTTCACAGTACGGCCACGGATGTACTGTGCGCCACTGCCGTGGCCAAAGTACAAGAAGAGACCCTTCTTCTCCAGCGAGTCGCGGAACTCATCCTCTGTCGGCTCGCGCTGCACAATGGCATTCCAGGACTTGAACTTGGAGAGGTCCTGTTCGAAGGTGGTTTGCGTAGAGCGCAGATCGCCAGTGGGGTTGAGGACAAATGAGCCGGAGTTGCGGTCGACAACTGCCCCGGATGGGGATTTGCGGAATTGGAGAATTCGGTCTCGGAGGCACTCAAGCGAGGGGACTCGGCAGACAGGGTATCCCTGTAGACAAGGAAGCGACTCCCAGGGGAACAAGTGAAGAGCTTTGTCCAAGACGAGGATGGTGTGCTTGGGTGGCCGGGTTGCGAGCTCTTCGCGTGCTGCGTCGTGATAGCTGCGCAGCGCGTCCAAGGTGTCGACAACCATCATGTCAAAGTCAATCTCGTCGTAAGCGTTGCGCTCGCCTTGGAACTGGAGAATATCGACAACGAAGTACAGAAGGTCCATCAAAGTGTCCTCGGGCTCTTCCTGTTCTTCCAGGTCGCGGAGCCCAATGAACAGATCCACGACGTTCTGGTGAAGGGTGAGCCGGGGCCCAGCAGCCTTGCCGCCCTTCTGTCGAGAGGGAAGATGCTTGTCAAGAATAGACTGGAAAACGCTGGCAAACCGGGCTAGAGCGGTGGTTTCCTGCGATAGCGGTGAGAATACACCGCGGAAGCCACCGAACCAAATGCTCTCGATGTTCTGAAGAGCACTCTCCATTCGGCGATCGAGTGCTTCGCGGGTCTTCCACCATTCCTTCTTGGACAGCTTATCTGTGTTGGATTTCGCTGCGTGAGCACTTTCGTTGGCCAACCTAACGAGCTCGGACATTTCCTCTTTGCCATCTTCAAATGTGAATTGCTCCTCTTCATCATCTTCCGAATTACCTCTGTGAAGAGGAAGCCGGAGAAGGAATGGAGAACGATCTTTCTGTAGTCGCGAGACCACAAACTCAGTCTGGTCGGCACTGAGTGACAAGGAGAGCACATTCCAGTTCTCAGGGAGAATATCCACATAGTCTTGAGTGAAGTTGGAACAGAGGTCGTTGTCCAAATCAACGGCTGAAGGGAGGGAGCCGGGCCAGAGAAGAGGGTCGGCATAATCAGCGAGCTGACGGTCAATATCAATCGCCATGCTCTCGCGAGCAAATGCACCAACGCGTCCGATTTCTGAATCAATGTTAGTATTTGATGTCGAAGCATGCTAGGTCAGAACACTTACCATTCATGTTCGCAGGCGACTGGGCTAAGTTGGCTGGGATTCCAGGGGAAGTCGCATGCGATAACATTGAGATCCGGCTCATCAGGCGAGAAACTGCATGGCCATCGAGAGTTGAACCGAGAACCGTGGCGTCTGCGAAGACGCTGGCAAGACAATCACTCGCCTTCGACAACATCACTGAGAAGTCCTCACTGGCTTTCTGGGCCTTAGTGCGTGTAGTCTTAGCTGGTGCCTTGGCCCGTCTTGCCGGGGCCTTCTTTACGGGCACAGGAGATTCATCTGCTGTTTTGCTCGGCGACTTGAGCGACGGCAACGAAATTGTAGATTCAGGCAGAACACAGTAAACGGCGTGGCTGGCAAAATGACGGATTGCATCCGCTAGTAGATGCTCGCTTTCGCCAATTTCCAAAGTGATCTTGCTCTCTCGAGCAACAGCAAACTTTCTTGCTTCGGCAAGGGTTTCTGCCGAGCGTTCAAAGTCACGTAGTTCTCGCAGACAGTCGGCTTGTTGTCTGAGGATGTTGCCCTTGAGTTGGGTGATGGATTTAGATTGAACTTCTGGAGGAGTGGGCTTCGGGGCTGGTGCTTTCTTCGTCGTTTTACTTGCTGCAGAGCTAGTTGCTCGGGTGCGTCGTGTAGTAGTTGTGGTGGGAGTTGGAGTCCGTCGGCTGCTGGATCTGACTCGTAGCTTATCCATCTTGTCCTCCAGCTCTGAGACAGCCGAAGCCTCCAAATTGCTCGGCGTATCTGCAGCTGTCACAGATGATACGATTTTTTCGGCCTCGAGAAGAATGCGGTATGCTTTATCGTGTGCGCCTTGAATCTTGTACAAAGAAGCAAGTGCCATCTGGAATGTGACAGTTTCAATGCTTTTCGTAGTCTGCTTTGAAGACTCAGCTGCCGCAGACAGGTGATCTTGACCTTCATTCAGATGGCCACTCAAGACCCAGTGACACCCAAGTTGGGTTTGCGCTGCGAGTAGTCGCGCATTTGCGTCGAGTGTCTTGTCGATCTTGAGCGCCTGTTCACCATAGTAGATTGCATCTTGGAACAAGCCATGGTGAGCAGAGAGGGTTGCTAGGTTCAGCAAGCAGGTGTGATGAGAGCCAAGATGTGGCCAAAACGGTGCGCCTTGAATATAACTCGTGGAGACATCGGGCGAAGATCCGTTCTGGGAAAGATCAAGTTTCGCGACTCCATCGGCTACGGCCTCGACGTCTGAGCTTCCAGTAGCAGGTAGAGACTTGTCCTGCTTTTTCTGGGCCAGCCTTTCGACCTTAGCCCAAATACGACAATTCAATCTCACGGACAATTTTGCGAAGTAAAGAGCCTGGGTAGCTGAGCCTTGCGCGGTGAATAAGCGAGATTGAACGAAGGCCGCGTCTGCTACCAATCTCTCCCATGAGATCTTCGACAAGACAGTCAATCTGCTCAATTCAGATTTATGGCTCTTTTCATATAGTGCCCGCGCGGCAGAAAGAGAAGAAGCAGCCTTGTCAACTTCTCCGGTTTCCAAAAGGTACTCGACTCTTGCAACCTTGTAGGAGATAGAAGCAAGAGCAGAGACTTTGCTTTGTGCAATATACTGCTCGCCACGGGAAAGGAGCTCACCTGCCTTTTGGCAGTAGCCCAAGCGACAGTTCTGCAACACCAATCTGGAAAGAATGATGATAGCATCTGAGATATCACCCGACTGCTGGAGCTCTGCAACACGCAAGATCAGCTCGAGGGTGGAAAGCTGGGCCTTCCAGAGGCCGTGGATCTCTGTGTAGTCAACTAAAGCCTTCAACTGCAGGACCCAGTAGTCCGGGTCACTGACAGACAGAAGCAAAGTCTTTTCATCGGTGCAGCGGCGAGCCAATGATGTCCAAGACGCAAGCGTTGCATCAAGTATGCTTGCATTGATTTTCCCTTGGTGGAAGCCAACGATGATCTGCAAAGAGTTCCGCGCATGAATTGCAGAATGAGTCAAATCAGCGTCTTCTCCGACTTGTACGTCGCATTCCAAAGTCTCAATTCCTTCTTTCAAGAGAGTCTCGGTCAGGTCTGGGCCTAGAGAGGTGGGGTTTTCGAGCAGGAATCGCAAAGAAGAGAGAATAACACGGGAGCGACGAATAGGGCGAAGACCGAGAGGGTATAGCTCGAGAAGCGAAGAGACAAGCGGGCCCAGCATTGAGCGGAACCCGTCTTCACTGGAGGACTGGCTGTGCATATCAAAGAGTAAGCCCATTTGCCACTCTAGGAGAAGAGTCCTCTGCTCGAAATCCAGCTCGATGTCGTCGTACACAAAAGAGGCCTGGGATCCTTTTCTGCGCAATTTCATTTTCAGGAGGGCGGAAAGTACACGACTCATCATAAACCCAGGCGTTTGGGGATCCTGGCTCACTGAGTTTGGATTTTGTCCTCTGCTACTCTCGGCGACTTCGTCCAAAGTGCCAGAGATGATATATTCGTCGATTGACTGTCGGAACATCCGCTCGGAGTCACTGTAGAAATTTCCCTCCGCATACAGGTGCGCCATTCTCTCGAATTTGAGGGCAGTAAATGCAGTCTTACGGTGAGACGGCGAGCAGTTTGCAAGAAGCTGAGTTGAGTGTTTGAGGAGAGGAATCAGCTCCCGGTATCCATGGCCAGATTCTTTCTCTTTGATGTATCGAGACCAGAACAAGTTGGAGAGTTTGACGAGAGCCATGCCGAGGTTCTCCGTGTGTTCCGAGCTTTCTTCGCTGGAGGATTCAATGGTCGAGAGCAAGCGCTGGCAATCAGCCAAGATAGGTAGCATATCCTCCCAGGGTGGCCGCTGGGACATGATCGAAAGTTTGCCAACTGCCACAGCCGAGTCAATAGCAGCAAGAACAATGCTTCGGGCAATTGAAACGCGGCCATTGAACATTTCAACCTCAGTCTCATCACTTTCTTCCGTCGGTTGGCGTCCAATGTAGCGCCTGAGGAATCTGAGGAAGGCTTGTAGATACTCTCTGATGTGACTGGCAACTTCGTTTTTCTCGTCGTCGGATTCGATGGTTTTGGTGATAGCCTCGCCAAACCAGGCAAGAGCAACCTTTTTCAACCTGGCGGCCTCCACAAGAAGTTCATCTAGATCATTGGCGCTACCTCGCAATTGCAAGCCCAGCGCTGCCGTTGCCTCCGTGAGAGAGTCCAGAGTCGCATTTAGTAGCTTTTTGGATGTCTTCAAGGCCTGGAAATGGGCAGATCCGATTTTGCACCTGACAGTCGCCAGTGCTAGGCTTTGGGTTTTTGAAAGTGGGTTGAGAGCTTGGGTAAAAAGTTTCATAGATTCATCAAAACAGCCAGCGTCGAAAGCGAGCTGGCCGAGGATTGTCATTAGTTTGGCGGCTTGGGTGGCATTGGAGGTTTCTGATGACTTCTTCTTGGTATCTGCGACAGAAGCCTGCACTCTGGTAACATTCTTGTAGATGAGAGCAAATTCGGCCCTATCTATCCCCTTGCTGCGGTGGGAGAAGCTGCCGAAATACCGAAGCAAAGGGTCCATGATTTCTTTACTCTCGTCGCAGACATGACCAGCCAGCTTCCAGCTCATGGAACGAATCTCAAGGGAGAGCAGCTGGAAGCTCAAAGAAGTGACTGGTTTGAGGCTGCTGGAAGCCTCGTCTTTTGAAACAGATGACCCTGCACAAAGCGATAGAACCGAATTGGAAAGCACCTGCAGCTGAAGAGCAGCCTTATCGGTAGACAACTGTCCGGACTTCATTGCAGCCACAATAACCTGCGCAGGACTGCTGGAGTCGGATAATTGCAGGGACGGGAGTACTTTCTGGATGATAGATGCTCTTTTGTCCGCGGCCAATAGTCGTAGCACATTCGAGTGGAAGGAAATGATCAAGCCGTATGGCGATTTCGCGTTTCCAATATGGGCGAACTTCAATAAGTCCGACATGCGCTCTTTCGCGATCTCTTCCTCGGTGTCCTTGGCTTCTGCCGCCTTCTTCCCCGCCTTCCCACCATCCAGGTGTTGTTGTATCCGGCGCTTGAGGAGTCGGAGTTCCTTGTATGCCATGTCGTTCAGGCCGAGTGAAATAAGTTTCCCTGCAAGAACACAGAGGCCTTGTTCTAGTTGCATGTTGGGGAAACTGTCGGCTCCGGTGTCATTTTTGAGTGTGCGCAAAGTTGACAAAGCGAATCTGGCGCATTCGGCGGCCGATGCCACACCGGCGTCGGAATCTTGAGTACCGGAGGGACTCTGGCGTCTGGCTGTAGAGGTTTTGGCGGCGTCTGTGAGGGTCTTTAGTGTGGCATTGAACACCTCCGTGGCAAAGACCAGCTTCTCCTGGTTCGACAATGTGGAGTCGTCGGCCAACGACTGCAATGAAGCGTCGTTTCCGGCTTTTGATTTCGCTGCGCGAGAGGTCCTGCCCCGGCCAGCCGGAGTGGCTGGCTCTCTTGTGGACGTCGATCGTTTGGGTTTCTCGGGCATCTTTGGTGATCCGCGGAGGAGTGTTTGTAGGGACAACACAGTAGCGTCGGAGCAGGTAGTCGTAGAGTGAAGGGCCTGCTTGATGGATTCTGTTAATGAGCTGGACGGCAAGACGGTGACCGCCATTTTGTATGTGTTAGCGAACGTGCAGGACTGAGGTCATCGCGTTGAGGCCGCTCTTTGAGTGCAATCGCTATCTCCAGATGCGGTTGTCGCAGCAACAATACCACTATGCCCTTTTGGGATAGGTTTGTGCCTTGGCGCCTGAGGCCAATACCTCTGGAAGCCTCACATTTTCCCGCCTCAGAGACACTGGCCGTTCAACACCAACATGGCTTCTGCTTTACGATCCAGGGCCTTCGGGCTTGGCCGCAATATCTGGTCTACTTCCTCAGCACTGAATTCTACCCGCCAATGCCGCGTCCCAGCTGCGCGCTCATATTCCACCTCCGATCGCCTCCCGAGAATCGCAGACACCTCACTATGGACATCCATGATTCCCAAATTCATTCGCAACAGGGGCGCACGCAAGGATCCCAATAAGGAAAAGTCCAAAGAATGGAACCCGGCCACTTTCTACATCATCATCTTCATATTGATCGGCTCCCAGGCCATTCGCATGATCACCTTGAAGAACGGCTACTCAGCATATACCCGAACAACGGATGCGAAGATTGAGCTTCTGCGAGAAATTATTTCGCGAGTCAAGAACGGAGAGCAGGTTGACGTGGAGAAGCTGCTAGGAACCGGCGATGAGGCGAAGGAAAGAGAGTGGGATGAAGGTTAGTTGAGCCCGAGCCGCATCTGACGTGAACATTCAGCGGCTGACTCCTGCTTGTGTAGTTCTGCGAGAGATTGAAGCCGAAGACTCTCTGTGGCATCAGAAGAAGACTAGCCAGTCACAGCCAGAGACAGAGACGCCGGCACCGGCGAAGGATGAGAAGCAGAAACAGCCCGCACAGCCTACCGCAGAGGACAGTGGGACTGCTAAGACCGAGACAACGAGGAAGATGCGATTCTACTGAGTGGATCCCCGAATGCGTCAAAATAACCTCTGCTTCCATGCATCAGCGGCAGGCTGACGGGTTCGACGATGACATTAGACCTTTGTCACCCTACGAAACCCAACAGACCCTCCGGCTTACCTAGTATATTCCTGTCTCTGGGTGATATGACAGCCATACCAGTGAGAGAAGTCATGGTGTAACACTACTTGTACAGACAATCTTTCCTCACGTCAGATTGATACCCATTTGTTGTTCAGCAACCTTGTATATATATCTCGGACAATATCCAGAACCCGAAACCCAACCTGGAAAGCATCGGATATAGCCATGAAGGTACTTCTGCATTGTATATTTCAACAAGACCTCGGGAGTGATATCAGACATAGCCCGGTGATCGTTAAACTGACCTTCGGGTCCATGAATACATATCTCCTCCGTCACGGGTGGTAGCTGTCGAGATGATACGTGGATGTCAATACTTGAGCGTCTGATCCATGGATATTACCTAGGTAAAATACAAGAACGTTGGAAAAGACCTCGGGAGTAAGTTCGCCTACTGGTCTTCAGCCCTGGAGACCTCAGGGCCAAAGACATGTACTACTACGAATAAAGAGTATAGAGGATCAAGCCTAACCATCCATGGATATTTTGATTGAATATATGGAAACATACCCTTTATGCCAACATCTTTCCAGATCTATCCGCTGTTGATACAATGCACGGATTGCTTCCCATGAAACAAACCTTGGAAGACAGAAAAAGTAGAAATGCAAAGATGTAAATCGATCGGCGGAGAAGAATCCAGACAAAGGTAGATCTCATGCAGAAAGTGAACGTCTAGACCCGACGAAAGGAAAGTGAGAAGAAACAAGGAAATCGCTTTAATTGAAACTGTCAAAAAAGACCAAATCACATCGACTCTATTTCGAACTCTGCAAGAGCTTGGGCCAGTTTTCAGGCCGCGGGACCTGCACCCGGCCGATGTTCTGGTCCAGATCGAGGATCAGCTTAAGAGCATTCCTTGACCGGAGGTAAGGCAGAGGGGCCTTGGCACCCTGGCCACCGACAGCGGGCTCAATGTGGCCGGTGGGCGTGATGGCGTCGCCTTCACCGGGCATGGGAAGGGCCTTCTGCAGGACTTCGTAGGCGGCGAGGGTGAAACCGAACTGCGGGGAGGAACGCATGATGCGGGCGGGGCCGCCCTTGAAGAAGGCGGCGAGACCTTCTTCCTTCCACACTGTGGTGGCACAGTGACGAAGACCGTTGTACTTGGTGTCACCCTTGCGAGCTTCGACCTGGAGACGGGTCTTGATCACGTCGCAGGGGGTGGTGAGGTAGGCGGCGGGCATACCGGCGATGGCACCGGCGGTGAGGAGCTGGACGACACCGAGCTTGTTGGTTGCGGTCTCTCCGAAGAAGTCGGACTTCAGATGAGCGTATGCGGGGAAGTAAATGGCGGAGAAGGGGACATCACGCAGCAAACAGGCGCTGGCGCCCTTGTACAGACCGACCAGACCCAGGTTCTTGACAATCCACAGAGCCGAGCGACGGGGGGCGCCCTCGACGTTCTTGGCGATCTCACCCTGCACCTGCAGACGAATTTTGACGATTTCGAGGGGGTTGGTGAAGACAACCTGGCAGGCACCTGCCGTACCACCCGAAATGACCTCGTGGAGGTACTTGATGCGCTTGGTATCCTTGTCCGTGAAGTAACCACGGACGAGATCGTTCACTGTCAGCTTGATGGCCTTTTCAGGCGCCACACCGATCAGCTGAGGGATGACACCAGAGTAGAGACCGGTGAAACCCTCGTTGCGGATGACCTTGCGGGCGCAATCGATGGAGTTGTTGTACAGTCTCTCACCGGGGCGCGAGGAACGCTGGTTCTGCAGACGGGTCTTAACCAGATCGATGGGGTAGACCATGAAGGCACCGAAGGCACCGGCGATACTGCCCAGGGCGAAGTGGTGGACCGACTCCAACACATTGTGCAGCAAACCCTTGGTCTTCTGAGCCACCTCCTCACCGGCAGTCACTGCCTGGCGCGCCGCGGCGACCGGGATGCGCCATGAGGCGTCAATGACCTTGGCGAAGTCCTTCTGGGAGAGACGGCCCGAGGGAGCATCCAGCCCGGCGAAATGGAAGAGGATGTCCGCTTCCATGGGGGTGAAGAGAGAGAAACGCGTAAGACGCGCCGCCTCATTCAAGAAGTCCGAGCGGGTGATCTTGCCGTCCGAGCTTTTCTTGGTCGCCTCGCGGACCACCATGTCGATGATGTCCATTTCGTGCATCACGTTCTGGAACGCCCGGACATTGGCGTAGGAGATGTGGTTGCTGGTGGAGATGTTGCACAGCGTGGGGAGGTTCTCCAGGACGTGATCGGAAAGCTTGTGTTTTGAGGTTTCCAGGATGATGCGCTGGAAATCCTCTGGCTGAATGAAGCCATCGCCATCCTTGTCGAAAATGTGGAAGGCCTGACGGATGCGCTCACCCTGGAGGCCGCGGAGCATCTGTGCGAATTGGGGGTATGTCATGTCGTGGCGGGTCTTGGAGCGACCGCCGTACAGCGACGCCCATTCTGAGTTCCAGTCGAAGGGAATGCTGTCGGCACTCTTGTTGAGGTTGTACAGTCCCTGCACGGTATCGAACTTGACACTACCGGTGCCATCGAAGTCGAAGAGACGGAAGGCGATCTCGTACTCGGCGTCGGGCTTGGCGAGGAGGTTTTCGAAGGAGGCCCAATCCGCGATGTTCAGCTTGCCAGTCCTTCGCCGATCTGCCACGTTGAAGAGAATTCCATACTGCTCGCGCTTGATCTTGTGCTATTGAGCGTCTAGGTTAGTCACGGATTCCGCTCACTGCTCGGGGCACACGTACGTAGTCCTCTTGCTTGGGAGCCACCGCGTTGATGAAGTCCTCCTCGTTCATGAACAGCTCTCCCTCCTCATCCTTCTGCGCATGGCGATTGAAGGTGGAGCGCGCCTGCAATGAGAGCTGCTGCTCCGAGGAGCCGAGGAATTGTTCCTTTACTGCTTCCGTGACCGTCATTTTGGGGATGTGGAAGGAGAGAAGGGAAAAACCCACAAAAACTGGGGGAAGGGAGGGAGTGGAGACTGAGTCAAAAAGGAATATTGCCCTCTCCCCCTTTTAGGTATTTTAATCCCATTTATTTGCTTTGCTTCTTCTATTTACCCGGCTCACTTCTCTCCGCATCCGATATCGCGTCCCTGGATCAGCCTTATGCTGATTCGAGATTCACTTTTTTTTATCCGCCGGAGCCATGGATGAGGGCCCTTTTGCCACGACGCACCATGGAACAGAACATACAACAACGAAAAATAGACTATCAGGCACCTCCCGAGTACGCTGTACGGCGTACTCACTGAACCAGGCGAATTAGGAACGGGAACATCGGGAATAAACCGGGGAGCTGTCACATGGCCATCTCGGGACTTCTGCTTTTCCCCTTCGCCTCAATCGGCACAACTCCGTGTTGATATTGCCACCTTCACCTAACTTCCCAAAATTTATTCACAGTCCTTTGTACTGCTACTACTGTATCTACTTTATACAGTAGCTATCGACGACTCTCGCGCGTAAACTTGCCTGTTCGGGTCCAGCGCACGGTGCGCCGAAGCTCCCCAACTCAATCGAAAAATTGGAGACAGTGCAGGTCCCAATTGGGGGCCACTGACGTGCTATTAAACGAGTGTCACCCCTCACTCCGCACCGGGACCTCACCGGTCGATCCTGCCTGAGGCATCACTCCGGATCAACCGCACAGCTGTCCGGGAGATCAGTTCGGACATCTCGCATGTGGGGGTGACGTGATCTCGGATATGAAGATCGATGCCCGACATTGATGTGGCAGAAATCGACGAAGCTCTATCGTACGGGGTAAGGAACATGGAGTAGAAATCAAGCCGGGACTGACTGGTCCGTTCTCCGGGGGATCGTAGCTTCGGGTGTGATCAGCTAGCTCGAAGCTACACACCGGGGACCCGGTCACTAAATCAGTTAGTGCGTCAAACACGGATGGCTTGCCATGGCTGAACCTGACAAAATTCTTCAGATCAAAAGTCCCGTGTTTGAGGATGATGTTTGATTTCCTTTCATTGCATTTATAAATCTACGGAATGCCTCATGTCGACAAACATGGCCTGAATTCCGGTGCCTGAGGTTCTCTCGACTGTGTCACCTACAAAACACGGAACTAGCGTCTCAGGCTCCCAAGGTTCAAAATATGCTTAATATGTTTATTTCTGGCAGACCGCCTTTTCAAAGTATCCAAGAGCGACTCTCCAGGGCGATCAATCCCAGGGTCCATACTCTGTGCGGCTGAGGCGGTATCGTTGGGCACTGGACCTGCGTGTTTCTATTTACGTCGGCACGTGGCGTCCGTGAAGATCATCCAACTTGGAAGTTCTTTATCCTCGTCATTGACATGAACTCAAAGACTTTGTCTGCATTGGGCTCTTTCATCTCACAAACCCCTTGTAATGAACATCAAAGACATCATGATCCTCGATGTCTGCATCTACAGTCTAGTGTCTATATAAACTGTCGTGATTCACCCCATTCAAGAACTATCATTCCACAGAACATCATCCAAAAACCGACAACCATTCACAATGACTAAATTAACCAAGCCGCAACCTATCCCAAAGCCTGAGAAGCCGAAGCCTCCTCCTCGCCAGGCTGGTGACCCTCCCAACAAGCTTTGGAAGCCGAAGCCCCCTAACCCAAGCCCTAAGGCTCCTAAGGGTGCTAAATAGACCTGAAGTGTACCTAGCGCACAGAAAGGCTGCGAGGGGGCCTTAGACCGTCATATATGCGGCTAGTCGTGTGGTAGGCTTTTCATAGTTACCTGTTTGTTGATTATACCCAGTCTTAACTAGTGCTCCATCCGAAACAAACGTCTCCTTTGATATTGTCTGTTCCATCATCCCATTTCATGCTAAGCGAGCATGTAACTTCCTAGAACGAGCATAAAACATATAATGTAAACAATTTACTCGCTAGATGCTACAAGAACCTTAGGGGTTGTCTCCTTTTTTAGTAACCAATATCGCGTCTATACCGGATGTGAATAAGGCCTCAAATTTGAACACACAACCAATGGCTAGCCCTACAAAACCTATAGATTGCTCGTATCAGCTGAGTTTGCTAATATGCCCAACTAAGGTTTCAAAGCCCTGGGCTTGGGCTATTTCTCTGCCAATACCATGTCATACGATCGCCCTGAAGGATAAACCAGTGCACGGGCATATGCCCAAGAGATAGGTAAATGGGAATTCAATTCTATTTCTAATCGTCAATATTTTCTAACTCATCTTTCATTCAACTTATAACCCCCACCCTCTAACCATCCAACTTGGCAGCCCCCTTCACCAAGTCCTCGATCTTTCCGTTCTTGCTCAGAAGCTGAAGCATCGAAACCTCCAGACCGAAAGTCTTGATCAACCAGTTCCGCAACTCTCCCGCCACCAGACTATCCACACCGTACCGTGAGACCGGCATATTCGCGTCAATATCATCAGCCGCGACACCGAGAAGCTCTGCGAGACGCGTCGTGATGGCGGTTCGCGAGATCTCAAGTTTCTCAGCCGGTGTCGATGCATTCTGCAACTGTGTGGCGATCGAAGACGTGCCTCCCGACGAGTTGCTTCCAGCAGAGGCTGACCGGGCCCGATCGGCAATCGCCTGCCTGACACCCTGGAATCGAGAATTGTTATACCAGACAAGATCGTTCACACGATCATTCTCCAAATAGGACAGGAAACGAGCCGGCTCAAGTCCAGTGACCACCTGAGCTGGGGAACTGGCATCATCATTGAAGCATGAGAGATCCGACTTGCACAGTGCACCCTCGAGGAGCTGTAGGAACTCGGTCTCTGACACGCCGTAGGTGGCATTGCGCTGAAGCATCTGCTGGAATCCGATGGAAGCGCTGACAGAGCCGACTTCGAGAATCAATCCAAGACCCAGAGTTGTGGCTGGGAGAGACTGGGAATGGCGGAATCGGGCGAATGAGTCCTGGAACGCATTTGCAGCAGTGTATGCTCCTTGACTAGGTGTGCCCACACTTCCCACAATAGAGGAAGTCATCAAGAAGAAGTCGAGTGGGAGATTCTTCGTGGCATGGTGAAGGTTGACAGTTCCTGTGACCTTGGGTTCAAGGACTTTCTGGACTTGAGACCAGGCGGCGTTCTCGAAGAGAGCATCCTAGAATTTTGTAAGTACTGAAATTTGTCGAGCAAGACTTTGGAAACTTACTCCTTCAACCATTGCAGCGTGAATCACTCCCTTCACTTGCCGGGTCGCGCTGAGATGCTCCACAGCGGAAGTGAGGGCATCCAAATCAGTCACATTGCACTGGATTACCTCTGGGAAAGCGCCGGCTGCGACTAGCTCTTCCACGATCGAGACAGCCTCGGGCTTGTTAGTCCCAGATCGCGAAAGGAATGCCAGATGGCGAGCTCCTTGCTCGACCATCCAGGTGGATAAACTCCGGCCAAGACCACCCAGGCAACCAACAAGGAGGTATGTCGCATTTGGATCGAATGTCGCTCGAGACACTGGTCGTGCGATCTTGAAACAATCAGCTTCACTTTCCAATATTGCCTTTGACACCAAATTGGTGCCTCTGACCACTCACCTTCAGTGTGGCATTCTGATCGCGGAAATTAATGATGAACTTTCCGGTGTGCAATCCCTTCGAGAAAGAGTTCATTGCAGCCTCAAGGCGAGAAATACAGAACGTCGTCAGGTGTCGAATTGGACCAATTTCGCCTTCCTGGATAAGTTCCATCATCTCGGCCATCAATCTATTACCGGTAAGTGAGGGCTCTTTGCCAGCCAAACACAAAAGACAAGAAAAGACATACCTAGCGATAAGGCGTGGCTTTTGTCGATAGATGCTGCCCATGTCAAAAGAGGAGAAGGTTGCGTTCTTCTTGAAAACTTCAAGACCAAGCTTGCCACCTCCGAGAACATCGGTTCTACCAACATCAATGAAATGACCCAAAGGTGCGATGCATTTCCACATCTCATGCATCATATCTCCACCAGAGCTGCTCAGAATCACATCAAGGCCCTTTCGGTTGGTGGCCTTCAGAATGTCTTCCACCGCACTCAGCTTTCGAGAATTGAAGATTCGAGAGGCTGGAATGCCAAACTCCTCAACCAGTATCTTGGCTTTATCATCTGTACCCACTGTTGCATAAACCTCTGCGCCCAGCGACTGCGCAATCTGAATAGCTGCCATTCCGAGACCACCGGTTGCGGATTGAATCAGGATGGAATCACCCTTCGTCAACCCAGCCAGATGCTTAAGGGCATAGATTGAAGTGAGATAGACTACTGGCATAGATGCGGCACCGTCGGTAGACAACTCATCGGGGATCTTCGAGACCAGAGACGCTGGCGATCGAAGGTAATTGCCCATGTTTCCGGGGATCATGCCGAAGACTCGGTCACCTTGCTTCAAGGAAGTCACAGCTGAGCCTAGCCTGGTCACAACACCGGCTCCCTCAGTGCTCAGGTTGTTGAGATCGAACCTTGCTGTGGCTACCGCGATATCCTATAGTATCAACAGTCAGAATGGGCACCTAGAATACTTGAAGCGACTGAAACTTACCTTCATGTTGAGTCCAATGGATTCAGTCTTGATTTCGACCCAGTCGTCCTCGAGCGGCTTGCTGAAGTCCGAGTCGGTTGTGAAGTGCAGTGATGAGAGCATACCAGCCTGTCCATATTGAGCTCTGATGGGCAGCTCAGTGTCGACAGCGCGTTCCTCGATGTCATCCTCAAAGCCGTTGCGCAAATAGAACTGGCTGTTGAGTGTCTCTTCTGGCAGTAGACGCTCCACATGGAAAGCGCCTCCTCGAAGGACAGACTCCAGATCAAGAATTTCAGAAGGTGCAAGCGCCCGCATCTCGCTCATTTTGCGGACGATGAGCTCAGCAGCCCTTCCCTGCGAGGTGTAGTTGTTGAAATCCAACTCGATGAAAGCGTACTTGGAGGATACATTTTCAGTGTTGATAGATCTGAGCATGCCCTTCATAATCGATGATTCTCCAGGGATCATCAGATCAGCAGCAACCCAGATCATTGAAGATACATTGGGGACGATTTCCTGCAGCGCCTTGAAATACGAGTCATCGCGACAGGTAAGGATTGATCCGTTGATATCGACGAAGCTGATGACCGTTGAGTTTCGTGGAATTTCATCCCCAGAGAACAGTTCGATCGGGATGGCATTGAAGCCCTGCTGCGACAGAACATCAGCAGTGACATCCGCCAACAGAGGCAGGGAGTCTCGGTAGAGGATGAAGATGTTTGTTTCCTGGGTCGAATCGGCATCTGATTTGACTTCAGAAGCCTTCGAGAGCATGACAGTCGTCATTTGCTGGTCTCCTGTATACTGCTCAAGGGTTAGTACAAAGGCTAAAAGTAAGTGAGGTTATTTATGCTTACATCTTCGAGAGAGATATCGACACCCGAGAACGAAGATTCTTTGAGAAGACTATTCCACTCAGCCTGCTCACGGCTGATGCGTTCGGACTCCCATTGACCTGTCAAAGTGCGAGAAAGAATCTCAGAAGCCAGAGTTGGTCGCGTAGTCTCCAGCAACGCAAGCGATCCCGAAGACTTGAGCAGAGGACGAAGTTGATCCAATGCTGCCTTGGGAGAGTCAAGCTCACCGAGACAGCCAGCAGCGATGATCAGATCAAACGAGCTGGCTTCAAACCCTTGAGAAACAGGGTCCTGCAAGACATCAAGCGTCTGGAAGACCACTCCTTCATGTCCGTCAAATCGTGACTTGGCTTCTGCGACGCACCACTGCGCGGAATCAGTGAAGAAATATTCTCCGAATCTCTTCGATGTGGAAGTAGACGCCAACACATCGAGGACAGCCGAAATAGCTCCCGCCGAGCCACCGCCGACCTCCAAGATCCGCATTCGCGGGTTCCTGTGACCGAGCAGGTCTACAACCTGTCGCAGCTGCGAGTATGCCCCGTTGACGGAGATTCCTGATGCAAACAAGTCCGTGGAGAGGTTGTTATCCATGAGAACCTTCACACTGTTGGTTGTTCCATCAAGAATTTCGCCCAAGCTACTGTGCAGCGCGGTGAGACATCTGGCTTCAGGGATATCACGCAGAGTTTTCGCCAGTTCTTCAATGATGGCTAGTCTCTCCTCCCGGCTGATGCCCAGATCTTGTCGCTCGGAAGCGTTGACCCAGGAATTCACCCACTGAGCGAAACTTTCATGGTTTTCAGTCTTGTCATGGACTGTGTCTTGACGCAGCTGTTCGTTGATACTTGCGAGGACATGAGCGGATAGAGTCTCCAACTCAGTGAAAGCGGAAGACTCAATCTGCTTGGGCGGGAACATGGCTTCAGCAATGGAAGGCGTCAAAGTCTCGATGTCGACCTTTTCCACCGGGTGCCAATACGGTTCGCGAACCATGTTAGAAGTGGAAGCATCCAAGGCTCCATCATAAGCAACGCACCTCAGCTCCTCAATGTCTAGCAGTGGTGCACCAGACGAACTGTAGAGTTGAGATCGCGCGTAGACACTCCGAAGACCGAGCATGGCTCCCCTTGCGACACCCAAGCCCTGTTGCTCACTAGGGGATTCAGGAACCCAAACAGTCATGTTGTCGGCGAAAATGGGGACGAATGCCTTCTCAAAGTTCTCAACTTGACCTGCGTGACACGAAATCAGAGCTAGCTGAATACAGGTGTCCAGAGTCGCCGGGTGAATCGCGTACTCGGATTCATTCTTGAAATCGGCGGTAGGCTGCAGGGAGACACTGGAAGATGTGACATTAGAGCCACGGTATGCCTTCAGGTCCGACAAACCCTGGAAAGCCGGGCCATAGCCTAGGCCTGCTGCACTGAAGCTCCGGTACCAACGCGAGATATCAAGTGATCTCGAACGAGGGTCGGCCTTCAGCTTTTGGCTTTCGTCAATCGAGGTCTTCTCAACAGCCACGGAGATAGTTCCAGTGCAATGCTGGGTCCACTCATCGCTGTTTGGCAAGATGGAACCAATACTGAACTTGTACCATTGCGACATGACAGCTGCATTTGTCAATGGCAATCTCTCCATGTTGAGGACTGTCTCAACGCCCAGCTCAGTGTCTTCGACACGTAGCGCTGAATTGATTGCCACCTGGCGAAGCTGGAAGGACTTGATTGGAGAAGCATCTTCCGCCTCATGGTGCATCTGACTGACTGCTTCAATTGCCATAGCAATGTAAGCTGCCCCCGGAAGAACGGCGTGAGGAAGAAGCTTGTGGTCTTCGAGCCAAGGAAGGTCCTTCAAGCGCAGAACGTTTCTCCATTGTGGGTGTGTCTTTGAGCCTCCGGGGACTCGGGCACCGAGAATGTCATGACGCAGATGCTTCCTGGTACGGTACTCCTTGTTGAAGCGATTCTCGTAGTGGACTGGGGTTTCCGGATACGAGTATTTGTACTGAGGCATATCGATGCAAGGGAAGCCATGAGAGAGAATAGTCTCATCGTCCTCATTCTCGGTTGCATTCACAGCCACCAAGTTGATTGGGGCATTGCTGATGAACAAATTACCCGCAAGTGTCAACATGCTGGTCACGTCGTGTTCGCCACGGCGAAGGGACCCCAGACAAGGTGGAAGAACAGACCCAGTCTTCTCTAGAGCAGAGCGAATTTGCTTCAACGGACCACCCAAGGCAGGATGAGGCCCGACCTCAATGAGAAGATCAACAGCTTCAGATTGGGCGAGCTTCTCGACTGCGGATGAGAAAAGAACGGGCGCCTCGAGATTGCGTCGCCAGTAAGAAGGAAGAACCTGTTCTCTCACTTCCTTCATCGTCACAGATGAGATCCACTTCGCCATCGGGTTTGATGGCTCGCTGTCCACGATTGACTTGACTTCTTCGAGACCCTGGGTGGCTAGCTCTTCATACGCTGACCCAAGAGCTTGCATGTGGTGAGAGTGATAGGCGTTCCCACCAGTATTCAGCACACGAGCGAAAACACCTTCTCCGCTCATTGTTTTGCTCAGGTTGTTAATCGCATCCGGCTCGCCAGAAAGAGTGACACTGTGTGGCGAGTTGATGGCTGCAATCTTGACGTCGGCTTCAATGCCTTCCAGGTAAGATGCAACTTGGATTGGCTCTAGACCAACGGCCATCATGAGTCCCTTTCGTTGGTTGGTTGCCACGACCTGACCGCGGAAGTACGCTAGGACAATGGCTTCGCTTGCTTTCAGATATCCAGAGGCATAGGCGGCTGCGATTTCACCTGCATGATAGTTAGACAACGACTCCATGATGACACGTCCTCCTCAAGAAAGGCACAAGTTCTTACCAGAGGAATGTCCAACAGTGGCCTTGGGGGTGATTCCCCATTGTCTGAGAAGAGACACCAATGCGATTTGGAGGGCAGTGCAAACAGTCTGCGAGAATGTCGGATCGTGAATTTGACTTGTGGCTGCCGGCTCCAAAAGTGCGCCCTCAATCGTCCAACTTGGCTTATTCTGCAGCTTGCTCAGCACCATATCCAGGTACTGGATTGTGCGTTTGAAGACTCCAAATTCATGCAGCAACTTTGCACCCACTGTGAAGATACGCGTCAGTATTGAAACTCTACTTTGGAATTATCATCGAGGCAGCGCCCTCAAGAAATTCCATCCAGAATATAGAATGTCGGGAAATTAACTTACTTTGTGGCCACTGAGCTCCCTGTCCCGTGAAGACAAAGCCAATTCGCCGAGCCGGGGAGCTAGGCGACTTTCCAGAGATCATTAAGTCAGAGTCAACTCCATCAGTCACCGTCTTCGAATCGACAATGGCAAAGGCACGACGAGGGAACTTGGACTTTCGACATCCCAGTGTGTACAAAAGATCAGCGAGATCGTAATCTTTCACTGACTGGGAAAGTCCCGCGAAGTTGGCCTTCAAGGCACGCTCATCGTGACCAGAGACTGGCAGCAAGATGAATGGACGAGTTCCGGCTCCCTGGGTCTGAGTGAGCTTTGCCGGTTGATTCCAACTGAGTGATGATAGGTCATCATCAGAGACATCGTGGTCTTCAAGGCCGTTGAGGTCACCATTGCCATTGGCGTGGCCGTTGCCGTTGAGATGACCGTTGCCATTCAGGTGGCCGTTGCCGTTCAGGTGGCCGTTGCCGTTCAGGTGGCCGTTGCCGTTCAGGTGGCCGTTGCCGTTCAGGTGGCCGTTGCCGTTCAGGTGGCCGTTGCCGTTCAGGTGGCCGTTGCCGTTCAGGTGGCCGTTGCCGTTCAGGTGGCCGTTGCCGTTCAGGTGGCCGTTTCCATTGAGGTGACCATTGCCGTTTAGATGACCATTGCCATTGGCGTGGCCGTTTCCATTAAGGTGACCATTTCCGTTGAGGTAACCGTTGCCATTGGTGTGGCCGTTGCCGTTCAGGTGGCCATTTGAAGTCTCGCCAGCCTTGGGAAGGCCTCGCAATTTATAGCCGGGGATGACCACACTTGGGTGGTCTAGAACGCAATGAGCATTAGCTCCACCGTACCCAAAACTATTTGAGGAAAATTGTTAATGGTCGTCGAGCTTGCTTTCGGGAAAATGTCAGTCTCACCTATTAACGCTCACTCGTCGAAGCAAGTGGGCAGGCCATGGAGTCATTTCCGTCACAACCTTGGCCCTTGCTCCCTCAAAGTCGATCGCAGGATTGAAATTCTCAATCAAAATAGTAGCTGGGATTTCTCCATGCTCCATTGCCAAGACTGCTTTCATGATCTGTGACATGGCGCTGGCTGCTTCGCTATGTCCTAGATTGGGTTTGATCTAGACAATCATGTTAGCATCGCGATTCAAATCGACTGGGGGTAATAATATGACCAAAGAAAAATTCGAAAAGCGACGAAACGTACCGATCCGATTAACAAAGGCTCATCCTTCCGGCCAGGAGAGAAGACTCTCCCGACAGCGGACACTTCAAGTGGATCGCCGACTGGCGTGCCTGTTCCATGACACTCGACATATCCAGTGAGATCTGGGCTCAGACCACCAGAGGCCTTGTAAGCCTGTCTAATGACGGCCTCCTGACCATCTGGGCTTGGGTGCGAAATACCACCCGTTTTCCCGTTGGCGTTGAAGGAGGTTCCGCGCACAACTGCGCGGATTGGATCACCCTGAGCAACAGCATCAGAGAGCTTTTTGAGGTAGAGAGCACCGAAACCCTCTGCGCGAGAATATCCATCTGCGGATATATCAAAGGTGTGGCAGCGAGAGGTGGGCGAGACGGCACCGAGCTTGGTGGTGAAGATTTGGTTGTCCGGGCCGAGAATGACGTTGGCTCCGGCAACGATGGCCGCATCGCAGTCTCCGCTGCGAATGGACAACACGGCCAAATGTAAAGCGTACATGGACGCGGAGCAGGCTGTATCAACGACCAAACTATTCAAGCATCAGTATAATTCGAGTCATCCGAACTGAGTGAAACAAACCTGGGCCCTTGGAGGTTGAAGACATAGTTAATTCGATTACTCAAAATTGTTGGACCACCTCCTGTCACGACATAGGGTAGTGTGTGATCTGGGTCTCGATACTGCATGATTTGGTGCTCATTGTTGAAGTTGCCGACGAAAACACCCGTCTTGGAACCGGAGAAGTTCTCAAGGGTTTGACCGGCATTCTCAACCGCCTCGTAAGTGACTTCAAGCAATTTGCGCTGACTGGGATCCAAGGCCATGGCTTCTGTGGCCGAGATACCGAAGAAGGTAGGATCGAAGTTGCGAGTGTCTCCACGCAGCAAGTGGCCACCTCTGGTGTACATACTTCCTGGACGTTGTCCATTGGGGTGATAGAAGCCCTCGAGGTTGATACGATCTTCCGAAAACTCGGACCAGCCGTCTCTTTTTTCTTTCAATAACTCCCACAGCTCTGAGGGACTTTCAACACCACCAGGCCATCGGCAGCCTGACATAGTCACGATCAGCCATGGGAAGGGTATGTGGGTGTGAATACTTACCCATTCCTACAATGGCAATCGGCTCTGGGCACTCAGACAGAGGAGGGTCAGACCCAATCCGTGATCCAGTTTCAGCCATTGTATATGTCAATGTTCTATAAAAATTCAAAAACAAGAAGGGGAGATTGTTCTATAGTTCGAAGGTAGCCGAGAGTTGAATCTTAGAACTTTTTCACCCACGACCTCGATACTTGAGACTTTCCATCCAACTTGAGAGATATTTATATCTGTCAATTGCAGACAGCCGCATCGACGGCGACTTGACTTACGTGCTAATGGTATTTTACCTTACGAAATGATATCTGAACTTGACGATCTTGCAGTTATCGGAGCTTGAGGCTGCTGCATCCGGATTTACGTATAATTGACCCGTGGACTGAATCGGTTATAGGAAGTCTTACTGCAGAGGGCTCCATCGACGTGCAGTGTGTATTATTGTCAATTTTTATTATTTATCTTCATATTTTCGAAAAATGAAAAGAGATATTCATTTTCCAATTCGCATTTTCCATTTCCATCTAATGGCTTCGCCCCATACCCAATTGGCCAAGTGGATGTTGCCATTGCACTATTATAGCTCCACTGTCGTGCAGAGACGGCTTGAAGTGGAATATGACAAGAATCATGTTGATATCTGGAGCCAATTAAGGCAGTGCTGATGTTACCTTCCGCTTCTCGGAGCATTGTCGTGATGCATACTGTCGCCCTCGAGGCTGACAGTTTACGTATATCGCCTGATTCGATTCGGAATACACGAAGTTGCATATATACGAGCATGATTACAGAACTCAGCCCCCAATTCCTACCGGCAATTGCAATAGGAAACTACCCGTGAAGGTCTGAGCATTGAAAGTGGGAACAATAAGTTGCATCCTGACCTCAGGACACTCCCATCTTGAGTACAATAGCGCAGTTTGACTGCCAACCCAGATCCCACTTGAAAAAGAATACTGGCCACCATGATTGCCGAAACCACGCAGCTGCTGCGTTCCAAGCTGGAGCAAAGCCCATATCTATTGGCGGCCTTGGTAGCCGGCTTGTCCCTTGTCCTTCTCTCCACTTGGCTAGGCGAAGAGAGGGCCAAAAGCCATTATCCCCTCGTGGGTGCGGAGCTGAAGTTGCCCCTCTTCAAGGGTATACGACAGCGATGGAACTGGTTCAAGCAAGGCCCAGAGATTATTCACAACGCCTTCAAACAGTTCCCCAACCGCATCTTCACACTCCCATCCCTCGACCGCACCTCGATTGTTCTTCCTCCTCGTTTCTTACACGAAGTGAGAGAAATTCCAGCAACTATTGCCAGCAATTCTCGTGCCACTTCGGATGTAAGCCTTCTCCCACCCAGCCACTCAGAATGTTCCTGACAGAAACAGTTCTTTATTGGCAATTGGACTACTTTGGACTATGACATCTTTGGCCATGCCACGATTGATTCCATCAAAACCCAATACATTGCCAAAATTGGCCAACAGATTGGACGGGCTTCAAACGAAGCGGTCTACGCATTCAACCAGCACTTTGGCCGATACGGAGGTATTTAATTTTCCCTCACAGTTTAGCATGGGTATTCGACTAACCTGTCCATTAGAATGGTCTGGCGTTACAGTCCAGCCGAAGGTTCTGGAGCTCGTAGCTCAGATGGTGGGCAGCACGATTGTCGGCCCTGACATTTGTCGCGACCCAAATTGGACTCCCGCTGTCATCGGCTACGCACAGAACGTCTTCATGGCGGCCGTGAACTTCAAGCTCCTGCCTGACATCGCCCGACCCCTGATCGCACTTTTCACACCTTATATTTACCGGATTCATCGCGCTCGTCGTACGATTCGGAGTCTCGTCGGACCAACGGTCGACCAGACAAAGGCTTGGGCCCGCGACCAGCCTCAAACCTGGAAAGCACACGTCAAGAATGACAACGAGATCACGACTTTGGAGTGGCTGGTAGAGAATTCCAAGCCGGAAGAGGCGACAGTGGCCATGATCGCGCACCGTATCACTGGTGTAGCATTTGGAGCTACCCATACGACTTCCAACACCATTACCAACGCCCTTCTGGACATTGCCAACGATTTTGACCGCTGGGCTCCACCCCTGCGAGAGGAAATCGACAGTGTTTTGGGTGATGCGCCATTGACCGAGATCACGAACGCTCATCTTTCCAAGATGTGGAAACTGGACAGCTTCTTGAAAGAGTCACAGCGTTTCCATCCCCCCTCCAAGTGTATGTTGTCCCTTCCCGGCGCCTGAAAGCATTCTGACCGATCCAAACAGTGTCCGTCAACCGAAAGATGATCCAATCCCACGAGCTTTCCTCGGGCGATGTCCTTCCCAAGAACGCGCACGTCTCCTTCGCAGGTGTTCCCATGTCAATGTCCGACGAGTTCATTAGCGGGGGAGAGGAGTTCGACGGTTTCCGATTCGAGCGTCTTCGCCGTAATGCCGAGACCGATCACAATGGCTTACAGTTCACGTCCTCGTACGCAGGTAGTCTGCACTTCGGACATGGAAAGCACATGTGTCCCGGTCGGTTCATGGGTAGTTTGATTAGCAAGCTCCTTCTGATTGAGCTGCTCAAGCGCTACGACATGAAGTTGCAGGAGGGTGGTCGGCCAAAGAACATCATGTTCTTTGACATGGACATCCCGGACCCCAAGTATGAGGTATTGTTCCGGGACCGCCAAGCCTAGGCATGAGGATGTTGGCCTGACCTGGGCTTCCACCCGTTGGGGGACTACGGGGATCGATCATGCGTGGTTCAACAACGGGGCAAATCCTTCAAGTTTCAGGAGACAGTAGTAGAATGTTTATTCGGCAAAAATCACCTTTAGAAACCATGGAATTCAATTCTTTCAGAGTGCTTCGTACTTTGCAATTTGAAACATTAATATCGCGCTGTGCACTCCATAATTGAGCTCGAAGGTGTAATATTACAAAAGTACCGTACGAAATATACCCATGCCCGTCAAGTACCTAGGTAGTAGAACAACTTGGAAGGAATTGCCATGATTCCAAAGTTGAACTCGTGTTGATTTAGACTTACGGGTAAAAATCCTCTAGGCAAGGGGTTGGCGCTGACCCCTGACGCACTGGATAATGCATTGTCCTACTGTGTGGATTCATTGCCATCCCGTTTCTGCAATCTGCTTCGGGGATCCAAGAAACTCCGGAGAACACCGGCATACTGACATCGAAGCAGGATCTGCAACGACAAATGTACGTCAATGTAAGCCTCATTTGGGACTTCCTCCAATCACGATCGACGCTTACGACCTGTCACTTTGATACCCACCCGCGCACGGCCTGAGGCTCCATTTATCGCCACACGTGCGTCAATCCTCAGGCCTGAGTGATGGATTAAAGTGATTGGCTGCTTCGTATATAATTCTTCAGGGCTGTGTTCTGACCTCGGGACGAGTCGCAGCCAGACCGTGGAGCCATTGGTGGAGACAGAACTCGGGCCAGGGATCGGGCCGGGGGGCCAGACCGTGGGTCGGCCCGGGAGTTCCACTTTAACATTTCAACGTATTATTTCTGAAACATCGATCGGGGAATTGACAGGATTCATCTGACATGAGCAGTAGCTCCAGAGCGATTGTTTATGTGTGATTATGCAATTAGGCGTGCCATGCAGCCAGAATAGAGATAGTCAGGGGTTGGCGATAGCTGGATTGGGAAAAATGTCGCGAAACGGGCGGATTGTGCAGTGAGATGAAGAATGTTGGGAGTATGAGTGGTCGAATTAGCTGTTTCCGTTGGCCCGAATACGAATCGAGTGGGGAATTTATGCATTTCCATGGAAGATATGAGAGCACGTCGAACGTTGAATGTCGCGCTCGGCTTTTGGCAGGAATTGACATTCGTCTGAGATAGGCAGTCTGAAGGCCAACTAGGTATGCACGTTCATGCAGTCAGACCGGTGTCTCAAGTATTCCGTTATCCGTAGCTGAAATAGACATCTTCAGTAACGACGGATGGCTGATGGCTGATTCGGGAAAGGCGCTGCGGGAGGACGGGAGGTGCTGATTCTCTCGTAATCTTCATCGGGTAAATGGTGGTGGCACCATTAGTCTGTTGCGGCCGAGCATGCATCCAGCCATGTAGATTCATGTATTCGAATGCAGATTCACATATTCGACGGCAGGTGCTCCGCAATCCCGCACGTCTTGCAGGGTTAAGCGAGATTGTCACATCAGAGTGGATCGGATCCACATTGCAGACATCAGAGTGAACAGTCTAATCGCTCACAATATTTCACCGGAAAATAGAACCGAGAAGTTGGGTCTTGGGCCGCAGGCGATGTAAGTTGCTTCATGCAGGTCTGTGGATCATGCAGGAGGCTGTGGACTAAACACGGAGTATGCCCGGCGTACGAAGTATACAAAGTCCGAATCCCCTCAAAATTGGAACACCGCTTGAAGACTCCGGACTAATCAGAAAGAACACAATATGTGAGATCACCGAAAAGGAAGATCCTTGCAATGTCTCGTAACGAGAGTCTTAGATTCTATACACTATCTTACAGAAACGAGGGACGGCAAAATATTTGGGGGCCATCACTCAATTGCCTCATGCATTGCAAGCCAGACAGAGTATCATCCTGGAGACAGTCAAGGCAGATACACGAAGCGATTGGTGAATACTTCGCAAACATCTGATCAGGCCTAGAGGCAGACGGCCGAAGTGATATTGCCGATATCGCTGTTTCCTACAAGGTACGCCATTTCAGTATCCTGCCTGTTTGAATCCAACTTTTGATCGAGCAAAGCATGTAAGAAGATGCGGCTCACAGCCGTGACTATCCGACGTGAACAGACGTACGCCAAGCGAGGCTCAAAGACTTGGCCCCCGGTGTGAGCCCCTCAGTCTTTTCCCCGCTTGCACACACTGCATCACAGATCTTCGCTACTCTGGGATACTATACACACAGTTGCTACCCCTTTTCTCTTTCAGATTATTACTAAGATCATTTTGTCATGGCTACTACCAAAGCTGTTGTCGTCGTGGAATTGAAGGTCCCCGCGGTCCGCGATGTGCTTATGCCCAAGGTCCGTGAGGGCTGGGTGCTCGTCAAGGTCAAAGCGGTTGGTATCAATCCCACCGACTGGAAGCACGTCCGCTTCGGAGCTGCGGATATCGGATGCAGAGTGGGCTGCGACTACGCCGGCATCGTCGAGGAGGTTGGACCTAATGTTACCAACTTTGTCAAGGGCGATCGTATCACCGGCTGGATTCACGGGTCGTAAGTATACGAGCACGATCAAAATTTCAAGCTGTTGATCCCTGGGATAGAAACCGAGCCAACCATGAATCGGGGGCCTTTGCCGAGTATGCCATTGCAAAGGCTTGCGTCCAAAGGAAGATTCCCGACAATCTGAGCTTCGAAGAAGCGGCAAGCCTTGGAGTTGCCATCATGACTGTTGTAAGTCAAGCTTGTCGAACGAACTTGAAAAAAAACATTAACACCTATCATAGGGACTCGGCATGTACAAGGGCCTCAAGCTACCATTGCCAACAGAGCACACCAAAGAGCCCACCCCTATCCTCATCTACGGCGGCAGCACAGCAACCGGAATGGCCGGCATCCAATTTGGCAAGCTCTCCGGCCTAACCGTCATAACAACCTGCTCTCCCCGCAACTTCGACCTGGTGAAAAGCCTAGGCGCCGACGCCGTCTTCGACTACAAGTCCCCCACCTGTGCCGCAGATATCAAAGCGCTGACTCAAAACCGCCTGAGATACGCATGGGACTGCACAGGCGAGGGCGCAGAAATCTGTGCACAGGCCATGTCGGACAGCGAGCCAGGTACCTACGGCACCATCATGCCCTCCGACTTGGAGCTGCTGAAGGCTACCAACCCCCAGGTCCATGGCCAGGACTTTGTCCGCGGGTACGATACCATGGGCGAGGATTACTACTGGCTTGGCCAGACGGCTGTGACGCCTGACCCGGAGGATATGCGGCACTATCAGTCATTTTTGACTTTGACTCAGCCTCTTTTGGAGAATGGGAGCATCAGACCCCCTCCCTTTGATTTGAACAGGGGAGGTAGTGGATTGGAGGGGGTGCTGGAGGGTTTGAAGGAAATGGAAGCGGGCAAAGTCAGTGGCGAGAAGCTGGTTTACAGCATTTGACGGAGTTGAATAGATAATTCCTTAGACTTTAGGAATGTCAATTCTATAACCTCTTCAAATTTCCATCTTGTTAGCAAGCATCGTGTTAGAAAAAAATATGGCAGAGCCCAACTTTGGTACAGAGAAGCCGAGTTACACCAGTTGACTATTCACAACTTGGAAGTAGCTTCAACTTCAGAAAATGCAATGTGCAGCTTAAAATATGTAAAGAATGTATTGCAGCTCTAATATAATCTAGCTACAGGCGGAGGCGTTGTTGATGCTCGCGCACCAGTCTATATATCTAACCTAGGCATAGTTGGTGCTCAAAGCGACCTCCTCCTGCAAACTCAGATCGTTACCGAATCGCTCGCAGCTCTTCTGCATTCTCGCATACGCATCGCCACCCAGCACGAGTCTCGAGATCTTGCCCGCCAAGGGACCGGCCATTCCGGTACCGGTGACAGCCTCGAAGATGCGCTCAACCCCCTTCTGAGGATCGCCAGGCTGCTTACCATGGACGGTAAGGAACTTACGCATCACCATTCCCACGGGGTCGTCATAGTGAGGGGCGACAGTTGTTGGGTCAGGGCTTGCGTCAGCCAACTTTGTACCAGTTAGCGCTGATATTATCCAAAGTGGCGAGGATAAGGGAAAGAAAAAAAAAAAGAGAAAAAGAAAGAACTCACAGCCCCCACGAAGTTAGTACGGAAATTGCCCGGCTCAACAATCAGCACACGAATATTGTGAGGAGCGACCTCCTTAGCCAGCGCTTCCGAAGCAGCCTCCAACGCAGCCTTGGAAGCACTATACAAGGAGCAAGCCGGCAAAGGGTCCTGCGCAGCACCACTAGAGATATTGACAATAGTGCCCGAGCGCTGGGCGCGCATGGCCGGAAGGACCGCCTGCAGGGTATACAGGGGGCCGAAGAAGTTCGTAGTCATCTGGAGAGTAGCCTCCTTCTCCCTGGAAGCTGTCAGGGCCCGATATCCGATATCCGATTCTTCCCATTGGTCGGTACTTACGTGATATCCTCACAGGCAGCTAGGATGGAGTAGCCTGCGACATTGACGAGGTAGTCAATGCGGCCGAGGGGGTGGATCTTGGAGGCAATGCTGGCTTGGGACTCAGTCATGTCCAGCTCGATGATGGTGCCTCCTGCTTGCTCGATTTGCTGAACCGCTGTGGCGGCCTTGGTCTTACTGCGGACGGAGCCGATGACACGGTGCCCCGCACGGAGGACGTGAAGGCACATCTCTAGGCCGAAGCCATTGGAGGCGCCGGTGATAAGCCACACGGGAGAAGTCATGGTGAGGGTGTCAGATGTGGGACGGAAGAATTGTGTGAGGAAGGGGAATAAATTTGAATGAGTCTCTGCTTATGCCCCACTTTATAATCCGAGTGTTGTCCACGGGTGTCTTATCGACTTACGTAGTGCAGTGGGCCGTTTCCTTTGTTTGACGTTCAGGGCAGTTTGACCCACGGAGTAAGCATCTCGGGATTCCCCCGGCCTCCGATCCCGGGAAAAGTGGGGCTTTCTTTTCTTTTTTTATTGTTTTTATTGTTTTTCTTTTTATTTCTTTTTGTTTATTCTGTTTAGTATTTCGGCTATTTTATTTCTTTTGGGAATATGCTTTGGAATATGCTTTGCAATATACTTTCAGCATAATGCAATTGTCCCGTTATACTTCCGCGATCCATGGATTTGTTTTCGTTTTGTATACTCCCGTATGTTTGGTATCATAACACACGATTACTCAAATACCATTATAAACGGAGTAGAACGCTAGGGGTCAATGCGATTGTCCTGCACCTGGGCAGCCGAGAGCTATCGAGCTTGGCAAGGCACACTACCGTAAATGCTGATCTACGAACCTTTCTACCCATATCAAACTCGCCTTTAGCAAGCGGCCGCATTCCGTCCTACCCATTGAATCTCCATTGATCGGCTAAAATCTTCATATTCAGTTATGGATCTCGACACAGAGGTTCTGATCATAGGCGCGGGGCTGTCCGGTCTCGGGCTCGCAGTCCAGCTAGTCCGCCAATACGGACATAGAAACTTTGAGATCATTGAGAAGTCCAACCACATTGGAGGCACTTGGCTAGCAAATTCGTACCCTGGCTGTGGTGTGGATGTATGAGGCCCCATTATGCATGTTTGTGTTCCCTCTAACGAACTCGCAGGTAGCAGCACATTATTACTCCTACTCGTTCTGCTTGAATCCGAACTGGTCCCGGAAATTCCCGTTGCAGCCAGAAATCCTCGAGTACTTCGAGAGTGTGGCTGCCAAGTATGATATCGAGAAGCATGCTCGGTTCAACACCGTTGTCAATTCGGCTCATTGGGATGAGTCCTCGCGTACGTGGCTGGTCACTGTCACGGATGTGAAGGCATCCAAGACGTACCAGCGGCGGTGCAAGATTTTGATATCCGCCGTCGGCATTCTGTCGATGCCAAATCCGTGTGATATCGACGGAGCCTCCTCGTTCAAGGGACCGCTGTTCCATACTGCCCAGTGGGACCACTCATTGGACTGGAAAGACAAGGAATTGGTGGTAATCGGTTGGTGCCCTTTCCATTTCGCATGTATAAATCGTCTAATACCCAAAAGGAAACGGATGCAGCGCAACTCAAGTTGTCCCAGCTGTCAGTGATCCAGACAATGGGCCCGTCAAGAAGGTTACCCAATTCGCCCGCCAGGCGCAATGGATCTTCGAGCGCCCAAATCCAGTGTATTCAAACCGATTCCGCTGGACGATGAAATGGGTTCCACTCGCCATGCGCGCCTACCGCGCCGTGCAGAATTACTACGCCGAGCTCGACTTCTATAGTTTCGGCACCGAGAGTGGCGCCGAAATCCGCAAGATGTACGCGGATTACCAAGGCGCGTATATCAAACGGACTGCTCCGGCTAAGTATCACGATTTCCTCATTCCCAAGACCGAGGTTGGCTGTAAGCGTCGTGTGATGGACTCGGACTACTTGGACTCTTTGCATCGAGATAACGTTGAGCTGGTGTATCAGGACCCTGTTCGCGAGATTGTCGAGAACGGGGTGCTCACTGAGTCCGGGAAGCTTGTGCCTGCAGATGCCATTATCATGGCCAATGGATTCCAGGTTCAGAAGCCATTGCTCTCTCTCAATCTCTTTGGAAAGGGGGGTGTTAGTGTTGCCGAACACGTGAGTAGACGAAATCATTGAACTTAATGCGCTGTCGCTAACATTTCCATTATGAAAATAGTGGGATAAGTTCAGTGAAGGGTCAGCATCGTCCTACTTCGGCACCTGTCTTTCTGGGTTCCCCAATTTCTTCATCATGATGGGCCCCAACACTGCCAGCGGCCATGGCTGCGTGACTTACACCACCGAGTGTCAGATCAGCTTTACCCTACGTGCTATCAAGCCCGTCTTGAATTCCCTGAAAGCCCAAAGGTCTCTGCTACCCGTGATAGGGTGGAAGGCTGACACGGTCACGGTGAAGCCGGAGGCCGAACAAGCCGACATTGATAACGTTCAAGAAATGGCTAAAGGGCTGGTCTGGTCTTCGGGATGCACTTCGTGGGTCTTTGATGCACAGTCAAAGAGAAATACCACGATGTACCCTGACTTCCAGTACAAGTATTGGTTGAGGAGTGTCTTCATTCCGTGGAAGGACTTTGATTTTTCGGCGCCAGTGTCCGGCTCTTCTCGCCCATTGGGGGTTGCAAGCTTGATGGCTGTGTCGGCGGTCATTGCTGGTGTGGGATCTCTTTACATCAAAGAATTTGTTTAGTCAAAAGAATGACCTCGGGACTACAGACACCCAATTTTTACTAAAAGAACCACACCAACCTCTAAGATTGAATTTTAAATTGTGCCCTGAAAGTTCATTTATGGCACCCGATCCCCTCTCAATTCCCCGTCGCTTCCGGGCAGATTGAAAGACATCGACGATGACTGGAATAGGGTTGTTCTTTTTGAAACCGCTGCTTGCGTCTTCTGAAGCCAATAAAGTAGAGAACCTGCCTCTTACAGGGTCTTAATCAGAAAATGGGTCTGCCAATTCGTTATTGATCAAAACATGGTCCACCTGTCTACCTAAGGGCATATAGAAACAGAAGAACGCCAACCATCTGAGCAGGAGTATCACCACGAACAGATTATTCAAGCTTATACAAGAAAAATGTACACAAAAAAGCACCCAAGATACCAATCGACCAATATATCAGCAGGGAGCGAGAGTGATGAGTCGTAGGAAGGTCGGGCCGGGCGATCGGCGGGGGAACTGCCTCTGTCACAGTGTTGGCGTCAGGCTCGAATGGGCCACCGAATCGATGAACGAGGTCATTCAAAAGGGGCCTAAAACGATCCATGGTCTCTTGGAAGCTAGATGGCTCCTCCCATGGCACTTCAAGAGTGTCATGAGCTGCGGCAGAATTAAATCGGCGGTGGGCGGGATACTTGCGATTACAAGAGAGGCAGAAATTGGAATCTACACAAACTTGACAAACCACGCGCGTTCCACGAATCAAGTCTTCGCATATATCGCACAAGAGGTCGCGATATTCCAAATCATAAATGTGACCAACAAGTCCCAAGCTCGATTGAAATATAGGGGAAGCAGTTTCAACATCATCTGAAAAGAGTAGGTAGTGACCAAGCTGCTGTACAAGGGCCCAAAGAGGTCTCGTGGGATCCAACGTGGAGTGTAGCAGTGTGTTTGATAGTTGATGAATGGAATGTCGGACCATCGTACTTTGCTCCTCTTGATCGATTTGTGTAATTTCCGGAAAGAGCTGGTGTAGTCGGGCAATTAACGGAGGACAGTCTGTTGCCCAGTCCAACGCGTTCCTGCCGTACCCATCCCGGATGAGAGGGCTGGCTTTAAAATCAAGCAGAGCGAGAGCGCAATGGACATGGCCATGGATGATAGCTAACTGGAGCGGGGTTCTCAATAGTATATCTTGGGCATCGATCGTAGAGGAAAAGCAGGGGAATTCCTGGAGTATAGGTAATAGGCCCTTTGCAGCAGCGATGTGGGAAGGAGAGCGATGAAGTTGGTCGAGAAAGTCGGGATTTGCACCGGCTTGGAGAAGAATGGATATTTGAATAGAGGAAGCTGCGTCAACGGCAGCAAGTAAAGCGGTGCCGTGTTTACCACCCTGGGCATTGACGTCGGCCTGGGCATTCAGCAGGATTTGCACTATCTCCGTGTTGCCGGAAAATGAAGCGGCCTGCAGGGCATTGCCATAATAACCACCCTGGGCATTAACGTCAGCCTGGGCGTCTAGCAGTATCTGCACTATCTCCGTGTTGCCGAAATATGAAGCGGCCTGCAGGGCATTGCCGTAAAAGCCACCCTGGGCATTGACGTCGGCCTGGGCATCTAGCAGTATCTGCACCATCTCCGTGCTCCCGGACCCTGAAGCGGCCTGCAGGGCATTGCCATATTGACCACCCTGGGCATTGACATCAGCCTGGGCGTCTAACAGTATCTGCACTATCTCCGTGTTGCCGGAATATGAAGAGGCCTGCAGGGCATTTTCGAAGTGACCACCCTGGGTATTGACGTCAGCCTGGGCGTCTAGCAGTATCTGTACTATCTCCGTGTTGCCGGAATATGAAGCGGCCTGCAGGGCATTGCCATATTGACCACCCTGGGCATTGACATCAGCCTGGGCGTCTAACAGTATCTGCACTATCTCCGTGTTGCCGGATAATGAAGCGGCCTGCAGGGCATTCCCGAAGTTACCACCCTGGGCATTGACGTCGGCCTGGGCATCCAGCAATGTTCGCACCACGCTTCTCTTCCCCTGCAGTGAAGCCGCATACAGCGCAGTCCCCGATGGGCCCATCCCCACATTAGTACTAGTAGCCCCTTCACTCAGCAGCCAGATCACGAAATCGACATTGCCGCGGCCTGCAGCCTTTATCAGTGCCGTTTCACCATTATGGCTAGTCGTTTCCAGTGCTGCTCCTTTCTCCAGCAGAAATTTGCCTAGGTCGACATGGCCCCATTGCGCCGCTGAGTGGAAAGCAGTATCCCCATAATCATTCACTGCGTTAAGCTTCTCATTGTCGCAAGCGAGAATGGCCACTATATCAGTCATGTTGGCACGCGTCGCCGTATGCAGCACGGTAGTCCCCGCTGGCGGGCAAGCTGCCCCGAACAGATCCAAATCTCTATAAATGCTGACCCATTTCTCATTCACTTTCTGTAGGACTCGCGTTTCTTTCTCTAGTCCAAAAGAGCGACTCTCAGCCGCCTTTTCTGCGTGAACCAAGAGATTCAGTGTCGCATAACTCAAAAAAGGCGCGCTTTCGATGAGCCTTTTCTTCCATTCGTCTATTTTTTCATCCACTTCGCGTGCTATTTCCACTCTTGTGAGGTAGAATAGACACGATCGGTACAGCATTGCCTGGCATTGGCATATGATCATTCCATTCTCGACTGGAGTTGCTGCACTGCCAGTCAATTTTGAAAACAAAGCTAGCCCTGTGGTCCGTATGAATTCGTGCACTGTCTGGTGGACAAATTGTACAAATTCGCCGCCATATTTGCCATGAGCAACCTCCACGAGTCCGCCGGAAAGTGCTTTGGTCAAGCGCCGCATGTTTTCATCAGTAGGGATAGGCCGGTTGACATTCTGCCGCGGGATGCTTGTTTCAGTGGCTGCGACATCACTTGCCGCCAACGCGTACCGCATTTCTGCCACTGTGAGTGGTCGCTCAGCCAACACCACCCACTGCAGAAACTGAAATGACTGCACTCTATCATCAGGATCGATCACATCCTCCAGTATGTATGTATACGCGTTCTTCAAGTCGGCAGGTACATCACGCAGCCAATCATGGATATCCTCAGGAGACTTCCCCTTTCTTATCATACGGCGGATCAGCGGGATCACAGTATGGGCCCACTGAAAGACCCCCTTTGCTTGTTCAATCAGCGTTTTCCTCAACGCTTTCCACGCTTCCAGTTGCGATTCGTACGTAGCGAAGAGGTCGTCGGGTAGATGGTCCATTATGTATGTCGCGATATCGTCGTGATTATGCTCCTCCGCCACGATCTCCACTACAACAGAAGTAGGCACAGGGACCACAACTGGATAGTGGCGACAGGAGATGCATATCCGGACCATAGCTGTACTGTTTACCGCAGTATTGTTGAGCTGGTGGAAAAAGTCTGCCAACTTCCCAGCGTCTGTCTCACCAGCCTCATCCAGGGCGTCGACGAAGATCGTCACCTTCTGCTGGGTAGCCAAGTTGAGAACGGCCTTTCTAAACAACTCTTGCAGCTGCACTTGCGTCCACTCCCAGTTGCCTCCACCAAAGTCCTTGCATCTTTCCAGGTAGGCCTCACGAAGTTCAGAGCAAGCATTCGGATAATATTTGAGGATCTGGACCAATAACGACCGAACCATACCTAACGGTGTGCGCTGTAGCTCTGTGCCCCGCGCCGAAAAGAAGAACTCCAGCAGCAGGGAATCCCTTCCATCTGATGATTTGCGAAGCTTCCCATGCAGGAAGGCCATCAGGGTTGATTTCCCTGCGCCCGGCTTCCCTTTGATCCATAGCAGACCGCAGTCCTGCTGCCTCCAGGATTTATATCCTTCGAGCTCCAGAATCCATTGGCAGGTGTTTTGGTAACGAGGTTCGATGCTCTCTCGCCGATTCAACATCTGGGGGAATGCCAGCGAACGGATGATCTCTGTAGTGGTCATTAGCAACTTCATTGCTCAAAGCATACACTGCTGTACAAACCATCGTTGATATTTGCCCGGCCTGTGGTTTATTAGTAAAAGGATCCTTCACTCAGGTTACACCACACCCGGCGGGTGGACTAACCTTGTACTCGTGCATCCTTGAGGATTGAACTGGGATCATGGCCATAAACTGTTTTGTCAGCACTCTAGACGCAACAGCGATATTCTCCAGCTTCACTTACAGTTGTAGTTATGTTGATTTCCGCTCGAGTTGTTATTGTTTTGGTTCCCATCCCCGGTCTTGGCGTTTAGTGTGCCGTTGCCCTGATTGTCGAAAGCCCCAGGGTGCGGCGGGTGGCTCATCGCGATTCCGACTATTATTCAGATGGGCCAAAAAGTCATAGTTTATTCTAGCAAACACAGTCTTGAAAGGAGGCGTGGCATCCAGGAGTGAGATGGGTGTACAAGCACAAGCTCAGTTGGAAAGGCACGTGCGGGGTGGTGGGTACGCGGGAGGACTGTCCCTAGGCGCCGGCCCCTGCTCATCCGATCTGGGACATCTTTCTTGGCTTTACCAAGGCCAGGCTGGCCCCGGAACATTAGGAAAAAGAGCATGCATTTGTGATATGGAAAGCGGCGATTGGAGCGGGACCCCCTGTACCCCTGTCTACGGTGGGGCCAGCCCTGGAGACTCGGATGCCGACCCGCTGACTCTCCTGACCGCCTCACAAATGTTATTAAATAGAGCACGTTTTAGGGTATGACCAGTAAAGCTAAAATCTATAATGAAGTAGTCTACCCCGTAAGAGAAAAAAAAAATCGGTAGAATTCGAGAGGGCGGGCTAGCATCTGTGGCCCTCTTTTACCTGGCCGATCTATCAGCCCCAGCTGAGCCCAAAAGCGCCCAAAAGCGACACTGCATGTGACGGCCTAACTAGCGTGCATTAGCGGGCTGATCGCACTCAGCTCGTATGTACCTATATCGACATGACCCCATACACCCGTCTCAAGGGCTTCGGGTCTCGAGAATAACCTTGGAACAAGAGGTCGATGATCATTCAACTGTAATCAGTAGATGTGAAATTCAGCTTCTAGTACTCCGTATATACTAGGAATCTGAAGGTTAGTCAGATTGGGCTATCTTCACTACCCTTGTTGCGGCTGCGTCGCGGGGGAATGGACGTTATGAACCTCCCCATTGAACTGGTTTCCCGACCCATTGTTGTTGTTCTGATTTCCCTTCCCGGTATTTGCGTTGATGTGGCCGGATCCCGAGTTATAGAACGCATAAGAATGGCGGTTCTCCGGCAGAGAGGGCAGTAACGCCTCGACCTTCCGCAATGCTTGCTCCAAATCTTCCAGATTTGCACCAATCACGTCCGCGAAAGGCGAACTCTTAGCCAGCTCAATCGCGGTTGCAAGAATACTCTTCATCAGAGCTTCTAGAGGCTCACCCTCGGCAGCCTGTGGGTAGCGCTCTTTCGCATTGGATTCGAATATGACATCTTGGAAAATCTTGTCCAGTCGGATCGCTTTTGTCTCGCAGCGCTTTATATTCTGACACATTTTCTCCTCGAATTCAACGTTGTCGAGAGATGAGACATGGTTCTTGCAGGAATGGAATGCCCCGTGAACAAGTGGAATATGAGCGGCGACCTCAACAAACACAGGTGGGAGAGCTTCCGAATTGAGATCTCCCTTGGTTGAGTCTTTGGTCTTTTCAAGGGCGTTTGTGATATCGCCGAGAGCATAACTGACAACTCTATTGGATGGCCCCATCTTGTCGGCTGTCAAGGTAAAATTCCAGCCTTGAAATCAGACTCAAACGGAAGTTGAAGGGGCGATACAGATTACAAGTTTTCTCAGGGATTCGAGGCTGAGCAGATCATGCAAAACTTGCGCCTGGCGACATGATATTCTGTACGGGGCAGGCGGCCCTACTTGTAGCCGCCCCTGTCCCCGGGCCTCTTGCCCTTACCCGATTCGATCTGATCGTAGCCGCCACTACTCCGTGGTTCGCTGTGATTCTTGATTCACAGTAATAAAATGCATCTTACGGACACTTTAACAAATGAAGGTCCACTGGCTAGAGTTACGAACAAGTTGCAAACAGTGTACGAGCAGTGGACTTTGGCTGCAAAGGTCAAAAAAGACATCAACGACAGACTGGCGAGCATACTCCGTACCATACTCATGAACACTACGCGCTCATAAAATCGGCCAAGCGGGTCGAAGCTGAGAGCCAGCTCAAACTGACCTATGAAGGTACGCCAGATCATCGCGATACGGAGTACATACTGTCCAATTGTATCATGCATCACACTCCACCGCACTGCATGAGGAGTTCACAGCGGGAAATATAGACTGAGCCTCTCCAGAGTCCAGCCTTCTAGTACTTGAAATGATGTCACAAACATGGAGGTCATGCTGTATAGTAACGTATGCGATGTTACAGTAAAATAGCCCAGTCTCCCAGTCTGAGCCTCGAAATCGACATTTGGACTACGGTTTTGCTTTTGCCTCAATCCATGGATGCAGGTATTCAAATAAACGACAATTTTCGTGCCTACAGTATGGCCTTTGCAAATAAATTCAACGGGCTCATCGAGTGGGAAATATGATACAAGAGAAGTATAATAAGTGGGAGAGTGAACAGACCTGAGCATATTCTGAGCCTCAATAATGTATCTGGCACAGTTCAATTCCTTCTGAGAACCCAGCGTCTGATTCTCCATTTCAATCATGACTGGGCGTCGTGGCACCCGAAGGTCCAATCGCTTAGACCCTGGTCTCTGGATCCGACTGTGAACCTGGGTGCAATATGCGTCTCCACCTGCTCTGAACTGAACATGCTCTGGGGCTTTTACGGTCGCCATCACATGCCCCGCAATTCGAGCGAAAACTTCTTGCCTTGGCGAGACATATTTCTGCCAGTCTTTGGACAACGCGGCTCTTCCGCTTGGTGCTGAAGTCAAGCGCGCCCTCGTATCCCGCATCGATCGCTAAGTCCGACCTACTGATTGCATCATCGCGCATCGTCCGTGGGCATTTGCAATAAAAATTCTAGTAAAGATGAAAAGTTTCAAGAGCCTGTCAGGGCTCCTCAGACGGGAATCCAAGAACCGCCAATCTCAAGAAACAAACGACCAGAGCCCAATAGTGACCGCAGCGTTCCCAGATGGACTGGAGGTGCTGCATGACTATTCCGATGCGGCGCTCGACATCTGCTTCATTCATGGGTTGACCGGAGATCGACGGACAACCTGGACACCAGATCAGCAGCCAGCACCATGGCCACAGACACTGCTTCCGTCGCATGTCAGCAAAGCTCGCATATTGAGCTATGGATATGATGCATATTTTGCACGAAAGTCGACCGCGTCGTGTAATCGGGTCATCGACCATGCCACAAACCTCTTGCATGACTTGACTACCGATCGGGCGTCTTGTGGTGCCTCGTCCAGACCTCTGATTTTCATCGCCCACAGCCTGGGAGGTCTTGTCACCAAAAAGGCAATTCTGCTTTCCCGAAATAACCCCGAGGCCCATCTCCAGGGCGTGTTCAAGTCCACGAAGGCCATCATATTCATGGGCACGCCTCACAAAGGATCTTGGATGGCAAGCTGGGCCAAAATCCCCGCAGCAACATTAGGATTAGTGAAGTCGACAAATCAGTCCTTGTTCGCGGTACTGCATAGCGAAAGTCAATTCCTCGAATCTCTCCAGATCGAATTTCTGGCACTGATACGGCAGCTGCGTGAGGCTGGCAGAGGTCTCGAGGTGACCTGCTTTTTCGAGGAACTTCCATTGCCGCTGGCGGGACAAGTGGTGTCGAAAGAATCGGCGACTCTGGATGGATATAACGCCATCAGTATCCATGCTAACCATAGTAATATGGTGAAGTTTGGGTCTTCGGAGGAGAATGGATTCAAAAGATTGGTGGGGGAGCTCCAGAGGTGGCAATCGCAACTCAGGTATGTTCTCAATGAGATATGACAATTACGAGGTCAACAAAAATCACTGACTCGCGCTCGAAAGCAGGGATGTGGAGGCCAATTCAAATTCACCTCACTCAACGAGTAATGAGTCGGCTCAGAGATCAGATTCCTTGCAACCCAACCCAGCGACTGACTCGAGCTACACATTTTGCAACAGTGGCAGCGGATGGATCAACAGCAATGTTGGCTCGGGACCTCAGAACAACAACAATGGCACCGGTAATCAGTTCAACAGTCCGATCCAAAGTCTGGTGCTGCCGTCAGTGCAATCCAACAGGTGAGGATCTGACTATTGTGATTGCTGCGTCAGAGAAGTAATCTTCGTCCGCTTTGTTTCAATCTCAGTGACTCAGTTGCTAGATGTAACGGTTGAGTCGCGCAACGAACCGCCCCCACATCCCATACATCACCCATGCTATAGGCCAATCAGCTAAATCCACATGAGAAGTTTTCAAGCAGTATTTCCGAATTAACATGATCAAGAGATAAAAATAAAACAAAAACATACAACAGTGAGGATTCGCTGGTGGTCACCCACCCAACTACTAACTCACCGGCGTGTGGCTTAAGTACGGCTGAGCGGACGGGAAGCCCTGTTTTCCACACCCTGTGGTCGTATGTACTATATCAGACCAATGAAAGGGTACATATCGACAAGTATCACCAACTCACCGGCTTAAGAGACGATGGCTGCTTTAATCTCATAACACAAGGGGTGAGTAGGGTGAGTTTCATAGATAGGAAGGTAGAGTAAGATTTACAGTCTCGTATGACGAAAGCACGTCCCGGCTCAAGATTGACTACGCCGAGAAGGATCTCGCGGGACTCAGTGGGCTAAGCTAACTTCAGTCTTCATGTCATGAATGTTGTCAGAGCGTTGCGCTTTCTTGTTTCAACGAGGTGCAGTGACCTGTGGTTACCCTGGATTACCATTACTGTGCTTGCCATCTGCAAGGTTCGACTCTCCTCCTGACTCTGCTACCTGACTTTCCACTCGCACCTTCAAGTTATACTTTGGGTCACACGTCGCCGAAATCTGCAGGTTGTGAACGAGTCTATTCTCTCTCAGTTTTCGTGCCCTTTATGAGGCTCCATACTCCAACCCACCGCCTCTCGTCAATTTCCTTGTCTCCTCTGGAGCTTGGAATATGTTGGGATAGACCACTATCCCGGGGAAGGAGAGAGTAAAGCTGACTTGATTCACTTCTCTGATTCACTTCTCTGATTCACTTCTCTGATTCACTTCTCTGATTCACTTCTCTGATTCACTTCTCTGATTCACTTCTCTGGGGAAGAAAGGAAGCTCTCTAAGAGTGAACTGAGAGCTAGAGAAGAAAGGAGAGAGAGAGACTGCTCTGGCGACTACAGATTCTCCCCTCGTCCCGTGCTCTCCATCACAATTTCTGATCATCTGATCTATACTGCTTCACTCAGTCCTCGGTTTGCTTCGACGCTACACTCGCCGTCCGGACTACTCAGGTATCCGGTCTTGTTCAGGCACGTTCAGTCATCTCATGACATGACACCCTCGAAGTTTTGACTTGAGATCTCTCTGCGTCTCTCTTTCGTGTGACACGTCATGGACTATACGACAAAGTTGCGGTCCTGATCCTTCATTGGGTAAATGATGATATAGGCATGGACCTTATCGAAAGTGTTGGGACAACTATCCAAGGCTGAGAGAGAGAAGACTGATTCATTGACTACTCTGAGGAAAGAAAGAAGGGAGGGAACTAGCTGAGGGAGAACTGAGAGCTACACACACCGGGGGTCATGTGCCCTAGGGCATGACTCACGACGGAACGTGAACTCCTCCAGCAGTTCCAAACCTTGGAAGAATTTACAGATTCCCGAGGTCGACACTCAGACTTCCGTCATTCCGCTAGTCACTACACAGCTAGACTTTACCAACTATCTTGACAGCTGGTTAAAACAAAGTCAAGGACACCGATCTTTGCGAATTATAATCTACTCAGGACACGCACGCTCAGGGGGCACGACAGATACCGACTGGTTTCTAGGGTGAGTTCGACAGCGGGGTTTCACTTTTGATATTTTTACTAACAAACTGACTATAGGGGCCGAGTTGGCTATCGTGGCCAACTGCAAGGACCGAAATTAAATTGGTGGATGGTCCGAGGCACGCTAAACACTTATCCTGGCGAGACTTGCGAGACTTGCTACATTTTCGATTGCTGCTCCGGTGGATCTCTGTCGCTTGGAGACCACGGTGGGGGTGAACTCATCGTTTCTTGTGGGAGGGCTTTGCTACCGCGGAGCACGCTTTGTCCTTGACACAAGTCTTGCTCGAAACCCTCCATGATATGTTTCCCACATCCTGTGGTCGTATCCATGGATGTGCTTGAATTCACAATTTCGTTGATGATATACTCTTTTCCCATAAGGATACCTAGGATATATGTAAGAGAAATCAGTGAGTTAGTCTAATCCTTCTCTGTGTTATCTCCTAATTAAGCTCTCCAGGGCTGCCTCCAGGGCTGACTCTGCACCTTGATATCCCACCTAGACAGGACTACTTCTCACTAAGGATAGCGCGTGTATTATTCTGTTGATACTAGCAATAGATCTGAACAGTCTTAGCTTCCTCCCAGCAGGTGTTTTTAACATCCGATTTTCCATCAATGAGCGTTGCGGTGTAATGATCCCCACACCCCAAGGCCTTCATTCCTACCTAGGTACATAGTCTACTCCGTACTGTGCCACTTTTTCTAATTCCATCCTCTCCATGAGCTTCGTCTATGCAGATCCAATGATATCGGACGCGATTTTCTCTGCCAAAGCATCTTGGATGCGTCAGTTCACAGACTTCAGACTGCGATGAAAATCAAACTTACAGACAGTGCCCATCGGATGACCCGGTGGGAGAAGCGGGAAAGCAGAAGCATCGACAACCCTCAGGCCCGAAACACCATATACCCTCGCCTGCGAGTCAACAACAGCCATGGGATCGTCCGACCGCCCCATGGAACAAGTGCACGAGGCGTGGAAAATCGTCAAGAAAGTCTCCTTGATAATCTGCTCAAGCTCTGCATCAGTCGAAGAGACACGGGGACCGGGAAAGGCCTCCTCGCCCTGCAGGAACGGTCGGACAGCGGCAGTCCCGAAGAACTCGCGCGCACGCTTGTACCCGGCCACGGCCACCTCGACGTCAACTCGGTTGGAGAAATATTTTGGGTCAATGATGGGTCGCACGGAATTATCAGCCGACGCGAGTGTGACGCTTCCGCGCGATTGTGGCATGCCCAGCGCCACGCCCATGGTCACATAGTTGGAGCCATCGTGCGGATCACTGCCGCCTGAAATATTTTGGTACCCGAGATAGCCCGCAATGGCCAAGTATTCGACTTCAGGCCAGTCGGCCGGGTACTGGTCCAGGGTGTGACGCGTCTCGGCAGACAGCATGTTGTTCCGCAGGGGCTCTGGGAACTTCTCCCAGCCTAGGACGTCGTTGGACGGGTTGGTTAGCATGCCCGATGCATGTTCCTGGAATTGGCGACTGGATTCGGCGGCGAAGGTGGCATTGCCCAGTGAGGATGTCGTCTCGCCATTGACTCGGTAGGAGGGGCCAAAGTAGAGATGGTCCTGCATGTTTTGGCCCACGCCGGGCCGGTCCGCAATAACGGGGATGCCCAGCTTTTCCAGGTCCGCGCCCGGCCCGACCCCCGACACCATCAACAACTGCGGCGAGGCAAACGCGCCTGCCGACACGATGACTTCTTTCGTGGCCGTCAGTGTATACTGGGCACCTTGGGTGTCCACCATGACTCCGGACGCTTTTTTACCGTTGTTTTCCGGGCCGAAGATGATCTTCTTGGCCATGCTCAGCGAATACACGGTAAAGTTGGGGCGATCCAAGGCGCTGCGCATGAAGGACGTCTCTGACGAGTCTCGTGTCATGGTCGTCGCATTGATGGTAGACACGACGTACGACTGGCCGAGGAGAGAACCGCTCAGAAAGCCGTCAATAGACGGGATTCCCAGAGCGCGCAGACCTTCGGTGGCCCATGATGCAAACGAAAACGCATAGTTGGAATAGGAGAGCGACAAGGGACCTCGGCAGTCACCCATCACCGAGGGGTCATAGGCTGGGCTGGAGTTGGCGAAGCGAAGCTCCTGGTTGGGCGGCGTGAAGCAGACGCTGCGCTCAAAGTAGGGCAGCAGTCGGTCGAACGTGTAGCTCTGATCATCTACCAGATCAGCCCACCGCTGATATGAGGCATTGGTACCGCGCTGATAGATCATATAGTTTCTGGCCGACGATCCGCCCAGACATTTGCCGCGTGCATAGTGCATTTCAACGTCGAGTGCATCCTGGAATCCCGTTAGATGGGGTCCATACATACAGCTGCGGGTGTCATACCTTTTGCGGACTTGTCACATATCCCCAGTCGATGAGAGGCTGCCAGTCATTCGGGTCTTTGGAGATGTTATTATCGTCCAGCCCTGGGACTTGGCTGTTGTTCCCGTTGCCGATCTCGTAGAATGTGCCAGCTTCGACCACAGCGACAGTGCCGCTCTGTCCTTCCGCCAGACGTGCAGCAATGGTCAAGCCGGCATTACCTCCGCCAACGACGATATAGTCGAAGGTCGCATTTTTGCCGGGGATTCCAAATGACGATCCTAGAGGCCGAATTGCCCCTGCCAGCGTGGCGAACCCAGCCAAATAGGCACCCACGGCCTTGAGACGAAAAGACATTCTCGAGAACACAAAAAACTAGTTCAGGAATCCCTTGTTCAATTTGCCTCCATCGCCGTCGTCCTTTATAGTAGCCAATGTCTACAAATTGCGCCTGGTCTGTGGAGACATCCATAACCCCCAAGTCGAGTGGATTGTCGCCTTGAGCTTCTACTCTTCTCTCTACCAGGATCCTTCAAGGTTTCTCGTCGAATGTTGCCTCAACGGTGTTAGATCGGCGTCGTATCTCGGGGCTGATCATTGCGCCCGATTCCGATCAACTGCGAACATGCTCAGGTGTAATCCAAAAGGGAATATCCTGCTGCCGTGTCTTGAAATTGAAATACGACTGTATTGCACAAAAATCAATAAAAAAATCAATAAATCAAAAGTACCAAAGCCGACTCTCGAGGATATTACGAAGTACCCGCTTCAGAGAATGGGGGCCATTTCCCGCATTCATTCGCAACATATTCCCGGCTTTTTGCTGGAAGATAGTGGAAATGATTCCAGTCCAATCAAAATAAGCTATTAAGTGCCTGTATCGGAGGTTTTATTTTATTATTCTTCATCCCAGTACGGAGTCAGATGTGGAGCCTAATATGCAGCATAATATGCAGACTAGTAACATCCTAATGAGGCTAGAGAAAACGCCTTCGTGCTGCATGTCAGCTGCATATATACCTCGCCTATTCGAGTGTCACGGAACGAAGGACAGTGGACACTCTTGACGAGAAGCTGTCGTAACGCAACCCGTCTAGTTGCATATGCATGTAGTAAGACCTCCGAGAGGAATTGGTCAAGACCGAACTCGCAAAGGCTCGAAGTATAGAGATCTAGCAATGATAAATGAAGGGCATATTCAGCATCAGAAGTTGACCATCTTCATCCATTGACAATCTCTTTCCTTCTCTCCTCACTCAAGACTCCAATCAACATGACGGTCGTAAAGCGTCAAGTAAGGAGCAATCCTCTTTGTCCATTTTACAAGAGCTGATATTCAACAGTCTCTGGTCCTTGACAAAGCTCGTCAAGCACTCAAGCAAGCTGAAAGACTTGTCAGCTATCTTGAGGCAAACAACCTGGAGGAGCCAAACTTCACTTCAAACTCCCCTGCTCACCCCGAGAACAGCGAGTACGATGAGATCCGCATAGACCTCTCACAGGCGGCCCAGGATCTCACCCTTCTTGCCAATGGTCCTCTGCAGTGGATTCGCACGTTCTGCTGCTGTCACCATGATATGGCCGCTTGGCAGGTGGCCTTGCGCTTCCACTACTTCAGCATTGTCCCGCTGGACCGACCCATCTCGGTTAAGGACATGGCTGCCCAGGCACAGATGGATGAAGACCGTCTGCGTCGTGTCATGAAGTTCCTCACCACCCAGCGCTGTTTCCAGGAGATTGAGAATGATCAGTTCGAGCACACGGCTTTGTCCGCCTACATTGCACGAAACAAGGACATTGAGCAATGCTTTGCTTTCGAGTAGGTCCCCACTCATGTTCTTTTTTGCAACAACTAATCAGTACCAGGGCCGATGAAATGTTTGAGGCAGCTTCGATGACCGCTGCCTCTATTGAAAAATCACCTTATACCTCCAATGCTGAGGATAGCGCGTTCAACCTCCGCTTTGGCACTTCCCCTTACAAGTGGTATGCTGAGAACCCCAAGCGTGGTGCTCGGTTTGCCTCTGCCATGGCTGGTTATGTTCAAAGTACGTTCCTATCCTGCACAGCCTTGATCCAGACTAACGTTTCCGACTTTAGTGAACAGAGATACAGCCGAGCTGCGCAACCGCTTCCCCTGGGCCGATCTCGCCAACAAGAAGGTGGTCGACGTCGGCGGCGGCAGTGGCCACATCTCTATTTTCCTTGCAACCGTAAGAGCAATCACCCTCGCTAGGTTGCTTCAGAAACTAACATCTACCATAGGAATTCCCCGAACTAAACTTCGTCGTCCAAGACGTCAACACAATCATGCTCGAGCAAGGCCCCAAGCGAGACGACTTCTCTCTCGTCCAAGACCGCGTCTCATTCATGCAATACAGCTTCTACGAGCCCCAGCCCGTCACTGACGCCGGCCTCTTCTTCCTCCGACAAGTCATCCACAACTACCCTGATGACGTCTGTGTCAAGATCTTCAAGGGTTTTGTCCCCGCTATGGAGAAATGCGCCGCCGACACCAGCTTGCTCATTAACGATATGCTGCTGCCCCCTGCTAACGTGGAGCCCAAGGTTGATGAGCACCACCTGCGCCAGATTGATATCCACATGTTGAATGGATATGCGGCTAAGCAGCGCACTCTTGCTGAGTTTACTCAGCTCTTGAAGGAGGCTGATGAGCGATTCGAGGTAGGTTTTTTCTTCTCTTGGGTGAAGCATCATATCCTAATGTGTGATTTCTGAATAGGTTGTCAAGGTCCATGGTAAGGGTATCATGGGACTTATTGAAGTGCAGCTTCGTTCGTAAACGGGTTAGCGATAGCTGGATGAAGACTGCTATTAGAGAAAGTCTCCGTGGAGAGTCTAATAGTTTCAAATATAGAAATTCAAATCTTAGGTGTACTTCATTGGGTTGCCTACTGCATTGCATCGATCAGTCTCGGTAAAGCCTAGTTTTTGCTACTCGCGCTTCGGCCTTGTTGTATTTCAAATATCAACGAGTCGACTCCCCTTATCTTTGAGCTCTGTACGAAATCCCAAGTCTTCAGACTGGGGGTTTTGGGTCTACCTAAGAATGCGACATATCCTCGACGACAATCATGGCGGGGTCATCGTCTGTTGGAGGAGACATGGTGATGTGTTTCCCGGTAAACGAGCGAATTTGTTGTCAAACTTCTCTGTTCCTCGATGGCATGGGCCGCTATCCGGACAACGCGTCGGCCGGGGGATCCCATCATTCGGGACACTCGACATGGTTGTCTTCCTAGATTCAATACCTAGCTCAAATGACCCTTCATCGCTCGCCAATCCTAGGAACTATCTCTCAGTAATATCTTCACTTGCCGAAGTCTCCGTCGGATTGTTCTGTGCGGTTCGCTCGTTCTGCCATTCACGGAGCATCGAGACAATCTGGGTACCAGAGAAATGATTCTCAGATGCCGCCTCAAGCACAGCTTGAGTTATTGGGACAGAATCTCGCCGGTACTCCTTCAAGACTGTGAAGAAGTCGACATTCCAAAGCGAATTTCTGATAGCGGTTATCATCACTTCTTCTGAAACCTGAAGGCAATTCCCTTGATGTTCCAACAGAAGTCTCAATTTGGCTATCTGGCCAGAGCGATTGGGATCGTATTGTACCAAGTCCATCAAAGCTTGCTCAGGCAGCTGAAAGCTTTCTCCTACGTATTTGATGAGGATTGCCAGAGTGTCGGGATCGGAATTCCCTATTGCTGCTAAGATGGCTTGTACAGGGACTTGAAAGCTCTCTCCTGCGTAATTTAAGAGTCTTTCCAGATTCGATGTCTCCTGTCTCCTTGCTGCTGCTATAATGGCTTTTTCGGAGACCTGAAAGGTTTTTCCTGCGTAGCCGATGAGTCTTTCCAGCATTGAGCTATTTGAATTCCCTGCTGCGTTTGTGAAGGCTTGCTCGGGGATTTGAAAGCTCTCTCCTGTGTGTTTGATGATTGTTTCCAAATTACAAATTCTCGGACAACCTGCTGCCACTATGACGGCTTTTTGAGGGATTTGAAAGCTTTTGCCTGCGTATCTGAGGAGGACTTCTAGCCTTGAGCGATCAAGATTCCCTGCTGCTATTATGATGGCTTCTTGAGGGATTTGAAAGCTCTCGCCTGCGTGTCTGAGGAGGAATTCGAGCTTTGAGACACCCAAATTTCCTGCTGCTGCTATGATTGCTTGTTGAGGGATTCGGAGGCTCTCTCCTGCATTTTTGATGAGTATTTCCAGATTTGGACCAATCTTCCCCGCTGCCGCTATAATAGCTTGTTCGGGGATATGAAGGCCCTTTCCGGTCAATTTGATGAGGCTTCTGAGGGCGTCAGGGTAGCTGTTTTTTGCGGCAGCTATGATAACTTTTTCGGATATTGGAAGACTTCCTCCTTGGTACTTGATGAAGATATCAATAACGCTTGAGTCAATGTAACCTGCTGCTGTCACCATTGCTTGCTCGGGAATTTGTAAATCTTCTCTTCTGTGTCTGAAGAGAGCGTCTATCAAGTCAACCCCATAGTCCCTCTTGTCACTATCGTTCGGGGGAGGAAAAGCCGCTGAACAAGCAATTTCAAAAAGTCCAGACACAAGGACAGGGGCTCCACATTGCTCAAGTATATTCTCCCATAAAATCTTGTTTTTGGGCATTGAACGGAGAGTTCGCATAGCAATTTCAGCCAAAATGCGGGCGATAAATCCCAGCCGTAGGTTGGTATCATTCTTTGGTTCTTGAAAATCGGGTGCGATCTGTCTGAGTTTCAGAGGAGCTTTTGACGTGGACGCTAGCTCATCAACCCCGAGAATGGGTACACCCCATGTCAGAGTAAGATCGTCTCCAGTTGGATGGTGAAGCTGGCGCTCGGGGAGTGTTTCGCTCAAGCATTCGATCTCCTTTCCACTCGGACGTAGACAGGGTAAAATCACACTGAAGTGATCATTGCATAATCTCAAAATACTCAAAGAAGACTTTCCATGTATTTGACATATGAGATCTCCCTCTTGGGCTAACTCTGCACAACCAAACAGGGTCCGCTCAGATTTCCATTTAGGACGGTCCTCCTCGGGCAAAAGATTTGACTCATCTTTTCGTATTTGCTTTATCGTCTCAGCCGAGCGATGATAGTGACAGGCAATTCTCTGCTGGCCAAACCTAACTGAGTCTGACTTCACATGGATAATATGGCCCAGGATCCATCCTTTGGCTTGAATAACGACGGACGCTGTGTCTTCCCATGTCTGTATGTGGCACCCCACAAATATGTGCTGTAAGGTCTCCTTGAGCACCTGGTGCCAGGGGGTGGTGTAATTTACTTGCAAGCCAACAGAACCAGCATCCGAGCTGAGTCCAAGTAACGCATAGATCTTGTCATGCTGCAAAGTAGCATGGTAGCGACGATATAAGCCGAGCAACTCCCCCAAGGGAAGGGCCCCCGGGGAGGCCACATCGAACTTTGGCCGAAAGGGTGCGCCTTTCATGAGAAGTGTGACGGGGCCAACTTCGGTAAGAAAGCTTTGTGGTAGTTGAAGTTTTCCAAGGCCCTCGGAGAAGGCATACGCACTGATCTGAGTAGAGCCACACATCACGTCGACGTGTCGCGCCACGCCGACCTCTTGAAGTACCTGTACCAGAGTATTAGCAATGAGTACTAGATCGTGCGCGACAATTCGTATCCATGATACCTAGGTATCGTCTTACCCAGACACGGCGGAACCAATCACGTTGAAGCAATTTTGAACACGCATGAGCATGCTCTGCTGTAGACTCTTCCAGCGACTGGTCTTCTATGGAGCCATTCATCGATATACCTTCTGGTGCAGCTAGGAAATTAATCCATTGAAGTGCTTTTTCGCCATCATCTCGGCCGTCTCCGAGCCAGACAATAACGCGACCAGCTTTGGCATAGATCGATCCCATGAGCGGGATCTGTTTGGTCTTCTCACTGAACTCGCCATCATTTTCGTTTTGGTTGATACAGATGGCATCAATCCACAGTGTTCTCGCGATCTGACGATCTCGAAGTTGTTGTAGGGCAGCGTACAAATTCTTGGTCACCCCAAGTTCACAGCCATTCACGGTAATCAAGTTCGACCTGATATTGCCTTCCCAGCAGTAGGAGAGAGCTTCGTAGACGTGGGAATTGCCGTCTTTCCCTGATAGGTCGTAGTCGAGCAGTTTGCATTCTATGGGGGCGTTTCGATCGGCGTGTGGCAAGAGGTGGACCATACGCGTCACATCAGGCTCCTCTGGGAGGGGTGGGTAGATAAACTGTACCATCTTGTGGAACAATACAAGTAGGTTTGAATTCTTTGCAAGGTTGTGAGAGTAAAACAAGTGGTATGGAGTATCTCATGTAGTCAAACCGACGAGGCTGAACTACCCAGTAGGCGGGGTACGAGAATCCACCTCTGATGCCTAACGCGTTTACAGATTTCAGATATTGCCTAGATATTCTCATGACTTAGGGTAAATAAAAATGTCTTTTTTAGCTGGCAAAGTTATTGGAGTAGCCTACAGAGTACGAGTAGCGAAGGCTAAATTGTAAAAGCCGGTTTAAATATAGTACAAGTGATGGTTCGTTTCACTTTCTACTTGATGTGATCGAACAGTCACTGTGATGATGCAGGGATATCACCCATCGCAGTGGGAAGCAAACCTAGGATTCATACTCGTTGCTACTCGTCTCTATTGATAGATGAGGGGTTGTCAATCTCTGAAAGTGTGCAACTTCCAGTGCAGAAGGCCGATCGGCATAGTTGCCACTATGTATAGACGGAGAAGAAGTCGTGAAATAAGTGTGATTGGCCTGGAGAGGTACCTGTTTCCAAAGTTAGAACACTAAAAATGTGATGAAGTGATTGTGCACTGCCCTGCATCGAGTGGGCGCTTAGTTCGCCGGTGGTTGGCCCGAGCCACTCAGTGCCACTCACTATATAGCCGCTCCATCGCTCTGCAGGATCTCTGTGTTTGAGATATTCTATTTTCGCTTCATCTATTTTCGTACGCTTCGGCTGGCCCAAGTGTTTTCTTCATATTTCGATCGCTACGTCTATCATTTCATATCTTTGTTGACCAAAGATTCTCTCGTTGCCATATTCCACCATGTATAACACTGCCCGCGCCATGAAGCCAAAGCTCTCCTTGAGCATCTCTGCTGCGCAGAATGTTACGCGACCCTCTCTGTCGCTCAAGTCACCAAGTGCTCTGCCTCGGACGCCCATTTCGCCCATTTCCGCCGCCAGCCCAACTAGCAAGAGGTTCTCCACACTGCAGGTACCAACATATACCTACACCAACTCTTGTTCCTCGAAGAGCATTCTCAAGAAGCAACCATCTTCACGGACGGGCGACAAGCGCATTCAATTTCAAGTAACACCGACCGTCCACTGTGTCACGCCAATTGAGAATCCAGACGAATACTACGGCAAGCACATGAAAATGTCTCGAGAAGAACGGCGATGGACAGTTCGACAATGAACCGGTGTACTTGTGTATGAATGAACTTTTGTCATACTTTCCATTTCTTCGGACAGATGGCCCAAAACCTCCACAGAGACTCCGAGATGTGTCTTGTCGCTCCGTTCCTGTACTGCCTGAGACCGACAAACCGCAAGCACGCCCTTAACCTCAATGTGTTGCCACAGAATGATGCGACAATTTACACTCCCTGTATCAGAGGCACCAAAGGCAACATTGTATTCATATTCAGGCTACCGAGCTCAAAGCGACATTTTGAGCCGGCTTGAACTGCTTCGGGGCATCAACTTTACATGGAAGCAATGATTAAGACAATAATGATGACGTTACGATGGGAAATGGATGTTTATTTTTCTTTTCTTTTTATGAGAGCGAGTTTAACCTAGTCATTCGTTGCAAATATGGAATACCTTTCGCTGTCCAATTGTAAATGCAAAACACTTCGTAGATCCGATTTGGTCCTTAGGGCATCGATCCAGGGCTTCCCCCGGCCCGTGCGCGGATCTTTTCTTCGCCCCGGGCGTCTGGACAAGCATCTCCCCAATGTTATCTCTGACTTCGACCTTGCGCAGGTCCCTGGGTGCGCCAAGGTGTCGGATCAGCCGCCGTGGCTTGCTCACTTTGGCAATCGAAACATCATGGTAAGTGATCGTCGGCGACAAAAGAAAAACAACCAACTAATCGCAAACAGTGATGACACCTCCGTAGCCATCGTGGAGAAAACCAAGACAGCCACCGGAAACGCCGCAAAGATCCATTTCCTCGAGAATGTCACCGCCGACACGCGCGCGCACCGTGGAATCCACCCTATCATCGCCCTCGAATCTCACCAAGAGAGCCTCGGAACACTTGTACAGAAAGCCTTGAACTACCTCCCGCCGTCACAAACAGCAAATGGCTTCAAACTGGCAGACGGGTCCCATCGCCACCTTCCCGATTTCGTATCCGCGACGAGGGGTCCTGGAATGCGATCTAACCTGTCCGTGGGCCTTGAGACGGGGAAAGCGCTGGCAGTGGCATGGCAGGTCCCCATGGTCGGCGTGCATCACATGCAGGCGCATTTGTTGACGCCCCGTCTGGTCTCATGTTTGGAGAACAACTCCAATCCCGACCCCCCGGCCGTGCCGCCCGAACTTCCATTTCTATCGATTCTCGTCTCCGGAGGCCATTCCATTCTGGTCCAGTCCAAACGCCTAACAGAACATAAGATTTTGGCTGCAAGCGAAGATATCGCGATTGGAGAGGCTCTGGACAAATCTGCGCGCGATATTATACCTGCTGATTTGCTCCAGAATGCTAAGAGCACTATGTATGGCAAGACGCTGGAGAAGTTCGTCTTTCCAAATGGTGAGGCAGACTTCGCCGATTACAAACCTCCGGCGACCCGGGGCGACGAATTGGCTAAGCGTGAGAGCAAGTGGGGGTGGTATGTCACCACTCCCTTTGCGAACACACGGACGCTCCAATTCAGCTTCTCTTCGGTATCGAGCATGGTTGGCAAGATTGTTGCTAGGAGGAGCGCTGAGGGCGAAATCTCTTATGACGAACGTGTTGATCTGGGTCGTGAAGTCATGCGTGTCGCTTTTGAGCATCTTGCGTCGCGAACGATCATTGCTCTCGAGATGCTGAGGCCTCACAACAAGGGCAAGGACAAGATACAGACCCTAGTAGTCAGCGGCGGTGTTGCGGCCAACCGATTCCTCATGAAGGTGCTCCGGTCGTTCTTGGATGTGCGTGGCTTCGAAGACATCAAGATCGTTGCGCCACCACCGTATCTGTGTACCGACAATGCAGCGATGATCGGCTGGGCTGGGATTGAGATGTATGAGGCTGGATGGAAGTCCAGTCTCAGCTGCCGCCCTCTGCGGAAGTGGTCGCTCGATCCACAAGCTGACGATGGAGGAATCCTCGGCCCTGGAGGCTGGGTTCGAGAGTGATTGCATGGCGCAGGATTGTACATTAGAAATCATAATACTTTGTATATTAGCGTGTAAGATAGGACCAAGCCAATTCAACTCTACGCAGCGGAACCCGCCAATGACAGCCCCATTGAGAACAAACGTCATATGCATTATTGACATATGTATAGGACCCATAATAATCAGAGACGCCTATGCCATGTAACCTCTGGAACCACGTATCACCCATGCATCCTCCACAGTAGGGTATCGAAGATGCGCCGTTGCAACCCATGAAAACGAACCAAACTCGCGACCGGCCGACTGTGCAATACAAGTATTTTGAGGGAAAGAAGTCGTAATCGTTATGTCTAGCCTCCGACAGGGGGGCCCCCGCGCTGCAGCGCAGCGATCTGTTTTCGGAGCTCAACAAAGAAGTCCTTTCCGTTGCCCATAAAGTGTGCTGTATAGATATTGGTATTCATTCAAATGTGGTGTCTGGGAAGGTACTGTACCTTTAGGGCCCGATGGAGTCGATCGTTGGTTTGGGCCATCCTTGGTTGTGCTTTTGTAGGGCGTGCATGATTTGGTTTCTGTGGCGGCGCAAAGGTTAGACAAATATGGATAAGATACGAGCGAACGAATATACCTCGAGGTCCTGTTGCGAGATTCTGGTTAGCGCTGTGATCGTATACTAGCTTCGGGCACTGTACCTTTCTTAAGGATGTTCTTCACCTCCGCAGTGTTGAAGCCTCGAACTGGAACATGCTGCTCCTGTGGCGGGTTTGACATTCCCCATGCATTATTGTTCTCGCGGGCGCCGCCTTGGCCTCCTGTCTTATCCCGATTCGCGTTGCGCTGTGAGGCCTGACGACTGGGTCCACCCCGCCATCTAAGAAAACAATTAGCGAAGCTGAAGCGAAATGGTACAGTTCGAGCATACTTGTTATCGCTGGGACCACTCATGTTGATATGTGCAGAAAGAGAGGTATCTCCAAGGGATCACTCAGAAAGGAAAGGTGTCAGTCGCATGTCCACTACGGAGGAATTGGATAAGATTTGCCGCCTCAGGCCAACGCGGGTGGTCTCCGCCTTGAACAACCTTGGAACACACCTCGCCTCTCTCTCTCTATTGACTGGATGTGGACTGCGGGCTCGTCGATTTGTTTCTAGTTGGCGCATGACTGTGAGCTATACATCCCAGGCTCGAATTTGAGTTGGTGGCAGACGCGCCCTGAACCCGTCGGATTAACAATCACCAACCCCGACGATCAACATCTACAGGTCCGAAAGCTGGTTCACAAATGGCGCCGAGTGCCCGACATTCAGATTCTGGTCGACCATCACGCAAAGGATCAAGATCTTCCGTCAAACCTGCGCCAACCGGCTCCTTCAATTCCCCCGAGGGACCCCCTGCGAAGAAACGAAAGTACATTCCCGGTGGCCCTGGCGGCGGAGGAAGGTTTATTGAGGTCGAAGCTGCTGCAGCAGCTGCCGCCGCAGCTGAGGAATCTCCAAAGAAAACACCTGCCCCTCGGCGGCCCTCCACAAGTGCTCGAAGCCATCCAACCGAGATGGATCAACCACTGCTAGCCCCTCCTCCACCCCCCATCATCCCAACAACACCTCCGTCGCTGTCGCGTCCCCGGCGCGATAAGAACCAAAATCGCGGTCGTTTCCCCTCCTCCACAGCTGCCGCCCTTGCTCTGCAGCAAGGCGACGGGTATAAACCGCGTGAAGAACGTGGGTGGGAAGAGTTTCACCCGGACCTGGACATTGATGGCCCGCTTGCTGTGTTTACCTCCGAAGAGGTCGATGCACCAGACACCTCCACCCCCAACGTGACCCTGGACTCACTGGCTGGCGCGACGGTTTCAGATCATGCAGGGTCACCGGTGGTCGTCTCAAGTGAAACGGCCTCTCCCATCCCAATTAAGCGCAGGCCCGGTCGCCCGCCACGCCGTCCCGAAGCTATTCTAAATGCGCTCCTCGCCCAGCAGGGACAAAAAGTCATACCGCCTCCGGGTCCCAATCCGCGCGAGAAGTTAACGCTACCTAAGCCTTCATTCCGACCGCGCGATCCATTCACCTTTTATGAAAAGAAGGGCGTTGGCCACCAAAATTATGTAGACCGTACCATGGCCAATGTTGGGTACCAGGAAACTGATTTATTCCTCCGTCATGACCGTCGCTTTATTCGAATGACCGAAGGCACGCAAGAAGATGACCTTGACGTTATCCAGCCTGCCATGATGGAGGGAGACGTCAACACGAGCACTGGACGTGTCGAGTATGATATGGATGAACAGGACGAAAAATGGTTGGACGAATACAACACAAAGCGCCGCGAAGACCAACTCGAGCCTATCAAACCTGCCGTGTTTGAAATAACAATGACCAAAATTGAAAGAGAGTGGCATGCTCTCGAAAAGCGCATACCGAAGCCGAACCCCAAGCCACCCCAGACAGGACGACCTCGCTCAAGCTCTGCCGCCGCCGTTAACGGGGAGACTGTTGGACCCGGTGAAGAGCAGGACAGCAAATGCGCAATCTGTGATGATGGCGATTGCGAAAATTCGAACGCCATTGTGTTTTGCGATGGGTGCGATCTTGCAGTGCACCAAGAGTGCTATGGTGTCCCCTTCATCCCCGAAGGCCAATGGCTTTGCCGTAAGTGCCAGTTGCTGGGAAGAGGCTCCACCAACTGTATATTCTGTCCAAACACAGAAGGCGCATTCAAGCAAACGACCTCGTCGAAATGGGCCCATCTGCTCTGTTCCCTTTGGATCCCAGAGGTTTCAATCGGTAACCCGTCTCTGATGGAGCCGGTAACGGATGTTGAGAAGGTTCCTCGAAGCCGCTGGAAGCTAAACTGCTACATCTGCAAGCAGAAGATGGGTGCATCTATCCAGTGCAGCAATAAGAATTGTTATCTTGCCTTCCATGTCTCATGTGCGCGCAGAGCTCAGCTTTATCTGAAGATGAAGATTGGCCATGGTCTGATGGATTCTCATCTCCTCAAGGCTTTCTGTGACAAGCATGTACCGCCTGAATGGCAGTTGGAGCATGGTACTGATACAGCTACTGCCGATGCCATGGAATACTATCAGAATACCATGCAAGGTCGACGCTGGGGTGATAGCCAAGCTGCTGCATTGTCCATGGGCCCGGCACATCCCGCCGAAGGGGGAGAGGAGCAAAGTACCATGACGCCTCGTCTCACATTAACTGTGGGCGGTAGCAAACGCAAGCGTGTTCCACGAATGATCTGGAAGCTGCCTTCTGGTGCTCCTGTAATTCCTCAGGTCGTACTGAACTCGGTCATTGCCACGCTTGGGCGTTTCACAGTTCGACAGAGAAAACAATACGCCGAAGATGCCTCAAAGTATTGGACATTAAAGCGCGAGGCGAGACGTGGCGCAGCCTTGCTCAAGAGACTTCAGCTCCAGCTGGAGACTTTCTCATCGATGGAAATGACACGCAGGGACTACGTTGCCATGGGTGTCCCTGGATATAAGCGTCTGACACGTCGCATTGAGTTCGGAGACCGACTCTATAAAGATCTCGATAAGTTGAGGATGCTGTGTGACGAAGTCAAAAAGCGGGAGAAGGAGAAGTTGAAGGATAGCGAGATGCTGCGCAACATCACCGACCTGGTCTACTTCCCTATTTTTCCCCTGCTCTGGCCGATCTTCGAGAAAGCCCAACTGTAAGCAACATCCTGTGTTTTGTGAGATGATTTGAATGCTGACTTCGCTCCAGGCTAGATGGAAAGGGTATATTTGCAATGGGCTTGCTGTCGATCCGGGAACGACTGAATCGTCGGTTCTATCCTTCTGTCGCTGCCTTTTCCTCTGACTTGGCCAGTCTTTTCACCTCAGAGATCGGAGTGGAGCCTGCTGGCGACACTGCCGAGCTCCAGGCACAGATTAGCGGCCGTGCGCCAGAGCTCAGTCTGGAGCAGCGCGAGAAGAGAAAATTGGCCAAGCGCATCATCAAGGTCATTCAACCTTCCCTGGAGGATGCGATTCGGAAGGAGAGCGAGCTGAACCGCAAACCATTCGAGAAAGAATTGAAGGAGCTGGATGTGATCCTAGACCACAGCTTGATGTCTCGCGGAGCCGATAGTGTTGAGCCAGAAGGTGACAGCGAGCTGCCTGTCGACACGGATGCTATGGAAGGGGTTGAACAGACTGGCCCTGCAACAGAAGCCCAGTCCGAGGTCCAGACTGCCCAGGATCAGCCGCCACTCGGAGTGCCTGACGCCCAAGGGGTACCATCTACGGAAGAACCCACGAAAAATGCCCCGACATATTATCGACATCCTACGCCAGTCTTGACCGAGCAGGATCAACAGCTCCCTCTGGCTTTGGGTGGTATTCAGTGGTACATGCAGCCGTTTGACCCCGTGGGAACCACCATCCATGAGGAACGATGGACTGGGCGCGACGTCATGCGTGGCATGAGCGAAGAGCTCAGTGATATGGACGAAGAGGAGCTGGAGGGATTGAAGGATATGGTGGATGATGGCAATGTAGCTGGCAAGCCCCCTGCACCTATCAATGGTGTTCAGCCAGCTGCTTCGCAGAATCATCGCCAATCTCGACGTTTGCGCACACGGTAATAATTGGGAACATGAGGCGTTTGGGATTCAGTTTTAGCGCTTTATATCAGCAGTGTATGTGTATTTGTACTTTATAGCCTAAGCTTGATTTCAATTCCACCAGAGTCACTGCAGACATCTACTTAATGCAACTGTTTGTGAATTTCCCAGGCGAAAACGCAATGTCGTCCTTTGTTGGCGCCTGATTTTTCGGGCGATTAATCACGGGTAGCGTTATCACTTCCCGACTTCTTTCTTCTCACTTCTACCTAACACCTATCGTTCTTTTCATCATGGCGGACTACGACAACGATTCTGGCCGTTATGCCGGTAAGTACACTCTATGTTGTTCATGCGCGCAGGTCCAGATACTTACAGAATTGATAAGACGAGCCCCGGTACGATCGCGACCGCAGCGCTTCTCCTCGCGATGAGCCTCGTGCCGACCGCGACCGCGCTCGCAGCCGTTCCCCCAATGGCCGCTCTGATGACCGGTATGTATCTATTTATTCCGTTATATCTCTTCGAATTCTGACCGTTCATCGACAGCGCGCCCATGGCTCGCAAGCCCATCGAGGAAGAAGACGAGGGTGCTCTCAACACCGGTTCCAACCTCTTCGTCACTGGTATCCATCCCCGCCTGACTGAGTCTGACATCTCTCGTCTGTTTGAGAAGTACGGCGATGTCGATAACTGTTCAATTATGCTGGACCCCCACACCAAGGAGTCTCGTGGATTCGGTTTCGTGAACATGGTCACTGCTGAGCAAGCTGATGCTGCTAAGGAGGGACTTCAAGGTGAAGTCATTGAGGGTCGTACTCTGAGCATTGAGAAGGCTCGCCGTGCTCGTCCTCGCACTCCTACTCCCGGCAAATACTTCGGTCCTCCCAAGCGTGGTAAGTCACTGAAGCTCCTTGCGTTATGTCTTGCGTAAGCTGATGACCTTTTTTTTCACAGATGGCCCTGGTCCTCCTGGCGGTGGCCGTGGTGGCCCCCGTCGTGACCGTTACGATGATCGTCGTGGTCCTTCCAGCGGTGGCTGGCGCCGTCGTGACGATGACTACTCCCGCTATGGCCGTTACGACTCTTACAATGACCGCCGTGACTATGGCCGCGATTATGGCCGCGACTATGGCCGTCGTGACTACGGTGGTGGCCGTGACTATGGCCGCCGTGAATCTCGTGACGACTACGGTGGATACCGCGGTGGCGGTGGTGACCGCTACGGTGGCCGCGATGACCGCTACGGTGGCCGTGATGATCGCCGCGGTGGTGATGAGCCCCGTGGCGGCGGCGGCGGTTACTACGACCGTGATGCCAACCCTCCCAGTTTTGACACTGCCGGTCCTCCCCGCGAGGCCCGTGACCCCTACGCTGGTGGCGGTGGACGCTCCTACGAAGGACAGGCCCGCAGCGGCAGCGGTGGCGGTGGTGAAGACCGGTACGCCGGCAGGTAAAGTGTTTCCCTTTGTTTTCTAACCAGAAGAAAGGAGACCGGTCTCCACGATCTCCTGGTTCCAATATTGTACCACTTGCCCAGTTCGCTTCCCCACCCTTTCTTTGTTTCAACTGTTTTAATGCGGGATATGGCGACGGGCCTCGGGGCGTCGTTGTCTTTGCTTTGCCACTTGCTTTCAATATTTCGTCTCGACACTCGAGGCCACCATCGGCCTGCGACTCGACAACCTTCATCGGCTCGTCACACTCTGGTCACTTCATGATGTGTCTCTTTATGTCTGTTCGCGACGCAACTCGGGAAAAACTACTAGCGGCAAAGGGTACAAACAATTATCGCTGTAATTCGGTTATCTCATGGGTCAGCAATTTCGTCACACACCTACAACTCTACACCTCCACACACCATCTCCAGTAACGGCCCGATTGTATTCGACTCTAAACACCTGCATGCTCAGCCTTACCGCCAAAGCCGTCGACTTTGCGCTTGTAGTCTCAACTCTTAACTGCAGGTTTAATCGACAGGTAAGGTTTTGGTGTGCGCTAATCATTCCCAGGGTATTCCAAGGCTCAGATGCAATTGCTTTGTCTTTGCATGTTCACTACCCAGGCAATTTCTGTCACTGTGATTTGAAGGTGCGTGTCCCGTCTTTCATTGTCTTGGATGGTTTTTGTCTTGCAAAGTACCTTGGCGCTCAATATCAAACCCTTGAAACAAAGACTCGGACAACTCTAAAGCCGAATGAGGCTTTCAATATTTTTCACCTGAGGTTGGAATAATTCAATAAGTTCCCGAGGTCATGAGCCTTTGAACACCTGTAGATATATATCAGACCACCCTGTACACTGCAACCTTCCAAGATTGTTTCTGGGCATACTTTGTGTCATCCACGACCCCGGGGATGCGATTTATATATCTTCACCTCAAATATGCCCAAGTGCATACCTAGTACTAGGTAGGTGTTTACCTAGGTACCTACCTAGCCCTGAGATAGGTACACCAAGCCTGATATTACCTAGTACAACTTGAAAGTAGATTCCTCGAGGTTTCTGCTCGCACTTGTACCATTGGAACAGGAAGAGCTATTATGCGCAGACCCAGACCCAATTATCAGGACATGTATCTATTCCATCAGAATCCAGAGTGCTCCCACAAACAATTGAAACAGAAAATCCAGCCCAGCTGATCCATCGCCCTAACGCCAAGAAACATCGATGCCCTTACTCAGACTCCTTCTTGGTCTCGCCCTCCAATTCATTGCTCTTCTGAAGCAGGATCTCGCCGAGCACTCGGAGAGGGTTGGCAGGTCTGTAAACATGGAATCAGTCACTCATACCAAAGCTGAGGTGCAGGAGGTCCACCTACTGATCTCTAACAACAGTCTTCATGCCGTCGAGTAGGTGTGGCACAATCTTTTCATTCAGGTAGACGCGTGCGGGCGCACCGCCGGGGCGAACCTGGCCGGCATTGACGTTCAAATCGCCGAAAGGCGTGCTTGCTCCGTTGGGTTCACCCATCTCTTCGATTGTCTGGCAATACGGATCTTCAGATCAATTTGGGCGTGCTGATGAAGTGTTAGAGCAAGGCCAAGAGTAAATGCAAGCTGCCAGGTTGACGGGAAAGCGGAGTGGAAACTTGGGCTTACAAAGATGATCTGCGAGGGATGTCAGTATTTTACAGAAGTTACAAGGGAAGATGTGCATTTACATTGTTTTCTTTCTGTTCTCCTGATCTTGCACTTCGTAGAGCTATTCTGTCGAGGTGAGTGCATTGCAAACCGTGCAAACAGTCCCAATCGAGCTATATCACACACGTGATCTCGTGTTCGAAACCTGTTCGCGAGACACGTCTGCCCCGGCCATTGGGAAGTGCGTCGTGGAGACAAGTGGCACCCATGGAAAGTGACCATGTCCCTGTTGAACTTCTGGGACACCCAGCGCCCCGCGAAACGACGCCGAATCTCGGAGGAGAGCACGGAGACCAAACCGCCTAGCCCGAGCCCTGAGCCCAAAGAGGTTTTCAAAACGGAGAATGCAGAAGATGCAGAAGCAGACCATCTCCCGATGAGCCAGACGGACCTGGAAACCTCCCTCCCCACAATCAAGACGGAGGACGCAATCGAGGAGTATGAGGCCTTGAAAGACGTCGACACGGGACTGCACATGAGACTGCGAGATGGAGTTTGGCAGAAAGGCAAAAGCTCCATCTACGTCGATGCCTTCAACCTAGCACTGGAAACTGTGCTGGTTGAAGAATCGCATCTGTTTAGCCCGGCGGAGATGGAGATCTTCACGCAGTGGCGAAAGCTGTCCTACGAGTCTCAATATCTGTATGTTCCCCGCAGATTGGGCAATCCGTTGCAATGTTAACATATGGCTAGCTATGTCCGTCTATTCCTTCGCAAAACCTCTGCCTGGCATCGTGTCAACAAGTTGAATTATTACTCCGATATATCGGATTTGACCTCAGTGGCTGAGGATCTGCAGCAAGATCGCAGCCTACCGGATTCTGAACTCGGGTCTACGTTCAGATTCGCAGAGGGAATCGAAGAGATTACCACATTGGAAGAGGCATCGTCTTTGCTTCTATTGGAGGAGCTGAAGATCTTTGCCAAAGAAGCCAAAGTACAGGGCAAAAGCAAAAAAGAGCTGTTGGCAGCGCTTTGTGAGACAAGCCAGAACCAAACAGGTCTTCGAGACACGGGCAACAGAGACAATCATTTCACCCAGAAGATATTAGACTACACAGGCGGGTGCATCAGACTCGTTTCGCTGCCCCGCGCTCTGTTTGAGCGAGTACACTTGGTCTTCTACCGCTCGACGGAATGGACTGAAAAGTCCCTCACAACCATCATTTTGGCGAAGATGTCCAAAAGAGCATTCCCTGAATATATCGTTTGTCGCTCAAATTCGATATTCGCATCTAGAGACGCCCTTCTAGAATTTGAATCAGCCATTCAAACACAATTCGCCGTTGATAACATTCTCGAATTCAACGGCCCACCCACCACTGAACTACTACAACACATCATTGATCTAGCGAACAAGTTCTATCCTCGATGGAAAGAACTCGTCGAGCAAGAGCAACAAAAAGAAGACAGTATATACGAAAGCGGCGAAGGCGCTTACCTACGTCGATTCTCGCCAGCCTGGGTCCTAACCCGAATCATCCACAAAAGCCTCCACCCACTAGGTCGGTTCAAGGAGCATAAACGCGAGCACGAAGTACTGGGAGAGCTTCTCTCCCAGCGTCTCTTTCACGCCGCACGTCGCGGAGCATGGTACCAGCGCAAAGCATTGCTGGAAGAGCATTATATGTGGGCTCTGACATCAACTGATGGGCGCAGCGAGGAAGCCCAGCGCAAACACTGGAAGAGGATTGCGCTGCGGACCTGTGAAACCGGGTTGGAAGACCCGCTCTGTCACTTGATTTTCCATTATGATCTGCAGAAGCGAATCACCAAGCTGGAAAAGGCTCTGCGGGTGGTCAAGCGCGAGCAGCATGATTTCGGACATGTAATTCTAGGCAAGCCGGCTGAGCGGACGATCGAGGGTATCCGTGTAGATACGGATGAAGTTCTGAAAGCAGGATCCCGGAAAGGGAAACCGACTATTTGGATTGATCCTAGGGAAGGGGGTGAGTGTCGAGTGGAAAGTATGTGTTTGAGCTGGTATCGCGATCACGGCTGGAAGGGATATCACTGTGAGGGAGGCATAGTTCGAACACTGGTGAGTCCGCACGCCTTGAACGTTGGAAGTAGGCATATACCTGACCCTCTCTAGTTCGGCTACCTCTTCTACGATATCCTCTTCACGTATGTGCCCAACGTGTTTCAGACTGCTTTCCAAACATGTCCGCTCGATCTCCACACGGATGTGTTCTATCCATCCCGGGCATCAGAGATCAACCATCGCTTAGTCGAGATCACGAACGGGGGTGCTGAGCGCATCGTCCGCGGTATCCATGATCTCCACTCGGAAACTCAGCCCTGCGTTGTCGGGCTTGACTGGTCATTTGATCTGGATGACTTGGTTGAGATCGTGCAGTGTTTCCGCGGTGAAGCTCTTGCTACTATTTGCAAGGTCATGGCGCAGGAATACCAGCAGCGTGGGGGAGGCATCCCCGACTTGTTTCTCTGGAACTATGAGACCAAGACGGTGATGTTTGCCGAGGTCAAGTCGGAGAATGATCGTTTAAGTGATACCCAGCGTCTTTGGATCCATATCTTGTTGGCAGCTGGCGTGAAGGTGGAGCTCTGTAATGCTGTTTCATCGAAGCAATCAAAAGAGTAATGATTGCGGAATTTCCTAGAGGTCCCTACACAGGAGAATTCAGCCTCAATGCCTTATGTCCCTGCCCGAGTGTATATATGCATACAGCCATTTACTTTCACGTCTACCTAGACTCTTACCTTCAGGTCATACTGATTGAGAACTCAATTCAATCTCAAGATGCGCTAAACACAAAATTAGCCGTGCCCAGGCGCTCCTTATAAAACGGACGAAACTTAAGCAGTCGACCTGAAAGATAACGCTAAGATAGTAGTGATCAAGTGCTTATTGAGGTAGCGTGAAATGCCCTTGTGAGTGGAGTGGCGTTCTAGATTTTCGACACGCTAAATCGACTTTGCAGCGCTATTGCATCTAGATCTGGCTATCAGGTCAAGTCTACATCTACACATCGATCTAGGCATTCGTGAACAGGGTATCAAATAATCGTAATCCTTTTTATTGTATCTAGAAGAAAGCCCCCAGATACGGCGATTACGACGATCCAATGGGGTTCCTCCGTCAACCACACATCCTCCTTAGAAGCGCTTATGCGACAAGGGTGGAAGCGGTGGCGCTCTCGTAGCGCCAGGTGGGGGGCAGGACACCGACGGTCTTGTAGTAGCGGGACAGACGGTGGATGCGGGACTCGATGAGAATCAGGCGGAACTTGGAGTCCTTGTCCTTGCGGTTACGCTCAAGGTGCTTGCGGACAGCGACGGCCTGGCAGGGTGAGTTAGCCTGTAAAACCAGAGATCTCGAAAAATTTCTTACCTTCTTGATCAGGAAGTAGAGGTCCTCGGGGAGTTCGGGAGCGAGGCCTGTATTCCAATCTCTCTGTCAGTCTTGTTCTTGACCAAGCAGAGGCTTAATTGCTGGTGCATTTCTGCGACCAGTGTCTGGGAGAGAGTCGATTCATTGCGCTTCGAGACTGATGATTCTTTTACCGAATCGGTCGGTCTTTTCACGCAGGAAATCGCTCTCTTCACCTGACGGATGTGATTCTAACGTGGGGAGTCGTACCGCTGGACTTCAAGATACGGAGGATCTTGTTACCTGTGGCGCAAAAAAAAAGTCAGCAAATTCCTCTTTTTCCCAAATTTCACGCAGGATCCAGGATTTTCGTACCAGTAACAATCTTGACCTGGGCAACACCGTGGGAGTCACGGAGGACAACACCGATCTGGGAAGGAGTGGCACCCTTCTTGGCCAGCTTGCAGATGTGGTCAACAACCTGGTCGGGGGTGGTCTTGAGCCACGCGGGAGCGGTGCGGGAGTAGGGGATGGCGGAGGAGGCAATGCCCTTGCCCTTGCTGTGAAGACGACCCATTTTGATTTGGTGATGTGTCCGGAGGAATTGTCGGTTGGCGTGGATGAAAGATCGAAAATCCGGTGAAGTGTGGGCGGGAGGAATGGGTCTGTGTGGGGTCACGTGAGGACTTTCGCTTATTTCTTTTCTTCGGGAAAACTTCACTTCGTTCCCTTCTGCTCTTCTTAAGAACCCCAACTCTTCTCACTTCAGTCTGCAATCGACTGGGATTAATGTTTCCTGGCTCCATTGACAGCACTGACAGTCTTGGGTGTGTGGGATATTGTCGACTCCGAATCACTCGTTCGCCACCAATATATCAGGTCAGTTTCCACCGCTCAACACCCAACCCGCCCCCTTTTTATGATGATACAACGCATTTGTTATACTATTTTTTTCTGGTACCTCTTATGTCAGAGTTGGCGTTTTCGGACGTCAGCTCGATGATCTATCTGGACTTCTGATCAACAACCTTCACCTTGATATTATTCATGACTCGAGTGGTTGAACCGTTTACTAACTACGGTTATAGGCTCCTACACTAGCTATTACTTCTATAATGAATTCGTTTACATCTATTCTTGATCTAATATTCTTCCAATCGTATTCAATGTACATGTACTAGGCCTGCATGGCTGACAGGAAACTGCGACAGCGTTTAACATGCCGGTATATAGGGCTTAGTGCCTCCTGGCAACTAGCGCCTGAGTCGCTTGGACTTTCTGCGTACCTCTGTGGTTTGAGCAGCAGGAAGTAGTGTCTCAGCTCTGCGCTTCTTGGGCGTCTTGACAGCAGGCTCAATACCCTCGACCTTGACCTTCACATCCACATCTTCTTCCTTGGGCGCATCCACTGTCAGCCCAGTGGTTACGGTGGTCTCGATCTTCACATCAGACTTTTCCTCTTTGACGCGGACATCCACCTTCTTCGTGGCAGCCAGTTTATCTGCGAAGGTCCGCAGGTCCGCGGTAAAGAGTACGCTGTGAGCCCACCCAGCCTCTTTGCCCCAAAGCTTGCGGAAGTGGTTAGCCACAGCATCATAGGTAGTCTTGTTTAAGGTCTTGTTCGAGCTTTTGGCGAACTTGTAGTCTCTCTGGGCAATTTGCCAGACTGTAAAAGTTAGCAAGTAGACCCTATACGGCGCCGAGAAAACTCACCATGAGTGTCAACTGGTACTGATTCTCCCCAGCCTAATCCCATTAGACTAACACAGTCTGAGACTTTTGGCCCTACGCCTTGAAGCTCAAGGAGCTTCTCGTGGGCCTCGCGATAACCTTCTCGTCCTTCTGGCTTCATCTCGCCAGAGGGCTTTGGCTCCACACCAAATGCCGGGCACTCGGGGTTACTTAAACCATCTAACCACCCTTTCTCACGATCAGATACCATAACAGCAGTTTGGTAGATGTATCGAGCTCGGTATCCAAACCCTAAGCTTCGTAGGTTGCTCTCCACATCCTTGCCTGTCAGTGCCTGCGGAGAAGGGAAATCATGATATGAATGGCCTTCGATAGTTGTGACTGGGGTTCCATAGTTTGTGCATAACTTCACGACCATTTGCGATATGCGTGCAATGTTGTTGTTGCTGCTGCATATGAAAGAGACCAGTGCCTCCCATGCGTCTTGGCGAAGGATGCGGATCCCGGTGAATTGAGCTGCTTTCTTCTTGAAATTGGGGTCATTGGACGACCATTGAGTATAGAGGTCACTCAGACTAGGTGTCAGATTAAAGTAATGATTGATTATGCGGATAAGGTGCTCGTTATCCTTGTGCTCGTTGTCGGATGATGCTTGGGAGGATGGACGGACGGAACGATAATATAAGCAGTTTGAGTCCTGTTTGAGGGACAGAAAGCGACCGTAGAGAACGCATCGCCACTCCTCATTTTCGGGAATATGTTGCCATCTAATAGCAATCAGTTGGGTTTGCTTTACAAGTTGCGGGCAACGAACCTGAATGATTGACCGCATCGAAGAGTAGTATTAATACAGAGCTCAGACAAGCTCAATGGCAGCTTGCGCCACTCTGATAGAATGCCTGTGGACATATTGGAGGCTCCAGCGACTCAATTGTCGACCCTGAAGGAGTCACGGATTCCTATATCTGCTCATTTTCTGCCGAATTGGGGTCGGCAGAAAGGCGGTGTCGCATAGACCGCCTGCATATCCGGGTCATGAGTTTTCCCCTTCCAGAGCAACTGAGCTTCAATTTCTCACCCAAGCTCAAAATGAACGGCGATACCTATTCTTCCAGAGGTATGACTCAATGTATTGACCCATTTCAAAGATGTATGCTAATTTCTTTCAGATACTGGCCGTTCGCGCGAGCACTTCGTAAGTACCAGCCACAATCTGGCCGCAACCTCGGCGATTAACCCAAGGATAGCGCGACGAGCGACGAGACCGAGACCGAGGCGACCGACCTGAACGTGGTGACCGACCTGAGCGGGGAGAGAGGCGACGATCTCGTTCGCCCCACCATGGATCTCGCGGTGATTCTCGCCGTGAGCGCGAGGTGAATTCCTACTCATCAAGTCGCGATTATCGCGCCCGCGAACGTGAGGACCGTTACTCTGGCCGTCGTGATGATCGGGACTGGGACCGCGGTGACCGCGGCGAGCGTGGAGAACGTGGCGAGCGAGGAGGCGAAAGAGGCGACCGCCGACGTCGTGATTTCGATGACAGACCCCGTCGGGACTTGTTTGACGATCGTCGAGGTGGTGGTGGTCGTGGCGGTGATCGTGGGGAGCGCGGTGACCGTGGAGACCGTGGAGATCGTGACAGACGCGAGCGCAAGCGCAGTGCTACGCCCCCGCGCCGCAAGGAACCTACTCCCGACTTGACCGACGTACCTTCTCTTTTGACCCGCCAGCGCCGGTTGACTCAGTGGGATATGAAGCCTCCTGGGTACGAGAATGTTACTGCTGAGCAAGCAAAGATCTCAGGTATGTATGCGTTGCTTCTCATGCTGAAAACTGTCTAATATAGTTAGGAATGTTCCCTCTTCCCGGAGCTCCTCGCCAGCAGCCCATGGATCCCAGCCGCATGAAGGACTTCTTGAACCCTCCCACCGGTGAATCCGAGAACGCCGCCCTCAAGCCCTCCAACTCCCGCCAGTCCAAGCGTCTTTTCGTTTACAACCTTCCCTCCGGCGCCACCAGCGGTGCCGTGATCGCCTTCTTCAATCTTCAGTTGAATGGCCTCAATGTTATCCGCAGCGCCGATCCTTGTATCTCAGCCCAAGTTTCCGAAGATAAGGCATTCGCCCTGCTCGAGTTCAAGGATGCAAACGATGCCACTGTCGCTTTGGCCTTCGATGGAATCAACATGATCAACGGCTCAGAGAAGGGATTGGAGGTGCGCCGACCCAAGGACTACATTGTTCCCAATGGCAGTGCAGACCAGCAAGTCCAGGAGGGTGTGGTCTTGAGCGAGGTGCCCGATTCACCCAACAAGATCTGTGTCTCTAATATCCCCGCCTATATTCCCGAGGAACCCGTCACAATGCTGCTCAAGTCATTTGGCGAGCTTAAGTCATTTGTTCTTGTCAAGGACGCCTCCACCGAGGAATCTCGGGTAAGTTGATTTTCTCTCTATAATTTTACAAACGCTGACTAACTTGCCTAGGGAATTGCTTTCTGTGAATATGCCGACCCAGCCGCCACCCCCATTGCCGTCGAAGGACTGAACGGCATGGAGCTTGGTGACCGCCACCTCAAGGTTGTGCGTGCCAGTATTGGTACCACACAGGCTTCTGGCTTGGACATGGGCGTCAACGCCATGCAGATGTTCGCCAAGACCACCTCTTCGGATCTCGAGACCACTCGCGTCTTGCAGCTTCTCAACATGGTCACTCTGGACGAGCTTCTTAACGACGAGGACTACGAAGAAATTATGGAAGACGTGGGTGAGGAATGTGCCAAGTTTGGCCCAATCCTTGCAATGAAGATTCCCCGCCGTGGCCACGGTGCCGGCAAGATCTATATCAAGTATGACAATCCCGAGTCAGCTGCGACTGCCCTCAAGGCGTTGGCTGGACGAAAGTTCTCAGACCGTACAGTTGTTGCCTCGTACTTCGGGGAAGAGAACTTTGATACCGAGGCCTGGTAAGCATGGCTGCCTTTTGATTCTTTATTTCTTTTGATGCAGGCGTGTTTTCTTTCTCGGGGCCAGTTGTTCTAGGAGCAGGATGGATCTTCAAATGTGTACCATAGCAAAATGTCCACATCAACCTCAAGCCGATCTAATCGATCTCACCTTACACGGTTATTCCGTTGGGTGCTCACCACGGTCATAATGTATCAATGAACATCCCACCATTCCAAGGCCATAGGCACCTCATCTGACTACCAAGCACAGGATTCAAGTAGCCAAAGGCTCAGGTTGAATGCAGTCTAACGTCTAGGGCATATTTACTCCATACTGGTACAGATCTATCAAGTCTATCCATTGCACCCCCAAGCCTCCCCCAACTGAGCCCGCATATTATGCGTAGGATACCCATACTCATCCTCCAGCCGTACCAAAACCCCAAACAGCGCCTCCTGCTCCACCCTCTCCACAAACCGATCCCCACACATCCCAATCGCAGCACTAGCAGTCACCAATCCAGGCGGACTATGCAAATTCGACATCGCAATCCCACAAAGTCTCAAAACAATCGTCCGCACCTGCGCATCCACACTCCGCATCGCAGTCCGCTGTCCCGGCCCTAATCGCGGCAACCGCGGATTATAAACAGCCAAAAGAATCCGCGCAAGCTCCAAATGCTGCAAGCCCGCGACATGGCAATTATTCAAGTACCAGAGCTCCGGGAAGACCTCGCCGCGCGCGGGATCGGGATCGCGGGCGTAAACGGGGTTGAAAGATGAGGGGCCGAGTTCTGTCCAGAGGGATTCGAAGGAGACGAGGTTGTCGTAGCGGGCGATGCGGGATTCAGGGGATGGAGGGAAGGGGGAGGATTCTTCTTCTTCGGAACCGAAGCAGAATTGGAGGACGTCTGCGCAGTGGATGACTAGTCTGTCGGCCCAGACGTAGTCGTCTGCGGGGTCGAAGGTGCGGTAGGGCTCGCAGGGACCCAGGGAGAGGCGGAAGGGACGTTGTTTGGAGAAGGCTGTTATGATTTCTTGTCGGAGGGCGACCCAGTAGGCTGCGTGGCGAAGACCGGTTCCTGTTACTGCTGGGGTGGCTTGGGCGTCGAGGAAGATTTGGATGCCGCGGAGGGCGGACTCGGTGTCTTCGCCCATTGCGGGGACTGGGTGGTGGTTAGCTGGGACGGATATGGTGAGTGGGTGGTACTAACGGTCGACTTCTTCGTAGAATCGGAGGACGACGGCGGCTGCTAGAAGGTTTTCATCTCCTGCTTCTTGGGAGTGGCCGGATAAAGAGACGAAGTATGAAATGCATCGATTGTGGTACTCGAGGGCAGTTTCTGGTGTCAGTCGTGGCAGACACTTGCCTCCGTACCTCACTTGGTTTCCAACATAGTATTTCTTGGATTTAGTCAAGTGTCTTGCGGAGATGGTATATATGGCGTTGAGCAATGGCGGACATGTCAGTGCCCGTACAGGGACGGTACATGCAAAATGTCTTTGGCCGTCGCAAATATCAAACTAGAGAATTGTCAATCAGAGGAGCACCGGTATCGAATTTCTTTACATACCCAATGGCCTAGCTGGACTACAAAGTAGCGCATCAAACAGGCCTCATGCTCATCGAAATTGACCAACCCAGTCTCTGTGGCGACCAGGTTCTCTGAAATTGGGATCGTATAGCTGCTGGGTGAGATTTGAGTCTGCACGGAGGTCGGAGATATCGAGTAGCTATTTGACGGTGATTTATACAGGTCCAAGGGTGTCTTTTCCACCAGCGGAGCCCAGGGACCTGATGAGTATGAATCAACAGTGTCGCCCGTGACCGAGGACTCTGTCAAGGGCGGTTGCTCTGTTGAACAAATCGTATATTGTTCCAATGCCCATGGAGTCTCGTCCCCTAGCTCCAGGGAGTACTCTTGAGCCACGTCGGCAGTCTCATCGACATATCTAAAGTCTGCATCCAGTCAGCCCTACATCACTGCAACTCACCACCGCCTGGTCTCATGTCTAGTTTAGCAAGAACACTCACCCCGTGCAATCGGCACCCAGACCTGATCTTCGGCAAATTCGGCATCATATCGGGCACTAGAGCCGTGACGGAAGCCGGATGGGACAGCCTGCCAAACACAGGAGGAGCCGGCGCGCTTGCACCGGGTGCACACCGGTCTTAGTCCGTCGCCTGCCACTGGTCAATTGAGTTCGCATATACGTGTCACACCACTTACACTTCACATGCCGGTCTATCAACGCATTAGTGATTGAACATGCCGATGGCTTAGGCACTTACTGCGACACTCCTGGCTGATGGACGGTGTTAGTGATTGGCACTGGCGGTCTGAGTGGAGACTCACCAGGGGACTGTTTTGCGCATTCTGCGATCGTACGATGTCGAGAAACTGGAGGGAGACGAGGCCCTGGAAGAGGGGCAACCCTCGGCGAGCAAATGCGGGGAAAACCCGGGGTTACCCCGGGTCTTCGTTTAGGCGACTTACTTTCACTGTTCAATATTGTATATTCAATTCATAGTATACTGCTTGATTATATTGTATATCTCTTATTTGTATTTCTATCTTTGTATCTTTGTATTTTAATACCTTAATATGATCCCTGTTCATCACTACCCGGGCAGGTTGTCCGTTGACCGCCAGAGTAGAAGAGATGATCCCTAATATATAGTCGATAACTACCAGTATACTGATATAATGGAAGACAATTTCCAGCGGAGAAAGGCCTCCGATATACACTGGGCAGGGCAGGAAGATGGCCTCCGACACGAATTCCGAAGTGGGGAAATTTCAATAGCCGAAGCAACTGTCGCCGAACCCCTACCCCTTTGGGGATGATCGACACTAGCTGCAGTACCAGAAACAGCAAGGCCCTGCGAGAGAGACGGTGTACAGCTATAAAGAAGACCGGTCAGCCCAGGCCAATCCTCCAATTCAACCTCACACACACATCCATCATGTCCGAGAAACTCCAAGTAGCAGTCGCAGGCATTGGCCGCATGGGTATGCGCCATGCTCGACACTTCGCAACCCTCACACCTCGCGCCGAGCTCATTGCAGTCTGCTCGCCCGTCCAGGCTGAGCTGGACGCCGCAAAGAAGGAGTTCGGTAACATCCGGACCTACCTGTCCTTCGATGATATGCTCGCCCAAGAAAAGACCCTCCAGGCCGTGGTCGTCGCCAGCGCCACGACCATTCACGCCGAACAGGCCATCAAGGCCATCGAGAAGGGCTACCACGTCCTGTGCGAGAAGCCCCTCAGCACCAGCCCCGAGATTGTAAGCATCCCAATCGGACACCTCACATTCCCCGGATTCAGGGCCCCAATTAGACAGCAAGCTAATTAATGTATCAAACACAGTCTCAAACCGTCGTCGATGCTTACCGCTCTTCTATAAAAACATACCCCAAGCAAAAAGTGATTTGCGGATTCTCCCGCCGCTTCGACGCCTCATACCGCGATGCCTTCAGCCGCATGTCCAAGGGTGACATCGGTACCCCTTCCGTGTTCCGCTCTCAGACCTGCGACAAGCTCGACCCCAGCGGGTTCTTCGTCGCTTACGCCGAGTTCTCCGGCGGTATTTTCGTTGACTGCTCCATCCACGATATCGACCTTGCTCTATGGTTCTTCGGCGAAGACAGCAAAGTCAAGAGCGTGACAGCCGTTGGCATCACGGCCGTGCAGCCCGATCTGCGCAAGCACAACGACCGCGACAACGCGGTGGGCATTATTGAGTTCTACGTAAGTGGCTGAACATCCTCAAATTGCTCCCCATTGATCGCAAACTGACTTAATTCCAGGGCGGCAAAATCGCCCAGCTTTACTGCTCGCGTATGATGGCCGCTGGCCAGATGGACTGCACGGAGATCTTCGGTACAAACGGACAGATTGCAGTCAACACACAGCCCCAGTCAAACTTGGTCAACTTGTTCGAGTCTACTGGTGTGCGTCGCGAGATCCCACCTGACTACTACGGCCGATTCCGCGAGGCCTTCGTCACTGAGGCCAATGAGTTCACTGCTGCTTGTCTCGATAACCTTCCTCCTCCCATGTCTCTGGAGGGCGCTGTCAAGGCAGTGCGCATTGGCGCTGCTTTGCAGGAGAGTTTGATCTCTGGCAAGAAGATCGAGTTTGACGAGAGTGGCAAGCGGGTTGAATCTGCTAGACTTTAGATTTACTTGCCTGTATATAAAAATGGACGATCTACATGATTTCATTAATTTATCGTGCCTGTGATAAGAACTTACTTAACAGAGCTCAATTACTCGCAGAACTATTGACATGCGAGCTGGCTATTTCTTAATATCGGGGACATCCAAAAGGACATCCCCAGGCCGGCTTCTTTTTCCTCTTGCAGTCACAGTCTAATCTAGTAATTGAACCGCTGTCCTTCCCTATCATCTCGTCGAACCAATCCTCCATTTCTAGCATCCATTAATAACCTTGAACCACAGGGAGCTAATAGGGATGTACCACTAACCTTTGTCTTCCTTGCGCTCGATAATGGAACCGGGAGGACAGCGAGCAATTGGCCTTAACCGGGAAATCCAATCCTTCAACGACATATTGGCTTTGCGAATGTCAAACTCCACTTTTTCCCTTTGTTTGTTTGCAGTGTCGACTCTTTCGAAATAATAATAATTCCCGTCCGAGATAATATCTTCAAGGGAGAGTGTTTCTAGAGATAACTCGTTCCGTAAAATGTCCAAAAAGCTAGGCATGCAAGTGATCTTTTGTTCATTGCGTTGCCATGCCATTACGATTTCCCGGGTGGGACAGACACAACAAGCGAATCCAGATGGCTCATATGGGTGATATGTAGACATCCATTTTCTGCTCCAATATCCTTCTGTCGATGCCTCTGAGGAATCGGACGTCGAGGAATGCTGTGGTGATTGGGGTGCACTCTCTGTCCATGCTGTTTCTGATGCTGGTAGGGCTGGTAGGGGTGCTGGTCCATATTCGTGCCGGCATATAATCGATGTATACGGTGACGGTGTTGAAAATGGCGGTGTTGGTTGATATGATGGCGGTGTTGGTTGAAATGATGGAGATGTAGGTTGAAATGATGGAGATGTAGGTTGAAATGATGGGGATGTAGGTCCATATGGTTCCAAGGTTGGTTGATATGATGGCACTGTAGGTTCATATGAGGCCAATGTTGGTTGGTGAGATGGCGATGGGTTTTCTGTAGCTTCTAACTCCTCACTGTCCATTATAAGCCGTTTGACTGTAAGAGTGACAAGGCTGTTCTTAACGCTGAGCAGAAGTGACCTCAAAGAGCTGAAACTGATTTCAAGATTGTTTATATGAAGCTTTCGGAGTCGAGTGAAGCTAATTTCATGAAGATAAAAAGGCATATGATCTTGCGACAAGGTTAGTACATCCAGTTGAGGTGCAAGCTTCCTGAACATTTTTAGCCAAGTCGCCTCATTGAGATCAATGCATAAATGAAGATCCTCGAGGTCTTCTAAAGTAGACAGTAGAGAATCAAATTGCTCTTCGGAGAGGGCAATCCTGGGGCCGACATCACAACAGGATTGAGAATTGCAGGTGGACAGCTTTCGAGGTCTGCAGCTTGAGCCACGCAACGCAAGAAAAAGCTTTGATAATGCCAAGGACTTCAGTTTGCGTATTTTGCCAGCCTTATTGGTACGCATAGACTCTCGTAAACTGTAAACATCGAATCGAAAATCGATCCGGCTCATCATCTGCCGCCTTCCGAGGAATGGAACTGTCTGCTGCCGGGGATCAAGCAAAAATTCTGTTCTGTAATATGCAAGTCCGATTGTTTGGATGTTCTTGAATCGATCCATACATTCCCGAAGTCGAAGACTGAACGCTTCTGATTCCAGTAGGTTGCGATTATCCGCAATCATGTCTCTTTGGACAGCACGCCGACTTTCCAGCTCGTGGCCTTTGACCTGGCGGCAGCTCTTTGACGATATAGATACCATGCCGAGGGGCCCTTCAGCGCCATCGAACACAACAGGGATCATCCATAGCTCTTGAACGTGCTCGCGGAGATCATTTGAATTGGATAATGCTTCCAGTTCGTGGAGACTTTCGCTTGTCGCAATATAACAGATTTTTCGGTAAAAGGTTTTCGCAAAATATTCCTGTGAGCTTTTGTGCAATGCGCGGCATGACAACCTCAGAGCGACCCATTCCTGGAAATTCAGATGGACACATATCTTTGAGAGCAATTCTACGGGCAGGGCTGCAATAGACATTTTGGCTGCGCGTGCGATGTTTCGAGATTGAGAACAACCAAAGAGGCCTACGGGCACACGTTTTTCGACTATCGGCACTTGCGCTAGCGTCTTTTCCAAGTGGCCACTATTATGGTGTCGATGTAGTACTAGTCTGCAGCACAGAATGTGTATTATTTACACAGGGCTGATACTCACCGTAATCTCCAAGCACACATTAATCCTCGGAAGCCAAGAGGCTGGGAAATCACTTGACCTGCGTCTGTAAGTCAGTGCTAGAAAGGGATGAGAGCAGTATCCGGCTTTCTGCAGTCTTTCTTAGCCTAAATAATCCTCGCAGACCTTTGTATACCTACTCTGTATAGTTACCTACTCTGTAGGTATGGAGTACAGAGTGAACTGCCTCGATCTGGATTTTTACTAGTGACGACTTAGTGATTTGGCTCCTGTGCATCGAACTCTAAGTTTGCCAGTTGGAACTCGGCCAGTTGGTCTACAAAATATAGAAGGCTGGGTGAAGCTGGTTCTGGTGCATTGAATGACCGGACGATCTCAAACATAGCTGGGTCGCCCGGAAGTGTAAGGATGCAATGCATCTTGGGTTTTAAATCACTCTGACCTTGGCTCAAGCTTCAGGTGAAACATGCATTTGAGAAGTTTCGGGGTGTTTTCCGATAAAAATACTCTTGGGGCTAGTACTGTAGTTCTGAATCAGAAGTTAAGCTGGAAAGATGGTCTAAGGAATGTTGAACTACTAAATCCAGTGAAGATTGAGCAGTGGGGCGTGGAAGTACAGGTGGAGAAAGGTGGACTACTATCCGTGGACCTAGTCTTTACACTTCTTTCCAAGGATTTTTTGAGACACTATACGGAGTACCTAGGTACTAGTAGAGTAGACTGAGATAAGTCTCAGGGCGTACTATGACCTGGACACTCCAGTCACGTTCGAGTATATGTATTGATCCAGGGCATCCTTGTTAGAACCTTGGAAGTTCCGAGAATCCCAAGTCAATACTACTTGAAGGGCCACTTACGTGCCAGTACACTGTGCTTTGCACGTTCATAATCATTCTACTCCGTAGTATGTTATCATGATATATGCTTACGGAGGAGTGGTTGATCAAAGTGTGCCAGCCTATGCGAACCTTGAAGTAGGAAGCACCCTGTTTCATTGGTTTGGTCACATCTACTTTGTAAATACTACGCTGTACGGAGTATACTTTCGGACTTTGAATGTATGCGCGGGTTATTCTGATACTTTATATTGATTTTTCCACTTGCAGACCGAGTTTCTCTGATTTATCTCTGCAATCCAGATCACTTTGTGATCTATATCCAAGTCAGACAGACAGTACTCACCAGCCCCTAAGCTTTTTAGATATATTCCACTATATTGTTCAGAATCTAGTGACTATGGATATATTGATATCCTGAGAATAAAGAACATACTATCTTCGATGAAAAGAAGATGAAAAGAAAAAAAAAGAGCATATCAACACACCTCAGGCAGCCACACTAAACCACTTTGGGTGAAAGTGGCCTCCCTACGGCGCGCCGCAACGCGAACTCCAGAAATTGTCAAGCTTGCAAGCTCATCCATCATCCCTCCACCTTCAAATCCACCAACTTACTGGCCCTTTTTATAATCTCATCGATCTTACACAATATTTGCCTCTATCATGTGAGATTCCACCAGCCGCATTCCATGGCCACTACTAACCGCCCACAGGGAGAGCTTTGACAACATCTATCTCGACCTCTCCAAGCAACCAGGAAAATGCAAGTTGGCCGATAGCGGTCTGGGTTGGCGCCCATCGGGCGGTGGCGACACTTTCACTCTTGATAGCAGCAACATTGGCGCAGCGCAGTGGAGTCGCGCTGCGAAGGGTTTTGAGCTTAAGATCTTGTCGCGCAACTCGGGAGTGATTCAACTGGATGGATTTGACCAGGAGGTATGTCCGGCGACGCGCTTTGCAGCCATTGATCCAACCGCTGACCGGGTGAAAGGACTTCGAACGCATGAGCAAAGCGTTCAAGATTTGGTACGGTATTAACGTGGAGACCCGAGAGCACGCACTGCGAGGATGGAATTGGGGCAAGACAGAATTTACGAAAGCCGAACTCGCCTTCAACGTTCAGAACCGCCCCGCATTCGAAGTCCCCTACTCTGAAATCGCAAACACAAATTTGGCTGGAAGGAACGAGGTCGCGGTGGAGTTTGCCCTGCCTACAGGAGAGGCAACCGATGGAGCCGTGAAGCCTGGCAGCACAAAGAACCGGGGCCGCAAGGCCGCAGCGGGTCCCGATGAGCTCGTTGAGATGCGTTTCTACATTCCCGGAACCGCTGTGAAGAAGGAGAAGGGTGAGGGCGCCGAGGGCGAGGAAGAGGAGAACGACGAGGAGGTTGAAGAACAAAATGCCGCCAACCTCTTCTACGAGACTCTCATGGACAAGGCTGAGATTGGAGATGTTGCGGGTGACACATTTGCGACCTTCCTCGATGTTCTTCACCTCACGCCCAGAGGACGATTCGATATCGACATGTACGAATCATCATTCCGATTGCGCGGAAAGACCTACGACTACAAGATTCAATACTCTGCGATTAAGAAATTCTTCCTTCTTCCCAAGAATGACGACACCCACACGCTCATTGTGCTTGGTCTTGACCCCCCTCTGCGCCAGGGTCAAACCCGTTATCCTTTCCTCGTGATGCAGCTGAAGCTGGATGAGGAGATCAGCCTCGAGCTCAACATGACAGAGTCAGTTCTTTTCGCCTGGTGTTGAGACGGTCCGCTAACACTACCATAGGGACATTATGCAAAGTCAGTACAAGGACAAGCTGCAGCCGCATTACGAAGAGCCGATTCACCAAGTCGTCACGAAGGTCTTCCGTGGCCTCTCCGGAAAGAAGGTCATTATGCCTTCCAAGGACTTCGTCAGGTACGAGATTATCTACCCTATCCCCGGCCGCATCTAACACTATTCCAGCCACCACGGTCACCACGGAGTCAAGTGCTCCATCAAAGCCAACGAGGGTCTCTTGTACTTCTTGGACAAGAGTCTTATGTTCGTCCCCAAGCCTGCGACTTACATTCAGATGGAGAACATTGCTATGGTCACCATGTCCCGTGTGGGCGGCGCCGTCTCCGCTAGCCGCACATTCGATATCACCGTTGGACTGAAGAATGGTCTGGGTGAACATCAATTCAGCAACATCAACCGGTTCGTTCCCCCGACACCGTCCGCTGGATCTACGCTAACCGTCACAGTGAGGAGCAAAAGTCCCTGGAGGACTTCTTCAAGGCTAAGAGCATCCGCATCAAAAATGAGATGGCGGAGGAGGTATGTATCCCCTTTTTGCCCCGCACCGTGCGGTATGCTCATCTCGGTTCTAGGCATCTGGGCTTATCGCCGCTGCCCTTGACAACGACGCCATGGGATCCAGTGACGAGGAGGCTCGCCCAGACCGCGGCTCTGCGGATGAGGACGAGTCCTCCGTTGATGAAGACTTCGATGCCTCGTCGGAGTCCGACGTGGCGGAAGAATTCGACTCAGACCATGAGAGTAGCGGTGGCAGCGATGAAGAGATGGCCGACGCTTCTGGCGGCGAAGACAAACAGGAGGAGGAGCGTCCCAAGAAGAAGACCAAGACCGCTCAATAGATGTACAGCTAGTTCCAATATCCCGATGACAGGTCTTACGAGCCACTCCAGAACCAATAGCTTGTATGTAGGCCTTTTGTGTGGGGAGCTCACGTGAGCGGTGATTGGCTCAGGATTCAGACTTTCAACGTTTAACCCCTGATCTCAGGAGAATCAACCGCGACCGACAGGTGTAGATATGACCTGGCAGATTGGGACTAAACTGAACTGGGGGGTTGGCCAGCACGAATATGCAGTTTGCCAATGGTGGATTCCACATTTCTGGCCAAAACTCGAACTCGTACAGTCGACCTGCATCGAAAAGGAGACCAAGGCTCAGTAGAGAGAGAGAGAGAGAGAAAGAGAGCAATTGACTCGTATGGATGCAGAAGTATAGAAATATCACGGGAGTGCGGGTCGATCCAAACCAACTCCAGAATAGCTGGGCCCGACCCCCTTTCTTTCCCAGACGGGCACTCTCCCTCTTTTCTTCATTTCTGTCGATTTCCTCAGTGTCCCTGAGTTTCTTTTCTGGTCTCTCGCTTGTCTCAATTTACTTGGTTTTCTTTATTTTTCTGAACAGGTATGTCTTTCGTTCTGTTTTCCCCCTATCGACCCCACTGGGAAACGTTAGCTGACGCTCAAAAGGGGATTTTAATTACTTCGTCACTTGCCACTCGACACACTCAACACAATGTGTAGGTCATCTGAACTCGATCTCCTGGCAATCTACTAATCCACCCTGAAGCTTCACCTCCTGCGGCTTCCCCAGTCGCGTCCCCGGTCGCGTCCCGAGACTCTCCCACCCCCAGCAGCGGCATGGAATCATCGCCTTTCGTCGAGCGCAGTAACCCAATGGGCTCTGGAATCGCCCAGACGGTCACCTCGCGCGATCCTAAGGCCGCCGCTCAGGCTGCCACCGACATGAAGAACGTGGTCCGCCGCAAGCTGACGGGCTACGTCGGTTTCGCCAACTTGCCCAACCAGTGGCACCGCAAGAGTGTCCGCAAGGGTTTCAACTTCAATGTGATGGTTGTTGGTATGTGAGGCAGAAGGCAGAGACAATGGGACGACAAAACTGATTTCTTCTTCAGGTGAATCTGGCCTCGGAAAGTCGACTCTCGTGAACACCCTGTTCAACACCTCCCTCTACCCTCCCAAGGAGCGCACCGGTCCCAATGCCGATATCATTCCCAAGACCGTGTCCATCCAATCTACCAGTGCCGACATTGAGGAGAACGGTGTCCGCCTCCGTCTCAGCGTGATCGACACCCCCGGCTTCGGTGACTTTGTCAACAACGATGACTCCTGGCGCCCTATTGTCGAGAACATCGAGCAGCGCTACGACACCTACCTCGAGGCTGAGAACAAGGTGAACCGCAGCAACATCGTTGACAACCGCATTCACGCCTGTGTCTACTTCATCCAGCCCACTGGTCACTCCCTGAAGCCCCTGGACATCGAGGTGATGCGCCGTCTGCACACCAAGGTCAACCTTATTCCCGTCATTGCCAAGGCTGATACCCTGACCGATGAGGAGGTCACCCTCTTCAAGCAGCGTGTACGTTCGAAATCATTTGATGTGGTAGGAAAATCAAAGCTGACTCTTCTAGATCCTCGCCGACATCCAACAACACGACATTCAGATCTTCGAGGGCCCCCGCTACGAGCTCGACGACGAAGAGACCATTGCCGAGAACCAGGAGATCATGTCCAAGGTCCCCTTCGCCGTGGTTGGTGCCAACTCCGAAGTGACTGCCGCCGACGGCCGCAAGGTCCGTGGCCGTAGCTACCCCTGGGGTATTATCGAGGTCGACAACGAGGAGCACTGCGACTTCGTCAAGCTGCGCCAGATGCTCATCCGCACCCACATGGAGGAGCTCAAGGAGCACACCAACAACTTCCTGTACGAGAACTACCGTTCCGACAAGCTCACCCTCATGGGTGTTGCCCAGGACCCCAGCGTTTTCAAGGAGGTCAACCCCGCCGTCAAGCAGGAAGAGGAGCGCGCCCTGCACGAGCAGAAGCTCGCCAAGATGGAGGCCGAGATGAAGATGGTCTTCCAGCAGAAGGTCGCCGAAAAAGAAAGCAAGCTCAAACAGAGCGAAGACGAACTCTACGCCAGACATCGCGAGATGAAGGATCAACTAGATCGCCAGCGCGGCGAACTCGAAGAGAAGAAGGGTCGCCTCGAGACCGGTCGCCCCATCGAAGAGAAGGGCAAGCGCAAGGGCTTCTCCCTCCGTTAATGACCATGTCCCGAGTTTCGTCTGCTTCTTGTCTCCCACTCATGGCCACCGCTTCTCGACTCTCATTTACTACTTTTTTTTTCCTTTTTATCATCACACTCCCTTCGCCATCCCACTAACGCAATGTTCTCACTGGGTGGGCCCACGCACCGAAAAAGAATGGTTAATTTTTCTTACCGATTGCTAATACGATCCTGCGAGGGTCACCTTGGGACCTTTTACTTCTTGTGATGTACTTTCTGCTACGCCATCTCTTGCTTTGCCGCTTTTCTGTGTGCCCTATTACCCGCTCCTTTCGTTATTTTCCTACTCTTTGGGATCTTCGGTTGTTCGCCGTTGATCTGTGTGTTAGTCAATTCAGCGCTCCAGCTTTATCTTGCCTTGCTCGTAGATGATTTGGTATACTCGTAGTCTGGTAGAACCTTGGAAGACTCCACTGCTCAGTAGTAATGACACAAAGTCTTGGAATGACTGGTTCGGACGCCTGCGCATAACATCAATTTTGGCCACCCTTTGCCGGTTTCAAATGCTCGGGATCAGTGTCCAGCTTTGCAGTTGCCACTTGGGCCTAGTCAATCGGCAATTGATGGCGTGAATCTGTGGAGTATCGATGTGGGGGTCGTATCAGTTACGTGTCTCAGCCATCACTGACACGTTGCTCGCTTATGGTCTGTGATTCTCTAACCGTGAACGTCGGAATAGTGTCGATGAAACTGGTGCCAAACTTGGCAACAAGATACCCTTCCAAACTTTAAAGTACTTTCCAAGGTGAGTACCTCACAAATTTACTCTGGTACTTCCATGAATATGATGCATGGACAATGTGAAATATGGCAGTATCTATGAAAAATAGTTGCCTGTGCGGAACTGTAGGTATATATTTAGAGTGAGACTTTCCAGTCGTAAGAGGTCCACTACCTAGGTGTCCGAAGCATCCATGGCTTGGATCATTATTGGCAGACAGGCTGAAGACAGTTTCGGCTTCGAGTGATATGTGTCGAGAATACGGAGAGATCAAACAAAGGACATAGATCTGATGGCTATGACGGACAAAATTGAGTTATGATAGAGGGCAGTGCTTGGTACTGGACCGTTACAGGCAAATTAAGCCCGGTAGATCCCTGCAGGACACAGTCGAGGGGTTGCAACTGCATGCCTACAGATATGTAACCACGAACAAGTACATACAAGTAGAGTACTAGCATATTGAGAGTACAGTAGTACTTGTATACAGTTGTATACTCGACAGATATCAATTGTTCTGTACTGATGGTATAGAGTAGTGTACAAGTACAGTAGTAAAGTAAACAGTCGAACCACGGTCCCGATGATTCAAGGTCCCCACCGCTAACGGGAGGCTGGGCAAGGGATGCTGTCATTGGTCGTCACTGAGTCGCCCACTGCATTAGCGTCATCCATAGCCTCCAGCTCCGTATTTGGGTATTTTTGTTGGTATTTGGGTCTAGTGGGTATTCTTCATTTCTCGTCAAACCACAGCCCCTGGGGTCTCTACACATCTTCTTCACAGTCATTCGTTGCGGAGGCTTCGGTCTCAATGGTTCACTCTTTTACATTCCTTTTTTAACATTTTTCATATGCCACATTCTTTACATTCGCTTCTTCACGCGTTGCGGCCTAACGCCTACGCCTACGCCTCCTGATTTTCCGACCCTACCACTCGCTTTATTGGGGTTATATTTCACTTCTCTTGCCCGTCGTCGCTCCCAGGACAATGAGGACCACTTCATTGTTCGGGCCGGCGACTGGCTGGCCCTCGCTTCTGGCCCTGCTCCCGACCATCAACGCCCTGTCATTCGAGGCAGTCTCCGTTCCGGAATTGGACCTGTCATCGCTGGGACGGGTTTCGATCACCGGTGATTTTGACGGCGTCTCCCTCTACCAGTACAAGGAACAGTCCAAACCGGTCGCCCAGGATGGCACCCAAGCCCTCCTCACCCCGCTCCCGAACGGCATCCTCGCGAACCTATCCTCGTCCGACGCGCAAATCCGGGCCATGTGCCCCTTCACTCAGAAAGACGGCACTTTCTCCGGAATCTTTGTCGGCGGTAACTTCACCACACTGAGCGGCGTGGATTCGCCCGGTGCCGCGCTCTTCAATCCCAACACCACCAAGGTCACTGCCTTGCCGGGTCTTTCGGGCTCGGTAGCAGCACTGGCCTGCGACCAAGAGACTAACCGGGTCTACGTGGGAGGTGATTTCTCTTACGACAACACGACAAACGCCGTTGCTTGGACACCCGATGACGGCTGGACGGACCTATCGTTCAACGGATTGAATGGACCGGTCAACTCGATCCTGAAGGCGGACAACGGTCACATCATTTTCGGAGGATCATTCGATGCTCTTGGAAACAGCACCAGTTCCAAGAACAAGAGACAAGTGCTCAACCTTCAGAACGCGACCGTTACTTCCGACTCCGACTCCTCCCTTGATGGCTACTCCGACCCCCGCAACATCATTTGTTCGACAAGCGGCAAGGCCGCCAAAGGCAGCACCTACCTTTTGCACGACTATGCGCCTGGATTTTGGAGAGCGGACCTTGGTTTCGATTTCTTCCCGACCAAAATCCGCCTGTACAACACCCACATGGATGGACGCGGCACCAAGGATTTCCTGCTGCGAGCCCTTCCTGACAATGGTATCATGAACCTGACCTACACCGATGAATCTGGCAACAAAGCCAGCTGTGACGCGTCTTGCCCGCTGTCCAGCAGTACCTCCGAAAAGTATCGCGAATTCACCATGGTCAACCCTGTTGGTATGCGAGGCCTTCAGATCGAGGTCCTAGATTGGTATGGAAAGGGGGCTGGTTTGAACGGCATCGAAGTTTTCCAGGATCAGATCCTTACATACGCTATTGACCAGTACAATGAACCGACTTGCGCAGGCATTGAATATCCCGCCAAGTCATCGCGGACTGGTGACTGGACCGTTGAGGATGGCTATGTGTCTGCAAAGGTGACGGACTCCGACGCCTCAGGTACATCGGTGACCTTCCAGCCTGATATCAAAAAATCCGGAAACTACACCATCAAGCTTTACACCCCTGGGTGCACGCAGGATAACACTTGTAGCTCGCGGGGTATCGTCAACGTCACCGCTTCTCTGTCGAGCGGCTCCGATTCCGATCAGCCCGAGCCGTCGTACTTCCACCAGACCAACAATGATGACAAGTACGATACGTTCTACACGGGTTATGTGGATGCCAGCGACGATTCTTTCCGACCGGAGGTGACGTTGCGGGCCAAGGACGGCCAAGGCGATATCACCATTGTTGCATCCCGTGTGCGTTTCGAATTATTGTCCACCACCGGAGGCCTCAATGGTCTCTATGATTATGACCCAACTTCCAAGTCCGACACCGAAGATGTCACAAAGTCAGACATTAACACCGCGGGTACATCCCTCAACCACAACGCGTCAATTTCCAGCATCCAGGAACACGATGGCGTGCTTTACGTGGCAGGCAATTTCTCCGACAACAAGCTCCACAACATCATGACAATCACGGACGGGAATGCCACTGCCCTGTCCGGTGCTGGGTTCAACTCCCCAGTCTTGGCGATGGCAGAGCTTGACAACGTCCTCTACGCCGGAGGTCGCTTTACTGACACTTCAGATGGAGGCGCTGACGGTTTGAAACGTGTTGCGGCATACTCGTTCTCCTCGAAGAAGTGGTCCGCTCTCGGCGCAGGACTGAACGGACCCGTCAGCTCCATCTGGCCCGTCAAATTGAATGCTTCAGCCGCCATCAATGAAACACTTGTTGCCGTGAGCGGTGAATTCGACCAGATTCTTGGTACTGACGACAACCCGGCCGTCTCAGTTGCTGGCCTTGCTATCTGGGTTCCTTCACGCAAGGACTGGATTCAAAACCTCAATGTCACGCAGATGGAGTTTGGAGGCCAATTGTCGGCCTTTGCCAGTCACAATGGCACGCTGATTCTGGCTGGTAACATTGCCACTAACGGTGTTACTGCTGGTGGAGCTGTTTCATTGCTGAATTCTGGTGATTCACTTCTCCCCCTGTCCATGAAGATCAACCACAAAAACTCTAGCAGCGGCTTGATCACCGGGGCATATGACACTGATTCGGACCGAAACCTCACTATCTACGGCGGCCATTTCACCGCCGCCGGTAGCAATGGTTCCTCTGTTGAAAACATTGCCATTTTCAACGGCAGCGATAACACCATCTCGGGATTGCCCCAAGGTTTTGACAAGAACTCCACTTTCGTTTCCATGCTTGTGTTCAACAACACCCTCTACGCTGGTGGAAGGGTTACTGGAAACATCAGCGATACCTCGCTGGGTGGCTTAATCGCGTATGATGTCGCCGACAATGTGTGGGAAGAGAACCAGCCGTCGTTTGGAGGCGAAAACGTCACCGTCAACTCCATTTCGAGACAGCCGGGTTCGTCGAACATCTTCTTCGGTGGCAACTTCGATACTGTCGGCCAGTTCCCCTGCCCCTCTGTCTGCTACGTTGATTCTCGCCACAACTCGTGGAAACGGCCTGGCCTGGCTCTTAGCGGTAACGTCTTGGAACTGCAATGGGCCAGCGAGAACAAGTTGATGGCCATTGGTGACCTTACGGCCATGAACAACAAGACGGCTATCGCCACGTACAGCACCAAGTCCGAAGAGTGGTCCGCTTTCCCTGGAGCATCCCAATCGGAAATGCCCGGCAACGTCACCGTATTCACTCCTGCCAGCCAGGATCTCTCCAAGTTCTGGATCGGAGGTACAGCTAGCAATGGCTCTGCTTTCTTCCTGAGCTACGATGGATCTAAGTTCCAATCGCCCGGCAATTTGTTCGGCGAAGGCACTGTCATCCGCGGCATGGATGTCCTGCCCATCAGCAAGGACCACTCCGCGGCCTCATTGTTGGACGACGACCAGACTTTGATGATCATGGGCTCGCTTGTGATCCCCAACTTTGGAAACGCATCTGCGGCGTTCTACAACGGAACCGATCTGACTCCCTTCATCCTTTCATCGCAATCCGATGGCCAATCGGGTAGCATGTCCAAGTTCTTCTCTCAGCACCAAAACCCCTTTAAGACCACCAGTAAGTTATCTCGAATCGTCCCGACCTTGAAGCCATACTAATTGACTCTAGGCAAACACCACTCCAACGGTATTGCCGTGCTGGTTGCCTTCTGCTGTGCCCTTGGCTGTGTCTTCCTCATTGTGCTGGCCGGTGTGATTCTGAACAAGATCCAGCGCCGCCGCCAGGGCTACGCAGCAGCACCCCAAACCTTTGGCACCGACCGACCCTCCGACATGCAGCGTCTCCCTCCAGAGTACCTCTTCAACTCCCTCGGCCAGCCCAACCCCGGTGCTCCCGCCCTCTAATGTCCCCATTTGCTCCCAAAACACCCCGAATCCTTTGATCTTCTCGAGGCTGGAGTTTTTGATTTGTTCTTACTGCACGCCACGTTGCTATACCCAGCCATTAATGTCTTATTTTGCTCTGTGTGTGATTTGCTCTGTCTGATTTTTTTTTTGTTTATCTCGCGCCGGCCACACCGCGATCGACCTTTATTTCTCACTTCTGGAACTTCACCCAGTTCCTGAAAGTTCCCTTGTGTATATGCCTCTGATCTGATGTACCATATGCTTTTCCAGCGATTCCCTGATGGATGTTGCTTAGGATGTGAGGCACGTAGATAGCCACGCTTGGATCGTGGATGACACAATTAATACAATACCCTTTGCTGATGACACTACTTAATCCCGACTATGCAATATAGTATATTCGACTATAACCAATGTCCTAAATAGGCCAACGAATACGAACAAAAAGACACGTCATTGGACCAGGCACCTGACTCGGCCACTGTGGGGGCCCCGGGTCACCTGGTCTCCCCGCAAGATCTCCAGGTTTTCAACCCCATCGACTTCACTGCGTATGTTGTCAGTCGCATTACCAGTTAGGTATGCGATCACGAACTGGTTGGTGAGTGCATGCTGTCCCGGAACCCTGCCAAGTACTAACACCGTGAAGCCTCACGTGTCGGACTCGAAAGCTGAAATGTACGCCTCTGTCGCAGTCTCGTGCCTCCCTAAACTAAACCTCTCCCAGGCGACGAAGAAAAACCCGAATGTTCGCAGTGCCGCAAAGGCGGCCGAGAATGTCGCCCGAGCGAGGGCGTCGTTTTTCGCCACCAGCAGAACGCGTCGATGAACCGCAACCTCAACGAATCGCCCCAGGGCCGTGGGAATCTGAACGGGTTTTATTCATATAAAAACACCTTTGACAAGGATAGCGTGTGGCTGGATGTCCCAAAACATGGTACGGTGCCCAGGGGAGATATGAGATTGGACTTCTGGATGGCTCATCTGTTCTGTAGTCATATTCGTCGACAACTCCGACCCATACGCCGAGGACCTGGAGGCCTCATTAGCCGAGCCAGGTAAAGCCGCAATGGCGCATTCCCCGGATCAGCGATGGGGAAGCAACGGCTCGCGCACAAGTGATGCCGAGACACAACGATTGGAAGCCCTGTCAGCAGTTGCAACGCACGATCGCTTTCCCTATTCTCCCATGGACCATTCACTCTCCGACAGTACCTCCTATCCCTCTCCAAACCAGCGCCGAAGCGCGATTCGCCCCGCCTCTCCCTCCATCTCGCTTTCTTCCACCAGCAACAACACCAACATTAATTTCCTCCTCAACCCTTCTCATTCGATGTCACCCCCCATCGATCCAAGTATCCAACTCTCTGACCGAAGTACCGCCCTGCCATCGAGACCCGCTGTATCAAAACGAAGTATGAGCCAGATGAGCATAAGCCATATGCCCGACGACAATGCAGAAACAGATTTCGAGACCGCCTTCTTCCTCCGACATTATTCGGAAGGACCGGGACTGTGGTATGCTCCCATAGACCAGATGGAACCAAGGACATTATTAATCATATTCGCAGGATGGATCTGTTCGACCTAGGCACGTATTTCGCATCATACGTTCCAGTCCGAGCAAGGTCGAATCCGCTCTTGAAATATGCAGCCTGCGCATATGCCGCGAAACAGCTCGGGCGAGTCAAAGGCGCAAAGGCACCGATGGGCGGCGTATGCACGCAGCAAGCTGCGATGGAACTGTGGCCCGACAAAGACCCCGACTTCGCCTGGTACGGGGCCAAGTATTATGAAAAGGCAATCCAGATTCTGATGAGGGAGCTGCAACCTAATGCCGAGGGTCCACCTCCACTGAGCACGCCCGAGGCATTCGGTCAATGGCAGGCTTCCGAGCTCTCTGCAGATACCAATAATCCACGTAAGCGCCGACGGCGAGTATCGGACAGTCGGCTGTCGCATGGGGTTCATTCAGACGAGGTTTTGGCGGCAACGGCGATTTTGTCTGTGTATGAATTCCTCGACGCGGCTGGTCCTGCGTGGAATCGCCATTTGAGTGGTGTCAAGTCGCTTCTCGATGTTGCGGAAGTGGGCATGATGCCCCTCGAGCAGCGCTCCCCGGGTGAGAATTCATACCAGACTTCCACGAAGAAGTCGAGCCTTTCGAAGGCTCGGAGGGCGACGTTTTGGAATTTCGCGAGACAGGACTATCTAGCTGCATGTAAGTTTCTGGTTCCATCGATCCAACTAGACATCGTGCTGATAATACAGTCATCAATGAGAGCCACACGAGGCTCAACACGGATGACACGGTCCTCTGGACCGAGGCTGGACTGTTGCTCGACAATGCTGGGTTCATCCGACCCAGCAACACAGGTGCAGCCGGGTACCCCGAGGGCGAAGAGACGATGAAGGAAGATCTGGTCAGTAATGGGTTGGTTTGGATAATGTCCAAGATAGTCAACTTCATCAGCTCCGGGGACAACGTGCACCTGACCGACAACCGATCCATGACTGGTCCGCTCGGGGTCACACAACAAGCCCTTCTGGAGCGTTGGTATAGACTTGAATCCGAGCTGGACGCATGGTACAGCGGTGTTCCGGAGACGTTCCGCCCCTGTGCGCGAATGGATCCATCCAAGCTCACACACCACCGTCCAGCTCACGAAAACGAAGACATCTCCACACTTCAAGAGATCTGGTTTAGTCTGCCCATGTGTGCATCGACTATGCAACACTATCACATGGCCCGTATCCTATTATTGATCAACAAGCCGCATGAGTCGACCAGTCGCCGGAGCACCATCACGCTCCGGCTCCAGTCCTACCGCTCCATCGAGGCCGACATCGCCTTCCACAGCCGGGAGATTGTCGGCATTGGGCTCTCCCGCCCGGACGGTAGCGTTCGCATCAACTCCCTGCAGCCGCTTTTCGTGGCCGGGCAGTGTCTCACCGATGCCCGGGAGCGAAGAACGACAGTTCGCTTACTCCGGAGCATCGAGTGTGATCTCGGCTGGGCGACTGAATACCGTGTTCAGCAGTTGATGAAAGAATGGGGCTGGGATGAGAGCACATCCCGATCACCCAAGGCAGGCGCTTGAACCATGACAGCCAGTTCGCAACGCAAAATCAGGCCTGAGACAAGGAACAGGCGATTGCTAGTTTGTCCTCGCTTAGGCAACCCCCACCGAGCCCAGCTCTCTCGGCGGGCTTTGGCCCTTGGTGCCCGATGACCCCATGGTGCAGCGCTTTGGAGCTGGCCAAGTGTGCGCATCTTGGGCTTCTCACATGTCATCCAGGCAGCAGAGAAGTCCAAGATCTTGGTATACAGGCCGAGACCACGGCCGAGATTAATGAATAATGAACATGAAGATTGTATGTACAGTATAGTCGAAATATTGGATGAAATATAGGAATGAGGGGAAAGAAACCAATATTTAGTCTGTTCGGTATAGTTGCCAAACCCTAGAATTGTTTAAATTCAGGGCTGAACCGAGAATAGCCGGAAATAGGGTTCTGGGGAAGTGCAGAGCTGCAGACATTCAATTGCAGATCTTGACGGACTCCATCGCTCTACATCTGACTCCACTTTCTATGCGACCTTACGAGCGAATTCCGGTCAACTTGCAGGTTTAGTTGTCACCGAATCCACCTTGATGTGTCCCGGGCAAGTTATCCGACTGATCAACGGCCGAGAATATTTCGGAATACTGTGATCGGACATGCCGGGCTAAGGCTCGATTCGACCTGCGACGTAAGGGCCGGACTGGACAAAGCAAGTATCGCGATGGAGGGGCAGAAGCTCGTGTGATCTACGACTATGAGATCATCTCGACTGTGAGCCTAGATAACGTCTCGGACAACGTCTTGTCGATGCACCTTTAAAGCGATGTGAGACGGGCGGAATGGGGATATTGTGTTCGACAGACCCCATGGCCTCGAACTCCATGGGTTGAACCCGGTCAGATCTCGATGGCCCTGTCCAAGCCCACCGATGACAGACTCACGCATGAAAGATCTTACCAATAGGTCCAATAGGATCAATATCATCCCTATCGCAGTTCTCACCCCGGGGATCCCAGCCCAGAACCAGCGGTTGTCAGACTTTCGAATCCAGCCACGTTCGGCCCCTGAGATGAGACCGTTCATCACGAAGACCGGTTTCGCCGGCGCTAACTGATCACGTTACTCCATGTGCCCACCTGCGCAGAGGGCGATCATGTTGAGCTTGGCGAGGCTGTTCCGACCGATGACAGGTAGAAGCCGTGCGCTCGGGCCAGAATGCCGATGTCATACCGTGCAGCGTCGCCAGTGGCATGTTGAAAACCTTGCAGTGAGATGTGATGCAGAAGGGGGCAACATCATGTGAGAGGCATGATTTGCTGAAGGGGAGACGCCGTCAGAACGCAGCTGTGGTTGCGATGGCAAGTGGGCAAGACTACAACTGTAGAGCATCGTGGATTGGCCTGGCCTTGAAGAGATCTCGATTGGTCCTATGTCTTGCGGGCTGAGTCTGGCGAGATGGCTTGAGTTCTAGCAGAGCTGGCCTCTAACGTGAAGACATGATGTGTTGATAGATCGCACATCATCCAGTCTCGTTGAGATCACAGTGGGAGCTGAGTGCGGGTGGATGATTGGGCGAATTGACGCGGGGGACACGGGCGAGGGACAGAGGCACTGGCCAGTCTGAGGACTTCGGGGCATTTACGCACGAGTCACCGTTCTTGGCAGGGGCGTTACTAGTATAGATCGGAATGACTAGTACTAATTTAATGGCATTGTTGAATCTAGACGAGCCGTTAGTGCGTAGTCTACTACTAGTTCTGGGTCGTTGGACTAGTCCAGCTTCAAGTCCATGGGTATGCTATCTCAGGTCTACGACTGCACTAGTACTAGCACAGTCGAAATTAGCCAAAATTGGTAGAATTGGGCATCTCAGGACGATCAGCGACGATCTCGTCGTGAAGATCCTGTTCGTAATTTATGTACGGTGGCCGTACGGGCCAAGACGAGGACCGAGCCCGGAGTATTACAAGCGAACGAGTGAGGACTTCCTGGGAGACTAGGGAGTCAACGAGTTAAAGAATATAGAGTGGATCCCTGCAGGTCCCATATCTTGTCTTTCTCTACTTCTACTTCATCCTCATCTTCATTCTCTTCTGCACTCGCGCTGGCGCGTTAGTGATATGCCGGTGTGCCAACCATGGCCGATCTAAATGGACACTGCCCGTCGCCTTTCCTTCAAGAGACTCTCTTTCCTACCGACGGCGGGTTTATCGACGGCCGCTATTGCGAGAAAATCACCCTCGCCAATAGCACCTACTCCTGTTGTCTGCCATGTCCGCTCGCTGAATGGCGATATGATACCGGTGAGTGGGATCTATACAAAGTCAATGGCCAAACCCTAACAGCGGGCAGACCTTCATTCCAAAATCGACGTCGCCAGCTGGATCAGTGTCGCCATCCTGCCCCTCTGTATATTTCTCCTGATCTCTTACGCTGTCCTGCCCGTCAAATGGACTCACCGGCACTATCTGAGTATCTGCTTTACAATCGGCATCTGTTGCATGGAGGTGAGCATTGATAGATTAGAACACCTGGATCTGGACTGACGATTGACCAGCTCGCCTTCATCATCCCCCTCGGTGCCAGGCCCGAACAATGCCACAATGCCATCACCCCCAATGATATGCATTCCGATCTTTCATGCGCCTTCTCGGGCTCACTCTTGCTGTTCGGAGGCTGGATGGTCGTGATTTGGAGTTTCATCCGTACTATCGCATTCCATCTCCAAGTCTGTTGGGAGGTCGTCCTGGGACCTAAGTTCATGTGGGTGGCGTTCGTCTGCGGCTTCGGCATCCCCGCCGTGGGATTGACAGTGATGCTCGTCCTCACGGGGGTCTCATTCAGATTCGGCGAGATCTGCCACATCAACGTGACCAATGCCCTGTACGATTACTGGATTCCGATCATGATTTTCGCTGCGATAGCCCTCTTCCTGCAAGTCTCGACCATGATCTACTGCACCCATATCTATGTCCGCTCTCTCTTCGACAAATCTGCCTCTACAACAGGTAGTTCCGGTCTTCCCTCTTACACAGCTAGTGTGCGCACCGTGACGGCCCGACAAGCCTACCGGCGTGTGCGCCGTGTTCTACAACTCCAATGGCGCGGCGTTGCTCTCGTCTGTATCATTATCGCCAACGTGATCTTCTTTGCCGTGGTTTTCATCAAACTCGACAATGCAGTTGCCCCCACCGCCAGGAACGTCAAACAAGCCACTCCCTGGCTCATGTGTCTCGCCACAACCGGAGGCGACAGAGAGGGGTGTCGCCAGTACGCCGAAGTCATTGGTCCCAACGAAGGCACCCTACTAGCCGTCGTGATTCTCCTATCTCTAGTTGGTTTCTGGAACTTCATCCTCTTTGCACGGCCCTCCATGTTCGCCGGGTGGATGGAGCTCCTTGGCCGCGGGGCCCGGCGGCGCAACGAATTTGTCTCGGCCGATGCCAATAGCCGCTTTGTGGATAACAAGGGCTTCGAGATGCTGACCTCAACGGTCAAATCGCCCGATGCATACATGCGGTCGCCAAGCCCGTCGCAAATGGAAGGACAGGGTCGCAGCCTCACTAGTGCAAGCCCGACATTCGACCGCAATGTCCATCTCGGCCATGAGGCCCGATATGTTCGTCCATCCATGAGTTTCTCCGGGCCTAGGCCGCCTAGCTCGTCCCAGGGTACGCGCGAATGGGACCCCTCGTCCACATTTGCCCCGGCTTATGGGCGAGAACGAGAGTAATGTTTTTTAAAATACGTTTCTGTTTCTAGGTAATACTCTAAAAAAACTCAGGTTTCTTACATTGTCATTGGCTCTTTCTTTTCAACATACTATAATTTTGGAGTAGAAAAAGCATATGATCCACTGCTATTCCATGTTACAGAGAATGCATTTGCAAATGTACGGGGTCAAGCCGTTTCAGAAGGCCAGACTGCGTATCCACCGCGTTTCTAAATCGGACTCCACGTGGAGAGCGCACTCTGTATCGGAGAATCGAATCTGGTTCCCATATTAATTTCAATCGCAATCGCAATGAACGTGCGGTCCCCATCTCAATCTATTTTGTGATATCCAGAACCTCCCCGCATCACCCCTACGAATGTGATTTCGAATTGCGCAGGATCCTGTAACAGTGGATATCCGTGGAAATGTGTCGCATCATCTCCAAAGGTACCAGTACCAAGCACGAAGATGGAGTACGGAGTACGCACACTCACATCATCCCAGTACCTCATGCACTTGGGATCCCTACCCCAAGTACTGGATAGATCCACCGAGTCCAGGATAGGAAACAGACCGTCCCACTCAGGCTCAGGACACGATCCAGGGATGCTCGAAGCGGCAGGAATGAACGTGTGATCGTCAACTCGGACTCCAGCGACCAGAGGGGCCGTGCTTGATACCCCATCGTAGATAAGGTCGGACTCCGGAAGTCAAGTGAGAGTCGCCAACCAGAGTTGCAACCAGAGACCAAGCCAGAGCCAAATCCAGAACCAAAGTAACTGTACTAGGATGGTCCACCCATCCCAGTCTGAAACGCAAAGAGCCCAAACACGGCAACAGGGCCGTTCCTGCATGAGGGAAAGAGAGGTGGAGTCAAGTCGTAAGAGCGGGCCTTGCGCTAGTGCTAGTGCGTATTGTAATTATGCCAAATACGGTAGCCTAAACGGCCTAGATTATGTGAGATTCACTACTGGACAATGGCATTTATTACGAGGCTGAATGAGGCGTCTTGGTCTTAGGGCTTTGCCTTAGTCCCTGCCGAGTAGAGTCAATTATATTGAACGGCGTTGAGGGTACAAAGTAGGTAAATGGTAGAGAGGACAAGGTGTTTGGTAGCGAGAAATACAGTCGCGTCGCTTCCCATGGTTCGGGTCTTCGTTCCACCCGTGGACGGCTCCCCGCATCCCATCTCGGCTTAAACCTACTCCGTGCCTGTACTCGAACCGTTCCATTTCGTCTTCTAGTGTTGCTGATCTGTGGTTTGAGTTTATGTGCTTGACAGGATCCCAAGGTTCGAGGGGAATACTTCTAGAAATTGAACACGCTGATCAGGCCACATGTCGTAGGGTCGGAGAAAACCTCGGCACTTGGGTTGTGGGGGTCTAAGAGTGAGGTATTTTCGGTACTTAGATTATAGTCCGGGGTCCGCACGTTATAGTGAGTTGGGGGGTTCTAGATCTCCGAGACAGAGTTCCAAGGCTGGTGATAATGGCTAGCAGCGAATAGGCAGAGGCTTGTTGTTTGTCCATAGGTTTGGCGAGATCTAACTACATGGAACGTGCCCTTCAATGTCATTATTTTCGATCATATTACGCTAGGCCTTCAAATTTGCCCAGCTCTTTCAGCAACGGAGGGACAACGGTATCGAAGACTCGCTCCTCGAATGTTTTCTCGAGACACAGAAAGTAGTTCGTTAGAGAGAAGGAGGAAGAGGAGAAGCGCAAGAGCTCAGACGCCGAATGATAGATGAAGAAATCCACGAGACGAAGGAAATTATGGAGAATAGATTGGATCAATTTACAATAGAGGATACAAAGAGCATAAGAATAAGCACCCCCAAAGAATTAGGAATAAAGAACGCAGTGCCACAGAGACTGAGAAGAGCTTATCTACAAGGCTGCTGTTGTTGCAGAGTGGAAACAGGAGTAAGAGAGGATGAAAAATGAGCAGCAGGAGGGTAAACAACATAGGAAGCCTGGTGGGAAGAAAGCAGAAAATAAGGGAGAGACTTGGGCCATGGATACTCTTGGGGAAAATTCACTGATATCACGTAGACCCCCACCGGGAATCCTTGATGGCCTACTCCGTACAATCTCTTTTGGAAATGGGACCATGAAAGCCGGACCTAATTACACGATGTGATCAGGGCTAAACCCACATCTACTAGCACGGCACCGATTACATCGTCATCGTCGGTCTCCTGTGGAACTTCTCCCGAGGACATCTTCCCAAGTTCGCGCGAAAGAGGCGTAGAAGCCATTAGAGACATAAAGGATGATAGATGATGCTCTATTCAGGAGCGAAATTAGCATCGAAAGTTCAATCCTCGGGAATTTCTGCATGTGTCACCCGTTGCCCTTTTTGGCCAACGTGGAGTCTGATCGAACTTGGAAGTGTAGAAGAACTCTGACTTCAATCCAAGAATTGCAAAGATGCACTTATACTCAGGTTAGTAAGTATCATCATGAGTATCTAGATTATTGCAAAGGTCAGCCCCCGAGGTTAGGAAAGGGATCGACAACTGAGAAGATGAAACCGTCTTCCAAGTTGAAATCCATGGTGGTCATGCAGTCATGAGGCGGACCCTTGGACTTCCCGTTGCTCCACGGTTCATTCCAAGGTTGCCCCATATATCGACTGGAACCTACTGCGTGGCACCGTTCCATTATATCATTATATGTATCTTGGGTACCATTCCAGGGTGTATGCTGCATCTAAAATATCGCAATGCTAATCATATACCCTGTCTATCTCCTAGTCAAACATATCGGGACTCCCCAGAGTGGCTGCCATGAACAGTTCAACGGAAAATCCTGGAAGCCGGAAACCCCAAAAGTCCGCACAAGGATAGAAACTCGGTAGATGCAAGTTGAATTTACGGGGCTTTAAAAGCAGGGTGTTTCGTTATTTGCACTATAGTCCGGGGTCCCCACGTTCCAGTGCGTCTGGGGCTAGACATCCGAAGATAGAGTTCGCGGCACAGGATTCGATGGGGTTACACGCGAGTTGGCACCAGTGTTTTGTGGGGGAGGCGAAGGTATCATCCTCGGAGTTACCGTAGTATGGTATTTGTAGTATCCGGGGAAGGGAAACCGTATTGGAAAACTTTGAATTGACGCTAGTAGGAAGCCTCATCGTGCACCGCCGAGGCATACTAGGTACATGTGATTGATATTTAGGGTCTCTCGCAGGCTAGACTTGTTTGAAATGGGGAATGGGGTATTCTGGTACGAACCATCGTGTTCTTTAATAAGTGGCACCGAAAGGTAGTCCATGCTTCCGCGATAAATTGTTCCAAGCCTGCGGGACCTCGGGATGTTTGTTAGAGGGTAGCACATACGTTTCAGTAAACGCAATCGTCTTTATACCGAAATCTGTAAGTAGAGTAATCTCGAAATTCTAGCAGAGATACATCGAAGACAACATGATGGGACTGTATGATGTTTTCATCTCTCTCTCTCTCTCTCTCTCTCTCTCTTTCTCTCTCTTTCTCTCTCTTTCTCTCTCTTTCTCTCTGCAGTAGCACACTCGGCCAATGTGTCGCTTGTATGAAGCAGAAGAGCAGAACAAAAATCAACCAGAGAGTGCCGAAACCAGACATCTAGAAAACATCACACACTCACTGATCTATCTACAAGCCTCCAGTAGCACAGATCTGTTTGGCCTCAGGGAGACGTTCCGCATATCGGGTGGGATAGGCAGAGTCCTGCACCTTCTGGCAAAGCTTGCCAACCTCCATGGACTTCCAGCCACTGATGCCCTTCATTTTAGAAAAGAATTGCGCCGCGGACTTCGCAGCATCCATATTGGCCGCAATGTTGGGATAATAGACAGCACGCTGCTGGAAGATACCCACGCTGTCGTAGTCCGAGCCCACCTTGTCGTGTGGGTAGTCGAGAGAGGCGGGAACTTTCTTGTTGGCATAGATGTAGATGTTCGACTGTAGGAAATTAGCCACTTTCTAATCACGCGGGCAGTCATTGTGGAATTTTATCCAAGCTTACCTCAACAAGGGCAGTTGCAATGCCGGCAAGACAACCCTGGCGGCCCAGACTCTCTGACTTTGCTTCGTTGATAATGGCCTTTGCGTGCTTGGACTGGGTGGCTGTCAGGCCAGGTAGGCTTCCGTTGCTTCCACCTCCACTGCCGTTGTCATTGCACTTCTTGGTGACATAACTGGAACTCTCTGTCTTGATGTAGTAGTCGGATACATAACAGCCGTCGGCCGTTTTGTCCCAGATGTTGTTGCCGAAGATATCGGTACCATCGGTCTGGCAAGTGATACTAACATCGGCACCTTTCTCGTAGCTCTTGACGATAGAGTGGGATGTTCCAGGGCCAGAGCGGCATTTGACACCATCGCCCGTGATGGGATATGCGTTGACAAGCGGTGCGATGGCGGCGAACGCAAGGGCCAAGATGGGAGTGAATATCATTTTGAATAGGTAAGAGAGATTGAACTTGCTGGTTGATGCTCCAGAGCTTGCGATATAATGGTAATCCAGCAGGACATCACCGATCATTATATACTGTCGGTCCCGCCCCAACTCAAAGATCGACCTTGCCAATCTCCATTCGGACCCCAAAGTCGTATAGAAATGGATTGGGAGCAACAAGATCTTCACTTCGTATTTGCGACGGCCGTCTGTCCAGCTCGTATACAGTCAAAGTCGTAGAGTTCAGGGGTGGATCTTTATTCACGGACTGAAACTCGTATCCATGCCGATCCTGAACCCATGCTATGCGGAAGTGTGACAACGTTGAGCTTAATCGAAACAGCAGTCGCCCTTGGCGCTCGTGTTCCTGAGGCTTTTTCTGTCAGGGCGAAGTATGGCCCCTAAAAATAGCAGAAATATCCACAGATTAGCGTAGATTTATGCAGATCATCCGTGTTCAGATCGAGGAACAGTGTTGATTCGAAGGATGGTGCCCTAGTAGTTTTAGTGTATGCTACATCGTGATGTCGCCGACTTGGCAAGTGTATTGACGGCCAGTCAACGAAATTCCATGTCAATATGATCCCGCATTTTACACCGTACTGTAGTGAAAGGGAAAATGGTGTGGGTTGATGTTTCGAATGGGTCTCTCTTGGCGGCGGGAACTCAGGGCACTGAGAATCATTCGCTTAACGCCTGTATATATTTCCATTGTGGTTTACTAGTCTTCAAGGATTATTATGAAGGGAACCGTGCTGTCACGGCAGTTGAAAGTTTTTTCCTTTCTTTTTTGGAGAAGCCTTGGACAAGATATCACCAAAAGGATATGTCCAGCACGGATAGTAACCTCTCTTTAGATGCTTCATCTGAGACGAATTGATCATTCCACAAGACAAGCATGGGTGTGTCAGATTTGCATTCGCCATCGGATTAATGTCAACGCAACATAATGTGCCTCCGGAGAAAATCCTTGCCCTGCAAGTAATCGGCCTGCATAGTTTTGCCGTGGGTTTAAGGTCTCTGTGGGGAGTTCGGACAATCCACGAAGCTTCGCAGCCACACAATAGAGTAGCCTGGTCAACGGACCTATATGGAACTCTCGCTTGCAATTATCGGATGCCTGACACCGAATTCGATCTATTGGAGAACCCTGCAAGGGTATGCCGATGCCCGAACCCTAGTGTTGGGACTAGAAGCACTTAAGCGGGTCAATCACACCGACTCCCGAGGCTCAGAGGCCACGGCAATGGTGGACGGGGTAGCAATGCCAGATCGAGTGCGGAAATCCAATGGTCAGATTAGTAGGAGAAATGCCGCCGTAGAGGCCCAAGTAAAACCAGTTATTGCGTATAGATCGGGTCCGACGTCACGAAGGCGGAGAGCGTAGCTGTGCTTTCTCCCCGCTCACCCCAGCCACCTGTCCCCTTTCACATTTTCTTCCAACACCCATTTCTGCCCTGGAGATCTAGCTTCTGGTTTGGCTTATTCGACAACGATGGCTCCTCCTCCTCCTGCAAGCTTGCCTCTGGCCGAGCGACTCAAGGCTCTGGCGCAGACCCTGCAGTGCGTTCCCTCTTCACTGCATTGACTCGTGTGATACTAACAGCCTCACAGATTCGCTTGGTTTGTTGGGTAGGTCGTTTTCCAGGCAAAGGATGGTCAAATCCCGGGTTCAGACTCACTGACAATATCTAGACATGTGACCCTGCTGCTCTCGGTCTTCCGTTACAGCTTGTCTTGCCTTTTCTTCAACTACTACTCTTCCTCGGCCCAATTCGCCTACCGCTTGACCTTTGTCTCTGCGGCTGTCACCTACGGAATCGTCGTCTACAAGGGCCACTTCGCCCGGGGTGTCCAGGGCAGCCCTCTGTCCATCGTCGTGAAGCTCGTTTCTGACGAGAATGTGCAATACCTTGGTGAGTGACGAGGGTGCAATTTATCGCGACCCAAGCTTATGCGCTTTCTTCTCTTCTTAGGAATGGCCCTTGTCTGGCTGTACTCTCGCCAGCTCATCCTGGCTCTTCTGCCCTTCAGCGTCTACTCGGTCTTCCATGTCGCAACCTACAGCCGCATGTACCTGATCCCCACTTTGCAGCCGACCGCGTCCACTGCCACTCCGGCCTCTCCCACCTCCCCCTCTTCCAAGCCCGCTGCTAAGCAGTCTCCCCTCGCCGAGACCATCGGACGCTTCATCAAGCAGTACTACGATGCCAGTATGGGAGTTGTCGCCACTCTGGAGATCGCGCTCCTGTTCCGCCTCGTCCTGTCCGCCATTACCTTCTCCAAGGGAAGCTGGGTGCTTCTGATTGTCTACCTGTCCTTCTTCCGCGCCCGCTACGCCCAGAGCTCCTTTGTTCAGCAGGCTGTTCGTCAGCTCACCGCTCGTGCCGATGCCTCTCTCTCCCACCAGGGCACCCCCCCTCAGGTTCGTCAGGGCTGGGAAACCTTCAAGGGTGTTGTGCGCCAGGGCTATGAGGCCACTGACATTGGTCGCTACGTTTCTGGCTCTACTGCTGCCAAGAAGCCTCAGTAAACGCAGAATGGACCATGGACCAAACACCTTGATATTTTCTCTGAATGCCAAATTTCGGCATTGAAAGGAACCAGGAGCTCAGTCTTCCAGCATAAGGTGGATGGTGTCAACACGATCACACGGATTTATCTCCCATTGGAACAGTCTCGCGCAAGCGAGTACGACACGGAATATGGAACACAGAACACGAAATATGGGGGCTCAAGCATGAGACGTTCCGGGTCTCTGCTGTAGAAAACAGGCGGCTGTGGAGGTTTGCCGACATGATGCTATAAGCAACGACTTGTGTTTATTATTTCTAGAGCTTTTTGCTGCATTGTAATTGCTTTCTTTATGCCTATATCGCTTTCATGGCCCATTCAAAGAGCGAACCCGAGCGAACAGTATAGAAGTCGTCAACAGAAGTATAGAACGGATATGACACAATGTGGATGCCTCAGGCGAAGATCGGGCTTGGCAACGAAAAGAGGCCGATCAGAATTTTGATCCTCTCATAAGCAATTGCTCCTTGGTTTCTGTCACTCATTCTGATTGCTCTGATCTTTAAGGGTACTCTCCCGTCCAGTCCTTCATTCTAAACCCCAGTCTGGTATCGACCAGTGTTGATTGGGGTTGCAGTTCGGCGTTTGCCATGAGCCTGACCTCGCGGGTGTTCGGCCTGTTCTCGACAGCGGACTCAGACTCAACTGCGACTCCTGCGGGGGACTCGCCTACCTCAGCATGGAGTTCGCCCACACATACCGCAGTGCGAGATGAATTAAGTCCCGGCCGAGATGGCGATCTCGCACACGAGGAGGAAGAGCCTCGGCCGCCATATTTACATGTACGACTTTCGTTGCGGGCTCTCGCTGTATTGCGCAAGGCTGACTTTTGATTTTTATAGGCAATGCTGGCTGGCGGAATTGGAGGAACGTGTGGTGACATGTTGATGCACTCTCTCGACACAGTAAAGACACGACAACAAGGCGACCCGACGTTCCCGCCGAAATACACATCCATGGGACAATCTTATGCCACAATCTATCGTCAAGAAGGTTTCTGCCGCGGGCTATACGGAGGAGTGACGCCGGCGCTCCTTGGATCGTTCCCCGGCACGGTGATTTTCTTCGGATTCTACGAGTACACCAAGCGTTTGATGATCGATTCCGGTATCAACCCCAGCGTCGCCTATCTATCAGGTGGCTTCTTCGCCGACCTGGCGGCATCAGTCGTCTACGTTCCATCCGAGGTTTTGAAAACACGATTACAGTTACAAGGCCGACATAACAACCCTCATTTCAACTCGGGGTATAACTATCTCAACATGAGGGATGGATTCCGTCAGATTGTGCGACAGGAAGGGTTCTCGGCGCTGTTCCACGGCTATAAGGCTACGATCTTCCGCGATCTCCCGTTCTCCGCTCTTCAATTCGCCTTCTACGAGAAAGAACAGTCGATGGCTAAAGAATGGGTTGGAAAGCGAGACATTGGACTCGGCCTGGAGATCCTGACAGCCGCCACCGCCGGCGGTATGGCTGGCGTGATCACCTGTCCCATGGATGTGGTCAAGACTCGCATTCAAACCCAACAGAACCTCCCAGAACCTCCCTCTGGCTCGGGCACGAAACACAACGTCGAACATGTGCCCAAAGAAAGCCCCCGACCCCACGCCCCATCCTCTCACTCTCACCCCTCCCGCAACCACTCTCGACCCATCTCCACCTCCGGCGCCTCTACGTCCATCCCACCTCCCGGCACCCCACGACTGGACACGTCCTCAGTGTTCACGGGTCTAAAAATGATCTACCGGACCGAAGGGCTGGCGGGGTGGTTCCGCGGCGTGGGCCCCCGCGGAGTGTGGACCAGCATCCAGAGTGGAACAATGCTGGTGCTGTACCAGTATCTGCTCAAGGAACTGGAAAGCCGCCAAATTCTGGCCGAGCGGCCTTAAGTTGCATTTTCTCTTTGTTCTGGCGTTTCTTTGTCCCCGGATTGGGAGGTTACGACCCCAAGTGCGCGCACTGTATAATTGTGTACTGATAGACGTTTTTAGACTGGCCACGGCCTGAATGTACCATAGGAATCTCATCAACTCTACATATTCTATAAAGCAAACCAAATAGCTGTAAATGCGGACAAAGAGCGAGACAAAGCGGAATGACATGAAGAGGCGCGCTAAACCGTTTGTTTTGGCGATCGGCGGATGTAAACAATTACCGGCCAAATGCACTTTCTCCCCTCCTTGCATCTTCTCCTACGCACATTATCCCCTTGATATTTGCATTGATCCAATTCTGATCCATCATGTCTGGTTTACCCTATCTGCGGTCGCTGAGGAAGGCTGGCCTCGTCGATATCGCCGAGCAGACCGAGTTCGCCAAGTAAGTTGCGATTCGGGTCGCAAAGGGAACCGAACTGACATGTTTCAACCTGCGACAGCCCCGATGATTACAATAAGAATGACCTGGTAGTGGCTCTTGATAAACACCTGCGCAATAACCAGTCTATCTTCGCCGGCGTCGAAAAGCTCAGCGACTATTATTCCCGCATCGATACGCCGCGCAAAGGATATTCACCCGTCAAACGCGAGTCCACGAGAACCCCAGGGCGTCGCTCAGTCAAGAAAGACATCGCGCCCGCACCGGAGCTCGAACCCAAGGAGGAATTTAGGTAAGATCGTCCGCCTCCACTCCCCACGGGGGGCCGCGCCGATCGCGCATGGACTAACCCTCCCAGTGAACCGGAGTACGCGCAGAAGCCTGTGGTAGTCAGCCCATCCGTGGAGACGCCTACAGTATCGCGTGCAAGTGCGCGTCAGTCGCGTCAGAGCCTTCAGCAAACTCCCTATCAGACCCCGCGCGTCCCCGCCCTCTCCGCGGTGGAAGATGTCGAGCGACCGTTGCCGGCATCGCCAGCCGTCGTGACTGAAGTCATTGATCAACAGACTACCAAGTTGTACGAAAGTATCCAACGAGTGTGGGGAGCATCGGGCGTTGTAGACCACGTTCATGCCCTACGCGCGAACCTCAGCAGCGTCAAGGCCGTCCAGACCATCGTCCTCTTGGTGGAGGGTATTACGTTCCTGGCAGCGCGAGTTCCCTTGCGCTACCTGACCACTATCCCCGCTATTAAATATACCAATACCCCCGCCGTTCGTATGAAGGTCCCTGACTTGTTTTCGATTTTGGAAGGAGACTTCTGGGTGCCGCTTTCTGTTTGGTTCTTCACCTGCTTCGCCTTGCCATTGATTGCTTCCTACTTCATTAACCTGAGCTGGAAAGCATCCACCCATGGGCGTCGCACCCGCTCAACATCCACCCTTGCTCAATTCGACCCATTGGTCTTCAACATCGCCAAGGCCCTCTTGGTGCACCTTGTGTTGGGTAAGGAGCTTACCTACGGTCTTGTTGGACGCTATACCCTCCGCAGTGTCAGGTCCAGCGTGCCCGGCGGCGAATTTGGATTATTTACTGGTACCGCTATCGGAGCCATTGGAGCCATCTACGAGGCTATCTTGAACCACGCGTAAGATGCTGGTTCTCGACCATCGCGGGGTTGTACAGATACTCTGGAAAGTGTTGCGACGTTCGCGGGGAGACTATTTGTGTGGTGATCGTTTTACACTTTGTCTGTTTTATGCGTCCATGTTTACTCGCTGGGATATGAATGAAGCGACACGCAACTATTTGGACTTTTTTTTGGCTTCTTACCATCTGGATTTTTGTCTTTCTCGGTCTCTCGTTCTAGCCAGAGAAGGCGCCTTTGGGGTTGGTCTGGCTTGTATTTGTTGTTTCAGGCGGATTATCTTTTGTCTCTCTTAATGACTAGACCGTTTTTTTAGGTTTAACACCGTTTCACTAGTCATTCGGGTATTGGTGTATGAAGTACACTTCTGATTTTCTCTTGGAACAGCTGGGTTATAAAGTACACGGCCATTGGTCAGTGTCTATCCAGGTGCCCCGGGCCGTAGACCAAGAGGAACCTTGGAAGGAAACATGGCCATCGTGGGCATTTCTCTAGGACTTGTGCAATATTTCCACATGTTCGCCAGATCTATTGTATCAACGCCTTTCCACGGGGGCGCAAAACTGGGTATTCTTGCCGTTCAAACATAAAATCGGCTAGATGCGATCGAAAACGGCCTCATGATCGCCTCTTCAGCCTCTCGGCTAATTCTAAAGTGAACAACACCGAAGTCGATGTCTCAACCTCCACCTTGTCAGCACGGATATGATTACTGGTGGACAACTGTCCTCCAATCTCGGTATGCCAATCCTGAACATCCCATTCAAAGCCATGTGTTGTTATGACCGCAGGTGCCGTAATTGGAATAATGCCAATGTTTTCTTCGAACATGTATTCCGGCTCCGGTCCGTCTAATTTGCGTTTCTTCGCTGAGGGTGATCCGTTTGACTCAGACGCCGATTGCTTCGCGACATCTGCGCGGTTGGTGGCCGGCGTATAAATTGTGTTCTTGCCTTCATGTAAAATGAACGTGATGCTCTCTTCGGACACGAGATACAGCCTTCCACCTGCAGCTGGTCTGTTGTCGATGCTGGGAGAGCTGGTTTGACTCTTGCGAATTTCACGCTGCGACTGGGTCATCATGTAAAGATGGTGGACTTGGGAAAAGGCTTGGTCCACTCGCCCGCCGAGGCCTCCTAGAATCACAATCTCCAGAGGTGATTGCTCTGCTGAAGATGCTGGGTTTGAGTCGCTCTCAGGTTTCTTTTTGCCGTTTACCCTTGCCGGGCTATTTCCTTGGCGAGGCGAGGCAATAATCTCTGCAGCATGTGCATTGAGATGTTTTAAACACTTGGTGAAGTCTGTCGAGTACTGATCTGGGTCTTTGATGATAGTCACGCCAAGCTTCTCATAGTGCTCTTTAACTGCTGGGCGAAGAGAATCCAAGTCACCCATGATGGCATCCGGTATCTGGTGCAAAATTGTCAGCCTGATATTCACACTTTGGACTACTGCCTCGGGTTTGAGGATGATCCATACATGAAATGCATGCTGAAGCCCATCAAAGTCAGAAAAACAATTTTGCTAGATATCCCTTACGTTCTTAGATTCTGCACCAACGGCCTCCATCATATCATAAAGTCTGTTTGCGCCTCCATCAGCGCATATGATATACGATGCTGCAGGGGTATTAGATCGGTCCTAATTCAAATCTCTCCGGTCGTACCATGTCTGCTCAAGGCATCAAATGCTTTGTGGTTGATTGGCTGATGGAGGATCAGCAGAGCATACGGAGACGGGCTCCCAGAGGCACTGAAGAAACGACTAGGATCCCACTCCATTATTTGAAGCTGATCAAGAGCCAAGTAGTGAAGGGAGTGTCGCGGGGGGAAGAGATGAGCTTGATAAGCGTGACTTGATGGCCTCAGGCATCGAATCTTCCGACTTCTTCCCGCGTCATTCCATTTGTGCCTCGAGGAACTTCCATTCCGACTCGATCACTTCACAATGTTTCGTCCCGTTGCTAGAGCGCTCGCTCATGCGCCTACTGTCGCATCCCGTACACCCGCGACTAGACGATTGATAAGCACCGGTCCCTCCAAGCCGCGAAGCTGGAAGAACACCGTCCTCCGATTGGGTTTGGCTGGCGGTGCCATCTACTACTACAACACTAGCAGTGTTTTCTCCGAGGAGCCAAAGTGTACGTCTCAGTCACTTCCTTAGCCGCGCCTTGCGTTCGCGACAGCCTCATTGCGTTCTGGCAATGGATGATCCGGATCGCGAATTATCGCTAACATCATTTCTCCGTCTTAGTCTCTCTTCTTTCCTCGATCCGCAAACAAAATGGCGATGACGCCAACCCACAGACTCTCGACTCCATCACCCCCAAGATCCGTCAAGAGCGGGCTGCCGAGAAGGCCCAGCGAGCCGAGTCCGCCGCTCTGGAAGGTGGAGTGAACGCCCAAGAGCTTCAGGAGGAGGCTGGCCAAGAAGCCGCATTCAACCCGGAGACTGGCGAGATTAACTGGGACTGCCCGTGTCTCGGAGGTATGGCCCACGGCCCATGCGGAGAAGACTTCAAGGGTGCCTTCAGCTGCTTCGTGTACTCCGAGGAGGAACCCAAGGGCATTGACTGCATTGAGAAGTTCAAGTATGCCATTCGAGCCAATTCCGGGATCAGAACCGCCGGCTAACCATTTTCGCAGGGCCATGCAAGACTGCTTCCGTCAATACCCCGAAGTCTACGGTGCCGAGCTAGAAGATGACGAGGAGGCTCCCGCTGCCCCCGCCGATGTTCCCCCCACCGCTGCCGAGATCAATGAGGCTTCTCTGCCTGAGGAGAAGCAGGCTCGTGCGAGAGAAGTCAACGCCCAAATGAAGCAGACCGGCGAGCACCCCGATGAGGACCTCCTTATCCCTAAGGCCGCACACGACACCGAGGAGAAGAACAAATCCAGCAAGGCTTAGACATGTACCTTCAGCCTCTGCATCCTGTCTGACGCCAATCTCCGAGACGCCTTACGTCTTCTGTAATACACCAGGGCCTAAGATCGGAGTTGTGTATTATATAGATCTTTCCGCTATCTCTCCATCTCCTGTGGCACCCTGATGCATTCTCCTTTGTTATCTTCTAGCATTTCATTCCCCCCGATCTACGCTCTGTGTATCCATACGCAGTCTCCTCAATGTACAATCAGCGTATTGGTATGGCTCGTGCTCTGATCCATTGGGTGATCTCTGTGAAAAAAAGTGGAAATAGATTAGACTTGCGCTATGGTTTTATGGATATTCAGTTCTCCGGACAAAGATGAAGCCAAGATGAAGCCTGAAGTTGCTGTAGTGAAGCAGTCGAGCTCTTAGTTTTCCGCGACCTGACACTCGGCTCCCAATTGACCTCAAGTCCAACAAATGAATTTATACAGTAAAACAAGCCCTTTCAAACGGGGTGTCTGACTGGAACTGGCTCCCCTTGTTCACTCTCAAGCGCATATTCAGTCGTCACTCGAATGGCCATCCGATCTCCCCCAGGAGAAACGGGCATCTCAGGACCCATGGTGCGTTCGAGAATATGCTCTTCACTCCCTGTCTCAGATATGCGACTGCCTTTGGTGTGAACAACACCATCCAGCTCGAAACCATCACTCTTGCGGGAACGCGAGGTAACAAAAGTCTTCGTCTTGCCTGACGCCTTGGATCCAAACCCATTATATCCGTCGCTGTTGTAGTAAGGATTCTTGGAGTTCTTGCGATTCGACGAGCCCAGCCAACTTGTGTTGCGGAAGAGTGGTTTGATGCCCGGTAGAGAAACGACGATTGCCGCGACGAAACATTCCCGGTCTGCCCAGCCTAGGGCGGTACCCAGGTTCGTTATTGAGGAGAGTGAGTAGTAGGCGCGGAGGACGGTGCAGATCATAATGAAGACTCCGGATGAGAACATCACCACCAGGATCAGTTTGCGTTGGAGAGGGACTTGCAGTTTGGTGAGGATGGGAATTGGGATTAGGATGATGCAGATGTCAGATCTGAATATTCGGTCAGCTTTAGGATTGGGACTGGGCTGGGGATTTGACTTACAAGACGTTGAATACCGCGATCACAATGTAGAGAGGTCCACGGAGAGTGCAATTATCTCCGGCGTAGGGCTTGATCTGCCAATTTCGAGTGACTGGTGCGCAAAGGCAGACGTGTGTGAGTAGACAGACGAGCCAGGTGACAACGCAGAAGCCCGATGCTGCATTGACGAGGTGGCGATGCCATGTTCCTTGTCTGTGGAGTGTTAGACGCTCGCGCGCAGTCGATGAGACAGGGAGAGTTGACCTACGTGAGTTTCCAGTATAGGCAGAGAAGAACACCCTTTAAACACCAAATATAGCAGATATACCATATCCAATTCATGAACGCCAACTTGGAGCCCAAGATCATTTTGTCAATCTTGCTGTCAGGGACAAGTAAGGCTGTTTGCTCGTTCAGGCCGATGTTGTTGCCGAAAATTCCTGATTTGATCGTCAGTCAAGTTTCGAGGCGCTCATGGTTCGCTTTACCTAGAAGTTGGATGTTCACAGTCTGCATGGTCCAAAAGATCTGTCCCAGTTGATCAGAAGAATGCAATCATTGAGCAAGAAACAGAGCATACCATGCCAGCAACAGCAAAAGCATCGTCGAGCCGGAGCCCACGAAGACCCCCCATTTGAAGCCGCGCATAAAGCCGGACGATCAGAAAGAGCATACCAATGCCATACTCAGTGAAGGTCTCGATGGTCAAACTGTCGGCCGACATGACGAACGATCAAAGTACGAATGCCCTGTAACAACTCAAGCTTCCCCATCCAAAGCCTCGGGAGAATGGGACATGCAAGAGTTGGATTTTGAACTTGGCGTGTTTGCGAGGGAGAATAGCCCCCCTATAGGTATTAGTATAAAATCAACTACCCGGCTGAAATTCAAGGCTAGATCTATCACCTTCAAAGTTTTGCAATAGGAGAAAATACACTACTGTCGTCTACATACAATGTCCTGCCTGTGAGGATCCCTACTCATATTCCATAGTCGATCGATAGACACATTCGTTTTGAAGGATCAGATCCTTTGGGGTCGAATCCACTATGTCCACAACACTGTACGCGGAAACCTCTTGCCACCGTTGCTTGCCCCTTTGATCGTCCATGTCAAGTTTCAGGCTGCAGAATCAGCCAGTACAGATGCTGCTTATGGTAAAGTCTGCTTTGAATCTTACATCTAAAATCTTACATCTTCAACAGTGGCAACTTGGAACGGGGCACATGCCAGAAAAAGACTGACGAACGAAGCGTTGGAATGATTGGACAGATGTCCGTTTGTAGAATGGAGTACAGTGCAGGGCCTGCATTTTGACAATCCCAGACCCATGGTCAGCATGTTGCAAGATGTCTGAGACGAGCTACTGATCCGATGGGATGATGCGATCCACATCCTGACAGGTGGAGTCTGACAGTTGAATTTAGAGTCGCTTTGCCAATAAACAACCTTAAGGCTTGAGACGCTTTGGTCGTACAGCGGGATTCCCGAGGAAAGTGGACTCCACCGCAGGATTCGAGACGCTCAGACAAAGAAAAGTACTCGTACCTTTGTCGACATTAGCCCCACAGGGGGCCACAGGCTGCTCGAGGCGTCGGCTAAGCATTGCCAGTAAGCGCACTTTCATATAATGTTACATCTATCGAATTTGAATGTGATGCTCGAGAGAATCTCTAGACTTAGACTTGAACCTGGCGTTGCAAGGATGTGGAAGTTGTCCGGTCCAGAATGACACAGATCAGACCTGAAAATCAGACATCGGGAAGACGAGGAGCAGCGGTGGGGTTGCGAAAAGGGCCTAGGAAACAAAGAAAAGGCCAAATATTAATCTTAGTTCCCACCCGACACGTACTAGTAGACCAAAGGGTAGTGCGCCATGCCCCTCCTAAACCATTCTCCCCAGCACAATAAGTGATATAAGATTTGAATTGAGCATTCGCTGCAAACATCCGGACCCCTGAGACTATCATGACTACCAAAGTTGCTTTAATTACCGGCGGAGGTAGGGTACACCAATGTATCAAGCCATTCCTTGACTAACGAATTTCAAGCCAGCGGATTGGGCTTGGCCGTAGCACAAACATTGTTAGCCAAGGAATCACCCAACGAATGGTGGGTTAACATTCTCGATATTGATGAAGAGCGCGGCACCCAAGTAGCCTCCGAATTGCCACGAACAACCTTCCACCGCGCCAATGTGACCAAATACAGCGAGCTGAGCGCCGCGTTCCAGGGCGCCTATGATCAATTCAAGCGGGTGGACTTTGTATTCGCCAATGCCGGCCTCGTGGAGCGCAATAACTTTTACGCTCTCCTCGATGCCCAGGAAGATCAGGCCGACAGCCCGCCGAAAGAGCCGGTTGACCTGCTACCCATCGACGTGGATTTGAAGGGGGTGATTCTGACGACCTACCTATCCCAACATTACTTCCGCCACTCGCCTCACAAGGGCCAAGGCGCTAGCCTGGTTATGACGGCTAGTTGCTGTGGCCTGTACCCGGCCTTTTACTGTCCGTTGTACACGGCCGCTAAATGTGAGTTGCGTCCCCCCGCGCACCCATGTCAAACATACCCATGCATATAAGCACAGAGGTACTCCGTGCTATATGATACCCACTTATGATCTATCAACTGCGGCTCTGATATCATGATCTCCGTGGACTGTCTAGAGCGAGGGCTAACACCATGACAGCTGGCGTGGTGGGCTTCATGAGGGCCGTTGCGCTGCATTTCAAGGCCAGCGGAATCCGCGTCAATGCAATCTGCCCGAGTATCATCCGCACCAATCTGGTTGACTCGGCTGGTTGGGATAGCTTCCCGCCGAATCGATTCGTCGAAGTGGACAGCGTAGCCCGCTTGGTTTCTGCGCTGGAAGGCGAAAAGCAGGGGCTGACTGATGCTACTGGCAAGCATTTGAAGTTGGAAGAGCTTTATGGAACGGCAGTCGAGATCTCAGACGCTGGATTCTATTTCCGATCGCAGCATGAGTTCTGCGACGAGGGGATGCGTGAAGTGATGGGCGCGACGGTCCTTGAGAATCAGGTGGGGGCGATTTTGAACGCTGATTGAGCACACCGTGGCTGTGACTGGCTGATCAGTCGGTGCCACTGTGTACTCCGTACTTTGTAAATACTCCGTACTCCGTAGGGAGTGCTGTAAATAGACAGCGAAAACGTATAGATGCATAGCTAACCCTGCAAAAAGCCGCGAATTCGAGCTCAGACGGGACAAATGTGAACTCGGCCCCCACAACAAACGCATTAGTGACTCACTAGACTCCACCCCTGTCGGGTACAACGGACATATGAATAATCCACAATTCACGAGTGTCCAGAATAACATTCCTTGCACTCACAACCTTCCCAGGTTCCAGGGTTAGAAACATGTGGTCTGATAGAATCCATGGATACGACGGCGGCCCGTGGCCCCACTGCGGGTCCCACAGTTCCCGAATCAGGACTAGCTCGGGCCACTGACAGCCACTGAAAATTGGGCGGGAACTTTCAGAAACTTCCGGGCTACAGGTATGTACATATGAAAGTTGACAGCTTACATCGGAGCCGTTGGTCCCACACAGTCAAATCCTGGACTCAATATTAAAAACGCCAACCGTTGATCCTAGTACGGAGCTTCTTGCCCACCAACGAGAACGGCACACTCATGCAATCGCGTCCGGGAGTCCAGAGTCTTCCCCGTGCATCGCCCGAAACAGTGGCTCCCAGACAGTCGTGGCCCGTGTGGTGATATGCCCGTTACCCGGGTTGGGCAAGTGGTAGAAGATCAACTTGTTAGCCGAACCTTCCAACAGCTCACCGGCCATTCCGGTCGAATCCTCCAAAAACATCTCATATCCCTTGAGGATGGTCTGCACAGGGGTCAGACTACATAAGTGATGTCAGCTACCTGCAGGCTTTCTCTTGGGCTTTCGCCTCTCTCGTTCTGGAGCGCAAATTCGACCGAGACCAACGTACCATTCAGGGGTCACTGCTGCAATCATTTCAGGTGGTACAATAGGCGTGTTCACAATCCCCGGCATGACACAGTTGATGTAGATATTTTCTTTCTGTTTCAGGAGCGGTGCCACGCCACGGATGAACTGGTTGACGGCCGCTTTGGTGCCACAGTACACCGGGTATGAGGAGTGCGGGAATACACCCCCAATCGAGCCCGTGATAATAACCCTGCCCCCTGGTTGAGGATTATGGCGCATAAAGTGCACCGCCAGCTGAGTGCCATACACAACGCCCTTGTAGTTGACATCTACAAGAGACAGGTCTGGACAGGGAGGGACATCGTCGACGCTGTTCTCCCTTGAATCATAGAGGTATGCCGAAGAAGTATCCACAATTCCGGCATTATGCACCAAAGCATCAACGCGGCCCCAGGTCTGGCGGGTTTTATGAAACGCGCTGGCATATTCCTCGTAATTGGAAACGTCTGCCGCAAAGAAGTGGGCTTTGTCGTGCGGAAGAGTTGCGAGCAAGGCTTCCCCGGCTTCACGGCGTCGACCTATGCATGCGACTTTCCAACCTTTGTGGCAGAGGTCTCTGGCTACATCGGCTCCAATACCGGACTGTGACGATTAGTGCTGTTCGGGGTTTGGAGCGGAGAACTAACAGTAGCACCGGCGACGATAGCCACCCTCTCTTCATTGTTGGACTCCATAATGATGGCTTGAAAGTTTGTAACAATGCAGAACTCAATGGTCGTAGATAGTAATCTAGGCGGTCACAGAGCGGGGACGGGTAACAACTTATAGGGCAATATGATTGAAGATTATATCAGAATCAAAGCCGGACCGTTGACTCGGTGACTCGCGGGCCATCCGGCCGTTGAGCTGACGTCCCGAGTCAGAAAGAGTTCACTAGCAGCAGGAAGTCCTGTAGAATTGGCCGCTCACTGCCCACTTAGGCCATGCACTAACGTGGCTACTCCATTCAGGATCCATCAGTGGACACTTCCCATTATGACAATTGGTCCGATTTCTCCGGCTCCAGGCTCTCAGACTCTTACAACGTTTCTTACCTCGTGGGCCACAGGGTTCCCTGCATCAGTGGGGCCTTGATGGCGTGGAGTGGAAAACGGTTAAAGCTGCTCCTATTCCCTTGCTCTGTTAGGGATTTCTCAATTGCACCACAATATGGCTGTCGATACAGAAAAGGATTTGCCCACTGGGCCAACAGTGGCACCCAGCTCACCCTCGAGTCTTTCAGACGACTATGCTGCACCGGTTGTCACTCTGAAGACATGGATCGTCTCTTCGGTATTAATTTTTTGACCTGTCAACCTGGAAATCGACACTAACTATGACGCGCATAGATTCTATCTTGTGGCTACGGTCTCTCGTTCTGGCCTGTGCCTGTGGTCTCTGCAATTGGAACCAATATCTCAACCGATATGGGAGATCCGACAGGATATATTTGGTTTGTGCCGGTAAGTATTTTGAGTCCAGGCATATCGAGAGCGGAATTTGATCGATTTTTAGGCATGGACTATCTCGATTACCTGCGCCTTCTTGATCTTGTATGTATCTGAAACACCGATTCACAATTCTGAAATATATTCTAATCTATCTTTGCAGTGGCCCAAACACCGATCTTCTTGGTAGACGGTGGTTTCTTGTACTTGGAAACTTGGTGAGATCTTGCCCAATGTCCTGCCCAGTGGAGCTAGTCAAGATTGGACTTGCGGTCCCACTGGCAGGAAATACAAGTCGACTAGCTCCGTTTTGTTGTTCTGGACGCGAATCTAACAGCCGACAGGTATGCTTCATTGGCCATATTGTAGTGGCTTCGGCAAAGACCACATCCCAAGTGACTGCTGGACTTGTTATATCGGGCTTTGGTGGCGCAAACTGCCAGGTAAGCCATCTCTCCTTCTCTTCATGCATCCACTAACCACCGTGCAAAGATGGCTGCATTTGCACTCCCAGAACTCCTTCCCAATAAATGGCGACATATTGGTGTGGTCATCGCCGACTTCACAGTTTACATCGCAGTGATCGTGGCCCCAGTGACAGCGCGTTATGGCTATGAGCTCGGGAACTGGGAGTGGAATTTCTGGGGAGTTGCAATCTTCCAAGGCTTGTCATTCCTCGGTTTACTCTTCCTTTACTACCCACCCAAGCACCCGTAAGTCGACTACTTGGTTTCCCTTCCAAAACATGAATCAAAGCTTACCCATCGACCAGTTTGGGAGTTTCATACAAGGAGGCTTTCAAGTCTCTCGACTACTTTGGCGCATTCCTCTTCATCGGTGGCGCGGTTCCTTTCCTCATGGGTATCGTCTGGGCGGGCGTATACGAGTCCAATGATGCCCATGTCGTGGCACCTTTGGTAGTCGGAGCCGCGGTGTTGGTCTGCTTCGCCTTGTGGGAGCATTTCGGCAAGCTCAAATACCCACTCACGCCAACTTACATTTTCGTCAGCTCTTGGGGCAGGGACTTCACTGCTCCCGTCATTGCACTGGGTGTTGTCAACATGTTCTACTACTCGTCCAGCATTCTCTGGCCGCAAATGATCAATGTCTTCTACACGAATGGCGGCGCGGACTGGGAATATGGAGTGATTTTGTCCTTGCCACAGGGCTTCGCTATCTTCTTCGGTGCGATTCTGCTCACGCTCTTTGGCAGTAAGCTTCGCCACTGGCAGTGGCAGCTCACTGGATCTGTGTTTGTCATGGTCGTCTTTGGCTCTTTGCTCGGCCTTGTAACGCCTACTAACAAGGGTACCATGATTGCCTTCATCTTCCTCTCTCAGGCTGGATTCGGATGGGGTCTTTACTTGAGCATTGCTATCACGCAGATGGGCGTTGAGCATAAGAACCTGGGTGTCAGCGGTGGAATTTCGGGATGTATCCGGTTTGCTGCTGGAGCTGGTACGTTCTGATACTCTTCGATAATTGCTTCCAGATTAAAGCATACTAACGACTGGCCAGTTGCTACCTCAATCTACCAAACCGTGTTCAGCAATACCCTGGCCAAGTATACAGCCATCTATGTCCCTTCTGCTGCCACAGGCGCGGGACTCCCCGAATCCAAAGTCACAGGTCTGATGTCGGTGGTGGCTCAAGGAGCCGCTGCAATGAAAGAATACAGCCCTGCTGTAGTAGCAGCCGCACAGGCGGCTCTCAGTCAAGCTTATTGCAAAGCAATCTTGTGAGATTCATTGCCTTCCCGCGAAACAAGTAACAATCATGGGTGAAGTGCTAACCCAAACTTTTAGTGTGGTTGCTATGGTATCAATGGCATTTGGTATTCTCGGTCTTGCAGCTTGCCTTTGTTGCAAGGATGTTGATTATAAGATGACTTCCAAGGTGAGTGCTTCTTATGATACATCTGTTTCTACGATTCTTGGGATGAGGAGAATGCTAATAAAACTTACCTTCAGATCGAGGTATACCTGGAGAACACAGATCTTTCGGACCGAAACAAACATCACTAGACCCTCAGAAGCTAGGATAGACCCCAAATGGCATCTCATGCTTGACAGTCTGTCTGCTCTGAGATGAAATGTTCGATGGTATATAGACAATTCAACCCACTCTCGGCATTTTTTAAAAGTCGCTGCCAATTCCAATCACTTCACACCCAATCTAGGCAAACCTAGTCGGCAACGTCGAACGAAATGTGTAGGAAGAACCGAAGACCTAAGCTTCCGGCGTCTTGGCGCTGTGTCTGCCTTGCTTTAGCGCCTTTCTGCCTAATGCGCCCCCACTCGACCTTTGCATTATTTATACCACATCCTCATCTACTCCAAGGCTCATTTTCATTCTGAATGGTCTATATAATGTCTGAAATCAATCCACAGCTTCGAATGCCAGGTTTCAACGTGAAACTTGATGAACTGCCGAAAGTGAGAACCCCAAACTATCGGTGAGCATGCGCTGACTGCCCAGGAATGCGTAATCGACCGAGGATATCATGGCTTCCATAATGCATTGGATGCTCAGATCCTGGACTGGGGCTGCAAAGCGTACGTTGTGATGCCACCTACGTCAAGATCTCCTTTTGACGAATTATTAGGCGCCTTGTAACTCACCGAGAGCTGGTGATGATGCGACTGATGGATACGATTACGGAGAAGCCCCAATGGGAGGAAAAGGTATGATTTAGGATATCTGACTATATCTGGTGCTTGTTCTGATGTCGAATAGGTCTTCAATGATGAGATCACAGGCAAATGGCGACGCGAGATCGCGGACAGTGACCAAGATGTGTCGCCCAAGATGATGGACTGGATCATCAAAGAGCTCCAGTGGAAGGCCAAACAGCTAGAAGAGAACGGGTACATCCTGGTGTTTGATGCTGGCGTCATCAAGTCTGATAGCGCCATTCCCGAGGATGTCAGAGAGGCGCTGAAACAGGCAGTGCAGCCACTCGAAAATATCCCCGAAGACCAAAAAGACTTTCACCCAGGCACCGAGAAACAAGTCGTGGATTTAGTTCACCCTTCATTGTTTCCAGTCATCTTTGGACGCACCAGAGTCCTTGCAGACAGGACCATCGGACTCCAAGACTGCCTGAGCAGCGTTGGGGAAGGAGATCTCCTCACCTCCGAGCCACTTCCAGACCCCACGGGATTGCATGAATTAGCTTACAGCAAACGGTTCCAATGGCTCCCATGCGACGTGGAACTTCTCAATGACACTTGTCACATCGTGTCATATATCAACAACGCCCACCCGATTCATCACAAGAACCTGTATGGAGTCATTGAGCAAATCATCAGTCGAGCTCTTCCGCTATGGAATCAGAGTCTGTCGGAGATCATCGATCCACGCATCGAGTATAAAGGAGTGGAGTATGGCCCGCATCCGCCGGAGCCGGAAGAGTCCGATGGGGAAGACCACGACGAAGAAGCCTTCGATGAGATTCATCGGCAGTGGCGGAAAGCTCGTCCTATCATCCAACCAGAGCCCGGAGACTTCGAGCCCCCAGTGACGTTCGAGGATCTCGATTTACGAGCACACTTCTGGAACACAAAGCTCCAAGTCATTGTGAAGCTAGCGAACATTGACTTGAATCCAAGCAACCCCACGTACAAGGGAGGCTCGTGGCATATTGAAGGGCAGCTAGTGAGAATCCCCCCTTGATTGTTGTCTATCTTTTCTAACTCAATTCAGAATGAGCGCATCTGCGCTTCCGCGATATACTATTACGACTGCGAAAACATCACAGAAAGCAAGCTCGCATTCCGACAGCGCGGACTCAACGAAATGGTTGATCTGAAATATGAACAAAATGAACATCAATTTCTCCAGACGGTCTATGGCTTCAGCGATGACATTTGGGGTGGCTTCAATAATAACATCACCCAGGAACTTGGAGCGGTGACATGCAAAGAAGGTCGACTTCTGACCTTCCCCAACACTGTCCAGCACCGAGTCTCCCCATTCTCGTTGGCTGATCCGTCTAAACCGGGTCATCGCAAAATCCTTGCGCTCTTCCTGGTGGATCCGCATCGACGCATTATTTCCTCGGCCAATGTTCCCCCGCAGAGGGAAGACTGGGGCTATGAGAAAGAGCAGGCCGTGGGCCAAGTACTATCACGATTACCAAGAGAGCTCCAGGATGTCATTCAAGGGGATTCTAGTCCATTGATGACCATGGAAGAAGCGAAGGAATATCGACTGGAGCTTATGAAGGAACGTGGACTCAGCTCAAAGGAGAACAACGAGAATTTTGAGAGTGGTAGCTTTAGTCTCTGTGAGCATTAAATTTCCAAGGTTGGCAGATGGCTGCAGGTGTACTCTGTATCTTGGCGATCTATAGCCAAAAAAAGTAAATATACCTTTTACATACTCAGCCCACTACATTGGCAATATTATTATCGAACTCGTCGATCAACATAGATACCTCATAAGCATAATACTCTACAGTAATAACAAGTCCTAAAAGTGTTCACGGCCAATGCAGTCAGCTACCACACTGTCGGGACCGGACCCGTCCCTCTGGATCCTAGTGTCATGCACGTCGTGTGAAGAAGTATAAGCTTAAACCTGAAGATATTTACTTCGACCACTATACTGTACTACTGTAGTAGTCCTATAGCATGAAGTAGAGATCATATCAAGATTTCGTACGGGTGTTATTTCCGGGATCTGCAACCTTCACCGGGTTGTGGTCTCCAAGACCAAGCCTAATCCTCAATAGTAAATATTTCTAGTGAAGAACTGCACCGGTGGAGATCAAACCGAACAGACCCATCACATCCGCGAAGTAGCGGATACTGCATGAGTGAATCCCCGGTTTTTTTCGCCACTCAACGGGTAGCCGATGTCCCCCCCTTTCACCGGATTCTCACTCTCTCGGAAGTCCAACAATGTCCCCTGTCGACTCCTACAATGCGGAAGCTGCTCCCAACGACCCAGAGGGTCATTTCTCACGCGACAGCCACACGAATGCGGTCATAATCGCGGATGATTTCAGCGTAGGTGCCGCCCGACCTCGGACTCTGTTCCGACGACTCAAACGGGAAACAGGGCGAAGATAGCGAGTTTGCGAGCGAGGATTCCGACATGACCTCGATTTCGTCCAGCGTTCTGGAATATGAATATGAGAATGGCCGGCGCTATCACAGTGGTCGAACGGGCCATTACATGTATGTTTCGTGGTCCACGGGTTGTGCGGAGTCGATGGCTGACACTGATAGGATGCCGAACGACGAAGAAGAACAAGATCGAATGGACTTGGTATGCGACTTCCCATAGATTGACATTGTCTCAACTAATGATTTCTCTAGTCACACCATATGTTAGCTTTGTCCATATTTGGGCGAGACTGCGCTGACATGTATCAGATGGCTAATGCTAATGAAAGGCGAGCTACACAAAGCCCCCATTAAAAACCCACAGAATATCTTAGACCTCGGCACTGGCACGGGTATATGGGCTCTTGATATCGCCGAGTATGCAACCCACCAATATTTCCCTGCAATGCTGACTCTAGACAGAAAATTCCCCGGCTCGCATGTCATCGGGAATGACATTAGCCCAATCCAACCGAGTTGGGTGGCTCCCAATGTGGAATTCATCGTCGAGGACTTCGAAAGCGAATGGCATTACGAGAAAGACAGCTTCGACTTTATCCACGCACGCTTACTCGCAGGGTGAGTCTCCACTACGTATCCAGGAATGCCAATCTCACTCATCTAGGTGCGTGGCAGATTGGCCCACATTCTTCAGTCGGATCTTTGAGCACGTCAAGCCCGGGGGCTATTTCGAGATTAAAGAAAGTGCCGTCTGGGCATGGAGCGACGATGGCACACTCACAGCCGACTCGCCTCTCTTCCAATACTTACAAGCTCTCGATACAGCGGGGCGAGTCATGGGCCGTGAGCTTAACATCTATTATAAATTGAAAGAGTGGATGATCGAGGCCGGATTCGAGGATGTCCAGCAGTTCACGTATCTGCTGCCATATTCGCCATGGCCGCGGGACCCCTATCTCAAGGAAATCGGCAAATATCAGGCTGTGATGGTTCAGCAGGCTGTGGAATCATACGGGTTGCGACTCTGTACGCAGGTTTTGGGCTGGGGTGCTGAGCCCGCTCGTATTTTCCAGGCTATGGTCAAGAAGCAGCTGAGGGATAAGCACCTGCATGCTTATGTTAAAGAGTGAGTTTGCCCCGCTTCGTGTCGGCGGTGCCCACTAACGTTGAGCAGAGTGGTGGTCTACGGGAGAAAGCCTTTGAGCGAGTAATCAACTTGGACATATGCTGCAGACGATGCTCTACGTTGCCGCTCTCGCCTGACTCTCTTCGCCTCTCCACCTTGGTGCACTTTTCGCCGAAGTGGATTGGTTGCGACTGTGTTAATTCCAAAAGCCTGGGGTTTGGTTCTAACGGGTGAGGTTCAGAAACGGCCTTTTTCTTATTATCTTATTATTAGCGTCGCAATGCATGATCTTTATATCCCGTGGATGACAGTTGGATTGGCCAAAAAGCTAACATAGCCCCAGTGAATACGGTCTCAATTATCTTTGTTCCACCACTGCCCGGGTGTCAAGCCTCAACTGGTCCGACCTTGATACTTTCTCGGCTCTGCAGCTTCTCCTGCCGAATCTTGGCCCGTTTATGAACCTCTAAGTCCTTAAAGCGTTTCTTCCCCCCATGTTTGAGCTTGGTGATCATATCCGCCGCCTGGCCACGGGTCAGCTCTTCCGGCTTGATCTGCCTGTCGCGAATGCGGGCTCCATTCAAAATCTTCATTTGCCCCGGTGTTGCCGGGGCCTTTCGCCAAGGTTTCCGCACTCCGATAAAATGCTCGTCAAATTTGCTACTGGCAAAAGTGTCTGCTGCCCGTGCGATGGTTTCCAGATTAGGCCCCGTTGCAATTTCCCGAGGGCGTGTGTATTGGAAACTTTCACTCCCTGGGGTTTTCCACTTCATGACATGATGTGACGTGAACATGTCGCCTTCTTTCTCGATGGTGAGCCATCCCGAGGCTTCGGTGAGTATGTATCTGTCTTCGCCAACCCGGACCCAAGTGTGCGGGCTGATGGAACGGATGTGTCTCTCCGACTGTATGTCTCCTAAGAGATCGTAGATACTGTCGTACGTCGTGAATTGGAGTTTCAGGTCATTATCTGGACCGCTGAGGGGCTCTTCATCGAGACCTGGACTGCTTTCAGGCTTTCCGCTGGTCATCTTGGCTTCGGATTCGCTGACCTTGTCCAGTACTTCGTCTGGGTCCAGGCCGAACAAAGTTGGAGTGGATACAACGCCTGTATCCAGAGACGCCACCATATCAATGATATGGCAATCCTTCTTCCCATCAAAGAGTCGCAGTCCGCGCCCAATCATTTGAATGAGGAGATTTCGAGATCTGGTGGGTCGGGCCAGCAGCACACAGTCGATGTTTGGAATGTCCGTGCCTTCTGTGAACAGACCGCAGTTGATGAGGACCGGAAACTCCTGATTTCTGAAAGCCTCTAGCTCTTTGGCGCGGTGTGCCAATCGGGTGTTCGATGTAATATATCTGGCATCTACGCCCTGGTCACGAAACGCTGCTGTTAGCTGCTGCGCGTGCTCGATATCGACACAGAAGACAAGAGTAGATTTGCGGTCCTCGGCATTGGCCATCCACGCTCGTATAGTTATATCGTTTGTAGTTGCAGTGTTAACTGCCTTTGATAGTGAGCTTAGGGCATAATCCCCAAGAGTGTCCTTTTTGACTGTGGATAAATCGGCGCCACTTTTCACAGTTGTGAACACGGCATTGGCCAGCCACTTATCGGCAATCATGTCCACATAGTCTTTGTGGTAGACAATGTGGTCAATAGCGGCACCCAACTTGAGTCCATCGAATCGAGAAAAAGTGGCCGAAACGCCGACCAGAACCGGACTGCTTGCAGATACCTCGTTTAATCCAAAATGGCCCAAAGCTGTGCGGTAGGATCGAGCGACAATGTGATGTGCCTCGTCGACTAGAACCAGCTTAAAGGCACTCGGATCGAACTTGAATACACGCCCTCGCGATAGCGTTTGAACTGTCGCGATGATGATGTCTCCTGCTCCAGTCGCGACCCTATTGCCCGACTCGACTTCCACGGTCTTGTCGGGATATGCGAGGCGACAATGCTTTGCAGCTTGTTCAACAAGTTCGCGTCGGTGGACAATAATCATGGTCTTCGTGGCTTTCGCATTTTGAGGGGGAATTCGGCTGATAAGCTGGGTGAAGATGACCTGATGGAATGAGTGAAGTGTTCGAAGGGAAAACGGGGGATTGAATTTACCGTCTTTCCAGCTCCTGTAGCAAGGGAAATTCCCAATCGCCGATGTCCTTCTCCCAAGTATTTCAAGACAGATTGGATGCTCTCCTCTTGGTAGTCGCGTAGCACAATACCCGAAGCGGCGGGCTCCTGGGCATACAATCGCACATGTCGCGGGGGACTTGGCAGTAATTGCCTTGCCCAGTACCTGCTTGAAAGCTTCGATCGCGCAGCGCAGCGTAAGAGCTCCATGCAAGTGGTGAAGCAATGAATCTCCGCGATGCGATACCAAACACGTGCAAACAGTACAAACACCCTTATCGATAAGATCGTGTGGATCTCCGGTCGACTTTTACCTGTCACTTTCACAGCTCTCGAATGACCTGGCGGGTTTTGGAAAGGGCGCAGCTGTGATGTGTTGCTACAGTTCACTCCGCATGCGCTGCGAATCTGCCAGCTCGAACCATGAGCGACACTGCCGAGCTTGAATCCGACCCGGGGTATTCCCCGTCCATACCCTCACAACGCTCAGTGACTCCAGAAGAAAGAGTTGATGTGCCCGCGCAAGTCCGTGACGAAAAGACGAACGAGAAGCCTGACGAGAAACCTGATGATGTCGAACGTCAGCTTGGTGAGGCGCTCATGCAGCGATCACCGCCTATGCGGGGGTCACTTCTATTCCTTCGCGCCTACAAACACCTTCTTTCGGAATCTCAAAAGGAGATTGATTATACCTGGTCAAGGCATGAGGACGTTTTTCAGGTGAGCCAGTATGGCTCGGTGGTGTGGACTTCTACAGAGAAAGAGGCGTTCTTCAACACGCTCGACCGCAAGGGAAAAGGCGGCATAAAAGAGCTTGCTGCTGCAATTGGCACAAAATCCGAGCTTGAAGTCATGGACTATATGAAACGCCTGCACCAGGCCTTGGAAGCTCAGTATTGCTCAGATGCACAAGTAGAGGACATGCCTCTGCTTGCTGATATCCCGGCGGCCAAAGAAATCAGCCAGCAAGGCTGTGAGATGCTCGATGACTATGCCGATGTTTTGATCTTGAAAGAGTCTCTTGCCGATGCCCAAACAGGAGGAAAGCAATATGGAGACTACTGGAATCTCAGTAGCAACACTGCTTCGGATCTGATGGACGTCATTGACGGCGAGGATGACGGTACGGTCCGAGGCGACCTCCACCTTGCAGCTACTTTGCTCTATGTTCCGGATTGGATCCAACTATCACGAAGGTTGTTCATGAACTTCGGTGGCGCCAAATCAGAAAATCACTGGAAGAACATCGCCCATTCCAAACAAAACATCACAGCGCAAAGACAGACGCCCTCAATGACTGCGGATAGTGTTGTGGACTTTTACACTCTTTCTGTGAGTATCACGCGACGTCTGGTCCAATCATCTATATTCTTCGCCATGTCGAGATTACGCGGCGCAAATCGCAGTGGCCAGAACAGGAAAAACCACATTCGATTGTCAGACGTGCGGGCCGCAATCGAAGTGCTCAACATGAAGCACCGCCGGCCCAACTTTGTAGACACGGCTCGTCGAAACGAGGTCGAGATAGCAGATGTCCATCATCGCAAAGATTGGGTGCCCACTCCATTCACCTACGAAGAAGTCGAAGAGATCATCGATAAATCCGAATGGTCCAAGTACCGCAGCGACGCAGCCATGTCCGGCGGCGTCAATATGGACGACGAAGAAAACGACAACGCCGAGTCTGAAAGCGAAGACTCCGACGATGAAGGCCCCGAAGAAGCAACAAACGACCAAGCCGAACCACCGCTGGACCATGACCATGATCCCGAGATCGTCGATCTGGATCCCCCGTCCTCCAGAGAGGATTCGCCAGCCTCGTCACAACCGGATTCATCGGACGAGCTTGAAATGGACCCAGAAGAGATGCACGCAGATCTCGCAGATGAAGCAATCAGTCAGCGCGAAGAAGCAATGTTCATGCGACTTATGGACAAATCTGTGCCAACCCACCAACCTATGAAGAAAGAAGATGCCGATGACCAGGTCAATGCACCACCAGAGCGCAGAGCCAGAGACGAGGTCTTTGACTGGCGAAGTCGGGTTCTATATCGAAGCGAATGGGAGGAGTATGGGTACAACTTTGCCGATCTAAAGGGGGAATTCGAGATGCCCCCTCTGAAACGAGCTAGACTCAGTGAACCAGAACAACAAATACCGACCACGCCGCCTCCTGTCCCTATGGATGAGGAATAATACCAGTCATGCCTGGAGTCATCCATCGATGGAAACAACCGAAGAGGTTGATGAGCATGGACGTCGATCGACGAATGAAAAAAGATAGATACAACCTGCTCGATATTAATATCTACAAAACTGAGCCCGAACGAGGCACTGGACATAAATGACACTTTACAACTACCAAGAGCAAGAATCACATCAAGGACGTATGATTAAATGTAAACACAGTGATGAAGAAAAAAAAAATCTCCCGACCCCTAATTTCACCCCTAAGCGCAATCCGCTTTCTGGAAACAGAGGTGGATTCGTTGAAAAAGAACTCCAACAAGAAAACAGAAAAAAACAAAACGTGCGCCTTTTCCTGGCCAGAAATTTCAGAAGGTTCATAACTCAGCAAGACTAGCAGCTCCCATGGCTCCCATTAAAGAATCCAGGGAGAATATCGTACATGAAAAAGAAAGCTACAGCTCAAGCGTCTTGTAGTCGGCGCCAGCCTGGGCGCTCAAAGGCTGTGTTCCTGCCCGCATATCACCACCAACAGGCTGGAAGCTGTAGTGGTTACCGATGCCGGTAGTGGCAGCATCAGCGAGCATCTGGTTCGTGTGCTCGTTGGGACCCTGCAGACTGACGGACTGGAGAGCATCCTGGGCTTCCTTCACGCGCTTCTTGAAGGTCATGCGGTCCAAGAAGAGCTGCTGGCGAGCCTGCTCGAGCTCCCGACGCTCAGCCTCGATAATCTCTTCCATCTCGTTGAACTGCTGGAGCTTGACTTCGAACTTCTGGAGAGTGACGTTGACAGCGGCGGAGACCAGGCGGGTCATTTCACGCTCTTCGTGGGAAGCGAGGGCTCCAGCACGGGCGGCGGAGGCAGCTAGTGCGATGGTACCGAGAGATTCCTTGGGCTTGTCTCCAGCTTGCTCGGCTTCACGGACGGGATCCACGTCCATGGAGTCTTCGGTCTTGACCGCATCCTTGCCCTTGTCTCCTCCCTTCTCCAGTTGGCTGCGGAGCTCCTTGCGGATCTCTTCGACGGAGCGACCAGCCGCGGCCGCAGCCACTGCAGGCTCTGCCATCTGGGCGAGGAAGGCGACGACGGAAAGGACGGGGTTCTCGGACTGGCTGATAGGGTCACGTCCGCTACCGGAGCGAAGCTCGGGCACATCTTCGATGTACTTGTCCTCGATCTCCAACTGCAGGAACTTCATCACACACTCTTCCCGAGATCGTGTGCCGACGTGGTTCGCAATCTGCTCCCAGTTGTCATCGAAGTTCTCAAGACCCTCTAGCAACAGGATTGTTTCTGGGTCCGACCACGGAGCGTCCTTTCCGGGAACTTGAATGTGGTTCTTGTCCTCAAGCTTAACGAAGTCCGAGGCACTGTGGCTGGAGGGCATTCTTCCTTGCAAAAAGCAGTTGGAACACAAATCGTACTTTGTGTCCGGGGTGTTGGCGTTGGCTGATGTCGAGGTGGATTTGGTGTAGTGGAATCGGAGTTTGGTGCAGTCAATACCGCAAGAGAAACAGTGGGCCTTCTTTTTGGACTCCTGGGCAAGATCCAAGCCGTTGCTTGATTCGCCATTGGTCTGCTTCTCCTTATCCTCGGCCGGTGTGACATCCTTGCCCTTGTCGTCATAAATTGTGCGGCGCAATTCGAAGTTCAAATCGTCCTTTGATGCAGGGGTGGAAGACGCCGCGCGCTGAGTTGCTGGGAGAGCCTTGCCGGATGTGACACTGTGGTTGGGACCGGGCTGGAATGGCTGCAAGCCGCGGGGGGTATCGGCAATCACTCGGAAGTGACCGGTGAATGGAGGTCCAATGTTGGAGGGTCGGGTCTGAGGGTCGACCTGCGAGGATGTGAGTTGATGTGCCCGGATCGGATCAGTCAAAGCTACTCACCTGGTAGTTGATCAAGCCCCACTGCTCGAGGAATGAGTGGACACGCATAATGGCGCAGACATCACCCGCGAGGTTACGGCGACAGGCCGTGACAGTCAGGTACTCAATGGGGTTCAATCGGTAGGTGTTAATCATGAAGTCTCGGTAGTCTTTGTAAGTAGCGGGGGTCTTGCTGCGGTTGCGACCATTGAAGAACTCGGCGAGAGCCTTCTTCTCGATCGGGTTGATGGTATTCATGTCGAACCAAGTAGCATAACTGGGAAGGATGATCGCATGTGTTTGGGTGACGAGCTGCTCGCGCGCAGCGGCTTCAAGAGAAGACTTGGTTGGCGCAGGTTGATCTTCTCCCACGGCATCCTCTAGTCCATCCACACCATCTCCTGCTGTATGCGCTTCGCCAACGGCATCTTCTAGGCCTTCGGTGTCGCGCTTGGCATCGGTCTCGGTACCACCCATCTCCTCGTCTTCCAATTCACCTCCGTTCTGGGGTTTAGGTGAGGCGGGGGCATCTAGAGGATCGTCGGATCCGCCGGTGGCCTCAATCTTCTGAGCGGGTGAATCTTGACGCGATTGCGTCTCTGTCGATCTCATTAGCTTTCGATGTCACATTGATACCTTTGGGCACACCGGAAGCGTCGCGGGTTGCCGATAGTGCATCCATACCAGGTACTTGCTGAGCGTTGTCTGGGACGCCAGCGGAATTGAAATGGGACTCGTCCATGATGGGTCAAAGAAAGCTAGCAGCCGTCGCGGTAGGATGATTCGACTCCTTGCCCTTCCAATCCGGCCTCGCAGAGCGCAATACTGTCGTAGGGTCAAACAGCCAGTAGTTAATTCACGTGTAAAGTATGGCCAAATGAGATGGACAAATAGGCCAGGGGTGATGATTGAACTGATTCCTGAGGGGGCGATTCGGAGGAGGTTGGTCGCGACACGCAAAACTCACGGAGCGCCAAGACCAGGGTTGCCGCTAACCGCTTTGGGATGACCTGCTTTCATAGTTCACCTGTCTCTTTACTATGCACCGAAGAATAAGACAATTGCTTGACCTGATATTCCTAGAAAGTACAGCATGGTGCTTGAAAGTTATTTGATTAACCATTATCCACAGACCATGCAAGCACAAGCCCGACTAGAGAAGTATGCGAGACTACGCCAATCATCTGCCTAGGGATGGCACACTGCTGGATTAGATCCTCAGTCCAAGCTTATATTTGCATATTTTAACGTGATGGTTGGCAAGAATTTAGTCCTTCCAGCAATACATACAAAGAATTTCAAAATAAATCATTCAGAAATTCGATACAACAACGAACCAAACCCAAGGCCATCAAAGCCACCCGAATTAGGACCATAGTTCCCACCACCACCCTCGACACCATTCGTAGAATTCACATTCACCCAATCCCGATAAGAATCCGTCCAATACGAGTCCAACCCCTTAACCTGACCATAATGCGCAGAAAGCAACTCGAATCCAGGACGAACAACGCCACGCGAGTTATTCGAGATGACAGACTGAGGTCCCTGATAACTCTCATAGAGAGTATAAGGCACATCATAACCAACATTATACTTGGCCGCATACTCCGCTCTGAACATGTCAAGAATTAGCCTCGCACATAAAGCAAGCAAGGAACGAACTCACGCATTCAAAATCTCATTCCCATATTCAGCAAACAAATCATCACCTTGATTGTAAGCCTGCTGCGCAACAATACCAAAGAGAACCATATCGAGGGTAGAATGACCCTGATCACGACCCGCCTCCTGGCCCTGCGTCAGGATCTTCTCAGATCCCGACTCTGTATAATTTGCAATCGCGAAGACAGGAAGAGCACCATTCGAAGGACCCGTGCGAACATACTCCAAGGCATAATCATACATAGTCTGATTATCAGTGAAGATACCAATAGCCAGCAGGGAGGCAAGGTTGCACAAGTCCCAATTAGCATAATAATGGTAGTAATCCTGGCCGTTGTGCTCTTCCATGAAGCGCGTGTTCATGGCGGCAAAGACGTTCGTCAGCATTGTTCCTGTTGCTGTCTTGTTGCTGCTGTCCCAGCCGGTGTAGTCGGACATCAGCTCTGCTGCATTGGCCATTTGGTAGCCGTATAGACCGGAGGCGAGGAACTTGTCGCTGGTGCCTTCGATGGCGACTAGGGAGGCTGCCCATGAGCTGAGGATGTTGATTGCGGCATCGGCGTAGCTTGTGTCGTTTGTGATGCGCCAGCGGATGGCGAGTTGGTAGGCTGCTGCGGTGTCTCGGTATAGAGATGGATAGTTCTCACTGTCCACGCCATTGTAGCCTCTGTATACTGTTTCCTTTGGAGTGGGCTGGTAAGTAGATTGGGCGTAGGTGCTGGCAGTCAGGAGGTTCCATGTTGTATTGTGCGGTTCGACTTGGTTGGAGAGGTAGGTATTGATCCGCGTGAAGTCTTCTGCCGTGTGAAGTGCCCCTGGATGAATAAAAGCCGCTGTGGACAGTGTGAGCCCCAAGAAGGGCAATATACTGCGCATCATGGTTGGTATCAATGAGCGTCAAGGAGAAAGATGTCTTGATATTGGGAAGTGGTGTATAGGGGTTCATTGCCTGGTTATTATACTCTAGTCCCTATGGTTATATTGTTAGCTTCAAACAGCTATATTGCAGCCAAGCTTCATTTGACCAACCAAATAAGAAGTGGTAACTACTTAAATGCGCAATTGATCGGCATGTCATGTCTTAGTGGAGTTGAAACGTTTCATGTTGAAACAGAAAGGGGAGCCGACGATCCATCGTCTATTCAGTCCAAACTTCAGATCAGCATGGTATGGTGTTTCCAAGGTTTTCGAAGCGTTTGGGCATTTAGTGGTGTATAGCCTTGCAACCTTGGAATGCGTTGATTACCATCAGTGGAGCAGTCGTCAAAAAGAACAGTGGTGGAGCAGTCGTCAAAAAGAACAGTGAATTTGATTCTGAATAGTACCGGAATGCAGTTTGTATCCAACCCGGAAAAAAAGAGCCAATTGGCTCAAGGCAAACGGTAGATCCAACGATGTAAATGCCAAAATGCACCAGGGGTGACAAAGGTAGTAAAATTGTGAATGACAAGTTCAAAAATAGAGTAAGTAGTCTATAAGGTATCGAGAACGAGGCAAATCCACTTCCAAATCCAACAGAGTGCATGCTATATGGTCCCAAATCATTGCTTTCAATCGCAAAGGATGAGCTTCTCATGTATTCTTATGTTTCTTTCATGTTTGTACAAGTCTAGCGGTACTTGTTCATGAACTCGGAGTGGAACTTGACGATGCGCTCGACCCAGTCGGTGCCGGGAGCGAGGAAGGTAGTGCGGAAGTGAAGAGTGCCCTCCTTCTGGCCGAAGCCGGAGCCGGGAACGACACAGACACCGGTAGCGTCAAGCAGAGCCAGGGAGTAGAACTCGTCTGCGGCGCGGCCATCGGCCTTGGCGGCTTCGATGGCCTTGGCGGGGAGGTTGATGGTGGGGAAGAGGTACATGGCGCCCTATGGATGGTTAGTATGGATGAAAGAAGGATTGCAATTCAGATGGTACATACCTGAGGCTCCTGGCACTCAACGCCCTCCATGCGCTGGAAGGCGTTGAACAGAGAGAGAGCACGTTTGTGCAGACCCTCAGAGATACCAGTGTACTCCTGGTTGTAGAGCTCGAAGCTGGGCTCGCCCTTCTGGGGAGGGTTGACCATGCACTCGAGCAGGCACTGTGCGACGACCGGCGGGCACAGGCCAATGCTGACGAGCTTGTAGATCTGCTCCTGGACAAGGGGGTCGAAGCCGACGAGTTCGAAGTAGCCACCGCGGTGACCACACTCGCCAACCATACCCTTGGAGATACTGTGCAGCGAGACCAGCTCGACGTCATCGTACTTGCCGGGCTGCTCCTTCTGGAGCTGGCGCAGGCGCTTCTTGAAGGAGACAAACTCGCCCTTGAAGACGTTGGTCTGGTAGACCTCATCGGCAATCACAACCAGGTTCTCCTCGGCAGCGACGTCAATGACCTTCTTGATGTCGTCCGCGCTCAGCGAGGCTCCGGTAGGGTTACCGGGGTTGATCACGACAACGGCGCGCACGTCGGTGCCGGCGCTCTTGGCATCCTCAATTGACTTGAGGATGGCGTTGACATCGGTACCCCAGGCCTTCTCCTCCTCGAGGAGATAAGGAACGCAACGGGCATTCAGCAATGCGAGGGTGGCGGTATAGAGGGGGTATTGAGGGATGGGGACCAGAACGCCGGCATTCGGGTTGTTGCAGATGACGTTGAGGAGAGTGCTGACTCCGGAGGAGGCACCGGCAGTCAGGAACAGGTCCTGGGGGTTGGCAGGGAATCCGTCACGGGTCTCGATGAACTTGGCCACGCTGTTCCGGATCCCGGGAGCACCCTGGCTGTGACTGTAGGCACCGACGCTCTGCACATTGGCCAGGAGAGTCTGGGCGCGGTCGATGACATCCTGCTTGTATCCGAACGATGACTTGAGGGCCTCGGGGTTGTCGAGCAGGAGGGGGTTCTCGACGAGACTGAGGACCTGGCGGAAGAAGGTGATGGGCTTCTGGTCGAGTTGTTGGGGGTTACCGATGTTGGCGAAGATGACGCTCTCAAAAGGCAGAGACTTGTCGCCATCAATCAAGCGCTGGCGGTAGTCCTCGGCCTTGACAGCCAGTTCACCGCGCACGGCGTATTTGGCCTCCCGGACATTCTGGTTGACGTTTTCGACGCTAAGGCACTTTTGGGTCTGGTAGGCCGACAGAGTGCGCTTGGCGGTGTAGGAGACAGTGGTCTGGGACATGGTGGGCGCTGAGTTAACCCGAGGATATGTTAGTGAAGTTCAAAATAGCAGTGTTGAGATCCCCGATCTTGAATCGAATTATTGAGGACGATCCGAGGTAATAACCAAAAATGGGCACAGATGAGCAGAAATCACACCACACAATGACGTGAGACCGCAACAGTGCGGAGGGCGCAATCTATATAATACCGGGGTAACCACGTACCTGACCAAGCGGAGAGACTCCCCGCAGCGCCGCGGGCGGCCGGGCGATATAGGGGACCATTCGGCCGGGTCAGTGCCCGTAGCGGAGATGCCCGCGCGCTGGAAGCGAGCTTGTATTGCCAGGACATGATTGGAATTGATCAATGAAAAAAGTCCCTCAAACTCGAGCCCCTGTGTGATTGTCCGCTTCACACCCGAAAGAAGAATGGAAAAAACCCTGGGCCTTGGCCATTGGGCGGTGAGACGCGGTGACTCAGCGTTTTCCCCCACACCGGCGACCGATTACGATAAGGATGTTCGCTATCAGATCAGCTATCAGCCCTGACCCTGTTCAGGTGCTCTCTACAGGTCTACATGAGGCCATCGGTGTGTCGGGAATTCACCCGAAGATAAGCCAACATCAGCTTACATGGAGAGTGCATATGATACTCGGCATCTGCGGCCGATCATTTTCCCTCGGAAAGGCTGACGCTTGCCCGATTCGACGGTGTCCGGTGGCGCCCGATGCGGGGGCCTGAGGATCGACTGTTAGTCAACTGGCCTAGGCATTAGTCAAGGTTCTGGATGTCGACGGCTATCCTAGGGCCAGGTCGAGATGCGTGATAGAAATCAAGTAATATTCTTCATAGTTCGTAGTTGGTTCCACAGTCCCCATCTTCTTGCTCGTCATATGACATTTTAGCTGCGCTCACTGCCCCGAAGACGCACAGCTTGGCCGTACTTCTGGATCTTGGTGATCAGGGAATCACCATGCTTCACCACATCGGCATACTGCTTGTTCTTGTCATCGGGGCGATTTGTCTCGATGATGCCGTTGACACGGTCGATGGTGCAAGCAATACGGTTGTTAGAGATGAACTTGGCAAGGTCACTGAGGCACAATTAGTAATTGATCACAGGTTCAAGGGTCAAAAGCACATACCGGTCCAGGTAGTCGACCGTCACACCGAAGTCGTTGGCCATACCCGTCAGTCCAACCACGCGGTAACTCTGCAGAAGTTGTTGATAGGCGCGCAGACGCATTTCACGGACGAACCATGCGCGGTGCTCGTGTAAGTATCGGTCTTGTGTGAGGAATTGGTCTTCCACGGCGGCGAGAGCCACAAAGAAGGAGCGGTAGTTGCCATTGTACAAGCTGTTCACCAAGTTGGCGAGCGGGGAGAAGTCCACCGGGACCTCGGAGTCCACTGGTGCACTGGATCCAGTGGAGAATGAGGTCAGGTTTACGGCGGTAGTAGCACCAGCCGGGGTGGTCAGAGAGGCTGTCGCGTCCTTCATCTCCTCGTCCCGGGCGCCGGCACCCGCAGAGACTTCTCCACTGAGGGCAGCCAGTTGATCCTCCGCAGAGCCCAAAATGGCCTTGATCTCTGGTGCGTCAACCACCTTCGCCTTGAAGTCCACCCGCTTGAGGGCTAAAGATCCCGCAAGCACCGAGTAGATCACCAACGAAGAGTAGCTGCACAATTCATAACTTGTAAAGGTAGAGAGACTGTCGAGGAGGAGAGGAGCGGCGAGGCCATAGGCGCGGATGGTGAGGAGGTGCAGGCCCTTGTAAGCCTTGAGACGGTTTCTGCGGTCCCAGTCTCCACCGCTCTCGACCAGGGTCTCTGCACGCTCGATAGTCTTCTTTACAAACAACAGATCACCGAAGAACAGTCCAATGCGGAGCATGGCCATCACCAAGTCGATCTTGGTACCCAGGAACCCGGTCTTTTCCAAGAGGGCTTCGTGTGATTCGATGGCTTTGTCCTATTTGGATAGCATGGTCAGACTTCAAATTGGGCACATTGACGCTGGGAAGCTCTTACCTTGTCTCCCACGCGAGCCCAGAACTCAGCGCGCTTGCCGCGCGCAGCTTGTACCTCAGTCTCACCAGCAGCTTCTTCCGCCTCATCCTCCTCCTTCTGGAAGGTCTCCAGCTCCTTCTTGTTATCCTCCACTAGGGACTGGTACAGCTTCTCATCCCAGGGGAAATCGAACTGTTGGGGCGTTTTGCGAGAGGCAAGCAGATTGGAGGTGATGAGCGGCTTCGTTGAGGCTCCGCTGTTCTGTGGGTGCTGTGTGACGCCTTCGCCGGCGTTGTTCAGAATTCCCTCGGTGGGGTGGGCCAGATGGCGGTAGAGGGGGGCCATCTTATGCTCGGCGATGACCTCCTGAAGCTTCTTCAATGAAGACTGCTGGACGGATGACGCGCATGCCGGGTTGGAGAGGTTGAAGACATGTTGGGCGAGGGAGAGGTTGGGGAACTTGATGTACTGCGGATCAGACCCCATGATGACGGTTAGGATCTCGATATGCGGAATGAACGACCAGACAGACGGGACACTCGATAGATTAGGGAGATGATGGGAGCTGGTGTTTGGAGATGATCCATCAAGCCAGGTGCATCACCGTAGCCGTCTCTTCACCGCCCGGCGAGCTCAGCTGGCAGAATGTTTCTCCGAGCCGAGCTTCTCATCCATTCTGTTTGGCACTGCCCAGGTGCACTTTGACGCAGTACAGAGTACGGAAGTTGTTCATCCCTCGCTAATTTTAGTGTTTGGATTTACCTACAACTGTCCAGGTAATCTCCAGGGCTTACCTAAGTATCTCATATTGGAAGGAATGGTCAATTGACAGTTATATATTTGTCTCTCCGTGCCGGAGTTTCAAAGACCGTCTAAAGTCGCCGAAAGCTTGACATGCAGCTTTTACTGTACTTTGCGTATCTAAGTATCATGGCCACAGGTGTCCAAGCGTGAACAATTGACTTCAGTCAAGAGATTGGAACCCCAGGAGAGCCAGTCCCTCGCTCATTCCAAGGTTCTTGGGGGCTTCAAGGTTTGGTCCTGAGGTCGGCGTTGGAGCTGCGAAGACGGGTAATTGTACAATCACCCAGAGTCGATTTACCTTCCAAGGTTTGAGCTTTGGAAGTCACATCTGAGCCTGGTAATTGACTTCACTAGGAGTAGAAGCCCATCATTACTGTGAGGTAATAAGGGCCATTGGTGTCATCTACTAGTGCTCTCAATGGGCATGCTGCCTAGTTAGTCTGCTCGTCTCGACCTGAAGGAGTGTGTAATGCCAATCCCCTGAAGCTTCCAAGGTTGCACGTTAGTTTAGTCTCGGGCTGGGCAAAGCCAAGAATCCATGGCCTGAGCGTAGGGCTTATGTCTTGAGTAGGGCTGAGGTATATTCTATCTAGGTACTAATGGCCCATGGAGTTCAATAGATTCTCCATGAGGAAAGTGAGCACGAATCCTGGGATCCTGAGAACTTTAGATTGGTTCCTTCGGCACGTGCGCGCGGGACAGGTCAATTCCTTTTTCTTTCTACACTTCCACCTGGGCATACCTGGATACTTCCTACATTCTTCATGGACCTGAGATCACACCCGTGGACCTAAGAAACCCTCTGGACTGGAGTATAGAAACACTGCAAGTCGATGGAAACTTCCACGGTTCGGGGTGGCCGAGTTCAAAGGGCGCAGGTGCAACGTCGTGCCTCCCCACGATCCCCCATTGGCCGCAGACGGGGCGTGTGATACTTTCCGCGCCTCCCATTGGTCCAGACACATTAATGGAAGGCTAAAGCGATAGCTTCGGGGGCCGGGTCCCACCAGGTTCCGTGACCTGGTTAGACACGGTCCTGGACACCCTATGATAGGTACCTGGTACCCCATTCTACACGATGCTATTCCCCAAGAAGAATCCGGCTTTATAGCCCTGGAGCTTGCGAAAGAAGTTTTTTTTTTTTTTTTCTCGCTTCTCTCTTCTCCCTGGACATCTCTCAGTCATCACTCGATCCTTCACGTAACTTGGGATCTCCAGATCTCTCGTCATTGTGATCGATACCCGTGAACGAATCTGCGCATTGGCCGCACCCCTCAGTCACATCTGTCTGCGGCTCTAGGGAGCACACGACCAACGGCAAGACTTTATCAGTCCCCTTCACAATGGCCGATCCCCAGTACAACAAGGAAATGTCCGAGAAGGACCCCGCGCCTCTTGGTGCTGCGCAGAGCGTGGAGCTCCAGCCTCTCGAAGATGTCACGAAAGGCCGCTGGGAACGCAGCTGGCCCACTATCGCCTGCGGTGCGGGTCTTTTCTCCGATGGATATCTCAACCAGGTACGTACCCCCCGGTGACAGGCTGCCAACCCCAAATGTAAATGGAGTCAAGTGAGTCGCATCGAGGCTAACACTCCGTCTAGATTATTGGTCCTGTCGGCACCATGCTGCAGAAAATCTACGGAGATGCATACACCAACTCCTCCGCCCAGCAGAACGTCTCTTCCATTGTGTTCGCTGGTACCGTGGTGGGAATGCTGTTCTTCGGCTACACAAGTGACCACTGGTCGCGCAAGTGGTCTTTGATGATCTCCACCATCATTCTGTTCGTCTTTGCAGCCCTCGGTGCCGGTTCGTACGGTGCCGGTGGAAGCATTGGTGGTATGCTTGCTGCCTTGACTGCTTATCGTTTCTTCCTCGGCATTGGAATCGGCGGCGAGTATCCTGCTGGGTCTGTGGGTGCTGCCGAGAACACTGGAGAGCTCAAGGCTGGACATCGTAACCGCTGGTTCATCATGTTCACCAACTTCCAGATCGACTTCGGATTTGTTGTTGCCGCGCTGGTATCTATGATCCTGGTCCTGATCTTCACCGAGGACCACCTGCGGGCTTGCTGGCGTGTCGCTCTGGGATTGGGAGTGATCCCTCCCCTGAGCTTGATGTATCTCCGATTGAAGATGAACGAGCCCGAAGAGTTCAATCGGGAGCGCATGCACAAGTTCCCGGTCTGGCTTATCATCAAGTAAGTGTGTTCTCCATTGTCCATGGAATGCATGCTAACAGCTATCGTAGGTTTTACTGGAAGCGCCTGGTAAGAAGCGCCTTTGAACACTGCTTTGAAGTGGCACGAACATTCTGACCTAACTTCTGTAGGCCGTCGTCTCTATCATCTGGTTCCTCTACGACTTCTCCGCCTACAGCTTTGGCATCTATTCCTCGGCCTGGTTGAGTATCATCCTCGGCGAGGGTGCGCCACTGTGGAAGAGCTTTGGCTGGTCGACCGTTGTCAACCTGTTTTACATCCCTGGCTCTGCCCTTGGAGCCTTCATGAGTGACTGGATCGGCCCTCGCTACACGCTCGCACTGGGTGTCGGCCTTCAAGGTATTATCGGATTCATCATGGCTGGATGCTACAAGTGGCTCGCGACGCCCGAGAATGTCGCAGGCTTTGTGGTCGTGTTCGGGTAAATTCCAGACGGTCCATTCACCCGAGACCTTCATACTGATATACTTTGAACAGAATCTTCTCCGCTCTCGGTGAAATGGGACCCGGCGATAATATCGGATTGTGTGCCGCGAAGACCAGCGCGACCGCCATCCGTGGTCAGTACTACTCATATGCCGCCGCATTCGGCAAAGTCGGAGCATTTGTGGGGACCTACGTGATCCCAGTCATCCAGAAGAACGCCCCCAACGCAGTCCGCAAGGGCCAGGATCCCTTCTGGGTTTCCAGCTCTCTGTGTCTTCTCGCAGCGTTCATGGCTATTTTCATGCTGCCACAAATCAACCAGGTACTAACTCCAAATACATCATCACATCTATTCGCTAATTCTCAGCAGGACACCATCACTCACGAAGATGCCCGATTCCGGGACTATCTCGAAGCTAACGGTTACGACACTGCGACCATGGGCAACCCGGATCGCCAGAACGTCCAACCTCAAGTGTAACAAAATAGTCCAGCCCTCTCGCGCCACATCGCCCTTGACTCTACTCCATACCCGATATTGAATCCAAGCGACCTTAATTCCCCATGCGACAATACGCTATCAGTGTTCCCATTCAGCACGATACGATTGATGAGACAGCGACTTCACCCTGGCGACAAATACCCCGATTGCGACCTAGTACCCAGTACGGACTTTATTTTTTAAAAAACCCAAAAACACGAGCATCGACCCTCTGATCTGAGCAGATTGGTTGATGCATTGACGTGGGATGAGATTCAAGCTTAATTCGCTCTTATGAACACTGTCTTCTACGAAGTGTTCATCTAATGAAACAAAATACGCAGTCCAATGTTTTCTGTCTAGATTGAGTAAACAGGACCTGATACGGAGTACTTGTGCCCAACAAAAGCCCTGCCAAGCCATATAGTGTTGACCTTGTTCTTAGTGCTTTGTTGAGCCCAGTCATGTACTCCGTACTCCGTACCAACGAAGCTCAATGGCAGCCCGATCTACCTTAATTTACGGTTAATGCTCGGATGCTTTCCGGGACTTGGCCCGGTGCTAGATGCAATCTGTGATGCTGTACTATCTACGGAGTACGGAGTACGGAGCACCCCGTTGGGTGAACTGCGAGCCCTGGAGATTTCGGTTGATCACATTCTGGAAGAATGTATTCGATGAGTTCTACTCCGTACTTCTGGATGCTAGTTTCCAGCTGAGTTGGGCAAATGCCGATCGGGTCTGACGAGTACCAAAGGTGTGGGTGATGCATCCGATTACTTAGTGCGGATATCCAATCCCGGGCACAGTTCCGACGTCGGCCGAGAGAACAGAGAACAGAGAATGAGAGAAAGTAGGAGAGAAAGGGAAAGAAAGGGCATGTCGAGAAGAAGTATAGAAGTATAGAATAAAGTACGGAGTCTAGAAAGCACAGAATAACCGAATCTCACGTGTAAAAGATGTAATGGATACTTCGTGACGGGTATTGAATACCTCCGGATCCCCCCACAGGCCGAGACGACTTCTGCCGAGGTTGGACTTTCCTATTTCCATTTATCTCCTATACTTTAATCTCCCTTTCCTTTCACTTCTCCCCCATTTCACACACACCATGGTTGCCGACGCTCTTGTCTACCACCCTGCGCTGGCGCACTGGCTGCGCTTCGTCGCGACAACAGGTAGACACCCCGAAGCCCCGACGAGACATCCCAGAACAACCCCAGACTAACACACCCCCAGTTGGCCGCGACAAGATCCTCCGCACAGTCCAATACTTCTCCCGCTTCTACGCATGGTACCTGTACCGCACCAACAAGCCCCAGTCCTCGATCGACCCCTACAATGCCGTGAAGAAGCAGTTCGGCACGACGCGCAAAATCATGCGCATCGGCAAATTCCTCGAACACCTCAAGGCTGCCGCCGTAGCCTTCGACACTAAGAACCCCGTCGACCCTGTCCTCAAGTACCTGGCCATCGGTCGCCAGCTTGGCTACGCCGGCTACCTGACCCTCGACGCGGTGACGGTCATTGATGTGATCGGAGTCCGGAAGCTGGCTTCCGCGAAGAGGCTGCAGGAGTCGGCGTACCGGTCTTGGGCGGCGGGTTTGATCTTCAGTGCTGTGGCGGGTGTGTATACGCTTGTGCGGTTGCAGGAGAAGGAGAAGAAGATTGATCGGAAGGAGGGTGAGGGTGTTGTGGAGGCGAAGAAGATTGAGAAGTATGGTTCCCTTTTTTTCTTTGGTTGTGGTGATGCTAATTTGGTTAGGGAACGCTCTGCGGCGCGCATTCAGCTCTTCTCGGACGTTTGCGATTTGGCGGCGCCCTTGTCTGCTGTTGGTGTCTTGAACCTTGATGATGGTATTGTTGGTATCTCGGGTACTATCAGCAGTTTGATTGGTGTCTGGTCCCAGTGGCGCAAGACTGCTTAAGGGCTGGTTTTGTCGTTGAGTTGGATCGTGACTTTGATCTGTATGGAGACCCGTGGACCCGGTTGGGGTATCATTTTTGACGCACTTTATATCCTGTTTGGTTGCGTTTACGAACAGACTATCTTTTTATTTATTGGGATCTATTCCCTTTTCTGGTACATAACAATCACATGTTTTTTACGCTCTTGAAACTGTTCAGACGTTGATATTCGTAGCTTGCTATGAAAGTAACCATCCTTGCGCCGACCTCTCCGGCCTCCTCAACTCCATATCCGCATGATAGACCTTAGTCTGTTCGATTTAAACGGGGCAGGTCTGGCCGAGGTTAGCTTTGCCTTGCATATCAAGCATGCCTAGGTAATACATACAGCACCGCAGGAGCCGCAGCTCTTGCCGGCACCGTCAGCGGCGGCACCGCACTTGGGGCATGAAGCGTGTCCGTTCATTGTAGATAGATGTAGATCTTTGACAGGTTAGCCACCACCCGGGTCCTCGAAGGATCGACTCACTGAAGACTGCGAGATTGTCTGAGGGAGAGAAGAGTTGGGCACACAAAATTGCTGACTTTTGTACCCCGCCTGACTGGTGCCCCGCTCGGACTTAGCACAGGCGAGTTTCTCTTTGCTTCACATGAACGGCTTATGACTATCTGTGTCTCTTGAGATCTTCAGATATTGCTTGGGAAGTCAAGGGTGTGCATATGCATATGTACTCGACTTGATTCTTCCAAGGTTGCCGTATACTTTCCACGAGAGGGCCTCACAGAATACTTAGATGATAGCAATAACTATTTCTATTACCACAAAAAGCCAAATTAAAAAGCATTTGCAGTAAAAGCCTGTTGCTGTACATACCTCGTCGGGTTTGAAGCAGCAAGACAGCGCAAGAATCTATCAACAAGCCAACCTACCAACCTTGGAAGGCCAAACTAAACCAACCACCCAACATCGCTTCAGTCAATATTCCACATAACCCCCAACTGCTTAACCGCATCCGAATACATCCTCTCCCTAGCCGGAGCCTTCCTCCAAAACGAAGGCGCCTTATCAAACCCATGAACCACATCCTCAACCATAAACCCCCCAACACTCGCCATCTTCCCCTCCTTCACAAACCCAGCAAGCCTATCACGAAAAGCCTCCCCCTCCACAAGCAACTGATCCCACCCACAAGTATAAATCGCAACGGCCGGAGCATACGCATCCAGCAACGCCTTCTCCGAAGCCCTTCCAGGCGAAAGAAACATATGACCCATATCCACACTCTCAGTCCCAGCAAACTTCGGCAAACCCGCACTCAGCAAATACGAATCATCAAAGAAACGAAAAACATCAGCCGAAATCATAGATTTCTCCGCCGAAATGGGATTAGTAGCATCCCGCTCTGCGCGCGTCCGCGTCCAATCCACACTGGGATAAAAAGCAATTTGGCCAGCGAGGGTTATTTTCCCTGCATTGCGTTTCTGTTGACATTCGCGCAGTCGGAAGGGGGTTGTTAGAGCGAGGTTTCCACCTGCACTGAAGCCGGTTAGTGTGAAGCGCGTTTTGTCGAGATTGTATTGGTCTGCGTGGTCCCAGAGCCAGATAATGGTGTCTGTGCCGTCGTCTAGGGCTATGGGGAAGGGGTGTTCGGGTGCTAGGCGGTAGTTGACGCTTATTACTACGGCTTCTGGGTAGGCTTTTAGGACGGTGCTGGCCCAGCGGGAGTCGTCGAGGGCGTGGCCGATTGAGAAGCCGCCGCCGTGGAAGTTGATGAGGACGGGTCGGGGTGCAGTTGGTTGGGGTTGGGCTCGGGAGGAGAGGCCTTTTGAGGGCGCGGTGAAGATGTGCAGGCCTATTGAGCCGGGGCATTTGCTGGTTTGGGAGGGGATGGAGATCTCGAGCTCTGGTCTTGAGGGGAGGGGCCAGGAGAGGTATCTGTCGAGTATGGAGAGGAGGCTTATGAGGGTGCGGTATCGGGATGCTTTTTTGATGAGACTAGATCGTGATGGTGGGTTTGGTTCCATTTTGGTGATCAGAGGGATATTAACAATGTTGTAGTTCTGTTGCTAGCACCCCAGGACTGTCGGAGGATATAGAAGTAGCATCGGGATATGAAGTAAAAGTGGTTGATGACGGCATGGGGCCGAGATGCCCGAACCTTAAACGGGAAGTATACCACCTTACTTCCAGGTTAGGACATAGACATTGAAGCATTACCAGGCATACTGTATGAATAGAGTCTCTATCTGTGTGTAAGAACACCATCCTCAAGTGGGTGACACTATACCCGATGTCACCTAGTAGTGGGTCCCTAGAGCCGCATTGAGTAGGCCGGACTCCGAGCCTCAAGATATAAACAGAGCGAACATTCCCTACTGAATACTAATTCAAACTCAAACCATCTACTACAATCACCTACAATCACCTTCTCACCATGTCTCCCCTCCCAATTGTCATCTGCGCTCTGGACGATCAAATCGGCAAGCCGGTCTCCGAGCTCCTCCAACCCGAGTACGAAGGTAAGTCAAGCATCTACCCGAACATCAAATCCTCCATCTCCAACAATACCCATATAATCATGATTCATCTAACACCAACCAGTAATCCACTTCATCCAAAGCCTCGAGGCCGCCCAGTCCGAGATCCCCCACATCCTCGCCGGCCGGGATCCCCAATCCCGACACACCAACAACGTCGGAACGAAAGACTATACTCGTCCGGCACGAGCAGTTATCTTTGGTCGTGGTTTTGATTTAGAAGATATCGAAGCACTTCGAGAGAAGGTTGCCGGGGCTTCACCAGATCCGGTTGTTTGGATCGCTGGTGACCCGAGCCGTAAGCCGCCTCCTGGTGCGCTTCCACCTCCTAATTACCCGCAGCTTGTGGCTGGTGTTGCGAGGAAGCTTCTTGGTGGATGGGTTGAGGCTGGGGGTGTGGAGGATGAGGTTATTTTGTATTAGATTGGTGGGTCGCGTTTCGGCTTGGATATATATTTGCAACTTCGAAATATGATTGAGTGTTAAGTGTGGAGAAAACCGTTTGATAGATGGCTTTGTGTGATTATAGTGCATCTTCAATGAACATGAATTTATAATGCTAAATAAATCCGGCCCCGGGGATGCCTCGAGTCGATTTGGACATGTTTAATGTTGTACTGCTCAGCCTAGAACCTCCCAAGGTTGGAACCTTGAAGATGGGCCGCCTAGACCGTGGACTCAGCCTCGAATCGAAATACGATGCTGATCCAAGCCTCTGCGTACACTCACCTCCAGGGATGGCGGCTGTTTATTTTTGCATTTGAGCCTCGGAACATCCACGAGTCCTGCTCGGAAAGCATGTCGCTTTATTTGCCCTTCATCTAGATTTCTACAAGTCTAATTTTAAACCCATGATAGTAACCAAGGCATTCAGGTGACGTTCGCTTATACTCTCGACCCGACCTCGGGGTAACATATGCCGAGCGAACCCCTGAACGCCGGGTGACCGGGTGACATCTTGGCCAAGATCATTCGGCCACAGGAGATATGTGGCGGCAGTTACATTGACTGGGGAAAAGGTCCCATCTTGGACCGAATTTGGTCTTTGTCCCTAGGTGGATGAGTAATATGACTGGAAGACCAGCATCAAGCAAGAGAATTATTGGACTTCACGACGTATCCCCGAAGGAATAGACGACCTCTGGAGTGAAGAGCCTCAGCCCTAGATACCCCGCATCCGAGGCCACGCGACATCTTCCCCAGAAAAAAGCCAAGATGCCAAGAAGTGCAGGTCGACCGAATAGTACAAGGGCCGGAGCAATAAGTCTAGGATCGGCCAGGGTTCCGACGGCCCATGACGTGCAGCGCCTGGAATCGGGGTCGGGAGAAATAGGAGACCTCAGCACTTCGGCCCAGGCCGTTTTCAAACCCCTGGCGCTGGTTGGGCCTCTAGATAGCTCAAAACAAGATCCTACTCACGGGTGAAACAGGGAGCTAAGCCATAGTGATTGGCGAGAGATCCTTGAATATCGAGCCGGGTAAGATAAGGAGAAACAAGAAAATGCGACGGGTGAACGGAGTAGATAGTACGGAGTCGACGGAAAGGGGCAAAACGTAGATCCAGAAAGGAAATTGAGACTCGACTCAATATTTCGAGATCACGGGGTATGTATGTGGCTATCCATGGGAGCACGGAGTATAGATGTGTTCATTTTTGCGGAGGCGAAAGGGTTTCCCCACCCGCCCTTACTCCATCAGGGCGAAGAAAGAAAAAAGCCTCAAAGCCCAAGTCCATAGTTCCGGTCTGGCATGTCACGCGCAAGGGCCCAAAGGATACGAACATCAGCACCTGGGCAGAACCTGCAAACTACGTAATGAGACAAAATCGCGCAAAGTCGTTTCACGTCAAATCGCATGCGCGAGTCGCAGTCAGGCCTCTATGCTCCCGAGGCCGTAGCCGGCTCGGGATCCGCCGCTAACAGGATCTGGGGTTGGACAGTGAATCGCACAAGGCCATCCCGACGTGCGATCGCGACCCGACACGAAAACCCATCAGACCGGCAGACCGCTTCACGACATCATCGGTCGAGACCCGGCGTAGTCATTTGTAATGTGGGCGTTTGGGGAAGGGTACCGCTCGGAGGCAGGCGGTGCTCTCATTGCACGGCGACGACGAGCAGTTATCGTCGACCAGCGAAACAAGGGGCCTAGGACCCGGCAATATCTTCTGCCCACCAGACTATGCTGAAAATGGAAATGGAGGCCTGCTGATTGGTCCCCGCCGCCGCGATCGATGGAGACGGGTGCATCATCCTCGGCTGGGTTAAACGCCGTTATTTGCTGCGCGCAGAGACACTCCGAACTTTTCAGCCGGGCTTTTCGTCGGGCTTTTCGTCATTCGGGCAGCTGTGATCTCTCTGGTTTTTTTTTCCACGGGCAACTCCGTTGGAAGCCGAAAAACAGGAAAGGCACATGAGAATGGGAGCTCGGTTGATCGCCCCTTATGTCAGCCCCCGCGATTTGCCCCTTTCGTCGTAGTTCTTTGACTACTATACAGTACACTACTCCGTAGAGTATAGTAGATTATAGAATATTGAAGTCATTCTGCGTCATTCCCCTCGCCCGCAGAGTTAATTCACCTCATTTTGTGGTTCTACACGTAGGGAAAGACTATTGAATGTTACCAGTATACGGCTGCAGTATAGGCGTAATAGACTGTGACGTACCAACATTTAAGATCTGCGACAATTATTCTTCACTCCTGAAACCTGAGTTATTTTTGATCACTTTATTCCCGTTGGTCTTTCCGAACGCATTAACCCCATTCGTTCCGAATCCCTTTCGTGTCCAAACCATTTCGGGTCAAGTCGGACTCGTCGAGGCCTTTGCAACCCACGGCAACGTTCCTCCCATCACCAACCGCGTGTCCGCTTCAGCTCGGCCTGCATCCCCCGACATCACCCGTGAAACTGTGGAGAAACAGCAACGGAAACTGCACGAGAACCTCCTTCATACCAAGACCGATCTCGACCATGGCCACAGCCGGAAAGGATTATATACCCCTCGACCGCACCAGTTCTCCAGGTCCTTTAGCTTCAGACTTCACTTCCCAACAGATCGCGAAGCAACGCAACAACAATTATCATTCTACTTCACTCAGAAAAATGGTTGCCACTTCAGTAAATCGCACTGCGCTGCACCCCGGTGGTGTTCAGTATGTTGCCTGCCTGCCTGTCTGCTACACCTCGCTAACCGTCCTTTAGGCCTGGCAAGGGTCACACCGAGCTTGAGGAGGAGCTTCACGAGACTGCCCACATTGACTACGACCGTGTCGCTATTGTAAGGCTATACCAAGCTTCATTGTCTCAACGATACTAACTGGATCTAGATTGCCAACCCCTCTGTCCCTGCCCTCTATGAAGATGCTCTCGTCTACGAGACTGGTACCGCTGTCACTTCCAGCGGTGCTCTGAGCGCCTACTCTGGTGCTAAGACTGGTCGTTCCCCCTCCGATAAGCGTATTGTCCAGGAAGCCTCCTCAGAAGGTGACATCTGGTGGGGACCCGTCAACAAGCCCATGACTCTTGATGTGAGTGATTTTTGATTCTTGGTGTGCGCGATTTTACTGCATATCTACGTTGGTCATGGAAGTATGCAGCTGGCCTTGCATATGGGGCCGATCTACCCTGGATCCCTTGCATATGCAATGGAGAGTCAAGCTTTTGTGGCAGCAACTCGACTCCATGCTATGACCAGCTCTCTTCCATGACACTCCGTTGCCCCTAACATTGCCTCCCAATTTGCCCAATTTGCCCCTCAATTTGCCATCTCCGTTCCGCCGTGCCGAGGCAATCATATGCATGACGTCATACTAACCCGCCGATTAGGTCTGGCGTATCAACCGTGAGCGTGCCGTCGACTACCTCAACACCCGTAACCGCATCTATGTTATCGATGGTTACGCCGGCTGGGATGAGCGCTACCGCATCAGCGTTCGCGTTGTCTGCGCTCGTGCCTACCACGCCCTCTTCATGCGCAACATGCTGATCCGCCCCAAGCGTGAGGAGCTTGACCACTTCCACCCCGACTATGTCATCTACAACGCTGGTTCTTTCCCCGCCAACCGCTTCACTGAGGGTATGACCTCCGCTACCTCCGTTGCCATCAACTTCGCCGACAAGGAGATGGTCATCCTCGGTACCGAGTACGCCGGTGAGATGAAGAAGGGTGTCTTCACTGTCCTCTTCTACGAGATGCCCGTGAAGCACAACGTCCTCACTCTCCACTCCTCCGCCAACGAGGGCGAGAACGGTGATGTGACTGTCTTCTTCGGTCTCTCCGGCACCGGAAAGACCACCCTCTCTGCCGACCCCAAGCGCAAGCTGATCGGTGACGACGAGCACTGCTGGACCGACACCGGTGTCTTCAACATCGAGGGTGGCTGCTACGCCAAGTGCATTGGTCTCTCCGCCGAGAAGGAGCCCGATATTTTCAACGCCATCAAGTTCGGCTCCGTCCTCGAGAACACCGTCTTCGACCCCATCTCCCGTGTGGTCAACTACGACGATGTCACCCTCACCGAGAACACCCGTTGCGCCTACCCCATCGAGTACATCGAGAACGCCAAGCTCCCCTGCATCAGTGACAACCACCCCACCAACATCATCCTCCTCACCTGTGATGCCCGCGGTGTCCTGCCCCCCATCTCCAAGCTCACCCCCGAGCAGACCATGTTCCACTTCATCTCCGGTTACACCTCCAAGATGGCCGGTACCGAAGACGGTGTCACCGAGCCCCAGGCCACCTTCTCCTCTTGCTTCGCCCAGCCCTTCCTGGCCCTGCACCCCATGCGCTACGCCCACATGCTCGCCGAGAAGATGAAGCAGCACAAGGTCAACGCCTGGCTCCTCAACACCGGATGGGTCGGTGCCGGTGCCACCACCGGCGGCAAGCGCTGCCCCCTCAAGTACACCCGTGCCATCCTGGACGCCATCCACAACGGCGAGCTCGCCAAGGCCGAGTACGAGACCTACGCTACCTTCAACCTCCCCGTCCCCACCTCCTGTGCCGGTGTCCCCAGCGAGCTCCTCAACCCCGAGAAGAGCTGGACCGCCTCCACTTCCTTCAAGGACGAGGTCACCAAGCTGGCTGGTCTCTTCAACGAGAACTTCAAGAAGTACTCTGACCAGGCTACCCCTGACGTCCTTGCTGCCGCTCCCCAGATCTAGAGGGTCTGAGTGTCGAAAAATTTCTTCTTCTCCTTGTTTCTCGTTCTCCCAAACAGGATGAATGAGTCATTTGCATGGCGTGCTTCTTTTTCCTGGTCATGGTTTTTTTGTCCGTGCCCGCGTCTGCCGCTTGTGTCGGGACGAGCGTTGGATATGTCTTGATTTCCCCCCGATCTTGGGTTGTGCTTTAACATTAACCATCGATCTCGACTGGTTAGTCGGAGTTATTTTACGAGATTTCCTACATGATAGTCAATGAATATTTTCAATCAATTGCTGAGAACTACTGTAACTGGCCTTAGAACATAGCCATAGAACCAACCAAGGCAAGCTAAAGGTGTCTAGTCCACTAAACTTGGCTTTGCAACTGTAACTGCATGTCTCCATGTGCCCCCGCGTTTGGCATCCGACGGCCGAGGCAGAAATGTCAATCACAAGTCTGAGATTCCGAACACGAGAATCCAACCATTTGGTTCCTCTTCGGCTTTGTCAAAAATGAACGCTGATTCGCTGCTGCTTAGAGTTCTCGCACTGGATGCTGTTTAAGTAGACAATGGGGGTCGATCATGACTTCACCTGGCAACCATCAGCGAACCATTCAATATAAGAATGTCGAACGAGATGAAAATGAAGACCCGCAAGACCCAAAATGTCTACTCAAACAATGAGAAACCCTGCCGACTCCATGGTCTCCAGCTGGCGCACCCAAGACCGTAACCAATGGAGCATCTGGCACTGGATGATCGAACTCCTCGGTCTACACCTCATCGACCTCAACGGCGAAGTGCCCATCTTCTCCAAGAGCGACAAAATCCCCGCCGTGCGCGAATGGTCCCTCCACCTCTGGATTCTTCTTCACGCCGCCATCCCCCTAGCCCTACACCACGCCTACACAACATACACAGGCCAGAACCTGGGTCTGTTAGCAGCATTCGGCCTCTACTCCACCGCATTCAAACTCAACGGCATTCACGAAATGCACATAATGCGCAGACTAGGCCAACTCCACGGCTTCCTAGACGGCGACAAACATCCCCGCGACGACATCCCAGACGTCGGCGTCGGCAAAGTCATCCGCGAACTGATCTCCACATCCTCATTCCGAATCATCATGGCAATCTACCTAACCTACCAAACGGACAAAACACCCCAATCTCTGAATTGGAAATGGCTCCCCCTCGAAATAGGCTTGTACAGCATAACAGTCGACTTCTGGTTCTACTGGTACCATCGCATGATGCACTCGACGCCCTCGTTATGGAAATATCACCGTCGTCACCACCTCACTAAGCATCCGAACCCGCTTCTCTCGGCTTACGCGGACCACGAGCAGGAATTCATGGATATCACGGGTATTCCGCTCCTTGCGTATGGGACTTTGAAAGTCCTCGGTTTGCCAATGGGGTTCTATGAGTGGTGGGTGTGTTATCAGTACATTGCGTTTTCGGAGTTTATTGGACATAGTGGGTTGAGGTTGCATGGGGGTGCGCCTTCGACTGTGAATTGGATTTTGGAGATTTTTGATGCGGAGTTGGTTATTGAGGATCATGATTTGCATCATCGGTATGGGTGGAGGAAGAGTCATAATTATGGGAAGCAGACGAGGTTGTGGGATAGGGTTTTTGGGACTTGTTTTGACAGGATTGAGAGTGTTAAGGGGAATGTGGATTATGAGAATCGGGTTACGATGCCGCTTTTTTGAGTTAGTGGGTATGTGTGATGAATGATGATTTGGATCATGAGTGACATACTAGGTTGGATCGTGAACTGTTTCGATGTTCAGTGTTTGGATACTAGGTAGCTGCGTGCTGTGATGTTTTAGGAAGGCGTCTTTAAAGATTCATAGGAATCCTTGATATTCACTATTCCTTGCTATTCCTTGCTATTTAGTGTGATCTTCAGTATTCAGGGTCCAAGAGTGGAGATAACTGCGTGCTGTGATGTGCATGGAATTTCGAAGGTACCACACTCTCAGGTTCACAAGAATGCTTCATATAATGTATAATCCCTTATTAGGACCTCAGGACCTCAGAATGTTTGTGATGCACAGGTCAATGATTACCCGAATGGGTATTGTCAATACTTTCAAGGACAAAGAACACTTCAGTCGAGATAGCTGTTTAGGCATGAGACATTAGTCTGATGCAGTGTAACATTTAGAAGCAAGTATACAAGAGCATTCTAAGGATATACATACTACTCGTTAGGCAGTAGTCATGAAGTCGTAGTGTCACGTTGTTCCTGACCTGCTCTTACCTATGTAGGCATTGTTGGTTTCTTCTTACTGTAGATCATTCATGTCATCCCTATTTTTGTCCCAGGTGTTGCCATTGTCATCTGTTGATGGCTGATGATGAAAACTACCTAGGTAGGTAGCAATGAGGGCGAAGCCAATGAGTCCACCTGGACACTGAGCAGACTCCACAGGTGCAATCTAGGCGGTTCAAGAGCTAAGCTCATATATGTATCGGTTTCAGGAGGCCCTGGGAAGAGCGGCGGGCGTCAGGAGACCTAGCGGTCTCCTGAAGCCGCCGTTCTTTTTTACTTTCACCTTTACTGTCCTGGCGACACTGAGGTCTATGGGTCGTTCCCTGCGATGGGCACATGCACGCTATATTTTTATTTCCACGCAGCACCCCCTTGACTCTCCCCCCTCCTACTTGATCCCTACTTGACCCTGACATTTTGATATTGATATCTCATCTTATCTTCGTTCTCTCTTCATGTTTATTCCATCGCACATTGTTGCTCTTGATGATTCCATCGCAGTATTCCTCCTCTCTTCATGTTCATCTTTTCCGCACTTTTCTCCCTTTCTCCATGTTGTTCATCTCACCGCACTTTCTTCTTCCTTGGTATCCTCCAGTGCTGCACTTATCTCAATCAGTACCTAGATAGTAATCTATTTGAATCGGACACGGAGAGGGGATTGCTTCAAGCTATCGTCAACTGCCAAACACAAATCAAATGCATCAATGATCACCAAACGAAGAGAGTGCTTTTTGGCACAACTTTACCAGCTACCAGCACGCACAATCTAAAAATCTATCAAAAGAAAGTGGTCAAATCATACTGTGACGATATGACATTGACTACTATGCTACACGAACCGTCCGCACACGGGCGACCGCGAGCGTGTGCTGTTCGTTTGGCAAGAACTTGGAAATACTGTGATGGCAAGACGATAGAAATCCCGGCGAAACAAACTCAGACACAATTCACCAGACATCAGGAGAGCCGGGAATGCCCCTGTCCAGGGAATCCAGGAACCCGAAATCTGATGCCGAGCAGTGGATCCAAGGCTTTAGGCCCGGGAGATGCCGAGAACCCTTTCCGCGGAGCGGAGTGGGGGTGGAGATCCTAGACACTGGACTTGGCTGTGTCAGGGGCATATACTAGTACCTAGTACGGGCTCAACCACGAGGGTATGATACGGTCCCTGGCGGCGCCCGAGAGTCTATCAAGTTTCTGGAATATCAACCCTGGACTTCGGAGACGTCCGTATTCGGGATCGAGGACTGGATATGCACTGTATTCTGCAGCCCAGGACTCGATCTACACTGTAGAACGGTTGACCAACAGTCTGCAATAGTAAGCGGATGTTTGTTGAGTCTAGCGTTCTGCACTCGCCCGTTGAGGATGCGCTTAACCGCGGACTCCCAGGTTTCCCTACTCAACTCCTAAAGATACCGTCAATTTCCCGTGTCAACAGTCGAAGCGCGAAGCAGACACGAATCAATGACCTTCTTCTCCGGAGAACAGTCCTCCGTTACCGAATCCCCCGATCGTTGAAGTATTAAGGGAGGATTTATATCCGACATCGTCATAGTTGGCCAATCCCGATGGTTGGATTGAGCACCGGAGGGCCTCTTGGTCATTGCTGAGGCTGACTGAGCTGGTTAGTGCCGGTCATCGGCGAAAAGAGCCAGATCGGAGGAAGGGAGGCTATTTCCGTTGGCCAATAGCGAGTGGGAGATTGAGTGTCAGTGTCAGGCCGAATCAACTTGCCGTGGCAGAACCGAGGGCACCGGGTGAAGATTATTGAGTAGCCGAGTCCTGACATGCCTAGTTGCATACTAACGAGGATATTCATGTTGGGAGTTTCGCTTTGTTGATAAGCGGGTATTATCGGATGTCTACAATTAAGTACCTAGGCAGTCACTGAACAGTTCTATATGCTAGAATATACTATGTGTTCTACAATTTACTGCAGATACGGAGTGAAGTGGTTAATCTACATAGGTACCTAGTAGCCCCGCAGTTCAACAAGCTTGAGCTAAGTACCAAGTGCCACTGTTCCCACTGGGATTCAACCACTTATAACTACCCACTCCTGATTGGTCTCTCCACTTATTCTCTATTCCAAGCACTAGGCAGTAGTCGAGTATAGTCCGGGAAAGTCTCCGCTAGACTAGACAGCGGAGAACGGCTGTCGGGCATCGGTTGAAGGGTTCGGAATGGAGAGTCGGCGTGTAGTTCATCGTCCATACGTATACTGGGCATGGACCCCGAGTATTGAACTTATATACTTACACCCCGCACTTTCCAAGATTGTCTTGTGACTTCTAGTTCTCTCTCTCTCTCTTCTCTAGTTTGTCTCTTCTGTCTAGTTTGCGAGCCTGTCGAGTTATTGTTTGATCGACGTCATCGGTGAGTTCCATGGTCGCTCCCTGGAGGCCAAAGGAAACGGCTTTGTTAACTGCCGTTCCAGCTGTTGACTTCTCACAATGGCTTCAACTCCAGCGACTGGCAACGCTGTCGCGCAGACCGAAGATGCAGGACTCCTCCACCACCCATACACCCGCGCCGCCCTGCCCTTCATCAACGGAGGTCTGGCCGGTATGACCGCCACCGCGGTGATCCAGCCCGTCGACATGGTCAAAGTACGACTGCAACTCGCCGGCGAAGGTGCCCGCACAGGACCCAAGCCCTCCGCACTAGGAATCACCCGCAACATCATCGCCTCCGGCAAAGTCCTCGACCTATACACCGGCCTTTCCGCCGGCCTCCTCCGCCAAGTCTTCTACACCACCGCCCGCCTAGGCTTCTTTGAAACCTTCATGAAAAACCTCAACGCCAAAGCCAAAGCCAACGACCGCCAAGTGACCTTCGCCCAGCGCGCAGCAGCGGGCCTAACCGCCGGCGGCATCGCAGCCATGATTGGAAACCCAGCCGACTTGGCACTCATCCGCATGCAGTCCGACGGTCTCAAGGCCCCCGAAGCACGCGCGAACTACCGCGGCGCCTTCGATGCGCTGGCTCGCATCGCGCGCGCAGAAGGCGTAGCCGGACTCTGGGCGGGTGCGACCCCAACCGTTGTGCGAGCCATGGCACTGAACATGGGACAACTGACGTTCTTCTCCGAGGCCAAGTCCCAGCTGAAGCAGCATACGGCCCTGTCGACTACGAGCCAGACATTCGCCGCGTCGGCGATTGCAGGCTTCTTTGCTAGTTTCTTGTCTCTGCCGTTCGATTTCATCAAGACGCGTCTGCAGAAGCAGCAGAAGGATAGCTCGGGGAAGCTGCCTTATAAGGGATTGGTGGATTGTGCGCGCAAGGTTGCCAAGGAGGAGGGCTGGTCGCGCTTCTACCGGGGCTTCGGCACTTACTATGTGCGGATCGCTCCTCATGCGTTAGTGGCCCCCACTTTTCCCCGGTTTCTCCACTGACTTGATCGACAGGATGGTGACGCTCATCGTCGCCGATTACTTGAACCTCATTACCAAGTAGGTTCTTGGGATTGTCGTGCTTTTCTGCTCTAGGATTATCCTTGAATGATTCAGTCTAGTCGATATCGATAGACCACTTGCTATTGTTTCGTGGACCACAGCGGCTAAATCACATTCACACGGGATATTTAATTACAATGCGGGAAACTCGGAGACATTCAGGCCATCTCCTTCGAATGCCCGCTGCAGGTCTGATCCCAAGGAAAAGAGTGCCGGCAGAGACCCGGTGGTTTCCGCGGAAAGCCACACAGTCGTTTCCCATGTCTGCCACATTCTTTTTCTTTCGGCAAGCGAATACCCCTTTTCTCGCTTTATCTATTGCTCTTCCAGGACAGTTCTGGCTGAGTTTGCTCACTATGAGGTGCTTTATGATATGGACATCATTTCATTGCTAGTGATAATTAAAATTATTTCAGTCTCCAAGAAGCTGTCCTCCGTAGCCTCACTATGTATGAATGTCGGCACGAGTATCAGATCAGATAATTGTATTAACCATATTAATTGGAAAGCTATTGCATAAGTCATATCCTGTACTCCGTAGAAACAGGTTCAAACATCCCATCGTGAATCGATATCACCGCTATTGAAGAAACCCATAGATCAAACCACCCCTGAGAGAACTAGGCCTTCTCGCCCGTGTTCTTAGGCTCAACCGCACCGGCAGGAAGAACATCCTCCAGCGTCTCACCAGTGCCCACCAACTCCTCCTCAACCGGAACCGAATCCTTAATCTTGAAGAAGACAACCGGCACAGCGACAAGAATCGAGCCGCACAGCAGACCGAAGTTGGAGGCATACTCATTCATGTACGGCAGCTTGCGCTCATCCAGAGACCACATCACCGCCGCGCCAGCAGACTGCAAACCCTTGTAGAAGCCAGCCAGATTAGCCAGCTTGCGACCGGAGTTTCCGAGCGCGCCCATGATCCTAGCACACAGTTAGCAAGTATCCCTGAACCTTTGCCACAAAGCACACTGCACTCACCAGTAAACCACACCCTGCCAAATAGCATCATACATGCCATAAAAGAAGTAGAGGAACATAGGTCCCACATATCCCCTAGTCGACCAATCCCACCCCTTAAACTCAGGATGAATCTCCGTATTCACATCATCCCGGGTATACTTCTTCTGCCACGCATATCCAGACCCCCAAATAACAACCGTCAGAATGAAAAGAATAACCAGCGCGGCCTTCGCCCGGACCGACCGCCTCACCCTCTCAATATCCAGCAGCGGACCGATAATAACCGCCGCGACAATCTGAGCAAACCAGTACAAGAAGCCGTTCAGCGCCTTGGTGCGGGTGTTGAAGTATGCGCCGTTAATTGCATTCTGCTGGTAGGTGTAGAACCAGTTCGAAGACCAGAACATAGGAAAGAGGAGGATGATCCAAGGCTCGGAACTGATTGTTTCCCAGAGTCCCACGATCTCAGTTTTCCAGCTGGGATGTTTGCGCAGAATGACGCGCGAGCCATCTGGTCGGACGATCTTGTCTGCGTCGCAGAGGAAAAGGGCTAGACATGCACCTGTGAACATGAGGACGATGAAAGCGATATATGTTCCATCGCCGACAGTCTTATTCTCTTTGACGTGGATGTTTTGACCAAGAGGAATCTGAACGCATTAGCATAAGCATGAACACCCACTAAATGGAAAGGACCTACCAAACTACCAATGCAAGCACCGATGTTGAAAATAGCCCAGAACCAAGCAAAGTATCGACCCTTCTGATGCTCGGCCGGATAAGACATCATAATGGTACCCTGTGCAGCCCAGAGAAGACCAGCGCAGACACCGAGGAAGGCGCCGGCGAAGATGTTGAAGCCGGGAACATACTTATGCTCCGAGACTAGGAGACTAATGGAGTAAATGGTGTAACCGATTCCGCCGAAGGAGAGCGCCAATCGAACGCCGAGCCGGTTGACGATGGTGCCGGCGAAGAAACCCACGACTGCGAATGTGCTGTACAAGGCGATATTCTGAATGTGGTTAGTGAGTTTCTGAAACGGTGAAACATTGAAAAGGCAAAAGACGGCAGACGGCAGACGGCCCCCGATATTTTCCTGGGTGGCCTGAAATCGAGTCGCAATCTCCGAAGAAACAAAGAAAATAGAGATCAAAAAGAAAAAAACAAGTACTCGTTCAAAGGCAAAGTCAAGGATCATACCATTTTATCAGCTAGGCTGGGATCGGATTTTCCTCCGCCACCCAGTCCACTGAGAGCGTTGAACATGCCGGGACAGAGGAAGCAGACGAAGGCGACCATGCCGAGCTGGATGCGCGGAGAGGCATACCAGCTCGTGGAGAACTTGCCGATGGAAGTCGATTTGTACATCCAGCCGGTGGGTCGGGGGACGGGCTCGCTGGTTTCCACGGGGGATTTATGATCCATTGTGTCTGCCATGGTGGGTGTCGATATGAGTGTACCGATGGCGATGTGATGCGTCGAGAACACAGAGAGAAAGAAAGTGAAGGAGAGAAAAATAAGGAGAAGATAGGCTGATTTAAAAGTGATTATCAGTCAAGATATCAGAGATACGGAGTAGCTTAGGTATCATCCGCTTTGATAGCAGTGTTACAGTGCTACAATGGTACTGTGCCTGCTGTATTAAAAGCATCAGGTTACATCCCGGACACGAAGAGCTCTACTGTCTAACTAGGCCGAATGGAGGGCGAGGACAAGTGACAGGCCCCGGAGAAAAGAGGAGAAGTAGGCGATGGGGAATGCACCCTGATTGGTCGGTCATACTGCGGGGAAACCCGTGGGCTTCTGCCTTACTGCCTTGGTGCCTGAATGCCTGATTTGTATACTTCGATCACTCCGTTGACTACCTCCAGGGCTAGTTACATGCTGGAATAGAACATATTCACTCAATCACTCTCGCTTCCACTGGACTTCACGGACACTGAATCCTCTGACTCAGAAGAAGATTCATCACTGTCCTCACTGGATTCGCTCTTAATGGAAGAGTCGGACTCTTCTTCCTCGTCGCTGTGTTCATCAACAGGAGACTCGGCAGTGGGAGGCCCGGCAACAGGAGACACGGCAACAGAAGGTCCAGAGGGGGGCACAGTAGCAGAGGGTTCATCGACAGGAGGGTCAGGAACAGAGGGCTTTTCAATGGAGGGCTCGGCAACTGGGAGCTTAGAAACGGGGGATTTATCAACAGATGGCTCAGATGTGGAAGGCTGAACGGCGGGCTCAAGGGCAGCAGTTCCAGTAGCGGGCTCAGGGACAGCGGGATGGGGAATTGCAGGCTCGTCAACAGGAGGCTCATGGGCAGAAGTTTTATCCGCAGCAGACGAATTGAAAGGCTCAGCAACAGCAGGCTTAGCGATAGCGGGCCCAGAAATTGTAGGCTCGGGAATGGCAGGCTCAGGGATAGAAGGCTCAACAATAGAATGCTCGTCAACAGGCCCATCGGAGGGCCCGGTAACAGCAGGCTCGGTAACAGCAGGCTTAGCGATAGAAGGCTCAGGAATAGCAGGCTCGTCAACAGAAGTTTCATCCGCAGCAGACTTATTAGAGGGCTCAGTAACAGCGGGCCGAGTAACAGCAGGCTCAGCAACAGAAGGCTTAGCAACAGCGGGCTCAGCGATAGCAGGAACAGCGACAACAGATTCGTCAACCAAAGGCTCATCAACAAAAGGCTCATCGGAAGACTCATCCGAGGGCTCCGCAACAGTGGTAGGCTCTGGGATCTTGCCGTCATGTTCAATCTGTCCTTTTGGAGGTTCAGCTTCCTCGACTGGTCCTTTATCTGCCTCGTTATTCTCAATAGCAGTGGACTTTGTGGGATCTTCTTCACGTGCGAGGATATCGCTTCCCTCTTCTTCATCCTTGACGTCGGTATCTGTAGTTTCCGAATCTTGGTAAGCTTCATCGTGATCGTCGTCACTTTGTTCGCCCTGGACTTGCCCTTCATCCTCCTCTTGATCCTCCTCTTGATCATTTCCTTCTTCTTCTTCTTCTTCTTCTTCTTCTTCTTCAATTTCAGTACCTGTTTTGTCCGCTTGGTAAGCTTCATTTTTCTCTTTTTCTCCCTGTCTGTCCTGGACTTGCCCTTTTTCCTTTTTCCGATCCACCTCTTCTTCCACCTCTTCATCCTCCTCTTCCTTATCCTCGTCAATACCTGTTTCATCCGCATCTTGGTAAGCTCCATCTTGTTCCTCTTGCTCTTGTCTGCCCTGAACTTGCCCTTCAGAGTCATTACTACCCTCTCGCTCTCCTTCTTCATCTTCCCCCTCTTCCTCGCTGTCATCCTCCTCCTCCTCTTCCTCGTCATCACTATCAGCCTGAGCACGAGCAGCTTGACTGAGCGGCTCCGCCTTGATTCGCTGCGAAGGCTGAGCATCGACATCCATAGCATCGCCATCGCTCTCATCATCGCTACCAAGCTCAATGCCCTCATTGCGATCCTTGCTCTTCCGCCCATCTTCAAGGTGATCATCATCCGCCTCGCGCTCCTCAAGCTCCTGAGCCCGACGAACCTTCCGCAGCAAAATGGGATCGGGTCGCAAGTCATGCGCGGAGAGTGGAGTAGTGCAAACAGGGCACTTGACAAATTTCACGCGAGCCTGACCCTTGCGCGAATTTGGAGGCGCAACAGTAGTCCGACTACTCGTGATCATGTCTTCAATGGCCTGGCGCTCGAAACTGTGCGGGCATTTCGTGCTCGTCACGGGATCCACGAAGGGCAAGAGCGTTAGTGGACATTTGAGTGAGACACGCTCGCGCTGGATGGCGATTTCATCGTCGTCTTCTGGCGCTTGGTTCTGTCGCGAGCGCGTGTTTGCTCCCGTCGACTGAGTCGGGTCTTCCATGTGCGAGAACCATGTCGAAGAGTGTGGGAGAGGGGGCACGTCGTCACTGGGGAATTTGGAGTCGTGGACCATTTTGTAGAAGCCGATGTAGTTATTATCACCGGCATATCTGGTCGTAGTTAGTTCCTGATCGTATGAGCCCAGGGCAAAACACATACCTCTCTGTCAAAGATAAACTATTCCACTTCTCGGTGTCCTCTGTCACCTTGGCCATGATGCGGCTGCTGGGCGGGTTCTGTGCATTGCGTTCCCTCGTCTCCCTCTCCTGGGGATCTTCATAATCATCGTCCTGGGGATCTTCATCGGCATTGCCGTCACCCTCATCATCATCGTTGGCGTTACGTCGTGAGCGCCGAGACCGCGTCTGTCGAGCTCCCATCGCAGCTTCAACCAAGGCTCCCTCCTCCTTCTCAACCTCCCCCACCGCATCCGTGAGGCCTTGCAATCGGGCGTGCGAGTCAACAATCGACCGCGTCCTCTCTTCCAATCGCGCAGTGATGGCTTCAACTTTCGCCTCTTCCTCCGCGAGACGCTGATACTCCTCGTTTTCTTCGTCGGGTATTTCTTCATCTCCATTCTGTCGTCTTTTCTCCTTCTCTTTCTCGTAGCGGCCGCGTGCGTCCGCAAGGCGCTCATTCACCTCACCGCCCGAGGCCGTGAGCGATTCGATAGCATGCTGAAGATGAGTGCGCAGATCGCGGAGGTAGCTCGACGAGAGAAGTGAGGCAAACTGACGCTGGTCTTCTAAGGTGAGTGGTGCTTCGGGTGGTTGATAGGTGTATGAGCGTAAAGTGCGCTGAGAGGGTGTCGCGCGACGGCGACCTGGAGTAGCGGACATGTTTGAGCTGAGACTATGTGAGACAAGAGGCTTTTATGTTCGGATTCGGGGCGAGGGGCATCTTTCTTTGAACTGTTTGGCGGCGTTCAAGACAAAGCGCTCGAAATCCCGACGCGAGACGCGATGGCACTAGTCCTATTTGGGTTATAGCGGGCGATAAGGCTTATCGGGAGTATATGCGAGATTCTCTCCGAGCATCCCCTTACATCTTACAGCAACGACCCTGCCTTCTATTATATCTTAATTGGTGGTTGTTCTGCTTGCTCTTCACTTCATTCAAGCTCTAATAAACCAAGAAGTAAGCCATCACCTTTCCATTTCTCTAGAGCCTTGCTCTTCCATGCCTCCCACTCCTCGTCTTCCAAGTTGAACGCTCGCCGGAGCCCTGCGAAGAGACTTGCAAGTGTTTGCATGTCTAGAAATGAGCTCTCAGGCCCAAGAGCGAAGAAGAATCTCTGGACCTTTCTGCCCTCGACGACACAGGCGGCAAGATCTTCACGGCCCCTTTCGCGAAAGATGGCAGCCAGTCGGTTTTCATCAGCAGACAGCTCATTGAAGCCGTCATGGAACTTAGCCACCGGCCACATCATACATGGAGAACAAAATGCCTCTGCCCTGGAGACAGTTTGCGTCCATTCCCAGTCTATGAGACCCACAATCTCGAAACAGTCATTCACCAGAATATGGTCACCCTTATCATCCGGGTGCTTGAGAAAGAATTGTTCACTTGGTGGGACATCATCAAACAGAGCGTCGGCAATATCTTGTCGGAATCGATGGACGAGGTAGGTATCCACCGGGTGACAGGGGTCGATTTCGCCGCTGGCTATCATGGTGAGGTATAACTCAAGGATAGCCCTCGAGCCCTCGAGCGAGGAAGAGAATGGGCCGAGTGGCCCCTTTCCCAGCTGGAATGTCGATTGATATGCGAGACCCTGAATTTTCATCACATCTCCCGTTGAGACAAGTGACCCCATTGCTTCGAAAGGATGCCTCTCAAGCTCGATGGATACGTCAACTAACTGCTGCATGATCTTCTCTTTTTGCTGAGGTGTCGCCATCTGCCAATTCAGAGGCTTTCCATCCAGCTGTTCCATCAGAATATAGTCAACTCCAAGTGTGTTTTCTGGATCAGACTCGCATGCCCAATCGAAGATTTTGGGCGTGGGAACGCAAGTGTACCGCTGCATGTAGGTCATGGTAGCAGCTTCACTTCGAAGTATCCAATCACGGACTTCCCGCGGCGGTGATGAGGTTCTTGCCAGGCGAAACCGTGCAAGCCACTTGACATTATCGTCGAAGGTGATCTCAGCGTGGCAGTTCTGATTTCCCATCATGGCAGACAAGCTCTTGAGAGACAAGTCAACAGTACACGGGATGCCTTTCCTGAGCATTGATGCACGGGAGCATAACTTGGAACCATCTATTCGGAGGCGTAGCTCGCCTATATGACGGGCTTCTGTAGCTGCATATTGAACAGAGTAGGATTCCCAGTTCTCCTAGTAGATGAGGATGAGCGTTTCCATCAAGTCTGATGCTTGAGCAGGTGCCTCACAGACCTCTGATCCGGGGCACTCGTGCCACGGCTCTCGGCGGTGCGTGCGACAGAGGTGTCTATCACATAGCAAGCAATCTCCTGCTATCTGCGCGGCTGGGTTCCTACAATTCTCCCATTGGCATGGCCAGTGAGGCATTGCAGAGAAGTTGTTCTGTTTAGTACTAGATAGCTCTGTATCAATGAATAGGGGAAACGAAATGGCGCAATCCAAAGACAGCCAGGTTCAGCTTAGACCAGACGCGGGGAAAAGGTCCGTGAGGTCCAAGTAGAGAAATCTGCTGTTTGTGATAGAGGGGAGATCTACGTCATGCAGAACATCCCACTTTCGAAGTTTCAACCCTTCGGCAGTAGAATGCCAAACTACAGTACAGTACTTTTGCGAGAATGATCTTGGTCTAGAGTCTGGTGTATTTATTTCAATACTCAGCAACTGTGCCGGAAATCAACGAGCCAGAGTATAGCTGCGGTGATATGTTAATTCTTAGTTCCCGTGCAACTGCTAATTTACAGCTCTCCAGAGGCGGCAATGGCAATGGGGGTCTTGGTCTGGCCGGAACCGGATCCCTGCTTTTCGACGGCCTCGACAACGTCCATACCCTCGACAACCTTGCCGAAGACGACGTGCTTGCCATCGAGCCAGCCGGTCGTGACAGTGGTGAGGAAGAACTGGGAGCCGTTGCTGGAAGTGTGTTAGCTGCATTCAAAGACCTCGGGAGATAAGAATGAAACATACGTGTTGGGTCCAGCATTGGCCATGGACAGGATACCGGGGCCGGTGTGCTTCAGGGCGAAGTTCTCGTCGGCGAACTTCTCGCCGTAGATGGACTTGCCACCAGTGCCGTTGTGGTTGGTGAAGTCACCACCCTGCAGCATGAACTGGGGGATCACACGGTGGAAGGTGGAGCCAGCGTAGCCGAAGCCCTTCTCGCCGGTGCAGAGAGCGCGGAAGTTCTCAGCGGTCTTGGGCGCAACGTCCTTGCGGAGCTCCATGACGATACGGCCGGCAGCCTCTGGGATATCATTAGTACATGCCGAGATCGGGTGAGGAAAGACATACTGCCGCCGATGGTGACATCGAAGAAAACTTTAGGGTTGGCCATTTTGTAGGATGAGAGAGATGGTTGTGAGAAGGGGAGATTGAACTGGGGAGGGGCATTTCTAACCTCCAGCGCTGCGGGGCAGGATGACTGAGCCCTCAAACCCACCCCGTCAGACCAACCAGATCGCTGCATTCGACCATTTCGCCTCGAGAGTGGATATTGCAGAGCTCGGATGATGCCACCCCCTCGCAGCTCGATCCTATCCATCGACATATTCTAGAACATTCCCTCGATATTGTGTGTACAAGAGAAATTCGAGAGAGAAACAAATTGGATAAATATCCGCCTGACAGGACATTTTCAAGACTTCAAATGACCAGTTGAAGCAGAGAAATGTCCTTTACGTCAATCTTGGGTCTAGTGGCATTCTGGTCTCGGAAGCTTTTCCAAAGCAGAGATCGAGACTAGCCCGCACAATGGTAGTGCACCGTTGTCCATGTTGGATGTCTCCACTGGATGGTGTAGAATATCTCTGTCTCTATCCTTTGATTTAGCATCAATATCACTCTAATGGAGACCGGATCGCTTCGGTAGGTAGCTAATAACTAGCTAGTATCCTCGGGACGATTGAAGTCCATATGAGCTAGACCGGATTTTGTATCCTGTCTCTACTTCGAATCTAGATTCTGAGTATACTAGAGTCAAAACTTCCGAAACATCCAGAATACAAGTTATCATCTACCTAGGTATTAACCTATCAAAGAAAGAACGGCAATATGGAGTAAAGTACGGAGTACACCCCAGTAACATTCTACCGGCCAATTCATCCACCAGGAATGAACCCTGCTGGCTATAATAGGAGATCTAGATTACAATGACCGCTACGAAGTAGACAGAATGGATTCCAAAGATTACTGTATTTACAATCAAGGCTCTGGTTTTTTATCATCCCTTTCTCTCGTGGTACCTAGGTTGGGAACGAGCAAAGGTGTCGTCGAGATATGATGTTATCAGACCCTCATATTACCAGTATCATACAAACCGCATAATTCCTTGGTTTCCCCAGTATACAAGACTACTGGTCTCACTTTCTCAGCACACTCTTTGTTGGTAAGCCTGCAGATTGTCAGATTTCCCAGCCAATCAAAAATGGGAGGCCTGATCTCTTCCATGACTCTATACAAGACTCGGTCCAATTTGCGTAGATGTCTAAAGTAACCCATTCCTCGCCTCGAAGACAAACGAGTCTACATCTATACGTTGCGTGTTGCGGGATGTGATCTGAATCGTTTTCTTGCCAGAACTTCACGGCGTTCAATGGCTCAAGCACCAACGCCAAGAAAGTGGCTGTCATCCACCAACAAGCCAATTGCACGGATGTACGGAGTAAACACAACTGTATATGTATCATGCTGTAGACTTGGCATGTCGCCAGGTTCCACCAGAGGAAGCTAGCTTTGCGAGCAGCCCCCACCCAGCCGGCAGATCATTATCTCATTTGCAAACTATACGAGAAATCTGATAACCTCTATACATGTTGCGCTGTGCCCCGAGGGCCAGAATGTAGCGGCTGAGATATAAAAGGCTCCAAGCTTCCTGGGAGCCAGAGAAATGGAAAGAAACTCAACCCAATTCCAAAACCTGATCATCCTGCACCATGCGCCTACCCAGCCCACTATACCTCCTTGCATTGGCTACTGCAGCAATGGCCTGCAACCCGGTTCGGCGCGACATCGACGGCTCTGAGACTTTCATAATCGGCACTGATGGCCCAGCACCAGCCGCGACTCTAGGCTTCGCCTTCAACCACATCGGCCTGGTGACCACCCACCTGGACGAGATGAAGGCCTTCTACGGCGACATCCTAGGCATGCGTCTACTCTTCGACGCACACATCACACCCGAATACACAGTGACATACATGGGGTATGCACAAGGCGGACGGAACGGGACAGGATTCCAGAGCGGCGCTGAGCTAGCCGCCGCAAAAAATAATCTGTGGGGACTGTTGGAGTTGCAGCAGTTCAATGTCTCGGATGATCGGTTGGTTGCGTCGACTGAGAGGACGAATACGTTTGGACATGTCGGGCTGGTTGTTCCTGATATTGCTGAGGCGGAGGAATGGTTTAGGTCTCGGGGTGTGAAGATATTGAAGAGTGTGACTGAGCCGTTGGAGGAGTATACAGGGGCAGTGCCTAATGCTTTTGGGCTGGGGGAGTTTGCGGGGCTGCATCTTGCGGCGAAGAAGGCGCTTATTGATGCGCAGGGGCTTATTGGGTTGGATCGGTTCTTGGTGATTGCTGATCCGGATGGGAATTTGGTGGAGATTCAGCAGCAGGATACTTAGATGGTTCTATAATGGGGGTTGGGTACCTAGGCAGTGACTTTGTTCAGATATTTATCGCCCTGATAGGCTCAGTGAAATTGATTCGTGATATTTTGGTACATAGTGTGAAGGGATAAACAATCCCAGAGTCAATCAACTGATCCGGAGCTCAGTCAATTGCGGCCAAATCAGAGCCTTAGATAGAGTACAGGACACAACCTAAACCTTGTAGAAGCAGAAAGCGTGGTAGAAGCCTAGTCCGTTAGTTTTGACTGAAAAGGCAATGGAATGGAACGGGATACTCACTGACGGCATCCTTTTCCTGCTCGGTCATATTCAAAGCACCAGTCGCTCGGTCCCGCACGCCCATCCGCTCGCTGAGTGGACCCAGTTCCGGGTGGTTGTGCTCATCCTCCCAGATATCCAAGAAGGGCTTGCGGTATTGGAGTTCCAGGTTGTAATCCTCGGTCAAGCTGGAACATAGTCAGTTTTGTGAATCGCACTCAAGATACTGGGCACTCACGCTCGGAAGGCTTCCCAGGGGACAACGTATTCAGGAACCTCCTCGACAGCCTCCTTCATAAAGTAACTGTACTTCCAACCGAAAGGAGGACGGAAGATTCCATCCTCAGGCGTTGCGCCGGGGAATCGAACGCGGTAGATGTCATTACCCCATTCGGCGCGCGCAACTTCCTCCACTTCTCCGTCTTCCGGGCCCTCTGGCTCAGCGGGTTTGGTAGCCTCGTTTTCTTTGCGTTGTTTGTGGTATGCAGCCACACGGCTGCTGATGACGTCCGAGTTGGGACACACACCAATGAAACGACCGCCTTTCTTCAAGCAACCGGCCACATTGCGGAGCATCTGGCGCGTCTTCTCCTCGGTTTCGAAAGCGTAGTGAATGGCAAACATAGAGGTGACGACGTCGAACCCTCCTCCACCATACCGGGATGCCATGATAGACCCCCCAGGCCCAACATTGGGATCAATGCCGACCTGCTGGATGATGGGAACATCACCGAGATATTCGCCAAAGCAATCCTTTGGCCAGAATTCAGCATGGAAGATAGGCTGAGGACGGCGGCCTCGTTGGCCTCGACGACCCGAACGCATCTCATCATACCGTCCCCGAGCCTGGTCAACTGAGACATTGGCAGGGTCGAGACCAACATAGAGATCAACCGTCTGAGGCGCCAGCTGCCACTTCCCCAGATCACCACCCTTTCCACAACCCAGGTCCAGCACCAGGAGCCTACTATCTTCAACCGGTGGAGGGCCCTGACTATCATCCGCCCACTCCTTGGCGTCATCGAACCGCGCAGCAAATGATTCATCTGGCGAGAACTTCTGAATCAAAGTGCTCTTGACCCAATTGTTGAATGTGCGTAGACCCTTAATCTGACTCTCTGTCTTGCGCCACTCGCGACCTCTCTCGGGAACCGCATTGTAATGTTGCCGAACCACATCCGTCACACCGCGCTGCTGGGAATTGCGCATAGCTTCATCCTGCTCTGCACGCTCTCGCTCCTCCTGTCTCCGTCGTAGAGTTTCACGGTCCGCGATGCCCTGTCGGGCACCGCCGCCAGGGCGCTTGCGTGGACGCGGTGCTTCGGGCGAAGGTGAACGTCGCTGTATGGGGGATCGGGACCGTCGGTCCTCTCGGGGTGCGGCGCCATTGGGGCTGCGAGAGCGGTTACGACGAGGGAAGACGGATGGAGGGGTGCGTCCGCGCTTGCGAGCTTGGTGTCGCTCTTGCAGTCTCTTGCGCTTGGATGCGGCGTGGGATAGTGCCTCCGTAGGAGCTTCTCCTTCAATGCTCTTTTGTCTTCCGCCGTCTGTGGGAGGATGTGTGTTACTTGGCCGGCCGGGGGACCGGGGTGTAGATCGTCCACCAGCTCCATCCTGGTTCGGGTATTCCATGTTGGCGAAGGGAGTCGGTCCGGAGTGAAAGGGTCGGAGTTCACGAGGTTGGGGGGTAAAAGGGGTCAGGGATGATAGGGCAGTGTTAGAATCCAGGTGAGAATAAAGAAGATAGTCTTTTCTCCCAACACTGGAATGTTGAAAGTGAAAGGAACCAGCCGAGATCCGCAGGACAATTGAGCTCAGGCCCTCGGCCAATCAGAGCATCGAAGACAACCCTAACTCTTCTCGAATGTTTACCTCAAGACAAGCTGGGGGTTTTTTACTATGCAATGTAGCGCATAGTGTTACAGAGGATAAAAGGACCGATAACTCAAGTCCAACCGCTAAGCGTGAATGGTCAACCAATATAGAATTACATTGCTGTGGCAGAGTATACGGAGAAGTCATAGTGCCCATGAGCTTCAAGATCCTAGCACTAGACCCTCCACTTGCCTCTGCTGCGTTATCGAGGAATTGTTCCACATATGGGGAATATCGGTAAATGAAAGTAAATGTCGAATTAAGCCGCTAAGAGATGCACGTTGTACCATATTCATAAACCCACGCCATAGACGAATGCAACATCAAACAATGAGTAGCAGTATCACTGCGGCAGATTTGGCAAAGCCGACTTTCGCTTGGGAGACTTGGTCGTGAGGACCTGTCGCACCCGTCGGATCTTCGCCCACCACTCGCGGTCTGCCTTCTTTTTCTCGTCCGGGTTCTCTTCCTCTGCAGGCTCCTGTGGTGTGCCGGCATCGGTATTCAATGTGTCTGTAGAAGCCATAGCCCGAAGTCTGCGACGATTCTTGACTTTGACTGCCTCTGCTACCAGCTGCCACCCAGCACGCAGTTCAGCAACCTTCTGACTGGTGCGGCCGTTTCCACTTTGTGCCAACTTGTCGATCCAAGGGCAGTATTCCATGTGTTCTTCAGCCACATTTAAGGAAGTGTACACGGTTACATCGCCGTTGTCCTTGGGTTTATACATCCACAAACCCAGGCGGCGGAAACACGCGCTACACCCGACCAGCCCAGCAGCTCCATCGGAAGCCGTGTCCCAGCCAAACAGCGCAAGTGCCACGGCAACTTTGTTCACAGACTGTGTTTTGGATTGGACTGGGTTTGCGATTTCCGCGGAACTCTGGGCGTCTCCGTTCGTAGCTTCAGACTCACTGTTCTCGGGTGCAGGAGAGTCGGCCTTGAACCACTCTTGGGGAAGTCCACTGATAACCAAATCGAGATCGACTCCCTCAGGCATCTCAATGATGTCATTCGCGGGCAATTTGTCGCCCATCTTGGAGATGTTTATGTAGCGAGTACGAAGCTCCGATAAGGCAGTTTCATGATTAGTCAAGGGGAGATGCTGAATGGTTGCTAGAATAGTATGAGCGTGGAACGAGGTTCGCATGAGAAGCGCAGACTAACCGTCACAGCTTTTGTTCCTCCATGGGCAGCCCTCGCCGTGGGAGGCGCTTAACATTTTGGCATATTCATCCACAAGCCTGGCGCCTGTCGAAATAAAGTCAGCTCCAGTTTTGAATGCCATATAAAGAAGAGCCAAATTGGTCACTCACGAACTTGCTTCCTCTCCTCAACCTTCTCAATATCAAAGCCATCTAGTTCATCGATCTCATCTGGAAGCTTCACGACCACTGCGCCCCCACATTCACTGACGCATGCAACTCGCATGGCATCTGTACATATCCAACCGTGCTTTGCCCATTGTACTTCATTGATCGGACCTGGCTTTGAAGTCCACCGGTCGACGCGACGGAATGTTTCTAACCTCTCCAAAAAGCGCTCGCGGTCCCAAGGGACAAAGGTTGGGCGCTTATTCGAGTTTGCTGACGCTATTCGATGTGCCGGGCGAGAGATCTTGTTTATTGAGTTCTCCACTGCTGGAAGGACGGAGCGGTCGGCGCCGCTCAAGCGGACTTTCTTGAGAGAGAGGTTGGCGGAGATGCGGTCTTGCGCCGTCGCGGGCGCTACTGGTGTTTGCTTCGGCGCATTTTCAGGTGTGGCGGGCTTGGAAAGGGATTCAAGAACGCGATGAAACTTTCGTTTCTTTGATTCGACGGCGTAGGACATGCTGGGCTGGGATGCGTTCAGATGAGGATCAGTTCAATGCGGATGGTTCGAGCTGCGGCGATCACTGCGAGTCTCCGCCTCAGGCATCAACATATACATAGAGCTTCATATGTGGTCAAATTGCATAAATTGGTAGGTATAAACGAGAGGAATGCTTTGTTATTGTTATTAGATCCGATTCTATATTCTGTGTAATGTTGGCGGCGACATATGGAGGGACAAATACTCCGCCGCTGATTGGCCGATGGGCATTCCGCGATATCGTACGATCTCCGAATCACGACATGTTTTCTTTCTCTACTCTCGTCACCTCCTCAACAATGGCTTCTCTGGGGGGTTCTCTGCCTCTATGGCGGAGTGTTGCGCCTCGCTTGGCCAAAGATCTCTTCACCTGTCGCCAATGCCTGCGGAATCAAGGCTACGCAGCCAAATCGGTCCGCCAATTCAGTTCACCCCCGTCTCGCCAACCCAGCAAGATTCACTCGAATCTCTTCACCGATAAGAACCGCCAATTCTTCACCTCCAGTCTCAAGCGATCGTCCGCTGCGCCAACCGTCACCGAAGCAATCGAAGAGGGCGCAAAGAGCAAGTCCAGCTTCCCCAAGATCAGCGATAAGGCCGTTGCCTACTGGCTTCTCGGCAGCGCGGCCAGTGTTTTCGGAATTGTGGTTTTCGGTGGTCTCACACGATTGACCGAATCAGGGTATGTGTTGGGCTCATTGATCCCTCAGGATTGAAATCCGGATGCTGACGGGACAAATTTTGGCATAGATTGAGTATCACCGAATGGCGACCTGTCACCGGCTCTCTGCCTCCAATGAATGCGGAACATTGGGAGTCTGAGTTTGCGAAATACCGTGCCTCTCCGGAATTCCAACTGCTTAACCCGAACATGACCCTTTCTGAATTCAAGTCGATTTACTACATGGAATGGATCCACCGCCTCTGGGGTCGCTTCGTCGGAATGTCCTTCGTCTTGCCTGCTGTTTACTTCGTCGCCCGAAAGAAGGTCTCTACGCCCATGGCGTGGCGCCTCTTTGGTATTGCCGGTCTCATTGGTTTCCAGGGCTTCCTTGGATGGTGGATGGTCAAGTCTGGACTCAAGGATGATCTCTTCGCTCCTGGCAGTCACCCCCGCGTGAGCCAGTACCGTCTCACTGCTCATCTCGGTGCTGCTTTCACTTGCTACGTCGCTATGCTGTGGAACGGCCTGGCCATTCTCCGCTCTCACCGTCTGATGGCGGATGCCGCAGCCGGTATGGAGCAGCTGAACGCCCTCCGGGACCCGAAGCTGGCTCTGTTCCGCCGCTCGGTTGCCGGTATTGCTCTTTTGGTTTTCACGACTGTCGTCTCTGGTGGTCTAGTTGCAGGTCTCGACGCTGGACTGATCTACAACGAATTCCCATTCATGGGTAACGGCCTTGCGCCTCCCAGCTCGGAATTGTTCGATACCCGCTACTCTCGCCACGAGGACCGCTCCGACCTTTGGTGGCGCAACATGCTGGAGAACCCTTCTCTCGTCCAGCTTGACCACCGTATCCTTGCTACTACCACCTTCACGGTCATCTGTGCCTTGATGGCTTACACTCGTGGCTCTCCTACCATGAAGCGCTTCCTGCCCGCACCTGCGAGAAAGGGCGTGCACGGTGTGTTCGCTTTTGCTTGCTGTCAGGTCGCTCTTGGAATCTCCACGCTCCTTTACCTTGTTCCTACCCCTCTGGCTTCCGCCCACCAGGCCGGTAGCTTGTTCCTTCTGACCTGGGTCATGATCTTGGGCAGCCGTGTGTGGCACCCCACCCGCACAGCCAAGCTTCTTCAGATGGCTGTGAAGGCTCGGTCTCAGTACCCTGCCAATGTGGCTGCCTCGGCCGTGAAGAGGGTCTGAAATCCCTTTCAGTTTAGTGTACGAATATGTTGATCAGGGTAGGTATGCCCTGGGTTTGTGATACCATCTCCATTCACCTGTGGCTCGAGCGTTTCTTGGGTCACCTGTACAAATACAATCTTTATGTTCGTAAATGGCGGACTTTCGAATCAAAGTATTCTTCAATCCATGGCTTATACCTAGGTAATGTCTCATTTGAATCCTGATCGGAGGCCCAGATGAATTTGAGCAATAAATTGACCTCACGATTTGACTTGGTTCAAGCGCTACTCGATGCCTCCGAGCCACTTTTCAACGTGGTTCTTCTTTGGAGTTTGCTGTATTTCCAAGTCTGAGTCTGCATCGTCGGGCTCATCGTCGTCGGGATCCTCTAAATCAAACCAGGAATGTTGATAAATCGGCCTCTCGTGTTCGGGATACCCCGTCGATCTTAACCATCCAATATCCCATATGTGAAACCTTCAGAAAGGTCCTGCGAATCGAAATCATAGTCATAATCATGAAGTGCAGCCGATGTCGATACCCCATTAGCAGATGGAACGGGAGCCCGAACAAGTTGGCTAGTATGTACTTCGGAATTCACAATCAACCTGCCATTTGTCAAGATCCATTCCCAAGATTCGTATTCCAAGCAGTGACCCGCACATCGCGCATGCTTTCGGACTGCGATGTCTGTGTCTTCAAGCCGGGAGAATCCGAAGGGCTTGAAAGGCCATAAAGGAGGTCTATCGTGGCCTTCACTGGCCAGTATATAAAGCAACCGGCTTTCATCATCGCGGCTTAAGAGCTCGCCATGGCTATTTTCCATCTTCGAAGTCAGAAACGATTGTGATATCCCGGTCCAGCCAGAGGCTGTGAGGTCCAGAGCTACCATCCCCGATCGTATGTCACGTAAGACGGAGTCTGCTAGGCCAGTCAATATTGCACCAAGCCATAGAGATCCCAGTCGAGGGTTTCTGTTTGCTAGGAATGCAGCGACTGAGGTCTTGCTTTGGATGGATTTCAGAATGGCAAAAGCCGGATTCAACCATGCACTGACGAGATTGCAGTCAATGTCTGGGTTGAAAAATGTACTTTGAAGGAGAGAGCGTAGCCCCCATTCATTGGAACTCAACGTCATATAATTGGAGAGTAATTCACTGTGGTCGTCGAGAGTTTTGGTGATAGGGACGTCAAACTCATCAGCAACACCTTCTCTTTCATGTCGAACACATCTTGGGAAAGGAAGGGAAACTGTTCTCTTCCGCAGAAATGGAATATAAAGTACTCCGGCAAGTGCAACTGAGCATTGAGCGTATAGACGATGGTGTATACAGAAACGGGAAAGGTATTTGAGAGCAGTGCCTGAGCCTGGTGGATTTGATTCGGCACCCAAAACGCCTGTGGGTAGGACTAATCCTGCATTCTTTGCTGAGACCGACCATGGAGATAAAGACTCACGGTCCTTGTACTTGGTTGTCGCATCCCAATCATCAGACAGGATAGCGCGCCACCAGAAAGCCTCTTCTTCGCCAGCATCTCCAATTTCAACTATGGATGGCTTATCCAGCTGCGGCGATAGATTCTCTGGTTTGGAATAGGCCATGCGGCATTCATGGTCCGCAGAGCGAGCCAGCAATTCAAGCCATCGGGCAGACAGAATATATGCCCGTGCGACATACAGGACTGAAAGTTGATTGCTTTGGTCATAACCCGAGAGTCCATGAACTCCAGGCCAAACTGAAAATGGAGCCTCGTCCGACAATATCACATTGAGTCGACGGCCAACCGCCAGAAGAAGCTCCTTGGGCATGACCTTTGGCTCTGAATCGCAATTCCCCTTGGAAGTTCTCCAAGTTGATCGACCACTGACCACAAGACCACCCTTCTCCTCGCACGCGAACGATGTGGCCCCGTTCAAGGGAGCAAGGCCGCCGAGGAAAGGTGGAGTTTGATTAACGAGATGGTTGAGCTCTATCGCATGTCGGGGAAGTTGGCCATCCTCTCCATTGCGATAGGAGGACCATGTCGTGAAACTGTCCTGAAGGACCTGGCTGAATTGATCGCCACTTGGGCGCACGGCATCCATAACCCCACGGACAAGTTAGGGAGACCCAGGTGAGTGTTGTTGAACGGCTAGGCATTGGCGCCAAGCGAGTCGCTTCTGCCTAAGTGACTTTCTTCAGGACTGATAGTTGAAGGATCAAAAAAGCAACGTGAATCTCGGTTGTAATTATAGACAAGAAGCAAGGGGACAATAGCATGTTCCCCGCAGATGGTTCATGCAAGCACCTTTTGATCTCTACGAGAGACATACTAATACTATAGCCACCAAATCAATAACTTGATGCGAAATCAATATTGGTTGTGTAGAATAGAGGCAGGAGTTCAGAGGTGATACCATTCCTTCGAATTAATTATCTATATCGTCAATGGTATAGTCACATTTTACATGAAACAGAAACATTTGAGTACTTTCTAACCAAAGCAGATCTTATTATTGAACTTCAAACTTGACTTGACCATAGATAGCAAAACATCAAACTTGAATCCTCAGGACGAACATCCCCATTGAAACCCAACACTCAGACTTGCCAACACACCATGAGGGAGAGTAGCTACATCTCCAAGGCGTCAATCTTTCACGAATCCCCTCACTCCGTCAACTTTGACGAGGGTCTCGCAGCCCGATTAGGGTTGCGCCTCGCAATGAAATACCCCAGCAACAAGCCATGATCATCAACAGCAACCTCCGGATCATCATCCGGCCAATCACCATCACCACCAACAGAAACCGTCATCTCAGAATCAGTCGACATCTGATCAGCACTCCTCTCGCCCTCCCGAGGCCGCAAAGCCAGCCCCCTGAACCGGCCACTCCTCAGCTCCGCGTCCTGATACCGACGAGCCTCGGCCGCCAACTCCACCAAAGCCTGCGCGGCCTGAACATCAGCAGTCACATAGCTAGGCTGCTCATCAGCCGCTCCATCGAGTCCCCCGTCAAAAGCCCGATCGAGGCCTGTGTCACGCGGAATGTCACCCCCAAGCTCGGGGACATGAATTGCACCGAATGATGCGTGGGACTGGTCTCCGCCTCGGTCATTCTTGCACTGGTTGCAGATTTGCCAGCCACAATTTTGGCAGCGGGACATGCCGCTTTGGTTGCGCTTGTTGCACTCGTCGCATTTGGCTGTGTGGGCTGCTACTTCGAGGAAGACGACTCCTATCTTGCGGAGGCGCTGGCGATGAGCTTGATCGCGAGTCTGGCTGGGTTCTGCTCTGTGTTTGCGGATTGGGGCTAGTCGTTGCTCTTGTCGGCGAGTGGGGATAGGCACTCTCTCGGTTGCGGACGAGCTTGGGGAGATGGATATCTTTTCGTTGATTCGAGGGGAATATCCTTGTAGTGGTGGTAGAGGGCTGAGAGTCCTCTTGACAGGGCTGAGAGGTTGTTGTCTGCGGATTGGGAGATTTCCCGAGCCCTTCACACGTAGTGGAAGACGGGCAGGGTTCTCTTCTGGCTTGTATGTCTTATCTTCGCTTGGTGGGATTCCGCTACCTTTCCAAAGAGCCGTGTCACGGTAGTCATGGCACCAAACGTCCAGCGTCTATCACGAATATCAGCATTTCTGTGGTTATGTGTTTTTTTATCAAACGTACCCTGTTCGATCGAAACCCCGCCTCGCCAAATGCCTAGTGATGATTAGAGAGTTGCTCACGACAAGGGACCGATGATACAAACGTTGTGGCTTGGATCAGGAGGGATCCTGAATCCTTGCAGAGGGTAAGGTGGAAATTGGTTTTCAGCAAAAACGCCATCTGAAGCCAACTCCTCTCGACGTCTCAAACGTTCTTCCTTGTCTTCCTGTATGCTAGCTTCGACGCTGGCCTCGAGCTCGCGGAAGGATGGTATGGTCTGGGTTGGGTTTCGGGGCATGGGCATCGTGGGAGGGGCCACCGTGCCAGGGAGCTTTTTAGGTGGAACCATTGTGGAAAAAGGGAGTAGAGGTGGAGTTGGAAAGGAAGATGAAAGTGTAGTCCAGAGAAATGAGGTTGATGAGGGTGCTCAGATGTAAGTTGCGCTGGACTTTTTGTTTTATACATTTCACGAGAATATCGGACGCTGGGCATTAAAAGGCAATCGCCGGCAAGACAAACATTTAGATTCTCATGAGAAGGGCTGATCAAGACTACTCAAGGCATAAGATGGTCTGCGTGGAGACTACATGCATGGTCGATGTAGTTCGTGATGATCTATATCTATAGGGATTGTAAGATTACTGGAACTCGACTTGAGAAAATCAGCAGGGAGACTTTATTCTAGTCTACATCATGGGTGCAGCTTGCTGCCTGTCATCTTTGATGCTGGTACCTAGGTAGCACATCTCAACTTCACGTCTGTTCGACTTACTGAATCTTACGCAAAATCTAACATGTCAACGTCAACTTCGCAGACATGGCACTTATGGACAGCACTATATACATGCCCGGCTACTAGGTACCTAGGTAGACACCTGAGCAGCAACTTCAAGGTTGGAAGATCTAAAACTACATGCACAGCTTGGAATCATTTCAAAAGTGAATTGGCTAACATTTTTTAAACATATTTATCGGATGCATTTATCATTGACAGACATGTCAAACCGTAGACACATATCAAGCCCCGAACATCACGTCCGAGACAAGTCATGTTATTCATTTGTGGGCTGTAAATTCATAGTCAGTGATATCGGCTCACGAAAATTACAGGAGACTAGTAACATACGGATTCCTTCCTCGGGCTGGGGCTCGACTCCAGCAACCTCAGCAGCAGGCTTGGGGTCGGCGGCAGTCTTGTCATCCTTCATCATGGGGAAAGCCAGGACTTCCTTGATGCTGTAGTTGTCGGTAAGCATCATGACCAGACGGTCGATACCCATTCCCCAACCACCAGTAGGAGGGAGACCGTACTCCAGAGATTGACAGAAGGTCTCGTCAATCATCTGGGCCTCGTCGTCACCCTGGTCCTTCTGGTTGGCCTGCTCTTCGAAACGCATGCGCTGGTCGAAGGGATCGTTCAACTCTGTGTAACTGTTGGCGATTTCGAAGCTGTCGAGGACGTTAGTACAGGTACACGGTCAAACAAAGGGGTATGCATACCGGGCAGTGAAGACCTCGAAACGTTCGCACAGACCGGGGTGCTCGCGGTGGTACTTGGCAAGAGGGGACATCATCTGGGGGTGACCGCTGATGAAAGTGGGGTTGATACAGGTCTCCTCGAGGAACTCGCCAACCAGCTTGTCGAGCATGCGGGCGTTGGTCTGAGGGGGAGAGCACTCGACCTTCATCTTCTTCAGCATGCGCTTGAGGAACTCGTTGGTCTCAGCGGTGTGGAGCTGGTCGCCGGGAGGGAACTTCTCGCCACAGGCTTCCTCGAGGGCGGGCATCATCTCAATGCGGCGCCATGGGGCCTTCCAGTTAATGTTGTGGGTCTCTCCGGACTGAGTGGTGAAAGTGGTTTCGTAGCCACCGGTGACGTGCTTGACCAGGTTGGAGACAAGGTCCTCAGTCAGGTCCATGAGGTCGTACACATCGGCGTAAGCCTGGTAGAACTCGCAAGTGGTGAACTCGGGGTTGTGAGTCAGATCAATACCCTCGTTACGGAGCTGCTTGCCGATTTCGTACACTAAGGTGAGTTAGCTCCATATCTTTGTGACAATTTGCGAATTGCCGCAAGATCGACATACCTCGCTCCATGCCTCCAACAATAAGCTGCTTCAGGTACAGCTCGGGGGCAATACGCATGAACATATCCATGTTCAGGTCGTTGTGGTGGGTGATGAAGGGCTTGGCGGTGGCACCACCGGCAATAGCGTTCATCAGAGGGGTCTCGACCTCAGTGAAGTCACGGCTGTCGAAGTACTGGCGAATGAAGCTGATGATCTTGGCGCGAGCGCGGAGAGTCTCGCGAGACTTGTCGTTCATGATAAGATCAAGGTAACGCTGGCGGAAACGCTGCTCCTTGTCCTGGAAACCGTAGTGCTCGGAGGGAATGGCGTGCAGGCAAGGAGTCAAGAGAGTCACCTCAGAGGCGAAGATGGAGAGCTCACCATCGTCGCGGTTCTTGGGGTTGGTCTTTCCAATGAAACCGGTGACACCGACGATGTCACCTCGGCGGAGGAGTTCGTGCTGCTCCTCGAAGGACTTGCCGGTGGCGTTTTGGGCGGCGCACATGACCTGGATCTTCACACCCTCGGCGCGGATGTCGTAGAAGACCAGCTTGCTACCGGCAGCACGCTTGGTGTAGATACGACCACCGATGCTGACAACAGCGTCGGTCTTCTGCTCGCCCTTCTGGAGGCCCTCGTAGTCCTTCAGGACATTGCGCAGGTCGGTGTCGACCTTGAACTTGTGGGGGTAGGGGTTGGGCTGCTTGGTCTCGCGCAGCTTGTTGATCTTCTTGCTGCGGATCTCGAAGTATTGCTAAAAGAGAGACGCATTAGCACTGGTCCATTACCCCGCGGTGCGTCCCCGCCGTTGCGCGCACAGGGGCGACATTATTCACTTACGTTGGGGGTCAGGTTGGCCTCCTCATCCTCAGCAGAGGTCTGCTTCTCGGCCTTGGGCTTAGGGGGGGCAGCGGCAGCCTTGTCCTTCTTGCCGGCTTCCTTCTCACGCTTCTTCTGGCGACGCTTCAATTCGGTCTTGGAGACCTTCTCGCCAGTGACTTCGTCGAGCAGCAGGTTGGCCATTGAGGCCTCAGCCTCTTGAACGTTAGGATCCGCCATTATGTGAGCTGGAGAGCAGAAGTGGGATGGTGGGATGAGGGGAGTTTAAATTTCCAGGCGGGATCGGCATGCGACCTGATTGGGCCATGATCTATACCACTGTCTGCGTGAGTCACAGCACAACTAGCCCGTCATGTTCGCGGTGCAATCTGATGGAATTTATAATTCTCTATTCTCTATTTACCTCTCTACTCATTCCCTGACTGCTATCCCCTCATTCGATGTGAAATAGTCAAGTACGAAATAGGAAGGTAGGGCTTAGGGCAATGTGGGGGTTCGGGCCGATCCTACGTCGATATAGTCTTCCTGGCAGTGACTCTACTAGTACTGTACAGCCTGGGAAGACTTTGATCGGTCAAGGTCGATCTACTGGGAGCCATTGTAAAGCCTCGCTCGCTTTATCGTACACTGGCCAATTCATCAATTTCAAATTTGGATTCAACAGTCATGAACTATGGTCCTATTTCGACCCCTTCTTTTTCCTCCTTTTCTTTCGCATTGACGCTCATTCATTCAAATTTTCATAATCAGGCATAGTCTCATGATAACAACAGGCTAGTTGTTCTCACTTGCGGTTGTCGATAGCATTCGAGTGGCTGAAGCAGAGTGGTGAGCTCCAGGATTGTAAACAATGGATTTGGCCGCGTAGACATCCAGTCGAGAGAGCAATAACCTCACGCTCAAAACTTCAAAGCATCGGTCACACAATGGGGCAGGCGCGGAACGGGAACCATCAGGCATAACTTTCGGCATCCCTGTCTCCAAAGGGCCAGTCTGGAGAATCAGTGTCCTCCATTTCCACGTCAGGGCGACGGAGTGACTCAAGCTCTTCTTGGGCCGTAACCATCTTTTGGCGCTCTTTTTGCAAGTAAGCGCGCCGTTGCTGACGTTCAGGATCCTCGGCCATCAATTCAAGGCAGCGGGCACGACCTTGTTTATGTTAGTGCGGTCTCGGAGCAAGCATCATCCCATCGGCAAATATTTACTAACCATCGTCCCCAAAAATGCGTAACTCATCTCGAATGACGTCGACCAGGTTGCTGCGACAGGTGTTGAACAACTTCATAATTGTGGACTGGCACAGCACATCAAGAAATCGAGACGAGGCAATGTCATAGTAAGCACGGGAGCTCTGCCAAAATAGTCAGTCTTTGTTAGTCCCCTTGGTTCTCAACACATACTGCCATCATCTTGATCTCTTCCGAGTATCTATCTGCCCCAAGCAAGTCTTCGTCAATCACCCTCTTTATCTTGATCCCGATCTTTTCATCATTCAAATCAACACCGCGGTTCTGAAGGTAGGTACTGGCCCGCGAGTTGTTTCGGCGGCTTTGGAGCTCCTTCAATGACTTCGCCATAAGAACTTGGTGGAGTTCTTGGGACATAGTAAAGGGGACCTCTAGTTCGGATTTGCACCAATCCTTTGATGTCTTGAGGTGAGATGTGCGAACCTGCAGCATGTATTTCTTCAAGATCTTGCTCAGCTCTTGATACAACCCTGTTTGGTGATATTGAACAAACTCGCTCTCCAGCGCTTCGAGTAACATTCCATGTACAAGACCGTGGGCGGCCTTGAGGAATGTTTCAAGAAGGGAATCCCAGTGTTTAACGGTTTTCTGGTTCAAGGTTTCAATAGCTCGGGGATCGAGCTGGTTGGGAACGCCAAACATGTGCGAGCGGTTCTTAAGCTCGGATAGGTGATGTAGAGAAAAGTGCGCAGGTTTGTAGCCTTCAAAATAAGGCGTCGCATATGGGCTGCTGTTCTTTGGAGATGGCGACTTGGTCCGCATCTCCTCTTGCGTAGCCTCTGCTGTCGCCCTGCGCTTTTTGGCGGGCGAGGATTTAGACTCGATGATGAGCACTTCATACTCCTCATGAAGATGTTCAGCGAGATCCTCCTTGTCCTTCTGCGCGCTGACCTGCAGCACAGGACGCGTTTGCTGCAGAGCAACTTGGAGATCCAACACAATCATCTTCCACTGTTCCTGCAACGGTTTGCTCTCTGACTTCGTCTGCTGCGCTTTCAGAGGCGATGTACCATCGAAGAGCTCATGGATCCTCCGCTCCAAGTCGGTGATCTTGCCCCAAAGAATTCTCTGAACATCTTCAGTGGGTGGGTTAGGCAATCGCTCTAGCTCTTCGTCGATAGATTTCAACTTTTTATCAATCTTGGCGACAATGGAAGGCAGAGAGCCAATAATCTGGCGTTTCAAGAGGTCTGAAAGCGCCGTAACCACATTCTTGACCCCAAAGCGTTCTTCAAGGGCAGTCAACCGAGTCGACCACGGTTCTCCGGCGAAGAACAGCCGTTCTTCCATGCGTGCCTGTTCGTGATCAACGTTGATATCCGGATTGTTGCGGACCACGTAGTATCCATGACCGAGTTTGAAGTTCACTCCTTGCAATATCTCCTCCCACGGGCCAAAAGACTCCCGCATTGAACGACGATCCGGCTTGGTCAGGACACCCAGGGTACGCTCCTTTGCACCTGGGATATCGCGGACGAGACGAGCGGCACTCGAGTTAGTGGCGTCGTCTGTCATGGGCAGCGTCAATAGCACAATGGAATAATCCTGCTTGACGTAGGTTTTCACAAGATTCTCAACCAGATTCACCAAGTAACTCTCGTTATCTTGCTCGGCTTGACTGATCACTCCGGGCAAGTCGTAGAACGAAAGATTCGGATACCCAGGTCCCGAGATGTCCAGACGAACGGCGTTCGGGGAGAACTTGACTTCAGCGCCGTGCGACAGCTGTGGGTCTTGATCAGGTGTGAATGCCTTTGGGTTCATGCGGGGGTTCAAGATGGCAAGCTGTGCGCACAAGATGGCTTTGGTGACCTCGTTCTTGTCAGTCAGTTCGGCAAAGTGGTCGCTTTCTTGATCTTGCATCTTGTCCCATGGCCCAAGTGGGTTCCTCTTCTGGAATTTGTTGGTACCCTTTGGCGCATATTGGTAGCGGTAACATAGAAAGATGACACACTTCCATGGTTCTTCGCTTTGGGTTAGATTTATCTCCAGCGGACACCGAGTACAAGTGCCCTCGGCCCGGGGGACCTGGATCTCAGAGATGGCTTCAATCAAAGAACTCTTGCCGGTGCTCTGGTCACCAACCACGCATATCTTGGGGAGTGTAATCTGCTGGTCTTCAATGCCAAGGTGGCTTAAATCTTGAATTTTCTTCATCAAACTCTTCATGTCTGTCGTCAAATTGTGCAGAGAGCGCTCCGTCTGGGCAGCGCCTGGTGGTCGAGGAGGTGGGAGCTCGAACGCGATGTGTGCTATGGCTGGTTCTTGAGAATCAGTTCCTGGTGTAAAACAAGTAAATCTTACAGGTCAGAGGACAGGGTCTTACCAGGAACTGGAGGCTGTTCCACCTTTGGTACGGGCGAGAGGCCATCAGCGGCTCGCGGATATCGGTCCTGCTTGAAGATATCAGCGGTTATGACACCATTATGGATGGATTTGGTGTGAATGAAGAGGATAGTCATCTGGAAGAGGTGAGTTACGTACCGGGCGCTTCATGATGACTGGCGCAGACAAATATGGCGATGGAATTGTGAGGCTGATCTGGCGAGGTGGAGGTTTGTGTTTTGCGGAGGATGCAAGGAAGTCGAGAAAGAAGGCGGTTTGCGTTTAAAGACACAGCCCAAGGCAAAAATAGCAAATAAAGTGACTGGATTAAAGCATCTGCCCAGATACGCACGACACAAAGGCAAGGGAGAGAGAGGGTGATGAGAAGAGAAGAGTAAGAAGCAGGAGATGCTAGAAGAGAAAAGAGAAAAGGAACGAAAGGAAGCAGATTCAGATCTCATGTAAAGGTAGCGAACGCTTTTCTACCGTTCATAATTCGGAATTTCGAGAGATGGTCATTGGGTATTGCGGAGTACTCGGAAATATCTGAGCTCAAAGTGATATTGGTGCCGTATATATGGGACAATGCCGCTGACCCTAGTTCCTCCAGGCTGTTGGGTCATTTGAAGGACAAAATTGTCATTACTCGAATATCGCCAACGACTCGGGAACTGCGGAGCAGGACATGCTGTGTCTACTACAAACAACACTCAATCGGCGAGGGTCCACATTTGAAGATAGTGACGAAGTTGAACTCGAACACATGGGGGAATGCACGCAGGGAGATGTCGCTATGAATCCATTTGAAGAGATACAGTCGATTGGGAAGAGGTACAGTCGATTGGAGCCCTGGAGGGAGGTTTGGCAATACGTGATTGGGATACTTGTCTACACCATCGAGAGAATCATCCTTGGCCTCCTGGGTTCAAAGGAGATATTTAAGGAAGTTCTGGCCCTTAGGGCTGTTTTCTTCTCAGATCAGACTTAAAACATCACTCATACCCTGTGTGAACAGTTGATTCGGTTTCAGGGAGCATCTGCACCTAACTCTCAGCCAACCTTGAAGTGTGGAATGTCTAGGCTAGGTATATATCAGGCGCAATGCACTGGCGTAGACCTCGGGAGAACTTGACTGCACACATAGATGAGACCTTACGCCATAAATTGAAGATGAAATGACATTCTCTAGTAGTAAAAGCCTTGAACGGCGAAAAGATCATGTTGCTGGCAAGTGACATGTTACCAAAACTAGGGCTTTGCGGCATTGTATCAGTCAAATGGAAGAACTGCAATTCACCAACTTTGAATAAATTTCCCATGCGCTCAGTACTCTTATGTTCGTTTCATAGACCCTGTAAATATATTCTAGGTAGATTTATCAATAGAAAGAAAAAGGAGGACAGAAAAAACACCCCAGTAGAAGTCAGGTGCCCACCGAAAGCGTCGTCTTGGCAGAGAGCTCCAGTTCTCCCTGACTCTCAAGATATCCCCAACACCACATCCCCTTGCATATTACCCGTCATGCTCCAAGTACCAGTGCGGGAACAGTCCCAAGCCTCGACCAAGGCTGTGATCCTGGTAAGTTTACAGATCAACTTTCCCCCGCAACAAGCTGACACCTTGTCCACAGGTCGGTGGCCCCTCCAGAGGCACACGGTTCCGCCCATTGTCCCTCGATGTGCCCAAGGTATGATCCAGGAACACGTTCAATGGCAGGACCCAGCGCAAATTGACACCCCCCTAGCCCCTTTTCGAAGTCGCCGGCCACCCCATCATCCACCACTGCCTCAAGGCGGTCACCAAGGTTCCCGACGTGCGGGAGGTGATTCTGGTCGGATATTACGACGAGAGCGTCTTCCGGGACTTCATCAAGGATGCCTCGAAGGAATACCCCCAACTCCGCATCGTCTACCTGCGCGAGTACACGGCCCTGGGCACCGCCGGTGGTCTGTACCACTTCCGCGATGCGATCCTCAAGGGCAAGCCCGAGCGCCTGCTGGTGCTGAACGCCGATGTGTGCTGCTCGTTCCCGCTGGGCGAGATGATGAAGCTGTTCGAGGAGAAGGACGCCGAGGCCGTGATTCTGGGTACCCGCGTCTCCAACGACACTGCGACGAACTTCGGCTGCATCGTCTCCGATTCCCACACCAAGCGCGTCCTGCACTACGTCGAGAAGCCCGAGTCGCACATCTCCAACCTGATCAACTGCGGTGTCTACCTCTTCGCCACCGAATGTATCTTCCCCGCCATCCGCAGCGCAATCAAGCGCCGCACCACCCGCCCTCGCCTCCTGTCCTACCCCTCCTCCGATAACCTCGAATCCTCCTTCATCGCCGCCGGCGACGACGAGGACGCCGAGAAGAGCGAGGTGCTCCGTCTGGAGCAGGACATCCTGTCCGATCTCGCCGACAGCAACCGCTTCTTCGTTCACGAAACCAAGGACTTCTGGCGCCAGATCAAGACCGCTGGCTCTGCCGTCCCCGCCAATGCCCTCTACCTCCAAAAGGCGTTCCAAGCCGAGTCCTCCGAACTCACTCCTCCCTCCGCCACTATCGTTCCCCCCGTCTACATCCACCCCACGGCCTCCGTCGACCCCACCGCCAAGCTGGGCCCTAACGTCTCGATCGGCCCTCGCGTGGTGATCGGCGCCGGTGCCCGTGTCAAGGACTCCATCGTCCTTGAGGATGCGGAGATCCGCCACGATGCCTGTGTCATGCACTCCATCATCGGCTGGAGCAGCCGTGTTGGTGCCTGGGCTCGTGTCGAGGGTACCCCTATCCCAATTGGCAGTCACTCCACCAGCATTGTCAAGCAGGGCATCAAGGTGCAGAGCATCACCATTCTCGGCAAGGAGTGTGGTGTTGGTGAAGAGGTCCGCGTGCAGAACTGTGTCTGTCTGCCTTACAAGGAGCTCAAGCGCGTACGTATATATTCCATCTTTTCGTCTGATCATGGCTAACCAACTCTAGGATGTCGCCAACGAAGTCATTATGTAAATCGGTTGGTCCAGTCAATCCCTTTTGGGCTTGGAATGATCCTTTCGTCGATACGACTTCATGTCGGATTTGTCTCATCTCATCTTGGCTACCAGTTGGATGGTTATTTGCTTCGTGAGCGCAGCCGATCTACACGATCTTTTCTCTTTTTAATCTTTTGGCCAATTCAGAGTCGTTAGAAGTCTTCATTGCTATTCTATAAATTCCCCCTCAGTACGGAGTATGTCACAAATTTGAGCCCTGGAAGCAGAACCCTTTTCCCAACGCCGTCATACACAAGAAATATCGTCAATATCAAGACCCATAGACTATACACAATACAGCCCGAGCCACAAATTCGAAACCCGCTCGCAAGGTGGAATCAAATGTTCATTTGACTCTCACCGATACATAGCAGGATCATACCCAGTCTGCTCCGCAGGCCTCTGGTACGCCTGATCATGCGATCCAAACCTCACCCTCGGCCGAGACGCAGGCGCATTATCATAATACTCCTGCGTATCCCCGTAAGCATGATCATTGCGCTCATACGGACCCTGAGCATGACCATAACTTTGACCATCCGGATAAGCATCATGCTGATAATGCGTCTGTCCCCCGTGCATAGCAGGCAAATCATGGAAATCCTGCAAGGGAGTCGAGTCACGACGATCATCCATTTTCGCATCGAATGCGCCCGTATCATCCAAGCCGCCCGATCCCATAGCGCCGTAGTTCCCGAAACGAGTTTCGCGACGGCGGACGACAACATCGAGCCAGATTGCGGCGATGTGTGAGGCTAGCCCGGTAATGGTGAATGTGAATAGGGCCTTGTAGGAGCGGCAGACGGTAATTCCGGCGGAGTTGCCCCAGACGGCGGTTGTGCAGGAGGTTGTTATTGAGCCGGCCATGCTCCAGCCCATGAGGCCGAGACTGAGGGCCCATAGGATTGTGAGGATGATGTTTAGGGCTAGGGAGAGTTTGGTGGAGAGGCTGCAGCTGCAGTGGATTATGGAGGTGAGGATGAGGTTTGCGAGGGAGAGGGCGGCTGTCACGAGGAGCTGGGGTTGTTAGTTGGTGTTTGAGTTGGTTTTGGAGGTGCGCTTACCACGATGAAGGAGTAGGGGAGTTTGAAGCCATCGGCGTGGAGATGGTAGATGAATACGGCGAGGATTGCGCCGACGACGAGGGCGGAGAGGAAGATGAAGAAGCGGATGAGGTGGAAGGGCAGGGCCGGATACGCCGATGGCTTCACTGAGGAGGGCATGGCTGTGAAGTTGACAACCTGAGAGGAGAGGAGAGAAGAAGAAAAGGTAAACAGCGATGATCGACGCGCGTACGTCACTGGCTATTTTTATCCGCGGGCTGTGCCTTTTCCATGTTTCACTCAAGGGATATACAACTACACACTCTGGGGCTATATCTTGTACTCTGCATACTACTACTATAGTAGTATCTATGGATACAACTAACTACTGTACGACAGTATACTATTCACTACTGCTGGAACAACAATTGATTCAACGATCGACGCCCCACACGGGATGCCCTAGCAACCCGTCCTACTGACAGTACTTAACTAGTAGTTAAAATCCTCATACACCACCGTCTTACCAACAAGCCAATTCAGCACAGAATTCTTCAGGCCCACGCCCGAACACAAATACCAGCGATCTGCCAGCGTCAGATCCAAATCCTCAGCCCGCATGCGACGCCGAATCACCGTTGCGGAGAGGATCCCGTCCCCCAGTCGATCGGCCCCATCGCGCTCCACACCAGTAATGAATAAAGTAGTGGACAGCGGCAACTGAGGCCAACGCTGGAAAGTATCCTGCACAAGGTCAATATCCTCAATCCCAATGGACCAAAAGAGCCGCAGCCGGGAGATATCCAGATCCGGAAGCTGGGCGAGCAGTGGAGTGATGCCAATGCCCCCCGCAATGTAAGGGGTGATACCATCTGCCGTGGAGATATCGAAGCTGCCTCCGAATCCCTTGAGGGGCACTTCCAGACCTGCGCGCTCGTTCACGTGGAACAAGTACCTGGTTACGGGGCCGTTGCGCCGAATCATCATTTCGAATTCGTCATCGCGACCCGGGTACGAGGAGATGGTGAATGTGCGGACGAAGTCGTCGTTCAGGCTGGTGGGGTCGTCGTCTCGCATGTGACTATAGCCCATGCTCAGCTCTTCTTCGAAGGAGAGGGTGGCATATTGTCCTGGTTTCCAGGAGGCTGGGGTGCGGCTGGTGATGCGGAATCGGAACCGCTGAATGGATGGAGTGATGCTTTCTCTTTTGATGAGCGTGGCGGTTGCGTCTGAGTTGGCCGCTTGTTGGGGTGTTTGCTTTTCGCTCGCGAGATATCGCACGCTGGGATTGTATGGTGAGAGTTCACCGGTTAGGCCGCGGAATCCCAGTCCATTTTGAACGAAGACTGCGGCTTCCACGGTGAATCGGACGGCGAGGTTCGATCGAGGAAGGATGGCCGAAGCTGCCTTGCCAACGAGCAATTCTGTACGACCTGTCAGGTAGAGGACATTGCCGGTCTCGAAATCCGGCACGACATAGCCTGCCAGCGGGGTGGTCTGAAGATTGCCCAGTGTTTGATACAGTCTGTTCCCCGAGTACTCGGGGTAGACGAGGACTGCACCACCGGGTTCGTTGGACTGTACGCGGACGAACCCAGGCGGACCACCGCGGATATTTGTGTCCATAGTGAGTGTTCCACGAGACGAGGACACGAAGATAGTATCTGCCTGAGCCAGAAGCTCGACAGCCTCTGGACTCAGCTGCGGTTTATCCGACAGAAGCGTGGGATCAGGCCGTGCAGGCACAATGTGTTTCTTGTTTAGATACTTCGGGCAATTCCCCATGCTCTCCTCGATATGGACGGCGAGCTGTGCCTGTCCATTCGTGTGCGACATGACCCCGCCCTCCATCCTGCCATACAGCTTAACTCGCCTGCGGTTCTCCAAGTCGATAGCCAGCCCAGAGACCATCTGTCCCCGACTGCTATCGGAGTGGTTACCCCAGTCGGCCAGGAGGGCTTGTGCCACTGGGTCATATTTGGTGTCTATCTGTGCCTGAAGTCCAATCGAGGACTTGCTAATAGGCCCGGCAAAGCCTTCAGTGCCTCCCCAGATCGTTGACCAAGGTCGGCCCTCGGAGTCGAGGGTTCCCAGGGCTACTAGTGGGGCTTGTTGGACTAGGAAGGCGGCGCGCGGGCTGAGGTACGGGGTGGTGGGGTTGTCCATGGGAGGGACGCCCATGAGTCGATGCAGGTGCCGTTCGCCTTCATGCCATGACACGGGCGCCAGAGTAGTAATGGACGCCATCAGGTCAAATTCGTCGAAAGACCAAGCGCTGGAGATGAACAGAAAGAGGATTATGTACATGATGAATGCCCCCAGGGCTGTTCTCTATATATGTTGGCCCGGCAGGTCTAGACCTGCAAAAACCTCCGAAGGCGTAGATATACGAGATGTCATCATGAGGAAGAAGTACTTGGTAATCAAGACGAACATTCTGTCAAATTGACACCGCCCGGGCCGCGTCGACATGGCTGCCTTTCGAACTCCTGAGGTCTACGGAGTACGGGTCATTCTTTGGGGTTCCAACATTGGAAGGTTTATCTCTCGTTTCCCTCGCCACTTCTCTCTTCTCTCCCTTCTCCCCCGCAAACAATTGAGATTCCACAGATCGGCACCCTTTAAAACCCCGCGAAAGCTTGAGCTCAAGCTTAAGCCTATCAACCCCCACCATGTCGACCTACGAAAGTGAGGACCCTGGCCAGCACAACCTTAGAAGCAGAAGCTAACCCCTCCAGTCGAACACGACACCCCCGACCCCTCCACAGTGCCAACCCGGAACCAACGCCGCCCCGATCTCTCCTCCTTCTTCTCCATCCTCTCCCAAATCACCCCCGCTCCCGACCACAGACCCCATGCCGTCCCCGTCCCCGGCGATGTGAGCTCAGCATTCCTATCCTTCGCAGAGGTGCTCGAAAGGATGCGCCCCGCCGCCCAAGCCGAAGCCGAAAACACCGGCTCAGAGTATGGACGCGACCTCATCGACGGCATGATCGAGGGTCTTCTCGCGCAGGCAAGCAGACCGCCACGAGAGGTGGAGGGTGTTTCTGAAGAATACTGCGACAGTAAGGCTACCCTTTCGCATTGAATCTAGATATGGCTCTGGATCTTTTTCCAAGATACTGGTACAGAGCTAACCAATGCAGTGCTGGAACGCGTCCCCAAAGCATCCCTCAAACCTACCGATGTATGCCCCATTTGCAATGTTCCCTTTTTGGAAGATGAGTACCCCCTCGTCGTGGAATTGCCGTGTCACCCCACGCATCGGTTCGATATGGAATGTGTTCGGCCGTGGCTGCGGCTAAAGGGCACATGTCCGCTTGACCGGGTGGACTTTGCGCAGCAGGAGAGGGAGAAGGCGGAGGCGAAGAGGAACTTGGCCGAGCAAGATGATGAGGAGGAGTGGGATGGTATGTATGGTTGAGGATTGGCAAGTACATTTGCATGGTTCGAAGGCGTGATGTTTTTTTTTAATGATTTGAACATTAAAATCCTGATATTCGCTCAGGCTGTATATTTTCCTGCAATAGTTACGATCTGTGTCAGGTTTGGAAGCTCTACGCTTGTATTTATCAATTGGTATATCTAACAGCCATCAGGACGACCGCAAGGTCTATCTAGATCCATGGATACGGGGAGTGGTCTACAGTCTTACTGGGATGTCTACCATTGAGTTAAGTATGAGGATACTAGGGTTATATTTCTTATGAAATTCTTATAATTATCCCCCAGGCAAGGTTAAGTGAACACCGACCTCGGGAGTGAAGCTCACTTTCCGTCGTAGCCCGTCCTTACGGTTCGACGGTTCGATTTATTTCTGTCATCAAGGTCATTCCGAGTAGTTCGTATAAAAGATCGAGATATGTTACAGCCATATCCGTAGTATCATAAGCAAATATTCACCAGGTAAGACTTCTCTCCACCCCCTAAGGGAACCAACGATCAAGGTGAGCCGCCTCGAAAGATATGGAAAATGGAGAACGAGTCCTACCCACGTCAACCACAACTATCCCACATAAGAGGAAATCATGATCAACGTATCCTGTAAATTAAAAGCCAACGAACAAACCGAGCACTAATCCCGATACTCAGAGAACGGATCTCTGGGCACGAAACAAGCCTCTAGTTTGCTGACGCGATACGAGAGCTCCTTAATATCAGATTCAAGGGCCCATCCCGCCTCGACGTCCAGAGCGTCGACTCGAGCTCCAGCACTAGACAGTTCCGGCCAGAACTGTCTAGCGAGATGCTGGGCCCACTCTTTTACAAGGATGATGAGCATTATGAGGGCCAGGCCTAGGATTAGTCCGTTGAATGCCAGGGCGAACGTTTCGAAGGTTGTGTTCATGGTGGGTTTGTGGTACTTACTTGTACCTGTAGTGTAGTGGGAATAGGATGTCTGAGCGAGGATCAGATGGGGTGTCAGTGCGTTTGATCTGGATGGTTGATATCCCTGATGGATGGGAGTAGATGTAGATCTTTGAAGATTGGAGAGTCAATGATTGATGAGAGTCTATGGAGGATAGTTGGATGACTTGGAGGTATCTATACCTGGCTAGGGAGATTTCCTCGATGAACTTGACAGTGTAGACTGTCGATGCCCTTTGTTCAACAAAGGCGTAGTTCAAAGAGACAACGGCTTTCAGAGGTTCGTCAAAATACAGAGTTGTTCAAAGTAAACAAAGGTCTAAGAACACAATTATTTTGTCACAAAGGATGCATTATTCCATTTTGCGATCTTCATTGGGATAACAAGTGCCCTGTATGGCTTCAATGTCCATCCCAACGTGTTGTACGAAGTATGTTGACTGCAATCATTGGAAACCTTGGTTGACACCAACTTGATATTCAGGACTAAGCACTCGAGAAAGCCCTGGAATTGCCGAAGCACTTTCGACAGATCATCGGGATGCAGTCGAACACATAGACTGCCTAGGTGTATACGAAGGCAATTACAGCAATGATGCGGAGATATAGTCAATCTAAGATCCATTTTATAACTTTCTAGCTAGGTATCATCTGTCCATAATCGGCACAGCATTCAAACATAATTTCATGAGATTTCCTCAGCGCGAGGCTTCGGCCGAATAGCCAACTTGCCAGCCTGATTAATCATAGCTTCGTAGCCAGCCCGCTCCAACACGCCACCATCCTTGTTCACGACCTCGCGAGCCTCGAGTTCTTCCACAAGACGCTGGTTCTCGCGATTGCCCTCCAGCAAGAACTTGAGACACATCACGGCATGTTCCTTGATATAGGGGTTGTGAGCATCGAAGGCAGTGCAGCAAAGAATTGCCTCGACACCACCGTAGCGACGGATCTGCTCCTGCACATCCGGGCACTTCCAGACCAGGGAGGAGAGGACGAGCACGACCAGTTTCTTGAGGTTGCGCCACTCGAACTCGGAGGGGTCTTCAGTGATGGGTGGTGATTCGGGGCGGGAGTCGACGCTGCCGCCTGCGTTGTCGATGGGGTCGGGGTCGCTGGGATCGTAGGGGCGTTCGACGGCAACGGGTGCAGGGGATGAGCTGGATGCGTCTGCGGCTTCGCTGCGTGGTGGAGGTGGGGGTGGCACAGAGCCGAAGGACAATTGGCTCAGTTGGCCCTTGGGGATGCTTGCTTCCAATTCCTTGATCAGGGTGACTAGGTCGTAGACAATCTCCCATTTCACGAGCAGGTTCTTCCACTCGTTGTTTTCGGTGAGCACGGCGAAGAACTCCAGGAATTGATAGACGCCCTCGTAGACTCGCTCCATGTCCCACAGGTTGAGTGGGAAGTCTTCTGACAAGGCTCGCTCGGCACGGATTTGACCCTGAAGGTAGATCAAAGCACATGTCTCGGGAATAATGTTGCCACGGAAGATGGTGAAGATGTATCGGACAGTGAGGATGTCAACCCGATTCAGCGAGCTTGGGCTGCGAGGAATGTTGGGCTGAGCAGACCCAGTGACCGACGCAGGGGAATATTTGGCTCGGAAGATGTGAGTGAGAATCTTGATGACCACAGCTTGAGCAGGGGAGATGATGTCCTTGGGCTGGCCAAAGTCCGAGTAGGCGTGAGACATCAGTCCGTTCTTAAGAACCGCTTCCATGATCTGGACCATCATCTTGAAGTAGAGCTCGTCATCGGGGAGATCCCATGCAGCAATGAAGATCAGCAACTCTCGAAGAAGATTGCGCCCTGTCTCCTGTGTGAGTAGGATATGGCATCGGAGTGCTTGCATGTTTCTGGAGCCCTTCCGCTCGCCGCCCTTCAGACCGAAGCTGTCAACGATTCCGGCTTGGACAATCATTGGCAAAGCCTCGATCTCAGCTGGCCCAAGCACCAGAGGGATGTCGGTCAGAAGACCCCGTTGCTGGTCGCCTGGACGGCCACGGTATTCATCGTCTTCTTCCTCTTCGTCATCATCAGGGTCTCCTTCGCCGTCATCGTCCAGGTCATCTTCCCCGTCTCCGTCGACACTGCCATCGGCCATGGCCTCTAGGCTGCGTGAATCATCGTCGCCAACAGTGTGCGCATCTCCATGGTCGTATTCATGTTCTTCATCCCCATCAATATGTGATGGTTCCTGCAGCCGGGCCATGAGCTCGTCCTTGGCCTCCTGCAGGGTTTCCGCGGCAGATTGGGACGATCGAGGCATGCTGGTGTCTTCTTCAGTGACGGGTCCTTCTACCGCACCAAACTCGTTGATCTCCGGGAGATCGGCCCAGCAGAGACGAGGGAAGCCGGCCGTAAGACTACGATCGATGGTCAAAATCGTCTTCTTCTTGGCCATCTCAGGCTCTTCTTCCTCCTCCTCTTCCCGGTGCCCACTGTGATCCACATGGCCTTCCTCCTCGAGCTCCTCCGGCTCCTCCGATTCGTCGTTGTCATCTTCGTGCAGGGCAGGCGGAAGCTCACGGGCTCGTTCCTGAAGATCAGACCAGCCATCAACCTTGGCTCCTAGTATCGCGGTCAAAGCAGCTCGAATATCTTTGACTTGGTCAGGATCTCTACCCATTTCCTGAATCGCGCTGAGATCCCGTCCCAGAATGCGCTCCATGTGGTCCTTAATATTGGCCAAAAGCAGCATCGCAGCTTCCTCCTTAATAGTGGCGGGCTCCCGTGGGAACTTGGCGATAGTCTCCAAGAGTAAGTCTTCGGCGGTCTGGTCGTACAGCGCGCGAATGGGCGGGTTGATCACGCGCTCTCCAACCTGCACAATGGGCGCAACCCCTTCCCGGGAGCTAGCATCGTCCAAAGGTTCCTTCGGCTTGATTATGTTCGTGTCTGCAGTCGAGTGGTATCCAAAAAGATCCAACCAAAGGACCATTTTGCGGTGCTCATTGTGCATGATGAAGTTGTGGAGGTATTGCAGGCACGTAATCAAAAGGCGCTTGTAGAGATTCACCACTTTTTGCCATCGCTCCTCGTTCCGCGCATTGGTCTCGCCGTCGAACCCGCGAGCCGTGACGCGGACACAAGTGTCGATCAGCGCCAGGATCCTTTGGTCGAAGCCGGTCTCCGCCGCTAGGTTCTGCGCTTTCTTCGTTGTCGCGAGAAGGTTTCGGGCAATTGTACACAGATCATTGAGTCGCTCAATATCCTTTACGAGTGAGAAATAATTACACGCGATGAGGTTGGAGGACGAATGCTCATAGCTCGCTGCGGGGCTTTTCCATGCGAAGGACTGCGACTCGAGGACCGGGATCGCTTTTGTGAGGACGTTTGTCAGACCTTGCCAGATATCTGGCGACATACCGAGATTGTGACTAGCAGCGCGTAAGCCGTTAGTCTTTACATCTGCAACAGGCTGTAGGGTGTATTCTCACCGAACATCACTTTCCTGGTGCGTCTTGTACAAGATCTGCTTTCCAGCGGCAAGCATGTGCTCGAGGCGTTTCTCGTCGATCATGCCCCGGACTTCATAGTGGCTTAAGGTTCCTGCCAAAATCACCTTGAGCATCAGCTCCGCTGGCGTGCACGAGGGCTTAGACTCCGCCATTGCATAGAAATAACAACTGCACAGGTAGCGGGGGAGGGGAGATCAAAGATTTGGAGGTGTGTGGGGAGACAAATTTTCCGCCCGCAGAATGAGGCCGCTCATTCGTCCGCTCTGATCTATGTTTTTAATTTCCTTTTGTATTGATTGTATTGACTCTTAATCGGTTATAGATCGACGGACAGAGAGTCCTATCACATCTCGCAGATTATTCCAAAAGCCCATATCATAGATATTGTCCACTTCCTTCATGCTGTGTAGTCGCTTCCAGCGGGGATCCGGGGGTAAGTCTGAACCCGGGCGATGGGCGATACAGTTGGAATTAGACATCAACAGACATCCTTCGGTCGGGGGGTCCTCATCAGTGACAAGGATCTGATCTGTATGTACCGGCCACATCCGGTCATGAGGGGTCATCGGAAGGGGGTTCTCGAAGATGAGGCTTCGCTGAGTCTTGAATACCAAGCCATCGTCCACATCCTCTTTCCAGTCAGACCACTTGGAGGTCTCGTTGGTTGTTGTACCAGCCCAAATAAGATAGGTATGGTATGCCAGGAAGGAGACCGCCAATGGAGCAGTCATCAGCATCAACATGAACACCGTCCCGATCTTCGGAACAGTCGCAACCAGAACACCCCACGTGTTGATCCATGTTGTCCAGCTTTGCATGGCCACTTTGACCTCGGGTGGAACTAGCTGCTCCATGGACTCGGAGAGTAAAGCTTTCCCCAAGTAAGACCCGTAGATCAACATTACAGAGAGGGAGACCAGGAGCGAGAGGAAGTACACGCAGTTATTGGCCCCGACACAGTTCATCAGCCAGACACAATGGTGGTCATGCCGAGACACGCATGCATTGCAAAAGCTGCAATGTTTGCTGCGTGCGGGCTTCAGGAAGTCACAAGTGCTGCAGCGATGCCCTGGGTGAAAGAGAACTCGGTCGTAAGGGTAGCGTCTCATCTCTTCATCGTGATTCTCCTCTGTGATGAAGGACTTGGTTACCACGCATTTGTACAGTAAGACATATGGTAGAGTGATGACAACAGGCACGCAGAATCGATGGACAGTCGACAGTCGGGGCCACGCAGCCGGGATAAAGACACATTCCCCAATAACCATCAAAGAAGTGAAAAAGATCTAATCGCGGTCAGTACTGAATAGTATTTGTAGACGGGTTGCCTACTAGAACCAAGGGGTGGTTCTCCTTCAATACATAACTGCCGGATCGGGTCCAGCACCGCACCCCCCGTCCCCCAAACCAACCGTTGTCAACAACCGCAATTCCATTGGGCAGATACACCCACAGTACGCGGTGAAGGAAAGCAACAGGGGTTTTTCTTGGTCGGTCAGCAAAAGAGCTTGCGCATCAGATCAGCGACACGCCTTACCTGAACGCCGGCAGCCTGCCAAATAATGCGACAAACGTGAAGGCCGAGATCGCCAGGATCACCAACCCCACGGTGCGTAAAGCCCCCATTACTGAAGCACAGAGGATCTCAGGAATTGACTGGATTCATTGAGATTCGTGGACTCCCAGGTGCTTTGAGGGGTGCACAGTCGCGTCCGAGCCTGTGTATGCCACGTGACCGCGCCGTTCCTCACCCTGTACTCCGTACTCCGGACAAAGAGGCTGATATTTTTCTATGAAAAGGACGAGCACATTCATCTGCCTGGCCACGTTCTGTCGTGGAAAAGAGGAGAAAAGTCATTTTAACACGTCAACACGTGATATCGCGTCAAAAACCACTCCGCGCAGTTTTCACTGGATTTAGAGCGTTCAGCACCCCAACGACTGGGTCAGCTCTTACAGTGCCGTCATGCCTACTCCTGTGAGAATTGCGCCTCGAATTGCGCCTCGGAGGGATGATGCGCCGACTTTGTTTCGAGGCGCGCGATTCTGGCTGTCTCAAACCGTCCCACAGAGGCTTAAGCTCAAAGAGGACATTAATGTAACCATTCCCTATGTTCGCGGTTGAATCGCATGTTCTAACGCACGTATAGAAACATGGTGGGATTGTCGTACTGCTGGAGCGAGATTCGGACGTCAAGATTGTGGACCATAAGAGGAAGAACCTTCCACATGATACGTACGGCCCCTTGATGGTTCAAGCTCGAAACACACTGACAGAATCCCAGATACTCATATCAATATGTGGAGCTTTCCATCGCGAAAGGCAAACTTGAAGACCTAGAGGATCACAGGGCAGGTCCATCTGCACCACGGCCCATGGGCGCATCTAATATCCCCACGAAAAGCAAGAGATCAATCTTCACATTGGAGGAAGATCGCATTGTGTACGACTGGATACAGCACTTCGGGAAGACTCCAGGGGCGCCGATCAAGGGAGTCAAGTTATATCAAGATTTAAGTGAATTGGTAACGTACAACTTCACTATACCCTTGTGTTCAAGGATTAATCAGGAGCAGTTCCCCAGTCATCCATGGCAGTCATGGCGTAGTCGATATACCAAAAACCTCATTGATAAGCCACGTCCAGGCGGCGGAGAGTCTCTAACACTCGATGAGATCCTGCAGCGTGCACCATCTCAAGCATCACGCCCAAAGATCTTGCCAACTCGAGTTTCTGAACCGACACCTCCATTGAGAGTAGAGCCCAAGGCTCTCTCACGAGTACCAGCCTTAGCTCAACATAATACGAATAATTCAAACTCCAAACGCAAACGTGATTCAGGTCCAGGTCCTCAGTCACCCAACCAAAGTCGGACCGGAATTCCACCCTCCAAGAGACTGGCAGTTGAGGAACCGGCACCCTCTCACTCCCCATCAATTCAAATTCGTCCCCCGCAGCTCACAGCGAGGGATACCACAACGCCAATCCCCAGGCCTGTTCCGGTACAAGCCTCACCCAGCACCTCTTCAATATCTCAGCCAAATACAGGTATTGGAACCACAGAACCAGCAACTGCTCGATCTCCTCGGACACCAATACCCCGCTCTAGGTCTCGGCCGTCCAGTAAACGTCCAGAAGCGACGAAAGAATTACCAGCACCAGCACCATTACCATCTCGTCCCGCAGGGGATAACGCCGTTGCTAATTCAGCACCAGCACCACCAGCACCACCAGCACCACCAGCACCACCAGCACCACCAGCACCACCAGCACCACCAGCACCACCAGCAGAACCAGCAGAGCCAGCAGAGCCCGCACCAACACCAACACCAGCAAAAGCACCACCTCGTCCCCCTGGGAGTAATGCCTTCGCCAAATTAGCACCAGCACCAGCACCAGCATCTCGTCCGCCAGGGGACAACGCTTTTGCCAAATCAGCGGCACCAGCGCCCGCACCAGCACCATCTCGTCACGCAGGAGAAACTGCCGTTGCCAAGTCAGCACCAGCAGCACCAGCACCACCAGCACCACCAGCACCACCAGCAGCACCAGCACCACCAGCAGAACCAGCAGAACCAGCAGAGCCCGCACCAACACCAACACCAGCAAAAGCAAAAGCACCACCTCGTCCCCCTGGGAATAATGCCTTTGCCACATTAGCACCAGCACCAGCACCATCTCGTCACGCGGGAGAAACCGCCGTTGCCAAGTCAACACCAGCACCAGCAGCACCAGCAGCACCAGCAAAGGCAAAAGCACCACCTAGTCCCCCTGGGAATAATGCCTTCGCCCAATTAGCACCAGCACCAGAACCACCAGCACCGCCATCTCGTCCTCCATGGAACAACGTCTCTGCGAAATCACCGGCACCGGCACCGGCACCACCATCTCGCCCCCCAGGGGATAATGCCTTTGCCAAATCAGCTCGATTCAACAAGCAAATTATCAAGGATAGACCACCACCGAAGGACCCCTTCAAGGAACCTTTCGATATCGACCCTGCTTTTCTGGAATTGCCATTCCTCCCCTCCAGCCCAGCGCCCGAGCCAGCTGAAGACGCGCCAGAGATACCTGACATCGAAACCTGGATGGATGAAAGACTAGCCCGGGGCGCGCACGAGTCACATATCTTTGAGGCTTTACAATGCACAAGTATGGAACCAACGATGGCTGACAAAGTGCTCAAGTACCTCAGTACTGGCAAAGGCATCCCACGTAATGTGCGCGGGGTCTGGACACCAGAGGATGACCAGTGCCTGGAATCGCAAGAACATGCCAAAGTCCAACGCGCACTCACAAAACATGGCATGGAGGCATACAAGGCCCGATGGGATTATTTCTGCGGGGCTCGAGAATCAGGTTTTATCGAATGAGTAAGATATCCATACATATCTAGGATTTACCTGGAATGCAAACAAGTGCAAGAGACGAATGTGATTGCCATTGTAAGGTACACGAATGATAGCTTATTGCTCGAAACGGAATACTCCCCGAAAACTCCGGACTTGAACTTCCCAGAAACGCACAGATGATAGACAGACACGCGTGTTTGATATCACGCCCTGGGGATCGGTGAGATGAAGAGGCCGTTGAACTAATGGCCGTTCATTGTCCCAACTCCCAAGTTTAGATGATCAACATCGGGGAAAAGATAGCTTAAAGTAGCATAAATACGTGCCATTTCCAAGTGATACTCGGATGGGACTCCGCCAAATGCTGCAAATGTGGAAAAATTATGTGCTCTATTCCTCACCCTCTTGCTTGAAGACACTAGAAGAAAGTTAGCAAGACCTTTGAAGTTCACCAGAACGAATTGACGTACAGATGTTTTTCGTAAAATTCAAGCATCTGATTGATCCATTAGCTATAGTCGGATGTTGGTGCTGCGGCGATAAACATACCCTTCTGGGACACTTCTCATAGCATGCCTGGACGCTCACCCGGGCCGTTTTCCCGTTCTTGAATAGGAGATACGCAAACAAGCCCTCATTCTCCTTCCCTTGTTGAATTGTCGAGACTTCCTTGAGCTCCTTGTCCCACTTGCCCTTTGGCAACCAGCTGACGTCGTCCTCGGGTGGAATGGAACTCTCTGGGGACTTCTCGGCCAATTTTGATGCCGCTGACTTTCGGCCTCTCTTGGCTGCAGGAGCTGGGGTTTTGGTGGGAGTTGCGGTCTTCGAGCTTGCGTCACCCATGGACTTGCGCTTGCGGCCTGGCTTCGGCTTCTCTGCGTTCCTTTCCGGGCGACCACCGACCTTGTCGTAATATGAATGGAGGATCTCAGAAGCTCCCTCCCTGTGTTGGTGAGTAAATGCGCAGTAGTGTTATGTGCTCGCAGACGTACATAAGGTTTTCTTCTTCCTCCCACGTGTGGTCTTTAATAGCGTCATATCCTTGCCATTTCACGAAGAACTTAAGGGTACCCTGCGACTCGGTTAGCTGGCTGTGAATGCGCAATCGAATCGAGCGCGCGACATACATCATCGAGCCAGTCGTGTCTGACAATCTTCTCCACAACGTAGCTGGTGTAATCGGTTAGGAACAATCGCGGTGATGGCGGATGCGCGACTCACTTGTCATCGTCTTCGTCGTCCTCATCGGCGTCGCTTCCTTGATTTTCGCCATCCTCTTGCTTGTCGTCGCCCTTTGGCGCATTGCTGAAAGGAATATCACCAGACTCCTCGTCGGACACATCCTCTACTGGAGCTGGGACTGGTTAGCCGAGAACGCGCGCGCGCAAGGGATAGTAGACTCACGAGGCATCTCACTTTTCAAAGGTGAGATAAACGAAGTAAGCTTGGAAAACAGTTTGGCGATTGTATGCAAGGACCCCAATTGCAAGTCGGGAAGCGCAGTCGCATGGGAAACATTGGGGAGCAGAAACGCGAGAAGGCGGACAGAATGCGCTATACCCGATCGGGTAGTCAGAATTTCATTTGTCAAAAGTGCATTTCGGGAAGCTTCAACCCCTCATACAAACTTGCTGGGTGCTTTTACTTGTCGCTCACTGTCTATTCTTTGGCTTCGTCCTCGGAGCTCTTTCTTTAATTTACTCTATACTCTGCCAGGTGGCAGCCCACCGTCAAGATGGCAATGCGTGAGACCCCCATACCCCTCATTCTGGGTTCTGTGGCTAATGTGGTGACTTTGAACAGAGCTTGATATGTCTCAGGGTGATTACTTCTGACAATTTCTGGTCGACTGGATCTCCGTTGCTGACATTCAGGGGTAGCTTCCGTCCTGAAGGACGAGCAGGGACGGCCATTCATCGTCGTTCGGGAGTACGTTCACCGCTATCTCTATGACCCTTCGCCATTGCGGCTCGAGAATCCGGAATAAGAGGCTGACGAGGCTTTGATAAATCAGTCAGGGAAAGAAGAAGAGACAGCACGGCACCGAAGCCGTGAAATCACACATTGTTGCTGCTAAGACAGTCGCCAGCATTGTCAAGTCTTCTCTGGTATGATTTGCGACGGATATTCAGTGAAACAAGTTCTGACTGGACGTACTTCTCAGGGTCCCCGTGGTCTCGATAAGATCTTGATCTCCGCCGACGGCGATATCACCGTTACCAACGATGGCGCAACCATTCTCGGACAGGTCCGACCCCTTTCCATTCCCTTCTAGGGTTCGATTCCGGCTTCAGAGACTGATACGATGGATGCATCTAGATGGATATCACAAACAACGTCGCCAAGCTCCTGGTCGAGCTTTCCAGATCTCAAGATGAGGAAATTGGTGATGGTACAACCGGTGTCGTGGTGCTGGCAGCTTCCATGTTGGAGCAAGCCTCGGACCTCATTGACAAGGGTATTCACCCCATTCGGATTGCCGACGGATACGACCAGGCTTGCGAAATTGCCGTTGCGGAGCTCGACAAGATCAGCGATGAGATCAAGTTCAGCCGCGAAGACACAACCAACCTTCTCAAGGTTGCCAAAACCAGTTTGGGCAGCAAGATGTATGTAGCCATGGCTCACTCGGTCGTGAAGGTATTGACAATGTGTGCAGTGTTTCCAAGTCCCACGACCAATTCGCCCAGATCGCCATCGATGCTGTGCTGTCGGTTGCCGACTTCGAGCGCAAGGATGTCGATTTCGAGTTGATCAAGGTTGATGGAAAGGTCGGTGGATCCCTCGAGGACTCTCTGCTCGTCAACGGTGTTATTGTGGACAAGGACTTCTCTCACCCTCAGATGCCCGACGAGGTTCGGGATGCCAAGTTGGCTATCCTGACCTGTCCCTTTGAGCCTCCCAAGCCCAAGACCAAGCACAAGCTTGACATCACATCAGTTGAGGAATTCAAGAAGCTGCAGGACTACGAGAAGAAGACCTTCACAGAGATGATCCAGAAGCTGAAGGACTCAGGTGCCAACCTGGTCATCTGCCAATGGGGCTTCGACGACGAGGCCAACCACCTGCTCCTCCAGAATGAGTTGCCTGCCGTCCGATGGGTTGGTGGTCCCGAGATTGAGTTGATTGCCATCGCCACAAACGGCCGTATTGTGCCACGATTCGAAGATTTGACCGCCGAGAAGCTCGGCACAGCCGGTAAGGTCCGTGAGATGAGCTTCGGAACCACAAGAGAGAAGATGCTTGTCATCGAAGAGTGCGCCAACAGCCGGGCGGTCACAGTCTTCGTCCGTGGAAGTAACAAGATGGTAAGCGAATCCCTGCAAACGGTGCTGGATGATCGATCGCTAACTCGCTCTAGATCATTGACGAGGCCAAGCGTTCACTACACGATGCTCTGTGTGTCGTCCGTAACCTTGTCCGTGACAACCGTGTTGTCTACGGTGGTGGTGCTGCTGAGATTGCTTGCTCTCTCGCCGTTGAGGATGCCGCCGCCAAGAGCCCCGGTATTGAGCAATACGCCATGCGCGCCTTCGCTGATGCGCTTGATGCCGTTCCCCTGGCCCTGGCCGAGAACTCTGGTCTCAGCCCTATCGAGACTCTCGCCTCCATCAAGTCTCGCCAGCTTAAGGAGAAGAACACCCGCCTTGGTGTTGACTGCATGCAGACCGGCACCAACGGTAAGCTTCCATCCCCATCCATCATTTGCCCTGTTCGCCTGCTGATTGTTCCATAGACATGCGTGAGCACTTCGCCATTGACCCCTTGATCGGTAAGCGCCAGCAGCTTCTGCTTGCTACTCAGCTTTGCCGTATGGTTCTTAAGGTATGTTTTCCCGGCCCTGTTTTCTCGTTACATGCTCATCCAGATTAGATCAACAACGTCATCATTTCTGGTGATGATGAGTCTGAGTTCTAGAGTCCTCGGCTTCACTCCAAATCACGATGGTAAAAAGAAAAAAATGATGATTCTGGTTTGCTTGCTATGTAAAAACATGGTCCCTTACATAGAGCCCTTTTAGTTCCAATCAAAACGAAAGGATTGATAATGTGTCAAGTATTCTCCAACATAACCAGACCCAAGCATGCCTGGGTCAGTATAGTATCACTAGTAGTACTGCATTTGTACACAGCTGATTGTCAAGACCACGAGTGATGTGGGTCCTTTGTGCGCCATTGACGTTAGCGCCACTAGCACTCATCTATCCCGCAGATTTGATCTTATTTATGCCTAAAGTACTATACGCTGATTTTTGATATTCGTATCAAACACTGTTCCAGTAGTAGTTCGAAGCTGTCAAGTCTCATGCTCTGTATATCTCTACTGAATGCGGAAGAACATTGATCCAAGATTTGACTTGCAATTAGCCTTTTAGACTGCCAAACAACCATGGAACGCAACATTGGAACCTGGGAACCAGCCTATCAATCCAACACCCGTGGACCCCTGAGAACAAGATTCACTAGACAGACTGATTCCCCGTACGGATACTGTAGCACAAAATCAGCACTTTGGACCGCTCAACATTGGGAACGGAATAGATCTGCGTGGTTCAGCTCGGCAGTTCAGCTTGGTTGGCGGGTATGCAACTATACGGAGTAAGGGGTAAACAGTGTGGAGCTTATACATCAGAAGGCCTATGTATGAGCCCCTAAACTGCCGATGACACCACTACAACATGATGAAATCTATCTACTGTAGTACCAATGTAAGATGCAATCGGAATTCATGTACATCTCTTCTGAACAATCGCATCGATAGTCGCAAACCCATCGCACGACCCCACATGCACAGCATAAAAGCGGGAACTTACGATGGGGACAGTTTCCAGCTAATCTTGGAAGAGACTAGATCTGAGAACATGCCCACTGATCGACCTTTGCTCGGACAGGGTGAGGCCGAGTTTTTTTTTGGTTTATGAGATTGGCTTCTAGGGGGTTTCTCCTCCCCAATCACTCTGCTTTCAGTCCAGTCGATCGGCTTTGCCAAGATGATTCCTTCAATTGGCCTATGGGCCTGTCTACTGTCTGTTGCAACGAGTGCTTTGGGTTCTCATGTCCATGGTCATGCCCATGCCCATGCTTCACGCGCTCAAATCTCGCGCCGGGGTAAATCGACCTCTCTGCCGTGTCGGACTCCACGTATGCTAATGATTTACAGAGATCTCGTCTGAGCTCTTCGAGAAGTTCAAGCTCTTTGCTCAGTTCGCGACAATAACCAACTGCGATCAGAATATCAATCGCACTGGGTACCCGCTTTCTTGCGATCAGGGACCGTGTGATCTGGTCCAGGCAGAGGATACCGAGATCGTCAACACGTATCACCAGAAGACCGGAGGCACTGGATACATCGCATTGGACCGCACTCGGAAATTGATCATCGTCACCTTCCGGGGAACCATCACCTTCCCAGACTTATATCAAGACCTACGGATCCCAATCCTCACACCCGTGCCAGAGCTGTGCGATGGGTGCGGAGTGTATCCCGGATTCTGGGATTACTGGCTCAGCGCCAAAGACCAGATCATCAGCGAGCTCGGAAACGTCACGAAAGAATACCCTGACTACCGCGTCTCTGTAACAGGGTACAGTCTCGGTGCCGGTGTTGCTACCGTTGCCGGAGTTGCGCTCCGTGAGGAGGGATTCCCCTGTGATATCGTGAGTTAATCAAAATTCCTATGTGGGGTTACACTAATCAAGTCTCAATAGTGGACATTTGGCGCATCCAAGCCTGGAAACGCAAAGCTGGCTGAGTTTATCACCAACCAGCAGAAGCCCGTCAGTATCTATCGGGCGACCCATAATAAGGATCTGATTCCAAACCTCCCTGCCAACATCATTGGCTTTGACTACACTCAACCTTCTCCTGAGTTTTGGATTGACCAGCCAAGTGGCGAGGTCGTTACCCCTGATGTTGTGAAATATATTGAGGGCATCAATAACAAGACAGGCAATCTGGGCCAACATGGCACATCGATTGGCGCAGAGCACGAGTGGTACTTCGGTAACATGACTGTCTGTGCCCCATCCGCTGATATGTATGCTCTGTTCTGAGCGTTTTGCAAACCGTGAGGCTTTAATTGTCGGTCTATAGTGATCGACGCTTTTGTTCATACTGTATACCATTTGTATATAATTAGAATTTGAGGACCTGCAGGTCTGACGCCGGAGATGACCCCTGTGGAGGCTAAACTTCCGCACCAGCCCACAAAGCCCACAGCCCGGTTTGACCCAACCTACTGTACTACCTAGGTAATGAGCTGGGCTTTGGGCTTTCCCCTCGGGCCCGTCGATGGGCTATTCCCAGGTGGGCTCAGGCTAGGAGTCCATGGGGCTTTAATAGGGGCCCATTGGGCCCCAAATATCACAAAAGCATATACACCGATAATTCTTGTACTATTGGTAATGTTCACAGTAACATTTCCGCCTCAGGAAGCGATCGGCTCTCGGATCCCAAGGTGAAATACATACATATTCACCCCGCCGCCCTAAGCTTCCCACTGAGTGACCATGAGCTGCTCAGTGAGCAACCTGATCGCTCAGCCCAGTAAGTAACGCGAATGAGTGTGTCATCAGAGCTAAGGATCTTCGTGAGAAGGAAATCCTAGATCGCAGAGGTGCTCATATCCTGTTGGTAACTACACAGTAGCAGATAGACTCAAAGTCCGTCATATTGAGAGTAACAGAAGAGAGAGAAAGAAGACAAGAGCTAAATTTATCCAGGATGTACAGAGAGAATCAGGTAATTCCGAACACCAACCCCTCAATTTCAATCAGCTTCATCTTTGTTCCTCACATTCCAAGGTTTGTATGTTTCGTCACCTGAAACCGCATCCAAGATGACCCCACAGCCATACCTCTTGAATGCCACGCAAGTACTTGGTCTGTTCAAGGACAACACTATTTCCGTCGAACAATACGTCCAATCCCTATTGGGCCGTATCGAGGAACGAGACACCATCGTGAAGGCATGGGCCTACTTAGGTTGGATGAATCATGTGTTATTGTATATACACGTGAAGATACACTCTGACCTCTGAACTAGATCCAGAATCTGTTTTGAGTCAAGCCCGAGCTTTAGACCAAATTCCCTACGAAGAAAGGGGACCATTACATGGCCTAGCAATAGGCGTGAAGGATATCATGAATACCAAAGGTATTAGATATGGCTCACTTGACTAGTAGATCGCTACTAATTCATCCCAGATATGCCCACTCAATATGGCTCTCCGATCTATGAAGGTCATCAGTCATGCTTCGACTCTTCTGCCGTTGCTATTCTGCGAGATGCGGGTGCTCTTATTTTTGGTTTGTTGACTTATAAGTCTCCTCCCAAGATTGAATGCATCTAACTGTCTTCTTTTCAGGCAAGACGACCACGACAGAGTTCACAGTGACAAATTCAGGACCAGAAACCACCAATCCCCGTGATCCGAACCGCACCCCAGGGGGATCCTCATGCGGTTCTGCTGCTGCTGTAGCCGACTTCCAGGTCCCTATTAGCCTTGGGTCACAGACTGGTGGCAGTGTCATTCGCCCAGCATCTTACACCGGGATCTTCGCCATGAAGCCAACACACAACGGAATTTCGCTCGAAGGGCAGAAGGCGTTTGCCCCTACATTTGATACATTTGGATTTTTTACCAGAAGTGCGGAGGATCTGCAGCTGCTAGCAGATGTTTTCGCTATTAAAGACGACGAACTTCCTCTGCAACATATACCAATTGATCAAGTCTCGGTCGCTTTGATCAAGACCCCCATGTGGTCTCAGGCAGGGCCAAGTCCTATCGCGGCTATGGAACAAGCTTCGACGATACTTCAGAACTCCGGTGCTCGGGTTGAGGAAATTGACTTGCCACCTGAGGTTTCGGATACAGGAAGCCTCAGTAGAATCCAGAAACTTATCATCAATGCCGAGGCTCAGGTTTCCTTTCTAAAAGAATACCGAGTCGGCAAAGCAGAGCTGTCTCTTGAAATACAGAAAATTGTCGAAAATGACGCCAATCATACACACGAAGAGCTTATGGAGGCCTCTGAAACATATGCCAGAATGCGCGAATTGGTGAACAATTTGGCCAAAAATTACTCCGTTATCATCACTCCAAGTGCTGTGGATGAAGCTCCCCTTGGGCTTGGGGATATGGGAAGCGCCAAGTTCAACACTCCCTGGACAGTGGGTGCCTCCCATGAGTCAAATCGCCGCTTCCCCTGGCTTTCTTGCTGACATGTTACAGGGATTCCATATGCCGGTTGTCAATATACCTGCATTCATTGGGGACCATGGCATGCCCGTTGGCGTATCTCTTGTTGCCTCTCGATATCATGATGCACACCTCTTGAGGCTCAGCAGAGCTCTAGGTGATGTCCTTATGGCCGGAGGTGGTTGGAGAGTCTGAATGTAAATGAGCTACGCGTCAGAGGACCAATCAGACACCCCTCATTTATATGTGTGCTTTCATTGTCTCAAGAGCCTCAAACACTTACTTTGATGGTTTGTCTTCATCTTCTTCCTTCTCTGTACATTTTCAACTTCGACTCCCTATTTCTTTCAACTCAATGTCTTGGTCTTTTGACCCTCAGAGCTATCAGTTTTCATCAGTTTCCATTGGGTTTTGCCTAGTCTAACGTGCATGCCGGCTTACCCCCTCGGGAGTTAGCGCTCAGTTAGCGCCTCCGATTTCAAGATGATTGGGCAGGATCGCCGTTTACAGGGTATGAGATTTGCCGATGGCGCATGGGCTGAGATGCTCCTATATATGCATGTTTGCGCCTTTATGTAGCGCCTGGTGGCTGGCCCAATGAACCCCGCTCGGATATGTTTACCCAATTCACCGAGAGTTCGCCCGGGTGTATTGCTCATGGGACGACAAATGTACAGTCCATGCTTCGTCAGCTGGTCAATTCCAAAGTCATTGGTGATCTTCGCTGCCAAAAATGCCGATATTTAGCAGCTCTCGATCAAGGGGCTACAACTCTGGTGGGCCTGTTGAGGGCCCACAACCCACGGCGAGAGGGGTCAAACTTGATCAAGTATATCCTCCATCTGGAAGTGATGTGGAGACCGAGGTCGACATAATTGCCATCCATGGGCTGGACACGAAGTCGCCGGACACTTGGACATGGAAGAAAGATGGGGTCAGCGTCAACTGGCTGAAAGACTCGAACATGCTCCCCGAAAAAGTCCCAGGGGCACGGATCTTCACGTGTGATTGGCCAAGTGAACTTCTTGAACACGGAAACTTTGTTCAAAAGACAATAGAGGAGTTTGCTCTCTTGATGCTCGATGGTATCAAAAGTCGAGAGACTTCCATGCCCCAGTTACAAGAGTCCGAAAGACCCATAATCTTTGTGGCATCATGCCTGGGAGGGGTGATTCTGATGAAAACACTTGCCATGAATACCGAGAGGTTTGAGTGCGTGAAGAAAGTAACCAGAGGATTTGTCTTCCTTGCCACTCCATTTCGTGGAACGTCCTTTGAGGATGTGGTGTTTTGGGCTAAGCCGGGTCTCAGAGTTCGGGGTGTCTTTGGAGGTAAAAGGCCATCAAACCTCATGAATTATGTGATGCCCGTGAAAGATCTCGAACTTCTTGTTCGTCAGTTCAGCTCTTTCTGTGAGCGCCAACGCCTCACCAATGACTTGTTCACGTTCTACGAAACGGGAGACACGAGCCTCCCTCGAAAGGCAATTCCATTCATTCCTAGGGCACTTGCAAAAGTCAAACCGGTAAGTAGCATATTAAAGGAACTACTCAATGAAATAAGAACTAACAGCACCAGTTAGTCAATTCTTCATCGGCCACGCTTGACTTTGCCAAGGACCCAATGCCCATCGACCGACCACACGTTCTAGTTAACAAATTCGAAGGGCCTGATGATCCAGAGTACGCTAAAGTCTCTAGAGCGGTGCAAGAACTTGTCAACAGAGCTCGCCACGGCCGTCATGACCGTTTGATCGAGAGAGCTAAGGCATGGATTCAAGACAATCGCTATTCCTTACCAAATCTCGAGATCAAAAGGCTTTCAGGTGACCTGTTACCAATGAACCAATGCTATATCAACCTGGCCCTTGTTGAGCGACAAGAAAACATGAGCCAGTCAGGGAATTCCAAAGCGGCAGCTGAATACTCGCCGTTATCTCTCCAAGCTCGTTTAAATCTCTTTGCTCCGAGGGAGGAGGTCGAAATCTATCTACAGGATATTTTCAACCCCCGCATGACAGACGCTGGCCAAGAAGTGATGCCACGCCGAATTTTGATCCACGGTCGAGCAGGCGTTGGCAAGACAACTCTTTGCAAGAAAGTGGTCTACGAATTTACCTACGGACAAATGTGGCATGGTCTATTCGAGCATCTGATCTGGATTCCGTTGCGCAAGCTGAAGCGCAAAGAGAGGGAAAAAGGCGGATACGACTTTGGAGATCTGTTTCGTCATGAGCTTTTCTCCAATATTTCTAGCCCCGATAAGGAGGATTTATCCAGAGCTTTGTGGGACTCATTCCGGGGCAACCAGAGCAAAAAGATCTTGTTTCTCTTAGACGGCTTGGACGAAGTCTCTCGGGACGTAAGTGGTGATATGCGAGACTTCCTTCGGCAGCTCTTGAACCAGCCATATGTCATTATCACATCCCGCCCCAACGCAACATCCACAGATGTGTTACAGCAGCCTTTTGATCTTGAACTGGAGACAATTGGGTTTCATCCGGAGCAAGTGACTTCTTACATTGAGACGGTATTCACCGATCATCACACAGGGCAAGTGGATTCGAAAGCAGTGAAGAGCATTGGAGACTTTCTTGAAAGCCGCCAGCTCATGCAAGACCTTGTGCGAATTCCCATTCAGCTTGACGCCCTCTGCTACACCTGGCATAGTTTCGCTGCACAGGCCAAGCGTGGCAACTCTCTAGAAACCATGACAGGGGTTTATGAAGCCATGGAGATAAGCCTCTGGAAAAAGGATCTCGTGAATCTTGGCAAGAGCACGGAGGGAGAGGTCGAAGGAATCTCAACAATAGCGACCAGAAAACGTCTAGAGTCCGAGATCGAGGCGGTCCAGCTGGTTGCTTTTACTGGAATGTATAGCAACATAATCGACTTCGAACCACATCATCGAGATGCCATTTTCGAACACGTCGCTCCTAGTTGCTCGGACGATCGATGGCTCGAAAGGGTTTCCTTTCTGCGAACATCCGACTCATCAAGTGACCAACGCAGTCGAGTCTACCATTTCCTTCACTTGACCTTCCAAGAGTATTTTGCCGCCCAATATTTTGTGCGCAAGTGGAGGGCGAGAGAAGAGCTTGAATTCCCAAACCTGACCAGCGGGAAGTTTGAACGCATTTCACCACCCGAATTCCTTGGCATTAACAAATACAACACTCGCTATGATATCGTATGGCGTTTTGTTGCCGGGCTGCTTGGCTTGAACCGGGATCCGAACGAGCCAGAGAAATTCTTTAGGGCCCTGGATCAGAAACCACTTGATCTATTAGGTATTGCCCACCAACGACTTCTCATTCATTGCTTGAGTGAGGTTCAACATGAATTCTCACTGAGGAGGGAAATTCAACGCCATCTGTCAAATTGGCTGGTCTTTCAATGCAACGTGATTCTAGAACAGAATCCAAGCTTACCCCGAGAGTCGATAGTGACCTTGGCGAGTGAGAGTGAATTTCCTGAGAGAGCTTTAATCGATCTTCAAGAAGAAAACGATGAAAACGTAATGACAGTTGCATTACTTTCGATGAGAAAGCATCATCGGATTCAACCTCAAATCATGGACCTTGCAATTTCAATGCTCCAGCAAACAAAGTCCAGTATGGTAATTGTTTCCATGTTCATGCTGCTGAGAAGAAAAAGAGACAAATTCTCAGAAGATAGTCTCCAGAGTATGCTCTTGCATCTTTGGAACCCACACCAAGCGATAAAACTATCTGCAGCTGAAACGTTGCGCGGATTGCATTTACCAGAAACAATTTGCCGCCGAATCATTAAGACGAGCACTGTGAGAAAAGCAAATCGCCTCTTTGAGGGTATTGAAGCCACTGTCCTTAGTGACCAGGCACTGTCAACGGAAACGCTGAATGATCTTGTCGCAAATCTCGTGAATCCCGACAAGGATGTCAGACAGGTTGCAAGCCACTTTTTGAGCCACCGATCTGACTTTCCACCGGAGATTGTCACCTCAATAACACAAAATATTGGACTTCGGGACAGTGATGTCAAATGGTGCTCTATCAACGCCCTGCGTGGGCAGTCACGCTCCCTTGGAAGGTTCAGTGAGGTGCTGTGGACTGAAGTATATGGGGGCTCCAAGAAGGTTTCAGGCCGTGCCATTGAAATTTTGTATGAGCTTTCAGATTCTCCAGAGAATGTTCTTGATCGAATCATGGATCATCTTGGTCTCCCCAAAATACGCATGTCTTGGAACACACTCAAGATCTATTCCAAACGGTCAACGATATCCGAAAAAGCCCGCAAAGTCCTACAAAAACACCTTCAGTCGTCAGACTATGGGTTAAGATGCGCAGTCATCGATATCCTAGCCGGACAGCCCGACCTGTCGGTTGAAATTCTGAAAGAGTTAATAGACCAACTTGAAACCGACAATGAGACGGTGATAAAGGCGACCGTCAATGCCATAAGTTGTCAGTCATCCCTACCAGTTGAGATCGATCTTGAGATAGCAGAGAGATTTGACCAAGGCAAGCTTCCAATCAAGACTTTCTTGCAAATCTTCGAAAACCAGTCCAACTCGCCGGAGAGAGTACTTGGCCAGATTGCAGCTCATATATCGGGTGATAAAGACCATTCTATCAGAGCAGCCGCTATTCGCGCCCTGGGTAGGCAGTCATATCTATCGGAGACGCCAGAAATCATTCAAAAGATGATCCCACGCATTCATGACGAAGATGCAGCAGTGAGAGTAGCAGCTATCCGAGCAGTCGGCCTTGGTCGCCCATCGATGTCAGATGCAACCCTGGGCGAAATTATGAGACATTCGAATGACACCAACGACAAGGTCAGACAAGCTGTTGTTCAAGTCCTCGGCGAAAGGAAAACATTATCCCTTGATGAATTCCACAAGATGGTAGAACTGGCCAACGATCCGGACGAACAAGTTCAATGGGCTACTCACAAGCTTTTTGCCTACAATCCATCTTGGCCGGGAGTAATCCGTCACACAATAGCGTCTGAAGTGTATGGGCATTTCCTCTTTAACAAAGGTGTCTCATTCAATTGGATGTTCTCCAGGCTAGCGAAGCGAGAAGAGTTTCATCTGCTTTTCCTCCTGGGTGGTCTTGCCAAACAGCATTTGCGGAAGCTGCTATTGCGAACATCCAGGATGCACCTAGCGTGGTTTATCAAAAACGACGAGTCATATCTTGAAAGAAGCGATGGTTCGGACGATCCGGTCCCGTGCGTTGGGGCTGATATAGAACAAGGGATGATATCAGCGTGGAGAGAAGCTGGGCTTCCGCCTGTGGCGGTATCGTATTCCTAAAGACCTTTGTCGAGCTCGCGGTTTGGGCGGGTTTGGGCTTTCCTCTGCTACAGCCTGTTGTAGTTGCATAACACGTTCCTCTCGCCGCTATCTACAGCTCGGTATTATAAGCCCCCATCAATGGGCTGTGAGTTGGGCTGTGGGCCCGGGGTCCGGGCCTGACCGGCCCATAGCGGAAGTCTCTTTAGCACTCGGTCGATAATTACATAGGTAGCCAACAACTATAGGTAAGTGTTGTGAACACCCGGTCAGAGGACCACATTTCCCTAGATAGCTCACTGTCTCCCTCTCTTTGCTTTCCCCTTCATCCATCTGAGTGAGGAATCCATCACTTCTCTCTGGCTCCCTGACTCCGTCAGCAGCTATCTCATCAGTAAGCTGAGTGTAGAGCATGCTGGGTGCTTTGATCCCAGCTCAAGCAGCCTTTGCTCATGCCAACCGCCCCCTCTTGGAGTGACGTTCTTTAGGACAACACCGTGATCGTTCAAGAGCACCTGGCCGTTTTGGCCGCGGTCGACGGTCTAAAGTGCACAAATGGAAGTCAATGATAAGGGCTCGCTCGAGCTCAGTATTCCACATGATGTTTTCCGGGCGAAGATCCTGATGGACAACGCCGCAACGACGAATCTCCTTCACGGACCGAGAAATCGCGTCCTGAATGGTCTTGTTCAAAGTACTATGGCCCACACTCTCCCCAGCCCAGCCCATGAGAAGCATATGGCGGATCCTTCCTGCGCCGTGGAGGAAGTAAGTCTGGGCAAAATTGATCGCGCCGAGAAAGACGGGAATAGCCGATCCTTGAACACGCTGGAGGACCCGATAGATGTCAGCTTCGGGCGAAACCTCACCCCAGAGTTTCGAAGTCGTTCCCTTCCCGATGACTGTGTATCCGAAGGTGGCACACGTAATCTTGAATGGTGCGCCGGAGGACCCACAAGGGCCGATCGGAGTGCAGTTATGATCCAGGTCCAGATCGAGCTGCACCTTGAGCCCTTTGACCAAGTCAGGTATACTGACCAAATGGCAGTCTGATTTTCCACCCAGCATATGCAACTTCGTGTTGGGGCAGCCAGGGTCAAGAGTTCCACCTTGCGCTAGCCCGAGAAGACACTTTTGTGTGCAATATGGCGCATCGTGGGAGCGAGAATGCCCCTTCTGGTTTCCTTGGCGATCTGCTGGCGGGGCGGACCGTTGGGTTGGAGGAGAGGATTTGATCTGACTGTACCCCCGCTTCCGTCCTGCCGATGCGGTAGGGTCAGCCTCGGAATCTGAAGAGCTCTCGTGCTGATGGGCATTGGATAGTGGCGCGCAACTATCGGCCGCTCGGATGGTCATTCGAGGGCCGCTGGTAGTGGGAGATGAGGATGTGAGGTACTCGGATTTTGACTGCTCAGGACTCGTGGATTCAGGGTTGGCATCACCCCCTCCCAGATCCCGTGGTAAGTCCATTACTACGGTCTGAGCGCGATCGCTATCAAAAATCGAATGCCATTTTGGTAGCCTGTCTTGGGCGGCGTTTCGCCACGAAGAGGGGCACGGAAACTCATCAGACAGAGGCATAGGGCCCTCTCGATTCTAGTCCTCGGTATTTCGGGCTCTGCCATACCCGCCATCTTGTATAGGCCGGGATCGCCCAGGTGGTAATAAAGGGTGGATGGGTCGTCGTAGGGCACCCAGAGTTGCACATCCATCAAGCCATTCGTCAAATATGAATACTCTAGACCTTCTTGGATCATCACATGAAATTCTTGTACGATGGCTGATCCGACGAGCCGCTCGGCATGATATCTTGATTTCTCGGGCTCTTCCGTCGGAACGCGATCAGGTAGTACAACTTCTCGCCAAAAGTCCATAGGTCGGAGTCCCTTCTGCAGGCTGGCCACGGTGAGCTTGTGGGGGGGTTTACATTCAATTGTGGTGAGCAAAGTACTCCTATTGCCATCTATTCGATGAATGCAAGATTGATCCGGCTTCGGAGGCTTGATGTTTGAGGGCAGGCTAGCATCGGCTTCGTCATCTTGATCCAGAGCGTTGGTGTGATTATCGAACCACACTCCGTTGCCTAACCGAAACTCCTCGCGAGCCTCGGAAATTTTGCACAACTCGGCAAATATGTAGTACACATAGTCTTCGACGGCGAATCTCTCGTATTTCTGGAGGTCTAGTTCGCTGCTAATCGGTCGAAGTGCGACGCGTCGACCATATTCTTCTAAGGCATTAAGTGACGTGAATAATTGCGGTGCATCTACTCCTGCTGGTTGCAGGTAGCGGCAGACAGATCTGTAGATCTCTCGCTGTCTGGTCTCACATTCATTCCACGGAAGTAGTTGTACGGGACAGTGTTTGCCGATAGGAGCAGGGATTTTGCCAGTCGTGGAGCGCGATGGTGTTTGGGCTTGGATCGGCGTCCAAAGAAGATCATGGCAATGTTGGATGAGCTCTGGAAACGTTGTCGGTCGGGTGTGTGCCCTCTCTTGCCTTTCTCGTTCCTCTGCCTGCCGTCTCAGTGAGGCCTCTCTGAGGAAAAGCGCCTTGTAGTCTGGGGAGCTACTTCCACTCATTATGTGTTGAGATGAATGATGGTCATGTGTCATATCAAGTGTGGTGTAGCTCTCTCTCTCTCTCTCTCTCTCTCTCTCTCTCGCGCGCGCGGTTCTCAGTTGTCTCTTTTTTCTTAGCATAAACAACACCCTGCTCTGTTACCTGATCACAGCCAGTAGCTGTTCCAGTAGTATGGATGATAAACTGGAAGAAGGATAAACCCCGACGCGACGACTTTGAATGATACCAAAGGTAGCTGCGGTCACTGCCGTCACTGTCAGCGGGCCGGTATCGCGGTGAAACTATTTCTCCGTCACCACCTGGGCAATCGCGGAGGAGTCACGTGACTAATATCAACTGCTCCGCCCGGGCGGTGAGGTCCCAGTATTGAACTCACCCCTCCCAGTGTTGATCAAGTACTGTACAGATCCATCAGCAATCGAAGCCCAAAAATCGGTTCTTCAATCAGAGCAAATTCTATGTGATTGAAAGATGATTGATATCATCGAAACGGCGCCACAAAATATTAAATTGTCCAAGGAACTAGCAATCACCAAACATTAAATTGGACTTCTTACACCACAAGCCCTAGTACCAAAGGGGCTGACAGTTCGCTTGCTCGACCCGGGGACGTATGGATCGACGCAAGGAGACAGATACGGCGGAACCTCTGGCACACCAGAGACCCTAGCCACATTCTGACCAACGCAGTCGGACCTGCGCGACATTATCTGAAGCTAACCTTCAACATGGGAGGAATCACGCTCCAGCTCTTTAGCCTGGATGTGCCCCAGTCTTGGTTTTGGTGAACTCGACTATCGAACCGATTAGGCTCGTACACATACCCAACCCATACCTCAGGGAGGCACTATAGACACGAGTCAGGAGGAGAGCTGACTGGGGAATTCGTGTGCCTTCTGGACATATGCAATTGATCGAGTCCGTATGATTTGATGTCGGATGCTTGCCTTTGGACGCACTCATTTTCCTTGGCCATGAATCTAATCCTTCCCTGCTTTCCTCCTGGAGACAGGTTATACGGGTTAGAACGATGCATCAACTTGATCTTGTACCGGCAGCAAGTCAGATCACTTAAATCTAGTCAAAATGCTCGTGGTGCTCTTGAACGTCGCGTGCTTCCAAGTTGGGGTCAAATTGAACCTCAATGTAGTCATGCAAGATGGAGACAGATTCTACATGAAAGGGATATACTTCCATCTTAACGCTCTGCTTTTGACCCCCCAACAAATCCATACAGTATCACTAAATTATATGGATTTGAGGGGTCTTGGGGCAGTCCTGGAGCAGACGGGAGGTGCAACATACCCGAAGGGACCGGCTAGGTATTTCAATTCCAAGTCGGCTGTGCCCTCCTCGACATCATGGCTTGAGCGACCGAACGAAAAGAATGAAGATGTTTCTAGCTGCTTCAAAGAGCACAACTTGGAAGAAGCAAGCCTCGCGAACGATGCTTGATTGTTCGATATTGAGTCAGAAAGAGGGACATATGCACGCCAGGCTTATAACTCAGAGGCCGACGCTCTCGACCCAACTTTACATCGCTTCGACAGGAGTAGTAGCTCAGCAACAAATCAACAAACCATGAGCTGAGCTGGATCGACAAAAGCTCACCTAGGTATTGATGGTGACCCACTCCAGAGCTACCAAACATGACACCATCTCTTCACCTTTTCACGGACTCAATGTCGAGCAAGCTACTGAACTAAACCGAGGTAGCATGCACGCTCATCTTGAGTCAACGAGAGCATCTGCTATTTCAAGATCCCCAATCTGGATGAACCATTTTCGTCCCGCGCACGAGATATCAACACCTGTTGAGTTCAGATCAAATCAGACCCGAATACCAACCCGTACAGAGCAGAAGAAAGTATTGATCTTGTATACCGCATCACCAGGATGATTTCGCAGAGATCCGTGCCTCCATTCGGGTCTGTCTGGGTTCGTCTGTGTTCACGAGGGTCACCCGATATGCCGAGGAACAATAACAAAGTCGCTGTTTGTCGGATCCCATGAAATATCGGACCTTCGACCTCGGTGCGCGCTTGTGGGGTATCATGTTCCTTCGTTTTCCCCGCGGGCGCAAGTAACCTGTGACCTCTTGAGATCTGCACTGCCATGTTACCCAGATACGAGAATCGGCCTTTTGTCTCTTGTTGGGCTTTGATTGGTTTATTTGTAAACGCATGAAGCTATACACTTTGGTCAAGTCATGATGATGGATCAAATGGTTGATTCGTTGGCAATTTGTTTTAGGTACTGTCTCATCGTTGTACTCAGAGTATATGCGGCTATGTCAAAATCATCACAGAGAGATGTCATATCTTCCACGCGTCTCAAATGTTATGATTCACCGTAAAGGAAAGAGTCTATTTTGTGTAAAACTCGTCGGCTGGTCAAAGTCACTACCTAGGTACCAGGTGTGGCATCTACCGCAGCAGTCCTCTATGACTTCTGCAAAGCGTCCCGCTACAGGTCATACAAATATAAAGAGAGGTCTTAAGGTACAAAGATGAGCTAGATGCATATTTGAAATACACAGAACAGGCTTCTTGGTTTGCGTTCTGACACATCAAGGTGACCTCGGGAAGTGTCGACCTATGGGACACACTGGAGACGTGGCATGTATGAACACCGCTATCAATATGTTCGAACAAAGTAGCATAGCTTGTCCTCGAAGGCCTAATCAAAATTATGCAGTGGATGGTAGCCGCGTAGCCAGTCTCAACTGCGGTTATTCACCGCACCATAGGGTGTTCGAACTATCGCACTCTTCAAAGATTCTTTCGTACTATGATAAATCTCTAATCATACCGAGATTCAAATGCTCCAAGGTTGTTTTTGCCAGCTCATCCCCTCGGTGATTAAGGGTTTTGTCGGTTCCACTATGCAAGTGCGACCCTAGTTCCCCGCGACTCGCGGGTCACGAAATTCAGAAAATTTCTATAGTTGGGGCTCGACTGGGGCCGAGACAGGCCTGGCCTGTCATATCTTTGGCTTCGAGGGAAGAAAAATTAAACGAAAAATATTTTTCCACTTCACGTGCTAATGGTATAGTCGATCTCGGGCAGAAGCCACTCTTCACGGACTGTTCTGGATAGGTCGATGTGGAATATCTTGGGGTTTTCGCTGCGAGGCTGGCCAGACCCAGCATAGGCAAGGATATGCCACCGCTTGTGCGTCGTGGCTTGAGACACCGGCTGCGCCATGGAATTTGTCTTTGCATTTCGCAATCATTATTATCCAAGTGAATCGAGGCCGTGTTCTGACAGAGACGATGGCGCTATCTCGTGGGCATATTGACTCTTCGCCTGCATTGCCAATTCTCCCAAGGTTCGTATACTCACTGTCGAGGTGCATTGTGCCCCGCAGCGGATCGATTTGAAGGACTCCATGGGCTGCAGGTGGGGAACGGGACTTGTAGCCCATTGGAACATTCAGAATAGGACGACATGATGGCGGGCATTGTGGAAAACAAACGTCAGCGTGAACACAACCGTCGGCGAGTACGTCAACAGTCCAAGGGCCTCGGGCTACTAGGTATGTATTCCCGCTTATGGGGCTGGGTACTTGTGTACAAACGTAAGTACCGATCTGGGTAGACTTGTTTGAGCTCTTGCATCGGGCCGAATGCAAACTCATCACTGTAATGTGACCCGGCTGACAGGTACCAGACAGCTCCAATCTGGCGCCCATTTTCGTCGGGACGAGTTTTCAATCTGTGATACCTGGGTATTGCTCGAGTTTACCCGTTCGGCTCTACTCTGTTTCTCTTCAAGGTTTCTGCTTTGGGTAAGCTTTGAGTGAAGTGCTGAGTTCGGGACATCGTTGCTAGGCGCAAGCCCAGTCCGATATTCTATCGAGTATGAGGATTGTCAATAAGACTGAAATATCTTGCATGACAAGATGCGAGAAGTAGGCCTCACCGATTAGATTCCCTGTGGCTAAATAGCCGCGCTATCCTAATGTACTCCCGAGGTCCGTACGAGGCAAGTAATTTCCGTAGTTCAGATGACCTACCTGGGCGGCCTCCGCTCCATGTGGGACGGAGGAGTTGAATGCGAGAAGGGACGCAATCCGGCCAGAATCAATATACACATCGTTCCAGGGCTGTCCCGAGGTGGTTCCAAGTTGAGGGTTTCAGGCTTGCCCCAGCACGAGTCTGTATCATCTCCAGGTGCTCACAAGGGCAGAGTATTGACGTGGCGTAGACTACTTCGGCAAAGGGACGGGCCCAAAATTAGCCTTGAGCCTTATCTCACTACCCGTGACAGCCCTTTTGTGCACATAGCATTGTGGTGATGGCGCCTGAGATGTCACTTCGGCAAAATATATAACGATCATACCCCCACGCCACTGGGGCTTAAGAAACCGTTGGCCTTCGAAAATTGTCACACGACTGTCGCGCACCTATTAACCATCGACACATCATAAATCTGGGCGATCAAAATTCATGATCACTATTTTGCCTCACTGTTGGCTGCCTTGGGTATCTCCCGAACGCCCTGAAGATGCTTCCGGCATGTATAGACCTGAAATGGGTATACATCGTTGCACCATCATATCGATCATTTCGAGATCATTAGTATGAGCGCTGTAATGTAATCTATTTGCGTCCGATCGAAAATGGTCAAGGTTTAGTGAAGTGGTGTGAAGTGTGTTGGCCGGATGCGTACATACCTCAGTCCGGGGTGGCCCATGAATACTGCTTCCCCGGATTTCGATATCCTTGGGGTAACTTGGAGAAAATATGGGTATTATTTCTAGGGTGTGTTCTCGAAGTCGAATCTGGAAGTCAATGCTATGGAAATGACTGGAAACGGTCTCTTGCATTTACCATGCAACATCCGACAAATCCCTTTGACACTTTAGCCTGAATTGACCTATGCTGGTGCTTTGTTCTATGTACTCTACTATGTAACAAGAATATTAATGTGAGGATCCAGGATTTCACCCAAGCAGGGCATCTCTCTCGCTCTTTCTTTTTCTTTTTCTTTTTCTTTCTCATCTCTTCCTTTCATCTCTTGCCTGGCCCGAAACAAATCTGTTTTCTCAAATTCCAGACTTGATGCACCTCAAACGCCACGGCTGACGGGGAGGCAGGTGACGACGCCGGCAGAAT